CCGTCTTGCCAGGCTTCCCATGCGCCAACACCGTTCAACCGGTGACATGAAACCCTAACCCTAACCCTACTCTAACTTCAAAATCTGTCCCCTGAACAATTTTTGGTTTAAACTTTCTGTGATCCTTGGTGGTTACGGTCTGCTCTTTGGTAACCCTAACTTCATTTTGCAATCCCAATTATGAATGCTCTGTTTGCTTAGGGTTACCGGGACAACTGATTCTGTGCTGGTCATAATTTGCCTGGGTCATTCTTGGGCAACTTTTGCGACCATCTTTCTTTCTTTGCGCTATTGACCGGGTTTGACGAGGTATGACCGGGTTACAAGCTGGTTCTTGGTGTCTCAATTGGTCAAGAAACAGGAGGAGATGGATGAGATGCGTTGCAGAGCGATGACGCATACTACAGACACCTGATACATGATCGACGATATGTGTGTCGACGTGCCGAAGCTTGCAACGGCGAGAAATGACATTGTCGTTGAGTTTCGTGAGCAGCGTTACGAGTGGACGGCCGTCAGACAACCAGAGTATCGCGCCAGCTTTCGTACTGGCGGATCATGAGCGAAGTGATGCGCCGCTTGATCGAGGAAGCTGCGCTTTCGAAGTGACGCTGTTCGATCGCTTGGCAATCGATGTTTTCGTCCATGGCGAGCAAGCCGGCCTCCTGGCAGATCGAAACAACTTCGGCGCCCGAGCATCCGTCCGTCATCTGCGCCAGCTTGTTCAGGTCGACAAATTCCGTGCTGACGGCCATCTTTGACATCCTCGTCCGCAAGATCTGCTTCCTTGCCTCGCCATCCGGGGGCCCAACGTAGACGAGCCTGTCGAGTCGGCCGGGGCGAAGGAGAGCGGGATCGAGCGACTGCGGTCTGTTAGTCGCACCGATGACAATGACGTCCGACATGGCCTCGATGCCGTCCATCTCGTTGAGTAAGGTTGCAATGATGCGGCTGTTGAGCGCGTCGCCGCTCGAATCGCCGTCGCGACTGGAAGAGAGGGCGTCGATCTCGTCAAAGAAGATGATGCTCGGCGATGCTGCGCGTGCCTTCTTGAAGGTATCACGGATAGCGCGTTCCGATTCGCCGACGTACTTCGAGTACAGCTCGGGGCCTTTGACAGCGAGGAAGTTGAGGCCAGACTCGGTGGCGAGCGCTCGAGCGATGAGAGTCTTGGAACAGCCTGGCGGGCCGTACAGGAGGACGCCTCGTGGTGGTGAGACGCCAAGTCGCGAGAACGCGGCGGCATGCTTGATGGGCCATTCCACGAGCTCGCGAACCTGCGCTTGGACTGATTTGGTGGACAAGGCTCCCGAGCCGCCAGCTGAGGGTGTCGATGATCCGGCGATGTCGGACCAGTAGACTTTCGGCGGCTCGAGGAAGATCTCGCGCATGGCAGAGGGGCGTACCAGGGACAGCGCCGCGTTGAGATCCGCAGCAGTCACGTTGTCGAGGATTCCGTCGTCTGTCTCATTCTTCTCGAGCGACATAGAATGAATCCTGTCTTCGAGCTGGTCTGAACTGGAACGGCGACGAGCAAATGTGCGACGGACGGCTCGCATGCCGGCTTCGCGGATGAGAGCCGAGAGATCTGCGCCCACGTAGCCGTGCGTGCGACCAGCAAGGTCCGAGATCTGCTCTTGCGTGAGATCATGCGGCACTGGCCGAATCAGTGTGTGAATGATCTCGCCTCGTGCAGCGGCGGTTGGGATGCCTATCTCAATTTCACGATCAAGACGACCTGGACGGCGGAGAGCTGGATCGATCGCGTTCGGCCGATTCGTGGCTGCAAGAACAACGACGCGGGCTGGGCCTTTGCCCGTCGACGAGCTTTGAGCTAGCGCTTTCCTCTCCGTTGCATCGTCGAGTGTCGCATCGTCTTGCTGCGCTTGATCCTCGTCATCGTCGGCCTCCTCCATGCCATCGAGCAGCGTCAACAGCTGCGCGACTACTCTGCGCTCGACTTCGCCCGCACCATCCGCATTGGCGCCGTCCCCGCTGCCCCCTTCTCTTCTTGGGGCTAGAGCGTCGATCTCGTCGATGATGATGATACATGGGCTCTTGCGTCGTGCTTCTCGGAATATGCTGCGAAGCTTGGACTCGGTCTCACCATGGAAGGCAGAGGACAGCTCGGGGCCGTTGATAGTGAGATAAGACGATCCGGTTGCCGCAGCAACGGCCCTTGCGAGCGACGTCTTTCCTGTTCCCGGTGGACCATACAGCAGCACTCCCTTTGGTGGTTTGAGGCCGTACTGGACGAAGATTTCGGGAGACATGAGGGGCATCTCGATCAAGGTCTTGATCTCCGCGATCTGTCGGTCGAGACCGCCGAGCCTGGAATAAGGATCCTCTTTGGGGATCTCAAGCGCGCCGTTTGTTGTCGACTCTTTCGGGTACTTTGCATCAGCGCCAAAGCTTTCAATGGCGACGTCAGTAGTTCGGCTCACCGAGCACGCCTGTGTGGTCCTGGATGCCGAAGTAGGGTCGACGGAAGTGGAGACCGTCCAGCCTTGGTTCTGACTCGTATCGAGTACCGAAGCGACCGTGAAGGAGTACACTTCCCCTTGAAAGCTGAGTGGCAGCACCTGGCCTTGGTGAACGTACTCGAGCTCGGCAAGACATTCTTTGGCGTGAACAGTGAGCATCTGGCGATCCGAATTGCCAAGCTTCGCGAACGTGGAGGCGCTAGCAGACTCCTGTGAAGAGAGGGAAAGGGTGATCTTCGTGCATGTTGGAGGCTTTCTGGTTGCATCGCCAGCCTGTGTCGTAGCGAGAGGCAGTATCGAGACGGTGTGCCCAGATTGGAGGCCGGGCGGAAGGTGGGCCGCTATCGGGAGTCGTATAGTACCGGTCTCGAGAGCAAAAGAGGGCCACACAGAGCCGACGAAGAAGTCTGCTGAAGTCGCGCCTTCGGCAGTGACGAGCAGCGCATCGCCGGTTTGAAGCTTCAAGGCGCGGATGGTATCGACAGGGAGCAGAACCTTGCTGCGAGAAGAGCTGCTTGCGGCGGTCCCTGCCTCGACGACGCGTGCCTTGAAGGAGTCAGCAGGCCGCGACTGATCTGCAGCCGCGAGTGAGCCGCTCATGATGGAAGTGCGACCTCGTTACCGGCGCCGGTGTAAGACGAAGGTGATGGAGTAGGTGGTGCGAGACACAAAAGTCGATGTGGTATGAGGCAACTTTTTTTCGTTGCTCGCTCGGAATTCGGACTGGAACCGTGGGCACGGTGTTGGACCCTTTGAAACGCAGCACGAACCTCCTGGTCTCTCTGAGCCACACACACGCACAAGCTCGGCCATGTCGCTCGACCAGACGCACTATGATGTGGCCATCCTCAGCACAGGGCTCACACAGAGCATAGTTTCAGCCGCTCTCGCCGCAGCAGGACTGTCGGTGATTCACATCGACAGGAACGACTACTATGCGGATCAGTGGGCGAGTCTGACACTGTCAGAGCTGCTCAAATGGACTCAGGACACCTCGAGCGGCGTCGAAGGTGTTCGGCTCAGCTTTCCTTCGACCTCGCGGGCCGACACGAATAAGTCTGGAGAACCGTCGAGGCTGCCGGAGTCGCTGGCGTCTCTGGATCGGCACTATGCCATCTCGCTCGCCCCGACGTTGCTTCCCGCAACAGGACCATCGATCGACTGCTTGATTCGATCCAAGGTCTCGTCGTACGCCACCTTCCGCCTACTTGAGCGCACTTGCGTGGCATCGGTCTCCTCGCATGATGACGGCCCAATGCTGCTGACGAGTGTTCCTGCAAGCAAGGAAGACATCTTCAAGACCAAGACGCTCTCCCTCATTGCCAAAAGAAAGCTCATGAAGCTGTTGATGTACATCGGCACCGAGGACTGGCAGTCGGATCTTGCGCAGAATCCGGACACGTCGCAGCGATCCTTTGTGGAGTACCTAGCAGACGTGCACAAGATGTCGCCCGACCTGGTGGACGCTGTGGCCTACGGCGTGTGTCTATGCGCGACTCCAAACGAGACGACAGAGGTGGCCATGGCGAGAGCAAAGAGTCACATGCAGAGTGTGGGCAGGTATGGCAACTCTGCTTACTTGGTCGGACAGTATGGGGGGGCGGGTGAGCTGGCGCAGGGCTACTGTCGCGCATCGGCAGTCAAAGGAGGCATGTTCATCTTGGCCCACGAGATCAAGTCTGCGAAGCGGGACGCAGCAGATGCCAGATGGGAGATCGGGATAGACGGCATCGACGATACGGTCACAGCCGATTACATTGTGTCAAGCGAGGAGATGCTGCAGCAGCTTGGCATCACGGATCCAGGTCAGACAAGCGCCCCCGGGTCCGCAGATATTGTGCTGCACAAAGCGGTCCTGGTCCTCGACAAGCCGATTCACTTTGCCGCCGCCGTTGGCAAAGACTCGTCAACAGGAGGTCAAAGCACGCAAGGGAACTCGCCTGAGAAGGACGCATCTGAATCGCCTCCGGAGACAGGACTAGTTGTCTTCCCGCCCGGCTCCATTGGTGGGAACGTCAACACGGTCACGGTGCTGATGATGGGCGAGGGCACCTTCTCGTGTCCTAAGGGTCAATGTGAGTACCTTCTGGGCCTTCCAGCTTGTCCGACACTTCAGTGCAGCATTGTTGACATGTTTTCTCACTTCGCTTTTGCAGATGTATACTACGTACAATCGGAAGCGTCGCAGGCTGATCGTCAGCAAACGGCAGAAGACGCTCTCAAGCCGGTACTGGAACAGATCATCAACTTGACGACCGAGTCACGGCGGGCTGAAGCAGCAGATGCGGCCTCCGTCCACCCGCTTCTACAGCTCACATATCGTCAAGCGGTTCCTTCCACATCGAGCGAGTCCTCCCTTCAGAATCTGTCAAGCATCACTTTCCCACCTACATCCACAGACTCGACCTCGTCCAACACTCAGCATCCAGTGACGTCCATCTCTGGGCTCACCGATGCGGCTGTTCAGCTGGCAGAGAAGGTATACTACGACGTCTTCGCATCACGACTCACATCACCGGATTGCGGAAGCACGCACAAAGAGAGGGTCAAGTGGGTCAAAGAGACTGTGGAGAGTCAGAGGCTGGAAAGGAAGCGCAGAAAGGGTCGCGATCCCGCCGAATACCAAGGGAGAGGCGGGAGAGGGGCGGACGACGGAGTCACGCGCCTACAGCCAGATGGAGAAGGCCGCGAAGAGTCGCAGGAGCAGGTGAAGGTGGTGGGCTTCTTCGAGGCAATCTCGGGTCAGGACGACGGTGATGACGACGACGATGCTCATGGAGATGGACAATGAGCCTGTGATCAGCACGAATGCACACAGGCTGGTCACAAGATCAGTTGCGCTGGCGTGGTGGTGATGCCTGAACAACACTGATTTGAGCATTTCCGCGCTGAACGTGACAGGATGATTGTAAGGTTAGGTCTCATCGACGAGACTGGTTGACCTGGTTCTTGAACTTGTTGCTCTTGCCACCAACAGGCGATGGTGCGCCACTCGAGCCGCTCTTGGACCTCTGCAAGGTGGATCCCGCCTTGCTGCTCGACCTGAGCGTGTCGTACGCCTGCTGAGCCTTCTTGGCCTTCTTGCCGTTCCTTCCGTCGAGTCCTGCGCCTCGGAGCAGATCGCCAAACTCCTCTTCCATACCACCTCCAATCCTCCTCCTTCCATCGCGACCCGAGCTGAGACCAGCACCGCCGAGCGCCACGTCGGCCTCGTCTCGTCTGCGCTTGCGAGAGTCCTTCTTGGACATGACGAGACGGGTGAAGTTCTCTTCTTCGAACTCTTCCATGCGTGCCAGTGCCTTTGCGCGTGCTGAAGTGTTGGATGCAAGTCGACCGCGACCGCCGACACCAACACCGCCAGAGGAGGCCTCGTAAGGATTGGACGACATGCCAGCCGTAAGATCGGATAGCAGTGCCGAGTTTCGCGTGATGGACGACGCTTTGTCGCCAAAGCGAGGGTCCTTCTTGTTGGTGCGAGCGTCGGGGTCGTACGACATAGGAACGAGCTTGGGCGGTCGATACACTGCGGTTTTTCCACCTTCGTCGCCGTCTGAATCGGACTCCGAGGCATCCCGAGCGGAGCTTCTTCTGGACGCGCCGTTCGATTTCGAAGGCCTGTCGAGGGCTCGAGCCTTGTCTTGCATGAAAGCGGATGGGTTGGGTCGGAAAGCAAGCTCGTCGTCGCTGGCATCATCGTCGTCACTGCCGTCAGCCTTGTTCTTGCCGTTCTTGGCCACGGCAGGCTTCGAACGACCAAGCAGGACCTCCTTGTCGGCATCTCCGGCGGCACGTAGCAGCTTGTCGGTCTGATACTTGAGGCGGCTCTCCAGCGGACGAAGCTTTTCGAGCATCAGTCGCAGCTTGACGAGGTTCTGAACGACATCTGCTGGTCCTTCCGAGACGCTGTTCTTGCTGCTGCCGGCCAGCGATCGACCAGAGATCTTGCTGAGACAGACGGCCACGACGTGATGGAGATAGTCAAGCATGGCATCATTCTTTACCGTGAGTAGCGAGATACCATCTGCGTACGCGAAAGGGTTATCCGAAGCATCGCTCGATGCTGCGTCTACGACATCCTTTTCGAATGCCTTGACAGAGGTGCTAAGCGCTGTGACCGACTTTTGAATGCTTGCGAAAAGCTTGGTGATGTCAGTTGCAGCAACAGATGGTGCAGCAGCTGTGGTAGAAGCCAGCATCTTGCCAAAAGGTAGTCTCCCGGAGAGCGACAAGCTGTCTGTCAGCGTGCAGCGCAGTCGATCGTGTGGAAGATGGGAGTGAGGGTCAACGACTGTCAGCTGGAAGAAGTGAATTCACCGACTCGCCCGCCGCCTTCCAGATTTTCGCAAGGCCAACTCAAAAATTTCCTGGCCGCGGGCAGCTCTGTCCCGTGTCCCGAGTCTCTGCCTCACTTACCAACTTCGTTCACGCACACTCGCAAACATGATCTTTCGAGACCGAGGAACACAAGAGATTGAAAGTCCATTGAGGTATGTATGTGTGTGTGAGCAGCAGTGTGCTCGGTGAATGCGAGGTATGCAGTAAGGTACAAATGCGATGGATGTCGATTCACCGTCAAACCACGCCGAGGGACCCTCTCATGGAGTCCGCTGCTAAGCGTGGGAGGTGATCATTATACAGGAGATGTGTGTATGATTGTGTTCGGCCGTTGTGCGTCGACGGCCGCTTCTAGTTCTGACCGACGGCAATCTGGCTGGACGGCACTGGGCTAGCCTGCGGATACGGCTTGACAGGCGAGCCGGGCTGGGTACTGGTGGGAGCAGAGCACGCCTCTGGATATAGCTTGTTTCTGGGCCACAGAGCACCATAGCCACCTTGCTCCGGAGTGCCTCCCCACGTTGTGAAGTTCGCATTATCGTATGCGGCTCGGTGGCGCTCGATGTAGTCTGCGGTGGGATAGTCGGGGGGATCGCAGCCGACGTTCTCCGCGTCGGGATCCTGGTAGACTCGGACCCAGTCAACGGACATGACTGCGGGGAAGACAAGGTGGCGCCAATCGGGAAAACCAAAGTTCTCGCTGATACCCAGGTTGAAGATGATGTACATGGGCTCTTCGGGAATGGGACGGTCGCTGATCTGGCTGACGGGATCGGCAGCTAGAGCGGCGCCGTAAACCTTCCATGCTCGCTTGTCGTCCGAAATCCAGTCGATGTAACCCTGCGGACCAGGCTCGTACTCGAAGCCATACGTTGCAAAGCTGCCGTCTCCGCCGCGCTGCACGGCGGTCTGTGAGGCAACTGTGATGCCGCTAAGCGCCTGCTGGTCGTTTTGGCCGTTGTACATGTTGAGATGCGATTCGTCCTGGAAGAACTCATAGGCAGGGCCGGTGGTGTTGGTGATGTTGTAGTACATGTTGAAGGGCGCTGTCTGCATCGACTGCGATACCGTCAGACCGAGCGTACCGTCGACTTGAGCTTCGAAGACATCGATCTCGGGTGCGCTACGTCCGCGGAACGTGCCATCCTTGAGCATGGGTCCAGGATGGTCTTCGCCCGCGCAAGTGCAAGCGGAAAGACGCTGACCAGGCAGGAAGGAGAGCGCCGTCGATTCGGCCTTCCGGTTCCACATGACATCGCCGCCAATAGCCGCAGCAGCTGGCAAGCCGTTCGAGTCGGTCTGATTCATGAGCGTGCCGACGTCGCAGGCAGAGTACGAGTAGGGCCAGGTGCCGTCCGTGGTGGCGCCATAACCTGCACGTCCGAGGTTTCCCATAGTCCAGAACGCAGGCCACAGACCGGCGACACGGGGCGCACCGGGCAATCGAACACTGGCAACGAGGTAGCCACCGGTGAAGCAAAATTTGTTCCACGAGCTGAGGAAGCCGCCGCGAAAATTGAGATTGTTGGTTTCGACCTGATCGAGCGTGATGCGGAGCGAGCCGTTGGCGGTGGTGACGGCCTCGGGAGAGTACCACTCGTAGTTGTTGGTGGCCCAGTAGTGCAGATCGGACGCTTCCCAGAAAGGGTCATCGCCTGGATAGAAGGAGCGGCCTGGGGTATTGAACTCGTCGGAAAAGACGAGCTTCATGGTTTTGGTGCCGTCGGGGCTGACACGAGTGTGCGCGTCCAGAGGCGTGTCAGGGTCGATGAGCGAGGAGCGAAAGCCGGGTATGCTGCCAATCTGGCCTGACGCATTGACACCGCCGAGGTTGAAGCCGCCCTTTGTGCTCTCGTGACGACGCGTAAAGTACGAGATGATCGGGTATCCACCGAAGAGCAAGACGAGCGCGAAACTGAGAAGGACGAGCACGCCCATGTTGATCACGCCCCTCTTTCCCACGCTTCCTCCCAACCAGCCGTGATTGCTTTCCGAGTGTGCGTTTGGATCATGCAGATCATCGTCGGGCTCCTGTTTCCCGTCCATGGTATCCCACGAGTATGGGTTGGCAAAGTAGTCGGCCTGCTCCGACGTGGAGGTCGAATTGTTCATACTGACGGACGAGCCGACGAGCGAAGATGGGAGGAGGAAGGGATCGCGAACAGCGCGTGGATTGACTTTCTGATCGTCGGGATGATACGAGAGCGGCCTCGACATACCCAAGTTGGCGTAACGTCGAGGGCTTGAGCCAGGAGCGCCTACGTCGACCGTGTAGGAGAGCGTGGCAAGATCGTGCGTCTCGATGCTGTGTTCGACGGCTGAGTCCTCTGCTTTTGGGTGCTTGAGGCCGATGCTGAGGGAGGAGCCTTCCGCGTGCTGGACAGCGGTCATACCGTCCTCGTCGCTGGACGAGTCTATGCTGAGAGCAGGCGAGTGTATCAAGCTGCTGGTGCGTGGTGTGATAGGCGCGTCGAGGGTGAGCAGCGAGTTGTCGGCGGTGTGATTGCGATAAGGGACGTCAAGGCTGTGATCTCTAGCACGGATGCTGATGTGAGCAGGAAGCAAAGGCGCGATGGAGGTAGCGGGGGAACGCGGCGCAGAGGTGACCGACAGCCCCTCTGCCTGCTTGTCGACTGACTCAGCGCTTGTCGACATTGTAGCTGCAGCTGTCTGCCTGTCGATCGATCGATCAACAGAACTGAATCAGTGTGATGTTCTGTGGGATGAGATTGAGCGATTCTCAGTGCCCCAGCGAGATGCGGCACGCCATGCGCAGTCGAGGTCCTTTTCGTTGCAAGGTTCTGCTGATTAGTCGGTGTGCATCGCTCTGCGCTTCTTTTTTTGATTCTGCTTCTGCGAGGGACTGCAAGAGAAAGGCGGGCGGTTCGAAAGATTGTGAGCTTGAGCTGGCGGAGGAGTCGAGCTTCAGCGCGGAATTGTGCGTGGGTTGCAACTAGGTTCGTCCGAAATGAAGTGCAGATGATGTCGGAGGATCCGAAGTGACTTTAGAGGAGAAAGTGTGGGAACGTGATTGAGATATGAACAAGTGTCCGTCGGAAAGAAGCTGCTGGATAGTCGAGAAATGGATGAAGGATAGGATCCGATGAGTCAGGAAGGAAGCAGAGAAGGAAGAGCCGAAAGCTTGCTGATGGTCCCAAAGAGGGTCACGTTGGAGTGTCCAAGGGATTGAGGAGCGGCTCACGTCGGCCAATTGCAAATCGCGAAGAGGGTCGACTTTGGTGGGACTCTTTGAGTTTGCCGTCTCACATGTGCTCGAACCCGAGACTAAGGAAGAGACTGCCCCCGATGACGGCCGCAGGAATCACATCGCATTGCCTGGAGGGTCGCTGCTTCTCGAAGCTCGAAACGAGAGGATGAAAACGAGGGTCTTCTGCCCTTCTTGACTGTAACACGACCGACCAGCTGAGACACAGATCGACAGTCGATAGATTAAGCGAAGCAGCAGCTGGACAACGCGAATTCGAACTGCGCAGCTTCACACCATCAAACCAGCCTGAGAGCAGCAACGAAGACTCGACCCAAAAGCGCTCTCATGCATGAAAGTCCGGCGTCTAAGCCGAGCCAGAAGAAAAAAGAGGGCACGCGAGCTGTCAGTTTTTCATGTGCCGTCGCGACTAAGTCAGGGGTCCCGGCGGTGTGCCAAATTTCACCCTTCGGGAAGACTCGCAGTGGGTTGATGGCCTGAAAAGTTTTCCTTTGGCAGGTGTGTCTCGTTTGATTTGCAGTTTGCTTTGCTACTCGATCCTTCCATCGAAATGAGGGTCTGAACGTCGTCGGATTGGAAGTGAGCACTCATCGAACGATGACTCCAGCGTTCTTAAACGTTGTCCAACAGACTCGCTTGCCCCTCTCAGCTGAACCTGGACCGCAGCCACTGCAGACACCGCCGAGGTGTAGCTGCAGCAAGGCTTTAGCGAGAAAGGGAATTAAAAAAGCAGGCCGCTGTCCCGCTTTGACGGGCCGCACTGACCGAAGCCGCCGCGTGAGCCAGAAGCCGCATAAAAAATGGTCGACGCTCTAGGCTTTTCGGCTTTTGTCATGTCCGAGCGTGGCTGCAGCACTCCAGACAGTCTCTTCCATGCTTCCGCCTCGTTCCGATCGAGTCGACAGGGATGCGAGCATGATCATCGATGATTTGAGGATCGTCTCTAAGCGCGTCATGTTCTCGATGACTTTCATCAGCGTAAAGACCTATTGTGACGCCATACAATGCGAGCTGGTCCACCCTGATACCGCACAGTGCCTGGACCTGCAGCTTCTTCGTGAAATTCCCATCTGATGGCGGGTGTCCGCAGCTGGACAATAAGTCATGGCGAAGAATGAGGAAGCTGAAGCATTGTTCTCACGCGCACGCCCAGTTCTTCCCACGACCCTCTTTTCGTCTTGACCTTTGACTTTTCCTCGCTCAAAGCGAGGCCAACCTTTGCGCCTGTCGATCCGCCGTCCGAGAGTCAATATTTCGAAGTGATCTTGTCCTCGTCCTAGACGAGAGCCTTCTTTGCAGCGCTGTCTCTGCATGCCTATCAAAGTGCAGTTGATGTTCGCGCTACAAGGCTCGGGCATGGCTTGTCAAAAAGCATGCAGTGCATCGCTGTTGCGCAGACAGTCGTCTCGTACGATAGACAGCTTTGCGAAAAAGTGAAATTTCTGGCCTGAGGAATTTTTGGACGACACCCTGCAGAACGAGGTGCAGCTTGGCCATTCCAACTCGTACAGCTGCTGCGGCTGCGCTTGAGGTGGTAGTCGTAGTCATCCTACTCTCGCAGCTCCAACATCTCGTGCTCAGCATCTCTCGAGAATTCATCGAACGCACATCGAGCGGCCCATTCAAGTGCTTGTGCTCGCACAAGGTAAGTCTTCTCCTCATGCTGGAGCATATATGTGACACAACCGCTTCCCTTGATGGGCCGAACGGGACCCTGGCTACCGCAGTTATGCCGCAGCTTGTGCAAGTTGCAATGATTCGCTAACGCTGATCTCTTGCTCGTTCTTTTCGCATGCTTTTCAGCTTGGGCCGACTTGCGCAACTGCTCACCATTGCTCGCAAGCAACACGCTGCGGGGCGTGGTCCGACCACCCCGACCACGTCACCGATAACGCCCCTACCCACCAATGCCAATGGCGTCGGCGTCGCTCTGCCCGGTGCACCGGTACAGCTGCCACCAGCACCTGTCCTCTCGGCACCGATAAGCACAACACAATATGTGCCGCCAACATCGGTATCTGGGACGCTCTCGCAAGCCCTGCCTGCGTCACTAGGCTTGGATTCGACAGGTGCCTCTGCCACAGCCAATGGCAGCATGCTCGCAGCGCCAGCAGTGGCGCCTGTTCTTGCTGCCGCAACGCCCTTGCCGCAGATGGGCCTCGACGCTACTCCCATCGCCATGCTCGACGCTCAGTCCATCCAAGCTCAGGTGGAAGCTCTCATCCAGTCGACCTCGAGCTCCGTCGCCGCCAACGCAACCATTCCGCCGCTTGACAGCACAATACCAATGCAATCAGCAGTCATCCCGCCAAGCATCGACATGAACGTTCCAGGACTCATCAGCGCACCAGCGCCGTCAGCCATTCAAGCTCCAGCAATCTTACCGGCACCGCTAGCGGCAGGTCATGTTCCTGCGCCCGTCGTCTCCAACCCAGCACCATTCGTCGATTCAGTGCTCGCACCTGGGCCGAGCTTCCAAAACACTTTCGCACAGTACCAATACCCACAGAATGCCGATAGAGCGACCCGTGACGCGGGCATCGTCCCATCGAGCACGCCTTTGGCTCCGATCTCAAAGCAGGAGCCAGGCATCAGTAGCGCTCTGACCAGGGAGGAGGAGGAGAGGGCTGCCGATGCACTCATTGCAGATCACGACACGCAGGACGCTACCGAGGCCAGCACGCGAGCTGTCAAGCCTGAACCCTTTTCGGGTGCCGATCTTGCCGCGGCCGCCAAAGCGATCGGCATCGAGGCTGATGCTGACCTTCTAGGTGGAACGGGCGAAGATCAGCGCGCTCTGGCCGCAGCCATCAGGCGGTTGGGCGTCGAGCACGGAGAAGCTGCCCGGAAAGCAGTTCAGGAAGCGGCCGCCGCCGCCGCGGCTGCCGCTGCTGCTCGAGCATCACAAGAGTTGGCGAAAGCTGCCGCAATGGAGCAACGAGCCACTCAAGATGCAGCTGCCGGCCCATCGAGCGTGGCTGGCCCATCGAGACCCAAATCGACTGCTTCACCCAGTTCAAAGTCCGGCAAGAACCCCGTGAAGCGCTTTCCATGCCCCAAATGCGATAAGGCTTTTGCTCGCGCCTTCAACCTCAACACGCACCTCTCTACGCACGATCCTGACCCGAATCGGTCCAAGCCGTATACATGTCCCTACCCAAGCTGCAAATCCGAGGGCGGTCGTTCCTTCAGCCGTAAGCACGATCTTCAGCGTCACGTAGCTAGCATTCACGAAAACGATCCGGAGCCCGGCATCCATGGCGATCCTGAAGAGGTGATTGACGGCGACACGGGAGGTCTCGTTTCTCTTGGGCTAGGCACTCCGGGCAAGAAGTTTCGCTGCAACGGCTGCGGACGGTCCTTTGTCCGACGAGACGCACGCAACCGTCATCAGTGCGATGGCAAAGACAGTCCATGCTCGCACATGTCCAGATCGCCTTCGGGTACGCCATACGCATCGTCAATATCACCGGGCCCTGGCGCCTTGCTCGGCATGAGAGGCGGCAGTGGCACGCCTGTCGCTCTGACGGGTGCAAGGTCGGCGCTTGCTTCGCCAGCGCACAATGTCGCTTCAGGCACAATGTCAAGAGGATCGCCTGCAGCTTCGAACAACCTGTCGAAAGAAGTGCAGGCAGTGGCTAAGCAGCTGCAAGCTCGCGTGGAAGCGCAATCACCAGGCCCGCAGGGCAGCGAGGGCGCTGCGACTCAGTCGCGCAACATTGCCCCTCTGCCAGGTGGCAGCAGCGGTGGCGAGCGTCGAAACTTTCCACTGTCGGCCATTTCGCTCTATGCTTCGACGGGACCCTCAAAGATGCATTCCGGATCTAGCTCGCCATCGGGTGGCAGCAAGGTCCAAGTGGGCAAATGATCAGTAGCAGCTCGGCAGCATTCTCCACACATCTCTTGAACACCTTTCCTTTCGCCTTTCCTTCCCCTGACCCACAAATGTATTTGTTTCTTCGCGCAATTGTTCCTGTCAATGTATACGTACGTCGCTCCCACTGGTCAAGCCTCAAGGGACTGTTCCTATAAATAATCAAGTGACCAACTCGCCGTGATGATCATTCAGAGCTGGTGAGTTGAAAGACTCGTCTGTCTCGACGAAAGTGCCATGCAGTCGCTGCGCTGGCCTGGGGCGGTGAAGGATCTCACATTCACCAAAAATCCCCACGGCGGACAGGGTCGGAAGTGCTGAAAATGGGGTGATGCGCATGCGCCGCCCAAAAGTCGTACGGTTCTTCTCGACGTGTTGCTCGTGCTGCTGCTGCTGCACCGCAAATCGATACTCGCTAAATCGATTGGTCGTGCTTCACCCCACCTTTTCGCACATTCTCAACATACCACTCTGGCCCTGTTGACCCTCTCTTCCCTCCCGACCACCAATGCCAGCGTTCTACCAGACCGCCGTCGCACGACTACATCAAACAGCTAGAATCATGGTAGGTCCCGAATTCCAGTCACGTCTCGCACTCGGATGATTTGAAGGAACGACTGACGTGTTTCCTCCTACTTTGACGATTGCAGACGCAGATCAACGACGTATTCATCGTTTCGGCCGCCCGAACGCCCATCGGCTCGTTCAACGGTGTGCTCAAGAAGGCTACCGCACCCGAGCTCGGTGTCGTGGCTGTCAAGGCCGCCATCGAGCGCGCCGGCCTCAAGCCTGACCAGATCGAGGAGGTCTACATGGGCAATGTGCTCCAGGGCAACGTCGGCCAGGCCCCCGCTCGTCAGGTCGCGCTTAAGGCTGGATGCCCCGACACCACCGAGGCCACCACCATCAACAAGGTTTGCGCTTCGGGCATGAAGGCCATCTCGCTCGCTGCTCAGAGCATCCAGCTCGGCCAGCGCGGCGTCATGGTGGCCGGTGGCATGGAGTCCATGTCCAACGCTCCGTAAGTATCATTCTCATTACAACAAACCACGCACAGAGCTCGGCTTCGGTCGGACACGAGCACGCATCTTCACGTGATCCGGACGACGACAGACGAGGCAATAAGGCGGAGGTTGGGCCGGCCAACAAAGGCGGATCGCGAGCAGGGACCCGGGCAACTCACCCGGCCCTGCCTTGTCACCTTGCCACTGCTGCTTTCGAAAGGCGAAAGCGTGCTGAAGGCAACAATGGACCGGTACACCCAGGCTTTGCCCGTTCGGGTCAACCTCAGGACACCGGCCTAACATTGTGGGGCAGGCCCGAAAGAGGCATTGTGCCGGACTTATTGCCGGTCGGCCTTTCTTGTGATGCCCACTCTGGCCGAAGCCCCATTCGCGTCCCGGAACTGGCGCATGTCCGCTCACTCCACGCATCGTGTGTGCCCAAGAAGACAGCAGAGCCACGGCCGGTTCAATGGTCTGGAAGTAGTCTGGAAGAAGCGTCTGGCCCTGTTTCACATTCGACCGGACACAGTTGCTGACCAGCATTGAACATTTCCTGTCCACAGCTACTACCTGCCCCGAGGCAACGCCTACGGCCACATCCAGGCCACCGACGCCATTGTCAAGGACGGTCTGCACGATGTCTACAACCAGGTTGCCATGGGCAACTGTGCCGAGAACACGGCCAAGAAGCTCTCGCTCTCGCGCGAGGACCAGGACGCCTTTGCCATCGAGTCGTACCGTCGCTCCGCTGAGGCGTGGAAGGCCGGTGCTTTCGCCAACGAGATCGCTCCTGTCACCATTGCGGACAAGAAGGGCGAGGTGGTGATCAGCGAGGACGAGGAGTACAAGAACGTCAAGCTCGAGAAGATCCCTACGCTGCGACCCGTATTTGACAAGAACGGCACCATCACGGCAGCCAACGCGTCGACGCTCAACGACGGTGCGTCGGCCGTGGTGCTCGCGAGCGAGGCCGAGGTGCAGAAGCTCGGCGTCAAGCCCCTTGCCAAGATCGTGGCCTTTGCGGACGCCGCCTGCGCACCGATCGACTTCCCCATCGCCCCCGCGTACGCCATCCCCAAGGCCCTCGAGCGCGCCGGTTTGACAAAGGACGACATTTCGCTGTTCGAGATCAACGAGGCCTTCTCGGCCGTCGCCCTCGCCAACAACAAGATGCTGGAGTTGGATGCCAGCAAGGTCAACGTGCTCGGCGGTGGTGTCTCGCTCGGCCACCCTATCGGATCGAGTGGCGCCAGGATCGTCGTCACGCTCGCACACGCGCTCAAGCCCGGGCAGTACGGCTGCGCCGGTGTCTGCAACGGCGGCGGTGGTGCCAGCGCTATCATCATCAAGCGCGAGAACTGATTTACCCACAGTCACATCGATGGCCTGTAGAACGACACTTGAAATTGTAACACATGCTCAAACATCTGCTTGCACACACGGAATGTCTGAAGTCACTTGTTGACATGATAAGGGTATACAGCAAAGGTTCTGTGAGATGGAGTTGGCTCAAGTCCACGCAGCAGCCTGATGCCTCAGATTGACCAAAAAGGCGTTGACTCTGCGCACATCGCCTACTTCGCTCTTCCACTCCTTCATCTCCTTCTCCCTCTCGCCCGCCTCGACCGTCACTTTAGCCAGCTCGCTCCGCTTGGCAAACACCTCCTTGCGCAACAGCCGCTTCTGCTTCCTCGCCCGCACAACCTGCGAGATCAACGTCGTCCGGTTATCCGTCTTCTCGCTGAGGTTCAAAAAGTTGGACCGCACCGATTTGCGCAGCGCTTTCAGAGCGAGGAAGGGTGCTTTGGCCGGCTGCTCCTCGATGGCACTGCGGAGCTCCTCGTCGACGATGGACCAGATAATGTCGACGTCGTTGAGGTATTTCGCCGACTTGCTTTTCTTCGACGGTTGCGAGGAATCGGGGTCGTCAGGGTCGGCTTCGGAGAACACGAGCGAGAGAGCGCGTTTGAGGCGTTTTTGCGTTTCACGAGTGCGGGCGGCCGAGGTGGCCCCGCGCTGTCGCTCGAGGATGGTGCGATCCATGACGGTCTCGTCGTCCTGCTCTGTGGGTAGTTGGATGAGTGCACGTGGGGCGGAGGCAGACTTGGGTGGCCGACCGCGTCGTTTGGCTGCGATTGAGGCTGCGGCTGCCGTGGCTGCGGCTTGTTTGTATATGCGCTCGGAGCCTGGACTGCCTTGGCGACGTCGTTGACGTGAGTCGAGATTGCGCTGCGCTGCACGTGCGGCTGGCGAGTCGCCTCCAGATGCGATGCTGAGGTGGGACACGCTGGTTCCTCCGATGCTCGGTCGCATGCGACGCACAGAGGCGTCGACGTGGGAGGACGATGCGACGGGCGAGGGGATCATCGGCAGGCTCTCCTCGACGGGATCCAGATTGGGGTCCAGGTTTGCACTCCAATCGTATGGCTCATCAATCATGGGACCTGAGCCCGAGCCAGCACTGGCACTTGCACTGGAGCCAGCATAGTCCTCGCCAAGCTGGCTGCCCACCTCGTCATCATCGTCGCCTCGGCGCGCTAAGCCAGCTGCATAAGGCTGTTTGAGGATGCGCGATGCAGCAGGTGTACTGCTGACAGGCCCGGGAGGTGGTCTCGCTACCCGTCGTGGCACGCCCATACTGCCGGACGCATCCCTCTGAGGTGAATACGCCATCCCATCGTCGTCGTCGAGTGGTGGTAGTGAGTAAGCATCGTCGGAGCCTTCTGCTACTGCTGCGGCCGCCGCTCTCTGTTTGGGGCCTGAACCCCGAGGTCGGCCCGGTCCGCGTTTGCTGATCGATCCATCTGTTGATACGGAGTCGTTTGCGTTGCCTGTCGATGGTCCAGCTCGTTTTTGCGGCAGCTTGAACTGAAAGTCCCTCTGCATGGCTACGGCGGTACCTGCACCACGCATACGTTCCTGTCGACGCTCGGCGAAACGATGCGAGCCCCCCGTGGCTGCTGCGAGGTCTGACATCCTGGCATTGTTGCTGCTGCCGCCGCGACTGGCACGGCTGCCACTGCGGGAGCTGGATGGCCTGCCGCTCATGTTTGGGTCCTACTTTGCCGGTGTTGATGCGAGTGCTTCGGTGCGATGGTCCATACGGCAAGGCGCTTCCAGCTCGTAAGGGACCAGGTCAGGGCGGATGGGTTTTGGCTGTGTGCGTCGGCGCAACAAAGTGCGCAATGTCGGTGGTGGGTGAGACAACAAAGCGACATGCAAATCGAGATGGAGGAAGTGTTGGCCAAAATGCAGTTTCAAGAGAGGCGCGTCTCGCTTTGGAGACGCGTTCCTCTTTGCTGCAGGGTCAATTCCACAAAATCACAGTTTCCCAGTCACTCTTCGACAACGCCTTCACCCTCGTTCTTTATTATCGTCACATTTCACCACATCACACATCTCCAACAATGCCGCCGTCAAGGACGACAAGACCTGCTGCGCAGTGGGACGCATCCGCATCCACCATCTTGCCGCGTCAGAGAGCTAGACAGGCCGGCAATGTCTCGCTCAGCTCCACCGTCGGCGCGCCCACCCCAGGCAGGCCATCATCGCGCAACATGGCGGACAACTCGCTCGCATCTACGATAGCCGCCTCGACTCCAGCTGGGCGCGGCCGTCCGTCTCATCCAGCCATGCAAGCACTCACTTCAGCAGACACGAGTTTCGCATCGACATCCTACGGTGCGCGTCCCGCCCGACCGCCTGGTCGCCCGCCCAAATCCATCCTAGCCACTCCGGCGGGTCGATCGCACATCTCCCCGCCGAACAGCGTCTCGTTCTCCGATCAGCCCAAGCGTCGAGGTCGTCCACCCAAGAGTGCGAGCAGCCAAGCATCGTCCTCCGTGGCAGCGGGCAAGAAGCGTGGCAGGCCACCTTCCTCGCGCGACACGTACACCGAGACCTCCTCCGTAGCCTCCTCGTCGCGTCGCGGTCGACCGCCGGGAAGCACCAACAAGACGAGACAACAGCAGCTCGGGCTGCCAAAGTCTCGATCTTCGAGACCCGAACCCGATCCGGAATCCGACTCGGAGGTGTCCCTCATCGACGGCGCTTCCGAAGACGACGATGACGAGGAAGAGGATGCGAGTCTGTCCGCAGACGAAGACGAGGTCCTGTCATCTGAAGACGAGGCGCGGCAACGCACGAGCGGGAGGAAGAAGATCAAGCGCAAAGGTTGGCCGAGCGAGAAGGAGAGGCTGCGCAAGTGGCGCAGGTTGAGCGTCGAGGAGCGCGAATGTGTGACGTCGGAGGGTGGCTTGATCTGGCGTACTGCCATTCCGCTGCTCAATTCGATGCCCAAGAACATCCGGTCTATGGTGGCCGACAGCCTCACGCGCGCGCTCAACCGGATCGACAGCAAGCTCGAAACGGGTCTCGTCCCACCCCTCGCGCGCATTCCGCAAGGCAACATCACCGCCTCCGCCTCGCGCCGCGATTTGGCGAGTAGCATGCTCTCATGGCGTCTCGAAGAGGAAGGCTCGCTGCTGCGCGCTGAGAACCCGGAACAGCAGGTCGACATGATGGGTCTTGGCATGAACGGCGACATCCTCGAGCTCGAACAGATGCTCCTTCCCGAGGCAGAACACATTGTCGAGCTGAGCAAGACGCTCACACATCAGTCGGAGCATCTCGAACGCTCGACGGCCAACATTGCTAGGCTGAAGCGCGACCGCAGGCTCATCAAGACGGGCGGGTCGACCGACTACCCCGGCAATCTCGAGGCGAACGAGATGCTGTCCGTGACGAACCACAATCCGGCGCTGGATCCCAGCCTCTCATCACTGCTGCGTCTCAGCACAAGAGCTTGAAGAGCGAACGCCTTCCTCAGTCTAGCCTTCTTGCAATCCAAGGCTCGTGCTGCCGTCTGTTGCGGTCCAGAGTGCTGTGTGTTACATGCCCCTGTTTGTGCCTGCCCGAGTACGAATGAAGCTCTCACATGTCTCAAACCTCGCAGATCCTACGCAAGAATGACGTTGAACGACAGTGCTTGAGTTGAAACGACAAAGAAATACACGAGGCAAAGATCGACAAGTGAGTGTGTGAGAAAGTGATTGTTCTGAATAGACGAGATCTGGAGAGAAAGACAAGAGTCGAAGATGAGAGAGGATGATGGATGCAGTGCGACAATGTGACGGGAACGACTTTTGAGCAAATCCGGACAAGAAGAACTAATGCGCATCAACGATCGCCAAAAGGATCGGAGCGGCTCTTGGAGCTGCCGGACTCGCTGCCGTTGCCCGCGGGGCCGGGAGGTGGGGTGAGGCCCATGCCGAGGTGACCAAAGATGAGGTCCTCGTCGAGTTGTGTCGAGCGCGCCAACGCACGGTGTGTAAAGTTGGGCATGATGTTGTAGCTCTGCTGGTGCCACTTGGTCGAGTTGCCCGACGAAGCGGCGAACGAGCGACCGGCTCCCACACCGGCCATGTTACCGCCAAACTCACTGGTGGGCATCGACGACACCGAGGCAGCGCCCGAGGGCAGAGGAGGTGCATCTGCAAATCCGGCCGTCATGGAAGCGACCGAGGGTGCGCGCGAGTAGTTGGTGCCACGAATCGAGCCAGCGGGAGTACCGTGTGTGGATCGATTCGCGAAGGTAGGAGGGCGGTTCAAGCTGCTCTCGCTCGGTGCGATCGACACGCTGCTAGGGCCAGCTTGGGAAGCGAAGGCAGGCGCAGGCTGCTTCTGCATCACCTTGAACGAACGTGATGGCGAAGCGGGAACTTCGGGGGAAGCACTAGACGGCGGTGATGGTGTTGTAGTGGTCGGCGAAACCGGAGCAGGCGCGGGAACAGGCTCGGCCACCGCCTGCGGGTAAGGAAGCTTGTCTGCGGTGGTACCGGCGTCTTTTGATCCACGCTTGAATCCCCACTTGTTGGACTTGTTCTTGTTGTCGGACGATGCCTTGGCAGCGGCAGCAGCAGCGACGCCCGATGCGGCCAAAGACTTGCTACCGGACGCGGGGGATTTGGACGTTGACGTTGAGGACGGAGGGGCGTAACCAGAGGCAGCCTTCGTGGGAAGGGCGGGGACGGGGGGAGGATGCGAATCTGCGTCCTTAAACGACTCGGACGAAGGGCTGCGATCGGAAGCTGAGCTAGGCGAGCGAGCGCGCGTCTGTTCGCGCGAATGTTTACGAGCGGCGATGGCAGCAGCACCGATGCCACCGGCAGCAGCGGCCGCGCCAGCACCAGCGCCCATGCCCGACGAAGACTTGGAAGGAGCCGAGTTGTTGGTAGTGTAGGCGGTCGAGGAGCCCGAGGGAGCACCAGATACGCCCGAGGCGGTGGGGTCGGCGAAGATGTTCTTGGTACCGATGTCGCGCATCATGGGCGTGTTAGCCGTCTCGGGGGCCGTGGCGAGGGATGCAGAAGAGTCGTTGTTGGGAGCACGGAAGGCAGCTTCGTCGGCCTCGTTGTTGCCGAGACGGCTCGGCTGCGCACCGCGCTGCTGCTGCTGCCTGTTCTTCCTCCTCTTGAGGCAGAAGAAGAGGAGACCGAGGGCAGCGATAGCAATAATACCACCGACGACACCGCCAGCGATGGGGCCGGCAGAGGACGACGAACCGGAGCTGGAGCTACTCGCATCGCTGTTGCTGCTACCATTCGAGTTGGAACCCGAGTTAGAGTTGGAGCCCGAGTTGGAACCAGAGTTAGAGCCGGAACCCGAGTTGTTGGACGTGGGCGTGGTGGCGGCAGCGCTGGTGGTGCTGGTGATGGTGGTACCACACTGGAAGTTGAGTGTCTGTGTGATGCCAGCGTAGGCGGTGATGAGCTCGCTGTTGGCATCCAGAAGGCGGAAGGTCATGGCCTGAGCACCCGAGGTGGTGAGCGGGCTGTAGAACTGCGCGTACCACTGGTAGGAAGTGATGGTGGCAGTGTAGACGCCGTTGAAGGTGATGGAAGAGATCTCGTTGTCATCGATGGCGCTGGTGCCGGAGTAGACGTTGAGACCAGCTGCATTCACCACTTCGGCGGGGGTGAGCGACAAGGTGAAGAGGATACGCTGACAGCTGGTCTGGGTGACCTGCACGCTGAAGGCGTGCGCCATCTGGACAAAGGCCAGCAAGGCGGCCAGTAGGCCAAAGCGAGCAAAGGACATGTTGGCTGTCGACGCAAGTAGCGAAGATGTCTACGGAAACGATGGTGTTGAAGAGATCACTGCGCCGAGCAAGATGAGATGGCCGATGTAGCCTGTAGGTGTTGTTGTTGCTGCTGCTGCTGGTCGAGCTACGAGCCGCCGAATCTGTCGCTAATGACCGATGCTGTCGGGAGTGACCAGATGTAAAGAGGAAGTGGAGATGATGTTGCAGAGCGGAAGAGCAACAGTGGCCGGACGATGGAAGGATCGTTGGTGAGGAAAGGAAGAGCCAAAGCAAGGGGCGCAAGCGATGATGAGAGAGAGAGAGGGCCACGGCAGCGCCCAACAGCCAAGCTTGAAAGTCAAGATCGGAGCCATGACTGAGAGGAGATGGCTCAAAATCTGCGACCCTGCGGCTGTCCCTCTCTAATCTTTGGACAGAGAGGGTGTGAGAGGCTCTGCTGCGCTGCTGCCGCGCCTAGCTATCTTGCGATTTGTTACTCAGCTGCAGTGCACCAGATCAAAATACGCAGAGGGAGAGAGGCGCAATGTCGCCATCTGCTGTTTGTTTTCTGTGGAATCGGAATTCCGCGTGAGCCAGTCCGCGAAAGATGAGGCAGAATAGGAGAACAAGGGGGCGCAGGCTCAGGGTCAAATCCAGGGTCATCTTCAAAACAGTCGAAAAGAAATTTCGAAACAGAAAAAAATAAACAATCGAATGGCACGGAGGAGACGGCGAATGAGCAGAGGCGTAGCCGAGGACAAGGCCAAACTCAAAAACGAAAAGATCAAAAACATCACAGCACAGCGCGATGCAGCCAAAAAGCAGGCTAAATCGATGCAAGGAAAAAGTAGAGCGGCAGCACAGCTTTTGTGGTCCGATTCCTGCTTCTTCCAAAACATCAATCACCCAGGGTGCGGCGATGGTCGGCTCTCATCCTCGCCCTGCGACTTGGCTCGAACGTGCTCCTCGAAAAGGCGGGTGGGCTGGCGATTCATACTGAGTTGGCTTCGTGAACAGAAATCAGAAAAGCCACCTTGAAAAAGAAGATGCAGCTGACTCTTGGCTCGACCTTCGATTGCTTGCTTCTGACGTTAACATCCATGCTTGGCGCATAAGCCAGCTGCTCCTGCTGCAATCAGTCGTTTTGTCAGTCTGTTGGCTCTGCAATGTCCGTCACAATCGCAGATAGCATTGAGAAGACCAGCACCATCGCAAGCGTCCATTCGAAACGGAGTCAGAATGGAGCACGGGTGCCGACAAGTGATCTGCCAGTGGTCGAGGGCCTGAGCGGCCATACGATGAATTGCGACTGCAGGGATCACGCGCCTGTCTGCATGGGCTGCGATGGGATCAATTTGCGGATCAACTCTGGCCGGCCAGCCTTGCTCGCTTGAGACCATCCGTTGGCGTGCCTGAACGCAATCACTAGGTCGCCCTCGTTGCGAACACCTCCCGCCGGGAATCTGAATCTGAATCGCAGTCCAAGGTATGAGAGAGCCTCAGATAAGTTAGGGACGAAGGAACGGCACACTTCAGACAAGAAGAAACCGCGGGGGATCAACTCCGCATCGCAGCCGATTCTAATGCTCGCTATCCAAAAGTGAAAGCAAACTTCAAGAAGGCAATACAAAAGACCATCTCGACATGTCTCACAAAGTCCAACAAGAAGATCGCAAGTTCAGGGTCCTCACTTTGCTGTTGCCAGGCGATGCTCGTTCGCACCAGAATTCGTGCCGTTCGCTTAAGAGATGATCCGCGCGGTTCCCGCAGTCACCGGTCCAGCCTGAACAAAGAGCGCGCGCTGCAACCTCGCAGCACCGTAGAAGGGTGCCAAAAGCTTGGCTGACGTCGGCAAACCCACTCTTGCACTCGAGATCGCTCCCTGCAAAATGCTGCAAAGATGCCGTTCGCTCTCCTTTGGCGTGATGCTGCGCGAGAAGGAATGAATACTGTAGCCTCTTGAGGATCGTGAAGCAGCGTCATGTCATGTGGCATGGATTTGCTCTTGGCGAGGCGCTCGAACTCGCTCCGGACTTGCGTGCCAAAGCCACAATGCACCATCTCGCCCGCATATCACGGCCCAGCTCGCAACGGCAGCCTGTCGTGGCTTGTTCTCACGCTCCCTCTCTCAGACGCTCCTCCAGTCTCGCTCAGTCAGATTTCGGATCGGGACGACCGCAATGAAGGCGCGCCTGCCTCGCCAGTGTCACGGAGAAGAGCGGATGAATCGTCTCCGGATGACAGCTGCACAGACTTCATCACGGCGGCTGCGCCCGACCTAGCACACGCCGCAGTCAGGACGCTGTCGGATGCAGCATTTTCGAATGCCTTGAATAGAATACAGTGTACGTGACAAGGTAGTATGAATGAGGTAGTATGAATGTCTATCAGCTGAAGAGCTGGTCGACATCCACCTCGTTATCGGCGGCCCCTGTGGGTCCCTTCGAGTTTCGTTTCGTGGTCCACTTTCGAAGAGCGCTGGGCGACTTTGCTCGGGATGGCTCCTTCCACATGCCGGTGTCCCCGTCGGTCATCGGTGCTTCCGGTGCCAGATCGGATCGACCGAGGTCCAAGGGTGGAAGTTCCGTCGCTGGGCTTTGACGAGGCGAACTGCGGAAGACCCGCGTGATGGACTGAGCCGATTTGCTGCGCTCCTTCCAGAAGGGCGGTCGAGACGGCGTGGCTGCTGGCTGAGTGGGCTCTCCGCCCGTGACAGAGTCGGGCACAATCGGCTGCTCCTCAGCGTCAAGCATCTCGAGCATCCTGCTGCCTGTCCTGCTCGAGGTGCTAAAGCGCGGATCCTCCTCAGCGATGGTAGGCTGACCGTAGGCTCCGGACGGGCCGACCACCCGCAACTGGCCCTTAACCGCTCCCGTGTAGGTGTTGTAGCCGTCGCTGTCTCCCGCAAGAGCACCGTGCGACAGAGGCGGGCTGGATCCGGCAGCAATGGACGGATACTGCTGCGTACCGCGACTCCCGAGTGCGCTCGAATGCATCGAGTGGTGCTCGCTCGCCACTTCGGAGGCAGCAACAGAGCCAGGTATGGTCTGAAGGTTGGGCTGATAGCCAGGGAAGCCACCTGTCGACAGTCGACGTTGCTGCATGCTGTCCGGCTCCACCCACGAAGCTCTACGGCTGCTGGAGCCAGTGGGTGACGTTGCACCCGATCGAGAGGGCTCACCCTGGTATCCTCGAGACAATCTCCGCACCCTGGCGGCATCGCTGGCTGTAGCATAGTCCGGAGCTGCAGCCCCCATTGGCAGCTGAGCAGGAGCATCACCCATATACATTGACGAGCGCGGAGAGACGCTCGCAGCAGCGTTGCCATAGTTGTACGCTGCCGCTGCTGATCCTGCAGGTGCGGGCTCGTAGTAAGCCGAGCGGTTCACATCCGGATACCCCGCAAAAGCGGCGGCGTCGTGAGTCATGGGCGAGCCAAAGTGGCTTGCGTGAGAGTGCGGGTAGGAGGCGGCCGAGCCCATTGCCAAAGATGTAGTCGAAGGTCGGCGGGTTTGAGCCGATCGAGACTCGGTCTCGGTGCCGAGCAGAGCCATGGACGAGGTGGCATCCGCCATGCTGAAATTGCGCGACGTTGGGCGTGGTGGTGTGGTAGGCTTGGGAGGTAAGCCAGCGATCACCGCAGGCCCCTTCTCGCTTTCGTCGTCAGGGAAAGGGTTCGCTGCTTTCTTCTTTGCTTGAGAGCGTCTCCTCCTCATGAGCGCCAAGACGATCAGCAGACCAATCAAAGCGATGCCACCCACAATTCCTCCGACGATGCCACCAATGGGACGCGACGAGGTGAGCGAGGACGGAGAGGATGTGTTGCTTGCACCGGCACCACTTGACGAGGAAGAGCTACTGCTCGTGGGACTAGAACTACCTGCAGATGAGCTGGCAGAGGCGGTGGAAGATCCAGTGATGAGAGAGAGCTCAGAAGCCCCTATGGTCGAGGTGACGACCACCACTGACTGCGAGCCAGTCACCGTGACTGACTGCGTCACGACAGTTGCCATGATGTCGGTAGCAGCTGCAGCCTCGAGGAATGGTGTGGAGAATCAAAATCTGCCTGGCGATGCTGGAGCCCAACGCTGGGCGGTGATGGTGGTGGTGACGAGGCTTTGAGGGTGGTCCGTAATGGCCGACTCCAAGCAAGTTGGAGGACGTAAGAGATGAAGCCTCAGACAACGACCAGACCGGCGAACCCTGAGCTCCTCCTCCTTGCGTACACACAGTACGATGCTGCGGATCAGGCCGATTGCTGTTCATGGCTGTGTGCGCGGCGAGAACCATCTACCGCAAGACTTGAAGAGATCTGCACGGCGGAGGCATCAAATCCAGCTGCAAACGACTCGAAGCGAGCCACTTGGTTGTGCACTTTTGAACGCCGTTGTAAGCGATGGTGCAGCGGAGTATTTCGTCCTTCGGCTCGCGAACAAATGATTTCATCGAATCTCGATCAGACCCCTCTTTTCTCCGTCGCCAACGCGCGCTTCCTCATGTCCAGGCACAGCAGATCTCAGGAAGCAAGACAAAGAATGACAGCAACGACAATGACAAGCGAGGCAGGGGTTGCAACCGATAGATTCAGCAGAGACATCTCAAAGGCCGTTTTGAGCGTATACTCGCGAGGCCGTCAACCCTGCCAAGCGCAGGGCGATCTGCTGCAACTCCGACCTTTCACCAGGATACGGCGGCGCTTCTGAGACCTTTGACAGGCGAGCGATTGCTATTTTTGAGGCAGTGCCCCGGTCGGCGTTTTAAATTGACCTGCTCGACATGGCCAACCCGAGAGAGTTGTCGGACTGGCAGCCGCCCAAGATCGCCTTTACCCCATCCAGCTTGCCCTCGCCTAAGCCATCTGTGCTAAAAAAGGCACCGCCTCCGGTTCTTGTCAGGAACGAGCTTCGCTTCACGTTTCGATGCGGTACTTGTCGCATGACGTTTGCCGAGAAGAGGAGGACTGCTCCGGAAAAAGCTCGCTTTGAGCCTTTGAGTGCGCTGCTCCAAACACCACCAAAATCTTGTCTCGCCGAGCAAGGCGATGCATGTTGAAGCGGCGAGTTCGCCGGACCCCACGTTCGTGACCCCAAACGTGTCGTACACTTTCGGGATCGGAGCGGGCGATCGTTGTGCGAGCCCGTAATCGGTCCTCGTACCAAGCCATGTCGCTGTTTCCGCCGTCCGACACGGAACGTTCGTGTTCGACTTGTCCATCTTGAGTGGGCAAGACGAAGGGTTGTACATGCCCTAGATCTTGTTCAGATCTGCGAATGGCCGGTCTCAGCGTCTGTCCGCTCGAAGCGAGGTGGATGGTCGAAAGGACACTTCGGCTTAAAGCTGCTCCGTAATGCTTGTTGATGCCCAAGCTGCGTCGCCTCAAATTGGCCGTCCATCACGAACCTGTCGCCGCATTCGATGGATGACACACGACGAAAGCAACAAGAGCTGGCGAACTCCCCTCAAGCATCTTCGACCGGTGTAGAATGTCTCACAAGGGCGACCAGCATCTGCTGCCGACAGTCACATCAGCTTATGATACACTGGCTCACGCCGATCAAAGCATGCTTAGCTGATAAGATGGAAGCTGTCAAGAAATGCCCTCCCAAATCGAGGTCGCGAAAAGAGGTATCAAAAATCACTCGTCAATCACCCCCGAGAAAGTCTAACATCAACTCCCAGTAGAGGCTTTGTTAGATCGAATTTTATGAGCTGAAGAGCTTTTTTCGGCAACGCAATTTCATTTCAGATTGCGCCATCGCAGCCTTCCCCGCCAGAGAATTTGACTCTTGACAGCTGCAGCGCGCGCTTTCCTTGGCCGATTGGCCTCGCTCGCCTCAGCATCAAGCCAATCGCACCTCTGGCTGCTGCAGCTCTCTAGGAAGATTTGATCAATGGCCGCCTTCAGCCGAGACCCTGTTTGTCCAACCCGACAAGTTCTTCTCAAGTCGCGGTCCGGAGATTGGCAGCTGACAGAGCAAGAAGGAAGGCTCGAGGTCACTATCGTATTCGAGCTGCTCTCTTGGTCCTCACCACCATCTCTCAGCCCGTCCTTGTGTGCATAGACATATACACCCAAGATGGCTGCTACTTCGTCGCAGACGCTCTACCACAGCGCTGCCATCTTTGCCGGTGGTCTTGCCATCGGCGCTGGCACGCTCGCTCTGTCGCGTGCTGCTTTCGCTCCCGCTCACAAGCCCAACAAGTCGATCAAGCGTAAGGTCTCGGACGCCAAGCTGCGCTCCAGCGAATCCAAGTCGTCCTCTACCACTGCTGTCACTGCCAAGGACGCTTCCACTCCTCTCGCTGGCATCAACGGTACCGGCCGTGTCGACCCTCCTGCTTCCAAGCAGCTCGACGATGTTGACGCCAAGGGTCCCGGACCTGTTGCTCCTGCCAAGCCACAGCTTCCTGGTCACGTCGCTCCCAGCGGCGTCGATGCTACCGCCGGCGGCCAGAAACTCACTGGCCTCGTCAACTCTCAGCCCGACAACGCCGCCGCTCCTGAGCCTTCGCCTGCCAACCGCGCTAAGCACCTCGAGGCTCGCATGGACCTCAGCACCGTCCAAGGACCCACCGAGGCCGAGATTGCTGCCAAGGTCGCCGCTCAGTCTTGGTTGCTCGGTGTCTCCAGCACCAAGCTCACCAGCACTGCTGCCATCGACTCGATCGCCTACGGCAACAGCACTGCTATCTTTAGCTACGAGAGCGAGGCTAACGGTGGCTTTGGCTCCTACAGCGAGAAGGAGGCTCAACAGGCTGCCGAGAAGGGCTGGTTCAAGAACCGTCCCTCGGTCTTCAAGATGCAGACTCGCTCCGGTGCTGGTAATGCCATCATTGGCTACCTCAACAGCAAGGGTGGCTCTTCGTCCACTGAGCCCGCCAAGGTTGTGACCGCCCTCACCAACGCAGCTGGCTTCGCTGCTATGGCTCCCACTCTCGCCTCTTACCACGGCTCTGACAACGCCAAGCTCGTTCTGCACGTCTCGGCTGCTACCTACAATGCCGAGCACGAGGACGAGCTTGCCATCACCAACGACTACGCCTCGGTTCTCTCGGCTGCTGCTGCCCTCGGCGACTCGTTCGAGGTGCTGCTCTCCGCTACTCGCCAGGAGGCCGTCGATTTCGCTCAGTACGCCTACCAGTCCAACAAGAACGTCGTTCATGTCTTTGACGGCGCCTTTGCCGGTCGCGAGGTGGGCCTTCTCAACATCCCTACCAAGGGTCAAAAGGTCGACGTGCCCGAGCCTTTCAACTTTACTGGCTCGCCCAAGGCCCAGACCGTCCTCGTCGTCCCCAGCGGCTCCCACAGTCAGGCTGCTCGTGCCGTGCTCGTCACCTTGCCTCCTGCCGTCCGCCACAACGTCGGCTTGCTCTCGGTCCGCAGCCTGCGAGACTGGGACGAGGCTGACCTCCGCAAGGCTCTGCCCAAGTCCGTCGAGAGCCTCCACATTCTCGAGGAGGTCTCTGGCGGTGCCGACTCTGCTCAGCTCTACGAGGACATGGTCTCGTCCGTTTTCGGCAGTGAATTCGCCGGCTCCGACGTGCCCTCCCACGTCTTCCCCGTCGCCATCGCACCTGGTCAGGACCTGACCGCAGGCGAGCTTCACAAGCTGCTTGAGACGCTCAGCGCCAACCACAAGACCGCTCTGAAGCTTCAGGATGTCCTCGACGAGGCTGCCGAGACCCACGCCGACCTGCTCGCCCTCTCCGGTGCTTCGGTTGTCACCTTCTTCGATAGCGAGACCAGCCCCACCGCTCCTCTCGCTCAGCTCACCGCTCGCGCCATCCGTGACCGCGGTGCCGACACTCAGCTTCACGCTCGTCTGCTTTCGCGTTACGACAACTTTGAGGCTTCGGGGATCATTCGCTCCGACATCATCCTCTCCAGCCGACCCGAGTCCGCTGCCGACGCCCCCATCGTCCTGGCCGCCGAGGAGAACGCGGCCAAGGTGCTCGTCGTCAGCGACCCGGCTACCACGCTCAAGAGCTACGCTCCCTTCCAGTCGCTCGTCCGTGGCGGCACTGTCATCTTCAACACGCCTGGTTGGGAGGTTGCCGAGCTCGACTCGAAGCTGCGTGCCGAGGACAAGCGCGTGCTCGCTCAGAAGAGCGCTCGCCTCTTGCTCGTCGACGCTGCTGCCGTCGTCGACAAGCTCAACACCAAGACTGCTAACGCTAGCGGTGGTAAGGCCAAGGTGGGCGACAATGTTGTGCCCGCCGAGATCGCCGCCGCCGTGCTCCTCGTCGCTGTTTTGCGTGTCCAGCTCAACACGTCTGGCGCCGCCCTCGCCGCTTTCCTCAAGCGTGTCATCGGCACGGCACCCGTCGGTATCGATGGTGTTGAGGGTCTCGTTACTGCTGCTGAGAGCGCCATCCAGCTCCACGCCTTCAACGACGACGAGTGGTCCAAGGCCGAGCCCGTCTCGGAGGCCGAGGAGAACGCTCCCCTGCGTCCCACCCAGATCCGCTACAACAGCTTCGGACCCAACCCTGACGCTGCAACTGTCGGCGTTGAGGTGGCTCCCTTCCGCAGCACGTGGGCCCAGTCTGCCTGGCAGCACCTCTTCTCCGAGGCGTACGACACCAAGCCCGAGGCCCTCCGACCCGATCTGCCCGAGCAGACCTGGGTCGTCGAGGTCACCGAAAACCGCCGTCTCACTCCCGTCGACTACGACCGTAACGTCTTCCACATGGAGCTCAGCACCAAGGGGACCGATCTCAAGTACGAGGTCGGTGAGGCGCTCGGTATTCACGGCTGGAACGACGAGCAGGAGGTTGCCGACTTCATCAAGTGGGCTGGCTTCGATGCCGACGAGATCGTCAACGCTCCCAGCCTCACCGAGGCCGGCAAGCACGAGAGCCGCACCGTATTCCAGACCCTGCAGCAGAACCTCGACATCTTCGGTAAGCCTCCCAAGCGCTTCTACGAGGAGCTTGGCAAGCTGGCCAGCAATCGCGACGAGGCTCGCTGGTTGCGCTTCATCAGCTCCGCTGAGGGCTCGTTCACCTTTAAGAAGCTCTCGGAGATCGAGACGCTCACGTACGCCGATGTGCTCCGCATGTTCCCCTCGGCCCGTCTGCCCATCGACCAGCTGCTGACGCTCGTCGAGCCGATCAAGCCTCGTCACTACTCGATCGCTTCGGCTCAGGCTGCTGTCGGCGAGTCGATTCACCTGCTGATCGTCACCGTCGACTGGAAGACGCCCAGTGGTAGCCCTCGCTACGGTCAGTGCACGCGCTACCTGTCGCAGCTCAAGCCCGGTGCCAAGGTCACCGTCTCGCTCAAACCCTCGGTGATGAAGCTGCCACCCATCGACTCGCAGCCCATCATCATGGCCGGTCTCGGTACCGGAGCTGCTCCCTTCCGTGCCTTCATCCAGGCTCGTGCGCACAAGAAGGCCCAGGGCATCGACGTCGGTCCTCTTGTCTACTACTTTGGCTCGCGCTACCGTTCCTCCGAGTATTTGTACGGAGAGGAGCTCGAGGCTTACACGCAGGACGGCGTCATCCAGCACATGGGCCTCGCCTTCTCGCGTGACACGTCCAAGAAGGTCTACATCCAGCACAAGATCCTCGAGGACGGCGATCTGCTGACGCAGTACCTCGGTCCCGAGATCGAGAAGCTCGAGAAGGCTGGTGGCAAGGCCGAGGTGGTCCTGCAGGACGGTCTCATCAACGACGAGGACGTCGAGGAGGGCCAGAAGGGTTACTTCTTCGTCTGCGGTCCTACCTGGCCCGTGCCCGACATTCACGAGGCGCTCGTGGGCGCTTTCGTGAAGAAGGGCCTGACCAAGGACCAGGCCGAGAAGAAGATGGAGGCCCTCAAGGAGGACGAGCGCTACGTTCTCGAGGTGTACTAGTCGACGACTGCTGCTCTTCCCTTCTGCTTCGTGTTCATGCTCGGATTGTATCTTCGGACCTCTTCGGAATCTCATCCCCTTTCCCTCTTCCTGAGAACGCTAGTGTCGCGCTGTTCGTGTCGCGCTGTGAATGTTGTGAGAGCAGTGTCATTGAGGTGTGTGTGATTGCCTCGGGTATCTGTACAGGTCCATGTTTGTTTGTTGATCACGAGGACAGCGTCTAGCCCCAAGCAGCTGTTGTGCTGTAGTTGACTATGAGGTGACCTTCGGTGCCGAAGCACTAGATGTCGATTGAAGCAAGATCGCGAATTCGAGTCAGCATACTTTTGCGCATCGCGTGTAGCTCGGAGCGCGAGAATGCTTACCCTGAAGAGGTTGCCCACCGTGTCATCCGGCGCCGGGCTGAACGAAGCGTTGATATACAAGAACTGTTGCAGGTAGGGCAATGGGTACGCAGGGCGAAATCACTTCAGTCAGTACTGGTGTGGCTGGACAAGACGGATTATCACGAGGAGGACGTACGAGTGAGTCTGTGGGCTTGAAGTTGAGCTCCTTCCGCAAGAAGACGGTAACCGCTTGGAAGCGGTTGAAGGCTGTGATGCGAAAGTGGTTGTTCTGAAGGTCGACGAGGCGTGCAGAATGTCAGTTTTCAAGCTCAGTTTCGCACAGTGCGAGCTGTTTGATAGGATTGCGAGCGCGTACCTTCATGATGGGAGCATTGCCGATGGCCTTGAACCGCACGACGACTATAGGAAGATCGGCAGAGCAGAGACGGTTCGGATTGTCAGCGTGTTGACCACGTCGTTCAGCTAGCAAGGTGAACGAGCAATGTACCTTTGGACGCATCTTTCTTCTTGTACTGCTCGAGCGCCTGGAGTGCCGCAGCGGAAGGACTGCCGCTTGATGCTATTGAGACCGCAGACCCGAGCTGTCGATCCATCTCTATGACCACACGATTCAAGCACAGACTCCAAGGGTCAGCGTCGTGTCGGTCGTGGCAGGCTATGATTCAGAAATACATGCGCACCTTGATTCGGAGTCAGCAGGCCGGACGCCATTGTGTAGAACGCTGGCGAGCTGTGCTGCAGGAATGAGAGCCTGAGATGGTGTCACTCGTGAGTGCTGAGCGGAGAGCCTTTCAGGGTCCAACCCATGCATGCGGGTCGAGTGTTGATCTGAGCGCTGCGATCCAGATTGATCTGTATTAGATAAGCAATCATAATCGTGATCTCAAACTAGAACGTTTGGACCTCGGCCGAGCTCTGTAATTCGCATGTGATCTCAGCAAGGAATTGGCCCCTTTTGCGAAATCTCGTCGTGCTCGCGCTCTCCAGCCGCATTCACTCACCAGAACGGTCAGGCCGCCAGCTGCAGCCTCAAGGTGTGTCTGCCAACTTGGCGTTAGCCACATCGAACTTCTCGCCGAGAGCCGTGAGCAGGCCCGATGAAATTTCAGGGTTGCAGACAGGCACTCTTGGTGGGATTTGAGAAACTTCGCAAAGTGCAGCCAGTCACTTAGCCAGTCAGAGAGCGATTCGATATTTTGAGGTTGCGAGCGTGAGCCTGCCTACTCGTCGATATCGAATCCACCCTTTGCTTTCCACACCATCTCGTCATCACCCATCCCCCCATCAAGCACAATGGCTACTCAGCGAACGTACGTATCATTCGTACCAGAGTGATGCGATCTACGGCATATCAATAGCAGTCCTCGGCCACCGACGCAGCCCCAGCAGTAGCACATGTAGTGCGCCACCTACCATGATTCACCATGTGGCACCTCCACCGACGGACAACAGCAGCAGGAGCTTGGGAACGGCACCACCGGATCTCAGCATTGTTAGCAGGAGGAAATGCTGCTCGAGACAACAGTGCATCAGGTTCGATGGCAAGTTGAAGGTGGATGTAGGATAAGTTAGGCAGCATGGATCACATACCAACCACACCCTCGACGACGCATCTATATCGACCCGAGTTGACTGCTCATGCCACGATCGCATCTCTACTGGACACTTCTGCATCTCGACCACAGCATGAAAGCTGACATTCTCGCCACTACTTATTGCCTTCCACAGCACCGTTCCCGCCGCTCACGACGTCCTCGTCCCCGAGACTCTCCTCAAGAAGAGGAAGTCGGACGCCAAGGCTCGTGAGGAGAAGGCCGCCAAGGCCGCCGAGACCAAGAAGGTAAGCATCTTTTCGCATACGTGCCCGACTCGCAGGTGGACAACAAGGAGCATAGCATATGGAGAGCTATCTTGCAGACCAGTCATGGAATCGAAGCTAGGAAAATCAGATATAGGAGAAGCAAGGAAATAGCGATCAAGGAGCAACACAGTGATGCATCACAACCAACACTTCGGGCTAGTCCTCGGACGATGCTGCCGAAATTATACCATCTTTCGGGGCTGAGGTTGATCTTTGATCGGATGCGATGCGCACAAGTTGCGGCATCCAGGTACGGATGGAGCAGGATCGATCGGAATGGACCGGTGTTGGATATGTTGCAAGGCATGCGAGTCGCGGCTACATCGTGGACTTGTCATCATGTCGCGAGACAGATCTCTGACCTTTGTCTTTCCCGTTCATCTTTCACGCCGCTTCCGCTACTCAGGCCAACCGCGCCAGCCGCAAGGTCATCTTCAAGCGTGCCGAGCAGTACACCAAGGAGTACCGTGCCGCCGAGCGCGAGGAGATCCGTCTCCGTCGTGCCGCCAAGGCCAAGGGTGACTTCTACGTTGCCGGCCAGCCCAAGGTCGTCTTCGTCATCCGTCTCCGCGGTATCAACAACATTGCCCCCAAGCCCCGCAAGATTCTGCAGCTCCTGCGTCTCCTCCAGATCAACAACGGTGTCTTTGTCCGATTGACCAAGGCCACCTCGCAAATGCTCCAGCTCGTCCAGCCTTACGTCACCTACGGCGCCCCCAACCTCAAGTCGATCCGCGAGCTCGTCTACAAGCGTGGTTACGCCAAGGTCAACCGCCAGCGTCTCCCCATCAACGACAACAAGGTCATCGAGGAGAACCTCGGCAAGTACGGCATCCTCTCGATCGAGGACATTGTCCACGAGATCGCCACCTGCGGCCCCAACTTCAAGGCCGTCACCAACTTCCTGTGGGCCTTCAAGCTGTCGAACCCCAACGGCGGCTTCAAGGGCAAGAAGATCCCCCACTACACCGAGGGCGGCAACACCGGTGACCGTGGCGAGGCTATCAACGCTCTCGTCCGCCGAATGAACTGAGCGCGCACGATACCAGCATCGGCATCGTTGAAAGATGATGCTTCTGCTCTTGTCTCGCGTTTTGTGTTCTGTTCGTCGTGTACCATCTCTCTTGCATTGTCCCACTATTCCCTTTGACGACCTCGCTCGTTGAATCACATCAAAACGTTGAACATCCTCAGCGCACGGCAGACGGGTGTGATCTGCCTCATCTTCGCAGCAGTTGTGTTTTGGATTCGCTGGGCTGCTTCGAAGGTCGGGGCGTCTCTCATCCAGCCTGTGCGCTGTTCAACGAACTTCCGCTTCTGCCTCGCACGCTCAACTTGTCGGCCGTCTGCCACCTTGTATACTTTTCCATCCCTTCGGCAGACCAGACATTTTGGGAACGGCAGAAGCGAAATCCGTCACCTCATCCATACATAGTCTCTCATGTCAAAATCGGCAGCTTTGCCTGTCATCACCTCAATCCAGCAATCCTTTGAATCGGTTCTTCAATCTTGTTCCGTCGTCTGTGCTTTCGCGCGAGCGTCTATATGATTCGATTGCATCAGTCTTCCACTCTACTTGTTACGATTGAGATCCCTGGTCACGCTATCCAGATCCAACCCGAGCATGCGCTTGATGACGTGCCCGATATTGGTGTTGTCCTGGTTGCCCTCAAGGCGGCGAGCCTCTGCGCCATACGCATAGACGTTGATGTCGATGCCCGTGTGGCCACTTGTGGAGAAGCCGATCTCTGCGCGTCGGGCGGCGATGTCGGAGATGACGCGCCGGATATCGTCGAGGTTGACGCCCGGCACGGGGTCCATTGTCGCTACATGCGGGTTGATCGCTGTATACGAGAGGGTGGTGGGTTTGGACAGCAGCTCCTCTTTGACGATGTCAAAGACTCGATCGACCTCCCCATCGGTGGGCTTGCCCCCCTGCGCTTCGCTTTCGAAGCCCAACCCTGACGCACCGAGGATCTTCTCCCGAATAAAGTCGCGCACGAGGCTCTCGCTCACCTGCCCATCCTCCGCCTTCTCCGCCTCCGACCGCACAAAGTCGATCAGCACCGCCGTCAAGATCGGCGTCGAATGCTTGGCATTCAGCAACCGTTCCGGGTAGTACGCATAGTTCGGATAGTCCGCACTCAACTGCCTGCCCAGCGTCACACCACCCGTCTCGTGGTCCGACGTCGAGATCAGCAGCGATCGCTCACGGCGGGTGTTGTGCTTGTCCACCCATCGTTTGACATGCGCGATGGTCTCGTGGTACGCCAGCGCCTCGCGTGCGTGACACGCCGGATCGTTGTTATGCGCACACAGATCGATCTGCGACCCCTCGATCATGAGGATGAACCCCTTGGTGGAGGAGGCGGAGAGCAGGTCGATCGCTTTCCGCGCGTAGTGCGATTGCGGCGCCAGCGGCAGCGGGGAGGGAATGTTGACGCGATCGATCTCGTAGGGCGTGTTGCTAGGCGAGAGGAGGGCCATGAAGGGCAGCTTCGGCTGCTTGCCGGCGAAGACGTCGTTGGTGAGGGGTGCGGAGGTGTTGGTCGGGAATGCGAGGCGGACGTCCCATCCGAGCGAGCGTGCGTATTCGACCGTGTCCTCATCGTCCTGTCGACAGGAGACTGCGCTGGACTGGGGCAGGAAGGCGCACCCACCACCGCCGATTGCAAGATCCAGCGTTCGCTCACCTAGAGGGTTCTTGTCACCTCCAATCATCTGACTCGCAATTAACGGCTCTTCGGCCCGGGACGCGGCATGCGAGATGAACGCTGCGGGCGTAGCGTCCGTCAACCTCGAGGTCACCACCACGCCCGTCAGCAATCCTTGACGCTTGGCGGCCTCGAAGACCGTCCCGCACGCCTTGCCGTCCGGAGTCACCCCGATCGCGCCGTTGTACGACTTTTTGGCGCACGCAAAGGCGGTCGCTCCTGCCGCCGAGTCCGTGATCAACGACGACGAGGAGCGCGATCGATGCGTGCCCACCAGAATCGTGTCGAGTGGGAGCTGAAAGTGGCTCGTGTAGTCGGTGTCGTTGTTGAGCGCCTGCGCAAAGTGGCGAGTGAAGGTGACCGAGGCGGGACCGTAGCCATCGCTGATGAGGAGGATGATGTTGGTCTTGATGGGGTGGTGCGACCATGGCCAGCGGAGGTCGCCGCTGGAGAGATCGGAAATGTAGTCCAAGGTCGAGCGCGGGTAGGAGAGGAAGGCCAGGAGGGAGAGAGCGACGAAGATGCCTTTGAGGAACTCGCGGATCGCTTTGCGTCGGGTGAAGGGTTGACGGTCATGCTCGTAATGCCTCGATGCATGAGGAGCACCGATGGGCTGCGGCAGCTTCGAGTCCAGCGCCATCTTGATCACCACCGACGAAGCCGTCTATTGCAAACGTAGCGCTGAAGGAGCAGGAGCGAGACTGAGAGGTGCTATGGATGGTGAGGAGGACCCTTGATGATCGCCATCGAGGTGGGTATGGAAGTGTGCAAACGTGCACGGATGCGGAGTTGGATTTTCCTCAACGTGTCAGATCATGATCTGCAATCACTTTACGCGAAAGAAGGGACGAGTGAGTCGAGTGACGTCTTTGGCGAAGATGTGTGCAGGTGGCAGCACCGCTTTTCCAAGACCGCGGCCCGCCACCACCAAGTAGGCAGGGTCTCGGGTAGAATTACACCGCCTCGTGATGGCAGTCTTATTTTCGGGCTGTGTTGCCGGTTCATTGTGCCAAGAAAATGAAATCAAGCGCAGCAGAGCGAGTCAATCTCGTGTGGAGAGCAATGACGGACGGGCCATGCAATGAGGCGAGCCTGGATGAGCATGGCCGAGGTGGGAGGTATAAGAAGCACCGTCATCCTCGTCACTAGCCTGCACATCGTACAGAGAACCTCGATCGCAAACACTACACCAAATTAACATGTCCTGGCAACAGAATCCTTACCCGCCTCCTCAAGGCTACGGTGCACCACCCCCTCAGGGCTACGGTGCTCCACCTCCCATGCCTCAAGGTGGCTATGGCGGATACGGTCCTCCCGGTGGACCACCGCCTCCTCACGCTGGTGGCTACGCGCCTCCTCCTCAAGCTCCCTACGGCGGTGGCTACGCTCCTCCTCCTGGCCCACCGCAGCACCACCACCACCAGCCTCATCACCATGCGCACCCGCCTCCTCCTCAACATGGCTACGGCGCCCCTGTCCCACCTCCAAGCAGCGCAGGAGGCGCCTTCTACCTCGGCGTCTCCGTCCCACCTCCTCCGCCCAACATGCCCTCTCCACCCCCACCTGGCTACAACGTAGCCCAAGACGTCGAACGCGTTCGCAAGGCCACCAAAGGCTTCGGTACCGACGAAGGCGCGCTCATTGCCACGCTCGCCCCTCTCGACGCCTACCAGATCGACGCGCTTCGACACCAATTCAAGGCCACCGTCGGCAAAGACCTCCTCACGGTCCTCGAAAAGGAGACTTCAGGCTGGTTTGAGGCTGCTCTGCGAGCTAAAGTCCTCGGTCCGGTCCTGTACGACTGCTGGCTCATCAAGCGTGCCTGCCAGGGCGCAGGCACACACGAGGATCTGCTCAACGAAGTCCTTCTCGGTCGCACCAACCTCGAGATGCACGTCCTCAAACAGGCCTACCAGGCGACGTACGGCAAGAACATGGAGAAGGTGGTCGAGGACGAGCTGAGCTTCAAGACCAAGCGCATGTTTGTCATGGCCATGCAGGGGGTCCGACAGGAGGACAACGTGCCTGTTGACCCGCGTGCGGTCGAGGCCGACGTGGCCGCGTTGAAGAGCGCAGCACGAGGTGCGGGGACGGACGAGATTGCTATCTGCGGTATCTTGCTTCAGCGCAGCACGCCTCATCTGGCCGCTGTGGCTCAGGCTTATCAGCAACGTCACCGCGGCTCGCTGTCCAAGATGATCGACACCGAGTTCTCCGGTCACATGAAGGACGCGCTGAGGTACATCGTCGATGGCGCGGAGCACGATGGTCAAGGTGTCACCCGAGACGCAAGACTGCTGGAGGACAGCATGAAGGGCATGGGCACCAAAGACGAACGTCTCGTCTACCGAGTCGCTCGATTGCACTGGAATAAGCCCAGATTCGAGGGCCAGATCAAGCCAGCGTATGCTCAGCTGTTCCATAAGAAGGGCCTCAAGAACCGCGTCGAGGGCGAGACTAGCGGCGACTACAAGCGCATGTTGTCGGCCATGATCGGGTCGTGATTTCGACATTATTTGCTCCATCTTGTACATATCTGTATACCCTGTAATGTGCCAATACAGCTTCGTCTGAACACAAATAGCAAGTGTTGTGAACCATGGTGTGCATGATGCTGACTCTGCCATGCTGGACGGCTGATTTTCCGGCATCTTTGCCGGCTGAAATTTCACACGCATGCCTCCACACAATCGGAAGAGCTTGTTCTTCTACTCACCACCGCCACCACCGCTCAAGCTCGACGATGGCGGGTCCGCTGCACTGAGCTGCTCTGGCATGCAGGCCGAATCATCCAAGCTGAGCGTCAACGAGCGGCTCGCTCGAGCGCGCGAGGAGGACTTGCGACGATGCAGGAACCTTCAAGCTAAGCTGGCGCGAGCGCAGTCACAAGGCCTAGACGACTCGGAGGCAGGGACAATCTCTGCGCCGGCACCATTGCAGCGGCAGCCGACGTCAACATCCGCTTCGTCTTCCTCAAGAGCGGGGCTGATGTACCTGTCCTCCACAGAGCTGGCTCAGAGGGAGCGCGATCAGCGGTCAAGAGAGAGGCAGCTCAAGCGTCAAGTTGCGGGCCCCATCCCGCCCGAGTCTTGGAGGGAGGAGTTTGATCGGCTTAGCCTACGCAGAGGCATTAGCTTGCCTGGAGAAGGACGACCAGTCAAAAGCGCGGATCTGCCTGAAACCGAGAGGCAGCAAGACGAGTCTGCTCGACGTCGGATCAGAAAGCAACACCAAACGATGTGTGCTGGTCTCCGCCATCTGCACGTCGAGCCATTACAGGCAGACGGGCAAGGCAGCGCGCTCTCCCTGCTGGACATGACGCTCTGTGTTATTGCAGACGTCCTGAATCGTCCTGGACAAGGCGGTAGAGACCAGATCATGCAGGCACGAGAGGTGCTCGAGTACCTGGCTCAACACATGCAACAACGGATGCTGTCGCTATGTGGGCGGATGGCAGCTACGGACTGGCCACTGAGCGAGTGGACCGCTCACGCACTGATCGATCTTAACAAAGCGCAGCCGCAAGGGTCGGAAGAGAGTTTCTTCGACGCAGGACAGGAGGACCGAGATGATTGGGAGACCAGCCTCGACACGGCCAGAAGCAATCTTGGCCCCAGCGGCAACACGGCAGATTGCGCCTCTCTCGACCTCTCCTTCTCCACAGTCTCGACGCGAACGCTGACACGCATGCTCAGCAATGGTCAGCTGGGCGTCTCACTGCGGATGCTCAGCCTCGCTGGCTGGAACGCCCCCCACACCTCGTCTTCCATAACACCGCTGGACTCGCCTTCGATGCAAGCCATCTTCGCTCAGCTTCCCAACTTGCAGGTACTCAGCCTTGCCGGCTCCCGCCTCGCTCGTGGCGAAGATGGCGAGTCGGACCATCAACGTGCAGCTGTCTTTCTTCGCAAGCTCAGCCGCAGTCTCACAAAGCTCAAGTCGCTCGACCTGAGCTTCTGCCGGTGGATTTCTGCAGACGCCATACTGGGTGTTTCGTGGGCCACCCCGACAACGATTGCTTGGTCGCGGCTGGAAAGTCTCTTGCTGGTCGGATGCGAGGTTCTGGCCGATCCGCGAGAACGCATATCTGACGTAGGCGCGACCGCTTTCGCCGGCAAGGCAGCAGGAAACCACGTAGCGCCATGGCACACACAGCATTCGCAGCGAGCCCCTGCAGACTCCGCCAATCGCCCTGCCGACCAGATAGCCACCGGAGCTGCCGGAGTTCTGTACGACGCCTACACAGACGCCCTCCACCGCGACCCATTCGACCTGTTTCCCGCCCCCACACCACCACACCGCCAAGCCGCTCGTGCTACATTCAGCGACTACGTCAACAACACGATCCAGCCAGCGATCATCTCGCATATGACGCCTCTGTCGTCGACGAGCGAGCCCGTGCTGATGGAGCACGTGCGCTGTCCTCGTTCGGCCGGCAAGGTCGAGATGTGGCAGTGGCAGCGGGCGCGCATTCTGGAAGCTGTGCGTGGTCGAACTCAGCCTGGCTCACGACAGAGGAACTGGATTGAGGTGTACATTTAGCTCTCACACAATCCAGCAGCTCTTCAGACGGAGTGGAGTGAGGTACTGTTCATTTACGTGAGCTTGACCTGATCCAAATCAAACACCTCGATATATTCGAGGTCGCTGATCTTTGTCCCTGCGAATCTGCTGTACTCCTCGAAGATACTCGTGTGACTCCAACCTTGTAGCCTCCTTAACAAGCCCACGATGACTCCGGCGCGGCGAAGGCCCTTGTTGCAGTGTACGAGGATGGGCCAGTTGCTCGGCGTCAGAATCAGCTGCAACGCCTTCACCACGTCCTTCTCATCCATCTCTGCCGTCGGTTCCTTGTTTATCGCCAACCTCAGATGGAACGTCTGAATGCCCTGCGACGCTGTCCAGTTGGTCATGTTGGATCGATAATCCTCCGTACCCAGGTAGAGCACGGATTTGAGGTTGAGACGCCGGAGGAACTCGAAGTTTCGCTCGTTCGGGTGGCCAGAGCGGTAGATACCGCGGGAGACCATGGCGAAGTTGAGCGGGGGAACGATGAGCGTGTGCGATGTGGAGGGGTCCGTGGAGGTGGGGGTGGTGAGCGAGGCAGGGAGGTGGGAACGGTCGATAGGGGGAGGTACGGTGGTAGAGGTGGACTCTTTGGGCTGTTTGTTGGGCAGCACCGAGTCGATGGGGTTGCCCGCAGCGACGACGTCGTGAGCTTGCTGCTGGTCTGCTGCTGGAGGTACTGGGGCGTCTTCTTCGGGACTGTCCTGCGCTTTGACTGATGTCGACTGGGCTACGTCTGGCGTCATTGTGGCAGACGCGGGCATGGCTTCTTCCGCAGGTGTAGAGCTCGTAGACGATTTCGCGGCGACTACCGTTTGATCGTCTGCAGTCGGTCGCTCTTCGTGCTGCTCCTGCTCATCAAGTCCGTTCTCGGATGGCTGTGCACTCTTCTCAGCTCTGCTCGTATTTGTCTCGCTCTTGTCACGGTCATCGGAAAGCCACCTGCTGCTGCTGCACGACACAAAGGCAGAAGAAGAGACTTGGGATTCAGTCACGCTGTCTTCTTCAAGGCCGCAGCAGCAGGTAGCGTCCACGCTGTCTCTTGCAAGATCGATGTTGGGTATTGCACAAGGATTAGGATGCTGTGTGAAACTCACGAGGCCTGTGATTTGGAGGCACCCTCGGTGAGGCCGTCGCGTTCGAGCTGTTCCCTGCGCTCGCGGCGGCGCTTGACGTCCCAATTGTGCACTCGCGCCGTGTTGACCTCCATGATGGTGATCTGCTCGCGAAGGAAGTCGAGGTCTTCTTTCGAGGTCGTGAGCGACTTTTCTGCGCCTGAAAGCTTGCCGGTCAGTAGGGAGATGGCTTCGTCCAGCGGGTATTCGAGCATGACGTTGGCCTGTCAGATGACAAAAGTGCAAGGAGTCGAGCAATGACGGGTCAGCGACTACGCATTCGTGCTTGGCTTTGATTCACGAGGCAGAGATGCTACTTACGCCTAGCCAAAGATGCACAGTGTTGACGGGGTCCAGTTTCGCTTTCGCGTAGAGTGTGTCATTGAGCTCGAAGGTCGTCTCTATCGATTCCGGATCATCCTTCTTGTCCTTCAGGAAGGTGACCATTTGGAGGGTCTTGCGAATGTCAGGGATCTTCTCTTCGAGTCCTCGGCGTCGTTGTGCTGTGTTGAGCTCCATGAACTTGTACTTGGACATGGTCTCCTGGAACTTTTTGAGTGTTGGCTCGACCTCCTCGTCCGGACCTCCAAGATACTCTTGCACGTTGGACTGCGCGATGATGCAGAGAGGTGAAGACACTACGAGTCAGAGAACGTTCCACTTGACAATCACGCGTGTTTCAAGTGACGCGAGACTTACGATGAAAGGAGCGTGCGGGATGCCTCGCGAGTTGGTCTCGACCTTGGATTGAGACGGACCCGCGATAGCGGATGATGCGGAAGACATGGCTGCGGCCGAACTGCAGCGTCAAGGAAGGTGCTAGGCGGAGTGTTGATCTTGAGACGATGTGGTGGTCACAAGTGAAGCACGCCGTGAGCGAAGATGGTGTTGGTCTTTTGCTTCTGCGTCTCCTTTCCTTCCTACCGCGCGAGATCAGCCAGTAGGGTCCACGCTCTAAAGTCACGGCCAAAGCCGAATTTCTGGAAAGTGTCACACACAGCAGCGTCCGTGCATTCAACATAAACGCAACAGCACAGCACAGTACCATCCTTGAACCAGTGTCACCACCTCCCGTTATCGCTCACCACCATTACAGCTCAGTATTAGCACATATCACATCACCGTCTGCCTCTCGGGTAATTCGAGCACATTTCTACGCTCGTCGCTCGCTCAAAACCATATTGACATTGGTCAAGCGGTGAGCCACAGCAATGTCAGCCTCGATCATCGCACCGGGCGAGATCCCGAACGCAACACCAGAGCAGCTTTCGCCCATCCTACTACGCCTCCTCGAGTGCCCTCAAGAGCTGTTGCCAGATCTTGCGTCGCAATCCGCCGCGGCCATCGCTGACTTACCGGAAGACTCACGGCCGGAGTCGTACGAAGGATTGATCGACGTGGCACGCTTCTGCGTAGAGGACGAGCCAGGATGGGAGGTAGAACGACGCGCCAAATTCATTGGCGGACATCCCAGGATCGGTGCTCCTCTCAATGCGCCAACCTCAGAGCTCAGCGAGGAGAGCCGCAAAGAACAAATGAAGGGTGGTCAGGTCGATCCTGCCACGCTTGAAAGACTGGCAAGACTCAATGCGATCTACGAAGCAAAATACCCAGGCCTGCGCTTCGTGACCTATGTCGCTGGCCGATCGAGAGCTGCAGTGGCCGATGAGATCGAATCACTGCTTGGTGATAAGGTGGCTGCACTCAAGGACGCCAAAGATCTTGCCAAGAGCGAGGTTCGAGCACACGACACTGACGAATGGCAATCGGAGCTGGACCGAGCCTCCGATGCGCTGTGGGAGATCGCAGTCGACCGTGCCGGCAAGCTTACAGCTGAAGCTGCAAGCAAGAGCGACGATGGTAATACCAAGGCATTAGCACAGGCTGCGGCTACTCAAGACGCAGACAAGACCATCGGGCAAGATGTTCCGTTCTTATCGCTCGCCTCTTTCCGCATGCTGGTCCTCTCGTCTCCTGTCCTCGAATCCTTCTTCAAGTCTGACCTCACCGAATCATTCTATCTCGAGCCTGTGGAACGGTCGCAGAGCGGAGGCGCATACGCATGGCACACGGCGCCCAGCTTACCCGGAGCACCCAGGGCGCTCCCAGGAGCCAGCAAGGAAAGCGGTTCGGCCACCAGCGAAGCCACCTACAGTCGCGACGTCACCACTGGAGCACGAGGCAAAGTCGTCGGCTTTCTCGGCAACTTGCTCGGAGAAGAAGGCAAGGCGAAGATGAACCAGCTCGCGGACCAAGTGGGGCAAAGGCTACAGACACATACAGTCACCGGGCCGAAGCCTTCGTTTGGTCGCAACTCTACACTTGACGGTGGCAGAATGGACACACAAGAGCTGAGAGAGAAGGAAGCAGAGTCGAGGAGGAAAGCCGCAGAGGAGAGGAAAACGTCGCTCGGAAACCGTCTGTTCGGCGCGTTGCGGGCACCTGCAAAGACGCCGTCGTCACAGGATCTCAAAGCTGACGCCTCGGCATCACCGGCGACTGGGTCAGCGTCAGACCGAGGACGAACAATGGAGAAGCAGTCTTCGGCGGCATCGGCGAAAGCGGACAAGAGGATCAGCCTACGTGGCAGTGACTTGTCGACAGCAGGGCCCGCCGCAGCAGCTGAAGCTTTGCGTGCGGCTCAGCAAGCACTCCTGCAAGAGCGACCGGCATTTGTGATTGACGAGGTGGGCGACGACGAGGCAGAGGGCGAGGATGGCATTGAAGGCGCCGCTGACGTCGAGGAGCTGGGCGACGTCGTAGAGGAGGCTCAGGGTGGTAATGAGGCTGAAGGGTTGTTGAGCGGACGAGAAGCTCAACGGGCGAAGGAGCTTCGGTCGGCGCCTGCTCAATAAGCATGGACATTTCGCATAATCGTCTCACATCGCAATGGCAGTCGCTTTCTCTGACAACATACGTCGCGCCTGCTATGATCGTGCTACGCTCCTCATGGCGAATATGAGCATGAAGCGTGAGTGAGGCCTGAACGAGGATGATTTTCGGCTTACAGTTCCGAAAATAGCCATGTGGTGCTGTGCAACGAGAAGACTGCTCGCACAGACCGTGCTGTGCAATGGAAATGGAAAGCCGCAGATGCTGGACCGGCAACTCACACCTTCTCTCCATCCAATCCTCTATCTCCCTTCTTCCTCTCTCATTACTGCATGTCGTTCGCTGCTATTCCACGCAGCACGCTTCGATCTTTTCCTCAGGCAACTACACGACGCCTGATTCAGCTTTCATCTGCTCGTAAACCAGCCGCCAACGCCGTCCGAGCCTTCACGACCACCCCATCCTTCCTCACATCCAAACCCACCGGTGGACCGGATCGAATCTTCCCCAGCATGACCACGGTTTTCCCTACGCAGCGTTTGCACAACAAGACGGTGCTCGTCACCGGAGCCTCGGGCGGCATCGGCAAGGCGACGGCCCTTCTCTTCGCCCGCGCTGGCTGCAATGTCATTCTCACCGCTCGTCGTGCCGAGGAGCTGTCCGCCGCAGCTACCGAGTGCGCCCACGCAAACTTGGCCGGTCAGACCAATGCCGGCGGCAACTTTGCTGCCATCACGCTCGACATGCGCAACCGCGAGCAGCTCGATGGGCTCATCTCGAGCCTCCCTGAGTGGGCCAAGGAGGTCGACATCCTGGTCAACAACGCAGGCCTCGTGCTGGGCACCGACAAGGTGGGCGACATCTCGGCCGACGAAATGGACGTCATGATCGACACCAACGTCAAGGGTCTCATCCACCTCACTCAGATCTTTGTGCGTGAGTTCAAGAAGCGTAACGCTGGACACGTCATCAACCTCGGCAGCATCGCCGGTCGAGAGGGCTACCCAGGTGGAAGCATCTACTGCGCAACCAAGTTCGCCGTCAACGCTTTCACCTCGGCGCTGCTGAAGGAGCTGGTGGACACGCCAATCAGGGTGACGGAGGTCCAGCCGGGAATGGTCGAGACCAGCTTCTCGGTCACCAGATTCAGAGGAGACCAGGACGCAGCGGACAAGGTGTACAAGGGTCTCCAGCCGCTCAGCGCCGAGGATATCGCAGAGGAGATCGTCTGGGCCGCCAACAGGCCGGCCCATGTCAACATCGCAGAGACGCTCGTGTTCCCTGTCAACCAGGCTAGCCCGTATCACGCGTTCCGTGGCGGCAACTAGATGTCGCCACGATGCAGCTGTGTGCTCAGCTAATGTCAATCAATTGAACGAGCAGGATTATCCTTGGCAAGAACGTGATGTCACAGCGATGACTGCCATTTCTTCTGTGCAAAAGTCTTGTGTCTTAGGCTGTGTCTTCGTCTTCTCCAAATGATTCTACATCCTCATCATCGTCCACCACCACATCCTCTTCCTCTGTGTATTGCCCATCGAGGTCGTGCTCGACCTGAGCCTCGTCCTCGTGCACGACGTCTTCATCTTCGTCCAGTCCTTCTGACGCACGCTCTGCCTGGCCGTCCGCCCTCTCACGCTGGTACTGCAGCAGCAGCGCACGTTGCAACTCCTCATCCTCTGCGCCCTGTCCCCATTCTCCTTCGTCGGCATACCCTCCCTCTGAATCGGACACCTCGCGTTCCTGTTGCGGCGGAGGCCGATCGGTTCCGCGCGACGTGGACGCCTCGCCTTCCGTGACAAAGCTCTCTTCCCCCGCCTCTTCCGCCATCCCATTTCCCCACCTCCACGCTCCTCTTGGCAGCACACCCGCATTAGCCCTCCACCCACTCACCTTATATGCTTCGACTCCCGCCCCTGTTCCTCTAGACGCCACCTCGGGCAGCAGTCTGTCCCGCTCCTCACCCACAAATACGCGCTTGGCGGTCGACCATCCGATCCCATCTTCCTTCACGTGTGTCGTCCCTTCCCCCTCCGCCTCGGTGTCATCAGGCGACTCGGTCCAGCCGAATTTGGCGGGTGGCAGCGCGAACGAGTAGCGCACCAGATCGCGCTGTGCAAAGATGTCCGGCTCGTGTTCTGCTTCCACGGCGCTATCATCCGACTGGGCTGAGTAGGCGCGCCGTCTCCTGCGGGGACGAGACTCCCTCGCCTGCTGTCGAGTGGCGGTTCCCCAGGGTTGGCTCGCTTGACCTCTGATCTCGCGCGAAACAGGTCCAAGCAAGTCCAGCGGGTCCGCCTCGATGCTTGCAATTCGTTTGGCAAAGTGCGCGTCCGTCTCCGGATCTGTTCGCGCGCGCTTCTGGCCCCTCTTCTCGCCTTCCACCGTGTCGGCTTCGGGAGAGGCAGGATCGAGATGCCGCACCGCGGAAGTATCCCCTACATCGGTCGGAACTAGCTCTTCCAAAGCCAGATCCGACCATACCTCTTTGAGAATCTTGGCGCTTGCCGGCAGGCCCCCTAACGTCGCTGCGAGCGCCTGACTCGCCGGGCCGCTACCAAAGACGTTGGAGCTGGGCCGCAGCAGCGCTGCGTACGACGTGTTGCCCGGCCCGTGGCGGCGAAATGGCCATTCTGGCGGGGCAAGCACTGTGGCGGTATTGGTGCGGAAGAGCAAACTCGGGGAGAGATCGAGTTTCTTTGCAGCAGCCGCCGTTTGTGCGTCTTGCGCACCGGTGGAGCTCGAACCGACGAGTTTGGAGCGGGAGGCTTTGTTGATGAACGCGTTGCCGCTGTTGCTCACTGCACTGCGACGACCGTGACTCGACGAGCCGAGACGGATGAACCCTTCGAGACCGCCGCCGAAGTCGAGGCCCGCGGTGGAATCGCCTAGTGAAGAACCGACTGTGTGGGTGCCGCCGACAATGGCGCTATCAGCGGCGATCGCTCCTCCGAGTGGGCCGAAGAGGTTACCGAAAGGGTAGCTTGGGTGTACGTCCGCGGGCAGCATGTCTCCTTGCATATCAAGGCTTGCGGGTACGAGGTCCTCGTTGAGCGAGACGAATTCCGAGGTGATCTTGGGCCGAGGCACACCTGATGCGGCGGCATCGTGCTCGTCGGCTTCCGAGTCATCATCGTCCCGGTTGGTGTTGAGCAGCGTTATTTGAGGAGCAGAGGCGGTTGTGGCGGAGGCATCGACGAGGTGGTGTGATACAAGCGCATTGAGGGAGGGGTGGTGGTAGAACGTTGAGCCGAGCACAAAGGCGGGTGCATTTGCTGCAGGGTTGGCGTCGGCGGGGTATGTGGGATCGAGGTGGAGTGGTGGGAAAGTGAGGGTGCCGGCTGAGCGTGATGTACCGACGGAAGTTGGGAGTGAGGAGGTCGAAGCATGGCTAGAAGAGGATGCGAGGAGGTCATGTGGTGCAGCACGACGCTGTGTGTAGGGGACACGATTGTAGAAGACGTCGGACGCCATGGTGGGCTGTTGCTGGGCAGCGACCTTTCCGACGGACGATCAGAAGCTTCGTATTGACGGTGTTGAGGATGTGATCATAGTCGTTCCTGCCGATTCGAGACGCTTTGAGATGGTGTCAGCGGGTCGAAGTCGCACCAATAACACAAGAAGGATGTCCAGAATCGCCTCCACTGTCCCTGCATAGACGCCGCAATAATTGGATTGTGTTACATTTTCTCGACGCGCGCGTTAAATGGATCCAAGGCGCAAAGCAACGAGACGCGTTCCAGGGCACTTTGCCTGTGTTTGTTGTTCTCCAGCTCAGAGGTGTTGCTTTCCAGCTGAGAAAAAGTTGGAAACAGCCTTGCCTTTATCACCATCAACGCTCATCACTACCGTCATCTTCAACACCACCACCGCACTCGTACCTTTGAAGCACTCTACTACAATGGCCACCATTCAAGAAGTCCTCGACCAGGTCGCAGCGCTGCCTGTGGCGCCCAAGCCCTACATCAACCCCTACGCCGGTCACCGCGCACTCTCCGAGCACGAGCAGGAGCTTCTCGGCGAATACGCTCGACTCGCAGACACTGTCCGACGTGTAAGCACCTCCCTCTCCCCTTTACCAGCCATATCTCTTCAAACACTGACACTTTTCTTGCATCTTTGTCGTCAAACAGGTCGCAGCGTTGTCAACCCTCCTCTCGTCCTCCTCCGCGCACGCCTCGTTGCTCACCCAGCTGCGCGTTCTCGAGCGCAAAATGGGCCTAGTCCTCACCCTCTACAAGGCGTCAGTCTGGGCGACCGTTCAAGAGCAAGCCGAAATGGCAGAGGCAGAAGCCATGGCTGCCGCGGGCGCAGAGATGAATGGCTACAGCCTGGACGTCAACGGTGCCGCCGCTATGTATGGGAGCGACGGCGCGGGCGGCGCATACTACTATGGCAGCGGCGCGCCGAGCGAGTCCGGCGAGGGAGACGATACGGTGGTGATGCGTCAGGCGGAGTACTATTGAGTCGTTGACCAGGTCTGCTCAGGACCCATTCGTACACTCATCAGGTCAGGGGACGAGAGCATGGCAAGAACACGACGGAGCCGGGTCGAATGACGGGACATCATCGACCCTCGAATCCTCGTGGCAGGAGCACAGAAGCTGCTCGAGCATCGTGCGATCCATTCAAGCCCGAAGTGGGCATCCATCAGCTCTCTCCGGACGCAGCCGGCCGGACAGCATTGCAACGGTCCAGACGTGCCGTGCGACGGGAGTGGCTGCGCAGCCCTCGCACCGCTCTCTCAAGCACACTCGCAACAGCTCTTTTCCAAGACGTGCACACACGTGGCGCCCATCTCGCACACCTCATGTCACAGTATACCCTGCAAGCCATGTGAACAACATCTTGCTTCCCATTTGTTCATCCGTGCTGTGTTTCTAGGCAAAGAACTCGTGCACGACCTCCACCACCCGCCCAGGGGCCTCTTCGGGAATGTAATGTCCACAATCGAGCCCTTCACCATCCACCTCCTCACAGCACTTCTTCCACAATTCCAGACCGCCACCATACATCAACTGGATCACGCCGTGGTTGCCCCATAACACCTTTACCGGACATTTGACCTTCCTCCCTTCCTGCCTGTCTTTTCGATCGAGTGTGAGGTCGATGCCGTTGTGGGGGGAAGATGCGCGGTAGTCCTCGCACATGGCATGTGCGCTTTCTGGCCTTGCTAGGTTCTCGAGGTACCAAGTGGTGCGCCAGAGGTCGACGGCTTGGGTGGACGACGAGGCGGTGGATGGGTTGGTTCGCGGGAATCGGGTCACGAGCGCATCGAGGTACGCTTGCGGATTCGCCCCGATGAACGCTTCCGGTAGCGACGGCTGCAGGAGGAAGAACCAGTGCCAGTAGGCCGAGGCGAATCGCACATCGGTCGTCTCGTACATGTCCAGCTGTCGATTCACATCAAGAAACGGTTGTGTCAGTGTCCGACTTTCTCGAGGTCATCGTGACCAGTCTGTGCGCCACTCGGGTTTGAGAGATTGGGTCGAGACTTACAGTGGGCGCAATGTCCAAAAGGACCATCTTCCTCACCCTCTCGGGCCAATCCAGTGCCAGTCGGTGGGCGATCCTCGCCCCACGATCGTGCGCGACCACCCAGAACTCCTTGTGCCCGAGGCTCTCCATCAGCACGACCATATCCCTCGCCATTTCGCGCTTGGAGTACCTCGAATAGCCCTCCTCACTTTTACCCTCGGGTGCGCTGGAGGAGCCATTGCCGCGGTTGTCCGGCACCACGACCTCCCATTTGCCCGTCTGGGCTAGCGCAGGGGCGACGGTGGACCAGATGACGTGCGTCTGCGGGTGACCGTGCAGCAACAGGATCGGGCGGACCGAGGAGGAAGAAGAGGGTTTGTAGTGGCGGTAGAAGATGGTTACGTTCACGGAAGGGTCGTACGCAGGGGGTGGGATGGTCGCCGTGCCACTGGTGAAGGAGGCCGCGTCGAAGGGGTTGACGAATTCAGACATCGCGCGCAGCAACCAGCCAGTATCCGAGGAGAAGACTGAAGCTGTCGAGACGAAGAATGGGTCGCTCCGTAGAGAAAGCTTGGACTTGTTGAGTCGGATGATGGACGGCCTGAAGATCCGAGGTGTCCGACCGGATGATGAATGGAAACGACGTCTGTGCGCAAATCGTATGCGGGGCAAGCTCTCGGAACCCGGCTGGCGTTATATAGCCGTCCAACCGAGAACCCTGCATCCCCTCACAGCCGAGCACCCTTCACACCTGTCACACGATTCACGCACGCAACTAGACCGAATGCATCTATGGATTATGGTGGTAAACAAATACACTAAGAGGGCCAAGCAGCGCACTGGGCGTGCTCACGATGACGGGAGGGGACACAGTATTACAGGTAGCTGGATATAAAGTTGAATGAAACTACTGGCGGCGATCAGGGTAGTAGTCGCCAGCGGCGGCGGCGAGGGTGCTCGTGCCCTGTGGTCCCTGGCTGGGGGTTGCAGCAGCACCGGCTGGGTAGCCTTCCGCCGTCTGCGCGTACAGGTTGGTGTTGCTGTCCGAAGCGGTTGGCAAGTTGGCGCCGCCAAAGCCGTCGTAGCTGCTAGCGCTGTGCGTGTGACTGTGACCGGCGGCAAAGGGTACATTGCCACCTGCAGCGTAACCACCAGTGGCACCGGGCGCACTGAAGGCCATACCCTGACCGCCCACGTTCCACGTGTTGCCGCTATACGAAGCCGAGTGATGCATCCCTGGGTTCGGGACCCCGTAGAGACCCGTGGCGCCGCCCGAGCGGTCGTAGTCAAACGACGAGTCAGGCAAGCGTCCGTCCTTGATCGAAGGCGAAGCGCCCGGATAGCTCGAAGCATCCCGGTAGTGCCCTCCCGACAGATCCACCGACGGCAGCGGCGCCGACATGGTGCCCTGGAATGGCGTCTCAGACCCAAGGTCGCCCAGCACAGGCGGTCCTCCCTCGTACGACGCGCTGTACTTGCCAATGATCTTGCACAGTGCCGAAGCAAGCACCTTCCACGGGAACACCTTGACGTCCTTCTCGATGTTCCTCGGTTTGGGGTTGGGGAAGCTCATGATGAGCTTGAAGAAGCGCTCGCACTCGCGCTTGTTCTTGCTCACCGTGATGGGACGGAAGCCTTCGAGGTTGCGACGAATGCGGTTCTTCTCCTCCACCGTGAAACGGCTGGCGACGAGCGCCTCGAGCAGGTAGATCGTGTCGACCGAGGTCACAAAGCACTCGTTCTTGTCCTCGCGGAAGATGCACGAGACGACGATGCTGTTGGGCACGTACTGCGAGGGGAGGATGGGGCGGAAGGTGGCGTGGATGGTGGTGCCCTCCTGACGTCGCCAGAACTGAACCAGTCGACGCCCGCTGCGCCACTCATCGTGCGACCAGCCGACCGCCATGTCGTTGAGGTTGCCGTGCAGCTCGAGCTTAGCACGCGGCGCACCGCCACTGCTTCCGCCGGGTGGGCTGTACATGGGGTCGTGAGGCATGATGGGAGTCGGTGTGAGCGACCCCGGGATCTGCGTCGCTCGCATGAGCTGAGGGAGGCCGGTGCCGCTCAGACCCAGCTCATCCGACGAGGCAGAAGCGCCGTAGTGAGCCATGGGCGACTGCATAGCAGGGTTGGACCCAAACGACTCTCGGCGAGCCTCCTCGTCGTAAAAGCCGACACCGAGAGCTGGGAGCAAGACATTGGATCGACCCGGAGTGATCTGGCCTGGGATGGTCATTCCGCCACGACCCGTTCGGCGACCGACGGTCTGCGAGGTTCGAGCATCTTGACCCATGGGGCGGCCGTACACGTTGCCTTGGTTAGTGCCGAGCACTGGGAAGGAGGCGGGGCGACGAAGCTGCGAGTGCTCGGCGGAGCTGCGAAGATCTTCCATAGGATCGGCGGAGCGCTTGAGCGATCTGGGAGAGCCGCCTTCGACTTTGGGGAGCTCATCGCTGCCGGTTCCTGGGGTGACCGTGACACCGAGACCAATGGGACGCATGGGCGAACGAGCGTCAGCGGTGCGTGGGTCGTTATAGCCGGCGGAGGCGTAGCGGGTTCGTGTCGGCGAAGTGTCAGAAGCCAGACCCGTCGAACGCCCCAACGGTGACTTTTGGGCGGTCACGAGGTTGTAGTTGCTGTACTGATTGGCGTTGACATCGCCAAAGGAGTAGGCACCGCTCGAGCCGCCGAGGCCGAGCTGGCTCACCCCCGTGTTGAGCGACTGATGCCTGACGTGTCCTCCGAACTGGGCCTGGCCAGCATAGTGTGGGGAGGCGGAAGAGTTGAAAGCGCCAAGAGCCTGAGTCTGAGCGAGCGTACCAGCGCCGCCGAGTTCGTGAGTGTAGTTGCCGTGCTGTTGCGATCGAGGGGCCTGCTCGTCGTACCCATAGGTGGAGTTCTCTGGCTTGACACGACCAAAGCTGGCAGGAAAGCCCCCGACGGTGCTGGTAGTGTAGCCAGCCGCGCTCGATGATGGGTCTGCGGGCGATTGGAAGTTGGAGGCTGGCATGGTCGACGGACCGGCGGGACCGAAGCTGAGCGCGGGGTTGGTGGAAGCAGCACCCGACATGATGATGATGATGACGAAGACGAGCTGTTGGTGTTGGTTGAGTCAGCGGTCTCTTTAGGGTATGTCTCTGCGGAGGTGATTCGGAGTGAGACTAGGATGTCACGATGTCGAAGGAGAGTGTCGAGTAAGGAGCGGAAGGCGTCAAGCTGAGACAAGTATGGTGGTAGTGGTAGATGAGAAACAAGGAGGGAGCAAAGAAGCAAGGTGAATCAGAGGAGGGGGGGAGATGCGAAACCGCAGGAGAGACAGGGATAGATAAGACACCGTGAGACGCAAGCAAACGTGGATCAAATGAGCTGTCGTGAGACTCGAGAGAGGGGCACTCGAGCAGAGGATAGGCTGTTCTTGGGAGGGATGAAACAGGCGCAGAAGGATGAGAGACAGTGCGGAGATGCGGATGGTAAGGGATGGAAGCGCCTAAGTCAGCATGCCGTGTCGGAGAGATGTCCAAGGTGAGACCCAATGCGACCGAGGACGAAGAGAGCGAGGGGGTGGATCGCTTGGCTCCGTCAGTCCGACTCGAGGATCCGTCAAGGCGAAGGTTACGCCGAAGGAATCGAAGCTCCGCAAAGGGATGATGGACGAGGGGGATCGACGGATTAGGAAGGGCGAAGAGGATGGAGATGCAAGGGTGCAGCGTCGTCGGCGACAATGAATAGAGAGATGACGGCGGGGGAGAGAGGTGACGAGCAGAGAAGGCGTTGGTTGGGTAGGAATCCGGATCAGGACGAGGACGAGGACAAGGTCGACGCCTCGAGTGACAGCGGCGGCGGCACCGGCGTCGAGGATGCAGCGTGGGCGGCGGCGGTGAGAGGAGGTATGCTAGTTGGAAGCCACATCCGGACGAGGAGGGCAGGGAAGGGAGATGGCACAACGAGGCAGGTGGACTAACCCGAAGAGAAGAGAGGGAGGAGAAAGAGGCTGGCAGCCGCCTCTGGCAGCGGCGGCATTGATGGGAATGAGGAAGAGAGTAGTCTGCTGAGCCAGACGAGGAGGGAGGCAGATGAGCGGCTATCGACAAAAGAGAGAGGAAAGCAAGAGGCATGAGAGAGCGACAGAGCAAGAGAGCGGTCTGGCCTGGAAGCCAAGAAGAAGCAACCCAAAGTGAGACAAGAGCGGCAGATTGGAGCATGACAAGCTGCATCTATTCCAACGTCGCTCTTGTGCTGTTCTGCCCTGCCTTGCCCTGACGCTTTCGTCTGTTCGACTGCTAGCCATGCTGAGCGTGTAAGTCAGGATGAGCATGGCTGAGCCTTCAAAGCCGTTCCGCGGTTGCTCGTTCTTCCCCCTTCCGTTAGCCTCGACCTGATTCGAGCTAAGCAAGCTTAGGCTCAGTTTTGCCTATACGAGTGACTGAGTGACTAACCGGCAGAATCTCCCTACTCGGCTCCACACGATTGAGCCCAACGCAGCCCAATGCAGTCTGCTTCTGTGCATAAAAGATTCAACAAGAAAAAAGAGCAACTCAGTCAGCCGTTTGCGGCGAGCAGCGGCACCAAAGATTGAGCCACAATTCGACTGCAATTTCGACATGGAGTCGAGACTTTGCACAGCCTGCTGCAGATCGGATCTGCATCGGGGCCTCAACTTTTTTTTTATCGTTTCGAAATTTACGCCCAAAAATCCAAGATTGTGGAAGAAATTCGTCGAAATGCGGAACCAAGCTCGGTCACCCTCGTCTAGGCTCAGCGCTGAGCGCTCAGCTGATTGAGCTTCGCGCCTGTCACTCCCACAAAAAATCATTAATTAAAAAAAAGCGAGCACAGTGCAATTCTGCTTGCCTTCGTCATTGTGAATGAGATTCTCAGGCACAGACGAGCAGCACATTGCAGCTCGCCTTCTCGAAAATCCCTTTTGGCCCTGCAGACGCAAGCGTGCTTCTGCATTAATTGACCGATTTTTTGTTTGGCCGCATTCGGCTTGGTTGAGCTCAGGCCGAAAAGGGGCCGTTCAATATGGCGAGCGATCGACAACGCCGATGATGATGATCATGATCGACTTGGCTCTGCGAAGCGAAGAGATTGAAGAGGGAGAGTCCGACGCGATGGACGGCGAATTCTCGGATCCCATCTGCTCGAGCATGAACGGAGCCTTTGACACAGATAAGCTTCGGTTTCATCCACGCTAGTCGCATGAAGGCGATCCATATGGGTCGAAAGGCGGGAGCGGGGCGGATCTTGACCGCAACCTAAGACATTCACAAAGACAGCAGCATGTCAGTCTCCAAGAGGAAAAGGGAGGCATCACCACGCCAGAATGTGAGACACTTCGACAAGGCTGAATCTCGTCTACACGTCGGAGACGAGAAAAGACGGGAAAGCGACTCGCGTCCGTCGCGACGGCGGCTCACCCAACACAGCTGCGGAGCCATCGCGATACACGTTGCGCGACACAGGCAAAGCATGAATCGGGCACGACCGTCGTACCAGCTAGTGCCGCTCTCAGCTGAGACCGTGGCGGCTAAGTACAAAGAGCGGGGCGGCTACCTGCATCGAGAAGCAGCAAGCGACATCGACATGGGGAAACCAGCGCGAGGCACGGGTCAAGCCGATATGACACGCGAGACATCCTCACAGCAACGCGATGAGCGCATATAGTTGCACCGATTTACAGGCTCGTGCTGAGTGAAAGCTGGGAGCTAGTCCATCGACAGGTCACGTTGTAGCAGCAAAGCTGATGCTCGTTCGGGGGACAGGCGAATGATCGATTCGCGGGGCTCTTAACGTTCCTCGGAAGCAAGCAAGGTTGTCTTAGATCACGCACGTCGGTTTCTCGTTCTCGGTGGACAACAGAACGGGACCTATGCGTGGCTTGCTAGCTTGGCATTCCTGTCGTGATCGAGACGATTACTGGACACAACGTGTCCTGATGTACGGCGAGGGAAAGGGCTACGGGTACCGACGCCAGCGCCATTGCCAGTGAGGCTGAAACCAGGTCGACCGAGCACCGCAATGACATGCGACTGCTTCGGCGCAGCGTAGTTAGCGTGCAGAAAGCAAGCCGAGCCGCTGTCGGTCTGGCAATGACAGCCACGCGGCAGCTGTACGGAGCATAAGCCGGCGTTTTGAGTCGATGGCGGCCATTCCTCGGCCTCTCGACTGACGCGAGCCTTGCTTTCGCAGTCGCGCCGAGGCTTGCCATTGTGGGTAGATGGTCGGTTGGCATGAAACCCATCGAAGTTCATCGAGGCACAATTTCGAACCACCTCGGTGGCTTGCTCAAAGGAAGATCGAGAGCTTCCCGTGCTCTCCTGGTCCCCGTTGGCAGCTCGATTGCGAGCAACAAGCCTGCGACGAGCTGGAAGGTTGTCTACTTTCCTCCGTCCGGCAAAGGGAGGTTCAAGGTCCGTTCGAGCGCGAGCGTTGAGCTCGGTGCAAAAATGGTACGAGAACCGACCAATGTGAGACAAGTCGAGCTGTGCTGTCTCAGACGTGCATGACTGGCAGCGCGTCTACCATAACGCGAGCCTCAGATGCGCCTCTTTTCCACTGAACCGCGCCTTGTCCGGCTGTCTGCATTTCGACAAGTGTCAACTTTCTCGTGCGAATGCTTTCTTCGATGAGAGACGGCAGGGCATGCTCCTTGCAGGGCATCGCCGACTCGGATGGTGCGGACGACGAACATGCCTGTGCTGGCGCCATCATGACGGCCCTACCTTTCCAAGGCCGCGGGTCAAAACGGGTCCTCGCCTAGCCGCTCGCCTACTGCAAATGCTTTGGCGAGCAGGGTTTTCTGCAACGTCGATGATTCATCGAGGAAGACCCTGACTTCTTCTGATCTGGGCACTGCTTCCGTGCTAAGCATTAGTGCGATGCTCGTCTAGCGAGCAGCTGGTGATCAGCTGTTGTCGAACTTCAAGCTGCTTGCTGCTGCTCCCTAATTGCATAAGCAGGATGATGTTCTGCTCAGACAAGGAGTAGCTTCGCCGACCTAACGCCCCTGGGTAAGGAGCGCGCAAGAGTGTCTTTGTGATCGCGCCTCTCGAACACTAAGCAGTCAACCAGGACGATGAGATCCGCAGAGGTGATTGCTGATTCTGCTTCTGGCCCTCGCTTCGTCTTTGAACGGCGCAAAGACGGGCATGGCAAGCGACGCTGAGCTCACGGTTCGAGTTCGGTCAACTGCGCGCATGCTGTAACCATCCCTTGGCCCAGTTGAACACCTTCGTCGAGCCAAGATTTCCCTTAGTCGCTTGGGCACGACTCCTTGTCGCGCTCCCGCCTGGTCGCTCCTCCTTGGCACCGACCCTGACTGGCTGTGCCATCTCTCTCTGAAAAGTTTAATATTTCGTGCTCCGCCGTGTGTTCAGGCACGACCGAGCTCCGCGACCCGTTCTCCATTGACACAGCCTCGCACCGTATATCCGTGACTGTTTGGCTGGGCCGACGTTCGATGCAGGAACGTACACGCGCCGAATTCATGCTGTGCCCACGGTAAAAGTTCTCATTCACGGCAGTCTGGAATGGCTTGGCGGTAAGGGGATTGGTTGGAAAAAGCGTTGCGCGCAACGGCTCCGCGCACAAATGTCGGGTTGCAACAGATGCATAGGCGAGCCTGGATTCAGGAACAGACGAGGAGATCCGCCTATCAAACACAATTCAGCCTCGCACAAGATCTTGCCGGAAAATGCTTGGCGACGGCGCACGAGGCTCGTAGTGACGAGCTGGCCAGCGGAGTCGGATCACCGAACCACCCGTACCTGTGTTAGCAGGGTCGGTCCAAGATACGGATCTGAGACGGATCGGCATCGGGATCCCGATGAGTCGCCTTGTCGCCAGCAACGACATGAGCACAACGTCATCGACTACATATCAATCGAGTTGCCGCCTTGACTGCGCACACTCGACAGAGACAACAACGCAGAGAGACATCGATTTCGAAGGGATCGATCAGCTGCGACGTAGCCCGAGGCAGCATCAGCACGAGCACCACAGCATCAAAATCGGAGCGATGAAGCTGAGATATAAGTCGGCGGGGAGCGCCTCGAGCACATGAGACGCCAAAATCTTTCTTCGCTGTCGCCGTCAAATTTCGGCTTGCAAGAACGATGGGAACTGACTTTCGTTGGCGTCGCCAGCCCGCCGGAAGAGGGCAAGAAAGAAGAACGACCAGGCCGGTCTCATCAAGCAGCCGATTCTTTCCGAAGACGCGGATTCCACCAAAGACCGAGCTGATGCACTCGTTGCTCACGAGTCGCACAGATAGCTTACAGTATACCAAGAGCGTACAGCTGTCGCAGTGCAGCCACATTGTAAAGCGACTCTGTGGCCCATAGCCGTCACAAGCAGTCAGGGCCAGCGACAACGTCGACAAGCCTGTGTCAAGGCCACATCAATCGACGACGTAAACCATAAACTATGGTCATTATCACAAACACAATTACTTGCTTGGTTCATACATGATGACTTGCGTTCGAACCTGAAACCAGCCCATATCATACACAATGCCGTCCCTATCCCTTACACCGACTTGTACGCGCTTCCCGACCTCAAATTCTTCATGGTCGCCAACCAGCTCGCCAACGTGGCACCCGTTGTCGACACGGGACTGGTCTGGTACAGCACGCCGTGACCCTCGCCGGTCACCGTGAACGTCTTGGCCATGTTCGTCGTGGTCTTTGTCACATTTGCAAAGTAGCCGCTGATAATGCTTGTGAAGCTGTCCATCGTGGCACCCATAAAACCTGGCAGAGTTCCGTCGGAGGCGAAGGAGATGGAGCCGAATCTGCTTCCTGTGTTGGCGGATGAGAGGGCGGGGAGGAAGCTGTTGAATTCGCCCGGTTGACATTTGGGGCAGTCGCGACCGCCGGGCTGAGTGAGCTTCCACGAAGGCTTGGTGCCGATGAAACCGGGGGTCGTTTCGCAGGAGTCGCCGATGAGGTGGATGCGCGACCACGGGAAAGCCTTGCGGGCAGCAACATAGTTGAGCGTTGCACCGAAACAGCCTGCGCTGGTTCCCGTGATCCAGACGTTTTGCGGATACGGCACGGCACCAGCAACGACTTGAAGGATCGTCTGGAAGTTGCTGTAACCTTTGTGGTAGATCGGTGCGGGAGCACCGTCGTATGTGACGACATTGTTGCCGCCGTGGATATCGCCCGTGCAGTAAGGGACGAAGACGTAGTGCGCACCAGCCCAAGGGTTGTTCCTAGCAGGATCGCGCGATGTGAGCAGGATCTGCGAATCGAGGGAGGTTTTGGTCCAACCCTGGAAAGACGACTCGGTGTAGCCTTGAAGGTTGAAGGCGGTAGGATTGGTGAAGCACGAGTTGGTGTCCCAGCAAGCTCCTCCGCCGTCAAAGTAGATGAGGATGTCGTTGGCACCGGAGTGCATGTTGTAGGCGAAACCGGTCATGCTGCCGTCTGCGCAGACGTTGGTGCTCTGGTTGTTCCAGATCCACGTGTCCCACGCCGAAGGGGTGAAGCTTTGACGCTCATGGATGGGACCTGCTGCCGAGAGGGTGGCCGAGGCGACCATGGCCAAGGAAGCGGTGAATACAGCGAGCATTGTAGCAACGGACTTGACGAAAGGCTGCTATCGAGTGTCGGGCGAGGTTGCTGCTCGAGTAAGGGCGTCGCAAGTAAGCTCGGTAGCTGTTGGGAGGGGCTCGAGGGGTTCATTTTGTCCTTGGTCCACTCTCCTTATATGCGACAGTCTCGAGAAGTACGGTCGCGACAGATGTAGCCACACAGGCCGAAAGTCGGGGCCTGGAGCGGCCCAAGTAGGCAAATCGGCCCAAGATCCCATGACGGCCCCGCTGTGCTTCCATAGAGGAGTCCGGATCGAAGGCGAATCATGGCAAACCTCTGTTGCCGTGCCTGCGGCGACGGATCGTTCGGTAAGGAGACAAGGCTGAAGCACTATATGTGTGGAATCAAGGTAGGCTCACCGGACATCGTTGGGGACAGCAATGCTATCCAGAGGGCAAGAAGTCGTATGCAAGGAGGAAGCTCAAAATCTCCCACGCTGCCCGGCGATGTCTCACCGCCATGTGGCTCTGTGTGCAATGACTGTAGCCATGGCAAGTGCACATGAGCGAGGATCGCTGTACCTGCAGCAGAATGACAGGCCACGGTCTCAGGAAGGCACGGCAAATGGTGGGCCCGATGTAAAGGACGGGAGCGAGAGGCTTGGACCCGGGCTGAGAGCTGTTCCGGTGTGCCACGCTGCCTGTCTAATTTGTTGCCGAGCCAAAGCACGGGACTGCGGAGAAACTAAACAACAAAAAATGTCTCGACTGTGCAGCTGACCTCGAATCACGAGGACCCCCGCCTGCTGTCTAGACTCGGATCTTGCCCGCTCTTCCTCCTTCCGATTCGTACGGCTCGATTTCATGACGTCCAAGGTCTCAATCGCGTGCATGTAAGACACAATGATGGGAGTCGGGATGGAGCCTCGGGTGACATGGCAAGGTGTGGCTTACAGTCTTGACAGTCGGGGTCTCAGTTGGCTGTAGGCGATTGGTGGATGAGAAAGGGCCCATCGAGCGAGGTGCAAAGGAAGACAGCCTGGGCTACGATGACAGCAGCAGGATCCTGGTCTTGGTCTGGATTCGTTATTATGCTCCGCAGAGCTGAGGTTCCCGAAGCCTCGAAAGACGCGGGGAGGTAGGACTGCTTTGCCGGCGATAATCTCCGCTGTGACGATGCCAGTTGCCAGTTGTACTGTACTGTATGACTACCCGAAGAAAACTGTTGCATACGTCGTGGCGTAGCGCCTACCCCGACTTTTCGGAAAGAGAGTTGCACATGGCGGCACCGCAAGCGAGACAAGGGTTCTCATGCAACGGAAGTCTATCTTCATGGGTCGTAAAACGAACCAAGTCCGAGCCCTTCCCTTTCGCCCTCATGCGAGCTTTGAGATCGAGACTCTGCAACATTGTCATCGAGCGGCTGTGAATTGCCCGTTTCGCCTTCTTGCTCCCCTTTCATTCGGGCCCTCTGAGTTTGAAGCTCCCCGTTCTGTCTCACCGTAGGCTTCGTTCGGACAAATCGCACCAAAGCCAGCGCTTGTCCGAGCATCATCTGACGTGTTGCATCTGACACCTTTGATGCGAACGGCGTCGAGTCATTGGAACGGCATGTACACCCTAAGTCAAAGCTTCTCACCTGACGGCGGGTGTGTCCAGAGTGTGGCGTTCAGAGAGGGTCCGCCACGTGGGCAGGCAAAAGTTTTTGTGACATTGTTAGGTCGCAAAGGCTGGCGCATGTCATCATGACTAAGGCAGCCCTAGCAACACTGAATTTTTGGTGCTGCTGCATATGCAACCGAATCAAAAATTGATGTGGAATTTTTGACGAGCAGCCAACTTTCTCAGTGCTGCTTCTCACCACCTTGTCCTCCCGTCCAACACCAAAGCAGGTGACCTATCACGGCTCGCCTGGATCGCACAGCCTCGCCATGTCGAAAGGCAAAGACAGTCCCGCTAAGGACGGCAAGAGAAAGTCCAAATTCTCCGATGCTGCGGACTCGCCCAAGAAGTCCAAGAAGGCCTCTACCTCGGCCAATGCAGCCGCTTCTTCCTCTACCAGCAAGGCTGGCTCAGGCCAGGCGACGCTGAGCGTCAAAGGCTCAGGGAGCAGCTTCAAGCAATTGAGTAAGTCTGGCGCCGCTTTTGCTTCCTTTGCAGACTACAACCCTGCACCTTCGACCAAGTTTAGCATATACCGCGCCGACGGTCTGCCCGACGAGACCGGCGCATCGACCAACGACACCGACGAGAGGCTTCTTCTCGCAGGCGAGACCGACACGATGGCCTATGTCGGCAACAATTTCGAGTTCGGCAGCAGCTCCGAGGCGCGAGGCTACACCGGTCACTATATGGTGGGTGTCTATGACCCTTCGAGCAGCTCCGTGACCCTTCGCGCCGTGCCTACGTTCCAAGTTGCACGATCGATCAAGGCCAACAGCTCGCTCTCTTCCATCTCTAGTAAGCGCACATTCGCCGACTACGGCGAGATGACGGCAGCACGTAGGGCTCTTGGCGACGCATTTGGTAATCGCAAGCAGAAAGCCAACGCGCGCAACCAGGACCGTATGAAGGTCGACACGGCCAACATGGAGGTCATCCTCGACGACTTCACCGGTGGTATCCAGGACAACTTGGCATCGCTGCCATCGCTCGATGAAGTGCTTGCTTCGTCGACGTCGTCTCGACCCATGCCGCCGGCCAACTTGGACGCCAAGCATCCCGCGGAGGCTTACCGCATCTCCGACCTCATCCCCAGCGAGATCTTCAAGTCGCTACCGATACAGAAGCTCATCGACAACGTCAGCGACCCGGAGGCGCTCAAGGAGCTTCTCCCCTACTCGAAGGATTTCCCGGCCTGGATCTGGTCGCGACTGGTGGACAACCTTCAACGCAGTTCGCACCTTTCCGGTGGCAGCGGTGGTAAGAAGCACACGACGTTCGACGAGGACGAGGACGAAGCTGCATCTGTCACCAACGCTGAGGATGTGATGATGATGCCCGCTCTCGGAGCGACCGAAGACAAGGAAGACGCGAAGACCAAGGTGCGCATCGCATATTACATGTCGTTGCTGTGGTACATCCAATCCCGACCGAAATCCGTCTCGCAGCGGGGCAAGCTGATCACCGCGCTCAAGCTCGACGGTGAGGACGCCAACAAGCGCATCGTCAAGGCGATCCTCGGCACGTTCACCGAGACGCCGGCCAACTCGGACCGAGCAGTCATGTCGGCGTTTCACCAGACCAAGGTGCTGGCCTACATGTGCGCGCTCGCGTTGCACCTGGACAACTTCTCGGTGGACCACGACAAGCTGGCGAGGAACTGCAACATTCCGCCTGCGACGCTCAGGGAGCTGTTCAGGACCCTCGGTTGCACCGCGAGCGTGGTGGGCGGCGAAAAGAGGATGGTGCTCAAGACGCCTTTTACACTGCCTCAGCCGAGGAAGGGCAAGGCTGGTGGACGCAAGTGAAGCACTTGCTACAGGTTTGTGCATTGTTCAAATCGACATTCATGATCAAAAGACGACGGCTCGTGATTAGGCTGTGTCGGAACCGATGATTGGGATGCGAGGATGCGAGTGATGAGTTTTGCGTGTGTATCTATGATTCCGACTCGAGCGCCGCAGCAAACGTCGTCCAGAATGGCTGTGTCTTCCACTCGGAACCCATCGCCTTTGCCACTGTTCCGCGCGCGAACCTTATTGGCCTGCCATCTCCTTCCTTCTCATCCGTCTGACCCTCGTCCTTCTCCAGGTACCAGATGGTCTCGACGCCCGCCTCTACCAGATAGTCTCTCAGTCGCAGATAGTTCAACCCGACAGCTTGTACGCCATGCGAATCGTCCGAGAGGCACAACCTCCCCTGCATCCCCACAATCAGATCCAAAATCTCCCTCCCTGGATACGACGTGTTCCACCCCTTCCTGAAAGCAGCAGCGTTGCACTCGAATAGCGCGCCGTACTCGACGGCAAACCGCACGTTGCGTTCCACCTTGTCCCAGACATCTGGCGCATCGAGCTTGAGTTGCGGCGTGAAGAGTCGAAACAGGTCAAAGTGGCCGATCACCTCGGGTTTGAGTCGCTGCAGCACCTCGAGCTGGTCGTCGAGGTACCGGTTGATCAGTTGCAGGTGTGCATCCATAGAAGTGGACTGGAAGCTTGCAACAGACCTGTCGAAAGTCTGACGGTCAAAGTCGATGGGAATCGCATTCGTATGGTGGAGTGAGCCGACTATGTAGTCGACCACTCCCTTTCCGATCAGCTCCGGCTCAGTGCCCGCCTGGCTGCCCAGCACAGCGGTGAGGTAGTCGAGCGTCCCCGGACTGGTGATGTTCTCCGTCTCGCAGCCGACCAGCACATGCATCTCCTTCCCCGCATACTCGTTCTGCAGCCACCTCGCTGCCTCAAGATACTCTCGAAACGTTGCCCGGAGCGAATCTGGAGTGATGGACGCTTCGACCTCCTCCGGGTAGAGCTCGGTGGCATGTTGGCGTGGGACGTGCTCGCTAAGATGGAAGTGAGTGAAGGCTAATGCGTGAGCACGCTGCAGAACGGACGCGAGCGAGTCTTTGGCATGTGAGCAGAATTGACCGCTGTGCGAGTGGTTTGAGTGTGGCATGTTGGCCAGCAGCGTAGGACAGGTTGGTAGGTGCCCAAACAGGAAGAACGGGTCGAGGAGCGGACCCTGAGAGATGTCAGCTCGGGTGTCGGGCTGACGTACAGATCTACCGATACATACTTGCACAATGAATCGGGCAGATCCGCCATTTCGCCACAGCTGTCTCTTACCGCCGGCAAATCCTTATCAGATCTGGAGCGACCTCGCCGTCCTCGCCCCATTTTCACCGGTGATGCAGGCTTACCGTCAATCGAACGCCGTCACTCGGCCACCTATTTGCGTTGTTCTCACCAAGCAGAACAATCTGTTGAGCCATTGTTTTGAGCCGGCTGCTGAGGAAACAGGTCTCTGGGACCCGAGCACCGTCACATACTTCACTGGCAACTGGCACGTTGGAGCAGCAGGGTGCTTGGTGGCCTGACAGACCCTTTGCGGTCAGCAAGGGTTCGTGGGTCACGAGGGTCCACCAATGCGGCGCCAGAGTGGGGTAAAGCAGGGTGTGGGCCAAGCCATCGACGCTGTCTCAGAGAGGGGAAAGATGGGATGGTCCGCACTTGGCTGACGGTCGAGTCTGAAAGCGTGAGCTCTCCAGATATGTAGATGCGCTCTCTCAGGCTCTACGAAAGATGGTCCGACCACGCTGCGCCGTGAGGAAGGGAGCATGAGTGGGAGTCACGAGCCGTGCCTCGTTAAGCCTCACATCGTTTGAATTCAGCGCAGATCCTCCATTTGTATTGCCATGGTGGAGCAATGCAAGCCAGGTCCTTTTGCTCGGCTTTCTCTCCGGCGTAAATCTGAAAACTTCCAGGGCCAATTCGAATACAAACGGCCACGAGCGAGGATGCAGACCTTGAAAATCCTTTGGAAGCTTCGGGCGGACCCTTGGGTCAGCTCGCAGGCAAAGCGCCAGTCAAGAGCCTTGTTTCGCCCGACGCGAGGGTTGGTTGTCTAGCAGGAGGGGAAAAAAAGGCGAAATTGAACTCAGTTGCAAACTCAAAAAAAAAACGACCAAAATCACCAGATTTTGAACTCTTCGCGCTGGCTGGCGGAGTGTGGCAACGAGCCCTCTGCTCCTGTGCCTGACGGAAAAGCCTTGTTTCTGGCACGCGCCTGTTTGAGAAGCAAGGAAGATCTCTTTTGAATCAAGGCGCGTCGGCCACAACACATGCGCTGCTATCCTGCTTGTTGATACTCTCTCGAAACTTTTCTTTGGCAGCGCAGCCCTTTCTTTGTATTTGCAACTCAACCCACTGACGCACGCAAGCACCAGCTGATGCTTCTCTGTGTCTGCTCTGCGCCGGCAAAGTGGTTCCGTGGCAATCCACTTTCCGTCACGCAAGTCAGACGCGCTCAGGCTGGAAATGACCGAGCGTCAGGCCTGCGCTGCAAGAGGGAGAGTCAGGTCATATCTCTCTGGCTTTACAGCACAGATCAGCAGACATTGACAGCCACTGCAGCGCCTGATTTCTGGCCTTGGCGCAACAAGCGCAGTGACTCTGGAAACTCGTATCATTCGAAGCTCGACTCTGACTGAGAGAAGGAGAATGGATTTCTTGTGAGCGCTGCGCAGAACTAGTCAGGCAGGAACAGCAGCAGCAGACGGCGCTGCCAAATGGAAACCTTGAAACGGAGCGTGGGCGAGCGAGCAAGCGAGTGTCCTGAGCAAGGTTTTGAAGGTTTGCCTCTCGGCTTCAAAAAAGTGCAGTCGTTCGGCAATCGCGCCACCTTCTCATCCAAACTCGTCCGTGCCTTCCATCTTTCTCGCCTCTTACTCTCGCTCACCTTCACACCTCAACGTCGTTCATCCTTCTTTCATCCCGACATTCCCTCTTCGAGACCATCGCGCGTCCAACTCAAGCTTATTCGCGACCGGCAACGCCACGTTACGCTCGGCTCTTCGACGACGCTACTTAGACTCCTCACACCACCTTGATAGCGCTTCAGTGGCGTTCGATCTCGGCTCAATCTGCACAACAATTGTCTTCCACAGATACAAAGCTCATTGACCCACTGTCACCATTGTCGACACCGAAGACATCAAAAGCACCGTCGCGCTTTTCCTGCTATCTCAAGTGATACTTTCCCTGCTTCGGTCAAAGTCAGCACCCACCATCTCATTTGCGGTAATACGCTAATCTAGAAGCCTCTGACTTCGCGTAGCACATCCTTGGCGCAACCATCAAATCACCTTCGATCGACAACAACCCATTTCTCTCCACACGCCACACTTTCAACATGGATCTCGTTCTCGACATTGCCGACACCTACGCGCTCGACAAGGTCTGGGCCGCGGCCTGGCCTGCCTTGCCACGCTCCATTGCAAAGGATTCCTCCGCGTTGGCATCTCTCGCTTCAGCATCGTCGTCCAGCAACTTCTCATCCCTGCTCGGATTGAAGGACGCCGCAACATGGGCCGCATCGTCTAGCACGTCGGCGCTCTCGCCATCCAACTGGTTCGCCAACACTGTCCTCAAGGATGCCGTCTCGTCTTCTTTGAGCGGCGGCAACGTCGACTGGTCCGCACTGCAAGGCGTCTCGGCGCTACCAAGAGACAACATCATCCGACAGACTGTCTCGCTCCTCGTGCTCACCTACGTTGGCATCCTGGTCCTCTACTTCACATTTGCCGGTCTTTCCTACAAGTACATTTTCAACAAGGAGATGGAGAAGCACCCACGTTTCATCAAGAACCAAGTGCGACTCGAGATCGAGTCGTCCATGCGCGCCTTCCTCCCGCTCGACTTCCTCACCGTGCCATGGTTTGTCCTGGAAGTTCGCGGTCACAGCAAGCTCTACGAGAACATCTCCGACTACGGCTGGGGCTACGCATTGCTGTCTGTCCCCCTCTTCCTCCTCTTCACCGACTTCCTCATCTACTGGGTGCACCGCCTCGAGCACCACCCGCGACTCTACAAGCACGTGCACAAGCCGCACCACAAGTGGCTCGTCCCCACCCCCTGGGCTTCGCACGCCTTCCACCCGCTCGACGGCTATGCTCAGTCTCTGCCCTACCACATCTTCCCCTTCGTCTTCCCTCTTCACCGCGTCGTTTCGATCTGTCTCTTCGTGTTTGTCAACCTGTGGTCGATCTTGATCCACGATTCCGACATGATCTGCAACTCGCCGCTCGAAAAGATCATCAACGGTCCCTCGCATCACACGCTGCACCACCTGTTCTTTACGTGCAACTACGGCCAGTACTTCACGTTCTGTGATCGGGCCGGTGGATCGTACCGTGCGCCGAGGATGGAGGATGACCCGCTGCTGGCGGTGACCGCGGCGGAGGAGAAGGAGAAGGCGGCCAAGAAGAAGGCCGCTGCCGCTGCGGCCAAGAAGGCCGAATTGGGTAGCAGCGAGTCCGACGCCTCGAGTTCAGGCGATGAAGGCGTCGTGATCAAGAAGGAGTCGAGGAAGAACAAGTAGACGCATCCAAAGCAAAAGGAAGCAACCACATGAACATTTCATACATTATACCTGGCCGCTAGGATTGCGCCACCCACCCATCCTCTTGTACTCTGGATCGCTCGCTCCTCCAGCCACTTCCACTCATATTCGTCCTTAATCGCGCCCGCCTTCGAGGCAATGTAAATACGCTCTGTCGCACCAATCGCGTACAAAAGTCTCACAACTCTCTCGGTTTAAAGGCTCTGTGCCTTTCGCCCAATCGCTCTCACGTCAGACGTCTGTGAACCTTGATGTTGGGCCGAATTTTGTATTCCCGAAAGCTTCTAGAGACCCTTGTTGAACTCGACCTCTGTGACGGGGTTTCCATTAGCGTCCTTCAAGTTGTGGAATCGCTCCTCGAGGAGCATGGGGTTGATGCGGGCGACCTGGGGGAAGGTGGCGATGGCTGGGGGGAGGAAGACGAGCAGACTGGTGCCGATGAGAGTCAGATCGATGGCGCGGGTGAGGGCTCCGCTGGCCGGGATCACCTTGGCGCGTTGGAGGAACTTGAGGGCCAAAGGGGGCAGGATGAGTGTTGGAACTGTTTGGCGCAACCACAACGTTGTTAGCACTTGGCATCAATCCATCGGTGTTTGGGAGAGGAAGAAGGATGGGCAACTTACTGTTGGTCAAAACCCTACTTGCGGCGGTCATAGCCACGGCGCGACGTCCAGCAACACTGCTATCGCCAACATGCTGTCTCTGACCTTCGTCATCGCGTACAAACACGCGCACTCCATCCTTGATCTCCTTCCACCTCATACAGCTGATATTCACAATACCGGCGCTGGCGACACTAACGAACGGCACCAAACTCGTCAGAACACCCTTGACGCCCGGACTGACCCGCAGCTTGGGTACGCCTCTGGACATGCCCACTGCGATTCCCACCGCGCTCGTCGTAGCGGCAGCGTACGCCAGTCCTACCTCGCGCATGTTCATCGGCACGGATTTGTTGGCGTTGCTATAGTTGACCGCTACGTTGAGGGATTGATTGATCCACTGCCAGAAGACGATCCCGGCCAAACTGGGATTGGGCATCAACATGCCCCCGACCACGAGCAGGTTCGTGGGGACGAAGGCGGCCATTCGGAACGGCAACAGAATCACCTCGCCTGTATCCGGGTGGACGGACGAGTCGACCAGTTGGCGCGCTTTCCAGTACTTCTCCGCCTCCGATCGAGGCACGAGGTAGGTACCCGTCGTGCGATTGGTCGGGAACTTGGATTCGTAGTTGGTGACCAGTTCTTGGGCCGACTTGAGCTCGGCGGTGGACGCCAGGAGGGTGAGGGGCGAGGTGACCGAGGCAAAGTGAAGCAGGCGACCTTTGAAGGTGGATAGGTCATACCGGTCGTTTGTGATGTCCACCAGGTCGGCATCGGCAGCCGGGGTTTCCGAGGCAGAGTGAACGGCATAGCGCTGCCGTGCGATGCTCAGGAGGGGAGACGTCTCGGTGGCCGAGGCCGACGGCACCGCGCTGGAGGCCGACATGGTCTACTTCTGCTCTACACGATTCTACGAGCAGGAAACCGGAGGACCAGGATGGTGGTCTATGAACGAAGAGGTGGTGGGTGGTTATGACGACGAGGCTGGACTTCATTCGAAAGAGGTGACCTTGCAGCCGTGCGCGATTTAATTCACCGAAGAAAACAGGGAAACAAAATGGCAATCCACGTTCCCACCGACACGGCTCCAATCAAGCAGCCCTCGTCATCCTCGATACTGTATGAACGCAATCACACTCTCACGCCATCTTCGTCTGAGGATATTGTCATTGCTACGCCGACCACAGATGTGTCTCCGAGTCCCACGCAGTGCTCGCCACCAGTCCCTCTTGAAACAAGCTCCACGCGACACCCACGACGAACTCGGTATGTGTATCGTGAATCCTCCGCATCGACCCTGCTCCTCCCCCTTGTTGCGCACCTGGCGGGCCGGCCATCGCGGCCGCATCGGCATCCCAGATCCTCGCCGTCATGTCATAGCTCGCGCTCGCCAGCAGACTCGGCGAGTGGGGCGAGTAGGCCACTTTGCGAATCGCATACTCGTGGCCCATCAGTGCGGCTGTCGGAGTACCCATCTGCATCGGCGTCACTCCCGCTCCAGCCTGCGTTGCGCTTCTCAAATCCCATGTCTTGATGACCCGATCTGTGCTTCCCGTCGCCACCGTCATGGGCCGATACTTGTTCCAGTCCAAACACAAGACTTCCCCACCCACGGGCACGGCTATCGTCGCACTCCCACCCGGCTGTCGCAGGTCGAACAACCGCAAATGTCCATCCCCGCAAGCAGTCGCCAACACATCCGGATCGTGCGGCGAGAAGGCACATGCATACACGCACCCCGTGTGCGCCGTGATCGCGGTCAAACTCGCCCCTCTCTCCGGATGCCAGATCCGCACGGATGCATCCCAGGACGAACTCGCAAAGACGTCCTTCTTGATATTGTTCCAGTCGACACAGAACACCTCCCTCGAATGCTCAGCCCAGTTTCGAATCGGATGCGAATCCAGGGCGGTGTCCCAGAGCTTGATCGACCCGTCGCCCGAGGCGGTGATGAGCTGATTCTCGTGCGCCTCGGAGAAGGCGAGGTCGTATAAGCCATCCTGCGTGTCAAAAGTCTTTTCGATGACGAGCTGGGTGGAAGGGGTAAGGGAGAGGATGTGCAAGCGACCGTTGCCGACCAGACCGTAGTTGGCGGACGAGGCGACGGCGAGACGCGCAGGGAAGAAGGGCGAAAAGGCGATGCCGTAGCCGGCAAAGCCCTGCGTGCGCAGGCGTGCGAGCGGCGGCTGTGGCGGGTACATCGTGGGAAGAGCAACAGCGACACTGTCTGTGATAGGACCGACCGAACTACCAAGATTGGAGCTGCCAATGGGAAGGGGAGCTTGTGGTGTGTGGTACCGTCCCCGTGAGCGATTCGATGAGCGTTTGACTTGGTAGTTCGAGCTGCCTGGGCTGAGACGCAGAGAGTTTCGGTGAGCCGCAGCGATGCAAGGCTAAACACGGGAAAGAGGATGAGTCCGGCTCGAGCAAGCTCGATGTGTTGCAGCTGAGGTTGGCTTGAGGTCGACGAGAAGGATGGTGTGAAGAAGATCGCTCTCCAGCCAACGTCTTCCGGGATACGTGGACGGTCGTGCGCCGAATAGCCGAATCAAAGCGCTTCCCTTTTCTCCGCATTATTCTCCACTTTTTCCCACAAAAAGGCAAAAAGAATATTGGTCGAACTGGGATTCGAACCCAGGATATACTGGAGGTGTTGCCATAAACGTGGCCAAGAAAGCTCTGTCAAGTTCTTGAAGCCAGCCCCATAACCACTCGGGCATTCGACCGGGATATGGGGTCAAGGCCATGTGTAGCAATAGAATACCATGCTGTCAGAATGTTGGGATCTCAATCCCGCGGAACTCTTCTGGCTCGTGTCGAGGCGGCAGAGTCAAGATACCTTCTGCTGGGACTCGATGTCGTGGGTCACGCCTTGTATCTGTGCTGTGCAGTCACAGACCCTGCTATCTCGATTTGCACCCATGTGAAACGATTGCCGACGACGGCCATGCATCCATGCAGGGAATCTCAGGCCGACATGCAGCTTCGATGGGACCACCGCCGGAATTCCCGTGAGAAATCCGAAGAATTGAGTTCGGAGCGACGGTGACTGACCCCACACACCGGCAAACAGCGTCTTCCCACGATCGATGACAGCCTCTCGCTCATCAACGTCAGACTGTACCACTGGAACGTGTGATGTGGTATGCGTTTAGACGTGCGAAGGTTGTTGTCACGCCGGTGTCGGTGACTCGCTAGCTAATCGTAAGGGCGTAGCTCAAGAGGCTAGAAATAGACGCTCCTCTGCCAACCGCGGAAAAATGTGTCAACCGAGCGGCAAGAGGTGTGTGCGAGTGGTCTACGCCGATCCGAGCGCTGCGACCCCCGTGAGAAGTGCATACAGATGACTAGTCCACTTCGCATGGCTGGTCGACCTCGCATCGTATTGTCCGCCCGAGCGCAGCGCCGCTGGTGGAAGCCGTGGCTTGGGAACGGGTCACAGGCGTGGCTGATAGCGGTTCATCTAGTGGAGTCGAGCTTCCGTGGCTGGCCCTTGCTCACCTTGAAGCTAGATCTCGAGAAGCTGAGCTTAAGAAGGGTCCACTCGGTATCCATCCTCTTCCCTCCCTCACTCCATCCCTCGCTCGCACCAGGAGCTCAACTCAACTCCACTTCCTTGCCTCTCTCTCCTCTTCCTGCTCAACATCTTCATACCCTCTCGCTCATCAATCGCTGGACCCTCTACCCCTCCACTTGCGCATAGGCGGGCGCATGCAAGCCATGACCTCCAACCTCTTCGCCGTGTCCACCCAGGGCATGCTCATCGGCTCGCCCACCTTCTGGTCCGCCGCGGTCATTCTCGTCTCCCTCTTGCTGTGGAACCTCTTTCGTGCGCCTTCCCAGCTCTCTCGCTCCGACGCCGTCCAGTCGTACCGCTCCTCTCTGTTCCCCGGTCTGGGCCCACTCCAATTCTACTCGCAACGTAACACGTTCCTTCGAAGCATCTTTGGCGACCCGGAGCACTGGAAGGAATCGCCTCCCAAGCAGAATGGGGTCCGCGTCAATGCGCGCGGTCACGTTGTCACAATCACCAACAACCCGCCCCAAGATGGCAAAACGTTCTTCAACGACCGCGGACTGCACTTCAACAAGGGGTACGAGGTCATGTTCGCTGGCATCCCCGAGATGCCCAGTTTCCTCAAGAGCAAGTCTGCCGACGGCGAGGAGAATCCAGCCGACACCTTCGCGACCAACCTCAGAAGTGCGATCAGCGCCAAGCGCCTCGAGGGCCAATTGCCCGCCATGATCAAGATCATTGTGGACAACTTTGCGCTCTTTCCGGCCAAAAACGGAGAGGTGGATGTGCACAAGACGATCTACCCGCTGGTGTTTCAGATCAGCGTACTGCTGCTCGGGCTGGCGGAACACGCTCGCGACGTCAACGCGGCCAAGGCGCTCGAGGGACCTTTCTGGTCATTTGCCGACAATACGGGGTACATGGCCACCCACTTCCCGCTGCTCCCCTGGCCGAGCACGGTCAAAAAGTGGATCGGCGCCATCCGCATGTCCGCCGAGATCCGCTCCACCGTCGAGAAACGCATCAAAGAGGGCCGAAGGGAAAATGACTTTGTCCAAGAAATGATCGACCGCGGCTCGGGCATCAAGAGCATCGAGGATTTCGTCATGGGCAGTCTCTTTGCGGCCATCATCAACTCGACGGGGATCACGTCGTATTTCTTGCTCTTCCTATGCGCCCGTCCTGAGCTGCGCGATCGCGTCCGCGGCGAGATGGAGGCCATGATCCGCACCCACGTCGAAGAACGGGGCGAGGACTGGAACGCGTTGTCCCTCCAACAGAAGCTCGACTGCGTGCCCCTCACCGCGTGGGAAGCCGACCTGCCCATCTACACCTCCGTCTTCGACGAGACCATGCGCATCCTCATGATCTCCATGCTCTTCCGTCGCAAAGTCACAACCTCATCCAAAGCGACCCAGACAACAACATCGATCGCCTCATCCAACGTGTTGGATCGCGAATTCGTCGGCTTCTGGCTCGCCGCCGCCCACCGCAACAACAACATCTATTCGGACCCGACCAAGTTCGACCCGGACCGCTTTTCGCGAGGCGAAGGCAAGGGAGAGGGCGAATTCGTTCCCTGGGGCAGCGGCAGGCATATCTGTCTCGGAATGCGCTTCGCGAAATTGGAGATCCGGGCGGTCCACGCCGCGTTTCTGATGAACTTCCCCGATGCAGCGACGACCGATGGGAACGGCAAGAGGTACGGGCCGGACGAGGTCCCGTTCCCAGACCAGGAGAGCGAGCACAGGAGGTACCCGCAGAAGCCCGTAGGCCTGTCGTACGGCGTTAACCCGCTTAGCAAGTGAGGAGGAATCGTATCATGGTTGGGTGGTCGCCTTGTTTAGTCGTAATTGCAGCATCGTATCTCCTTCCTTCCAGTACGTCTGGGTTCTTGGGATGGGCCTGAAGACTGCACTTCTAGCGCTGAGTCGAGCCTCGCAACCTGGGCAGGGACACGTTCGAGGCGTCAACCGTTGCAGGACTGCGTCCAAGAGCTGGGATTGGCCTGCGGCGGACTTGTCTGACTGGCGTCTGTTGCCGAGACGGACACGCCGACGGACCTGTTCTGTCTCCAATCTGCGGCTCGTCCACGCCGACCGTGCGCGTCGATGAGCTGAAGTCCTTGAACAGCCTTCCTGCGCTGGAGCTATTCATCTCGCCTCAGACACAGACCACTTTGTGCCAAACATTACATTGCAAACTATCAAATCCATACCACCGTTCCATCAAACCTTGAAGAAGGGATTGTTATCCCCACCCGCGCCACCACCCTGCTGACTACCACCTGCATTGGTGTTGGCATTGAAGTTCATGCCGGTCTTCTGCGCCTGCATCTGGTTGTACCTGGCCATGTTGGGGCCCATCCTCATATCTCCCGTGTTGCCGAACGTGTCGACGCCGTCGCCGAGCGCCAGCAGCCGGTTCAGCTCGTTGTACTTGCCGTCGTCGGTGACCTTTGCGCGGACAGGTCTGTTCTGCTGCGGGGCGGGTTGCGGGGATGGTTCCGGTGCGGGTTGCGGCGCGGCTTGAACAGGCGGAGGCGTGGGAGCCGACGAGAAGAGATCGCCAACCGGCACATTATGCTGCTGCTGCTGCTGGCCGCCAGACTGAAGCCACGGGTTGTTGGATCCAAACGACGTCTGTTGCGGTTGCAACGGCTGCTGTTGCTGCGTCATCATGTTCTGATACTGCACCGCAGCCTGTTGGAGCTCCATCTGACGCTGGTACTCGGCCTGCTGCTGTTGCATGTACTGCTGCTGCATGAGCTCCTGCTGCTGCAGCTGGTTCTGGAGGAACGGGTTGTAGCCTGTCTGCTGCATCTGGAGGTACGGGTTGAACGAGGTGTATTGGGGCTGGAGACCGTAGTTCTGGCCGCCCGAGGTGTCGACGAGCGGGTTGCCGAAGAAATCCACCTGCTGGTTCTGGGTATACGCGTTGGGACCATCCAGATTGATCGAATCATCGAAAAGCGCGTTCTTGTTGGCATCCTCGAGTGCCTTGATGCGTTCCTCCTCCTCCTTTTTGGACAGGGCGAGTGCGCGCTGCAGCTCATCCTCGTCCTTGGCATTGGCACGGATGCGATCCTGCTCCTCCTGCGCCATGCGCTTGGACTCTTCGATGGCACGTCGCAGCTCATCGTCCTCGTTGTTGTTAGGTCGGCGACGATTCCTGTCCTGTTCAGAACGCCTTCTCCTCCTCTCCTCGTCCTCGTCATCGGGACCGTTCGACATGCGATCGCGCATGTGCGAGCGAGAACGTCGCTCGTCGCGCAGACGCGCCTCATCCTGGAGCAGGTTGGTGATGTCCTTGGCCTTCTGTCGGACGTTGGCGCCCTGATCCTTGCCGTTCTCGTCAATGTACTGGAACTCTTTGAGCGTCTTGACAATGTAGATGTTGTCGCGGAAGTAGATGACGACGTTTTCGGAGCCGGCGTGGAGGAGGTAGTCGAGCAGGGTGAGCGACTTGAAGACGTGGCGCCAGTTCTTGCCCTTGTCGTTGAGACGCTTGTCGAGGATCTCCATCATCTCGATGAATTCGTTCTGGTTGTAGGAAAGCTGTGCGAGCTCGTTCATCTGGGTGCCACTGGGACCCCAAGGATCGTTGGAGGTAGCATCACGAACCTTGACCTGCACGTCTGAGTAGCCCTTGATGTAGTTCTTGCCGACGCGGACGGCGGATTTTGAGATGTTTTGAAGCGACATGGTGGTGTGCTATCAGTCGATGAGGTGTACGAAAGAGCTGAGCTGGCTGCAGCTGACGGATGTGCCGTTGCTGACAAGTTGGGCTCGGGAATCGCCGATTCGTTCTTGAGCAGGGACGCTGTAGATCGAAAGGGGATCGAGACGCTGCTCTTAGAGAGCTGCAGATGAAACACGAAAGCGGTTCGGAAGGTGCGAGAGCTTATCGCTTGCCGAGTCGAGCGAGTGTGACTTTAGAGAGGGAGACCGTCGAGATTGCGCGATTTGGTCTGCAGGTGTGGAGTTGCTGCAATACAATACGGCGCCGAGCACTTGAACACGTCGTCGGGGACTAATCGTGATTGGACGGATGGACGCAATCGTCGGACGAACTAGGTTGGTGGTGGGAGAGGTTGAGATGAGGTCTGAAGTGGAAAGGACGTCCTCGATGCATGGGAAGGGTTGGTTGGTGGGTGCTTGAGCGAGCTAGCGGTGCTCGGCGAGAGCGGGCCATCGGATGCTTGGCTTGTTCACACCTGCACGGTTGCGTGCGTGCCGTCTTGAACTCGTGAGCTGTGCATTGCTGTGTTTGCTGACCGCTTGTCAGCTCAGGAATGTACTCATGTGCTGCCTCGGGATTTTGGACCAAATTTCAAAATAGCTCACTCAGGAAGGGAGCGGCGATCTGGCCTGCCTGCCGATTGCCTGCCTGTCTGAGTGTGACTTCTTGAAAGGGGCGGTGCAGCCAACGCGTGGGAGCGCAATTTCCACTCCGTCTGAGCGCGAAAGCGGGCCCACGCGTGGCATTTTGCTTGAGCACCACTCTTCCATCGCGCTCTGCTGCCTCGATTTCAGATCTGACGGCGCAGAGGGAGCAAAAGCGACTTCATAAGTCGGCATGGTCTTTTCGCATCAACGCTTTGTCTTGTTCTTTCCGCTCTTCTCGTAGATTCTGCTCAACCTTGTTTCTTCCTGCGCAGAGACGGTCTGCAAGGCCGTTGTGGCTCGAGAGATGAGATGCGTACAAATACCTCCTTTGGTCTCGTGTGTGTTGCTGAGAGACCTTTCGACGTGTCGTCATTCATCGTCTCCTCTGGGCCCGACAAAGCTACACAGGAATCGCCGTTGAGACGATAGCTTCCTGTCCTTCATCTCCCAAGTCGACAGCCCCCGGTTTTCTCGCCGACATGATCATCTTCGAGCTGAAAGCCAGCCCACTCGACAAGGACGGCGACGAGCTCGACTGGTCTATCCTCTCCGAAAAGCCCGACCCATCCACCATCGACGTCAAGAAGGAGACCGATGCTCTGTTCGCCATCCACCTCGAGTGTCAGCAAAGATCGGAGAAGAATCCTGAAGGCCCTTTTGATCCCGAAGACAGTCCTGCCAAAGTTTTCGCCAATGCCGCAATCAAGTGGCTGTCCGTGACGGGCGGATGGGACAATATCGACAAGTCGATTCGCGACAGGTACCCTGAGCTCTTCCTCGATGCCATCAGACTCTACAGCCACAACATCCCCGTGCTGAAAGCCTACTCCGAGGCGCTCAAGCAGAGCAAGGCCCAGCTCGAGGCTGATGCGGCTTGCACATCGACGATTCTCCGAATCCCGCGCCCCTACGACATCGGCAGAGCCACTTACGAGCTCTGGGAGACCGCCCACCGATCGATTCGCCCTGAAGGGACCTGTCCTAACAAGATCGACGATCACTTCATCCGACTCGCCGATGTCTGGTGGCGCGAGACCGGTGGACCGGCCAACATCGACCCCGACATCCTCGCCCCTTACAAAAGCTGGTTCATCGGCAAGCTCATCATGCACAGACACCATCAAGAGATGTTTCGCCAGACAGAGCTCGACTCGGCCATCGATCCGCTCAAGTTCGACGTCGAGAGCGCGACCCGAGACCTCTTCAAGCGTGCCGAGCAGCTTCACTGGCTCGCACGGCTCATGTCGGGCGTAGCGGCCATGCAATCTGACTCTCCGGTGGCCCAGCACGAGAAGGACCTCCGCCTTCGTGAGGTTCATTGGTGCCAGATGACCGGCGGATGGCAGAACGTGGACAAGCAGATTCGAGACAGCTACCCTGAATGGTTCGTCAAGCGCCTTGCCGACGTCAACAAGTCACTGCCCCTCGCCAAGCTGATGGCCTACGAATGGTGGCACCGCGACTTTGTCAAGGAGCACAACAAGAACGACTAATTGGAAGATCTTGACATCTTCGCGTATATGCTGCCCTATTGTCCTCCGTAGCTCTTGTACCTTCTTCTCGCCTCTTTCTTCTCCCTTTCAATTTCAAAGGCAGCTTTGGTCCGTAGATCACGTACACAATCAACTTTTGGCATCCTTGAGCCTCAGCGAGATAGGATTCCCTGCTGCGCGCATGCAAAGCGCTTCAAATTTTCGGTGGCGTATGCAGCTCTCACGGGCACGTGCATGGTTGCAACCCTTTAATTGTGACTGCGCAGAAGGGAAGGAAATGCCCACTTCATTTACTGTAGTCGACATCGAGCTTGCGCTTGAAATCCTTGATCTTGCCGGTTCTCATCCCTGCACTGGCTTGCTTTCCCCTTCGCCCCTGCTGCGCAGTCGCAAAAAGACAGCGTGAAGAGGTTCGTTCCCTCAGTCTTGGCTGGAAGGTGCACAAGGTCTAAATACCCTCGTTTTGCGAGACATCGGCGTCCAATCCATACCGTCCTCGTCGTCAAGCATCGTTCCCAAGCAGGCGGTCCGCTGAGCCACTGAAGCAGCTGTTCAGCATACAGCTGACGTCTCGAACCTCTTTTGTTGTCTGTCATCACTACACTTGTCATCTCGGGAGAGTAGCCAAGATGATGTTCGATATCGACTACAAGCTCTTCGGCGACGAGCCCGACGATCGCGACAACCTTACTTCGATTCCGCTGGCTAGTGCCGCTGAGCGAGCCTCCTTCGACGTTGCCAAAGAGACAGAGATCCTGTATCAAATCCATCTTTGGAACAATCGCGACATCGCAGCCATCCCGAACCCCACCGGTATACACAAGTCAACCACTGCTTTCAGGCGTGCCAGCGTCCGCTGGTGGAGCATGACTGGGGGCTGGGAAAATGTCGACAAGTCGATCCGCAAAAAGTACGACAACTATTTCATCGCCGCAGTCAAGTTGCACAACGACATGGTTCCTGCGGTGAACGCCATGATTCGCAGTGCCAAGCAGCGCAATGCCAAAGAGAAGGCAGATGCCGCGCTCAATGCTGCGGCTACCGCCGCCGGCTTCAAGCCGACTTGCTCCATCCCCGAGGTCAAGCGTCCCTTTGACGCAGCTGGCGCCACCGAGGCGCTCTACAGGGTTGCTCAGCGAGCGGTCTTCGCCAGCGGTCCCGAGATCGAGATGCTCTTTGAAACACTGGCCGACATCTGGTGGAAGGAGACGGGTGGACCTGAGCGAGTCGGCAAACGCATCATGAGCGGCTACCCATCCTGGTTTATTGGCAAATTGGAGCTCTTCAAGGTCGATCACGAGAAAAAGGCTAGGTGGCATTCCGAGCCTGGATCAGCCTCTGGTTCACAGAATTGTCGCGCCTACGACATCAAGCGAGAGACCCAGCACCTCTTCGAGTTGGCCCGGAAACGCTTCCCTCGCGCGCCCAATGGCTTGAAGGACCGATGTCCTTCGATGCAGTTGGAGCTAGGGTTCCAGATTCAAGTGAATCGCTGGTGTCAGATGACAGGCGGATGGGACAAGATCGACCAGGCTATTCGTCAGCGCTATCCAAAGTGGTTTGTGGATCATGTAGCCGACACCAACAAGAAGCTCCCCTTGGCCAAGCTCATGGGTTTGGACCAATGGGCCAAGCGCACTATCGTCAAGTAGAAGGCGAGTAAGCCGAACGCTCGGTTTCGCTTCGCTCTGGCCAGTCCTTCTGTCGTGACCAAGGGGCTTATTACACTTTCTGTCAATCTTCCGATCCTGCAGACCAAAGCGCGACATGCTCTTTACGTGTCAGCACACGCACATGTCCTCCCTTCCACCACTCGTTTAGAAAAATCCGCGTCGTTCAATACGCAAGACCCGATAACGTCCACAAGCCAAGTGGATGCAATTGCAACACAGACTTACGATGTCCATTTCAAAATGGAGATGCCGTCCTGACGCCGACGCCAGACTGTGACTGTGCCTCATCATACCTGAGATGTCAAGGTGCCTGAACATCGGCATAGTGCCTTGCTTGCACCCCTGACGAGCTAGACGACAACCGGCGGAAGACGTTCCCCCGTCAACGAGTGAATCTCTCACAGTCAACGAGGAGAGCCCGGTTGCTTCACAGCGCATGCACCTCCGAAGCAGCTCCTGGACTCCACCCGTGTTCTGCGCTCCGCTGCCTTGAATTTTTGCCGAATGTGACTGCTCGGGAAGGGAAATGCGCCACTTCCTACGTCGACACGCAGCTTCGGCTCGTTAGCCTCATGCTTTCCTCTCCTTGTCTGCGCAATCACAGTCCGACTGCGCAATGTGGCCTGCTCCCTTGCTCTGGCTAGAGCAAGCGAGGTGCGGAAGTTACTTGACCCTCACCTCTGGGCTCGACCCGTCTTCATCGCTTGCCACCTCACATCGCGAACCTTCTACCGAAGAGGCACGCCTTCTGTTCAGGTATCAGCCATACTCAGCCCCCAATCGCCCTGCTCTTACGCCGGCCATCTACAGACCTTTCACATCATCAAGATGATGATGGACATTGATCCCAGCATCTTTGGCGACGTCGACGACGACAGCGACCTTTTCGACAAGATCCCGCTTGCCAGTGCTGCCGAGCGAGCCAGCTACGATGTCGCCAAGGAGACCGAGATCCTCTATCAACTGCATGCAGAGGTTCAGCGAAACAAAGTAGGTGTCAGCAGTGCCGCCATCCGCGGGGATCTCCCGCAACCTTTGCCTGGTAGCGACGATCTCTTCAACCTGGGCTACAAGTGGTGGAGAATGACCGGCGGTTGGGATAACGTCGACAAGTCGATCCGCAACAAGTACTCCAACGAGTTCATCGGAGCTGTAAACCTTGTGCAGAACCTCATTCCTGTCTTCAACACGCTCGCTAGGGAGGCCAGAAAACAGAACGCCGCCAAGAAAGCTCGTGACGCTGCCGCCGCCGCCACCGCCGCCACCGCCGCTAGCAGCACGCCTGCTTCTGCCGCTCCGAAGCGCGAGGGGCCCTTTGATGTCGTCAACGCCACCGAGTCACTCTTCAAAGTGGCCGAGCGAACGATTGTCACTACCACCGCAGCTCCTGGCGAAATCGAGTTGCTGTTCTGCAAGCTCGCCGAGATCTGGTGGGAGGAAACCGGCGGACCAAAGCAAGTTGACCAACGCATCATGCGTGGCTATCCTACCTGGTTCATCGGCAAGCTTGAGATGTTCAAACACCAGCAAGATGCTAAGGAGTACCGCGCGCCCGCGACTGGCCCCGATCCCTCCTCCAAGGCGACCAAAGTCTACAACGTCGAAGAAGAGACCCAGGCCCTGTTCGAGAAGGCCAAAGTGCGCTTCCCAAATGCCCCTCAAGGCATGGATGACAAGTGCCCTTCGTTCCAGCTCGCCATGGAGTTTGGCTGTCAGCTGCTATACTGGTGCGAGATGACCGGCGGCTGGGACAACATCAATGGCAGCATTCGTCAGCGCTACCCCAAGTGGTTCGTCGACTATGCGGCCGAGATCAATGCCAAGCTGCCCGCTACCAAGCTCGAGGCGTTTGAGGGCTGGGCCAATCGCGTCGTGATCAAGTAACACCGTCCAGGTCGGCACCCTGGAACATCAGATCGCTCTGGTCCTTCCGGGTCTTTGACATTATTATCGATCTTCATCCTAACCCCCAAAGGCTGCTAGCTCCGCGAGCGAGCACGCACACGTTCTCTCTCACCTCTCTGTAACAAGCGCGCATCGTTCGTCAGACCCGACCATGTCCACCAGCCAGATGGATGCAATCGCAACTCACGCTTACGATGCTCAACTTTGGCCGTGCGTCACCACACGCGAGTTGCCCAGCCACTTGTCTGCAAAACTGCTTCGGTTACATCCGCGACCAGGACCGCCTCATCAGGCGAAGGTAGAGTACATCCCCGCCCACCCTATCAACGGCGCACCGACCCTCGACCATACCCGTTCTGCAGCGCATCCAACTCGGCCTCGAGCGCCTTGACCGTACTATGCGCTGTCTCAAGGTCCTTGTTCAACCTGTCCCTCTCGGCAATCAGGTGCTGTTCCCACTGTCGGAACCTAGCCTCCTCCAATTTCACCTGCTCTGTAAATCGCTTCCTTAGCATCTCCTCCTCCTCCTTGAACTTGGGGTTGTCCAACTTCTTGACCTTGGGTTCGCCGAACTTGCGGGTTTCCATCTGGGCCTGACGGTAGTTTTCGTAGTGGAGTTCCTCTGTGGTGTTGATGAGATCGAGCATGTGGGTGCGAATGAGGAGGGAGCGGAGCTTTTTGAAATCGCAGTGGTCTTCGTTTTCGACCTCGGCGGTGCCCCAGAGGTACTGGCGGCCTTTGGCGGTGCGACCGTCGGCGGTGGTGATGTCGGTGGTAGAGCCGATGATGGAGAACGGCATGGCGGACATGAGCAGTTTGGCGTGGTCCGCGCTGGCTTCGTCGTCGGCTTCCAAAGGTGGCGAGTAGACGCGGATGTTTTGCGTCGAGATCGCTTCGCGGATGCGCTGCTTGAAGATCGCCAGGTCGGCCTGCGTCAGCGTGTCCGCTTTGGCGATCACGGGGATGAGGTTCACCCGAGTGCCAAGGCGCTTCATGGTTTCGATGTCCAATGGCTTGAGTGTGTGACCCGTGGGACGGACAAAGTATAGACACGCGTGGACTCGCAAATCCGTCTTCTCCCGCCTCTCCGGCTGCTGCTCCTGTCGCATATACAGCTCGTGCTGATCATCGATAAAGTCCACAATGGGCGTCCAGCTGTCACGGTTGTTGACATAGTCGCCGAAGCCGGGCGTGTCGATGACGGTGAGCTTGACCTTGAATTGCTTCTCCTCGAGCTCGGCCTTGATGATGTCGATCTCGACCGTCTTGTCGAGCTGCTTGGCGTGACGGCGCGTGTGGTCCTTGCCGGTGGCGAGCTCGGTGCTGAACAGCGTGTTGATGAGCGTCGTCTTGCCTACACCGCTCTCACCGACCACCATGAGCGTGAAGTGGCCACCCGCCTTGGCCACGATCTTGTGCCGCTGGTTCGGCAGGTTGGCGATGCCGATGCCGTTGGACGCCATGGTTGCAATTGTGCGTGCGTGTCGGTATTGAAAGATCTACTGCTGCTTGCTGGATGTGTAGCGCTACCTAGACGATCGATGCTGGTCGAACGCGTATATGATGAGACGACCGAGTCAGATATGATACACAGCGAAGGGGACGATGATGGTAGTGACAGCCCAATAGTGTTCTTTGCACAGCCAACCTTCTTTCTCGCTGTCAGTCAGGCTCACACGCACGCACGCCGCTCTCAGTCCGTGCGTGTTTCACCTTTAGAGCAACACACGCCCTTTCACCGCGCTTCTGACACCAATTCAAATTCACGAGGTCGGATTTGAATTTCCAGCTATCAACTTTGCCGCTGGCTAATGTTTTGTATTCAATTGTTGGAAGAAAGCAAGCCCCTCTTGCTCGTGCTCTCTCACGACCAAGACGATACTTGTACCTCCTCCATCTTCGGCAAGATCCAACGGGTTCAGACAGCAGAGACACGCCGAGGGCAAGATCCAACGGGTTCAGACAGCAGAGACACGCCGAGGGCAAGATGCTGGTGATACATATAACCATGTTCCATGAATACAGCCAAGACGATGCGATAGAAGTGTACAGAATGCGATGCGAAGCGGAAATGCTGATGACCTACGGCAGCGAACGAGCATGCAAAGAGACAATGAAGGTCAGCGCTCTTGATCTCTTGGATTGCACGGCATGTCGACGTCAAGGGCTCAGTTGGTGATGCATGTTTTGAGCAAAGCGATCTTAGCCCCGCCACTGCGAAGGCTCACAGCTCGGTGTAATAAGAGTATGGGAAATACGTTCATCAAAGCCCGTATATAGATCGAAGGGTCGGCGCGACGGAAGACACTTACGATGTGGGTCGGGAATGGCTGACGAAGCTGACGAGAGAAGCCAGGTCGGGTCCTCAGATGCAGTGAAAGATGCTATGGAAGCGTGATGACAATACCGTTAAGCGACCTTGTCAGTGCCTTGTTCCCTTGTAATGGACCGTGTCCCAACGACGTGGATATCGCCAAATTGAGGGAAGATGGATCATAGAGAAGATTAATGCATCTACGGACGGTCGGGGCTGCAACTCATCCTTTCGACCCTGCAGTCCCAACTGACGCAGCCGACGAAGAGACAGCGCGAAGGCTACACACCGTGACGCCAACTCGATATCTTTCGCATGCCGCCGAAGCGAGTTAATCGACACCAAGTTGAAGCAGCCGCGACGGCCTAGACACGCCGAGCGTCCCTCTGACAACCACGCAGCTCGGAAGGAGGAATCGAAAGGATGGAGCCTGGAACGGAAACCGAACCCCATCAAGCCCACAAAGGAGCGACAAGGTTACATGCTCCCGCCGTATCCAGGCTGCGGCAGGCACCCCACCCCCTCAGAGAATGGATGAACTAGTTTTAATCATGAAAAAGCCCGGGGCGGTTCCGGTTGCTTGCTCGTGAGGGCGGTAGCTGGTGGTCCGACTGCGACCCGGACGTCGCAGAAGTCGTGCGCTACTAACCTTGAGATGCGGTGCCGAGCGGCGGATGATGACCCAGGCTCGATACGAGCGCGATGAATGTGACTGACGTCGGAAGGTGCAAGAAGGACAAAGGAGTCAGCAACTTTGCGCAATCTACTGAGTTCCACGAAAAGGAGCAGAGAGCAGATTGGACAGGAAGAGCAATGACAATGACCAGAGCTCGTCCTTGTAGCCATCGACCCTTTGTCGAGTACAGATGTTGTACCCGACACAAGTGTCATATTAAGTTTTGGTATTGGTATAAGTTGTCCACAAGAGGTTGCGAAGTCTCTATTCGGAAGCAGAACTGTAAAAGTTTAAATCTAATCCTTCAAGGGGTCGAGGGTCTGACTGCGAGGGTCGCTTCTGGGCTGCTGTTCTCCGTCTTTCTGCTCTGGTTGCTCCTGCTTTGTTGCGCAATGGTGATGCTTACCTTTGGTACCGATGTAATTGGTGGCAAGTGCCATGCTGAGAGGCATGATTACGCAGCTGCTGCGACCGTCTGGTTGGCTGTCTCGATCGTGTTCGCTGGTGGCTCATCGTCATCTTCGAAGTCGATGGGATCGAAGACGACTCGGATGATCAACGAACAGCTAGGACACCTTGCGACGTCCTCGGCATCCTTGAGCTGCTGACGCGTGATCTCGAATCGATCGCCGCAGGGGCAAGGGTAGTGGAACAGATCCTTCTCCTCGTCATAGGACATGTCCTCGAGCTCGATCTCGTCGTAGAAAGAGACCGGCATGATGTATGTGTTGCACGTTTGAGGTCGTCACCTGTGTGTATGATTCCCCAGTCGGAAGGACGGAGATTGCTGTCTTAACGAGGAGGCCAGCTCCAATGCGAGAGCTGCTGCTAAACGCAAGGGTGTCGGAGCGTTGCGATGTGTTTGCTTGCGAGAGTTCGAGGAACCTGTCGAAGTTGACGAGAAGACGCCGGGTATACTGATCCAATGGAATGGGATGAAGGAGAAGGAAGAGAAAGGGTTTCAGCCGTTTCTTGCAAAACCTCGAATCAAAAGCTTCCTATGACTGCGGCCTCAAATTTTTCGGTGTCGTCTGGCCAAAAAAAAGTACGGCTGAGTCGAGAAGGGTGGTCGATTATCGTGCGAGATTATGAAATTGTTAGAGCGCTCTTTTCACGGAATATACTTTTCGACCTCCACCTCGAGCTTTCACTTGAGACCCACAGCCGCCCAAAAAAGCAGCAGCCACTCACTCACGACTCACATGCATGTCTGTCAAATGCGCAGCACCCTGTACGCTTTGCCAACGACGAACGTCTCTGCTTCAGCTCCTTCATCAATCGATCGATCCGCCCTCGCGACTCACGACAACACACCTTCGAGAAACCATCTACGCGCCTTTACATCGTTGCACACATCCTTCCACTGAGCCTCGAACACATTCTAGCGCCCTCTGGACCCTTTCACCAACAATGTCGGCCTCGAACGACGTGCCGACGCTCAAGATCCTTCTCATTGGCGCCTCCTCCGTGGGCAAATCATCCCTCCTCCTTCGTTTCACGGACGATGAGTTCCTCGCATCTGAAGAGACCACTGCGACCATCGGAGTTGACTACCGGATCAAAGGCATAGAAGTCGGCCGTAAGCGTTTCAAGCTTTCGATCTGGGACACAGCAGGTCAGGAACGCTTCCGCACCCTCACCTCGTCTTACTACCGCGGCGCGCAGGGCGTCATCATCGCCTACGACGTGACGCAGCGGGACACCTTCGATGCTCTGCCGACGTGGTTCAACGAGCTCGAGACGTTCACCACCAGCGATGACGTCGTGAAAGTTGTGGTGGGCAACAAGGTGGACAAGGAGCTATCGCGAGTGGTGACGACCAAGGAAGGGGAGGAGTTCGCGGAAAAGATGGGGTGTCTGTTCGTCGAGTGCAGCGCTAAGAAGGGTGTTGGGGTGAATGGAGCTTTCGACGAACTGGTGAATCGGATCGTCTCGACACCGAGTCTGTGGCAGAAGACAGCGCCGGGTGAGAGGAGACCAGGGGATAGGATGCCCGGTGGCGTACCGGCTGCTCACGCTGCGGACAGCAGTAGGGGGAACATCTCATTGACGGACAGAGAAGGCGTTGTCGGGTATGGGCTGGGCGTTGCAAGAGATAACTGCAATTGCTGAACGCTTCACTGCCAACTTCAGTCGCTATAGATTGCATGGATCCGCATTCAGGAACACCTCTCGCATTCATCCGTCGCATCCATCCACCCTCTCATCAGTCCGGACTCTGCAGCTCACACGCAAGCCATTATAGGATCCATCACCTGTCGCTCCACACTCATGTAGATAGCTCACTCTTGCATCACCGTATACCACGTCAGTCTCGATAATCGAATCATCCACAGCGCCGATGGCGGTCACTCTCTTGTTCCGTCACACAGTCAACACGAATCCTTGAGCATGAGCAAATCCATCAAATTAGACACACGACCTACAAAAGAGCGATAGAATCCTTCCATCCTGAAACCTAAATGAGTGTGTGATACGAGTCAAGAGGGGGAAGCAAGAACGTGCCGGGGGCGGCGGGATCACTTGTTACGCTTGAAGCGCTTGAAGAAGCCGCCTTTGCCACCTGCGCTGCTGGCCTTGCCGGAGATGGCGGGAGGAGGGGCGGTGGGGATGTTGGGCTGACCTGCCACGGGAGGGGCGGTGGGCACAGGTGGCATGATAGGACGGTCCTTGCCGCCTTCCAGCGCGTTCAGATTGGAGGCGGTGAGAGGAGCAGGGGCTGCGGTCTGGGCGGCTGGAGCACTGGCAGGAGCGGCAGATGCACTAGGAGCAGTGGCCGTGGTAGCTGGAGTGGAAGTGGTAGGAGGAACAGCATTTCCGCTCACCACCGAGCCAGGCGCGGTGACAGAGTACATCGAGCTCGAGGGCACGGCGATCGCGCCGGTGCCCATCGTACCAAGGCCAATGGACGAGCCAGGTGCTTTCGCCGAGTACATGGTCGACGAAATAGAGCCGGGAGCTGTCGGCACGTAACCGATCGAAGGTTGCGGGGCGGCAGGGGTGGCCGCAGTTGCACTACCCGCCGCGGGTGCAGCCTTCTTGGGCGTGCCCGTCTTGGATCGCACCGACGCAGCATCACCCGCCGTCTTCTTGGTCTTGGGCTTGGTCGTGCCCATCGCCTCACCCCAACCACGGGTAGCAGAGCCGAACGCCTTTCGAGCGCTCGAGTAGCCGTCATCGTCCGCCTCCTCATCGCTGCTGTCCGGATCACGAGCACGGCTAGTCCAGCCGGTCGATTGTCGGCCAGCCGCGAGGTCTACTGGGCCTGTCTCCTTTGGAGCCTTGGCCGGAGCAGCTGGTGGGGGCGCGATGCGGCTGCTCAGCTGGGAGCCACGAGCAGCAAGAGGATCTCCGTGCTCGGTACCGCGAGGGGTGGCAACTTCGGCGTCGGGCGTGTCGGGTGGGAGCTTGGTGTCAGGCGCCAGGCGAACGCTCTTGCGGCGAGCAACAGCGCTGTCAGTCTCGCTGGGTGCCTTCTTGGGTACAGCCAAAGCGGATGTATTGAGCGCCGGAGCTGGGGTCGACGAAGCGGGCGCAGCTCCAGACAGACCTTGCAGACCGGCGTCGGGCTTGTGGCTCGGGTCAGCGAGCGCCGAGGAGGCTTGAACTTGGGCAGCCTTCTCTGCGCCTCCGTCAACCTGCTTGCTCGGGAAGGTGCGGACGGGCGAGCTGTCCTCTGACGACGTGTCGCTCAGCTCGGGTCCTCCGGCTCCGTAGACGCGGCTAGGCTCAATCTTGACATTGCGGTCTGCACCGTTGGCCGACTTCTCGACAGAGGGAGACTGTTCGTGCTGCGCGTAGAAGGCTTTGTAGGTCTGCTCGGCTCCTTGAGTGACAGCGACTTCGTCCGCTGCTGCACCCTCGGCTTGCGCGGCAGAGCCGCGACGATCACCAGAAACGCCGTCAAACGAGACCGAGAAGGGCTCCGAGCTGGGCATGTCGAGCTTATGCATCGGTGCCTTGCTGTCCGGGACGGTCACTGTCTCGACCGTCTCAGCACTCTCGTCTGCTTCGCCAGCATCGTCGGGCATGTCGAGACGACCAGTGCCATCAAAGCCCTTGTCCTCCTCGATACTGTGCGGCGACTCGGGAGCTTTGGTCGTATGAACATCGGCAGGCTCCGCAGCAGAAGCAGGGGCAGCGACGGCTTCAGAAGTGGACGGCTTCGCTGCTGCAGGCTGTGATGGAGCGGCGGTCTGAGCGGCGGTGGTCGTCTGCTGCGTCGGCGCGGGTTTGGACGCAGGAATCGTCTCAGGCAAAGGCATCGAAGTGACGGGCGCGGGCGCCTTCGGGATCGGCTCCATCTTGGGCTGAGGAAGAGGTTCGGCTCGGATGCTCTGCGTGATGTCGTGTCGAAGAGCAGACTTGACAGGGAGGTTGGGGGCAGTCGAAGCGGTAGCAGGTGGGGCTGCGGCTGTCTTCTTCGTGGGCGAAGATGGGGCGGGTTTGGCGCCCGAGGTGCTGTTGCTACGACTGATGGTGGGCGTCTTGAGCGCCGACTTGAGGGGCGGGTTCTTGCTGGCAGATGACATGACGGAAGCTGGACGCGACGCAGGAGCAGGAGCAGGAGCAGCCGCGGGCGCTGGCAGAGGTGGCAGAGGCACGAGGGACTGAGGTGTTGCTGCCGGTACAGTAGGCGAGGCCGCGGGCTTCTCTTTGGGAGCAGCTGATTTGGGCACGACACCTGCCATGGCAACAGCCTCGTAAGCGGTCATCTGACTTGCTGGCTTCTTGATCCAAGAGTCGGCTCCATACTTTCCGGCGTTCGGACTGAAGACGTTGCCTCCTGCAACGAGACCTGTGCCGGCGAAGCTAGCCCGGTTCTTCTTTTTCGAGCTGGTCGACTTCGTAGTGGAGCTGCGCGAGAGGCCCGGTCGGTCGGCGCTGCTGTTGAGCGAGGCGAGATCCGAGACAGTGTGGCTAGCAGAGGGTCGAGTGGGAGCGGTCCCGATCTCACTGCCGGCCACCGAGTGCTTCTTCTTCTTCTTGGTCTTGGTGGTAGCGGTCGTGTTGGAGCGGATGCTGTCAGCGCCGCTGACCAGCTTGGGCTGTGCGGATCCAATGCCTCCGCCTACGACGGAAGCGCGGATGCGATCGAGATCTGCCTGCTCTGCGTCGTGGATCTTGTTGCTTTTGGGACCTGGCAGGATGCGAGAGGTGAGCTTCTTGCCGCCGACGTCGCTGCCTGCTTTCGAGTCCCAGCCAGGGCGCTGCTGATTGACGTTGCGGAAGACTTCGCGGTTGTCGGGCTCTTCGTCCGAGCTGTCCGGCTCAGCTCGACGCAGCGAGGCGAAGCGACGTTTCTCGTTTTCTTGCTCGACGTTGCCGGAGGTGCGCGTGTTCCAGCCCGCGCGCTCGCGCTCGCGTTCACCTTCAGCAGGGGAGCCGTTGCGGATATCGGTCTTGAAGAGGCGGCTCATCTTGCCGATGAGCGAGTTGCTCGACTTGCGCTGATGGCCATAGCCACCTTCCGAGTCGCCGCTGCGTCGAGACAAGGAATAGCGAGGTGGACTGTAGGGTCCACCGCCGCCCTGCTGACTGCCCCAGCCTTGCGCGCTGGCGGGTGTGAAGCCCTGGTCGACGCTGTGATCTTGATTGTGCCCGCGTGCCTGACTAACGTCAAAGACGGGAGCAGTGGGTACGGCAGGCATCGGTACCTGACCTCTCTCGTCGTCTTTGCGAGGGGTCTGAGGCGCGGCGGCGCCGTTGCTGCCGCCCTGAGGGATGAAAGAGTCGCGAGTGTCTGCAGCTACGCCCAGCTCATGCGGGGCAGGCAGACGCGATCGTGGCTCGATGAAGGCGCGTCGGTAGTCCTCTTCGCTGTCGGTGTCTGAGGGGACGCCTTCCTGCTCCTCGACGTCCTCGAAGTGCGAGGTGTAGCGCTGACCGAGAGGCACGTGGGAGCGATCGTTGTCAACGACCTGACTAGCAGACTGAGAGGGTGTGACCGAGGCGCCGTCGAACTGTTGTGGATTGCGCGTGCCTGTTCAGATGAAAGCCAAGATGGTGAGTCGAAGTCAGGGAAAGAGGCGAGGAGTGAGGGAAGGAGTCGATGAGGACAAAGGAGAGAGAGTGGAGAAGCGAAGCGGAAAGCAGCAGCCGAAATTAGTGAGCGATTACGCAGTCCGTGCATAGGTGGGGTGAACAATTAGACCCAAAAAGAAAATGCGGGAGATCGTCAGCGTGTCTGTGGTGCATCGAATTTGGATCTCAAACACGAGTCGCTGGCGTAAAGAGCCGCATCGCAAGCAGCAGCAACATCGTCTTCGCGAATTGTTCTGCCGCTTGTGCAACGAGGATGCCGTGCGCTGTGTGAAGAGGAACAGAGACAACTTACCTTGGAGGTCCTTGTGGAATCGACCCTGTTCATCACGAGTCATATTGGCACCGTTGCCAGCGACGGGTGAGCCGTGAGCGGCATAGTTGTCGGCGTACATCTGAGGAGTCGCACCTTGCGCGGGATTCTGCTGACCCGCGTAATAGCCTTGGTCGGGCGCCTGGTTGTCGTAGGCACCCGTCTCGATACCGCCGTCGGCGTACATGCTCTCGTATTGACCACCGCCGGTTGCCTGCAGCAAGGGACCATGTGTGTCGAACTCGTCGAGCAGCATGATAGCTTCTTTGGCAGCCTCGACGGTAGCGGCGCCCGCATCGCCCATGGTCTTCATACGCATGGTGAGCGCCTCTTTGAAGGTGCGTCGCTTGACACCGACCAGCGCAGCTTCTTCGCTGGCGAGCACCTGTTCACAGGCGTGCAACTCGCGCTGGGCAGCGTTGACCTTCTCCATCTTCTCTTCCTGGCTGAGTCCCGAATCCTTCTTGGACACCTTCTTCTTGCTGGCCTTGATGAGACGGCCGACGAGAATGTCACGGTCACGCACCACGGATCGGATGCTGTGTTCGCGGTCGAGCACATCCTTGAGCGCACTGCGGTAGCCTTCGAGAGCTTGAACGTGTGTCCGCTGTGCATCGGCGACCGAGGCAAGGATCTCGGCCAGCGATTGGGACGCTTTCGAGATGTCAGGAGCCTCAGAGGTTCCCCAAGCTGCCAAAGCGCTAGCAGCGGCGTAACCCGAAACCGACGAAGCCGCAAGATTATCGATGTAGCTCTTCTCGCCCTTGATGAGGTTCTGAAGGAGGCGAGAGTCGGTGGGATGCGGCCGCGACAGATTAGAGTGGATTGCCTGTGGTGCCATCGACATGCTGGGCCAATTGTACTCCCGTACGAGGTGTCGATCGTCTATCGGCGGTTATTGAGAAGAAGAGTTGCTTCACTTGCTCAAATAACGCGAGCTTGACAAGTGTGTGCGCGCCGAGTGGTGAGATGCCTCGGGCGAGATGCGGAAGCGTACCTTGAGAAGCTGCTTGGGTATCGTGTCTGGCTGCCGATGGACGCAGCTGCAGATTGGGTATGGGTACTAGATCGCGACGCGGTAGACGCGTGGAATGACTCTAGGCGATGGAGGGTAGAGTTCCGAGGTGGTTGGGCGTGGATGAGAGGATGGAAGGGACAGAGAACGTGCGAGGAGGAGAGCAAGAAGATGGGACAGCGGATGGAGGGACAGGCGGTGAGCACGGTTCCCAATTGCTTTGACGGCCTTCCGATCGATTCAGAGCCGTGACCGTCAGCACCAAGGCGGCAGCAGCAGGCGGAGAGCCGATTGGAAAAGGTGGAGGACGACAATGAAAAAGGCTCAGCTAAAGTGCCTCGATCATGGGTCTGACAAAAATAGCCCGAGGCTCAGCGAAAAAGCGCTCGGATCGGGAAATGGCTTCTCGGCGGTCTAGAACAGTCAACAATCCACAAAGCGGACGCTAAGCCGTCGATTCACGCAACAAGCGAGAGGGCCATAGCCAAGCTGCACCAGACCGATACCGTCAGCCTCAGCAGCGATCAAATGCTTGATCTCAGATAGTCGACGGATGCTCGATTCCGTACGCTGATAGTTTGCCAGGATTGCGCTTGGATCGTGAACCATGACCTGACTGTGGGAGGAAGGAGGTGTTCAAAGCAAGCAGCAGGATGACGGAGTTGGTGCAGCCAAATCGCTACGATGATCGACCAAATTGGACCCGCATCGCCTGTCTCAGAGGCGAGGCGACGCGAGAGAAGAAAAGGGAACCAAGGGTCCCAGCGGCTTTCTGCGTCTGCATCCCGTGCATTTGTGCTAAAAATATTTCGCACAGATTGCCCTGGCACCTGTCAGAAAGGCAGCGTCTTCTCTCGGCTGACGGTACAAACAAAGAGGGCACTGGCACAATTCGGAGCAAGACAAGAGCATGCTACAGACCGAGATGGCTGACAATCGTGGCAAACGATGTGAACCGGCTTGAGCATTTGTCGGTATGTGTACACCCAAAGGTATTTCTTCCGCAGCGCTACAGCTGCCCAATGCCGAGACGTCTCGGCGATCTTCTCGCCCTTCATCTTTCCCACCGGGTGATTGAACAAGTAGAGGTTCAGAATAGGAAGCTCCTCCAAGCCCATCGAGACGGCCACGCGGTGCAGCCAGGGATCTCAGCGGTTGTCGTGCCACTCGGCAAAGATGGTCTGCTTGCACACCAGGCCGTTGCTGTCCGAGAATCGAAGGAGTCGCCACGACATCAAGCTTGCGCTTGGCCTGACCACAACGGCTTTTCTGCGTCGAAAGAAGGGTCGAAAGAGTGCCTCAAGTGGACATTAGAGGAGATCAAGGAATGTGCGCGGCAAGCAAGCCGGCGGAAAGTTGAGAGGGAGGGATCTACTGATGATCTCATCTTGACATCCCGATGCATGAGCGATCTTGCTGACGGAACTTGACGCCGCTCTTACACCTTGGCCAAAAGGAGATGAGGTTGAGCCGGCCGGTCAAAACTGTTCACAAGTCGTGGGTCGGGCCGGTCAATTTGCAAGCAATGCTGCCTTTGGCCGGTGAACAGAGCAAAGCGCCCAATGCCTCAGAGCTGGTATTGAACGGAGCCACTCCGGAGGATCTCTGGTTGGAGGCTCAGATGGATGGGCAGGGCTTGGCTGTCGTGGACCGTGGTGTTCAAGCAACGACAAATTTACCCCGCACGTCTGGCAGAGAAGCGTTCGCGCCGACACGCCACCGAGATGGACCCGCGCAAAATTCGGTTGAGATTCGGTCGCGTCGCTCGTTGCTCTCACAGACCCACCCTTCGACCCCGCCTAGCTTCTTATCGCATCGCAGTCACAATGGCGGTACTGGTTCAGTCGCTGTAGCCGCGAATGAATCAGGACGCAAGGCAGCAATGCGCTGCTCAGTGTTTCATCTGTGTACGACCCATGTACAGTCGCCTGAACTTCTGTTGGAAGGGAACAGACCAGGCGAATAAGAACAAGTAAAAAGGGCAAGCGTATCAGCACCAGGTCTCGGGTCGAGCAAGGACTTGGAGGCTGGTCCGAGCGTGACGGAGTCGAGTAGATGCCAAGGTGGTGTGCGCCGTTGCTTCCATGGCAGGGCAAAGCGCTGCGCGATCAAGGCGATTTCATATAGTCACCGTCGGAGAATCGCCGGGGATGCCCCGAGGCTGCTCCTTTCCTTGCGAGAGTAGCGCTGCTGCTGAAAAAGGTTGTCTGAAATTGTAATCTCTGCCCTGCGCCGCTGCAGTGCAATTTTGAGCGTGGGTGCAGCTCGCTGCCTCTTCGGTGCGGACCAATGAATTATTTCGCCGTTGGAAGCCCAAGGCTGGGCCGAGACACTTCCAAAAGAACTCGAGAGGCAGCCGACGAGTGTCCACACTTACGCTTTTGCCCTGTTCAGCATTCTTGCCGGACCTTGGACTCATCCTCCCCTCCTCGTCTTGCAAGGTATAGACTCGGCCAAGGGGTTCCTTGCTGCTTGCATCTTGGTATACTTCAAGCATTGCTTCGACCTCTCTCCTTCTCGATACCCATCCAGCATCACCAACTACCATCCTTGCTTGACAACCACGATCGCATCTCCTCATATCCCCGGGCACCATCTTCCATTCCCTTGGCTCTTCGTCTCTACCAATACCAGCAACAGCTTCAAAGTTGTCTCCAGCACCCATATCAGCAACTCTGCTACAGTCCAGAACTAGCCAGCTCCCTTTCAGCACTCTCTCGACCGCTCCTAGGTTCCCTTGATCTCCATCGCCGCCAGCCGTCTACACAAGCGCAAGGTTCGAATTGTACTGCCAAGCTTAGCTTTCGGTGCAGCGCCAGTGTCCCTCGTTCATCAAGCAAGCATCAAGCTTCGTCAAGACAAGCTTCTCCCGCATCATTAAGCTCAGAGGCGATCGCTTTCGTGCAGAAAAGGCTTCCTGCCCGGGCTTTCCTTCGCCCCAACAAGCGTGCAGAAGGCTGCTTCTTCGCCTCCCTCACCAGAAGTACATTTCGTCGTCTGGACAAGCTCGGCTTATCTGCACGGGCTTTGACTGCTGATCTTTCTGCTTCAGGCGGACCGAGGACTGCTTCCTACGAACAGCCAGCTCATTTGCTTGCGTCGGTTCAACTTTGCTTCCAGAATGTCGTCTCCTTCGACTCAAACCACGTCGAACGCTGCTGCAAAGCAGATGCCAGTGTCTCACAAGGCTTCCGCACCAACTGACGCTCACGCAAGCATGCGCTCGACCCATAGCTTACGTCCGCAGTCGCTCTCGCATTCCCTCGCCCGCGGACAGTCCTCGGACGCATCCGACTCCTCGGGACTCTCTTCGCCTACAACTTCGGATTCGCCTTCAGCGCCCCCTTCTTCCACTCCGACATCTTCGGGGATCTCCTCTCCTCTTGAAGAGCTCCAAGAACCCAACATGTCCAAGCCTGGCTCGCAAACCGTCTCGAAGTCTCCACGCCGCCCGACAAGCGAGCTTCTCTTCAATCAATGGAGGCCAACGTCCCACTTTCTCGGCCCGCATGGCTGGATGAACGATCCCTGCGGCCCTTCCTACGATTCACGCACCGGTCTCTACCATCTATGGTATCAATGGAACCCCAATGCGTCCACCTGGGGCAGCATCTGCTGGGGACACGCCTACAGCCGCGACATGATTCACTGGACTTCTCGCCCGGCACCTGTTATCGTCCCCGGCGCTAATCACGACTCGGAGGGTGTCTTCACCGGCTGCGTCCTTCACCGATCTCCTCTTGGCACTGCGAAAGAAGCTGCTCAGACGTGCGAGATGACCGCCCTCTACACGGCCGTCTCCCAGCTGCCCATCCACCACACGCTGCCTTACAGCCCCGGATGCGAAAAGGTGGTCCTCTCAACGTCGACGGATGGAGGCGAGAGCTGGATCCCTCAAGGTGTCGTTCTCAATGGGCCGCCCGAGCATCTCGATGTCATCTCGTGGCGTGATCCCTACATTGCGCAGTGGCCGGTGCTGGATGAGCTGCTGGGTCGAGCTGACCAGGCACCTGGCCTCTACGCCCTCATCGCGGGCGGTATCAAGGACCAGACGCCTACCACCTTCGCCTACTCGATCGACCCGACCGACCTCAGCCAGTGGACCTTCGTCGGAACGCTCGCCGACGTGGGCGTCAACTGCAAGGCTGAGCCGTACGGCGTCGATCTGGGCAAGAACTGGGAAGTGGCCAACTTCTTCACCATCGCCGACCAGGCTGGCAGCAGCGGTGCATCAGCCGAGTACCTTCTCATCAACGCAGAGGGCTGCATCGCGCCTGGACCCGCAAGAGCATCCATCTACATCCAGCTGGACCTCAACGCCACCAAGGTCGACAAGGGTGAGATTCGGCTCCAGCCCGCACACGTCGCCTTGCTCGACCACGGCTGCCTCTACGCGGCCAGCAGCTTCCACGACGAGAAGCACGACCGCCGGATTATGTGGGGCTGGATCACCGAGGACGACATGCCCGAAGATTACTACGACACGCAAGGCTGGTCCGGGCTCATCTCGCTCCCTCGTGAGCTGTTCCACCATCCTACATCGACGGAACTTGGCATTCGACCCGCCGAGGAGGTGTACAAGCTTCGTCAGGGTGCCCAGCTCATCACTCTCGCAGCCGAGGCTCTGGTGCCGTCTGCAACCCTGGAGCTGGGCGATGCTGTCGAAGTCGGTGCAGCGCCTGTCTCAGCGGTAGTCAGTCGATCGTATGAGGTCGAGATGGAGCTCTCTGCCGCACAACCGGGCCTGATCGTCGCGCACAGCAAAGACCTCTCCACACGCACCTCGATCTACCTCTCCGAATCGCAGCTCGTTGTCGATCGCACGCACTCGGCAGGCAAGCAGTCGGTGATCGCTCAGAACCTCGACATCAACACGTCCACCCTTCGCGCGCCGCTCTCCGCCACGCCGAGCGGCACCCACAACCTCCGGCTGTTCATGGACAACTCGGTGCTCGAGATCTTCGTGGACGATCTGGTGGTTCTGTCCACCCGGGTGTATCCGGATGCGGAGGATGTGGGGTTGTCGATTCTCCTTCGACCCGAGGTCGGCCATGCTGGGCAGATCAACATCTGGCAGGGCCTAGACAAGGCGCTTGTCGCCTAGAACTTTCGCATATCTTTCCCTCACTTTGTTAGCATACAGTCACGCGTTCATGTCACCTGGTCATCCAACTTGTTCTCATCCATTCTGAACGATGTTTCATTGAGATTGATTTGCTTAGAGGCCCTTTTCGGAGAGAGCAAAAGCGAAGGACCTAACAGCGGTCCAAACGCCCTGCTTCTCGTTGCTCTGATACTGCACATCTGCGCCCGGTGCGGTCTGGAAGAGGAGCAACAACGTTGCGGTTGGTGCAACAAAGTAGACCTCGCCACCGTCCTTGGCGTGGAGGGTGGCGATTTCGAGCGGGTACTGGGCGCCACGGGGGCCGGAGATGGTGAACGTTTTACCGGCGAGCTCAATCTCCCGGGTCGACTCTTTCAGCTCAGAGGCCGAGACGGAAGGTGCGGTGGCCTGGACGAAGACGTCGATCAGCTCGCGAATGCGTTCGGGCTCAAAGGACTTGGTGAAGGACGGTTGGGAGCCGTGCACGGCACGTGCGTCATCCCGGTCAAAGATGGCATAGTCCGCAATGCCAGACGCGGGGGGAAGCTGGATCTTGGCGATCTCGGAAAAGTCGAGGTTGGAGAGGACCGAGGCACGCTGTGGGGCAGAGAGGTCTGCGTTGGTCGCCTCCGTGCCGGAGCCAGTGTGCGGTCCGGGTTCGACGCCTGAGCCTGCCATGTTGATCTTGAAATGTGAGTGGGGGTGAGAGTGGGTTTGGGGGGTGATGTTTGCTGATCAGGAGTAAGGTGCTTGCGAAAGCAAGGGTTTATATACGAGCTTGAGCACGGGAGGGGTCGAGCAGAGGCCAGCTACCAGGCGGTTCCCGCCTCCACGTCGGTCAAATGTGTCAACGTCGTTGCTCGAGGGGCCGGAAGAAGTTCTTGCCATCGAGTGTGACGCAACCCGCTTTCTTCTTACACCATGTGGACCCTGGTTTTGTGTCATTCGGTCGCGTGCACGTCACTTGCAGATCCTTCCTGCCACATCCCCCTCATCCGCTTGGCTCAGCGAGGCTCCATTGTGCACTCATCTGCGCAGCACATCATGTGCGTCTGCAATCTTCATGTTGGTTCACGTCGTGGCCTGAAACGAGAGAGCTGGAGAATGTATGATGAGTGAGGATCATCATCGCAGCGCAAACAGACAGTCGCGTGCTGCTGCCCCGAAATTTCGGGTGTGTCAGCTACGGCCTCCACTTCTTCTTGCCGGTGTGACATCTAAGAGAAATTCGCCGACGCCGCTCTCTGTCTTGTTTCGTAGCCCCTGTTCTCGTCTCTCTGCCGGGTCTAGCCGTCGCACACGACGGTCATATCAAGCTGGCACATTCTTGTCTTCAGGGAGATGCGTTCCAACAGACGAACGATGGCTTAGAAGCGTGTGAGCTTTTGTGGTGAATGGCATCGAAGCCCGTGAGGCGAAAGTCGAGACAAAAAAGAAGGCGCCAAAAAAGCGGGTAAGAAAAGTTGGCTTGAAACACCGACTGGGTCTCGGATCGGGAGATCCACCCTGGGTCCACGAGCGGCAAGGCTACAGATGGTGACGCTTGCCTCTTCTGAAGAACGCCAGCCGACATTGGCATACGCCATATGGACCGGGTCTAGAGTCATTGGCTTATGCCTCGTCTTATTGTGGCGGGAGTGGCTTGATGAAGCGATCGATTCGGATCGCCGGTGTGACAGCCGTCAGAGTGGTCTTCATTTCGGCCGTTGCAAGCGATCCGTTCTTCTGTTTTGCTTCATCTGACAACGACCTCACTTGACAACGGCACGGTCTGAGCGTGGGAAGCTGACCCGTCGAGCGGCTTTGATGCCTGGTGGCAAAGTCATCGGCGGTTCATGTCGAGTCGAAGGGCTTAGGGTGGCCGAGCCTGAGAGAAGTTGGTGGCACGTCCCTTCGCCGTTGCACAGACGAGCGTGAGGACAGACGCCACTTCATCTCGGACTGTGGCGTGAGAAAGTGAGAGAACGCGGCTTAGTGGAAACAAAAAGGGACGGTTGATGTCTTCCCTGTCACTCGCGGCCACATCAGGAACATTGACAAGGGCGGTGGATGGGTCAGGAGGCTTCCTTGCAGGGCCGGGTTGGGTGGGCGAATGCGGAACTGCATGGGACAGCCACACCGTTTCAGACGAAGTCATGGGTATCCACCGGCTCGGCATCGCACTGCAGGTACCTGCCTTCAGCTTGCTTGCATGATTGTTGAATGGCGAACATCCGCGTCCCTGTCGATGGAGCTGCTACGCTTCGCGAATAGGCCCTCTTCACCATCAACTTGTCGATCGGTTTGACTGGCGTCGAAATGCCAGACGTGACCACATCCGAGTTTTCCGAGGTGGGCTGAGGTCTGTTCATATGAAGATCTCCGTGGCTCCTTCCTCCTCTCGTGGCGGCTAGTGCCTTTCGCAACATCCGCCCGGCAACCTGATCGAGCGTGTCCAACGTGGGCTTCGGAAAACCATACGGCCTTCGCCCCCGTCATTGTACAGTATATATAAGCTGTCTTGCCATCCGATAGTGCCTCCTCAAAGCATCCCTCTCACGTCTTCCTCTTCCGCTGCGCTTCGTCCCACACACGATGAGCGACCCGGCCGCGTCAAACTCCACAGGCATCTACCTGCACGCCACCAAACCCGACACCCTCCCCATCTCGGTCGCCGATTGCGAAGGCCCTTACCTCATCCTCGTCTTCCTCCTCACCCTCCTCTGTGGCGTCAACTGCGCCCTCTACGCCGTCTACATCCACCTCTTTGGCGGACGAAATCGCGATCCTCTCCTCCTACAGCTAGCCGTCTTCATCTCGGTCGCGTGCAACATCGTGCTAGCCTTCTACGGCTTCATCCACTTCTACCAGTCCGAATTTTTCTTCCTCTACTCGACCCCGGGATTGGACGTCAACGCCATCAAACCTTATGTGCTGCTATACCACATATTGCAGGCGATACCCGAATCGATCGGGCAGATCTACTTTGCGCTGCGCATCGCGAAGCTGTTTGATCATCGCAGGCTCCTCACGCGTTTCGCACTGGGGGTGGTGTTGGTGGGTGTGATCGTTCAGTTTGCGCTCATGACCTGGTTCGGAGCGGCTTTTTTTAGGGTGGGTCTCAAGAGTCGACTCTCGCGCGCACCTTGGGTGAAAGACATCCTTTCGGTGTGGTGCGTTCTGTTTATTGCCATCGAAGTGGCTATGACGGCAACGACCATTGCGCGCTTACTCGTGCTCAGAAGACAGACAACGATGGATGCGGCAAGAAGAGTCATCTTCAAGCTCGCCGTATACTCGTTGCAGGGGCAGGTGCTGCTCACCGCATACTCGTTGACGAGCCTGTGGTTCTTCCGTCACAGCGCAACGGGTTGGTACATGCCATTCTATTTGCTTAATGGCGCACTGTACACCATGGTGCTGTTGGCGAATCTGATCTACAGAAGTGCGGTGGGCGCGGCGATGAAGGAAGCACAGAGCAATTACGGGGCCAGCCACTCGGCCAAGCAGCGCGTAGCAGAGCTGAACGTTATCAGCCTCGTGAGGAGCGGGCCGCAAGGAGACGCGCCGCAGCCATCCGGCCTGAGGAGCCTCACGCTCAGCAGAGGGCTCACGAGTCGGGTTGGCGAGGAAAGGACCGACGAACCGTGGAAGGCCGATTCGCCTAGATCGTGGACCCGCTCATACAGTTGACTTTGTCAACTCGTTTGGCTTCTTATTACTCTCTTTGTACCATCTGACTGTCGTTTCACTTTGCAATTGCCTTTCGCTCAGTCCACTCTTCTCAACTCGTACACACGCGCACGGTCTGGGAATCGGACAAGATGCAAACGCCACCATCCATTTCGACTTGAAAGTCTCAGCGCTCGAGATACACGTCCCAAGCCACCTGTTCGATCTGGGCCCGGGGCGCCTCGCGTCCCGTCCACCTCTGGAACTGGTGGCATCCCTGTTCGAGCAAGATCGTGATGCCTGGGCAAGCGGTCCAGAGCTTCCTACCCTTGATGGGCGCCGTCGCCGCATTGACCTGCTCGACGAGCTGCAGCAGGCTCGTCAGATACGGTTTGTAGCTCATATCGATGACCACGCCTCCTGCTGGGTTTCGCAAAATGGCAGTCGGAATATGGATGAGGTCCGTTGCGGTGGGGTCGAGCGTTGCGCCTTCAGCGGGGATGTTTGAGACGACGATGGAAGGTGACTGGTCCGCTGGCAGCGCGGCGATTTGATCGAGCGATTCGAGCACCTGAACGTTCCATTCCACCGGCACCTCCTTCGCCAACTTCTCGGCATTCGCCAGCGTACGGTTGAACAGCAGAATCCGCTTCACACCGAGCTGGTACAGCGCAAACAGCGCAGCACGCGCCGATCCCCCCGCACCGATCACCAGCGCCGTCAGACTCGGATCCGCCAGATGGACCGTGCGCAACGAACGACGAGCCAGCGTCTCGATCGCGATCCAATCCGTGTTGTCCCCCACCAGCGACGTCACGTTGCCCTTACCATCGCGCACGGGGATCACCGTGTTGACCGCGCCGATGGCCTTCGCCTCGTCCGTCACGTGGTCCAGCAGCTTGATGATGTTGAGCTTGTGCGGGATGGTGACGCTGGCACCGCCAAAGTTGGGGGCCTTGATGAACGCTGCGAGGCTGTCGTCCACCTCCTGGGTCTCGAACAGCTCGTACTGGTGCGGCAGGCCCAAGGCTGCAAATCCGGTGTTGTGCAGCACAGGGCTGAGACTGTGGCTGATTGGGCTGCCGAACAGGGCAAACTTCAGCGGTTCCGCCTGACCGATGAGCGCCAACGCCGTCTGCACCTGTCGGAACGTCAGCTGGCCCGGCGCCGCCTTGAACGGCATCGCCTCGTGCGTAATCGGCGTAAACACCGGGTTGACGATCCGACTCAGCTGCCCCACAGCACCCATGTTGACCGCCAGCAGCGGTTTGGTCGCCGTGGCAGACACGCGGGCACGGAAACGCTCCAGACTGTAGTTGTCCTCCATCGAATTGGCCTTGCCGATGATCTTGGCAATGTCGCCGATGCGGCACGCCTTTTCGTAGATCTGGGCGGTCGACTCGCTCTCCCAGTCCAAACGGCCGGACCAGTCGTGCCACGAGGCGATGATCTGACTGTGGCCCTTGGCGGCGATGACGGCGGAGAGCAGCTCGTCGTCCCAGCCGAGCTCGAGGTCGATGTACTCGCACCCGTGGCGTAGGGCCAGGCTGATGAGTTCAAAGTATTCCTTCTGCAGTCCGTCGGGGAACATACCGCCTTGCGACTGGGTGCGGACGGTGAAGACGATCGGCAGCGAAGTGCGGTGACGCAGAGCGGCGAGCTGGTTCTTGACGTACTCGGTCGGAGGGACCTGCGACTTGGTCACTGGCTGTCCAGAGGGATCGAGCAGATCCGCACGGAACTCAAGCGCGTCCGCTCCCGTCTCCATGCTCCGGATCAGCTCGAGGTTGGGCAGCAGATCCGGGAAGGTGAGGCTGAGAAAGTACGTTCGTCGGCCGCCCTTTCGGCTGTCAATGACGAGATCCTCGATGCGGTTCGTGTCTTGGCCAGTGATGAACTTGAAAAAGCGCGTCACCTCGGTCTCAAGCCCGAATCGCTTCTGAATCGTGAACGAGGCACTGGGCACATTGCTCGCGCACGGCTGAACGGCGAGCGACTCGCCTTCCGAGTACGAGACGAGCTCGGCGGACGAGCAAGCGCTAAACCAGGGATTGCGGCGGTGGTAGACATCCATCACCGGCTCGCCGTAAGCGGGACGGTCGCTAGTCTCGAGGAATTTGACAATCGCATCCGTGTCGCGAACGATGTAGACCACCGGACCCTTCGTCTGCGCATATTCTGCCAGGATCTCTCGGCAAGCTTCGGTCTCGACAACACCGCCGCCGAGCGAGATAAGCGCATTGGTGGGGTTACGCACGATCAACTCTTGCAGGATCTCGAGCTCCATCTGTCGGAAAGCGGGCCAGCCGTTCTGCTTGACGAAATCGCCCAGACCATCCTTGGCAGCGAGCTTCTCGTTGAACACGACATCGGCGTCGACGAACGTGCGTCCGAGCGCAGCGGCACCGATGGCACCCAGGAAGGTCTTGCCCGAGGCACGCATGCCGATGCAAATGATGCTCGCATCCTTGCTATACTTGCGCGGGGTCAGGGCTCGGCTGGTCGTCAACTGAGACAACGAGACGCCGTGCGTGCCGTTGGCACCTGCGACGCTAGCCTTGTTGAAGTGCGAGGGCGAGATGCAGAGACTGGGCGAGCACTCTGGGTCGACACCGTGCGCTCGGATGCCGAGCTTGCGCTCCAGGTCATCCCACCAGTTGGGCCACGTCTTTTCCACACATCGCTTCTCTTCCAAGATGGCGCCGGGAGCCAAGCTGGCAAGCACGGAGAATGCCATAGCCACACGGTGGTCGTCGTAGCAGTGGACGCGAACGTTGGCGCGCAGCTGACGGTAGTCGATGCCAAAGATCTCGAGGCCATCCTCGTGCTCCTTGGTGTCGACGCCGAACTTGGCGAGCTCATCCATCATGGCTCGAATTCGGTTGCACTCCTTGACTCGCTGGTTGGCGATGCCAGTGATGCGGGTTGAAGCGCGAGCAGTCGAGGTCGAATCGTTGGCAGCAGGCTGAGCAGCGACGGCAAGAAGCACCGATGCAGTCAAGAAAGCATCCGTCATAGGCTCCATGTCGACCAGCCCGATCTGGCGAAGTTGGCCGACGGGGGGTCCGGTGACCGTGGTCGAGGTTGCGGTCTGAACGACGGTGCAGCCCATGGGCTCGAGGACCTCCTTCGCGAAGCGTGCATCCCCTTGCAACGAGGCAGAGCCGATGTTGGGGACCGTGCATTCGGTGCCAGTAATGGCGGCGATGGCCAGAGGGTAGGTAGCACTGCTGGCATCGCTCTCAATGTCGTAGACGTCAGGCGAGACGTACTGGCCCTTGGGAATGCGGTATGTGTTCGAAGGACGACCCGAAGCAGCATCGACGAGACGCTCGACCTTGATGCCAAAGGTGGCCATCATGGCGATGGTCATGTCGATGTAGAGCTGCGAGATGACCTGACCGCCGACGAGCTCGAGCACGACCTCCTCCGCAGCGTAGGGAGCGCAGAGAAGGATAGACGAGACATACTGCGACGAGATGGTGGCCGAGAGCTGGATCTTGCCACCCTTGAAGCCGTGCGTGGTGCCCTTGACGGCGAGGGGCAAGCAGCCTTGACCTTCAAGGTAGTCGATGGAAGTGCCGTTGGATCGAAGAGCATCGACGAGCGGTCCGATGGGGCGCTCCTTCATTCGCTTGTTGCCGGTAATGACGACAGGCTCCTGGTTGCCATCATTGCGAACCAAGCTGACGACGGTGGCCATGAAACGAGCAGCCGTTCCGGCATTCTGCAAGTAGATCTGCTTGTTGTTGGCGGGACGTCCGAGGGCGCCACCGTTGCCGTGAACGACGATGGTCTCTCCGCCGTCCTCGAACTCGAAGCGAGCGGCTTGCAGATCGTGCAGGCCGGCCATCATGACCTGAGTGTCGTCCGAGTGAAGCATGTTGCGCAGGCGGCACGTGTTTCCAGCCAGAGCGGCGAGAACGAGAGCGCGGTTGGAGATGGACTTGGAACCAGGGGTGGAGAGGGTTACCTTTGGGTTGTTGGGACGCTCCAGGATTGGCGTGACGGTGGCACCGAGCGAGAGCACTCGGCGGATGATGTCGTCGCTGACGGTAGAAGCCTTGTCCTCGACAGTGTCACCGATGGAACTGAGCAAGACAATCTTCTTGTCGCTGCCCGAGTTCTTCTTGTCGACCTTCATGATGTCCAGCAGACGGTCCATGGTGACGTCGAGCGACTTGGCGAGGCGAGTGACGCGCGAGTCGTGGAGCGAGACGGGCAGATCGTATTCCTTGAGACAGCGAGTGAGACGGCCAATGGCGACTTGACTCAGACCGTGCATGTAACGAGCGACCTCGGCTTCGAGGATCATGCCGATGGAGATGCACTCTCCGTGGAGCATCTCGGGTGTCAGCACGGCCTCGATGGCGTGACCGATGGTGTGTCCGAAGTTGACGAGATTTCGAAGGCCAGTCTCCTTCTCATCGATGGTGACAATGTGAGCCTTGACACCGACAGAGCCGCGGATAACATCGAGCAAGAGCGACTGAGCTTCGGTGCGCGTGTCGAGGGTCCTGCCTTGATCCAAGGGAGCGTCCTTGGCGAAAGGCCCAAGTACGGCGGAGCGAATGGCGGGTGCGCTGGACTCGAGCTTGGCAAAGTCGATGGGATCCCAGATTGCTGCCGTTTTTACCACCTCGGCCATACCGTTGCTGAACTCGCGTGGCGGCAGCGTCTTGAGCCAAGCGGCATCGATGAAGACATAATTGGGCTGGTGGAAGCTGCCGATGAGATTCTTGCCGAGTGGGTGATCGATCGCCGTCTTGCCGCCAACAGCCGAGTCGACCATGGCAAGGAGCGTGGTGGGAATCTGGACAAACTTGAGGCCACGCATGAAAGTGGCCGAGACGAAGCCGACAAGATCGCCAATGACACCTCCGCCGACAGCAAGAACAACGGCATCACGAGTGACGCGGTGCTCGAACATCCAATCCTCGATGGCGTTCTTGCCTTCTCTGCTCTTGGAGGCCTCGCCAGGCGGGATGACCTTGGTGAGTAGCCTCCAGGTGTGAGATGAGGAGAGGTCGGCTGCGGCCTTTTCGAACTCGCGGCGGAAGGCGGTAGTGACGCTGCATCTTGACTCGAGGTGCTGGTCGGTGATGAGAACGTAGGTGGAAGAAGGAAGCGTGGCGAGCAGCGTCTTGGCGATGTGAGGGATCAGGTGGTAGCCGAGGTGAATTGGGGTGTCCAAGCATCGCAGCGTGTGAATGCTGGCTCCCGAACGCGGATCGGTGGATGGCGGAGCATGATAGGAGGGCGTCTTTGTCCTGAGCACGGGCTGCTCGGTCGAAGGTGCTGCCACCATGTTGAAGGGAGGAAGAGGTCGAGGAACGAAGAAAGCGTTCCGAGACCCAATGCAGTCAGGCTGCTTTTAAAAGATGAAGGCGGCTTCTCGAAGAGAGTAGGACTTAACGGCTGCAGCTGCTAGGTGTGGCCTACGGGCGTGAGCCGCGGACAGGCTGGAAGATCGAAGTCGTTGATCGGCCAACGAACGAGAGACGGGCTTCGAGGGCGAAGTGACAGACCAACGTTGACGGCAGAGGTTGAGCTAATCGAATGTCTTGCTGAGCTTGACCTGGCAACGATGTGTGCGCAAGCGTTGGCAACTCAGGCAACAGGCAGACTGATCTGGATCAGAGGATGGTGAGGTGGGGATGTGGAAGCAGATCAAGTCGAGAAGGATTGAGACCAAACGTCGCTCGACAAGTGGGCTCATTTGCAGGCCAACACGGCCAATTTCCTCCAGCCTGGAATTATAGAGACAAAGAAAAGCAGCATCAGCGGCCTCTCTTCGGTGTTCTGACTCAAATAGAGCCCAGCCTCTCGCAGGCCTGTTGACATCGTTCTCACACTTGTTGATTATTCGAAGGACTCTGGGCGCTCCTGAACTCCAGCTGTTACCCTCAATGAAGATCCGACATGTCCATTGCGGCGGGTTTAGATGTATAACGAGACGTCAAGCTGTCCTGATCTAGCTGTGAGAAAGCAGGTGAAAAATGACTCGACTCATGCAGACTCATCTCCTGCCGCTTTTTCCTGTTGCATTTTTCTCCAGATATGCGGGTCTGCAGATCTTCTTACCGCGCGAGAGAAATCAGACCCTGAGATGCTGCAACTCAAGACTCTCGCTTGTTTGCAACAGTCGACGTCTCCCACGCCTCACAAAGCAGAGAGGGTCATGGTCCGGTGAATGCAGATGTGATTGAGATGCAAAGGTAGTGCATGAGAGAAACAGGTGACAAGCAGAAATGGAGTAGATGGAATATCGCTCACTTCTTTGACCTTCCGATCTTCTTGCCCTCGAAGCCGGGTCTTGCCTTTCCAAAGGAGGGCTTCTTCCCCACAGGCGTCTTGGACTTGGACAGCGTCGACGATGATCCCTTCTTGTTGCCGTTCTTGCCACCCTTAGCCGCCTTACGAGCTGCAATGTTGTCCTGGCGCTTCTTCTGGCGGTCGGCCTGCTTCTGTGTCTCCTGCTGTTGCCTCTCGTTCCACGCTTTGCTCGACTTTTCCTTTTGCTTGTCCTTGCGCTTGACCGCCTTCTTGAGCAGCTTCTCGTCGTCGCGGATCTTGACACCCGTCGCCGAGGCGAGCACCTTGTCCCACTGCTTCTGCTCGTCCAGCTCGGACACTTTGGCAGAGAGCGCATCGGGTGCGTCGCCCATCTTGGCGGTCAGCTTGGCGCGTCGGGCCTCTTCCTGCCTCTTTCGGCTTTCGAGGACCTGAAGCGCGGCCTTGGGGTCGGATGGCAGCGCAAGCCTGTTCTTCTTGCCGGAAGCTGACGAGTCAGGAATGTTTGCTCCTGACGCACCCACAGGCTTGAAGTCGAGAGATGAAAAGTTGAGCGAGCTGCCGTTGACATCAATGCTGGACGCGCCTGCACCAGCAGCGCCGTTGCGCTGGTCGCCATACCCCGGCTCAGCCACAAGGAGCGCCGGTGCCTTGGTGGCAACATTGAACGTGTTGCTCGACTTCTGCCCGTTGGGGGCGTTGTCAATGCCAGCGCGCTTCGCCTTAATGTTGGCCTTGGCTGCCGCCCTGGCATCCTTCTTCTCTTGCTTCTTGCGTTCGCGTGCGTCGAATCGCTGTCTGCGACGCTCTTCCAGGAGTTCGTCCTTGGAGCTGATGACACTGCTTCCGTCTTCCGATGCATCGTCGGTGGCGTCTGTCGGGAGGCCTCGCTTTCGTTGAAGCCCTGCGATCTTGGCGTGCAGCTTGGCACGTAGCGCGTCGATCGACGCTTTGCGCTCGCCTTCCGTCTGGACGTTCTTGATAGCAGGACTCTTGGCAGCATCGGTAGCTTGGGTGGAAGGCTTGGGTGGAAGGTCTTCCTCATCGGAATCTTGCATGTCATCATCAGTGTCACCTGCTGCGCCGTTCGGCCCGCCTCTGATTTCGTCGTCCTCATCATCATCGTCGGCAGACACCATGCCCTCAATGTCCATATCCAGATCCGAATCGGCTTCTGCTGCCTCGCGAGCTGCCTTGGCCGCAGCGCGTTCAGCTTGGATGTCGGTGACAGTGGCAAAGTTGTCTGGGTCGAGCCTTTGCTTCTTTGCCTCGCGCAGCTTGTCCTTGCGCTCTTTCGCCTCGATCTCTGACTTGGCCTTCTTGCGCTTGTTCTTCATGTACTTGGACGAAGCGCCGTCCTCTGCGAGGTCGTCGGCGTCATCGCGTGTGAGGTAGAACTGCGGTGGGATGAGGTGGAGGAGCGAGGTGAAGGCGCTGTTGTGCTTCGTCAACGAGTCGATGTACTTGCCCGTAAGCACAGTGGAGGAGACGCTTGCTGACGTTGAGGCGGAGGCTTCTGCGTTGGTATCAGTGCCGTTGACCTTGGTCGTCTTTGGCGACTTGGAAAGCTTGGTGGGTGTCTTCTTGGGGCTTGTGCCGTTGGGAAGGGCCGAGGTGGACGCCTTCGCTGAGGCTACCTTTAATGCCGCCATATTGACGAAATGATCAAGAGACAGTTTGATGCCGTAGCTAGAGACGAGTGCAGTGTGGGAGGCAATGAATGTGACAGTGTCGTGAAAGGTTGCACTTCAAGCAAGAAGATTCGCCAGAAAGGTAGAAGGTCTCTTCCGTTCGTTCCTCGTTCCACCTGGAAGAAACTAGAAGACGTACAAGCAAGCCTGCTGTATATCGTCGTCGATGGTGCCCGGTTGGAGAGTGCAAGCTTGTGATCCTGGCCGCGCTGGTGATGGTCGTGGTTACTTTCAGGCAAGGTGAGCTGGACGAGGATATCCCAGCCAGCCTCTCAGCTCGCCTCGATTTCCAAAATTTCATCTGCGAGCGAAGAAAAAAAATCTCGCGGCAGCTGAGCTGCAGTCTAAATCGGGGCCGATTGGCTCAGTTGGACCCTGTTTGCCTCTCTCGCCTGTGACTTTTTTCTTCTGAAATTTTTGAGCAGGCTGCACTCCACACAAGCATCGACCTAGACCACCTGCTCAGCCTTGTCCTCCTCCTTCTTCATCAAAGAACGTCAAGATGGCGACACAGATTCCACAGAGGTCAGTCAAAAGGCAACGTCTAGTGAACGAGAAGGCGGCGCGCGAGGCTGCCTTGCTCCAATCACAAGGTCAACTTGGTCCGTCCACCGAGACGCTCGTCATCCAGTTCCAGTCCGGTCAAGATGGCACACTTCTCGGCCCTACCATCAACCTGCCAGCCTCGACAGGGCAGAAGGAGCTGCAGGCTATCATCAATCAGCTCAGACGTCAGCTCAAGCAAGCACAAGGTCCAAAGAAGCGATCGATAGACGACCCAGAAGCCAGCTCGGACGATGATGATGACGACGACGACGATCTTCCATATGCCTTCCACGTCGACCTGCAACAGCTCACAGCCAGCGCAGGCATCGACACAGAAGAGAAAGTGGAACTGGTCAAAAGCAACGCACGACTGCCGATCAACGACTCGCTCACCCAGGACGTGCTCAGTTCCCAAGCAGCAAAGAAGCTCGGTCTCAGCCAGGAAGACACGCTCACGGTCGTCTTTGAGCCGCAGGCGGTGTTCAAGGTCCGACCCGTCAGCCGATGCTCCAGCACCATGAGCGGTCACGCTTCGCCGATTCTTTGCAGTACCTTCTCGCCCACCGGCTCTCTTCTCGCAACAGGTGCGGGTGACAAGACCGCCCGACTGTGGGATCTGGATACGGAAACACCGATGCACACGCTCGTCGGGCACTCGAATTGGGTCCTCTGCGCCGAGTGGGAGGGTCGGGAGCGCAAGCTCGCTACCGGCGGCATGGACGGCGAGGTGTGGATCTGGCAAGCGCTGGATCCCAACTTCACAGGTCGCAAGGGTTGGCTCTCACGGACGGGCAAGCAGGTGGACGAAGAATGGCAGGCCGAGCAGGAACAGCAGGAAAACGGCGAGGATGCGAAAGCAAAGATGGGCGTCAAGCAGCGTCGAGCAGCGCGCAACGCCGCGCCTTCGGGCAAACCTCTGCGCGGACACACCAAGTGGATCACCTCGCTCTCGTGGGAGCCCATCCACGTCAATCACATCAACCCGCGTCTGGCGTCCAGCTCGAAAGACGGTACGGTTCGCGTGTGGAATCCCACCCTGGGCAGGTGCGAGTACGTGCTCGGCGGACACACCGCTTCCGTCAATTGCGTGCGTTGGGGTGGAGAGGGTGCGATCTACACCGCTTCGTCGGATCGAACTGTCAAGGTGTGGTCTGCCGAGGGCGGCAAGTTGATCCGCAATCTCAACGAGCATGCGCATTGGGTCAACACCATTGCGCTCTCGACGGATTTCATCCTTCGCACTGGACCCTTCGATCACACTGGTCGTGCCTCTTCCACCGCTTCCACTCCGTCTTACGTCCAACCCTCGGACGAGGATGCGCACGCCTCAGCGTTGAAGCGGTACAAAGAGGCCACTGGGTCCGGTAGTCTTCCGGAAACGATCATTACCGGCTCAGACGACCACACGCTCTTCCTGTGGCCTCCTCAGATCGGAGGCACCGCCGCGACGCCCAAGAAACCCATCGCCCGTCTGACGGGCCACCAAAAGACGGTCAACCACGTCGCCTTCTCCCCCGACGGCAAAAAGATCGCCTCGGCATCGTTCGATAACAGTGTCAAGCTGTGGGATGCGCAGTCGGGCAAGTTCATCGCGACTCTTCGTGGGCATGTGGCATCCGTGTACCGATTGGCTTGGTCGAGCGACTCGAGACTGCTCGTCAGCGCTTCGAAGGACTCGACCCTCAAGCTCTGGGATCCGATCAAGACGTTTAAGATCAGGAAGGATCTGCCGGGTCACACGGACGAGGTGTACTGTGTTGATTTTGTCGCTGATAAGGTCGCCAGTGGTGGAAGGGATAAGAATGTTAAGATCTGGAGGCATTAGCATCGTTTCTCACAGCAATCAGCAACACTTTCAGAGCATCGCACGAACTGAAGGTGTGATACAATTTTGGTGGTGAATCTTGTTCATTGCGTGTCAACACAGCCCGAGATGCTGGAAGAGCGCCGGAATGAAGCCCGCACTGAACAACCCAATGTTCGTGTACACAATGACCTTGGTCAGCACATCCGCATCGTAGTGCTTGACCTCCTTCTCGACCTCTTTTGGTGTGGTACCCTTGACGTCTGCTGCCAAGTTCCTCGCTAGCTGCTCGTCGGGCGGGATGAAGTTGGGATGTGCTCTAGACTGTGTCAGTGGGATGGGAAGGTCCTGTTGTACGGGGGAGTCGGTCGAGTCCTCGTCGTCGCCGGCGGAGGTTCCGATGGTGAACTGGATCTTGCTCTTCGGCTTGCGACCGGCCGGTGACAGCGCGCGACGCATCTCGATGGGGTTCGGACTAGGGGTGCGGGACGGGACGGGCGAATGCATAGGTGACCGCCCCAGAAGAGGGGACGAGGTGGAGAGCGGACTGAAAGAGCCGTTGAGACCATACCGGGGATCGGCACTGCCGCGTCGACTCGAAGTGGGGGACCACACCGGCGACTGGATGGTCTGCTGATTGCCACTCTCATCCGTGACGATGATCTGCGATGGCAGGTCGAGGACTGAGGGGACAGCGCTGAGGTCGGCCAGCGGGATCTTCTTGTAATCGCTCGCAGGCGTGTAGTGTCGTCGTGGCAGACTGAAGCCGATCAGCTCGTCGACAAGACGGAATGTGGGTGGAAGGATGACTTTGCACGCTGTCTTGACAATGACTCGCAAAAGAAGCACGTTGACCAGCCCGATGACCATGACCAGTCCTCGCTTGATCCACCTCTCTGCTGCACCTGCTACGGGGATCTGAATCAACGGTGTTGTCGGCACCGTGATATTGGCAGCCTGATATCCGGCAAGCGGATCAACGAGCTTCGAAAAAGGATGGAAGAGCGGATCGGTGTTGAGCACCATCCCGTATCGGATGCCGGTCCATCTCGCTAGCGCGACCCCCATGGCCACCGAGATGAATGCAATGGCGTCTTCGAAGCAGGGACAGTCGTCGACTGGCTGCGGGTGCACCGACACCATGAGCAGACCTGCAGGGATGATGGCGATGGGCACGGTCCAAGAGTTGATCTTGACAAACTGCTCAATCTGGTCGAAGAAACCCCATTGGACCGCTGTGATGGCCGCGCCGAGTGCTGATCCCGCAATGCAGTCGATGATGGAATGCATGCCTGCATAGATTCGTCCGTACACGACGCTGGTTGCGTAGAACAGCAGACCGGCTTCCCAGAGCCACGAGTCGAAGAGTGCCGAGCCCGTGCTATCCAGCTGAGCGGCTTCCCGCATCTTGCGCACCCAGAGGTAGATGTAGAGGGCGATACTAACGCTGTTGGTCGAGTGCGTCGAAGGGAAGCCGTATTCGAGATGATGCGTGCCTACAGTGAGACGCGTGACGGGCGGCGAGTAGGGTCGCGGAATGCAAAAGAGGTCCTTGATCGCCGACGAGATGTAGACGCCAAAAGCGAGCACATTGATGAGTCCCCTCCCGAATCGTGGGCTGCCCAACCAGAACACCATCGGCAGAAAGACCAAGAAGAAGGAGTGCGTGCCCAGCAGCGACGTGTTGACAAAGTATCTGTCGAGCCAGGGTCTTCGAATCCAGTTCTGATGACGCTCGTGAATGGGAGCTTCCTTTCTCAATATCGCAACGATGATGCGTCTAAGGAAGGCTATTGGTCGCGGAAGATATGCGTCGTATACGGCATCGTCTTGCAGACCTATCGAGGTGGTGAGCTCGTGTTCGGCGACAGAGTCCTTGTCGGTCGATTTGACGTAGGAGGAGCCGCGAAGGAGACCGATGCGCTCGATCTTTTCGTGCTTCTGAATGTGACCGCGTTTGTGCTTCTTGTCGCCGTCCGAGCTGCGGTCGGTGTTGACGGCGAGCGAAGGACGTGTGGGACGGGACGACGAGGCAGGAGCGGCACCGTTGCTGCCAGAGATCTTGCGGTCCTCGTCTGCGCTCGAGGTGGATGCCTCGCGTACGGCGGGCGCACGGCGTTGGTGCAGGTTGGCAGATACGGAGCCTGCGGTCATAGTGGAAGACGATGTCGGGCTAACTCTGGGGAGGTATGAGTTGCATCGAACAGAGTCGCAGGGCGGTCTCCAGCCGTGTAGGACGTCGCTTCTAAGCAGCAAGTTTGATTGTGCTCAGGCCGATATGGGAGGTGCAAAAGCGTGTGTCGGAAGCTCAAACGCTCGCTTGGAGCCAAAAGTGTTGCTCGTGAACGCGATCCGGATACCGAATGGGGCCGGCCGGCAGATCGGGTCCGATTTGTCTTGGATGCGTATCGAGATTACACAGGCGAGGCGTAACGCTGTCAAGAAATGTTGGGCTCGGCAGCTGTTGCTCGTCTGGAACGCTCTTTGAAGCCGGTCTGTGCTCATCACTTCGACTCATGCATGCACGCACGGTGAAAGGTGGTCGCTGATACGCTCGTTGACCTGGCCCACCGACGTCAAGCACCCTATTGGCAATGTCAGCTTGAGCATCAAGGACAATGAACCCCATGCCGGTGAGAATGCGCACGGGAACGGAGTCAAAAGTGTCTTGCATATGGATAAGGAGCACGATTTTCTTCTTGAGCAGGTCGGTGCTTCTCGAGTGGCCAACTTTAAATTTTGGACTTGATCTTCTCCGTCTGGCTGTGTGTCTCAGCAGCAAGAAGCGCAAAAAAATGATTTCATCTTACCCGCGAAGGCACGGGAAGAAAGGCGTCTTGTGAGACTGTCAGCAAAAGGTAACTTATGCTCGAGTGTTCCTCTCCAGAGTCCAAGCGCTGCTGAGTCCACGTTTTGAATGGCCGTGCAGATAGACTCTCGTTCCTTCCAGCCACAGCCAGAAGTTTAATCTCCCATCTGTCCCTGGTCAAGTATCACTTCCACCATCACCATCATCAACACCTTCGCCGACGCGATTGGCATCCACAGGCTCAATCTCACGCAGCCTAACGCGTGGCACGGCATTCAAGGCAAAATACACACCGTTCTCGATTCCATCTCGGTCGCATTGATACCCTCCTCTGCTGGCATCTCCTGGCTTCATCCAAGTTTGCTTTCTTCGCATCCGATCAAGTTCGCAACACGCCCACCGCTTGGCATCCCTTTTCGTTTGACTTCATTCCGCCACACGCTTAGCCAGCCACGGCCACATCTCGAGGTATCAGACTAATACTCAGCCTTCTCCTTCCGCGACCACCGTACAAAAGGCAGCATCTCTTATCGGCTCACCTTCACAACTTGACCCTTGAACGCGGTCATTTAATTCATCACCATGGCGAAAGCTGCCAACCGTTCGCGGCCCTCCGCCGCTTCAACCTTCAAGCCTGCAAAGAGCTACACATCAAAACCATCTAGGACAAGAGAATGGTCCGCCACACGCAGAGCTGCCGAGGAGTCGCTTTCGATACAGATCCAGTACACCTTCAATGGTCTCATCGCCCTGCTTGTGATGCACACCCTCTCTTCTCCCTCTTCCCTCTCTCTCGCCCACCTCTCCTCGCACTTGCATCTGCCGCACTCGCTCCACTCCATCATCCCATCCTGGCTCAGGCTGCCATCGCTCGCCCAATTCGCTTCCGATCTGCCCAACGCATCCGAGCGAGGCGGTCATCAAGATTGGTCCGGTCTCGCTTCCCATCTAGTCGGCGAAGCCAGCATCGGTCCCTTCCGCAGCGACGCGCGCGGTTTCGGTCATCCGCTGACGGCGCTTCACAACTTTACACGCGCCGCACTCGGCCTCTCATACCCAGTACCCGACCACAACACCTCGCCCATCGCTGCCTTCAAGTACCAAGCACACCGTCTTGCTGGTGATCACTCCGTTCACGTCTCTGCTCCTTGGGCGCTTCTCGCTGGCGTCCCTGGCTACCTCTACGAACGCGGTCTCAAGGATGCTCTCTTTGTTGGCACGCTCGTGCTTCTTTTCACGCTCGCACGCGCTCTGCTCATGAAGTTCGTCCTCCTCCCATTGGGTGAGGTGGCGGTTCCTCACGTCAAGAAGCCACGCAAATCCGAACGTCAATCGTCCGACGCACTCAACGAACGAGCCAAAGCGCTCCGAACCCGCGAAAAGGAGGTTCTCCGATTCGCAGAGCAGGGTTTTAGTCTCATCTACTACACTTGCTCCTGGAGTCTTGGCCTCTACATCGCCTCTCGCGAGTCGTACTGGCCCTTGAATACGGTCGAATACTGGACCAACTACCCTCAGTTCCGCCTCGACCCTCTCTTCAAGTTTTACTATCTCGCCTCGTGCGCCTTCTACATCCAGCAGCTCTTTGTGCTGCATGTCGAAGCGCGTCGCTCCGATCACTGGCAGATGTTCTCGCACCACGTCATCACCATCGCTCTCATCGCCGGTTCGTACGTGTGCAGCTACCACCGCGTCGGCAACGCCATCCTCTGCCTCATGGACCCGAGCGATATCGCGCTCAATGTCGCCAAGATGCTCAAATACGCTGGCTGGCAGACTACCTGCGATATTGCGTTTGGCCTCTTCATGGTCTCATGGCTCGTCACGAGGCATATCCTTTACATGAGGGTGGTATGGAGCTGCATCACCGACACGCTGAAGGTCATGTCCTTCCGCCCAACCAACTACCTCACGGGAGACTACTTTACCAGGACAGCCTACTTTACGCTCATCGGGCTCCTGTGCGCACTGCAGATTATCTTGTTGATGTGGTTCTACATGATCTGCAGGGTAGCGTATCGAGTGGTAACCAAGGCGGGCGCGGTCGACTCGAGGAGCGATGCTGAGAGCAGCTACGAGGATGACGATCTGCAGATGGTCGAGGCGGCGCAAGAGGCGGCGGCGAGGAAAGCAAGCTCGATAGTATCATCGAATGGCTCGGCCAAGAAGAGGTCCAAGCGCAAGTAGATCTTAGCTCTTCATCATAGACAGCAGTGCTGACTGGCTCAGCACGTATCCGTAACTCAATGCATCTTCTCATGTCTCGTAGAACTTGATTGACCGTTTGGGAGGGAAGAGCGCTTGCAGCAATGTATCGACCGATCTGAGAAACCATTGCTCTCACGGATCTTTGAATCGGGAAAGCATGCAAGCCCAAGTACGGTCACGAGAAGCCTCTTCGGACGGCTTGAACTCCGCACGGAGAGATGCCCTGCCAACCAGCGGTTGGAAAGCTGCGGGGAATTCCCACAGCTGCCCTTCCTGCGGTTCTTTACGGACGAACCTGGCCGAAACGACGCTTGTTCGCTCTGCCGCTCTTCGACTCCTTGATCCTCACTCTTCCTGATCCCGCACTCGTCTCGTTGCCATAGACAACAGATGAGCATATGACATTGGAGGAGTATGGTGCTGGTCCATCTAGCCTGCATCGCTGCCAGGGGTATCAGGCTCAGGAGGGGCACGCTACCGACATTTGCTCTCGCTTGCCTGCAGTTAGCTCATGTATCACTCGTCTGTGATAGCCGAGCCATGAACGACCGTCGACAATGATGAGTCTGCTGCGCGCGCGAGGAGGTCCACCTAATGGATGACAGCGGTGGCGTCTCGACAAACTTTTGCGGGCGGAGAAAGATGCGGCAGCGCAGCGGCAGACGATTCGAATTCCCCCGCATTTTTCCTCGTCAAATTTCGCCGGTCCTCTCGTCAGTCGCCGGCAATCTCGTGCACCTCTCTTCTCCTCCTGTCGGACTGGTGCATTGCCGTTGTTCGAGCTCAGCGGCATCCATCCGTTGTTCGCTAGCGCATGTCTCTGAGCGCCTCCCACACTTTTGCCGTTCCTGAAGCGTGTCTCCCGGGGCTCAATGCTCTCCCCACTCTGAAGCGTGGAAGTCGCGGAGCAAGCGCTCTGGACACTGGTCCTGGACACAGGTCCTGCCCTTGAGACGTCGCGTTTTGTGGGGTTGACAGCGGCTAACCCCGCACCTTAGCCCCTCGGCTTCTACGCCGGCGTTCCCTCGCCACGCCACATGTGTGCATTGACAGAGGTTGTCAGTCCCATACACGGCTTTGCCAAGGTTCTCGCCTGGCAAACGAGCCCGACTCGCTTGACTGTCTCTCGCTACCCCAAAGCAGGAAGGAGTGGTTCAAGACGCCTCGCATCTCCCAGCGTCATATATACCGACGAGTCCCTTACCTCCGCTTCTCTAGCTTCCTTCTGCTCCCTTCTGCCTCTGTTTCTTCCCCTACCTCATCCCCGCGAAGGATACTTCTCGCAACAATGTCCAACGCCTCCAAGGAAAAGATCGACGAGACGATCTACGAGACGAAGGATAACGACTTTGATCGGTCGCCCACCAACCTCTCGCACGCTGCCGAGGATGAGAGCGGCATCCGTTTTAACCAAGATGGTACGCCCTCTGATCCTGCCCAATATGCCACCTGGCGTCGTGGCATTCGCAAGCTCGACTGGCGTGCCGTTCCCGCCCTAGGCCTGCTCTGGCTCGCCAACTTCATCGACAGGTCCAACATCGGTAACGCCAAAGTCGCCGGTCTCACCACCGACCTCAAACTCGACGGTCAAAAATTCAACATCGCCCTCGCCATCTTTTACATTACCTACATTGCTAGCGAGATCCCCAGCAACATGATGCTGAGGAAGTTGGGAGCCAAGTTCTGGTTGCCGTTTATTGTGTTCGCTTGGGGCGTGGTCACGGTTTTCCTCGGCATCGTCAAGAACTTTGCGGGGCTGATCGTTGTCCGACTCTTGCTGGGATTGTTCGAAGGTGGTCTGCTGCCTGGCATGCCCCTGTACCTCTCGCAACTCTACCCGAGATACATGGTCCAGGTACGCATTGCATACTTCTACGCAGGAGCCAGCCTTTCTGGGGCCTTTGGAGGCCTGCTCGCCTCGGGCTTGATCCATATGGATGGTCTTGGTGTTCAGAACCGCTATCTGGCTCCTCTGAGGCCGCTGACCGCACGAGGAGTTGCTGGCTGGCGGTGGATTTTCTTGATTGAAGGGTTGCTCACTATTGTCGTGGCATGCTTTGCGTGGTGGTCGTTGCCAGCCTCAGTCAGGAGCTTCAAGGGTCTGAAGGAGGACGAGCGCGAGCTCATGCTCGCTGTTCTGGGACGCGACCAGCAGAACAACCGCGCAAAGGCAGCTGGAGTTGCTCCCATTCTGAAGGCAGACGAGGACGATGCGGAGAAGCAGCAACACACGATGAAGGTCTCGGCACCCAACGCACTCACGGCTGTCAATGCCAATGCAGCGGACAGCTCGGCGATCCGTCAAGGAATGGTGTTCGAGGAGGAGCAGTTCGAATGGCGCGAAGTCCGACGTGGTCTCATGGAGCCTCAAGCTTGGTTCTTGGGCATTGCCTACCTGCTCATCTGTAACTCGCTCTACTCGTTCAGTCTCTTCTTGCCGACTATCTTGCGAGGCATCTACCCGGACATCGCAACCACCCGCCTCCAGCTCCTCACGGTCCCGCCCTACGTCCCTGCCACGGTGCTGGTGATCATCGTCGCCTATCTCTCGGACAAAACGCGCATGCGGGGCCCTTTCATGCTCGCCCTCCTCCCCCTCTCCATGATTGGCTACATCATGCTCCTCGCGACCAACGATGCCAAGGTCAAGTACGGTGCGACCTTCCTCATCGCTCTCGGTCTCTACCCTAGTGCGCCATGCATCCTCGCGCTTCCGATCAACAACAACTCCGGTCTCTACAAGCGGGCTACGGTCATCGCGCTCGAGCTCATGATTGCGAATCTGGCAGGCTTTGTGGCGACGTTCATCTATCAGGCCCACTGGGCACCCAAGTATGTACAGGGTCACTCGGTCGCGCTCGCCAGTCTGGTCGGCGCCGAGATTTTCATTGCGATCAACGTCTGGTGGTGCTGGAGCGAAAACAAGGCGAGAGAAGCCGGCAAGAGGGAGGGCAACTGGGCGGCATACCAGAAGCTTGTCGATGAGGGAAAGACCAAGGCCCCCATCGGAGATCGCTCGCCTCACTTTAGGTACACTTTGTAGTAGCATTCTGCGATATACACGGCCAGAAACAATTTCTCATTCGATGGTCAGAGACGTGCTTACAGTATTGTGTTGATTGGGTCGAGATCAGAATCCCTCATTGCAGTTCAGAGAGTGAGTGGCAAACGTATGGCGATGCTGAACATCGCCGGTTGAGTGTGCACCATGGTCGCAGTGCCTGACAGGAGGATGAGGCGGCTCTCGATTCACCCGCAAATTTGGCTGAGACTCTGGATCTGCGGAACGGCAAACAAGGCGGGAGGACCCTTCCGACCAGCTGCAGCTCAGATGCCGCCAAATGGGTGAATTGCTAATTCAGCAAGGCAGCCGAGCGTGAGAACTCGATCCGCTCGAAATATTCCCAACAACCGTGCACCATCACAACTGCAGCTATCTACCTTCATCTTGTCATCCAACAACCATCTCCACCATTGCTTTCAATCTCGGGAATGCTCACATGAAGAGACAAAGCTGATCGAAAGTTGAGCACCGACTCATTCCCTCGTTTCATACCGCCACCATCCGATCACCTCACCAGAAGATGCCGGCAAACATTCGTGCTCGATCATCCAACAGCTGTCGATAAGCTACTCACATACGAGGATCCTACCGTACGCCTACATCCACAACCCCATCGAAGCATCAGAGTCGCTCGGAAGGGTCAACATGCCATCCTCACCCCATCCGTACCGCTCTGCGGCACATCAGCTCCAGCATCCTGAGCACGCATCGTACTCGCCGTCGCCACGATCCACTCCGCTGTATTCTTCCGCAGCCCGTAGCTCCCACATCTATCGCAGTGCATCGAATGCATCCAGCCCCGAAGCATTCAGCGAACATGACTCGCCCAGGAGAGCCGCCCACGACTACCCAGGCGTCCCTTCCTCTCGGGCAGTATCCGCTTCTCGCGCGCCTGCCAATGCATACGATCCGGTCCAACAGCCAGGTCCGTCCGCATCCAAGCGTCGCAAACAGTCTCATGATTCTCCCACCATTCCAATGACTTCCGAATCGCCATCGAGTGCTACTAAGAACGCATCCGCCGAGGAACCTCCCGGCTCAGACTCGAAAGGATCGTCTAGGGTGGCAAAGGCGTGCCAACCATGCAGCACCAAGAAGCGAAGATGCGATGGTCGACAGCCGGAATGCTCTGTATGCCAAGTACTAGGCACGCCTTGCACCTATAATCACACCGGACTCAAGCGAGGTCCGCCGAAAGGATTCCGATCCGGTCCCAAAGAATCGGCCAGAGCCAAGCTCATCCGCACACTCGAGACGACCATCCGCGATCTTGTCAATCACCTGGGCAAAGAAGACGCAGGTGCCGAGATCGTTCGAGTGTCTGGAGAGCGTGCTCTTCCAATATCTGATGCTCAGCGTGATAATTCTGGCCACGATGATGAGCCAGGATCTCGAAAGCGAGCTGCCGGCAAGCGGGCCGCCTCAAGAATCAAGATCGAGCACCTCACATCCAGCGACAATGTTGATCGTTTCAACAATTCTCGAGTCTCAGACGGAGAAGACGAAGATCGTGCAATCGCTGAAGAGGACGTCATTGGGGAGACTTCGCAAGGTGAGCTCGTCTATCGCGGCTCGAGCTCTGGCATCGGCATCTTGCAGCGTCAACATCGTGCAGAGTCGCCGTCAGGCGCCCTAGGTCTCACAGCAGGCCGTTCGGTCGCATCAAGCTCGTCTGCTCCCTTTGGCGGACGTTCCCGAGATGACCGCCACTCGGGTGACACGCCTTTGCATCCCAAAGCTCCCGTCTTTTTGCCGATTTCTTCACCACGACAGCACGGCGATGCAGAGACGGCGAGCTCGCAGGATCGATCTCCGCGCCTGGGCAAGAATGTTGCGAGGAAGGAAGCATCGCACCTACACAGTCTGTATCCGGGCTCCAGTCACGACAGTCACGGGCGGACCAGCGTTGCATCCGCTGAGGATCCCATCGTCTCGGATGAGGAGAACGACCGCCTCTTCCGATACTACTGGCAAGGCTTCCACCCGTTCTATCCGATCCTCTACAAGCCATGGTTCGTCGCCTTTTCTCGCGAAGATCTACGAAGCAACCTCGAGCCGAGCCTCCTCTTCGCCATCTACGCCATCGCGGCCTGCGTCGTTCCCGGCAACGCATCTCAGAGCGGTAGCAGCGAATCCGACACCTCTGCTCACAAACTCAACCTCGAGCGTGCACAATCGTTCTGCCAAGCGGCGGAACGACACGTCCTCGCCAAAGGACTGCGGCCCGACATTGCATCCATCCAGACTTGCTGGCTGCTCAGTCTCTACTCGCATGGAACGGGCGACCTGTCGAGGGCGTGGAACTTTCAGAATCTGGCCAGCTCCATGGCTGTCGACATGGGTCTACACCGATGGCCCATCTATCGTCCCGAGATCGTTCAGGATCGTGTTCAACGCGAGACGCGCATCCGCGTCATTTGGCACTGCTACATTGTGGACAAGGTGCTGTGTGCCGAGATGGGACGTCCCGTCACGCTGCGCGCCAAGGACATCGACGTGCCGCTCCTCTCCGAGACAGAGGACGACGAGTTCGAGCTGTGGTCGGATCAGACTGAGATGCAGACGGTCGATCAGTCCGGTTCTCGACCGACTACATCGGCATCAGCATCCATGCGCCGCCTGCATGCGCCTTCATGTCTCAATTGGGGCGTGCATCTGTTCAAGATCGTGGAGCGTATCCTGGATGAAGTGCATTCCCTTCGGCGCAAAGCCTTCCTACGTCGGCAAGGCAAACAGCAAGTGCTCGCGGACCTCGACCGTCAGCTCACCGAATGGAAAGAAAAGCTCCCTCCCCACCTTCACCTCGATGACAGCACCAACGACGGCCCCTTTCCTTCCTTTTTCGCGCTCAACCTGTGGTACTACACAGGCCGTCTCCTCCTGCATCGCCCATTCATCCCGCAAGAAGAAGGACTAGCCATGTCGAAAGTCCTCGAAAACGACTCGCATCGGCAGAGCACCCTGGCGGCCAACACCATCTGCGATCTCCTCGAAGCCGCCTCGCGCGATATCGTCGATCGGCTCAGCACCGATCTGGGCTACTGCCTGTTCACGGCGGCGGTGATGTTCGTGTTCAACGCGCGGTTGCCGGATGCCAAGATCGCGAGCGATGCGAGACGACGGTACGGGCTGTGCGTGCAGTGGTTGAAGAAGTTAGCGGATACATGGCCGGCCGCGTCTGCGCACCGGTTGTTGTTGGACGGGTTTGCAGTGGTAGGTGAGGACGCGTCGAAGCACGGCGCGGATGCGTCGAGGAGACGACCGAGTGTCGCAGCCACTGTCGGGGTGGGCAAGGTGTCGAGTTGGATTGCGGAGACTGAAGGGGCGCTGGCCGACCCTGTGCCAACGAAGGCCGCGGCAACACCGCAGATGCTGCTGCAGAATGCGGCGGTGGGGTGGAATGGTGGTGCGCAACCGTCGAACGATGCAGTGCGCAACATCAGTGCTCAGAACCTGATGGATTTCGCACCGGGGATTTTCGACGTCGAGTCGTTCTTCTGGAACGAAAACGCCTCTGCGCCGTCGTTGATGGGGATGAACTTCAACCAGGTTCCTTCGACGAGCGCCCCACCGGCGCCACCTGCACCATCGATGCCGTACACTGGGTTCAACGGCAATATGCTCAGCGGCATCGGTGGGGGTGGGGGATACACGATGGGTGGGGGGATGCAAAGCACCCCGTCGGCGCTGCCGTACGTTGGAGGAGGAGGAGGGGGGATGTTCGAGCAGCAGCAGCGGCAGCCACAGTCGATGCAGGCAACCGTGCCCGTGTCGCAGAGCAACGCGCCAGCGGATGCAGCGACAACGGCGGCAGCGTACAACACGTCGCCGTTCGCGTTCAACCCCACCAGCCAGAGCCTCGGCGAGTTTTGGAGCATGTTGGAGCTTCCACCTGCCTTTTTGCAGCAGTGAGTGCACGTCGTTCTTCATAGACACGTTCGGAGCAGCTTGGCTTGCAATGCAGGGGGAAGAGTTTCATCAGAATTGCTGCACGCGGGGGAAGTGTGAATGAGTGTGTGAAATTGCATTGCAGGTCCTGCCTGTCTTGAGAATGTCCGTGTGATCCTCTTGCGTCTAGATCCAAGCTGCAATCGCAGTGGCGAGGGACAGCAGCGTAGCGAGCGCGGTCCAGTTGCGCTGGACGCTCTGAGCGCCCGAAGTGGACGTTGAGCTAGATCCCGATGCGGCAGCTCCACCTGTCGCGCTCACCGCACTGGCACTGGTGGTCTCGCTGGTCGCCACGGCCTTTCTCCATCCACTCGGTCTCCATCCCACTGCGACATCGGACGCGCTCTTCTCGAACAGCACCGTGCGTCCTTCGCTACTGCCAAACACTTCATCCGCATTATGCGTTGCACCTCGGATCACCGTCATTGTATGTCTCAGTGTGCCCGTCCAATCGGGCAGGGCTTCCTTCGTTAGGTTTCCTGGGAAACCTCGAACGTCCTCGTTGGTTCGCGCGAGGTAGTTGATGTACTTCCACCAGGCCAAATTCCTGTCCCTACGCGCGACGCCACCTTGGAGTAGCGCCATACAGTACTGATCCCCGCTAGACGCCGTATCGTCGTACCCCACAACGTAACGTACATCGCGAGAGATGACGTTGTTAAAGTGCTGCCGGGGCGTGAGCGGGGTGGTAAAGTTATCAAATCCGTACCGCCAGGTGTTCCACAGTGGACAGTCTTCCTTTGTTGCGACGCTTCGATCTGTGGTCGGTCGATCCGAGGTGAAGTACACGCTGGAACTGGGATCACCAGCGATGTATCTCACCGCCAAGTTCGAGGAGGGAGTCTTTGCGACGATAGCGTATCGATTCATCAGTTGACCTCCACCGCCGTGACCGACGAATACGAGCTCCTCCAAGCGCGGGTATTGGGTTTGATTGCTGAAGTGTTCCGCGAGCGCATCGAGAGCGTCGAAGCTCGTCTCCGTCGCACCCCTGGGATGGACCGCAGCTTCACCCGCTTGCCACGCGTTGATGTCCCCCCATGCCAGCTCGTCCGACGAATACTGCCCATTGTTGAGTCGCGCACTGTAGAATTCCGGTGCGACAATGATCGCGTTGGAATCGGCGGCGGTGTAGCCAGCCGAGACGGCCGAGGTGAGGATGTCGTGCATGGTCGTCCAGTACGCGTCGCCGTCGCGATTGCGACCGTGGATCATGATGAAGGCTTGGCGGGCGAGGGTGTTGGAGGGAGAGCGGGTCCAGTATGCGGCGAGGGAGTGGGCGCCGACGGACAGGGAGCGGAGGCGGGCGCCGGAGGGTGCGACGGGGTCGCTGTGATCTTCGTGACCCAAGGGCGTGCCTTGTTGGGCCGCAGTGAGGGTCGAGGCATCCCGTGCGACCAGCTGGGAGGAGTGTTGGGCATTAGAGCGAGCGACGAGCGAGGCGTCGCCAAAGGGAATGTGGTTCGCCGCCACGAGCGTGCTGAGGGCGGAAAGGGTTGTGAGGAGGGTGGTCAGCGCCACAACGAGCGTCGATGATGAGGCGCGCATGGTGTAGTCTTCCTATCCGACGAGCAGCTGGTGTCGGAAAGAGCTTTGATACTCTCGGAAGAGTTTGGGTCGATGGTGGTCAGGACGAAAGGTGACGACGGGGAAAAGGGATAGACACCGCCTTACCACGGAGAAGGCGCTCTTAAGAAGTCTCATCTACCCGCCCAATCACCGCTGCGATCACGGCGAACCAACACCGCAGACCACACAATGAGCAACCAACACAATGCCAACACAACACGCCAAGCCACAAGATCGTCGTTGCATAGTCACCGAGACGCACGTCTCACATTGCGTTGCTATGCGGATACCATAAGGTCGCCCCTCGCCTAAGCAAAGGGATTTCAAGATCGCCGAAGTGCACAACGCCGAGCGCGCGCGCCCTGCATTGTGGTCATGCAGCTCATCAGCTGTCAAATTTGCGAAAAAATTCATGCAGCGTGATGCCAAGCCTTGTGCGTTGCGAAAAGGGCGCGCGTCCGAGGGTGGCTTGCTAGAGCAGATCGGAAGCGAGGGCCGAAAGGACGATCTTTGTACGCTGGCACCTGCGTGATCCGGCTCAACGACGCCGATTCTTCAGAGTGAACTCGGCTGAGGTGTTGTTGACGCAGCTCCCTCGTCGCGGCCACTCCAAAGGTTTGTGTTCAGCATGGCAGCGCGCCCCCTCCCTGTTCAGCAAGGTGGGCCGGATTGCGGCACCGATTGCCCCCAACCGACGCGCAACGACAAGATTGACTTACTCACACGTCACAGTCTCGATGATGCAAACAGTCGGTCTGAATGGGTGACAAGGCTGAAAGAAAAGCAAAAAAGTTGCATCTGAACCCGCAAGTGTGGCGACGACCGGCGACGCAACACTTTGGTGTTCGAGATCGAGAACAACAAGAAAACGAAAGATCCAACACATAGCCCTGATCGAGCTACGTTTATCCATGACGGGGGGCGGGTATATCACTTCTCCTCATCGCAGTCCTCCTCTGCCATGCTAGCAGCGGCAGCCTCGTTTTCACCATCCCAATCGCACTCGTCGATGAGCTCGAACGGGTCAGCCTTGATGAGATCCGCGGCGATCTCGGCGATGGCGTACGTGGTCGACATGAGGTGGCTACTCAACGAGATTGGGACCACACTAGCATCCACCACGCGGACGTTGCTGGTGCCGTAGACGCGAAGCTCGTTGTCGACCACACCACCGTCGTCCTCGTCGAGCATGGAGCAGGTGGAGCTCGGGTGGGATTCGGTCTGCGCCGTCTGCGCCACATACTTGTCCACATCTTCGTCGCTCACCACAGCACTGCCAGGGAGCGACTCGCCACCCATGACACTGCTGAGCGGGGCGGTGGTGCCGATCTTCCGTGCGAGCTGCACACCCGATCGCATCAGCTCCACGTCCGAGCGGTGCTGCAGGTAGTTCGGGTTGATAATAGGTTTATCGAAGGGGTTTTTGGATGAGATCTCGACCCAACCCCTCGAGAATGGAGCTTGCAACGCCGTCTCGACCATCACCTGTTTGCCGTTGCTGATGCCGAGCAGCATCTCCATCGCACCCTTCGCACCGCCAGTGAAGCCCTTATCGCTCTTGGCAGTGAGCAAGTCTTCCAGTAGGAACTTGTACTGCTTAGCCCAACCCCGACGCACGGCCTCGGGCACGTTGGTGGCGCTCTTGATGTAGTCGACCGAGAATTTCTTCGCACGGGCGATGAAGTTGGACGTCTCGTTGGCACCGTACAGCTTGTCCAGCGTCACGTATGCGACCGACGAGTCGACGAACGAGGCTTGCTTGGTCAGATTTGTCTCTGTCGGCAACACAAGTCCGTCCGCGGGGGTGTAGGTGACAGCCGTCGTGAGGTGATCCTGCAGATTCTGCCCGACGCCGGGAAGCTCCTTGACAAGCGTCACATTGTGCTTCTCGAGCAGCTCCTTGCAGCCGAAACCAGAGAGCTGGAGGATCTGGGGCGAACCGATAGCGCCAGCGGAAAGGATCACTTCCCGACGCGCAGTGACGTGCACTCGAGGCGCATCGGGGGAAGCAGCGAACTCGACGCCGAGCGCGCGACGGTCGCCGTTCTCATCCGCCTCGGTGTCCCAGATGATGCGCGTGACGGTCTGATTGGGAAGCACGACGAGGTTCTTGCGCTTACTGGCGATGGGATCGAGATAGGCGTTGCGTGAAAAGCAGCGCTCCCAGTTCTTGGAGTTGATGGTGGAAGTGGCAATGAAGGCACCTTGATTGTCGCCGTCGTACGGGCTGTCGGCGTGGTCGATGCCGAGGGCAGCCAGGGTGGGCACCCAGTCGGCGACAGGCTGGTAGCTGACACCGGGGTAGGTGAGGGCGATAGGTCCGTCTTCACCGACGAAATCGGTCTGATTGCTGATGCTAGTGTCGAGCTGCTTGATGGTGTTTGGTGTGAACGACGTCGATTTCCTCATAGCGTCCCTGAGGTTGTGCCAGCCCCATGTGGCGATGTCGCCGGAGAGACGACCCCATACCTGGTGCTCGCGCTTGGTGGGAGCAACGTAGTACATGCCATTGATAGCCGAGGAGCCGCCGAGGACCTTTCCGCGAGGCCAGCTGGTGGTGCGCGAATTGCCGTCCGCATCCTGCAGCTTGGACTGGTTGGCCGTGACGTACTGCCAGTCGAGGTCGGAGCCGACTGAGGATTTGAAGTAGGCGTTGCCGGGGACGAGCACCGCCTCGTCGTCAGAGTAGCCAGAGTGACCGGCTTCAATGACGGCGACAGTCACGTCTGGGTCTTCCGAAAGGCGACCGGCGAGCGCAAGACCGGCTGTGCCACCCCCAGCAATGACGTAGTCGAACACTTCATCGGCGAGGGCGGTGTAGTTTTTGGCGATGGCGGCACCTGGTCGGGAGCGCGGCTGAATACGAGGTCGGTCACCAAATAGGTCGCGCGAATAGAGCGTGGGGTCGGAGGGGTAGGATGGGTCGGCGTGCAGATTCCTGGCGCGTCGATGGTGGCGCGGTCGAGTGTGCCCGGCAGGCTCGAGCGAGGCGGTGGAAAGGAGAGGCAACGAGACCAGGAGCAGGGAAAAGAAGGTGACCTTCATCGTGTCGTACAAGCCAACTGTGATGCAAAGTGTGGACGCGATGTGCTAAGCTCGAGCGAAAGGGAGCGTGTCGAAGGTCCAAAAGAAGGTCTGCCAGAGGCTTTCGAAGGGGTCGAGACGGAGCTGGTGGAGAGATGCCTTGCAGAAGGGGAGGTGAATGACGCTACAAGCAGAGGCCAGCCCTTTCTGAACCTGTCAGATGGAGGCCCTTGATGAGGATCAAGTGGGGATGCGAGTGGAGACGCGACGAGGGATGATGGTGAAGAGAGGAGAGGTATAATCGAGGATGGTGGGAGTGGAGTGATGATCAAAGGAGCGTGTCGTTGGATCAGAGAACGAGCGATGGCGTGAATGGGTGGGCAGAAAGGGAGCGGAGAGGATGAGGGAGGCGGGGGTCGAAAAGGGTAAGTGCTCTCCGGGGCTTGGCATGGAAGCGGATCTTGGACTCGATATGAAGCGCAGCATCTGGCTCGGATGAGACGGACACACGCGTTTGCTCCCACTTCGTCGAAGCGCTTGTCACATTCCACAATCGTACAACCCGACAACCTCCCACAATGCCGCTTCTTGGCAATCGCAGTCCAAGCGGCGATGAGACCCCTGTCCCGGGTGATCCGCACACGAGGAAGCTCGAGAGTCGCGGCTTCCAATTGAGATCCCACGGTAGCCGGATCAACCGAGAGAGATTCGTGAGGGGTCACGCTCCCCCCATGCGACGGCATAGCCGACCCGAATCCCAGGTGCACTGCGACGCGAGTGTGACGATGCAGAAGTGTCTCATTCTGCCGAGCTTGCACGTCTTGCCTTTCAAGTCACACGAGGCTGACATGGTGCTGCTGCTGCATGTTCGGCTCGCCTTGACTCTTCACCACCAGGTCCGCCGAGCTGGGACTTTTTTCGTGGCGGAGTCTCAAGTGTCTGTGTCGACTGCCCCTCTGCCTCACTTTGGTTCGCTGCGCTGCACTCTTTGAGATGTGCATGTCTCGGCTGCCGAAATTCTTCCAGGTGCAAGAGCGCGTTCCTGCGCGTTTGCTGCTTCGGTCTGCCAAGACTCCGACCAGCTGCCAGCGCGACGTGTCCTGTCAAAGGGTCCAGTCTTCGGCTCTTGAAGCTGGTCAGGAAAGCTCGTTGCTCGTCCAACAGGCAAGCCCAGCGGCATCATTGTCTGCGGCTATATCCCCCTGCAGGACCGCTTTCCTGACCAGCTATGGCGAGTGTAGCCTTTGATGCAGCTGGGCCGCCTTCGATATCGATGATTTGTTCTTCTAGAGGCTCTGATGCCGAGGCAGCAATCTCCCTCAAGGACGCTCTCCATCGCTTGTACCACTGCACGGTAGTCATGGCGTGCACTGACGCTGCAACCTTACGCCCTCGTAATCGTGCGTGCCCTGCAACATCCCTATGCAACGCGGTCGGTCGCAGATCCTTCCCTGCCTACCCGAGCTGTGCAGCCAAAGCTCGATGAATGATCGTCGTCCTGCATTGCTTTCAACCAGATCTCTCATCGATGCAGGCGCAAATGCAATGTACCCTTGCATCTACCAGCTTAGCGACAGGATGGTCTGCCAATGCTTGCTCCCATGGCCGGCCTCGCTGGGCTGACCGGCACGAAATCACCGATGCGCGCATCGATTAGTTGCAATCGAGATCGCAACAGCTTACTCTACCGATCTTACATCTAACATTTTCGCGCCGCCTGCACCGAGCGCGAACCTTCATGCAGGGTTCACACTTCAATTGTCTCCTTCAACCGACCATCTAGACACATCTCGATGACGCTCCTTCCATAGACGATGCGACATAGAATCGGCAAAGGCGTGCTGCTCACAGCGGCCTTCTCCCTTCTCCTCACCTGCGTGTTCTACCTCGCGCACGATACCGTTCTCCACAACTCGCGGATCATCGGATGGCAGGCGTACACCGCTATCGACCTTCGCAAGCCTGCCCACTCCACCGCTGGGGATGCTGTCAACTCCACATCTCCTCCTCCTTCAACACCCGGAGTGGTGGCAGGTGAGCAGTACGACGACGCCTATCCACTCGATATCTATGCTCCCACGCTGCCAAATCCAGCACCGATCACCGAGATCACCGTGCACAGCTGTCTACCCCTCACGGCGTGCGTGCCGCCCACGACGCCAGCACAAGATGCGGAGTTGGGCAAGTGGGTCCGCGTCGATAGGTCACTCAGCCCCGTTGGCCAGCTGGGCAATTCTGCGGGAGGAATGTTGAGTAATCTGTTTGGAAGCATCGAACAGCGCTTTCTGTTCTACCGCAAGTCGAGGCGGCGCGACGTGCAGGAAGTGGTCGAGATCAAGCTGGTCGAGGAAGGTCAGACCCCGCCGACGGGTGAAGGGTGGCATCGAGTCCAGGATGGACTGCGGAGCAGAGTCGTGCAGATGATGAGCGGCGAGAAAGGGCTGCACCTGTTCTATCGGACAAGCTCGGCGGTGGGGAGGATGCAGGCGGAGTTGGGTGCGAGACAGGTGTCGCACGGGAGCGCCGATGAGGCTGGCAATGCGACGATGCATGCGATCACAGAGCTCGACTTGACCTATGGCGATAATCCGCCTTGGCCCGGGTTCGAGGCCGCAGGGATCATCTCCAGCTCGCATCCTTCCATGGCGTCGTCGAGGATCACGTTGACCTACCGCCGCCGGCCGATGCGCAAACCCACCCTAGACCCACTTAAGTTCAAGAAGGATGGGTCGTTCAAGATCCTTCAACTGGCCGATCTGCACTTCTCCACCACTCCGGAGCCGTGTCGTGACATCGACGTCTCGGATCCACGCTGGTCCTCCCGTGGATGTCTGGCCAAGAACGACACCCTCTCCCTCATCCACAACTGGCTCGACACGGAGAAGCCGGACCTAGTAGTCCTAACCGGGGACCAGCTGAACGGCCAATCGACATCCTGGGACCCGCGCTCCGTCCTCTCGCTCTACACGGCCCCGCTGATCTCGCGCAAGATCCCCTACGCGGTGATCTTCGGCAACCACGACTCGGAATCCGGTCCGCTCAGTCGAGAAGAGCAGATGCAGATCGCGTCCAACATGCCCTACTCCCTCTCCTCGGTCGGACCATCGTTGATCACCGGCACGGGCAACTATCTGCTCAAAGTGGAGAGTGGTCGAGAGGACAGGGCGCACGTAGCGAGCCTTTGGTTCATGGATAGCGGCACACATGCAGAGAAAGATCGGTGGAAGCCGTGGGTCAAACCTGGCTACGGGTTCATCCATAAAGACCAGATCGAGTGGTTCACCACCAAGTACGGGGAGATTAAGGAGTCACTTTTGCCGTATCAACCCGATGGGGCGGCAGATTTGCCCAAACAACCGTGGCGACGGGGGAAGGAGTGGGATTCGGATGCGGATGGCGGTCAGACGCTCGCTCGACCCCCGAGTGTGGTGTTCATGCACATCCCACCGCCGGAAAGTATGAACCCCCCTGACACGGGAGCTTATCCGGAAGTACACAATCCCACCGACCCAAAAACTCCACCGTATCCATCGACAATGACGACCGATCTCGTGGTCGGAGCCAGGCTGGAAACCGCGACGGTGGAAGGCGCCCAGTCCCAACCAGGCATCTTTGACGTTTTGACTTCGCTCAATGCGCACCACCCCGCACCGGGTGGAGTGAGGTTGTTGGTGCACGGTCACATGCACCTCAATTCCGACTGCCGTCGCGTTAATGGGATCTGGATCTGCTTTGGCGGCGGCAGCTCGCTGGCGGGCTACGGGAGGAAGGACGTGCAACGCAGAGCAAGGGTCATCGTACTCGAGCAGTGGGCGGCCAAGATCCGCACATATCATAGGATCGACAGGGACGATAAGCGGGCCGACGAATTCGTGCTCACATACAAGTAATAGACATTTGATTTGTCTGCATTGTGAGTCACAGTGTGATGCTAGGAGGTGAAGAGGTTTGAGACGACCAGTGTAGCGGTCTCGCTGTCGAAGCGACGACAGAGGGCGGTGGAGCGGCGCACGACTTTGGCCAGACGCTGCTGGTCCGGGGATGACGAGGCGGTGGGGGCGATGGTGAGCGCACATCGCTGGATGCGCACACAGCATTGCTGCCACGCGTCATCGTTACTGTGAGCCAGTTCAGGTTCGGCGATGTCCAGAATCTTGTCCAGGATTTCGATGATGGGAGACATCCACATGCCCATCGAAGGGTCTTCTGCGAAGAGCAGCACTCTGTCGAGCACCATGGTGGCTGTGCACGAGATGGTGCGTGCGAGATCGGCTGAGACGGTCGGAAGCGTACGCGTTGTCGACGGAGAGGAGAGGCGACAGTTGTGCAAAGCTTTGACGGTGGTCAGGGTGAGCGTGAGCGTGGGTGCAAGCCAAGCGGCGTCTGTCGCGCGGTGCAGGCGGTCCAGATCGACACTGCGTACGAGTTGCACCAGCAGCAGCATCCAAACGCTTCTCAGTGTTCCTGACGTGCCAACCGTTGCGCCCGACTCGTCATTCGCCTGCCTCTTCCCAGCGTCGTCGCCGTCGCTCCGAGACTCTGCCATGGCCACCACGCCCTCGCGCACCGCCTGCTGCCACATCCACGTCAACAACCCTCTGCGCGTCACCAGCTCGATCGCCACATCGCCCTTCCGCACCAGCCACGCCGTCGTATCTTCGATCAGCGCACGCATCGCCGTCTCCTCCACCGCCCGCTCCGCGCTCATCGACGCACCCGCCATCCCACCATCGCAACTATCGTACATCGACGCAAGCAGCTCCCACGTGCGTCGACGCTTGAAGATCTTCCAGTCGCTTCGACCACCCGAGCGCGCGACGTCGCGCAGGAAACGCAGCATCCACATGCGCTCCTGCTTGTACTTGTCCGACGCCGTGTAGAGCAGGTTGTACAGCAGAGGAATGTCGCCAACGTCGAGCTGCGGGCGTTGGAGGAGGAAGTGCGAGATGATGGGGTAGATGAACGAGCTAGGGGTGGTGATGGAGCGCAGGGCGTGAGCGATGAAGAGAGTGGTCGTGATCGGCAGGTACGGCGCGTCGGAGGGCGTCTCGGAGTCGGTGGCTTGAATCGAGGTCGTCGAATCGAGGGCGTCGCGGAGCAGGTCGAGCACCATGATGAGATGATCCTTCTCTTGGAAGTCTGCCTCTCTGATAGCGAGGTAGAGGTTGGAGGTGAGCGTCAGACTGGCCCGTCGCATGTCGGCACATCGGGAAGACAGCCCGCAAACGACGAGCCCGGGAGCATTTGTGGCGAACACCGACATCCACTGCAATTTGCTCAGCTTCACGTCCGGCAAACTCACACCGGCGAGGAGCGATGCGACAAAGACGGGATCGTAGCGCAGCGCTGCATCCGTGTGCCTGCCGTACACTTGCCCGGATAGCGCAGCTTCGTCGTCATCGTCCTCGAAGCCGCTGTCCATCGTGTTGCGCAGCGACAATGACCGAGGATATTCGGTACAGGTCGCAAAGACAACGTTCGCATCGAGGGATTGAAGCGCCTCGAGTGTGTTCTCTCGGCCATCGACTGGTGCAGACGCACCACCACTTTGAGACGAAGGCAATGTCCAGCCTTGGACCAAACCTGTGAAGGAGTGACCGCACTCTTCTTCGAACATTCTGAACAGCGATAGCAGCATCCTGTCTGACTTCGACAGACTCGCGCCGTAGAACGACATGAGCTTCGTCAGAAGTGGTGCGCGCAGCAGTGCCTTGGCGTCGCGGGAGGCGACGGTGTACACGACTTCCACTAGCGCCTCCCGGAGATGCTGTGATCCATCATGCTTCTCTCGCTCCGACAAAGCGTCTTCTTGCTCCTCCTCGTCGTCCACAGTGTCGCCTCGCGTCGGACGCTGAATGGTGGCTGTGCCGCGAAGGACTGAGTTGAAGTCGGAATGAGCCGACAGAGCGCCGAGGTAGCGCGAAAGATCGGTCTGCCCTAGGTCGGAGTACGAACAGAGGGCAAGCACGAGCTGCATCTGGTCGAGGCCGCGCAGTCGGTTCTTGATCGCGGCCTGGATGACTGGGTCCACGAGCGACTTCTTGAGCTGCACTGCGAAACCTTCGTCGCCTCCAATGCGCTGCACCAGCGAGGTGAAAAGGGTGATGGTCTGCACGAGGTCGACCGTATCATTGCTGTCCTCGGCAAAGCGACGCACGAGCCAGAGTAGGGATGCGTCGACGGTCGCCTGCAAGATCTCTGTCAGGCGAGGGAGGTCGGGGATGTGCTCGATCAATCCCAGCAAGACCTGCAGCAGATGGCGATGGAAGGCCCTAGATGGTAAGGAAGCTGCTGCGGTGCTTGTGAACTCCAAGAGCTTGCTGCTCGTAGCAGTTTGAATCGCTGTCCAGCCAAATTTGCGCGCACATCGCAGGCTGACGATGAGGAGAGACGTCAGCTTTTGCAGTGCGTCTGCCGAGTTAGTGGCCTCCAGAGCGATGGTGCTGGCCAGATCGACGACAGGCTGCAGCTGAGCTTGCGTCCATTCTTGTCCAGAGAGCTCCGCTTCCTCTTGCTCGAGCAGCGCTGACAGCAAAGTCAGCAGAGTGCAAGGCAGCGTGCGAACAACGTCCTGCTGGGCCATAACCCCTGTAGAGGACAGGATCGACATGAGAGCTCCAGAGACGGACGACGCCAGCTTTGGGTGCGCGTGAATAGCCGCTACCAGCGCACCATCCATGGCGGAAGAGCAAATCTCGGCTTCAGAAAGATCACTGAAATTCAGCCCAGCTACGTTCCCGGGTAAAGAAGCTTTGGCATCCCGCTGAACATGCTCGAGGATCGATTGGATGGACCCAAAGAGCAAGTGCTGACGCTGTCCGAATGATGCGTCGCTGCCACTCCTCTCGTTATCTCTCGAACGCAGCGCTGCTGATACAAGCTCTGGCAGTCGCAGAGCCAATGCCTTCCAGATGGCAGATCTCGATTGCAACGACGCTACCAGGACGGCGAGCGCCTCTGCAGCCAGCAAAGAGACACCAGCTTCTGGTTCCCGGGTTTCGAGCGCGCGAGCGAATGTTTCGATAAGGTCAAGGGCGTGATCTTCGGGCAAGAAAGGCATCAAGTTTGTCATGGACCGGAAGAAGGTGCCATCGAAAGCCTGGTCCTGCTCGACTCGATGGATCAAGGAGGTGACTATCTCGACGTCCTCTTTGCGACTTGGGACCAAATGTCGCACGGCGAGCTCGCTGATTCGGAGTAAGACTCCAGATGTAGCCGATGATCCAGAAAGGGCATCAATGCTCGAGACGACATCAGCAAACAGGAAGTGCTTGATGCTTCCCTCCGAGAGCTGTCCCGAAGCATCCGCGATGGAGAGTAGGGAAGCGACGTGATGCAACAATGTCTCGCTGTCTTGGCTTTTGCGCGACCGGTCAACAGCTGTGCGGATTGCGAGACGGGTTAGATCCTCGGTTCTCCAAGCGACCAGCGTGGCTGCCTGCTGAGCTTCGTGATTGCTGTCAGTCGCCATGAAGTCGTCCATAGGCGGAGCAGTAAAAGTGACGTTCAGAGGTAGGTGAAGGATTGGGACGGTGCCGTAGGCGATCTCCGTTGATCCTGAGAAGGCAGCTGCCGCGAGGTTCTCGGTCGCCGGATCGAGCTCCTCAAGGATTTGCGAGACGGCAGAAAAGCCAATTGCGTGCAGCTTCTGCGTTGCTTGGTAGAGTTCGGAGACCTGGACCTGTGTCAGTGGCCTGTCGGCGTCTCGCAGGCGGATCTTGAGATCTTGCGGCGTGGCAGAGCCTGTTCAGACGTAGTGAATGTGCATTCAGGAACATGTCAGCAAAATATTGATACTTGATCGAGAAACAGTATCCTAGCCTCGTCATGAATGGTCAGGACGCCTGTCGAACACCTAGGCGGACGAAGACGACTTCAGAGTTATCGGCAAGCCATCGCTGCAGCAATCAAGCCGCAGGATGTGACTTTGGTGTAGCGGTTCTGATAATTGGGAGATTCTAATCATCCCATTCGATGGCGCGGGCTGAAGCGGCAAGAGGGAGAAAGAGGAACGTGGTACTTACCAAGGAACAGGGCGGAAGAAGCTGAGCTGGCTCGCTTCGACTTCTTGGTCGATAGAGTGCTGAGCTCGGGGGCTGTGCGGATGCTGTGAATCTTGCTGATCAGGGTCGACGCCAGGAAGACGGATGAAGAGTAGTGGGGGCTCCCTTTGATCGCATCGTGGATCTTGACCGACATGGCTTCGACAGCGGAAGTTTGCCGGGTATAGCCGCACAGGACGGGAAGCAAGCGGACGAAGAAAGCAGACAGTGCTCCTACTGTGTCGTCCTCTCCGCCAAACAAGCCCTTCTCGACACGGATGGTGAATTGCTCGAAGATGGCCATGAGCCATGGCGACGCAAGGAGATCCGTGGAGTCAGATGGACTGTTCGAGTCCTTTCCGCTGACCGATGCGTTCTCCTTGCTGCCGTGGTCGCGAACGAGCTGACGAGCAGCCTCAATATAACGATACGGAGTCTTTGCACATCGAAGCATGCACTCGTCCAGGAACGAGATGACCCGGGATTGCTCCACAGAAGGATGGTGAGTGGCAACAGAGACAGAATCGTGTTCGCCTTGCTCTTCGCTTTGAGCCGTTCGAGTGTCAAACTGCGGCAAGCTTGCAAGCCAGGCCTCGATCTCGGACGGGTGATGTTCGAAGAAAGACGAGGATGAGAGCAGGGACCGAATCAGATCCTCGCAGGCTTGCTTGACCTGTGGCAGAGGCGTGGAAACGTAGAGGGTGAGGAGCAACCCGAGGTAGCTCAGGTTGCTGCTCGAACCTGTTGGTTTCGCCGTCCAATCGAAGGAGGCTGCTTGTGTCGAATGCGAGAGAATGCGGAGAGTGTGAACCTGACAAAGGGCCTCTAGGTTGACCTCGCCGCTGTCCTCTTCGTCCCCATCGTCATCACTGCCTTGATTCGATGCGCTGTCAGTCGCTCCGTCGTTGGCATCTTGGGTTCCATTCGCCATCTCGGTGTCCCTGCCTTCCATCTGCGAGGCAGCGTCTGCTGATGATGCATAGATGAAGGCATTGGTCAGGAGTTTGCCAGCATTGAAGCGAACGTCGAAAGCAGAGCTGGGAACGGCTTGATAGTAGAGCGACAAAAGGCGGAGTGCGATCTCGGTCAAGATCATGTTGTCCTTCTCGGTTATGGCACTCGCAGTGTCCTCTTCTGATTGGTCCTGAGCGTCATTGGCATCGGCGTGGTCGTTAATGCTCGATCGAGAGGTAGCTACCTGAAGGATTTGAATGATAACAGAGATGTCGGGAATGCGCTTTCGCGCTTCGAGCTCGAGTGCATCCAGTCGTTTGCGCCAGGATCCGTCCTCGTCTTCGTCCAGCTCCGTGATCGCGGATGAACAGACGTTGCGGAAGTGCACCATGCGGTCCAAGCATCGGCACAACACGGTACAGGTCGAGTATCGGACGAGTCGATCGGAACTGTTGAGGCCTTGACTGAAGAGTGACCGGTGGAACGGTCCCGGAAGAATGTTGGCGAGAATGCTGGACATGGGAGGTGGCTCGGACGCAAGAAGCCGATGGGACTGTGGAGCCAGAGTACCAGCTCCAGGGTCATCGCTCGATTCGAGATGCTCGACCTTGGCGTTGCGGAAGGAGGGAAGCTCGAGACCAACGACACGGCCGAAGAACGCCATGTTGCACAACCAGCGGGAGCTGGGTCTCGGCTCGACGGAGAGCCCAGCACAGGAGCTTTCAAGATAGCCACCTACAAGCTCGGGGCAGGCGGTGAGGATGCCGAGTGCCAATTCTTGCTGGCGAAGATCCTCAGCAACGGAGAGCTGACGAAGCACGCCCGATAGAACTTTGTTGTAGATGGCCCCACCACCAGCGGCTTGCTTGCTCTTCTGTGATGCTTTCGTCTCCACAGCGGATTCGTCGTGGTCGATGCCATTCGCCAACGTGTTGCTCTGGTCCGGACGGGCCTCATCGACGACGTCGGCCTTGCTGGGTGCTTTGCGCGGATACCAGCCTCGATCTGGGTAGCAGATACCAAAGCCTGGATTGGTGCAGATGCTGAGCAGGAAGTGGTGTGCGAGATCGGCTACCGAGGGATTCTCAAGGGTGTCTGTATCAGCATGAATGAGGACATGTTCCTCTTCGCGCGAGTAGAGCTGCACAACGCAGCCGCAAGCCCATTCGTTCCAGAATTCGACCTTCTTGCTACGTGGAATCTTCTGGTCTTTGATGAGATCCTCGTGAAGATGCAGCAAGATGATCTGCACCACGTCGGGTGGATCCTGTGGAAGGCCTTTGAGGATGGCCGGCAGAAAGTCGCGTCCGAGGTCGAGGAGACGAAGTTTGAGCGTGTGCGAGTAGCTCTGCTGCAAGAACGAGAGAAGGAAGAGGATGTAGAGGGTGCGAATGTCGGGCCTGCGCAAGGAAACGTCTTGAGCCACCTGTGCCTTCTTTGAAGTCTTGCTTTTGCGGTTGGCCCTTCGACGCATGTTGAAGATGTGAGGGAGTACCTTCATGGACCAGTTGAACGAGTCGAAGAGCTTGACGGCATGTCGTCCCTGGGCAAAGTTGACGATCTCGCGGAGCAAAACGAGTGAAGCTAGGGCAGCGACGTCAGAACCCTTTGAGGTTCTGGATTCTCGCTGCTTGGATGAGGCGTACTTGGCACCACCCAGGTTGGAGATATAGCTGTGGAGCATGTCGAGCCATGGCTCATTTGCAGAAAGAAGACGTTCGATGATGTTTGAGCCCAGCGCCTGAGTTGGATAGTGGATCGAGAGAAGCGCGAGCGACTGTGCGAGGCAGAAGATGGGCAGGTGGAGCAAGGTGGGAAGGTCCTGACGGTCGGCGAGCTCCCAGGTGGAGAAGATGGACGCCGCACCTGACGATGATGATCCTGATGCTGAGGTTTCGCATAATTGAGCGTAGTCCCTGACAAGCTGGATTCGCTTGTCGTTGGCAGGAATGACGGATCGCTGTGTGTTCTCGGCGAAGGAGAGCGTGGTTTGATGGCGGAAGCGGGTGAGCAAAAGTCGCAAGAGGTCGGCGGAGGGTGTCTTGAGTGCATCATGAAGCTCAGCGCCATGTGCGAAAGGGATGAAAGCCTTGTTCTGCTTGTTGGCCTCCTGTGCTCCGGGCTGGTCGCCGCCGACGGACTGCTCGGCGTCCGAGTCATGGTTGGACGCAGAGGCTGCATCTGAGCTGGCGCGCTTGCGTTTGTCGACCATGACCAGGTATCAAGAGCGATACCAGGCGAAGCTTTTCTCAAGCGTTCGCCGAACCGAAAGTTGGCTGAGTCGGTGTGGTCGAGCGAGGGGAATGTGACGGTCGAGAAGGTTGGAGCTGTGATGCGAGGAGAGAGGGTCCAGACTGCGACTTTTCCACTGCTAAAGACGAGAAAAATTGAGCTTTTCGCTGGATTTTTTGCTTTGTTGCTGCATGGCCCAAACCCTTTTTCTTCTCAAAATCACAAAAAATAAACTCGGAAGACGGGAACTGAAGCTGAAGCACCTTGCTGGAAGATCAAGACCGCCTGTAGCCGTTGAAGCAGCTGTCAAGGGTCTTTGTTCATGCTTGGCGCACGGCACCTCTCTTCCTCCCAAACCTCGTTCGTGTTCATCTTCCGGACATGTCGCCGCCGAGAGTGCTGACTATCGCCGGCTCCGACTCGGGCGGAGGAGCCGGCATTCAGGCCGACCTCAAGACCTTCCTCTCCCTCGGCACCTACGGACTCTCGGTCCTCACTGCATTGACAGCACAAAACACAACCGGCGTATCGGCGATCCATGCGTGCCCATCCGAGTTCGTCTTGCAGCAGTTCGACTCGGTCGCATCAGATATCGAGATTGATGCTGTCAAAGTGGGCATGCTATGCAATCACGACATCGTCGCTGCCCTTGCATCAAGACTACGAGACTGGAAAGCATCATCAGACTCGCATGGAGGGAGCGGCGTGCCCGTTGTGCTGGACCCGGTCATGGTCTCGACATCAGGCTCGTTACTGCTGTCTGAAGGCGCTATCGAGACGCTCATCCAGGACCTACTTCCCCTCTGCACCATCCTCACGCCAAATTTGCCAGAGGCACGACAGCTGCTCAAGTACGCGGCTAAGTTCACCTCGCACCAATCTGGGCCCAGAGAGCGTGAGCTTGCACAGTCGAACGAAATGACTGAGCTACCACAGATGATGGCAGCAGCCAAAAGCATCGCTCAGCTCGGGCCCAAAGCGGTACTTGTTAAGGGAGGACACGCCAAATTGAATCGACCTCAGATTGAATCCTGGCTGGAAGGTCTGGATACTGGCTCAGGTGGCGTCCAGCACATCAGCCCGGCAGCATCTTCTTCAAGGGCGTCAAGATCAACGGGACGGTATCCGCAACGCGATCCATCGAGGCAACCAAGATCGGGACCATCTGCCGGAAGCCTCGAGGCCGATTTGTCAGAGCTGGCCGGTGTCAACGGTGCTGTCATTACACGGAGAGGCAACGTTACTGCCATTCGTACCGACCGAATCCCGCACAGTCATGTCTTAGACGAGACGAGCTCGCAAGGAAACCCGCAAATGGTGGTATGCGATGTGCTCTATCAGCAGACCGACGACGCTGAGGGCTCCTACGTGCTCTTCATCAAGCCATTGATAGCATCGACTGCAACGCATGGCACTGGCTGTACTTTGTCTTCGGCATTGGCAGCATCGCTCGCCCAGGGCCACTCACTCGTACGATCGACTTCCATCGCCATCACATACGTACAAAATGCCATCGCAAACGGGATCCAAGATCTGGGCAAAGGACCTGGACCACTCGACCATTCGTATCCTTTCCAGCCACGTGGCCTCATCACTGACTCTCCGGACAGCAGCACTGCCTCGCCTTTCGCTTTGCTCCGCAGCCTCATATCCAACTCCATCGATGTCTGGACAGCCTTTGTTCAGCATCCGTTTGTGCTCGGTCTTGCCGACGGAAGCTTGTCGCGAGAGGCATTCGAGTGGTTCATGAAGCAGGACTACCTCTTTCTGCGTCACTACGCCCGCATCTGGGCTCAAGCAGCAGCTTCACCCGACAACACATTCGAGGAGGTCTCGACATTAGCAGGGATGGCCCAAGCCATGGCAGAGGAGGCCAAGCTCCATCTGCAGATCTGTCATGACAGCTTAGGTATGTCGGCGTCGCAGCTCGAGCACGAGACGATGGAAAGCGCGGCAACGCTCGCGTACACGCGCTTCGTCCTCGATACCGCTCGGTCGGGCGACACCCTGGAGTTGCTGGTCGCGGTCAGCCCGTGCATGGTCGGGTACGCCCAGGTAGGACTTTGGCTTCAACAGCACCGAAAGCAGGGCATCGACAAAGACTTTGCAGCTTGGATCGACGCATATGCGGGAAGCGACTTCCAGGACGCAGCCAAGAAGGCGATGCTGTTGATCGAGGCAAAAGCGGCGAGAGACCCGCCGTCACCAGAGAGGCTTCGTAAGCTGCAAAAGACGTGGAATGCAGCTTGCCGGCTCGAAGCAGGCATGTGGGACGAAGCTGTCGAACCGAGCCTACGCCGACTCGTGCTGGAACCCTGATCCGCACACCTCCCACGCTAGCAGCAAGCATATACTTCAATCTTACACCTAAGCATCTCGACCCACTCGGACGACGGCTCATCTTGGCTAATTAATCCTGCGTTTGGTCTCGCCTGTACACGATGCATTTGGCAACCCCGCATCACGATGGTCGTGTAAAGCCCCACGTGTGCGGTTCCACGCAGCAGTCCTCACATGATCAGAAGGAGAGCCATGCCCGCGCACAACCCCGCGTCTTGCCGAGTACGGAGACCGAAATGATGACTGAGCTCGCTTAGATGGAAGCGACGACGGGCAAAGCGGATCACCCTCGACGCAATCTCATCCCGGTCGGCGATCTTTTCGACATGTCAGATCGAACATGAAAGCGGCGCGGAATTGTTTTATTTGCCGATCGACGCTGCTGAAGGATGATGCAATGACACATCCACCGGATCGGAGAATTTTCAAATGCTTCGACGTCAACGACATCAGCGAGATCAGGCAGAATCCATTCCAGACTCAGATCGAAGCCACATCTCGGCTGCGGTGGTCTGATTGTTTGCGTCACCCGTTCGTACAGCCCGACTGAAGAGTCTGCAGGCGACCTTTGACCGTCGTCGGCCAAGCACACGCTAGGGACGGCTACCACTCGAGAGCCACGATCGAATCCATTGGCAGCCCAAGCGAGAAGCAAGCCACACTTCCATACATCGAACCAGATCCCCGCAGATGCATACGACAGGAGCCGGTGTTCCTTGCATCCCCACAGCTGGCTCGAATCAGTACAAGGGAGGATTTGAGCAGAAGAAGATGTCGAGGACGAAGCCCTGACAGTGAACGAGCACGAGCACCATGAGCAGCTAGCTGATGACGGCGGCGGCCTAGGCGGGAGCGGCCTGTCAGGACTGCCGCCCCGCCGTTTTAGCGAATCCCTTGGCAGCAAAAGGGTCGATCCGACGGGCCATCGAACAGGCGCGCATTGTTTTTGTTTTTCTCCGATCGTGCAGCATCAGCTGCCGGCGAGAGGCAGACGAGAAGTCGCCTTTGGTGAGCCGGCTTCTTTTCGATCGATGCACCTGCATGCTCCCCCACGTCATTCATTCTGTTGCTTTGCCCCGACGGCTTCGCTGATCAGCTGGGCTCGCACACGCTTCCACGATGATGTCGTTACCGCTCCATCGTTTGTCTGTCCGGAATTCGCTTTGGGTCTCGATGGCGCTTAGGCGATCCTCGCTCCTCAGAGTCGGACGAGCTGATGAAAAAGCTGTGATGATGTCGTAGTCGGTGTCAGCGCTCCCGTTGGCATGACGCCGCACCCTTTTCTGCCCCAGACGAGGGTAAGCTGGCGATGCCTTGCCGGATTCGCAGGACCCTTGTCCGTCTGGTCCCTGGCCCCTTGCCCGGCATCGTCTGACACCGCAAGAGAGCGCCGGTACACTCACAGGTGCCTCCCCAGGTTGCTCGAGTCTTGTTCCACTCGACACGCCCCTAACACTTCCTCTTTCCTTTGTTTCCTTTCCGAACCCACCATCCATCCTACCTCCACCATTCGTCGAGATCCAACCGTCAGAGACCTAGAACTCATCGCAGGACGATCTCCTCACCATCATGGCGGCCAACACGCACGACAGCGCCGCAGCTGCGCACCGTAGCTCCTCCGACGGCGAGTCCACCGTCGCCCAGACGCCCACCCGCGTCAACTCTGGCGGCAAAGACGATGGCTCCCTCACCCAAGAGAAGGGCAACAACAACCACGATGACTCTGCCCCCGCCGACGTCGAGGCGATCCGCGAGAAGAACGACATGGAGAAGACCAACGAGGAGAAGCAGCGCGAGGGCGAGCACGACCTTGAGCCTCGCGAGGAGGACGGCAAGATCGTGCTCACAGAACGTGCTGGCTACCTCGCCACCGGCTACTCGTACCCTACATGGAAAAAGTGGTCCATCCTCTGCGTCATCTTTGCCGTCCAGGTCTCGATGAACTTCAACACCTCGGTCTACCCCAACGCGGTCATGGGCGTTGCAGAGCACTACGGCGTTAGTGAGCAAGCGGCACGTGTGGGTCAGATGATCTTCCTCGTGGCGTATGCGTTCGGATGCGAGTTCTGGGCACCTTGGTCGGAGGAGATCGGTCGATGGCCGGTGCTGCAGATCTCGCTGTTCCTTGTTAACATCTGGCAGGTTCTCGCTGCCTTGGCGCCTAATTATGGCTCGTTGATCGTGGCGCGTTTCTTCGGCGGTCTCTTCACCGCCGGTGGCTCGGTGACGCTCGGTATGGTCGCAGACCTGTGGGAGCCGGATGAGCAGCAGTTTGCTGTCGCCTTCGTCGTTCTTTCGTCCGTCGGCGGCACTTCGGTCGGTCCCTTCATCGGCGGTTTCATCCAAGCCTACCTGCCGCTCAAGTGGAACTTTTGGGTACAGCTCATCTTTGGTGGTGCGGTACAACTCGCCCACTTTGTTCTCGTGCCGGAAACGCGCTCCACGATCCTGCTCGACCGCGAGGCCAAGCGTCGACGCAAGAACGGCGAGCAAAACATTTACGGTCCCAACGAGGTCCGTACCGACCGTTTCAGCATCAAGGAGATCGGCGCCTACTGGCTTCGACCGTTCGAGATGTTCGTTCGCGAACCCATCGTGCTCTTCCTCTCGCTGCTGTCCGGTTTCTCCGACATGCTCATCTTTATCTTCCTCGAGTCGTTCCAGCTGGTGTACAAGCAGTGGGGATTCAGCACGGTGCAGATTGGTCTTGCGTTCATCCCCATCAACCTGGGCTACCTGCTAGGATTCCTCATCTTCATGCCACGTTTTGTGTGGGAGCGCAAGAGGCGGGTTCGCGATCCCGACGCGCTCAAGCCCGAAGCCCGCTTGTGGCTGTTGCTCTACCTCGCACCTCTCGAAGCATTGGGTCTATTTGGATTCGCATGGACCTCCTTGGGTCCTCCCAACGTGCACTGGATCGCCCCCATGATCTTTTCCTGCATGATCGCCATCGCCAACTACGCCATCTACATGGCCACCATCGACTACATGATCGCCGCCTACGGTCCTTACTCGGCCTCGGCAACGGGCGGCAACGCTCTGGCGCGCGACTTCCTCGCCGGTATCTCGGCCATGTACGCCACCCCGCTCTACAACCGCCTCGGTCTGGAATGGGCCTCGACGCTGTTGGCGTTCTTGGCCATCATTGTGGCGATTCCGGTGTACATCTTCTACTGGAAGGGCCCGGCGATTCGTGAGCGCTCCAAGTTCGCTCAGAGTCTGGCGGATGACAGGAAGAAGAACGGTGGACGGAGGACAGATAAGGACGACAAGGCCGAGGCAGGGACCACGTGGAAGAAGGAGAAGAAGCAGGAGACACAGTCGTAGACCACAATCGCGACTCTCAAAGATGAGTGGCCATGTACACATACACGATAGACACGTTGCGTGCTCACGATATACCAGATACGATTCTTGCACAGTCTAGACGGGTCAGCGCGTCGAAAGTTCACTGCAGTGTGATGAGCATGATTGCGTGAACGCGATGAAGGAGCGTTCGGACAAAGATGCAGGACGAGGACGCCTCTAGACGCGCAGCAGGAAGCCATCGAGCGCATCGCCCGCCGTGAGCCCCATGCCGAACTGAAAGTCGCCGACGCCGGACGCATCGTCGCGCTTCGCCCTTCCTTGCGGCTGGTCGAGCATCGCACTCGGATAGTCCAGACTTGCCAGCGTTAATGTGGTCAACGGGGGCGAGAGGGAATGATTCGAGCTCGCCCTGGACGAGCTCTCGTCGGTGAAACTCTCGGAGGTCTTGTTCAGCGACGAAAGAAACAACTCCTCCTCGATGCCTGCTCCTCCGGTCCACCCGTCCGACTCCGCCGCGCTCGCGCCTTCGTTGAGGATCTCGAGACACGACTGCCACACGTCTTCTGTCATGACTGCTGCCATCCCCTCTCCCTGTGTCGCGCCTGTCCCCGGGGCGCCCTGTCGTAGCGGTGAATGGGCGTCCAACAACCTTCCCACCTCCTCCTTCGCATCCACCGCCATACTGCTCCGATTGCTCAACTGCTCCAACGCCCACAAACACTTCTCCACTCTCTCCTCGACCCTTCTCACCTCATCCCACTCTCCCCCCTTCGCGAGGCTGCTGAGCTGTTTGATCTCGCTCTTTGCGACACACGCGAAGCCGTGGATCGAGATCTCGGGCCACGGGTCGCTGTGCAAAATGTCCCCGCCCGTTTCACTACATGCCTGGATCGCGCCGATCAACTCTGCCGTCTGGTGACACACCTTCCGTCTCAGTTCGCTGAGCACCGCTTCGGTGGCCCCAAACGGATCCGTGCGCTCCATGGTCGACACCAGCTCGACGAGCAGGATCGCGGCGAGGTTCCATTTCGTCGCCGTGATGACGTGCCAGGATTGGATCGACGTAGGCAGGTCGGCATGGTGAGTGATGCACGAGGCGAAAAAGGGCGCGAAGGTCTCATCCCAATGCCGAACGACACTGAGCACATGCGCGATCTGACGCTCGATGTGTTCCGTCGGCGCTTGACGCCAGTAGGAGGATTGGAGTCGACCGACGTGACGGAAGATGAGCACCTTGATGGGGGTGGCGTAGGCAAGGGTTCGAAGGGCATCCGGCTCGCTGCACGGCCAGGAACGCGCAAACGTGTGACGGTTGGCTACGCTGTTCGCCGGAATCACTTCGTCCCAGATCTTACGCAGGGGCTTGCGAGAGCTTCCCGAAGAGGCGGTGGTGGGGAAGTTGGCCGTCTCGTGTCGTAGAGAGGACGCTCGATGTGGAGAGAGGAGTTGGTCGGTGAGATCCGAGTCTTCGTCCCCAATCACGGCATCGTATTTCCGAAGAACCGAGAGCTCGGTATCCATCATACAGCCGAACCAGTACAGGTTGTGGTAGGTGTTTTCGAGGAGTGTCGCTTCGGCTTGCCGCTTCACCGCCTGGCCTGCATCCAGCGGCTCGGTGGTGGACCACAGATCGATGCCTTTGCGCCTCAATTGCTGGATCTTCAACCGGAACGCTTTTAGCTTGCGCATCGCTGTGGCGAGCATCATGGTCGATGCCTCCGCCGGGATCTGCCACGATGACGAGTCGAGCGCGCTGTTCTCGTCCAGCGACGGAATCTGCAGCGAAGCGGGTTGGGTGCCGTGATCCCACGCTTCTGACGACGGCATCTCCCTCGGCTTCTCCGTCCAAGCGAACAGAATCAGCGCAAAGACGATCCTGAAAGACCATGCGTCGGTGGCATCCATGAGTTTGTCCCTCGCCTGCTTCCAGAGCGATAACCTGACCCGAGCCTCTTCTTGTCTCCCGCCCCTCTCGCCGGTATGTCGCGGCCACTGCGCCGCATACGCCAGCAGCACCGCGTGGTACGCCTCCGAGACGCGCTTCTCGACATTCCGCGCCGCATCGTCGGTACGAAAGATGCGACGCGAGGCAGAGTCGAGCAGACACACCTTCTTGTTGAGCGCCATGGCGGCGGAGGACGGGGAGAGCGAGTCGGCACATAGCAGGTAAGGCGTGGTGGCGTCCGTCACCCAGATGCGAAAGGCGGATTCGGCCGCGCCTTCGTAGACGTTGAGCAGGTCCGAGTTGAGGTGCAGGCGGTCGGCGGTATGGCTGAGGCGGACGTTGGGCGCGGTGCCCCAGATGTCGAAGCCGAGCATGTCGAAGAGAGAGGGCGCGTCGGATTGATCGAATCCAAAGGGGGATTGTGCGCGGCTGAGAACCAGAGAGCCGGTACTGTAGCTGGTCGATGCTGTGGGCTGGGCTACCTCGTCAAAGGTTTCGAATGCGGATGATGTAGCATCGGACGAGTCCTTCTTTCGCTTTGCTGCTCTCTGTTCTTCGTCGGATTGATCGTTCGAGTAGCTCCCATTGAGCGCCTCGAAGGCGGCATTGACGTTGCTGATGGCAGACAGGTGCGATTCGTCAAAGCCATCCTGCAGGCTGTGGCGTCTCCTTTTATCGGTAGTATACGACGTGCTCGCCCCCTCTGCGTACTGCTCAACGTCCGCAGTCGATGTCGAAGGTGCAGCGTTGGCAACGTCTTGCAGGCTCTCTGCGAACGCGGCGCCAGTGAGCCCTCCGAGCGGGATGCCGCCAAACGAGTTGATCAGGCTGTTGAAGGTGCACACCTGACCCTTCTTCTTGCAGTTGTTGCAGGCGACTTTGCTAGCGAGCGCCTCGGCAATGCTGACGTACTGAGCGGAACAGGCGCGCTTGGCTTGACGACATCGGTCGCAGTTCTTGTACATCTTTTTGCGCGAGGGCGGCTGTGCTCCGCCAGCACTGGGGCTGATGTTGATGTCCGGCATGGTGGAAGGCCCTACGATTGGTGCTGGTCGCTGCGAGGTCGTATTTGTAGACGACATGGTGAGCCTCTCCAAATGCTGTCGACGATGATAATGCTGGAGACGTGGAATGAAGCCCGGTAACTTATCAAAGGCTCGATGGTCGTTTCGTGAAGCTTGTTGTTACAAATTCGCTTGGAACGCCGACGGCACGAAGCCAGACAAAGCTTAGTGGTTCAGATCGACGGTCGAGAGACAAGGTTGCATGTGCAGGTCCGAGGTCGACGACGGGAATGCTCGACAGATCCGCAGCAGTTCGTGCGAGGCAAACAAGGTTGGGAGAGGATCAAGGGTCTTGGAAGAGGGGACGGGATTCTAATTGCCCGACGGGGGCGTGAGTCGACTCGACAGGCTGACTATATATACTGGACCCTGGGCGAGAAAATGCGGGGGAGCTTGAAGCACGACAGCAGGGCCTTGCACTCGCTGGGTGACATGTCGCAACGGATGAGGACGGCAGCGAGAATGTCTGTACGAGGGCGTGAAGAGGGGGCTGACAACGCACTCGCAAGCATAGCGACGGAAGTCAAGTGCCGAGCTTGGAGATTGACAGCCGAGATGCCCAGCCCAGCAACCCAGTCGGGAGGGCAAGCCACCTTTTGATGCTTTGCCTCGAAGGCCTCCGAGCTTGATGCATGAAGGTGCACCTGCCGCTATAGAAGCCACGTATGAGGGCGCATGCTCTTGTTCGATTGTGCGGGGTAATCGGAGCCAGGCAGTCGAACAGCATGACCGCGCAGCTTGCCGAAGTTCACCCGTCTTGCCCAACACGGACCGTTGCTGGTGTCTGCAGGTCCACGCCGCATGAATATGAGCGGCATGTCAGAAGACCTGCAACAGACAAGTCAAAAGACCAGCCAGAAGCGTCGAGGCAACATGTGAGCGTCTTCGCTTCGCTTTATTGCTCTTTTCAAAGACCGCCAGGCCGTTTGACCTTTGCCGAGTAGCTTGTTCTGTTTAAGACGCTCCTTGGCGCGTTCTGTTGGCCCGTGCCGCTCTTTCATACGTCGCAGCATACCGCATCGAACCAATTCATAGGCTTGACAGACCTCAAACTCTAGCCTCGACGGAATAAAGCGACATCGAGGCTGGCGTAATGGCACGGATGGATCGAATTGGTCGAGCATCAGAGGGCATTGTTCCGGCAATGCGCGCAGTTAGGCTGGTGCGCTAGCTGTACCACCTATCTAAGCGAGCTCGAGACTCGTTCAACCGAGCCGAATTTTGCGGGAGCTGCCGCAACGCCCTTATGTCCTTTTCGAGCACCGCTCCGATTACAGTAGCTTTTCCGCACGGTCTAGCCCATCCAGCCATCGTCCGCTGCGCTCCGCTATCGTGCGAGTATCATCGACGATGCTTCTTGTTACCGCTACCGTTGGAGCTGCTGCCACCTTTGCGCTTGCCAGCGTCCTGTTTGGCGTTCTTCGCCTTGGCTGCCTCCTTTTCGGCCTCTTGAATCTTGTCAAGCACGTATTTGAGCACGCGCTTCTGATCCAGGAGCACCCGCTTTTCGCCCAGTCGGACGACCAGCGCGCGGCGCTCGTTCTCCCCACTAACCTCTTCCTTCCTCGATCCGTACAATCGAGCCTCTTCTTCCTCCACAGCGGCGCCGTTCGGATACTCTTTCAGTCGCAGATCGATGGCGTCCATCATAATCTGGCTGATGGCGATGCGTACTGGCCTGGACTTGGTAGCGTGCTCTTCTTGCGCCTCGACCCGCGCGCTCGGACCTTTGCCTTTCGCTTTCGCCTTCTCGAACGTCTCCCGCGACTGACAGAGCACTCGGGTGAGCGCGATCATCTCCTCCGAGATGCCACCGCCGGTTGCTGCCGCCTTGAGCTCTTTCGGTATCGGCCGCTCAGGTTGCGCACGGTGCGGCGCCTGTTTGGCCGGAGTGAAAAGGTAGTTGAGGATGAACACTTCATCGATGCCGAGCGAGGAGCAGGCCCATTCGAGTCGCTCTTCGAGGTCTTTGCGGATCTCTTCTGCGCTCGACGAGAGGATCGAAGAGAGATGGGTGGTGGCTGCCTGTAGGATGAGCTTGGCATCGAGCTCGACCACATCGCTGCCGTTGGGCTCGTCGACGTGACCGTAGCGACGGAGCAGATCGCTGTTGGGTGGGTCGGCGTACGTATTGAAGATCTGCTCGCCCGCAGCGATTGGCTTGGTGGCACGCATCTCTAGTACGTGCGACTTGTAGAAGAGACGTGCGTTGTCGGATTCGAACCGAGCATTGAGCATGTCGGCCATAGGCGTCATGGAGATGTCGATCACATTCTCTTGCTCTTCTTCGTCTTCGTCGTCGTCGCTGTCATCATCATCGCTGTCGCCATCCTCGGCATCATCATCGTCTCTCGTCTCGTCTCCGTCCCTTGTCGTGTCCACCTCGCGCACTTCCGCTTCCCCTTCTCCCTCGTCGTCGAGCACCTCTGCTTCGGGCTCGTCGTCGTCATCATCATCATCGAGATCATCCATGTCGACCGTCTTTCCGTCCAGGCCCTTCTTGCGACTCTTGACATGGAAGCTGCGACTCAATATCCTGGAGCCCATGATGTGGTAGGTGTCAAGCGAGTACCATTGCTGCATCTCCGCTTCTTGTTGCCCTTCTGACGCTCCCTCCAGGAATACGCCGGGCAGCGAACGAATGAAAGGAACCGCCTTGTTGTGGTAGTCGGCCTCGGCTTCATCTCGCGCAATCTTGTCTGCGATTGAAGTACCCGAGAGATGTTTCAGATCATCTTGTTGCCATAACATGGGCGTGCTGAAGTCGGTCGGCATAATGTCAAAGTAGGCACCCCAATTTTGTTCGCCGTGTGGGCGGGGGGCATCGCGGTATACCGAGCCTTCGGCGTCTGTGCCTTCGAGCTGTCCTAGACTTGACGAGGATGAAGCCTCGATGTTCTCCATCGATACATCGCCATCTTGAGCGCCGCTTTCTGTGGACGCTGAAGATCGAGCTGCTCTCCTTCGCTCGTACATCATGGCGAGGATGAGTGGGAGCCATCCCTGTTTGCTGATGTGGCTCCAGGTCAGCTCATCTGAGCTAGTAGAAGGGGATGATGCTTCAGCTTCAGTACACCTCTGTGAGAGCGTCGATGTGGCCAGGTTGAGCAAGACGTGACGAGGGATGGCAAAGATGGTCTCGCCGACGTCGATGGGTGCTTTGGCGATCATGCCTCTTCCCATACCAGGGATGGGCTGGATTCGGCAGCGAGAGTCGAGTGCACCGCCTGACTGGCGGAACCATCGGAGAAAAGAGGCTTCGACCTCGGAGGTGGTCTGCCCTGTTGCTGCTGTCGCCGTCATCTTGATGATCCTGGTTCTGTGCGGTGGTGACCGGTGGTTCAAGAAGGCTGGATGAGTCTTCTTGTGAACCCTGCATGCCACCTTGAACTTTCTTCTCAACCCAAAAAATCTGAGCTGAGTCTCGGAACACGGAGGCTGAGCGCTGAGCAGCGACAACAGAAAAGGATTCTCGACTGAGCGCGTCACGCTCACGGCGTATCGAAAAGCAAAAACGGTCGGGCCATCTGCTTCGGTAAGGGCAAGCGACGAAAGAACCCGGCTTAGTTCTTCTTCTTCTTCTCCTTCCTTCCTCCTCCATCGACGTCAAACAAAAGCTGAGTAGTCTTTATCATGGCTTTCAGCATCACCATCCAGAAGCGCTCGGCGCCCGGCAAGTCTGCCTCCAAAGGCTTCCCTCTAAACGTCAAGCTCTCCTCCAACAAGGCCACCCTCGCCGAAGTCAAGAAGCAGATCGCCTCGGCGTCCCGCAAGCTCACCATCGAGCGTCAACGCATCACCACCGAGGACAAGAAGCCTCTCCTCGACGATGACAAGTCGCTCGCCGATCTCGGTGTCACCTCTGGTCAGACGCTCTACGTCAAGGATCTCGGCCCGCAGGTCGGCTGGCGCACCGTCTTCCTCACCGAGTACTTTGGCCCCATCGTCATCCACCCGCTCTTCTACTTCCTCGGACCCAAGATCTGGCACCGCGACTTTGTGCACTCGCGCATGCAGACCGTCGCCATGACTCTCGCCGTAGCGCACTACGTCAAGCGCGAGCTCGAGACCATCTTCGTCCACCGCTTCAGCAACGGCACCATGCCCCTCTTCAACATCTTCAAAAACTCGACCCACTACTGGATCCTCTCCGGGTTCCTGCTCGCGCCGTTCATCTACTCGCCCTGGTTCTCCGCCGCCTCGGTCGCAGGCACCATTCAGGACAGCACCACGTTCATCGTCGCCACCACCGCCGTGTGGGCCCTCGCCGAGTTGAGCAACGCCTACTGCCATTTGATCCTCAAGAATCTCCGTCCGGCTGGAACCAAGGTGCGAAAGATCCCGAGAGGCTTTGCGTTTGAACTGGTCTCGTGCCCCAACTACTTTTTCGAGTTCCTCGCCTGGGCTGCGTTTACCGTGCTGACGCTCAATCCGGCCAGCGCACTCTTCGCCGCCGTCAGCACCGGCCAGATGTGGCTCTGGGCCGTCAAGAAGCACAGGAACTACAAGAAGGAGTTCGGCAAAGAGTATCCTAGGCGAAAGGCCATGTTCCCTTTCATTGCTTGAGAGTCATCACTTTGTAACGTTATGCCAAAGAATGCATGCACGAAGGCAAGTGTCCGTGTGTGATGGGCGATGAGACGAGTGTGTCTGCAGCGCTGGGTGTTAGCAGTAGGTAGGGCGAGAGACGCGATGGTAGTCGAGCAGCTGTTCGGCGCTGCCATAAACGAGATGTAGTGGCTTTTCTAGCTCGGGTAGACTCGTCACCTTTTCCTGCCAGCCCCAGTTGCGTCTTCCACCCGGGTTGCCCGATCGCATCGAATCGTCGTCCTCCTTATCCTCGTCGTCCAGCGAGGACCGTTTTGAGCTTTCGCCTGACGCACTGTCTTCATCCAAACCCGTCGGTTTGGGCAGAAACACGTCCGCTCGCGCTCCGCTTTGTTGAACCGCATCGTCCTCCTCGTCCTGGGAAAGCACATGTTCGAGGAACGCCCCCACGCGTCTGTGTAGTGTTTCGAGTCGGGCCACCAATCCGCCATACCGCAGCTCCAACGTCTCCCACCCATGCGGCTTGTACATGCTCATCCACATCTCGCGATGATACCTCCACAGCTTTCTTGCTGCCTCCAAACACCTCTCCGTTCGCCGATTCAGCTGTTGCAACTCAGGCCAGTTCTTGCCCACATATGCCTGGTGGAGACGCTGACGGAGGTTTGCCTTCAGCGAGAGGATGTGTGCGACAAGCCTTGCGAGTTCCAGCCTGGCATTGAACGGATGATCCGAGAGGATGCGTACAGTTTTCGTCCCTGCTGGCGTTCCCCTGCCCGTGAGGTCTGAGATGAGGCTTGCTGCTGTCCCCAACAGCCCTTTCTCCCCATCCTTACCTGGACGAACCACCAGCACATCGCGATTCTTCGTAACGTCTTCCAGCGTCACCCCCTCCACTCGCTCGCTGAGATCAGATGCAATCGCCGCATAGTGCGCCTCGGCATCAAATCCGGACGCTACGAGCGTCGGTTCGGCGAAAGAATGCACCGGATCACTCCACAACATCCACTTGCTCGTGTTCGGCGCAAAGTGAATCTTGTCATCCTCCACCACGTCCAAGCCGTGAGAAGTGGTATCGTCGATGGAAGAGGCGCGAATGAAGTCGTCCCACCCACCACCGACGATCGCGTCGAACTTCGATTTGAGTAGTCCCACATCCAACTCCTTCTGGAAAGAGGCGGTGTACGCGTGGTCGGCATAGTGACACCACGCCGGGAGGGAGGACCACAGATCCACTTCATTGCCTTCATCCCCCCAGATGGTGAGGAAGACGTGCTTGACCCCGGAGCTGGCGCGTGCAGCCGTCAGATTGGCAGCAACCGTTTGGAATGTGAACGGCAAAGCGGTCCAGAATCGTGACCAAGTCCAAGATCCCGCTGCCAACCAGGGACTTGCTCCCCTCAACTCTTCGTGACTCTTGATCCTCTTCTCGTAGCTACCTGGTGAAGTGTGGTAGTAATCCCAATAGACCAGATCTACCCCTGGCGGTATGCCTTGCGACTTGTCGATGGGGGCAGCAGAATCGTAGTACCCAACCAAGGAATTGTTCCTGGCGCTCAAACAGAAGAGCATGTCCGACCAGATCATCGGTTCGAGTCCTTCCCTCAGACAGATGTCGTTGACCTTGGCGAGGTGTTCGACGAATACCTGGCTGGAAGGCTTTCCGTTTTGCCCGAAGATGGAGAAGTATCGCCCGTGACCTAGACCGTGCGTCTCGTCCATGCCGAGGTGGATCTTTTTGGATCGAAACGGTGCGGATGCAGCACGAATCATTTTTTCGAGCATGACATATGTTTCTGGCCACTCGGGGAGTAGGACCTCTGCGGTATCCCTCAAGCCGAGGTATCGGGGCCACTGCAACATCTGACCCAGGTGACCGAGCGTCTGGATACATGGGATGACCTCGATGCCGAGCAGAAAGGCGTAGTCGTCGATCTCCGTCAGCTCGGAGGCGGAGTAACCGCCACGCATGTAGCCGAAAAAGGGCTCGCCATCGATCTCGTACGTGTCCTCGGTATAGAGTTGGAGCATGTTGTACCCGAGTAGGGCTAGGGTTCGGAGGAGATACTTGGTAGAACGCACATTGAGGACGCCGTTGCGGGAGCAGTCGATCATGGTGCCGATCGTCGAGAAGTCGGCAGTCTGTGCGACGTTGAGTTTGGCATTGGCGAGAGAGGGGGAGAGGTGATAGCCGGTGGTGAGGCTCGAGCCGGACACGCGAGGGAAGAGGTTTGGATGGAGGGAAAAGGCGGATGAACCGGCGGTGTCAAGGGAGAGGCAGTCCTTCGCTACGCCGAGGACGTGACCGAGGCCGCGAAAGGCAAGGTAAGGCGATTCGGGAGGATAGGCGACGGTGATGATGAAGGTCGTGTCGACTTGCCGGTCTGCGAGAGACTCTGTCGAGACCTCAGCCGACATGGGAGCGAAGGTGTCGGAAGATGTCGAGCAGCGCCATGTGAGTCGCTCCTTCTCTGGCGATGTTTGGTGGTCTGTCGCCGCATCGCCTTGCACAAAGCGCAGATTCCAGTTCCAAGCTGGGGCTGACGAGGATTGACCCGACGAAGTTGATGAAGACGTAGGCAGCCCGTCTGCTGGGAGGAAATCTGATGATGAATGCAGATGCAGGACATCTGGCCGTATGTGATGCTTGACGAGCTCTTGAACGCCTCCGAGGATGCCCCGCGGTAACGATGGCTTGGAAATGCAAATTCTGATGCGTGGCAGATGAGCGAGGGGGATGATATTGGCTTGGGTACTGCTAGACCCCAGCTCCGGTCCCATAGAAGCGTCCCGTATTGCGTCGGACATGCTGATTGAGTGTCGTGGGCAGTATCAGGGCGTTGCAAGCAGGATGATGAAGCTCGATGTGGGGGAAAGAGCTATTTGACAGCTTGGCTAGGTTGGAGGCCTGAGCGTGCATTTGGCGCCTTGTCTGACGGCCAAAAGGAATTCACCGGCGCGCTTTTTTGAGCAAGTGTCAGATCGGCGTCTTGTTGGCTGAAAAAGTATCTGATCAAGATTAGCGAAGAGAGCCAAAGTGGAGTTTTCAGCAGGAAAGGCCGTCTTACTCAAAGCGATAACCTTTCTTCTCATCTTCTTCTCGACCAACCATCAAAGCTGCTTCTCACCACCGATCCTAGACGAGTGGGATCAGAGCTGCGGTCAAGCACATCGGAGACGTAACCAGCTCACCCACCACCATGTCAGATCCAGCACAGGCCATCCGCGCCTTCATCGTAGGCTCCTTCCAAGAGCTACCTCCTTCGATTGTCGATGATATTGGCAGCGGATCGGTCTCGCTCCTGGGCGTCGTCCGTCTCCTCGGCGAATATCTCACATCGGAAGAGGAGGAAATAAGAACTCGAGCGGTTCAGCTCCTCTCCGACATCACTTGCCACTTCCTCGAATCCCCATCACAGACCAAAGAACCCCTCGCAAGCATATTCACTATCCAGGCAGTACGCACACTCACAGCATTCTTCGCCGACAAAATCGCAGACGGCGTCATCATCTCGGACAACTTTGTCCGATCAGCAAAGGCGCCAGAGGTCCTTCCAGACTCTGCCTCGAGGGCTCGAAAGAATGAGGTGGAGCAAAAGACGTTGCAGGGCAGTGCGATGCTCGTCAGCTCGCTCAAGGCTCTCACCGTCTTGAGTGCTTGCAGGGCGCCAACAGAGACAACACCAGCGGCTCAGCCTCCAGTCAAGGGCTTCGGTCAAGAGCAGGCACACGCAGTAGCACACGCACTGTTCACCAACGTCGTCGCCACCAACCACCCGCAGAGCCTTCGTTTCATCATCTATCGGCTCCTAGACAGTCTTGTTGCGCATCACAGAGCTGCGCTCAAGGCGTACCGCTCTTCGGCATCAGACACCACCGACGAACAGCCGTCAGAAGCAACACCATCCGCAACAACTCCAATGGAAGTCGACACCTCCTCAGACGAAGCGGCAGCCGCGTCCCAATCCGAGACGTGCCAAGGCAAAGACTTCCTGCGAGGCTACGTCAAGATGGTCCAGGGTGAAAAGGATCCCCGCAACCTCATGGTGCTCTTCGGCGTCGACAAGGTTCTTCTCACCGAGTGGGTCATGGACCGCGAAATGACCGGAAAGTTCTTCGACATCACCTTCTGCTACTTCCCCATCACCTTCCGACCGCCCCCCGACGATCCATATGGAATCACTTCGGACGATCTCAAGGTCGCACTGCGGGCAGCCATCTGCGCCTCGCCAGCTATGGCGCCTCTCGGCTATCCTCTCCTGCTCGAGAAGCTCAGTGCCGCCGGTGGCCCGGCCAAGCTCGATACGCTTCGAACCCTGATCGCTGCCATGCCGGTCTACGGGCGCGCTGCCGCCCTCGCAAACGCCCTCAAGCTCTGGGAGGGCCTCAAGATTGAGATCTTCCACGCGACCGACGACGAGACGGGCGATTTAGCCGTCGACACGCTTACTGTGCTTCTGCACGTGCTGTACCACGGAGTCGATCCGCCCGAGGGAGTCGCACCCAAGATGGTGCACGACTGTCTGGTGGAGCTGGAGGAGCCTGGCAAGTCACTAGCCAAGGCAAGCATCAAGGTGCTCTCGTGCCTCATCCGTGCTTCTGCCAGCACGGCCTACCTGGCGGTGTACGGCTTCATGGATCAGATGATCAAGATGTTTGCCGACCCGGAGGACCTTGCGCAGCGCACACCCATCCTTGCAGGCATCGGCGAGCTGCTCGAGGCCCTCGCCAAGGTGTACCGCCACGCTGAGTTGGCGCGAGCGGAAGACGAGACCAAGGCCAAGCCAGCCGAGATCGGATCTGGCCAGCTGCTGCCCATGACAGCAAGCGAGCGCAGCTATACCGGCGACAACCGACCCCTCGATCCCTTCTTGGCCGACCTGCTCAACTGTCTCTCCAACGGTCTGCGCTCGACATCATACCGTCGTTCGGCCATGCTTGTCTACTCGTCGGTCGTTTCGATCTCCATCCTCAGCAGCGGCCCCACCAGCGAACCGGGCACCACCGAGCAGAAAGCACTGCTCGACTTTGACGAGCTCTCGTTCCTCACGCGCGAAGTGTCGTCCCTTCTCACCTCGTCCATCGGCGACGATGTCCGGGAGGAAGCGCTGTGCGCGATCGAGGTGATCTCGAACGAGCGCACTTCCACGTCGGTTGCTGCGACCAACCCGACCGCTCAGGTCATCGAGGAGGTCGTGCTACCTGTGCTGCTCGAGAAGCTCCCCGATCGGATCGAGCCGCTCACCGACCCGGAGAGCCGAACCACCGGCAACGCTATGGACGACACCGAGGCCGAGCTCGACCTGGTCAAGGCCAACATTCGGCGCAGTCTCGGCGCGCTCTCCCGCCTCTGCGTCGCACCGTTCCTCTTCGAAGCGGTGGTCGTCAAGCTGTTCACCAAGCTCGAGCTGTGTTGTCGTCCCAGCCGATTCGGGGTGACGGAGAGCAGTGAGGAGGGCGAAGCCGAGTCGACGGTGCGCGAGCAGCTGGCTGCGCTGCAGGAGGCCAACGTAGGCTATGCGAGAGGGTTGATCCTGACGCTACAGACGATGGTCGATCTGAAGCGACAGAATGGACATCGCGATCTGGTCAAGTATGCGCAGACGCTGCCGTCAAGGTTGGTCGGGTTGACGCTGTCAGGGCTGGGAACGGGAGAGGGTGGTCGAGAGGTGAGCATTGCTGCAAGACCAGCGGTGGTTGCTGATACGGCCGCGCTGCTGGGGACGTTTGTCAAGCTGCTCGATGTCAACCGTCAGAAGGATCTGTTGGCCAGTCTCAACACGACCTTCGTTCGGGGTCAGTCGACGTTCGTCACGGAAGGTGGGGAGGAAGGGGTTAGTCTGATCCCTGCCAAGTCTCCACTCGCACAGACCTTCGAACCCTTCACAACGACGTCCGAGACACCTTTCGCAACGGCCAGTCGGAACACCGTCGCCCTCCTCTCAGCCGCCGTCGTCGCCTCTGCTCCAGCAGCAGGCGTCGTCGTCCTCACCCCCTCCACCCCAACCTCCGCCCACGACGCAGCTCTCTCCTCCATCTCCCTCCTCCTCTCCTTCTCCCTCTCCGTCCCGTCCTCCTCCTCCCCCTCATCCGCCCTTCAACTCAACTCGACCTACTGGCTCGTCTGCGCCCTCACCAACAAGTTCATCGACGAAACCTCCCCTGCCTTCCTCGACACGCTCGACGTCTTCTGGACCACCCACGTCAAGCCACCCTCCTCCTCGTCTCCGCGTCGTCGTATCGCCGTGCAGATGTGGATGTGGTTGACGCGCGCGCTGGTGGTCAAATCGTCCAAGTTGGCCGAAGCGATGTTGAACCGGGTGCTGATCGAGGTGTTCGACGATGTGGCGGGTAAGATTGTGGGTGCTAGCGACCCATCGCAGCTCGTTCCCTCGGGAGCGGCGAAAGGCGAGGTGGAGTGGGCCTTTGCGCGTGCCGTTGCCCGGGATCTATCCGCGATTGTGGGCGTCGCAGACGACGGGGTGGCGACAAAGGAAAACGGTTTCACCGTGCGATTGCTGTGGAAGCAAAAGGTGTTTTCCTTCCTCGTCCCTAGGTTGCTCGAGAGTTACGATAATGCAGTCAAGCTCACCCGACGTCATGCGCACACCCACGTCCATTCTTCCACGTGCGACCATGAGGAGAAGGAGGGAGGCGAGGTGGAAGGTCAGACGATCTACCTCGTAACTCTCGCGGGGTTGCTCCCCTCACTGCCATCGAGCATGCTCGTCGAGCGACTGCCGGGGTTGTTCCCGCTGTTGATCCAGGCATTGGAGTTGCCAGACGCAAGGGCGAGGAGTGCAGCCGCAAACGCTATCACCGTCGCCTGCGAGGTAGGGAAGAAACTCCCCTCCTCCAACGAAGGCGAATTCGATCCGACCACCCTCATCGCAGGTCACCTGCAAAGCATCACTGCGAAGCTGCTGGTGAATATCCGTGCGTCAAAATTTACACCCGTCAGCACGCGGGTTGCTGCGCTGAGGACGTTGACCAGTCTAGCAGCGAAGCCCGACGAGGAAGACGAGACGGGCGTCAAGAAGGATATCGGCGGACTGGCACACCACCACCTCCACCCGTTGCGGGGCAGCGTGCTCAAGGAGCTCGGTAGGGACGGCAGGGGTATCGATGATAAGGTGCGCGCGGTGAGGAGCGTCGCCGTCGACGCAAGGGACGCTTGGTTCGCCGTCTCCGAGACGTAAACCCTCTCTTCAGACGAAATGAAAACAATGGTATTGATATGTGTGTGCGTGGTGGGTTAATTGGAAAAGTAGTATTCGTCACCCACGATGCCTGCCTCGTAAGTCTTGTCCTCGGCGTTCTGCTTCCCATCCGTGTCCACCTCGTTGGTGCGAGCAACATCCTTGTTCGCAGCACCGGTGACCGTGCCAAAGCGCGAAAAGTAGCCCTGCACCAGATCGTCGTCGTTCTCCCCCTCGACCAGGCGCGGGTCGATGTTCGTATCCACCGCCGTCGCCGTCGCTGGGGCAGCTGGAGGTGTCGCACCTTTGCTGCCCCTCTGCTTGGTGCTGCTAGCAGGAGAGTCGGCTCGATGTCTCAACCCGGAGCTGCGACTGCGCGCATCTGCATCGGGCTGATTGAGGTCGTCCGGCTCGACACTCGTCTCCGCCTCGCTCGAAATGGTCTTGATCCACTCGGACACTTTTCCTTTCGCTCTCTCGAGGATTGCCGATCCACTCCCCGTCTCCAGATCCTCCTCGCCCCTCTCCCGGCGCTTGCTCTTCCTCCCTCTCTTCCGTACCTCCTCCGGCTCGTCGGGGAACAGCTTGTCCGTAGGCTCCTCCTTCACCACACCCCCGCCCCCACCGCCTCCGGACGAAGCAGCGTCCATCGCCCTCTGCATGCGCATCCGATCGCGCCTCTCCCGCTGTAGCTGCGTGTTCCTCGCCCGATGCAGCGCTTTGAGCATCTCCGGCGGCAGCGACTTGCGCGTCTGCCGATCGAGCAGCGCCGAGATCTTGGGCATCTTGTGCTGGTGCTCGGCGAGGTCGAGGTCGAGGTCGAGGTTGGTCGCCCTCATCTGCTCGATGACTTCGGGTGTGTAGATGTCCTGGGCTGGACGACCGCGTTTCTTTTTGACTTTTACAATGTCGCTGCCGGGAACTTTGCCGGCTGCGCTCAAGAGACTGGCGCGACTCGGACGACCGCGCTTCCTCTTCACAGGTGCAGCGGGGTCGACGCTGATGGTGCCGTCGGCAGCCGCGTCCCCGGACATGTCGGAGAGACGAGGGAGGCGTTTGGACTTGGATGAGGTGGACCGGTCGTAGAGTCGGAAGTCGCGGTCGTTCGGGTCATCCTTCTCGTTTTGAGCGTCGCCGTCCTCGATGTCGGCCTCAAACGATGTTTCGTGGTCCGACTCCATCACTGCTTCGGCGCCAAGGGGGAGTCCGTCGTCGTGAAGCTCGCCGCTGGTGTCTGCCTCCTCGCCCAGGGACATTCTCGACCCGGATGCTTGCAAAGTTGGACGTATCGGTTGGGCGGCGTGCGCCTCTCGCGCCAACATCGAGGCTCTACTTGGTCCAGCCGCCTGCGACGGGACGCTGAGCCGGAATGCTGCTGCTGTGGACTGGACCGCCATTGGTGCCTTGGACCCGTTCCTCGCCTGCACAGCTCCGTCCTTCGGTGCAGATGAGCTCGCCCTTGCCCTGGCCGACCCGCCAAGTAAGAAGTCCAGATCCGCTCGCGTCGGCACCTTCTTCCTCGGCAACGCTGGTGCAGGCATTGCAGCTTTTGACTCTGAAGGGGCAACTGGCACCGGGGCCGCCCTGGCATACGCGACGTCATCCTGATATGCCGGCTGCGCTTGAGCATAGAAGCTCGATGCTGATATCGGAGCTGCTGCGACCGGCGCGGGTTGCGGCGAGCGCCTGCTCGCTGCGAGCTGTTGCTGCTGTTGAATCTGTTGTTGTTGCTGCTGTTGTTGAAGCTGCTGCTGATGTTGCAAGGATGACTGCTGTGCTTGTACTGGTGACCTTCGCGGAGGTCGATATGATGTGGAAGGCGAAGCAGCCGACGCAGCCGCTGCTAGCATGCCATCTCTTTGCTGCTGCACTTTGTGGTTGATCGCCGCTGCCCAGGGATGCAGAGGCACGGAAGGGTCGATGGGAGGGGGCTGCACCTTTCGTGGCCTCCCTGGCCCCCGCTTTACAGGCAGCATGTTGGGGTCCATCATGCCGGTATGAGCGCGTGAAGAGGCCGCTGAGATCATGTCATGGGATAGATACTGTGTGAATGTTGAGGGACGCGCATCGACTAGGAAAGGATGGATGGAGACAAGGCGGTTGAGGGGGGTTCGCTGGTAGGGATGATGGTGGTGGACCGAGGCGAGGCGGCTAACTGTGTGGTTGACAAAAACGACGACGCGTGACAAAAGGCACTCAGCCTGCATTCATTTTCCCAGTGACAGCTCAGAGGGTAAACGCGACTTTTGTCACATTTCCCATATCGCCGATCCGCAGAAACCCGATCTGCTATCACTTCTCAAGGGTGCAAGGCTTGACCGTCTGTCTCGACCATGGACCAACACCTCGGCTTCTTCCCGTTCTTCACACGCTCATCACGATCCTCGTCACAAGCTCGACATGCTGCCAAACGCTTCATCTTCCTCGACGGCAAGGCTGCTCCGCGTAGCTTCCATCAATGTCACTCGCCCTCTGCTCCTGAGACCACCAGCTCGTGCTTTCACTTCAACACCCTCCCGCACCCTTGCAGCACCACCATCATCTCAGTCCGAGACAGAAGAACTCAACGAAGCACAGCGCTACCTAGCCAGCAAGGCAGCACGCAAGCTTGACCGCTCTCAGAACCCCACAGGCTCATCTGCACGCCACGCCTCGCTCTACAGCCAACTCTTCCCTGCCTTGCTGCGCATCCTGGCCTACGGCAGCAGCGCTTACTTTGGGCTCCATCTTCTGTGGAACGTGCTGGATCGGGATGAGCAGACTGAGCTCATGAATGCACAGACGAGCGGGTTAGAGTCGACGGCAAGAAGCCTGGTCGAGAAGGTGGATCAGGCGAAGGAGAAGGTGCAAGGAGCGGTCTCATCAGCAGTGTCGGATGCACAGGAGGGGGCGGAGAAGGCCAAGGGGAAACGGTGGTATTGGCCTTTCTGATGGACAAACACTCTCAGCGGTTCAGGATGTACGATACAATCAACGGAAGCATTGCGCAAACATGGCATGTCCAAAAGTATGCATCAAGGTCGGGTGGTCGAACAAAAGCATGCACATGACAGGGCTCGCTTGCGTCTAGGTAGCGACGACCTGCATCCCAATCCACACCTGAGCTGCCTCCTCGCTACCCTGCTCGACCTCGTCATGCGTCAGATCAGGCAGCCAAGCCAAATGACTTCCAAAAATGATCCTTCCTTTCGCGTTCCTTCGATGCTTTGCCAATGTCTTCAGCGTCTGCGGCTTGACTTCGCCGGTGACTTGATCGACGCAGACCATCTGGCATCTTCTGCACTCTCCCAGCACACCAAACACGTGCTTGCCTCCCAGCACCACTCTGCTGAATCCATCCTCTGCAAAGAACACCCCCTCGCCGTTCGCGGGAGAAAGCAGGAAGTTGGCGCGGAAGCTGGCAGCTTGAGCTTGAACTCCGACTTGCTTGTCCTTGTCTTCGACGTGTGTGGCTGAGGAGTAGCCCGAGTCGGAGGCCAGCTCTTCCATCCCAGGAGAGGTCGAGGACACCGTGTCCTGTTCGATCCACTCGCTGACTCTGTCGACACTGGCAGAGTTGATGAGCAGGAACGGCGACTCGTTGCTGAAGATGAGGGGTATCTTGTCGCTACCAGCGTCGAGTTTCGAGTGACGTCTGACGTCGATGGCTTGCCTTGCCAAGGTGCATGAGACGCCGAGCAGGTCGGTCAGCATGGAACGCAGTCGTGCGCTCTTGTGCGCTCGTGGTCGAACTTCGACGCCGCAGATCTCAGCCTTCTGAAGGTCGGATGTATCGTCGGTATATTGAGTCTCGTCATCCAGATCCAAGTTGAATGTCTGCGTCGTCCCAGCAATACTCATGATCATGGTACGAGCGCGAAGATCAATGCGTGGTCGAATGAGCGCCATCTTGGGGAAGCGCTTCTGCGAGAGCGCCTTTCCGTTTGCTAGATTCATAACGATCCATTCTCGGTCGAACTCGAGTCCGTGCTGCGTCAGCTTCCACCTTTCGCCCGGTGAGAGATTCTGACCAGAGCATGATTTGATCGGATACACCGTGATGTTGGCCAATTCGAAGCGTCGTTCCAGAACGTTCTTGCTGTGATCAGTGCTCGAGCTGTGTGGCGACGATGGAGATGAAGAGAGGAAGAATCGCGCGATAAAGCCGACAAGCCGCTCAATGTCCTCATCAGTGTTGAGAAGACACAAGCTGGCTCGAAGCGATGCGGATACTTTGGAGCTGCTGGCATCTCCAGCATCGTCACAGCCCACACCGTCGGCGTATTCTTGCTTCAGCTGAGCGGCCGTCACACCTAGCTGAGACGTGACGAAGCCGGGATTGCAGTGTCGCCCCATTCGGAGATGGATGTTGCTGATGCTTGCCAGGCGATCGACCTCTTGTGGTGGTACGACGGAACCGTCGGCGGTGAGGATGTTGAAGTTGATGATCGGACCGGAATCTCCTTCTGTGTTCAATCCGACGTAGAGCTTGACAACTGGATTGCCGTTACCGTGTCTCATGTTCTGCATAGCTTGGAACAGACTGCTGCGAAGTCCAGCCACGTAGTCTCTTCGCAGATCCCAAGACCCGAAGGTTTGTTGATAGTAGTCCATGGCCTTGGCGACGGCCAATATACCGTGAAAGTTGACCGTGCCATCCTCAAATCTTGCTTCGAGGTCCTTCTTCGGTTTCGTCCATCGAGTCTCGGAAATGATCGAGTCGACTGTGCCACCACCACAGTACGTCTTGCTGCGAAGTTGAGGTGCAGCGGAAGCTTTGACGAGCAAACCTCCGATACCGGTGGGGTACCCGAATATCTTGTAGAAGGAGAAAGCGAACATGTCTGGCGTCTCTTCAGGCGACAGTCGTGACAAGTCAAGTCTCTGAGATGAAGACAGAATTGAGGCTGCGTCGATCATCGTGAGCCCGCGGCCGTCTCTTGAGCGACAAACCCGCTTCATCAGGTTGTCGTACCTCCTTCCAGTGGCATTGCACTGCAGAGGTAGCACCACCAATCCATCTTCCTCGACATCGATCGCATCGTCTTCAGTGAAGCTGGAACTGGCAACGCCTGCACGCGCCGCCAGGTCACGGATACCAACCGCGCTGGTGTGACTCTCGAGCAGGTATGCAAATCCTGGCTTGCCAATTCTTGATTTCGCGAGCGATGCCCACTCAAAAGATTCGCCGACGAGCTTGAGGCTGGCTGTCGCGCCTGAGGTAAAGATGAGATGCCAGTTGTGTGTGTCTTGGATGCCGAACAGCTCTCGCATGACACGCAGGCGAATAGACGCGATCTGGTCTGCAGTTGAGATGGCAGAGGGCGACTTCGAATGTGGGTTGGATAAGAGCTTGCTCGAGAGATCCTCCGCCACGGTTTTGACTAGGCCAGACGGAAAAGGAGGCGCGGCGGCTGCGTCTAGGTAGCATGCGTCGGACAGCTGAGGACATTCGCTGCAACGAATGCGTGCTACAGTTTGGGCCATTGATTCGTGTGAGGTCGATGGTATTGAGGTCAGTCTGGTGCTGCGCGGCACTCTCAATGAGCTCAGCGGTGGCGGTCGCTTCGTTCCAGCATTGGCGCTATGTGAGACCGCGTGTGAGGAGGAGGTGGGTTCGGTGTCGGCGTGAAAGCGCTTGGCGGATCGATGTTGGAAGTGCGCTGAGACAGCGAGATAGATGAGGACCGAAGCCGCGACTCGTTGTGCGACACTAAGTTGTGACAGCGCCGACGCGATGTATGGTGAGGCAAAGCACAGCAAAGCGGCTGCCAGCGCCTTCCGCGGTGTCGATACCTCCATGACGATGTCGATCCCGGTAGATGATAGACGAGGACTGAGATAGCCCCGAGTGCTGAAATGGATCAGGCCAAAGAAGGCGATGATGGCATGATTCAAGCCGGATGGTTGTGGTGCTGTTATGACGAGACTAGAGAAGGGAGATGCATCCTGGTCGAGGGTGGTCGAATGGCTGAGCGAGGTCGATGATTGGCACTTGATAAGTAGCGGCTGAGCAGCTAGACCGAGACCGAGAGGTGCACCATCTGCAACGCCAAACCCAAAATCCGCCACTTCGGAGTTGGCCGAGATAGGGTCTGCTATGGAACCTAACAATTATGAGAAAATTCATCGCACTGTGTGTGAATCCTGGATGGCGTCTGACCCTTTTCCTCACAGTATCAAGAAGCTTCTTCAGATCTGCACAGTAGAGCCTTCAGCTGTTGATGCATCTATCGCCTTGATTGCTCTATGCATGGTTTCTCTATCTAGCCTAGGTGAAGAGGGAGGCCAGAGGATATTCTGCTCTAGTCCGGCCTCTCGTGTTTCCTGCTCCCAGACCATTGTTGTTGCGCAGCTTCTGCGCCAGCTGCGGGTCATCAAACGCAGCGGCGATGCCACTTGGGTCTGCTGCTGTAGCGATCATCATCCTGACCGCTGCTCTGGCTGCTTTCTCGCCAGCTTCCTGCAGCATCAAGGCCACCGTGTTGCTCACCGCTGTCGGCAGCAGAGACAATTGCGGCTGGTCACCCTTGGCATTGAGCTCCTGCACCTTCTTCCAGAATGGCTTGTCTTCGGGGAAGCGCACTAGCCTCAAGTCGGTGGCGAGCGCAAGCATGCCATCCTCGGTGACTTCGCGGCTAGCTCCCGGTCGAATCTTGGCGGTGGCTTGCTCGAGCGTGAGATTGTCCTTGGTCACCATGGCCTCGATCTCGGCTTGGACAGCGAGAGTCATTGCGTAGTAGGCGGAGTCCCAAATACCTCCGATCGAGTCGACAAGACCCCTGCCGTACGGTCCGAGCTTCTGAGCAGCAGCATCGCCCGCCTCACTTGCAGCGACACCTGGTGTCTTGACTTCTTCGTCGCTGTCGGATGGAGGCTTGCGTGAATCTTCAGCTGCCGAGTGTGCTGCGACGGCAAGACGCGACTCCTCCTCCTCCATACGCTTCTTGAGCTTTTGCACGCCGTTGAGTGGTTTGCTGGTCTCCGCGCCGGCAGACACGGCACTGCTGGCATCAGAGCTAGGTCTAGAGTCGGAGCGGCCTAGAAGAGCCTCCTCTGCCTTGGCGATCAAGTCGGAAAGGATGCCGCCGTTCTCGCTGCCGTTGCTGGTGCCGCTGCTGCTCTGGCTAGATGATGAAGCAGACTCTTGATTGGCACCGACGCGCTCGATCATGATGGTGATGTTGCCGCTGCTCGCTGTCACCTCCTTTGTCCTCCACTTGCTGGTAAGACTGACGGCCTTGATGCGGCGCACTGCCGACTTCACTGACTCTTGCACTTGACGGTCGGTTGCACCTCCAGCGCTTGCAGCCTTTTCTGCTTGCGCTTCTTGAGCGAGCTCGACTATTTGTTCGGCCTGTGGGGTGGCGCTGCTGAGCTGCACCTGATCCACCTCGGCATCCGGGTTGCATCGAGCCCAAGCACTGAGACCAGTCATGACGCGACCTCCAGCTAAGCTCTCGATGACGTCGCGCGAGATGCTTCGTCCATCGCAGACCTTTTGCAAGAAATCGTCGTACATCTCGTCGATGTGCTTGGACGACTTGGCGCGCTGCGCTTCGTTGAGCTCGTGGAGCGTCGACTGCGACGTCGAGCCGGTGAAGAAGGACTGGATGCCGACGTTGAACTTGTCAAAGAAGGCACGCGTGATGGTAGGTCGCAGCGATGCCACGCCGATGGAGCCGGTGATCGTGTTCTCGCAAGCAAGAACGGCATCAGCAGCACTAGCAGCGTAGTAGCCTCCAGAAGCAGAGGCATTACCGAAAGAGGCCACGACCGGCTTGCCGTAATCCTCACGAACACGTCGCACAGCGTCCCAGATGGACTCGCTCGCCACAACGTCTCCGCCTCCGGAGTCGATTCGCAGGACGATGGACTTGATGTCTTCGTGCTCAGCAGCCTCCTTGAGACCTTTGAGCACCGACGAGGTGGAGAATTCGCCAGGTGCCGAGCTGATGGTACCAAGAAGGTACACGACCCCGACTTGGACGACCTCATCATCGGAGAGGTGTCTCTCGAGATGGCGGTTATTGACGGTGTTGTAGTGGTGAAGCGACTTGAACTTGATCTCTTCGCTGCCGCCATGCTTTGGATCTACGAGCCTCTTGACGATGTCCCTCTTGAAAGCGGCGCCGTTGATCAAGCCGAGCTCCTTGGCCTCGCGAGTGGAGAAGGGGCCTTCCTTCATCCAAGCCTCGACCTTGCCAGACATGACATCGGGATCCTCGTCCGGGTATCTGTTGACAGCAACTGCATGTACCAGTCCACGATTCAGCTCACCGAGAAGCTCGGCTTCGTTCTGGATTTGTGGGGCTGGAAGCGACTCTTCACGGCTGAAGGTGGAGATCATCGACTTGTACTCTCTTCGTGCCTCGGCAAGCACCTTGATGCCGAAGTAGTCGAGCACTTTCTTGAAGAAGGGGATCTGAGCGCTAAGACCGGTCAGTGGCACAGAGCCGGTGGGTTGCATCCACAGCTCGTCGAACGCCGAAGCAAGCAGGAAAGAGCCTTGACTGTCAAAGGTGTCAGCCCATGCGATCGAAGGTTTCGCCTTGTCACCGTGTTGCTGCTTCTTGGCCTGCTTGAATTCGTGAACAGCCTGCATCAACTCTTCGATCTGTGCCATTCCGAGTCGATTTGGCGTCACTGACGATGGCAGATGCAGTCCGCTGAAGTCGGCAAAGATACCCTTGATTCTGTCGTCCGCCTGTGCCCACTTGAGTGCTCTGATGACTTCGAACATCTCCATGACCCTGGGCGCCTCCTCGCCTGCAGCAGGAGCATTGATGAGCGCGCTGACCGAAGGAGGTCCACGCGATTCGACGATGGAACCATCGTAGATCTTCCATACGAGGTAGGTGTCGGGATGAATGATGTCGCGGAGGTAGGCATCGCGTTTGAGCTTGAGGTATCCGATCGCCGTGTATGTAGCAAAGAAGCCGAAGAGGAGGGGTCGGCGGTAGGACCATGCCTTGGCGGTAGTGCGGCCTGTGCGCGAGGAGATGACCTTGTTGGCTACGAAGGCCATTCGCGGGAAGCGCTTCTGAAAGGCAGAAGGCGAGGGTCCCTTGGCTGGTTGCTGAGCTTGTCCAGCCGAGCCAGAAGACGACGAGCTGGTGCCCGGGTTCGACATTGTGGAATGCCGCTGCAGCTGAGACAATCGCCTTGAGCAACGAAGCAGTAACGCAAGGGCGATCAATGGTGATGATGTTTGTGACTGCCTTGACGAGAAGCGGTGAACAAAGGGTCTGAGCGCTCCACGTCGTTTACGTGAGCAGCTGACGAGTCCAACACCAAGATCTTCTTGTCACACACGCAGCCGAGAGCGACAAAGGACGCGTGTCTGGTGGGCAGATCGGGCTCCGATTCAAGATCTCGGGAATGCAAACAGGGCGAAACGAGCGAAAAGTCGAGAAGGAAAGGACAGAAAGCTCAGCCAAAATCAAAAGCAGAAAAAGAGGCGGAGAAATTGCGGCTGAAATTGGTGAGCTCGAGAAGAACCGGAAGAAATGAATAATTTTGAGGCTGAGTTCATCGAAAGGAGTTCCCATACCGCCGTCTGCTGTACCGAAAGTTGATCCGATTTGACCCTCGTACCTCCACTCAACCCTCTCACTCTCGTCTAGCCGTCTTCAGGGTCGTCAATCCATCTCATCAGCCGAGCCACTCAACAACGACCCTCCCATCAACGACAGCCTACCTGGACACGGAATCTGTCCATTGATCACAAGCATCGTCACCAACCCAGGCATCATCATGTTGTCCGGTCAGACCGTGGTTCGCTCAGCGAGCCGCTCCATCCGCCAAGCTTCTCGCTCTTTCGCTCCCGTCTCTCGAGGCGTCGCCACCAAGGCTGCTGCCGGTCCCTCGCATCCGTCCGCACTCTCATCGTACTCGATCGCCGCTGCCGCTGCTATTGGTCTCGGTGCCTCTGCCTACGCCCTCCAGTCGCGTTCCTCCGCCATTCAGTGCGAGCCCCGTCGCGCCTGGTCGGACCGCCTCAAGCCCAAGGAGTCCAAGGGAGACGCTTTCCTTCACAACGACGCACACACTCGCCACGCACCCGCTGCCGCACATGTTGAGGAGGAGGTCGAAGCAGCCGAGGAGACTCCCGTCGCTATCGAGGTAGCCGTGGAAGAGACTGAGGAGCAGACAGGTCAGCAGTCTGCCTATGACCCGGAAACCGGCGAGATCAACTGGGACTGCCCCTGTCTTGGCGGAATGGCACACGGCCCCTGCGGCGAGCAGTTTAAGCTTGCTTTCTCGTGCTTTGTCTATTCCGAGGCAGAACCCAAGGGCATCGACTGTGTGGAAAAGTTCAAGGCCATGCAAGACTGCTTCCGCGAGCACCCCGAAATCTACAAGGACGAAATCGAGGACGATGAAGCTGCCAATGCACAGTTCGAAAAGGAGGAGGCGGAGGCCAAGAGCAGCGAAGACAGCACTTCATCAGCATAAGGTGGTGGCTCGACGAGGGGGAGATCGGGAAAGCCCGTTGTGTGGGATCGGCGCGAATTAGAGTTGATGAAGTGGGGCAGCTGCACATCGTCACGGGTCGACGCCGACTTGAATGCTTTGTGCGCTGCGCAGACTTCATCAACCCATTTGTGCACATCTCATCGCCCCCTTTCTTTCCTTTCTTTGGCGCAGCGCAGTTCCGCTGTCTTCACTCCACAAGTCGTCTGCGTTTCCACCCAAAATTGCATTCTAGAACGACGCACACACCACTCCTACGTTCGCAACATCAGACTCCGCATCTCTGCAATAGACTCTTCCAACCCTGAACTCCCTTTCGCGCATCCCGGGACCGACCTGGAAGTCTCTTCCCCTTCTTCCACCACTTCTTGCTGATGCTTGCCCTCATCGCTCTGGCGCTTCTCACAAGCCTTTCCTCCTTGTTCGTCTCCATCGTGGCTCTTCGTCTCGTGTGGCTCTTGTCCTGCGAAAGGACTCGCCGCACTGAAACAACAACGGCACGATTCAGTACCGCCGGACCGCAAATCCGTCTCGAAGACATCCACCTAGCTTCCGAGCAAGACCCGCTTGTTGATCGACATCCAGCCGGCCCGCTCGTCGACATCTACGAAGGCGTGATTCGCAGTGACGACCAGGGTCAGACTGAGCCACCTCCATCTTATACCAACGCCATCGAGAACCGCTCGCCACGTTCTCCTATCCTTCTTCCAGGGAGCCTTGCCCTTGGACTCCGCGAGCTTGTTCTTCCTTTACTTGAACCCATTCGGCAGAATGGAGACATCCCAATCCATTTCCGGCCCGATGGACCCTGTCTCGGCTGCAATTCTTGTCTGCCCTACCGAGACCTCATCGCCAATGGTCGAGCCCAGCCTGATGCCCAACCACAGCAAGGACAAGGAACTCAGCGTCAAGGAAGATGACGTAGCTAGCAGCGATTCGGGATCACTCACGCAGCGAGCAGCTCTGATCCGCGATGAGTTGCTTGGCAACGACTCCCTCGAACAAGAATCTGTGCATGGCTCTGCTCCCTCCTCCGGCACAAGCGACCAAGGCACGACTCACTCGAGCTTGCAAGACGATTCTTGCGAAGACAAGGACGACCTTGAAGAGAGGCTGCGCAATTCCAGCATCTCCCAATCACTCCGACACATTGCCTTGGCTTACGACGAAAAGGTGAATAGCGGGTTCGCCGACTGCGTTGAGGTGCTAGGTAGACTAGCCTTTGGTACTGAACCCAGACGCTCCGCTCGACTTCTCATGCACATATTCAACAGAGTCGTGAGCTTGAGAGCCTCCGAACCGTAAGCTTCATCGTTGTTGCATTCTCATCTCCTTCCCTGCTCGAGCACTTCACTCACACTTCTGGCGTCTCCTCTCGACGTGGTACGCCGCTTAGATTCATCAGGCCAGCGACGAAGAAATCGCTCTGCTTCGAGGAGAGATTCAAGACAAGAGGCAAGTCGTCACAACACTGGCAGACAGGATGCACCTCGACTGCTTGACTGACCAGTGCACATCTTTCCTTCTGAACACAGAAGCGAAATCGAGACATTGAGAGCCGAGCTCGATGAGCTGACCGCGTCACAAGAAGCTCTCCGATGCGAGCTCGAGACTCTCAAAAGTGAGGTCGAGCACAAAGACGAGCTGCTCTGCTTTTCCGACCGTATCTCTTGTCGCCTCTTTAACATGATGCACGCCATCCGCGCTCAAGTCGAGGAGGCCGAATCACTGTCACCGGCCATCCGCAGCCTCTCGTCCTCCTCAACTGCTGCTACTTCTGACTGTGGCACACCCTCTACCATCACGACTATCTCGGACAGCGAAGCTCCCTCAGCTCCCTCTTCTGAATCCTCCGACGAGAGCGACACGACCCTAGCCCCGAGCGATGTCCCTACCCCCTTCGAGACCCTCATCAAGAAGATCGAGGCCAAGTATGCGGACCAGATGTCCTAGACATCCTTGCCTCCTTCAGCTCGTCTCGTGCAATGCCATTTCCTTTTGCCTCGCTCCATGTCTGAACCTTAGAGGACCGTCTTTGCTTCTGGACACATCGCTGAATCGCAGGCCGTACGTTGACAGGTTCGCGTTGCCAAAGCGATACGCAAGGCGGCAGGCATTTTTTGAAAGTGTGAGACCGACTTTAGATTATCGCCCCTTGCCAAAATTCTAGCGCGCTCGGACCCTGCAGCGACGACTCTTGCTGCTGTCGACCCTCTCTCTGTCCTTTGTTCTCTACCATCAGCACCTTCACCAAACACGACAGCGGCGACCACAGCGAAGGCATCGCTGATTGTGGTCGCGAGCACATACATCAACCCCGACCCTCACATGAACCGAAGTAATTCGTCGATGGAGCATCGCTGATCCTGCCAGCAGCGCTGTAGCAGAGACATACGCATACAGCCAAGATGGCGTTCGCCCTTCCAGCTCCTCATTACTTGACGAGTCCCTCCGCAGCATCGCTCACCGCCAAGTCAAACGGTACTCAGCAACGAAATGGCAGTGGTCTGCCGTCTCCGAGCTCGCCATCAGCGTCTTCACATGGACATGCCGGTCCTTCATCCTCTGCACATGCTGCCATGGCAGCGTCAACGGCACTTTCTGCTGCGACCTTGCCCGGCGCAGCTGTGCCAAGCTCATCGAATCTGGTCGCAGAATTCTTGAAATCGCCAGATGACCTGACCAAGATTTCGGCACTACGCAAGAAGCTGCTCAAGGAGCAGGCCAGCTTGTCGGCCAAGCTAAAGCTCGGAGCAAAAGAGCAGCTCGAGGCGACACGAGACGGCCTGCTCAAGCTGCAAGCAACACGAAAGGACGTCGCAGCCATCAGAGAGGCTTTTGCACAGGTCGAGGCGCTATATACCCACACAGAAGGCGAGGACGGCTCGAGATCGAATCATCCCGACGCCAACCGCTCCTTCCGCGTCATCAGCCAAGTTTCACAACTGCATCGCAACTTTGTTCAGACGGAGACCACCCTCGACAAGCTTGAGAAGCTACCGAGTCAGATTGAGGCGCTGGCGGAGATGCTGCAAAGGAGTCAGGATGACATGGCGGGCCCAGCCACCGATCTGTTACCGTTGCATTTCCATCTCTCGCAGCTGGAGGCGTTCCGCAACGAGACATTTCACCTCGCTCGCACGTGCTCTGCAGACGTACGCAATACGGTCACCGAGTACTTTGCGCCGCTAGACGGACTCATCAGGGCGTTTGACGACTACATCATGACGCTGGCTGAACGAACGATGGATTTGGTGCGAGAGGAACGCGCGTCGGTGGTGGTCAAACTTGTCAAGATCATCGAGAAGGAGTCGCGCGAGGACGAGCGTGCAGCTGCGATCCGCCTTGCCAAGCGTGCCAATCTCGAAGGTGCCGCACGATTCGGATCGATGGTGGCCAACGCACGAGTCATCAAGCTGTACCGATCCAAGTTCGTCGAAGCCATCGACCGTTCCACAGCTGAACTCTTCGAGGAGTGCTGGTCGCGATTCGGATCCGATGACAACAAACTCGAGTTCCTCGGGCATCTGGACTGGATCTATGACGACATGCGCTTTGTACAGTCCGAAATCACTCCGCTCTTTCCAGAGGACTACAAGATCCTGCGCACGTTTGTGCGAAGCTACCACAAGCATCTGGGCACGATCTTGCGCGAGCGCGTTCTTGCCGAGGATCCGGAAGCAAGCGCGATGCTGGAGCTGTATCAGTTCACGCAAGAGTACACCAAGACGATGACCAAGGAGATCGGAGCAGACAAGGCGTGGCTGGAGCCGACACTACTGGCTGGCAAAGAGCAAGGCATCATCGACGACTACCTTGGCTTGATCACCAAGAAGATCGACGAGTGGACGGCAACGTTGATGTCGGACGAGGTGCGGGAGTTCGTTGCGCGGCAAAAGCCACCAGACGAAGATCACCAGGGCCTGTATGGCTTGCAGGGCGCATCGATCCTGTTCAAGATGGTGAATCAGCAGGTGGACGTAGCGGCAGAATCGGGTCAAGCGAGCGTGCTGGCCAAGGTGGTGGAGCGTGCAGCCAAGGCGATGCACTCGACGCAGGCGACATGGCTGAGGGTGCTGGAAAGCGAGTTCAGGAAGCAGCGCGAAGCCAAGTCACCGGACGACGTTGTGGGCGGTCTGGTCGAGTACGTGATCGCGTTGGCCAACGACCAGCTCAAATCGGCCGACTATGCCGAGGCACTCATCGCACGACTGGAGCCGATGGTGAGCAAGAAGTACCAAGCCGGCATCCGGGAGGCGGTCGACAACGCCCTCAACGGGTTCTTGGACGTGTCGAAGCGTTGCACACAGGTGCTGGTGGATCTGGTGTTTGCGGATCTGCAGCCGGCGATCAAGGAGCTGTTCACGTTCCCCATGTGGTACTCGGAGGGGACCATGACGACGATTGTCGAGACGATGCGCGACTACACGACGGACTACAGCGAGCGGCTCAACCCAGACCTGTTCGACGTGCTTTGCGACGACATGATGGATCGCTTCCTCGTCTCGTACATTGGTGCACTGCGTCGGGTGGGCTCTGGCAAGCTTCGCATGCCTTCGGCAGGTGAACAGATGCGCAAGGACGTCGAAGATGCCAAGTCGCTGTTCTACGCCTTCAAGAAGCAAGAGGAAGTGCAGGCCAAGTTCGAAGTGCTGGATGCGATCCAAGGTATGATCACTTCATCGGCGACCATGGTCTTCCTACCCTACTGGACATTCGCCAAGGCACACGGCGCTCATCTTGGATTCTTGGAGGCGATGATGAAGGCACGGGACGATCTCAAGAGGGACGATGTGAATGGGCTGATGGAGAGCGCCCGACGCAAAGTCAAGAGCGAAGGCCTCAACGATCTGGTGCCGCAGACAGGTGGGCCGACGGTGATGAGTCGAGTTGCGCAGGCGTACGGGCAGGCGTACGGAGCGAGCGGTGGAGGTGCTCTGCTGGCCAACTTGAGCGCCGAAAGAGCAGCAGGAATGGCGGCGAGTGCCACCAAGGCGCTGGGTGGACTGGCGGGCTGGAAGAGCAGAGATCGCGATTGATCCCAGCGGACACGCTTGCGGCAATGCATTTCCACTGCAGGGCAGATCCAATTGTTCCCATAGCAACGCGATGTCAACGTCGAGGAATACATTCAGAATGGGTTGCAGAACGGAGTGACCTCGGAAACGTCTATTCTGTTCGGATCGCGAAGGCAGAGGATGGGATCGGCTATCGATTGCTATGATGCTGTTTGAATGAGGTGAATGACTGTAGCTTGGCCTCGGATAACTATCATGTTGGCGAGCTCGCCTCTGTGTGGAACGAATTTTGGTCAATTTTTTTTTGGTTATCGAAAATCGGAAAAAGGCCCATAAAAAGGTGGCTTGACCGTTTCTTCACGCTCTAAAAATGGTTCATTGCAGCGGGAACAATGGCAGGAAGGAGGCAGCAGAGAGCCAGACAGAAAGAGAGCGCGATGAAGCGGATCTTGGAGAGCGCGCCACAGTCTCGATCAGGAGCCCTGCCGAGACAGTTGGAGCCGGCAGAAGCAGTCATGGAGTCACCCCCGTGCCGATTCTGGGGCCTTTTTTGACATTTCCGATCCCACAGAATCAGCAGAGCGACGCTTCTTTCGGGCCAAAAGTCGGCTAATCACTCAAGCCTGGCTGAGCAAACCGCAGGCAGACACACAGACGGCCACGCTCCCCTTCTTGGCTCAAGTCACACGCAGCGGCTATGAAACTGAGAAACGCGGACGCACAAGCTTCTTCTCCCTCTTCCACCCTCACCCCGCACCAACAACAGCGCATCATCATCCCATCTATCGATCATGGCCACGTCGTTCAGAACGATTTGAGCCTGATCTACAACCCACAGCGGCTCGGCTACACGCAAACAACGTGCTCTACTGCTTCGCTATTGTAGGTCACTACTTCGGAGATCTGCTGCCGGATGCTGCATCTCTCATCGGCCCAAGCGCATCTAGCACCCTAGACCGCTGACTACAACGCGACCCGATACGCCGATCAGCACATCATCCCAACTCGAACAATCTCTCCGTTCTGCCGCACCTACCTCTATACCGTCAACGATGTCACAACAGGGCCAGCAGCCAGGTCCTTCGCGGCAAGCTAGCCACTCCGACAACGACGACAGCAGGGACGATCAGCCTGGAAGCGGTCTCAAGAAGAAGCGCATTCAACAAGCTTGTCGGCCCTGCAGCATCAAGAGGGTCAAGTGCGACGGCTCCAACCCTTGCAACACCTGCACCAGGTCCGGCGAGGTCTGCGAGTATGGACAGCCCAAGAAGAGGGGTCCGCCCAAAGGCTCCACTCGAGGCGGCAGCAAAGCAGCAAAGCGCAAGACAGACGCGCGCGAATCTACGGCTCGAAGAGGTGTCTACGACCAAGCGGCAGCCTTGCCGATCCAGTCTACCCGCGACTATGCGTCCAGTGCAGCCGCAGCCAGAGACACAAACGCTACCTCCGTCCCTCTTTCACGTCCACGCCTATCGCCGCCTCCCGCGCTCAACGAATCGAATCGACACCTCCCGTCTGCGCAGATCGACTTTGCTTCTTCTTCTTCCGCCTCCCGATACCCACCAACTGCCAACGCGTACGCGCAGTCATACTCGGGCATCCAATCGTATCACGCTGGCCCAGGGCCTATTCCTACTTACCGCAGCGATGCTCATGTCGATCCATACCCTTACTCTGCGCACGCCTCCCCAGAATCGAGCTTTCGCACAGCCAGCCATCGCACCGCAGGGTCTATTCATGACGGCAGCGTCGGCAGTCCCAACGACAACGCTAGTCCCGGCTACTATCCGCCCCACTCGTACCCGTCTCGATACGATCCCGCTTCAGCATCTCTGCCTCCACACAGGCAGCGCACCGAGACGCTCTATCGCGGCAGCAGCAGCGGTCTAGGCTTCATTCGTCCACCTTCTGGTTCCACCGATCGCAGATTGCCGCCCCTTGACTTTAAAGCATCCCGCACGTCCAGTCGATCCTCCACGTCTCCAAACAACTACGGTCGTCTGCCTACCACTTCAGACCCGTACCAGTCATCTCTTTCGGCTCGTCCGGGCGCCAATCGTCCTCCATTTAACGATACTGGGTCGTATACGCGTCCATCGCAGAACACCTCTTCGGCAGCGTTTTCAGGCAACGCAGCGAATCCTCCGAGCGGAGCCGCCGCAGCGTCCAGCACGTACGACCCTAGCGGGCCAGCTTCAGATGCTTCGCGCTACGGCAGCGGTCCCATGCAGCGCAACACTACTGCCAACTCACAGATGCCAGGCCCAACGGGCTGGGCGAGCTCAATTCCTCCGCAGATCAATCCGACCCAAGAGGCAGCTGAAGCCGATCAAGCTGCCATGGGAAGACCAGCCGGCATTCGGCAGTCCCACACCGGCGAGGGTAACCAGCTTTTGGTAGGAGGGACGCTTCGGCAACTCCAACGCGACCGCAATCGCGATCGCGATCGCGCTAGCAGGCAAGACAAAGCGGCGAACGTCGACTCATACGACGCACCCGAAGACATTGATCTCGAACCTCTTCTCTGGGTCGAGCCAGGAGATGAGAGCAGGCACGGCGTCAATCGCTCCGGAGTCACCCTGACTAAGCCCGAGATCCCCCCTCTCATTCAGGAACGTCTCTTCACGATCTTTTGGGGCATCGTCGAAACCATATGGCCTGCCCTTTACAAGCCCGCACTGTGCCTCACTGGCTACAATGTGATTGACCCAGAGAAGCATCCCATGCTGCACAATGCCGCCTGCGCACTTGCGGCTGTCGCATGGGACTCGGGCGAGTTCGCCGTCTCGGAAGGGGACACGGAAGCCACTCAATCCGACTTGGTCGAACGCACAGTCTCGGACCTCAGCTTTAGTCAAGGACCCGGTCAGCTTGGCGACGGCACCAGCCTCCGCCGATTCAGTGCCATGGACCTCGGCGACATCTTCCTTGCCAGGGCCAAGTACTATCTCGTCAAGACCAACAACGAGCCTAGTCTCGAGACGATCCAATCGCTTCTCTTCATGGCTCTCCGAGAGGGTGGCAACGGTCGAGCCAGCCAAGCCTCTGCTTACATCTCGACTGCTTCCCGCATGTGCATCGATCTCGGTCTGCATCGACAGCGCGATTTTTCTTCCGTGCTCGGCTTGCAGTTCTCGCATGGAGAAGAGCAGGCAAGGCGGAGGATCTTTTGGTGCTTGTACCTGCTCGACAAGACTTCGTCGGCGTCCCTAGGTCGGCCGGTGACACTGCGGTATGCGGAGATCGACTGCCCGCTCCCCAACATCGACGACATCGATGAACACGAGACGTGGGCAGAAACGACCAACAACAGCTCGCTCATCAAGGACCCGGCTCGTGCCATCCTGCTCAAGACTCCCGTCGCTGCCATGACTCATTTGCGAATCGGTGTCCGGCTTGGACGCATCTGCGAGGAGGTCATCGCCAACTACACGCATGTGCATCGCAGCGGCGACGAGGATCGCGATGGCTCTATCTACGACCATGATGGCAAAGCGGACGACGGTGAGGTACCCGGTTGGGAGACGCGTCTCATCCGTTTGCATCAAAAGCTGGAAGCTTGGGAGCGTGACCTGCCTGACCGTCTCCGCTTCGACAATCCGGCCCATCGCTTGCCCAACACGCTCAATCAGCACCTCTGGTTCCAGGCTTGCAAAGTGATGCTGCATCGTCCCTACATTCTCAAGCAATCCTCTCGTCCCGACCTGCCTCCCTCGCACCGCATTTGCACTGATGCAGTTGGCAGCATCTGCGACATCCTCACCGCCTATGACCACAACTTTGGCATGCGCAAGCTGTCCTCCACCGTGACCTACTGCATCTTCACCGCATCGACCATCGAGATCGCCAACACGACCTCGACGGATCCCGTCATTGCGCTCGAGGCAAAGAGGAGGCTGCGCAAATTTATGACGTGGCTGTCGAGGATGAGTGGCTCGTGGCAGAGCGCGAGCCACCATCTCAAGATCTTGGAGCAGCTTGGACACCTCAATGATGCCGACTTGGACGGTACGGGTCTGCCGAGCCACCGAGAACCCAGTGCGCCGGGCAGCTTGGTGGCGAGCAGAGCGGACAGTCCGTCAGCCGCTGCGAACCCGGGAGCCGCAGCGGCGTCCGTTGCGTCGTCAAAGAGCTCCGGTGTCGATGTTGGGTCGTCGTCACTTTCGTTTGCAGGCGACAACAATCAGGGCTTGCTGGGCAGTGGTGGTATCGGACAAGGTCTTGCACACAATCACCAGCAGCCAGCTCACACTACGGGAGGCGATTTTGCTTCCGCCTTGGGCCCTAGCGTCCCGGCGCTGCAGCCATCGGGGATGTCGGTCGCAGGAAACGACATGGCCAGTTTCTCGGTCCCGGGTCCGATCGGGGCGCCCATGCACCTCGATCGTTCTCGCACCAGCTTTCAGCTTGACTCGACGCTGCAAGACGACTTGTACGCTCAGTTCCAGGCGCAAGGGCAGAATCCAGGCTTGCTCTACGGCTGGCCAGCTACTGCGCGCGTAGCTACACCGAATCCGAACGCGGCTGCTGTCTTTGACAACGCTCTCGTTGCCGCTACTGCTGCGAATGCGACTCCACAGCCTCTCGCCGGTCGACCGATGTCGCTCAATGCTGCTGTTCCGAGTGTCTCGAACAATTCAGTCCAAATGGCAGGAAGCGCTGTCAACCCAAACGCCTACCTCAAGCTCCACGACACCTCGTACTGGGGAGCGATGCCGCTTGCGTCGGAGGACGCGCTTGGCTGGGCCAACTTTACCAACTCGTACCTGGAGGCGCTCAACGGGATGGCGAATCCTCTTGCAGTGCCTGCCAGCGCCGATGTGAATCTCGACATCACTGCCGCGGCGACCAATACACGCTGAGCGGTCGCAGGCGACACCACCATCACCCTCGTAATGTGATAGTCTTGTATTTGTACCACATCATCTTTTCGGTCGTGCCTTATTCCCTTCGTGTGTCGATGAGCGCTTACTCCTGACCGGCCTTGATGCGCTCCAACTCCTGCTTCCACGATTCGAACAGTTCGATTCTGTCGCACCCCAAAAGAAACGCATCAGTCATCCTTTCCAATCGCAGCTGTAGCTTGGGAACGGCAACTTACCCTTCTTTGCCTTTGGAAAAGCCGCCCTCTCTCGCGAGCGTGTTCTTTTCGGCCTGGAACATGCCGATGATGTCGTCGAGGGCGGATTCGAGCTTGTTCAACGCCTCCTGGAGGGCGTAGGGGTTTTCGATGGCCTGGAAGATGGTGGATTTGGGACGGTGGGCCTCGATCGGATCCGGATCGGCTGCGCGTGTTGCACAACAGGAGTGGGGTTAGTATGTGCCAGAGAGGGGGTGGAAGGGAGGAAGGGGGAAAGGGGGGGCTTACGCTGTCGCAAGTCACGCGGGAAGGCGCCAGCTGGGTTCTCTGCCGACGCTCCTGGCCCGCGAAAGTCCGTCGTCTGGTGTGGGTACTTGCTGCTCGCACAAAGTGGGGAAAGGATGTAGGGCAGAATCGTCAGCGCTGAGGGTTAAGATTCAGTAGGGCTTTGCACGAGGGTGTGCAACTTACGCCTCGTTCTGGAATGCCACGTTGGGCGTGCCCTCGTTGTTCTGTGCTGACATTGTTGCTGTGATATGGCTTCGTCGTTGATTGTGGTCAAACGGCGATGTTCCTGATGGTGGTGGCGAGGAAAGAAGTTCACCCTCCTCACCAATACGGAAGGCACAGACTGCTGACTCAAAACCTTCCTGCACAGATGAGCGGCTGCCCTAGCCGAACGCAGTGAGAGCTTTTCCGAACTTGATCTGCTCTGTAAGCTCCTCAACCGAAGGATCGGTTGTGCAAGGCTGTCTGTGCTGTGCGCAGCTGTTGCCATGTGGAGTTGGCACGCACGATGACGCGCTTTGACGTTGAACAGGAGGGGCGAGATTTTGGATATCTGTTACATCGATGGAAAGTGAATGGGGAAGCGACAAAATCGAGGTCGGGAGTCACGGACCACGAGAAGACCGGGAAGGGTCTTCTCGATATCAATTGCTTCTTCCGTTCCGCAATCCTCGTCACCGCCAACAGCTCATACAGCGTCCGATCGACTCATCATGGGTCTACCGATGTAAGTGCTGCACCTCGAAGCAAATGCTCTCGGAGCAGCGTGCTGATCCGCTTGCCTTGCTGATGAATCCCACAGCACCGTCTCAACATGCTCGCTCAACCAATGGGCGCTCGACTTTGACGGCAACCGCGACCGCATTCTCGAGTCCATTCGCCTCGCCAAATCCGCCGGCTCGCGTCTCCGTGTCGGTCCAGAACTCGAGATCCCCGGCTATGGCTGCTTCGACCACTTCCTCGAGCCGGACACGGTGCTTCACTCGTGGCAGGTGCTCGCCGAGATCCTCTCCTCCGATGCCACGCACGGCATTCTCTGCGATGTCGGCATGCCAGTCCTTCACCGATCCACACTCTACAACTGCAGACTGCTGCTGCTGGACGGAAAGATCCTGCACATTCGACCCAAGATGTGGCTTGCCAACGACGGAAACTATCGCGAGATGCGCTACTTCACGCCTTGGACGCGCACGAATCACACGGACAGCTTCACGCTCCCTCGCATCGTCTCTTCCATCACGGGGCAGGATGAGGTGCCGTTCGGAGACGCGGTGGTCAAGACGAAAGATACCGTTCTGGGCGTCGAACTGTGCGAGGAGCTGTTCACGCCAAACTCACCGCATATCCGACAGGGTCTCGACGGCGTAGAGATCTTCACCAACTCGTCGGCTTCGCATCACGAGCTGAGGAAGCTCTACAGGAGAGTGGAACTCGTCAAGGAAGCGACGCTCAAGCTGGGCGGCATCTATCTCTATGCGAACCAGCAGGGTTGTGATGGTGACCGGCTGTACTACGACGGATGCCCACTGATCGCTGTCAACGGCAGCATTGTTGCCCAAGGATCGCAATTCTCGCTGGACGACGTGCAGGTCATCTCGGCCACCGTAGATCTCGACGACGTTCGTGCTCATCGCAGCGCCAAGAGCAGAGGCATGCAAGCGGTCAGCGACAGCAGCGGTCAAGGCTGTCCTCGCATCAATGTCGACTTTGAAGTGGGCGAGTCGGAGGAGTATGGATCCAAGACACCTGGCACTGCTACGCCGGTCACCAACGGCGGCAAACAGAACGACGACGCAGCCCGACTCTACCGACGATACTTTACAGCGCTCAGCAGCCCTATCGAGGTGCACTACCATTCGCCCGAGGAGGAGATCGCCCTCGGTCCCGCGTGCTGGCTATGGGACTATCTGCGTCGATCGCGGACCCAGGGCTACTTTGTGCCGCTCTCCGGAGGTATCGACTCGTGTGCCACGGCGACGATCGTTTTCAGCATGTGCCGGCTTGTTTTGGCTGCCATCGCACCTGCAAACACGTCCACCGCGACAGGGCGCAAAGCGACTTCCTCTCTCACCACGGATACCCGTTCTCAGGTGCTCGCTGACGTCCGACGTATCTGCAACGAAAAGGAGGGCTCCACGTGGACCCCTGCGACACCGCAAGAGCTGTGCAACCGCATCTTCGTCACCTGCTATATGGGCACCGAGAACTCGTCTGCGGAGACCCGCCAACGCGCCGCCGACCTCGCCAAGGACATTGGTGCATACCACATCGATCTCAATATGGACCTCATCATCCGCTCCATCATCACGCTTTTCTCGACCGTCACGGGTGCTACTCCCCGGTTCCGCGTGCACGGAGGTACGGGAGCGGAAAACCTGGCGTTGCAGAACATCCAAGCGCGTCTCCGGATGTTGTTGGCGTACATGTTTGCGCAGTTGACGCCGTGGGTGCGGGGTACGTGGGGTGGTCTTCTCGTGCTTGGCTCTGCCAACGTCGACGAATCCCTCCGTGGCTACCTCACGAAATACGACTGTTCTTCGGCGGACATCAATCCGATCGGAGGCATCTCCAAGACGGATCTGAAATCCTTCATCGCTTACGCACGCGATGCATTCTCCCTCCCCATCCTCCATTCCTTCCTCACCGCCGTGCCCACCGCCGAACTCGAACCGATCACCTCGACCTACGTCCAAGCCGACGAAGCGGATATGGGAATGACCTACGACGAACTCTCCATCTTTGGCCGTCTACGCAAGAACCTCAAATGTGGACCTTATGGGATGTTCAACAAGCTTTTGCCTGAATGGGGGCATTTGGGACCAGAGAAAGTCGCGGAGAAGGTCAAGCTGTTCTGGTTCGAATACGCGAGGAACAGGCACAAGATGACGACGCTCACGCCGAGTTATCACGCCGAGGGGTATAGTCCGGATGATAACCGGTTTGATTTGAGACCGTTTTTGTATCCCAGCAGGTTCCCGTTTCAGTTTCGGAAGATCGATGAGCTGGTGGGACGGTTGAAGGGGGTTGAGCGGGTGGGTGGCGAGGAATCGGGGAGGAAGGAGGATTGACGGAAGGGAAACAAGGGGATGCTAGTACAGATGCAATCGAAACAAGTCGATACAGGTCTTCATGACGTGTGCACGTTAGGCGCCCCTTTGCGCTGCGGAGCAGTGAGGCTACACAGTAACAGGCCTTGGGAAGAGACCTCCTAAAAATTTCGGTATTTGTTAAACTCGTGGTTGAAAAAAGGGCCGGATTTTCTTTTACCGAAAAAATCGCCTCGGAGCCGCTTTTTTTGGGCCAAAAAAAGAAAAAAAACCCGAATCTGTGTTTTCACCACTTAGAACTCCGCTTGGCGACTCATATATTTTCCGCATTGGATGGTGTATAACAAGGTCCCAGTTAGTACAATGGTCAGTATAGGGCACTCTCATGCGACTTGCATATGATAACTGCTCAGATCAGGGTTCGATTCCCTGGCCGGGAACTTTTTTTGGTCCTCCAAACCTTCTTTGTGGCTTGTCCCATGCCGCTGGTCTGTCTCTCTGCCAGAGGCCCGCTCTCTTTTGTGATCCGCCTCTGAGCTTTGCGATGGGCATGCCTCCCCAGCATGTCGGTCATTTCGCCGTTCTCTGAAGCAGCACGACAACGGATCTGGACCGCAACCGCTTCGGCGCCGCATCCAGTTCGAACGCAGTTGCAACCCATTTCGGCATTCGGCGCAACGTGTTTCATTGTCGGCTTTGGTCGTTCTCGTTGGTGTCGGTCGTCGCTGACCAGTGTCGAGCGCCTCGTGCTACCCGAATCCGGGATGCGGTCGAGCGACGTACGATGATGTTTGTCGTACTTCGGCAGTGCGAAAATTTGTTCGCCCCTCGCTTAGGCGAGGAGCTTTTCCGAAAGCTTAACCCTCCTGAAGACTCTTGGCCCCCTCGTGGCTTCTCGTCGATGTGGACCGACCGCTCGTGACGCTCGACGGACGACACATGATATCCTTCGCTATCGGGATGGCGAGTCAGGGGTTGCCCGCCTCACCCACGGCAGAGGGGTGCCGGACGGCCAAATTTGAAAAGCGTGGCACGAGGGGAGGGACACCTGACCCGCCTGACCCACGGGAAGCCCACTTCCATTCATGCGGCCACTCGAAACCGGTCAACGGTCAACCCCTTTAGCAGCCCGTGGGTTCGCGGAAGTCCGCAACGCCCCTTCTACCTTGGCCAAAGCGTGCTTCGCTCGAGACATATCGCTTATACCCACGGCCAGAAGAACGGCTAAGAAAGAGCGGTACGAACAAGCAAACCAAAACCAAGGAATTCCGAAGACCTGGTCGCACTCGTGGGCAAGCGAATTCCTTTGGCTTAAGCGAGACACGCTTTTATGCGGTTCGCAAACAAAAGCAAACAAAGCTAAATGTTAGCGATTTTCCGACGACTTCATCATTGTGCGTGCGAGGCACAGATACGCACCCGCCTCCCCCACTATGTTCAATGAGGGCGTCTTACAACAGCCTGGTGTGTGGACGATTCAACGGGCCGCAAATGGGTGGAAGGGGAACAATGCTCCCGAGAGAGGGGCGACCTACGTCCGCTGACTGGATGTGAGGTTCCTCCTGGTTCCTTCTGTACATGAGGGGCGGAGTTTGGATGTGTCTCCCGTGTGTGCCGTTCAGACCCTGTGGATCTTTGCAGCCGTAGGGTCGAGGTATATAACTTCCGGCATGATCGACCTGGAGTATCCGCATCGATCCATCCAACTCATCCAGCCCTGACCTTCAAGACATCCAACGGTGAAGCTTCAAGATGAAGCTCACCACGTCCTTCTCGGCGCTTGCGTCCCTGCTCGTCCTCTCCCTCACCTCCGTCTCCGCCGGCATCGTCACTGACGCCAGCACCCTGCGCAACACCAGCTACGACTACATCATCGTCGGGGGTGGTCTCACCGGTCTTGTCGTCGCCAATCGTCTTTCTGCCAACAGCGCGGTGAAGGTGCTCGTCATCGAAGCGGGCAACGATGACCGAACCAACCCGGACGTGTACAACGTCGACAACTACGGTGCGGCGTTCGGCACGGATCTGACGTATCACTTTGAGACGGTGCCGCAGGTCGGAGGTCGCACGAAAGCGCCCTTGGGGGGTCGCACGCTCGGTGGGAGCACGAGCATCAACGGTGCTGCCTGGAACCGCGCGTCCAAGGCGCAATACGATGCGTTGGGACCCTTGATGGTTGGAAGCACCACCAGCGGTTGGTCCTGGGATGGTCTGCTCGGATATATGAAGAAGAGCGAGGCCTTTTTCGCCCCCAATCAGGCTCAGACGAATAACGGCGCTCGATACGACCCAAGTGTTCACGGCACCAACGGTCCACTCAAGATCGGCTTTTCGCAGATTCGAAGCAACAACCGAAAACGTGGGGGTGCGACCCAGGAGTGGAGGAGGATGTTTACGGGTCCCCAGCAGCCCGCGTTCATCAAGGCCATCGGCGCAACCCTTGGCGTCCAACAGGTCAACGACCAGTGTGCGGGACAAGCCAACTCGGTTGCGTTTACACCCAACTCGATCGACCAGAACAACAACCGCGTTTCCGCTGCTACGGCGTACTACACCCCCGTGCAGGGAAGGCCGAATCTGACGATCCTCACGGGCACCATGGCGAAGAACCTCGTCTGGGCCGGATCGAACAACAACTCGTGGCGCAGCTCCGGTGTTGTCGTGCAGCAAAGTCACGATGGGGATCACATCCAGGTGAATGCCAACAAGGAGGTGATCCTCGCCGCTGGTGCGCTCAACACGCCTACGCTGCTGCAGCGCTCCGGCGTCGGCGCAAGCAGCGACCTCCACCCGTTGGGTGTCGACGTCAAGGTGGATCTCGCAGGTGTGGGCAGGAATCTGCAAGATCAGACCATGACGACCATCGGTTCGCGTGCCAATGTGGTGTATGACGGTCGAGGTCCCAGTGCTACCATCGGCATGCCGAGCGTCAACCAGATCTTCAAGAACGCCACCGACATGCGGGGGTATGTCAACGCCAATCTGGACGGGTGGGCGAACCAGCTGGTGGCGCAAGGGCACGTGGCGAGCAAAGCAGGGGTCATGGCACAGTGGAAGTCGGCCGTATCGCTGATCTTCGATCAGGCAGCCCCCGTGGTTGAGTTCTTCTTCGATACGGGCTATCCGAGTGGTTCGTACGGGATTGACATCTGGCCGCTTTTGCCGTTTTCAAGGGGAAGCGTGAGAGCGACCAGCCTCAATCCGTATGACAGCGCACGGGTCGATCCGAACTACTTTGGGTTGCCCATCGATATGGATGTTCAGGTGGCCTCCCTCCGTGCCGGCCGTCGCGTTCTGCAGGACAACAACCTCAAGCAGCTCACGTGGAATGGAGAGACGACGCCCGGGTTCGATATGATCCCCGACGGGAGCAATGCAGGGAGGTACAGCAGGTGGAGGGACTGGATTTTGGGGATCACGCCCAACACGGGCGGCTTCTCGGCGGTGAGCCACCAGCTGGGCACGGCGGCCATGGGCAGCAGGGCCAATGGTGGTGTGGTGGATGGTAACTTTAGGGTGTACGGCACGCAGAACGTGCGGGTGGTCGATGCGAGTGTCCTGCCGGTGCAGGTGTCGGCGCATTTGAGCGCCACGTTGTACGGTGTTGCGGAGAAGGCGGCCGATACGATCATGAGTAGTTGATATGATCGTGCGATGTGTAGATATACCCGAAGGACAATTCATGTTGAACTGCAGAACGTGTGCGCAAATGGGTGACATTGAGCTGAGAAGAAGATGAAGGGCAGTGTGATGATCACTTGCTCCGCTTGCTGGCGGCGGTGTCGGCAGTGGGGCGCTTGCGTTTTGTGCTGGACGAGGCGGGCGTGCTGTCATCCTCGTCGGATTCTTGGATTTCTGCGCAGCCGATTCGACAAGTTCAAATTGGTTTGCAGATGTGAGTAACTCGGAACGATGAGGCGAGGTGTAGCTTGACTTCTTGCGCGGGGTGTTGTAGAGATGCTGCTTACCAGGATCGTCATCTTCGTCGTCCTCGTCTTGCGACTCTTGGAAGTCTTCGTCTTCGGATTCGTCTTCGTCGTGCTGTCATCCAACATAGGTCAATAAAGGACCTAGTCAGTATAAGTATCGAGGTACCAGGAGACAAGGGCCAGACAGAGGAACGTACGTCTTCTAGCAAGTACGAAAGGCCAACATTGCCGCCATCGTCTTCTTCTGACGAGCCGTATTCCTCGTCGTCATCTTCTTCGTCATCCTCGTCTCCCGCGGCATCTTCATCGTCGTCGTTTTGGTCGTCATCTTCGGCCTCGACTGCTTTTGTCGAGCTGGGGTGAGATTTTGGCTCCTGCTTTGATGTTGATGTCGGGCTTGTGGAAGCGGAGGAAGTCGAGGCCTTGATTTCGCCGTCCGTTGCTGCTGGATTCGTGTCCGTCATCTTGAGTCTCGTGCTTTACACTTTCGAGCCCGTTGGCTTCGATCTGCCTTTGAAGTCGTCGATGGGACGAAGAAGATGTATCAGGCACAAATCGATGGTTCAGATTCGAGAGACGAGGAGGGGTCGAGATGATCTGTGCTTCTCTCACTCAAACCTGGCAGAGTCTGACAGACCGCCTCGCGTGCCTCATTAACGCGACTGGGTTTTCTACAAATGTTACATTTCTGCTCGATTCGCTCTCACCACTTCCTCACCACCCTCTCCTTCTCCGCATCCTTCAGTAACGCCCTCTTCACCTCCTCGCAGTCCTCCGTTAGCACCGGCTGCCCCTTCACCCATTCCTGATGCTCCTCTCTCAATCTCACATACTCTGAATTCGTCCACACCTTCTCGTCCAGCACCTGCTTGAAGATCCTCGCTGCCTCGACCTTGTCCGGATCCTGATCTTGCCGCTCCAACCGCTTGATCTCGGTCCTCTTACTCCCTTTGCCCTTCGGCCCACTCTCGTCGTCATAGACGTACTTCTTGCCGCCCTTGTGATTCGCATAGCGCCGCGCTCGGGTGTAACCCATCTGAATGAACTTGCGTGCCATGTCCGCACCTACAAAGTCGCCCTCGTCGAGGTAGGTCTGAAAGATCGAATGGAGTTTGGAGGAGGAGGAGGTGGCGATGGAGGGGGTTTTGAAGCGCCAATGCGGGACTAGCTCGGATTTGTACGGTTGCACCATGAGGACGCCTTGTTCGCCGACGCCGGTGCGGTACAGGTGAGGGTGGGTGCGGAGGTCGAGATGGGCGTAGGGGAGGTCGTATGGGAATTTGGAGGATGAGGTTGAGCTCGACTTGGGCTTTGACGGCTTCAGGGCCGGTTTGAGCGACCGCTGGGTCGTTGGCGCTAATGAAGAAGAGGAGGATTCCATCTTGGGCTTCGGGTTTGGCTTGACCCGCTTCGGTGTGGATGACGAGGACTGAGCTCCCGACGACGAAGCGGCGGACGAGCGAGTGCTTACCATCCTGAGTGCTGTTAGCGAGACCGCACGTTGAAGTAGGCCGAGTGAGAGTATGTTGAACGGGCAACGAATTGGTTCTCGTGTGAGGATGGCAACGAGGTGTTGGTGTGGAGGTTTGGTGGTGGTGAGTAAGCTCGTGCTGCAGGGTTCGTACGGCAGGCGCTTGGCTCGGCTATCCAAGATCCACGCGGTTGTGCCGTGCCATGCCGCGGATTTTGACAGGCCGATCTGCCGGAAAATTTTGAAAGGTTGAACCTTGCCTTCTCGACTTCATCATCATCATCGAGTCGGCCGTTGCCTCGACCCAACACGGTTCTAGATGCGTCAAAGATACAGTCAAGCCTGGCAGTAGACGTTTTCTTTCGGCTCTCTTCGCACCCACCATCATCCACCAAAAATGTCGCGGCCTCAAGAAACCACACCGCTTCTGTCCGGGCAGCCCCGCCAAGCCGATACCGAAGATGCACCACCACCACGCACGAAAGCGACGCCTCTTCCGCGCAAGCAGCTCTTCGTGCTCTGTCTCATGCGCATGACCGAACCCATCTCGTTCACCGTCATCTTTCCCTTTGTCAATGCGATGCTTCGTGCCAACCTGCCGTCTTCCGTCCCATCCTCCCGCCTGGGCTACTACGCCGGTCTCGTCGAATCCGCATTCGCCTTCGTGCAGTTCCTCACGATCTTCTTCTGGGCACGTCTGTCCGATCGTATCGGTCGCAAGCCTGTCCTTCTCATCGGTCTCTTCGGGTCCTTTTTGAGCGTCAACGCCTTCGGCTTTGCAAGAACCTTCCCGCAGATGGTGCTGGCGAGGAGCATAGCGGGTCTGATGAATGGCAACATTGCCATCCTGAAGAGCGTACTGGCGGAAGTGACGGACGAGACGAACCAGGCAAGAGCGTTCAGCTTGATCCCGCTGTGCTTTGCCGTGGGGAGCATTGTGGGGAATGGTCTGGGTGGGTGGCTGGTCGGAGTGTGGGGAGGCGAAGGAGAGTGGTTGGAGAACCACCCGTTTTGGCTGCCGTGTGGTGTGGCGAGCGCGTTCAACCTGTGCGCGATTATCACCGGTACGCTGTTTCTCAAAGAGACACTGCCGAAGAAGACCAACAAGGTGCCAGAGCAGGGAGCGGAGGTGGTGGAGGAGGAACGACCGCCATCGATTCGGTCCTTGCTGGCGGCAAAGTCGATTCGAAGGATCCTGGGCACGCAGTTGGGGTTGAACTTTTTGAACGCATGTCACGCCGCCTTGCTCCCTCTCTTCTGCTACACGGCGATCGAGCAGGGCGGCCTGTCGTTCACTTCCGCGGACATCGGCACGGTCCTAGCGCTCAACGGGGGGTTCACGATCTTCATCCAGCTCATTGCGTTCCCCACGTTGGAGCGACGACTAGGCGGACCGGCGCGCGTGTATGTTCGCGTCACCGCCGCTCTGCCTTTCCTCTGGCTCTGTCTGCCACTCGCCCATCAACTTGCGATCAACCACTCCAAGGCGTGGCCCATGGCAGCACTCGTCCTCGCAATTGTGCTAAAGGGCATCAGCAACATGTCCATCGTATCGTCCAATTTGTTGGTCAACAACTCGGCACCTACGAGGAGCAGTCTGGCCACGTTGAATAGCGTCAGTCAGATGGCTGGGTGCTTGAGTCGCACGATCGGGCCAAGTTTCAGTACGAGCCTGTTTGCGTTTAGTACGAGCAGAGGCGTGCTGGGTGGTCAGCTGGTTTGGTTGGTCATGTGGGCGATCAGTGCGGGGACTTGGATCATGACGATGAAAGTCAGAGCGCCCGAGAAGGCCAGCTGGAGAGTCAAGGCGCGGCAGGAAGAGACGGCGCAAAGGGGCACAGAGGCGAGACCACAGGCTTAGAGCTTCATTTGTACTTCATAGATATCTCGCAATCGCATGTTCCGCAATCGCCTACACGTTACAGCCGGCAAATGGGAGTGGCTCGATCGACGGTGCTTTCCCACATGCGTCGTGGTGCCATTGAGTATCATGCGGACGTGAGCCGCAAGGTACGGGTGAGGACCTGAAACGAACATCTGCCAGTCGGCTCTTCAGTTCGTGTCTGCTTCTGAGTCGAAATCAGCAGAAGGATCTCACAGACAGGTGCGATGTTGAGCGGAGCAGCTTGATCTGCAGTGTGGTAGAAGTACAGCGAGGTTTGTTCTCTCTCGAGTGGCACCCTTTGGAGGACTGGGCACTGACCGAACGAGTCGTTCTGGCGTTCAATCCCAGCCTGAACCAGCGTACGGATTGGCAGGCGCCGGCTGCGACCCGTACCCGTTCATATCGCCCATCCCTGCCCCGTTACCGTTCATATCCATCCCACCACCCCCGTTCGCCCCATACGGATCCATCATCCCATTCTCCATCCCGCCATTCGCGCCCGGTTGCTCATCCATCATGCTCAGCTCCTGCACGATCTGCGCCACTCTGTACTCCAACAACCCCAATCCGGTCTCGACGATCTCGGCGGGATGCATGCTGCCGCTCGCCTCGACGTCAAAGTAGAACTTGTTGGCCTTTTTGTTGTAGTCGAACGGGGCGCCTTCCTGTGGGGGCTCCTCGAGTTCCGCATTGGGTCCCTCGGGCCATTCCTGCTTGGCGTCAAATTCGTACCAGTAGGTGGTGTGGCGGAGGGCGTTGTGCGGATCGTACTCGAAACCGACCGCGGAACAGGGGGACCATTTGGCGTGCTCCTTGGCAAAACCTTTGCGTGCGATGCACCGGATGTCGAGCTCCTGCCCTTTGGACATTTTGACGAGCATGATGGGTGGCGTGGAGCCGTCGTGGCCGATGGGACGACCAAAGTCGGGGTGTTTGGGTGCAGCAGGGTCGTTCATCGCATCGTCGTCGTAGATCGTTGCGTTCTCGATGGTGTCTGAGCGTATCAAGTCGCGAGAGGTGACTTCGAGGTTGCCGCGCGTCGTGCAGCGCGCGCGTAATGTGAGTTCCACCGAACACCGATCGCACCCATCCTCACAGGCACAGTCCTAATGTCGACATACAGAGAAAGAAGACCAAGTCAGTCGCTGTGCTTCACCGCAAGCTACTTTGTTGGCGTGGAGGCCAAGACTTACCCGGTGGTCCACCAACGCCTTGGCACAGTCCATGCTGAGCAACGGCACCAGACCCAGTCGATGCGCCAAAAACTCATCCGGCAGCACGGTCGTGTTGTTCCGGATCTCCACCATGTCGATCGCCACCGTCGGAATGTCGGCGATCATGATCCTCCGCAACGAGTTGGCAAACGAAAGGTCGACATTCTCGAGTATGAAGTTGGCATGGTCGCGGTTGAGCTGTCGCACGGTGATCTTTGGCCGCGATGGCGCCGCGTCATATCTGCCGTTCATGATGGCCTATGTGAGTGCAGTCGCCTGCGTGTGACGAGAGAGGTCGTCTTTTGGGTCTCTTCGAGCGGGAGCGTCGGACCTCTGCGCAGTCGTTGGCAGATTCCAAGTCTGTGCTTTTCGGTACAAGATCGACGGTTGGATACGCTTGGCCCTTAATTATAAGTCGTGATGACGTCTGCACCGTTCGGAAAGGATCGTATGAGACGGGATGGGTGGTCCAGAAGAGAGAAGACGGAGGTATGTAAAGAAGGATTGCGTTGGCTGCAGCCTTGAGATATTCCAGATTCTGCAAGTCGGAGGCTGGCGACCCTTCCTGGAGAATGTGGTATCACGTGATGATACTCTGGAGCCTAGGTCTAACACGCTCACATTTTCCGGCGAGCCTCAACAGCCTGTAGCCTCACGCTCCCGCCTACTGCAATTTATGATTGCGGTCAATGTCTCACAGTCGACTAGAAGAGCAGGAGGGAAAAACGAGCTGCATTGCGAGTCAGAACCCTCGACTGGTCCAGATCTTGAAGTCGTCCGGGCCGGCACTCTTGCCGTTTCTGTTGGCATCGTCCCTCTGCTGCTGCTGCTGTGGCTGCTGTTGCTGTGGTTGCTGTTGCTGCGGGCGTCGCAGGAACGCACTGTGCGGAGGTAGATCCGACCCTTGCGAGTCAGCATTACGCTCGTACGCCAGCACAAGCTCTTTACGCTGCTTGCGCTCTGCCTCCTCCTTGAGCTGCTTGGTCCGCGTGTTGACCGCGATGGATGCGGTGGACGGCACATGGACTTCGTGCGTCACCTGCTTGGAGCCCTTTTTGGAGAGGAGGGAGAACTTCATGTGCGCGCTGTCCTGTGCGTCCTGTTCGGACGGCTTGCGCTTGATGGGCAGACCGATGCTAGAGAGGCCTGAGAGGTTGGTGCTGTGGCCGTGATTGTGGCTGTGGCTGCCCATGTTGGCAGAAGGAAGGGCGGTGCGGGAGAACAGCTGAGATCGCTGGGCGCTTCCACCTGCGCCATTGCTGGGTGCGTGCGCGGGTGCAGAGGTGGAAGAGCCGAGCTCAGCCATCATCTTGGCGAGCTCGCGGTCGAACTCGTCATCGGCTTCTTTACGGATCGCCAGTTCTTCGTCGAGTCGGTGGCGGCCCAGTTCGTCCTCCTCCTCGTCGGTTCCTTCGCCAGAAGAGCCGTTGTCGCCAGAGTGCGAAGCGTCCGAGTCACTTTCGGGTGACGAAGATGACGACGAGCCACCCGAGGAAGAAGACGGAGATGCTGACGAATCCGATGAGCTTGACGTATCATCACTGCTCAAGGCTTGGTCGGCTCCGCGTCTCGCCTTGCGTCGCTTTTCGCCGTCGTCTCCGTCTTGTCCACGATCCTGAACGTCTTCATCCGAAGTGTTTTCCTCGCTCTCCGCTTCCGTCTCGGTCTGCGCGGTCTTTGACCTGTTGGCCGCCATGACCTCTTCCAGTGCTGCGGCGGCCTCGCCAAACACCTGCTTGAATTTCCAATCTGGCCGCAACGTCTCCAGTGTCTCTGTGAGCATGAAGTCGACATCCATTGGTAACGGCTGTTCCTTGCAGAGCACATAGACGTTGAGAAAGACCAAAAAGTCATCCAACTTTTTCCGCAGCGATCCGCGATCAAAGCAGGCACCGCATGTGTCGAGCAGCGTGCAGATCAAACGAATCCTGAAGTAGTCATCGGGTGCATCCAGCGGCGCGACCTGCCCAGGCCAGGGTCGACCGTTGGGATGACCAAACGTGGCGAGCGACCAGAGCTGCTCGAATATGATGCCGCTGTTTATGAGTCGATAGTTGTAGAGCTCACCGAGGTAGCAGATGGTGGCGACGCGGCGCTGGTTGTGCTTGAAGATGTTCTCCTCCATGCCGATACGGATGTTCTCGAGCACCTGATCGATGATCTCAACCGCGAACGCAGGATGGAAGCGGTCTAGCTCAAAGGTCAGGATGGCAAGGAGGTAGATGTTCGAGTATCGGATCCTCCACGCTCGTGTGAAGGCGTCCTTGAGCCAGCCATGGGCCGCAGTATCGTCCCAAGGGAGCTTCCTGAAGTGTACAACCACTGCATCGACCGTCTTCTTCTGCAGCACGTGATAGATGAGGTGTCGGATGTATAGCTCCATCGGTTCTCGTACCTTTTGCTCGATTGCTTTGCGCTTTGGTGGGTTGCATTGATAGTAGGCGTTATTGAGCATGAGCAGCTGACGCGAGTCGAGGTTGGTGGCGGCTCGTTTGCGACGAAGCATCTCGAGCATGTTGCGCATGTGAGTCGAGGTCTCTTCCGTGCGCAGGAGGTATCTCCCGCAGCCCTCTAGCAGTGAAGCGAGAACATCGATATTGGGTCCGGAAAAGTCTTCAAGGCATGTCTTGAGACAGTGAAAGATGGCGTGAGTTGGCGTGACCTTGAACTTGGTGAGCTCAGCGATGAAGCGGGCGTTCTTGGTGCGGGTCTCGGCGAGATCGACGCTTTTCTTGCGCTGCAGGTAGCGGAACTCATCTTCCAGCATTGCGGTGAGACTTGAGCCGACGTCAGGCATGTACCGGGTGAGGACAGCCGCGAGACGAGCGTAGTAAGGAGCTAGGTCGATCCGGTTGCGTGGAATCGAGGCGAGGTGTTTGACCAGTTTGCGACGCGCTGGCTTGGTGGCGATGAAGGCAAAATCTACGGCGGCGCTGTCTATCATACCACGATTGGTCATGTCTGGCAGCTTGGCCATGAGCGTCGCGAGTTGTGCTGCAGGGCCGGCATTCATGGCCTCCTCTGGTGCTTCCGAGTCGAGTCGGGGCGAGCTCAAAGCTGTCGCAGATTCTCTTGCGTTGGAAGAATCCGCCGCTGCTTCTTCACCATTCGCCTTGTCCCCGCTCGCGGATGAAGTGATTGCGATGCCGGTGGTTTGAGCCAGAATGGTAGGCGGAATGACATCGCCAAGGTCCAAGATATCTTCGTAGAACTTCTGCGAATCCTGGTCCTCCCACGGGCTCTGGTCTGCGGCGAACTCTTCATCGGCACGCTCGAAGGCAGATTTAGAATCAAGATTGACGCCAAGGCCGACAGCATTGCTGTTTGATGCAGCAGAGTCGAGCTCCGGCATGGGGACGCTCAGCAACTCCGAGAGCACTTTGCCCCAGTCCCGCACCCGCTCAAAGCTCTTTGTCATACGCTCGTAGTTCTGTTGGCGATCCTCGAAGATCTCGCCGGATCGGATATAAGCTTCGTGGTTCTTGCGGTCCTGGTCCTGTAGCCTCTGATGCTCCTTGACGATGCGACGAGCGAGGGTCTGGAAGTAGGTCTCGAAGAGCTTGCTGAATCTGGCCTGCCAATCTGAGGACACGAGAGGCGCGGTGGACAGGTCGGCTTGTTCGATGCCGTTCACGTCCACAGCATCGGCGAGAGTCAAAGCAGATCCCGCTCTCTCCGAAAGGACCGAGTCGGCATCATGTGGCTTGGAAGATGGTAGTATCGACTGACCGAGGCCTTTGAGCACCGCGATGAGCAGTGGGACGTTGGAATGCTCCTTGTCCGTGGCCAATAGATTCTTGAGCAGGTTGTAGAGCCAAGAAGCACCGTTGTTGTCCTGCGAGTGCCCGACTGCCTCGACTAGAGCCAATTCTGCAGTCGCGCGAAGCAAGGGTTTCTGGCGTGCAATCCTGGCAGCTTCGTCTCTCTCCTTCTGCTCAGGGGTTGCGTTCTGATAAAGCGCCTTGCTGGCAGGCGCCAGAGCCTGCTCGAGCGCAGTCGTCAGCGGCGAGCTGAAAGCTTGTCCACCAAAGCGTATGTGAAATGCGGAAAGGATCTCGGTGGCAGCAAAGCAGTCCTTGGCGTTGACGCATCGACTTAAACCCTCCGGAACCGCTTGGGTGAGCTCTTGGAGGTACTTTTCGAGATTGAGCAGGGGCAGATCCTTGAGAAGCTGATCGCGTGCATCCTGACCTATGCTTTGTTTGACTCGTTTGACGAAGGCTGTGTTCTTTTTGAGGTTGGAGTCTAGGGTCTTTGAGATGGAGGTTGGCCCAGCCTTCCATACCTGGTGGTTGGCGGCGCGGAGTTGACGCCGCTTCTTCTCTCGCTCCTTGTATAGGGCGTGTGATTGCGATTCATCCTTGGCTAATGGCAGGGCCGGCGATGCTGATGAGGAGGAAGCTTTGACCGCCATCACCGAGCTTGAGCTGGAGCCGGCCGGCGGAACCGTGGAGGCCACCATGAATTGGCTCCGGCGTACGGTCGACGAAGCTATGGTCGAGGCATGAGCAGCGTGTTTGTGGCGAGTTTGGCCTTGCTTGCAATTCTGCAGCCAACGAATGGACTGAGAGAGGGTACCGATGGCGTTGCGAAGGTGGGCGGAGCAGCAAGAGTGAAGGGAAGCTGACGGCTGATCTTCTTGATCATGGCGCAGCAACCTCGAAGACTCGCTCGTTCGCAGTTCAGGGTCCAATTTTCGACTTTCGACCCTGGACTCCACGACGATCTCACAATGGCTGAGAAGCATAGACTCTAACAGACTGGGGAAATTTGCCAGCTAAGCGCTGCCGACCATTTTTTGACCGATGCCATGTGGCTTATCAGGCGTGACAGCAGTCGATGTGTCATTTTTCTGGCCCGAATTTCTGAGTTTGCCGCTCCAAGCTTAGCCGGACAGCGCACAGGAACTCGACCGGCAAAACTCATCCTGTTCCAGACCGGAACTCGTTGAGCTTCACTGCCGAACACGCTTCCCTTCGCTGCCGGTCAATAGACTCGAATGCCAAGAACAACGGTGGCTATCTCCGGGGGGCGTGTGGGCGTGGCGTGAAGCGTGGGGAGCTGCGGTGTCAGCCAGCGGTGGTCCGTGGAGCTCGTCGAATGACTATAGCCGGACCAGCTGCATTTAAGCTTCAGCACTTCCCTTTTGTTTCTTCTTTCCTTCCTACAACCTCTCATCATAACGTCAAAATGTCTTTCTCCATTCCATCGCAGCAGACTCAGATCGTCCTTCGCGAGCGTCCTAAAGCCGCGATCCAGCACACGCTTGGCGCCAACGACTCGACCTACGAGAAGCGCACCATTCCCGTGCCTAAGGAGTCCGAGCTCAAGGATGGCGAGGTGCTCGTCCGCGTCGAGTACGTTTCGCTCGACCCCGCCATGCGCGGCTGGTTGCGCGATGCACGATCCTACCTTCCTCCCGTTCAGATCGGCGAGGTGATGCGTGCAGGTGGTGTCGGTGTCGTCGTCGCCTCCAAGTTTGCCGGCCTCAACAAGGGTGATCAGGTTAGCGGTACACTCGGCTGGCAGCAGTACGCCCAGGTGCCCGGCAAGAGCGTAGAGAAGCGCACCATTCGGGAAGGTAGCAACCTGCTCGACTACCTTGGTCCTCTCGGATCGAGTGGTCAAACAGCTTATTGGGGCATCCTAGACGTCGCTGCGATCAAGAGCGGCGACGTTGTTGTTGTCACGGGCGCCGCCGGCTCCGTCGGCAGCATCGTCGTCCAGATCGCCAAGCTCAAGGGCTGCAAAGTCATCGCCGTCGCCGGCGCAGACGACAAGTGCGAGTGGCTCAAGTCCTCCCTGGGCGCAGACGAGGCGCTCAACTACAAGTCGCCCGACTTCAAAAAGACCTACCGCGAGATGGTCACCAAAAAGTACGGCTACATCGACGCCATCTTCGAGAACGTCGGCGGTGAGATCCTCGACATGTCGCTGCTCTGCATGAAGCCTCACGCCCGCATCGCCCTCTGCGGCGCCATCTCGGACTACAACAACCCCAAACCCGACGGGCTCAAGAACTACCAGACCATCATCGCCATGCGCATCAAGCTCCAGGGCTTCATTGTGTTTGACTACGCAAAGAGGTACGCCGAGGCCGAGGAGCAGATGAGCAGGTGGATGAACGAGGGCAAGCTCGCCAGGAAGTTCCATGTGGTGGGCGAGGAGCTGGACGCTAAAGCGAGGGAGCAGGGCAAGAGTCTCGAGTTGGCCCCCAAGGCGCTCGTCGATCTGTTCGCCGGCAAGAACAGCGGCAAGATGGTCGTCAAGGTCGCCGCTTGAATTGTATTCATACCTAAGTCATCGTCTCATCGCAATCATATTGATAAACACGCAGAAGAGAGACAAGCGAGTATGTGCTGTGGTATTAGACGTGAAACGAAGTGAACAGTACAAAAAGACCCCACCCAGCGTGTATCTGAGAGGGGGGAAAGAAGCGAAGGTCGTGACCGTTACAAGGTATAGTGTGGGTACAAGAAAACAAAAGAAAACGTCGGTAAAAAGCGACCCTGAAAATCCTTCTAGGGGACGGGGCTGAGGATGGTCGATTTGGTCTTCCTCGGCGACCTAGTCAAATCCCATGCCCTGCCACCTGCGCCGCCAAGATTGGCCATGCTGCGTTTGCTCTTGAGCGGGCTGCCTGGCATGATGAGGTTTGGGCGACTGGAGTTCTTGCGCACCTTCTTGGTTGGGCTACCTGGCACGCCACCGAACGCAAACGTCGAGCCGGGGCTATCCACGTCATCATCGCTTCCCATCGTGCCAGTAACGTTCGAGGCGGTGCGCGGACGAGGGGCGCTAAGGTCGTCATCAAACTCGTCTTCTTCGCCGGAGGAAGCGCCAAACCCACGCAAGGGCACTTTGTAGCTCCCACTCGGCGCCACAGCCGAACAGATCTCGTCCGCATCATCCATACCGTAGTTGACGAATGAGAGCGCCGAGAAGCCCTTGCTGCTGCTGGGGAGTGGAGGGAGGGGCGGCGACTTGGATTTGCCCGGTGAGCTGTTGGAGCGGGAAGGTGCGACGGAGGAGTGCGAGATGGTTCGTGCGCGTGTTGGTGATGCAGAGGTGGTCAGCTCCATGGTGAAGCCGGGCACCGAACCGATGGTGCTGCTGCGCGGCTTGAGCGTCGGACCACCCGCTGAGCTCGAACTGGAGGAGGACGAACCGGTGCTGCTGCCGCCCGTACCAGCGCTGAGGGTGATGCGTCGGTTCGAGGCGATCTTCCGCAACCCTTGCGCGGGTTGCTTGGACGGCGAAGGTGGGAGACCAGCCATGATCCCCCCGAGCGGACTGCGCAGGTGTGGGGTCGACTTCATCTTAGCTGGCGATCGAGGCGGGCTCAGGGGAGCGGAGAGCATGTTGGGCGCTTTCCGCGTGATGACCTGCCCACCCAGCTGCTTGCTCGCCGCTTGCTGCTGCTGAACAGCCTGGTTCTGCATCTGGAGGAACTGCAGTTGCTGCTGCTGGAGTTGTCGCATGCGCGTCTGCTGCAAGGCGAGGTGCTCCCTCGATGCGTCTGCCGGTGCCGATCGAGGCGTGCTAGATGCTGGCGGCACCAGTCCGGTCCCCGAGGCGCTGATGAGCTTGGCCGGCTCAAGCGTTGCCATGACTTGCTGCTGCTGCACCTGCTGCTGTCCGAAGGGGTTCTGAAGCTGCATAGGGTTAGCCGCGATCTGAGAGGCCAATGAAGGACTCGATTCGGAAGCCCGCAATCCTCCAACGATGGTGGCTCTCCTCGACATGAGCATTTGGTCCCCTCCAAGCGGCCCACTCGCACCAACAACGCCGCTCGCGGTCAAGGTCAGACCAAGCATGTTGCCGGCACTCGAACTACCGCTGATGCTGTTGTGTCGTGCCGGCGGGTAGACGGATGTGTAGCCTGACATGCCTTGCGAGGCCGCGTTGCCTGCACCGGCAAACAGAGTTGTGTCGTTCTGGTGGAGGAACTGCGGTGTGAAGATGCCCTGCTGCTGCTGTTGTGGTGACTGCTGAGCGAGGTGAAGGTTCGAGAATTGATTCTGGATCGAGGGCGCAAAGTTGGCCGAGTCTGCGGAGAGGGGCATGCCAGGTGACCTCTGGGTCAAGTCAGCGCCGGCGTAGCCAGTCAGGTAGGCTTGTGTCTGGAGGTGATGCGCCATCGTGCCTGGCGCAGGCTGCAGAGGGTGCTGCGGAGTGACCGGCGTGGGCAAGCCAGTGGATCCCATGCTGAGCTTTCGTGGCGAGTTGCCTTCCATGCCGTACAGCAGAGCAGCCTGGACAGACTTGGCGGCGCGCTCGCTCGCCTCCTGGCCAGCGAATTGCTGCGATGGAGCGACAAAGTCCTGGTAGACGCCGAGTCTCGCCGCCTGTTGTGCAACGTGAATCTGATGCAGCTGGGCGAGCCTTCGTCGTTGGCCTTCAGTCATGTCCTTCGGGTCGATGTTCGATTCTGCTGCGTTATTGACCGTTGGGGCGACTTCGACGACCTGAGCACCAAGAGCGGGAGAGTTGTCGGCGGAAAGTACGGCCACCGGCGAGGGAGCCAGAAGATCACGCTGCTCAGCTCGACGCTGGAACAATGCGGACTGCGGTGCGACGGACGAGCCGCTTGAGAGCTCCGATGCGAGAGGTGTGCTGTCTTTGCTGGAAGCGGTATGTGTGCCTTGCACGGCGGTGTCCTGAGCTGGGCTGCTCACAGCACTCGATCGGGAGCCGAGCTCGAGACCAAGGGCGTTGGAGTCGGGAATGCGGTCTTGTGGGTATCCGACATCGACTAGGTAGTCATTGATCAAGTTCTGGCTTCCAGCCGCTTCGAGCACCGGGTCGTCTCGTTGCAGCAGAGGTGCTGAGATGGATGATCGTAGGGCTCGTGCAGGTGCTCCGAGAAGACCGGGCATTCCGGACGTCGGTGGTGGGTTGAGGGTCTCGAAGCCGACCGGGTTGGATGCGCCTGGCGAAGTATGGGAGTCGGATCGCTCGATGTTGATCGAGAAGCTCGGCATATCGGGTCCTCGTCGAGCAGCTTTGGAAGTGATGTTCTGTGTTTGGCCGTACCAGATTCCTTCGGGAGAGTCGACGTCCGAGTCAAAGAGACCGCCCATCACTTCGGGGCCGTGGTTCCAGCCGGGAAGGTTAATGGTGGTGGTGCCCATATTGGGACTGCTCGAGTTGGACATGTCCTCGTGGAAGAAGTCATCGACGTGTAGTGTCGAGGTAAATGTTGACTTGAGGTCTGTTGGCGGGCGTGAGAGGGAGGTCAGACGAAGTCAGTACGATGCACTGGTGCAGCTGCCTTCGAGGGGGAAGGTGTGTTCTTACCGATCGAGTGCTCGACGAGGTTGGAGAGGTAATCATCAGCACTGTTGAGCCCTATGATCTTGGACTCTGCTGTGTTGGACCAGGTCAGCATGGGAGGAGAGACAATGTCGAAGCCATCCGTCAAGCTGGCGAAGCTGTCCTGACGGTGAAGACTGTCGTGTGTGTTCATGATGGTCGGACCTTTAGGGGTGTTGTTGTGTGATGAGCCGTTAAGCCAGTCAGACACGCTGTCGGAAGTAACGAGGTTGTTGTGCGAGTTGTGTCGGCTTCCTAGCGTCTTGCCACTTGGTGTGATTACGCTGGTTGTCATTGTGTTGCTCGCCAGACAGCAGAAGTCAGCGTCCTCGATTCACACCCTGCACTGATGGGTCGCAACCGATGAGTGCGAGCTGACTCTCGGTGATCTGAGAAGATGCTGTTGTGTCGACGCTTGGCAGAGCGTGAAGACCAGATGTGTGTCGCAATCGCTGTATAGACGTGATTGGACGGTTCTTGTGCCCGAGGTCGGAGACGAGCTGGGGTGATGGTCGAATGATGACAGTGACTATGGTTGTCAACACGAATGAGGTCCTTTAGGATGCGATGACGAGAGTATAAGATGGGTGATGGTGAGATAGGGTCAAAGCGGATGAGGTAGGTGTGTGAGAAGGTGATGATGGCTTCGAAGTGGACGTGTGAGCGCGGTGACCCATCAAGGTTTGTCTGGATGAGACAAGGAGGGAGCGGAAAAAGTGAAACGGACGTGCAGAAGCGAAGGAGATTGGAGTATGTAGTCCAGCAGTAAGAGGGCGATGGCAGATTCAAGCGGAGAAAGGGCCTGGATCGACAGGCAAAGAGGACAGAGGAACTGCAGGGCTGTCTCGGGTTGACAGCTTGCCGAAGGAGGTCAGGGGAGAAGTTAAGTTTCCTCTGACGCCTCGCTGGAGGACGCAGTTGGCGGGCTTCAATTTGCGCTTTTGGTTCTGATCTCAGAGGCAGCGGATGGCGGCTGCTAAATCGAGCGAGTCAGTTGAGCATTCGCCTCAGTCGAGCTCAATGGACAGCATGGTGCGCCCTGTCCAGAGCGACACGGAGCGGACTATGGTCGGTGAAACTGATTGCGAGGTGTTGCCCCGATAGAGCCAGTTTGGCGCAGTCCCCGCTTCTCACTGAGAGATGGAGTCGCTCAGGGACCGAAAAGCCCGCTGCTGCAAGTCCTATCGGTTGTGTTGACGGAGGGTGGCAACGCAACGCAACGCAAGGCGAGTCAAGTGTGCGGCTCAGCAGCTTGGGAACCGAGGCGAGGACAAGGGGCGGATCTGCAATGCAGCAACTAAGTTACCGACTGTAGTCGCTGCTAGTAGAGTTGAGTGTGCAGGACCCGACGGAATGTCGGACGGGTGTCTGCAGAACGCAACACCTCGTGTACCTCTGCAAGGGAGACGAAAGATCGACAGTCTATCAACCCGAGGCCACGGGTACCCACTCGGTTAGATCGAGCCTAGTTACCGTAATCGCCTGCGTAGCCTGTGTTTACGTCTCTCCTTGCCTGCCAAACTAGCGGAAAATCGGCCTTTGAATCCTCGTTTTAAGGCCCGAAGTTTTATTTTAATTAAAGGCCATTGTGGGCAAGCGAGATTGCTTTGATTTGCATCGTCTACGATGACCCCTTGGCGGACCAACGTTGCTCCTCCATCATTTCTTTTGGTCATGATGCAAGGTAATCGCCACCCGCGCTTTCTCGAAAATCTGCTTCCCACAACCCCGCTTTCAGCAACAGCAAAGCGGACAATGGACCCTTGCGGCTCGTTGCGGCTGCGTGATTGACCCGCACAAGCTAGCCGCTCTCTCTCGCGGAGTAGGAAGCACCTCCCCATTGGATGTATAAGGATCATGTTGGGCCTCACTATCTCGCAATGTTTGTGTGGCGGTACGAGGTGCCTTGTGGCGATGGTTCGAGCCAGCCCTGATTCTGCCTGAACCTGCTTTGTTGGTTTCGAAGCGAGCTTGAGCCTCCAACGGAAGCTCTTCTACTGAGACAACAGTCTGGAACAGTCGCGCCACGTATCTTCATAACCAGCCACGTTTGGTGACGGTATCTCGTGCTTCAAAGGACTGAGGGCCACTCAGATCGAACTGCCTTCAAGAGCTCAGAGTTCAGTTCTCCTTAGAACCGGATGACTGGTGCGGCCTTTGCTGCAGCATGCAGACTCCGCCATCTTGAGCTCAGACTCGCTTGTCCCGCGTCGAGTAAGGAGACAAAGCGTTCGACATGACCACTTTATCTATCTGTGCCGAGAACTTGGTCGGAGGGGTCGATGTGTTTTGCTGGTTCGGCCGCCATCATGTTTGAACCCCGTCTGAGAGGATTCGCGATGGCTCGACCTGACAAGCTCGGGGAAAAGGTGACACGACGTTGAACATCCTGACCTTTGCGCCTTGTTTGGCGACTCTCTGAGAGCTTGGGCTACCATAACGTTCGCACTTAAGCGATGAGACACTTTCCAGACTTGCTTTGTAGGGACGACTCAAGGCCTGTACTGAGACAGGTATTTCTATGCAGGGGCCAGATCCAGTCGATTGCAAGGTCCGTGGCCTCTCCGTTCCGACGGTCGCCTGACGCTGTGGCTCGACCGCCTGGAAAAGATGGTGAGGAAGCGATGCAGAACCACGCCATCCGCGGCCATTGAGCAATGGGTCAGCTCGGTAGGGCATGTGTCTCAAAGTGGAACAAGGTGTCACTGGCGGGACGTAGCTTGGAATCGCCAACCTAAATTTGCCTTTCCACGGCAGACGCTCCACCTTCGGTCTTGGGACCGCCCCTTGGGTGCTGGTCTGTCTTACCGAGGGCGGTCGCGACTACAGTGGGGGCAACAGCCAGGGGAAATGGCGTTTGTGGCGCGGTAGGAGCGAGTTTGAAGCTGAGTGCGCGGAGTGTCAATGCATGATCTACCCTACATCAGCCTGCAGTATCGTGCAGTGCTCGGCAGGTGCACTCCAGCCGTGGCGTGGAGCCACTCTCTAGGCTCGAGATGATGTCTCTGATGTGTGAATGGAGAACGAAGAGGTGTCGAAAAAAGCACTAAACTCTACTTGTTATTTCATCTCGGTGTTCTGCTTGTATTTGACTAATAGCACTTTTTGATATTGCCAATTAGACTCGCCTGCACTTTGACAGCTAGAGCGCTTGAGCGCTTAAGTGACAGATCAGCGCAGTGCATCGAAATTCGATTAATTAGCCGCACAAGGTGTCAATCTGCCCCCGTTGTTGCGCTCTCGCGCTCTCAGTCTTCAAGCCCTTCACTCGACTTTCGTTGAAGGCTGTCTCTGACCGGCAACTACATCTTGTTATTCTCTGAGTCAGACCCTCCATCCAGGCTCTCGTCGAAAGCCTCTTCCCGTGCAAGGTTCATCGAGTCCATGTCGCCTTCCCGCTGCCCATCTCCTCTCGCTTCACAACCGAGAAGCCACCGATCTTGAGCAGCCCATCCAAGCCATGAATCTCTGAGGTTGACCGGTCGCCAAGAACATTGAACCACTGAACTCGCCCTCGGCTCATAGTCTGGAGCGCCATCGCCAGCCCGACACGAATTTGTGGCTTGCAAGCATGTGCCCGTTCTGCTGCCTTGGAACGTTCTTTCTTTAGCGCGATAGGACGAAAGTCGGTGGTCTGGTTCTCTCTGCTCGAGGTCCGTTCCAAATTCGAGGCATCTGTTACCACACAACGTGCCTTGGTTCGCCGATCGTTCCACCCACGGGACGATCAGCACGAGTCCCGGGTGCTGGTTGCGACGGTCTCGCCGCGGTCATAGGCGCTCCAGCTGCCATGTGTGGTCGCTATCGTGCGGCGATAAGGCGGCTATTCGCGTGTCTTCGCAGTCTTTGGTCGGTTGGTTGGTTGGTTGGTTGGTTGGTTGGTTGGTTGGTTGGTTGGTTGGTTGGTTGGTGCAAGACCTCGTCTCTCTACTGACCGTGTCCAACCCCCTATCATGAAAGCCCGACTTAGGCCAACCTCGATCGACAAAGTCACTGTGATCATACGATCACGGCTGAGAGGACTCGGATCGACCCTGCAGTCTCATTCCGCAATGAAGTCATGCTGCGCAAAGTTGCGCCCCGAAAGCCTTAATTTGAGCGAGCCCCTGTCTAGGGGGGAGGGCGAATGACGCCGCCGACGATACTCAGCTGTCGCCGTTCGAAATCGTCAAACTCTGGGATAGGGGCCTAAATTGACGAAATCGGGATGTGATCCAATCGCGATACAAAAGAGGCGTGGCTGTCAGATCGTCATCAAATACGAGCAGCAAGAATCTTAAGCCGAAGCTCAGGCCAAAGCGCAAATCGGTTCCGAGTGGAATTCGAGACGTGATCACGCTTTCCGACTTCTCACACTTTCTTGACGTTCTGCTTCCCACCCATTGATCGCGACAACGGCACCACCTCGACAACCAAGAACCCCCTTCACATCCAGCTCGACCATCAGTTCCGCTCGCAGGACGAATCACGACTTCAACATGGCCTCGCTCTTCTCGCCTTTCCGCAACACATACCGATATCTCGTAGGTTTCATGCTCCCTGACAACGAAAGATCGGCTTCGATAGGCACCCTTCAGCACTCTTTCCTGTCGGCATAGCTAGGTTCTCTCATGCTGACACTCTTCCCTACTGCTTGTCACGGTATAACAGCAATATGCGGCACACGAGCACCCAGTGGTCTTCTTCTCGATCCTCATCGGCTCGGTTGGACCCGTGGCGGTGGTGACGGTACCACCCATTCGCAAAGCATACGGCTGGAAGCCTGCCGAGAAGGTGCCCACATCCTACCCTCTTCCGGCTCGCGCACGAGAAGAGATCTCGGCATACGGCGACGACGAGTAGACAAATCCGCACAGACCGCAATCGCAAGCCTTTATGACACACATTCGATATCGACGCAGTGACGCTGGTGAACAAAGGCCGGGGTTTGGCAAGCAGAGCATCGAAGGGGCATCGCAGAACATCATCGAGAGTACGTGACGGCAGATACTCCCTGGCGCTCAGCCCCGAGTCGCATTCAGTAGCTCGGTCCTTGCATGCCAACATCGGCTCTACGCAGCATCTGCGGACGCGGTCCTTGGGTCATCTGCCCAGCCTATCGTTCAAGTCCTCGGTGCACAATGTCGTCTCCTTCACAGGAAGCACCTGCACACAGCGCAACGAGCCCCACAAATATGCACATGGCAGAGGGGTGTCCATTGAAAAGCGACGACATGAGCAGAGATGAGCACGAGACAATGCAAAACTGACAAAAATGATCAAGCACGAACACATCCCTTTCACGCCTCGGCCGTGCGCACCAACCGTCGATCCCACGGTCCAACATCACTATTCCTGCACCCTCCTTGACACTCGCACTCTCCACCCAAACTCTTTGGCCAATCCTCCTTCCTGACATACTCCCAGATTCTCTCGTGATAGTCTGCGCCGGCGATATCGATCTTCTCCACCGTCGCCGTTGGCAGCCAACCTTTGATCCAGCTCCAAATCGTACTGAACATGTACGGTGCATTGATGATCTGCACCCTTCCGCTGAGTTCCGGGAAATTGTTGTCCAGGATGAAGAGCAGTTGTTGGAGCTGACCTTTCATGGACCAAAAGGTGCCCAGGCCCAAACCGGCGAGGTTGACAACCATCATGTTGTCATCTACCCATCGACCGGAGGCGACGGAGCACGCTTCGTAGCGATGACGAACGGCAAGTTCGAGTGTCACGGCAAAGTTGTGGATCACCCTCTCGGGAGTGGTCTTCTTGAAGACGGCGGTGCAATCCATGTTACCGAGGTCTTGGACGAAGATGGGGCGACCAAGACGATCCGTGCCGTGGAAGTACATGCACCAGCCGTGCGAAGCTACCTCGTCGCGCTCGGTAAAGTGGAAGTCCTTCACCAACTTGTCCAGTTGGACTTCTTTCTTCCACGCCTCGGCTTTGAGGTACATCGTCCGCGCGGCGGCGACGTTGAAACTTCGTGCGCGCAGGAAGCGCAGCAGCTGCGTCTCCTGGTACGACGGCGGTTGGCTCTCGGGATCATTCAGTGCGCCGTCTTGCTTGAGCAACGACGTTAGCTGGTGCAGCGCCTCGGTCTGGGCCGCCGTCAAGTTGCCTGGGTGTCCGGGAAGCGGCTGCGCATGCGGGCTGGCCAGGATGCGCTGCAAGGGCGAATCCTCCATCACCTCCGCTTTGGTCGTTCGCGATGCGGAAAAGACGTCCTCTCCATCCGACTTGAAGCTCCCTCGTCGCGATGCGGGTGCTGAAGGAGCGTGTAGCGATGATGTGCTTGCGTTGATCGGTGCGAGTGTTCCAGCGGCATTCTTCGTATCGAGCTTCGACATGCGCTCCGTGGTCTCGTCGACCGGCGTAGTGCCGAGAGGCGTGGCGCCGCCGGAGAGCGAGCCAGACGAGGCAGACTTGCCGGCGGAACGTGTGAATGATGCAAAGCGCTTGCTCAGCGAAGAGGGTGTGAGGCTGCCTGATGAGGCCGCCTTATCAGGGGTGCTGCGAGTGGGTGCCCATGAAGCGTTGCGGTTGAACGGCGGTGTTACAGGCTCTGATGTGCCCGACGACGTGGACGAGTCTGTCGATGGCGCCATCCTTACGATGTCAGCAGGAGAGTCGGTGCAGGGGTGTCGACCTCCTTGATGCTAGCCAAAGGTCGAAGTGGTTGCGGTCGGCGATGTCAAAGTTCGAGCCCAGCAGAGGCGTTCGTGTATGCTTGCGCCTAACCTCTTCTTGTGGTGTGAGGTATGCGCCGGATCGAAGGAGAGACCAGCTCTGATCGCTTTCGAAGCAATACGTGCAGAGACAGAGCGTTGATGATGGTGTCCGTGTCGGAAGGAACAAGCAAAGGGCCTAGGAGAGTCTTGCAGTTGCATGACTGTTGGGCGCCCACCGTGAGAAGGTCTGAGCGCTGTTCCTGACTGACTGACTGACCCTGCTCACACGATTCGACAACCCTCAGCTTGAATTTTCCGATCCTCGGCGCTCTGTACGCCGACCACGCAAGTCAGCTTAGGGTCTGCCAAATGACTGGGTCTGCTGCCTCGTTTTTTTCGACCTCCACACACTGCCACACCTACCGCACCGCTAGCCGGATAAGATGATCCGGCCCGACATGCTCTCTCTAACACATTCATCATGATCATGCATAGCAAAAGTCATCGCCCACGCAACACTAGTCCCGAGCTGCTTCACTGTTCACAACGGACTACAGACCTACGCAGATACGGATCATAAATCATCAATGCTTCTAACATTCTATACACAAGGAGGGAGGGCAAGTCAAACGGAACAGCTCTCTACAGAAGTAAGTCCTGTCGTTGTCTCGGCAGTCTCGATTCTGCCTTGACGACGGCTGAAATCCTACATCGAGGGGCAGTCCAGCCTGACGTCCGTTGGTGTCTATGCACGGTGGTGCAGCACCATGGCAAGCAGAGCCATGCGCAGGTACAGACCGTACTTGACCTGTCGCCACCAAGCCGCGCGAGGGTCGTACTCCAGATCGTCGGCCAGCTCGTTATTCTTGGGCAATGGGTGCAGGACGATCGTGCTCGACTTGCACTTGGCCAGCGTGGCGTTGTCCACCACGTAGCTGTCCTTGACCGCCTCGTACGAAGCCAAGTCCGGGAAGCGCTCCTTCTGCACACGCGTCACGTACAGCACGTCGGTGCGCGCCAGAATGTCGTCCGTGAGCACCGTCGACTCGTACTGCTTGATGCCCTTGCGAGCAACCGCTTGCTTGACGTCTTCGGGCATCTTGAGCGATTCAGGGCTGACGTAGTTGACCGTGACACCGTACAGGCACAGCAGCTGCACGAGACTGTGCACGGTGCGACCGTACTTGAGGTCACCCACCATGGTGATGGTGAGACCGGCGACCGTGCCCATCTCTTCTCGGATGGCGAACGTGTCGAGCAGCGCCTGAGTCGGGTGCTCGATCGACGACTCGCCGCCCGAGATGACGGGAACGGGAGAGTGCTTGGCAGCCAGGTGGACGCTGCCAGCGGCAGGGTGGCGCATCACCACAGCGTCGGCATAGCAACCGAGCGTGCGGATCGTGTCCGGGATCGACTCGCCCTTCTGCACCGACGACTTTTCGGGCTGCACTTTGACAACTTGACCGCCCAGTCGCAGCATGGCTGCCTCGAAGGAGCACGACGTTCGCGTCGACTCCTCGTAGAAGAGCGTCGCGAGCACGCGGCCGCGCAGCACATCGACCGAGCCCTGTCGCTCGACCATGACGCGCATCTCGGTGGCCACCGAGAAGAGGGCATGCAGGTCTTCACGCGTGAAGCTCTTGACCGACAGAATGTGTCGTCGTGCAAAGGTGGGGTGGTAGAGCACCGAGCGGATCGAGGGAGCAGGTGCCACCGTCAGGGCTGTCGACTCGTTGGCGAAAGCAGCCATCAAGCTGCCGCTGCGAGGCTGGCCTGGCTCCGTGGATCCCAGAACAGGGGACTTGAGACCGAGCGACAGGGGCGTTGGCGAAGTGGGAGCGTCCTGAGCCGCGGTCACGCCTGAGCCAGAAGCGGCACCAGCGGTGGCGGCAGAGAACGAGACGCGTCGACCCGACGACTTGGCCTGCTTGGCGACGGTGGCGACGCTGCTGACGTTGCTGCCGAGCGAAACATCTGAGAGAACCTCGCCATCGACGAACACGGTCTTGCCCTTGAGCGTGACACGGTTGATCGAGCCCACCGTAGCGCGCGACTCGAGCGGCGACCAGTAGTCGCGGCGAACAAAGGCGGTCGGTCGGTCAATCTCGATCTCGACCTGTGTGTTGGCTTGAGCCTGAACGCCAAAGATCTCCTTGGGCTTGGTGTACAGCCTCAACAGAATGTCGTCCAGGGTCAGTCGGTGCTCGTTGACGGCGTCGAGGAGCAGCAAGAGGGTCTCCTCAATACCTGACTGAGGAGCGGGCACCTCGCCGATCTCCTTGGCGAGCTGGTATGGAGTGCTGCCAATCGAGAACATGTCAATGTCATCGAGGTGCTCCCACAGCACCTTCTGGTCAGCAGCCGAGGGCAGGCACGTGGCCTGCGGGTACATCTCGGTGGTGAAGAAGAGCGCGTAGACAGCGACATCGCACGTCACCTGCAGACCCTTGGCCTTACCCAGGGCGATGAGCTGGATGTCGTCGCGCGAAAGCACGTTGGTGACGTGGATCGAGCGGTTGTTCAGGCTAGCCAGCAAGAGCACCGAGGCGAGGTCGGTGTTGCGAGCGTCAGTGACGATGGGTCGGTCCGCAGGCCACGAAGCAAAGTGAGAGGCGATGGTCGCAGCCTTGCTCACGTTGGAACCCAGGCCGTTGAACGAGATGAGGAGCGAGCGAGCACTGTCGGCAAGCTGGTCAATCGACTCGTGGTTGTCGGCAGTAGCAGAAACACCGAGCGAGACGTCGCAGTGAGCACCACCAGCGATCTTGGACTCGGCAGCGGCGAGCGATGCGGCATCGACGACGCTCGACGAAACACCAGCGGGCATCACCTGGACGATGGTGAAACCACCAGCAATCGAAGCGCGGGTAATGGCAGCAAGCTCGTCCGCGCTCACCTTGCCATCAGCGATGCTGGGCACGAAGGCGTTGACGTTGATGAGACCAGGCAGAGTGAAGGCAGTGTGGCTTGTCTTGAAGTCGACAGGCGAAATGTCGAAGCTCGAGCCGGCTTTGCGGTGACGAGCAAGAGCCTCGACGAACAGCTTGGCGTTCTTGACGTTGGTGATGAGCGGGATGGAGCGGTCGATCGCCAATCGACGGGCACGGTAGCCCATCGAGGTGAACGACACGGGTCGTCGGTATTTGTTCTTGCTTGGCAGCGAGATGAAGAGCGACGACAGACCCTGGGTCAAGTGCGTCAGCAGCGAGTACGATGCCTTGGCGGGGTCCTCGAACGTGGACTCGTCGTCCTCGGGAAGCGCCTCGAGGTGGATGACGGGGATGCCCTGCTCCGAGTAGAAGTCGGCCGAGCCGGAAGAACCGTACAGGGTGAAGCCTAGCTGGTGCAGGGTGCGGACAGAGGACAGCAGCTCCTGCTTCTCGCTGTAGGATCCGATACTGAGCAAGACGTTCTTGGTAGGAAGACGGATGCCGGAAGCAATCATAGCCTTGAGGTAGGCCTCGTACTTGTTGCGACCGAAACAGGCCACCTCACCGGTCGAGGCCATCTCGACACCGAGGATGGGGTCAGCACCAGCAAGACGGCTGAAACTAAATTGAGGCACCTTGACACCGACGTAGTCGCGGGGCAAGTCCACGGTGGGGTACGGCTCGACGGGCAGGTCGAGCATCAAGTCGGTGGCCATCTGGATGGCATCGACACCGGTGACCTTGCTGACGAAGGGGAAGGATCGCGAAGCTCGGACATTGCACTCGATGACCTTGATGTCGTTGTCTTTGGCGATGAACTGAATGTTGAAAGGACCAGTGATGTGGAGCGAAGCACCAATCTTGGCCGTGGCGACCTCGATGCGACGAACAGTCTCCGGGTCCAGGTCCTGAGGAGGCAGGATCAGGGTAGCATCACCCGAGTGAACACCGGCGTTCTCGACGTGCTCCGAGATGTAGTGCATCATCATCTTGCCATCCTTGGCGACAGCGTCCATCTCGATCTCCTTGGCACCCTCGAGGTACTTGGTGATGACGACAGGGTGTTCGCGGTTGATGGCGGCGGCCTGCGACAGGTAGCTGTTGAGGTCCTCGGGCGAGTAGACCACGTTCATGGCGGCACCACTGAGAACGTAAGAGGGACGCACCAGGACAGGGTAGCCGAAACGGGCACAGGCGGACTGAGCCTCCTCGAAGCTGGTGAGCTCCTTCCACATGGGCTGGTCGACGCCGATCTTGTCGAGCATGCGCGAGAACTTGTATCGGTTTTCGGCCATGTCGATCATCTCGGGCGAGGTGCCGAGGATCTTGACGTTCTGACGGTGGAGCGGCAGCGCAATGTTGTTGGGGGTCTGACCACCCATCGACATGATGACACCCGAGGACTGCTCCGTGTCGTAGATGTCGAGCACCGTCTCGAGCGAGATGTTCTCAAAGTAGAGACGGTCGGCCTCGTCGTAGTCGGTCGAGACGGTCTCGGGGTTGTAGTTAACCATGATCGTCTTGAAGCCGCGCTGTCGGAGGGTTCGGATGGCTCGTACAGCACACCAGTCGAATTCGACGGACGAACCGATGCGGTAGACACCGGAGCCCAGTACCATGACACCCTTGTCGCTGAAGTTGACGTCGTGCTCGACAGCGTTGTAAGTGGTGTAGAGGTAGTTGGTGTACGCCGGGAACTCGGCGGCGACCGTGTCGATCTGCTTGACGAAGGGCATGATGGCATGCTCCTGACGCATCCTGCGGACGGCCAGCTCGGTCGAGTTGAGCGCCTTGGCCAATTGCTTGTCCGAGAAACCGAGCTGCTTGGCCTGACGAAGCATGGAAGGCGGGAAGCTGGCAGCGTTGTGGGTGGCAAACACCTTGTGCGCGTTCATAATGCGCATGAGCTTGCTGAGGAACCATCGATCGATGTTGCTCATCTGATGAATTTGGTCCACCGTGTAGCCCTTGGCCATGGCATTGGCGATGGCAAACATGCGCTTGTCGGTGGGGTTGATGAGCTCCTCGTCAATGTCCTCGTCCGGCACAACATCGTTCTGGCTGAATCCATCGTGAGCATAGTCGATGGATCGAATCGCCTTCTGGATCGATTCTTCGAAGGTTCGGCCGATGCTCATGACTTCACCGACACTCTTCATCGAAGAGCCAAGCTTGCTGCTGACGCGGACAAATTTGCGCAGATCCCATCGAGGGAACTTGACCACGACGTAGTCGAGCGAAGGCTCGAAGCAGGCGCTGGTCTCGCGCGTCACACTGTTGCGGATCTCGTTGAGGGGGATGTTGAGACCCAGCTTGGCAGCGATGAAGGCGAGCGGGTATCCGGTGGCCTTGGACGCGAGCGCCGAGGATCGCGACAGACGAGCGTTGACCTCGATGATGCAGTATTCGCGCTTGTGAGGGTTGAGAGCGTACTGAATGTTGCATTCACCGACGACACCGAGGTGACGAATGACGTTGACGGCGGTAGTTCGGAGCATGTTGTAGTCGTCGTCGCTGAGCGTCTGCGAGGGAGCAATGACGATCGAGTCACCCGTGTGGACACCCAGAGGGTCAAAGTTCTCCATGTTGCAGACGGTGATGCAGTTGTTTCGGCAATCACGAACGACCTCGTACTCGACCTCCTTCCAGCCCTTCATCGACTTTTCGACCAGGACTTGTGGGGAGTTGGCAAAGGCAGCGGAGCAGAGCTTGCGAAGCTCGTCGACGTTGTTGGCGAAACCCGAACCAAGACCACCGAGAGCGAAAGCAGCACGCACGATAACGGGGAAACCGATGGACTGAGCAGCGGCCAGGGCCTCGTCCCAGTTGTTGGCTGCCGCGGAAGGAGCGCACTTCTCTCCGATCTCCTCCATGGCCCTCGCGAAGAGGTCACGGTCTTCTGTGGTGATGATGGTCTCGATGGGAGTACCAAGGACCCTGACGCCCAACTTGGGCAGCTCGTCCTTGATCTTGATACCGACGTTGAGCGCGGTCTGACCGCCGAAGGTGCAGTAGATACCGTCGGGTCGCTCGTGCTCGATGACCTTGAGCACGAACTCTGGGGTGACGGGAAGGAAGTAGACCTTGTCGGCGAGACCAGATGAGGTCTGGATGGTAGCAATGTTGGGGTTGATGAGGACGGTGTAGATGCCTTCCTCCTTGAGCGCCTTGATAGCCTGCGAGCCCGAGTAGTCGAATTCACCGGCCTGACCGATACTGAGACCGCCGGAGCCGAGCACGAGCACCTTGCGCACGTGGACACGGGGAACGGCAGCAGCGTTGTCGGCAAGCAGACCACCGGTGAAGGCAACAGGGGGCAGGATGGTGGCTGGAGTAACGCCAGGGGCCGCCTTGACGGCAGCGCAGTCAACGACACTGCGAATGAAGACATCGAACAGGAACTCGGTGTCGCGAGGACCGGGCGTGCTCTCGGGGTGGAACTGGACACTGAAGAAGGGGCCTTCGGTGCAGTAGATACCCTCGTTCGTGTCGTCGTTGGCGTTGGCAAAGAGCGGCTTCCATCCGGCAGGGAGCGTGTCGGCGTTGACAGCGTAGCCGTGGTTCTGGGAGGTGATGTAGCATCGACCGCTGATCTGGTCGGTACAGGGGATGTTGTGACCACGGTTACCAAACTTGAGCTTCTCGGTCTGGGCACCGGCAGCGAGGGCGAGGAGCTGGTGGCCGAGACAGATACCGAAGATCGGGATCATGTTGGCACCCTTGAGCTTGAGAAGTTCACGGATGCGAGCGATGGTGGGGCCGCACGAGACGGGGTCACCGGGACCGTTGGAGATGAAGAGACCGTCGAAGGACTCGGCCTCGGCGAGGAAGTCGTAGTCCCAAGGGACAACCTTGAGCTCGACACCACGCGAGGTGAAGCATCGGATCTGGTTGTACTTCATACCGACGTCAAGGGCGAGGACGCGGATGGGACGGCCGGAAGGGTGGACGAGGGGAGCCTCGTATTTGCCGAGCGACTCGCCGGAAGCGGTGTTGGCAGGCGTGTAGAGCTGAGGCTTCTTGGAAGAGACACGGGCGACCAGGTTCTCAGCGTTGGGGTCGGCGAAAGGAAGGTCGACCACGGCTTTGCGCCAATCGCCGGCAGCAGCGGCATCAGCGATGGAGGCGCCAGACTGAGGCATGAGCATCTTGCCGAGCATGCTACCCTGGTTGCGAATCTTCTTGGTCAGGGCTCGGGTGTCGATGCCGTAGATAGCGGGGACGCCGCTCTCCTTGAGCCAGTCCGAGAGACCGGTCTGGGCGAGGTAGTGGCTGAACTCGTGGCTGTAGTACGACACGACGAGACCGGCCACGTGAATGCGGCTCGATTCGAAAGGAGAGGCGAGGAGCTTCTGGATGCTCTGCGCAGCCTCCTCTCGGCTAGGAACACCGTAGTTGCCGGCAAGAGGGAAAGTGAGGACGAGGATCTGACCCTCGTAGGAAGGGTCGGTGATGGACTCGACGTAGCCGACCATACCTGATGAGAGCGTATGCAGCGTGTCAGATTAGCAGCTGTCATGGTGTCACTCTTGCCCCGGAAGCAGGCAGAAATAGAAGCGGCTGGGAACTTACCAGTCTGGAAGACACATTCACCCGAGACGGACTTGCCTTCGGCACCGAAGCTGATACCTCGGTAAGCGGAGCCGTCGGCGAGTTCGAGAACCATCTCGGTGCTGTCCTCTTGACCCAGAGGAGGGCTAGTCGCGGGAGGGAAGAGGGCGACCTGGCCATTGACGGCCGAGGCGACTTGGCCTGCGCCCAGCGAAGGGGTGGCCATGATGAAGACTAGAATGGAAGAGAGTTGAAAGAAGGTGATAAACCTCGAACAGCAACGGGCTGATCAGAGTGAGGCTACTTTTTTTTGGAAAGGTCCGGGAATCGTGCGGGGTGGAAGTTCCGTCTAGGAGGAGTTGCTCTTGGAAAGAGAGAGAAATGGAGGATGGACGATGAACACAATCAAGGAAGGAGTATGAGATGTCGAAAGCAGTTGTCAGAAGTGACGGTGATTTGAGATTAGCAGATCAGATCGAGTTCTTGAACCTCGTTCGACCTCCTTCCTCTGTCTTGCGTTGTGTTGTGTGCTCGCTAAGAGAGAGAGGAAGGAAGGAGGAAGGGAGGAGGAAGAAGGAGGAAGAGAAGAAGCAAGATGGTGGGAGTGCCAGCCCACCGACTAAGCTCAGTCAGGTTCGAGGAGCGAGTGCATCTCGAGAAGAAAAATTTAATTTTGGATCGCTGTCCTCTTTCTCCGCTTTCAAGAGAGAGGTTCTGGCCCAATCACATCGAAGCCCCAAAGCACAGGAAAGCGGCATGACAAGGCTGATGCACGGGGCAGGCGGGCTCAATCGACGCTCGCTTAGGAAGATTTTTTTGACTGAGCAAACGGCGGAGTCTTCTTGAAAAAAATTTGAACTCTGCCGAGCGTCGCGGTGTTGCTTCTCTCTTGAACGCAGCTGGCTGGCTGGGCCACGCTTTAAGGCTCAAACCCCGCCAAACGCGACGGCCCAAGCTTGTCGCGCGAAAAGTCGCTCTTTCTCGGCAGACGACCTCTGGCTGTCGCGTAGAGCGATCTTCATCCTTCATCAAGGCGTGCAGCTTCAAGTCAGAGGTCTTCTCCCTCACACAGTCAATCCGAGCCGACTCGACAGTCTTGTCACCACAGGACTCGATGCTCGTTTCGGACGAACAGCCAGCGTGCCTAAACTGCGGTCGCCGGCCAACACTCGGACCGCGTCCTTTTGTCAAAAGTCAGACTGAGAGCTGCGCTTGTCTCCATTGTTTGAAATGCAGCGTACGTCCGTCTTCAACTTGATCTGCGAGCCTTCTGTGAAAGCGCTTGTCAAGGCGAGCGCTGAGAGGGAGCGATCCACACACGGCCTTGAGGCAAACGCTTGACATGCCACCGCTCGCAATGACCGGCACGCGACTCAGCAGAGAATTTCAAATAGCCTGTCAAGCAGTGCTGCTGTTCTAGTCGCCATCGCCATTGGTCGGCCCATTGGCACCAGCCTAGCTTTGCTCTTCCTGACCAACTAAGCTCGACCTACCGGTTTGAGCTCGGAACTCAGGCTCGAGCAGTCCCTGCCTCGCTCCTGATCATGGGCTTTGTTCGTCGGTCTTCGAACCTGCCTTAGCACCATAAATGAGGCGTAGCGAGCGAACCGTGCTCAGCTCTGGTCAGGCTGGCCAACTAGCTCTTTCGGGTCGCGCCATTGCAATTGTGCTTGGTTCACATGCAGTAGCGCGTACAATGTCGTCCGCCTGACGTGCAGCCATGCTGAGAGAGGACGGACCTAGGATAGTCTCGGAAATCATCGACTCTTTGCCCCCACAGCGCCCCATCATCGAGGCTTAGCGGCAGCGGTCCGGAGTGCAGCAAGCTCTCGAGCGCAGCAATCTTCCACGTCCTGATAGTCGAGCCCGTGCGTGCACTCTCTAGGCTCATACGGTATGTATATATATCCGCTCCTTTGGTCCTGCGTGCCCTTGATACTCTCTTTGCGTTCCTTCTTGATCACTTCCGTCCCACCACCTCCCCAGCCTTTGCTTCGCTCGCCCCCGGTCCTTTCCCTCGGCGTCCTCGCAATCACTCTCTATCACTCTCTGTCCGTCCATCTTCGCTATATAGACCTGCGGTCACGGCTTCGAATACATTATTGCGCTGCTCTTGCGTTTCTCCAGAAACAGTCATGACCAGCCTCCCGCAACTGGACGCGATGCCGCGGCCACTCTCGCTTTCGCACACGGTCCAGCCCGACGACATGGTCTTTCTTTCTCGCGGACAAACCCGCTTGCAGCTAGCCAACGCCCTTTCGATTGCCCTTTATGCGCCACTGCATCGCCACGACCGAATCTGGCTCATGGCGAGTCAAGCCGAGGTTTTCCTCACCCTCGTCCTGTGTGCCGTCATGGTCTACAAGAAGAAGACGCTCGGAAGCTTCTGGATCATCACCAAGCGATCGACACCTTATGGCACCTTCTATGTCGCCAACGCCGTCTTCACCCTTGTTCTCGGCGTGATCGGGTATCTCATCGCATTCATGATCACCTTCGGCGTCGTCACTGCCTTTGATCGCGCTAACATCAGCTCTTTCGAGTACTTCTGGATCATCCCGCTCCCATGGTTGCCTTTGATCTTGGGCGGTTGGGTCAGTACGCATGGTTTCGCTGTGGGCTGTAGTCCGCGATCTCCCCTTTCGTACGCCAAACACATCTCCGCAACTCATCGCCCTAAATGGTACCATTTGCCCGTCATTAGATCGGCTATCCTTGCAAACATCGTCCTCGTCCTTCCTTGTGTTCTGCTGACCTGCAGCACCATCGGCCTTTGCGCCAAGGCTGGCAATTCGTACTATCGAGCAAGACACTTCGTCCGCCGAGCCTTGCCAACCGACATCCAGCACCAGATGAGCCTACATGTAGCTGGCAAAGCTAATTTCCTCAGTGATGCCGACCAGCTCGCGTCTGACGAACTCATCTTGCTGGCACGTCATGCTGCCGCCGGCTATTTCGAGGTCTACCGATACAGCTGCATCAACTTGGCCGTCTATGCCGCGTGCGCTTATGCACTCTTTATCCCAACGGCTGGCTACGGCATCCCCAACATCATGAGTCTTGTCGACCACACGTGCTCGCGTCAAGAAGCGCCGCTGCCGGCGTCCTACACGACCTATTTCCACAAGCTCTGGTTTCTGCTGACCCGGGGAAAGCCGACGGCCAAGGACGCTGCCTCTCAACGTAACCTAGCCACTTGGAAGATGACCATCCTCGCCAACATCTATGTGTGCTTGATGGTCGGTTGCGTGCCTGCTTTCGGCTTTCTGCCCATCTACATCATCACCTCAGGCTTCCCGCGTGGTGTGCTCGCCGGCAATCTCGCGCCTATGTGTCGAAAGAACTTGCTGGCTGTCAGCATCATCACCATTTGTTCGTGCACCACTGTCGCCATTTTTTGCACCGTCGCCACGCTCGACCCGCTCTTCCGCGCTGCTATTGGCCTCGACGTCATCCGCACGCAGGTGCCCATCGACATCAACGTCGACTTTGAAAGGGTCGAGTTTGAGGAGAGAGACATCGTCTTGTCGACGGAACAGACAGGCAAGCCAAGCTTCCCGGCTTCAGGCGAGGACGTTGAGGCAGATGGAAAACGCCCCCTCGCACTCACGCCGTCCGTGCGCAGCATCGAAAGCACATTCAAGGCTTCGGCGACCGCCGCAGACTTCTCCGACTCCTCGGTCGACACCCGCTCTGTCGTCGGGATGGCAGATGGTGAGAGTGCCGCTTCACATAAAGGCCATGCGGACAAGATCAAGCACGGCTCCTCCTACGAGTGACGCCTGGCGATGGCGGTTAGCTCCCTCTACACTCTCTTTGGAAATATGATCTTCCCGCCCCTTCCCTTCATCGCGTCGCTCTTTTCATACAATAGCACATTGCTTTAGTCTGGTCACAAAGTCTGATCGTCCACGGGGTATATTAGAAGTACAAGCACAATGATCCGAGAAGTGAGGAACGACCACAGCGATTGAAAGACCACCTCACTGCCTTCTGCGTTTGTTCTTGAGCTTGGCCAAACATTCGGAGCAGTACCACTTCTGCGGCAGCGGTTTGGTGACGCCGACGCATCCGATGTGGAACCACTCCTTGCAGTCCGGGTCGTTCTCTGCATTGTCGCAACCGATCATCTCGCCGAACGATACGCGCTGGCAGAAGCAGTAAGGTGTGTCGTCCTTCTCCTCTCCCTCCTCGCCTTCGCCGGGTTCGCCCTCGAAGCCTTCCATCCCTGCGAGGCCGCCGAACTCGGCGCTTTGCGAGAGGGCGGATCTTCCCGGTCCGCTGGCTGCTAGCGAGCCGCCTCGCGTCTTTCGCGCTCCAGCGCCGCGCATCGGCCCGCCCAACCCACGTTCTGGGGGAGCAGGCGATCCCGAGTCCACCGGCGTAGTCCGTCCACCGGCCCTCGCGCGTGCAGCAGCGCTCATCGGCGTACCTGGCGTCAACGGGCTGATGCCTGGCGACAACAGACTGTGCTTGCGCTTCAACCCCGCCAGCGGGCTGTCCAGCTCCACGGCTGGACTCTTCAACCCCGCCAACGCCGCAGGCAGCGCCGCCAAACTCGGCACCTGCGGCGTACCGATCGACGCCGTCGCCGAGTAGTTGCTCAGCACCGCCGGACTAATCTTGTTCATCTCCTCCTTGAGATGCTTGTGATGCGCATGGATGGCACGCCACAGTCGAACACTGAGCGCTTCTTTTTGGGAAGACCACTCGTCTGCCCGCGCATAGTCCGTACGGATCTTGTCCGCGAGCTTTTCGGCTTTCACCCGGTCCGCTTCGGATAGGTTGGTCGATGGGGAGGGTCCGGATTTGTAGAGGAGGTCGCGAAGTTGCGCTTCGCGAGCGGAAATCTTCGGAAGAAGGTCTTGGATCTTGGCATCTTTGTGCTCGATTTCCTTAATCATGTGCGACACCTCGGCGGGGAGGTTGTCGAGGTTCGAAATGAATTCGGTTGCGATGGCGGCGATCTCGGCTGGATCTTCGATGTGACCCATGGTGACGAGAGAAGCGGCTGGCGCTGGGAAGGCTTCAGAGATTGTCGTTGGTGCCTTTTGGTGTCGCGATCTTGTCGAGAAGGAGAGGTTCTGATGCAGGACGCTGCTTCGACGGACCCGACGTCAGACTTCTTGTCGTGCCGCTGGTATCGAGAGATGCTCAGAAAGCAGCAGACTTGCTTGTCGCGGTATGGATCGCTCGCATGTATCCGTGAAAGATGGGTACGGCAGTCACCGAGGTGGAGATGGTGGTGGTGGTGGAAAGGGTCCAAACTGAGAGCGCGACGTTTCCTGGCTTCTCGCCGGGGGGCCAGGCAACACGCCGACTTCCGAGAACTCGGCCAAAATTTTGAGGTTCCTTGGGTTCTTCCTGCAGCTCTAATTTTCCTCCACACCTTCGAGAACCAAGGTCAACAGCATACACCGCACCACACTGCAAACCGCTTCGACTGTGACACAGCGCCTACGTATCTACACAGAAGCAGTCAAGGAGCCAGAAAAGCTACCTCAGAGCCTCGAAACGCACCCAAAGATGGCAGACACGCTGGAAGAGAACTATTTCCTGGACGACAACGAGGCAGGGTCCGTGGTCGGCTCGGACGACGGAGCTGTCAGCATCCAAGATGAGCCAGAGCACTCCAATGAAGAGCAAAGCGGTGAGCCATCGGCACCAAGACAAAGTGCTCAAGATATCAAGGACGAAGCAGCTCGAAAGGCGGACAAGAATCGCAAACGCAAGGAGAAGGAGAAGGCACGCAAGCAGAAGGTAAGTGGTCGAGCCAGATCACCTCGGACGCGCTCGCTCCGTTGGTCACGACCTCTACCACATCAGCTGACTTACTTTTCACACACTCTGACCTTGACCACTACAGAGAGCGGCCCAATCCGCCGACTTCGCGCAAGGAGTAGGATCCGTAGCAACGCAGCCACCAGACATGCAGGCCGACTATCTCGCAACCAAGCAGAGCGTCTCGTTCGCCAAGTTGAGTGAGCTCGAGCTCGAAGAGCTGCGTCTGCGCGAATCGATGCTTCTGGATACGACCGCCTTCGACAAGCCTCGTACGGTGGACACGCTGGCCGACTTTGTGCGCGCATGTATGCCCTCAATAGCCAAAAGCGTCACCAACGCCAAAGATGCAAGCGTCAGCCAGCCAGGGCGGCCTGCGCTCGTCATTCTGACGGGCAATGCACTGCGTGCGGCTGAGCTCGCGCGCGGCTTGCGTCCTCTCGGACCACAGCTCCCGACTTCGGCAGAAGCTTCCAGTAATGATGATGGATCGGCGGGTCCTGCAAAGAGACGCAAGGTGGATAAGGACGGTTCAAAGGGCCAAAGTAAGGAGGGCAAGAAGGGAGAAGCGAAGGAGAGCAGCAGTAGCAGCAGCTACAAGGCGCTGCTGGGTGGGTTCTCGGTTGCAAAGCTCTTTGCCCGTCACTTCAAGCTCAAGGAGCACGAGGCGTGGCTGCGCGAGCAGACGACGCCGCTTGCAGCTGGCACACCACAGCGAGTGGCAGCGCTGATTGCATCGGGAAGCCTGCACCTCGACTCGCTCCAGGCGCTCGTCATTGACCAGACCTGGGTGGACGCCAAGCAGCGCAGCGTGTTCGACAGCTTCGAGACGCGAGACGAGCTGATGAAACTGCTCGCCCTCGATGCAGTCATGGGCTCGTTCAAGCGGTCTAAGGCGCCGGCCAAGCTGGTGCTCTTCTGATACTTCGTGTCAGCTGATAGCATTCAATGGGGTCCCCGGCGTCCTCTGCCTCCTTTCAGCGTCCAATCCCTGCTCGTAATGGATCTCTTTGCATCATCCGACGTCACATCACAGTGTCACATCGTCCAAGACTGTGCCGCGCAGAAGAGCAGAGAGCCGAGTGCTGGGTCCAGCAGGGCCCGGGAGCACGAAGCACCTCGAGACTGTCCCCGCGACTCTGCACAGCTGCAGTGCACGCGCGAGTTCAGAATTGCGCCACGGGAGCCTGTGACTTTAGAGAAAGCACCTCGACAAATTTCATCGACTTAGCCACGTCGCTGTGTTGACAGGCAGAGCTGAGCCGTTGATCAGCGCAGTCGCTCTCATGAATCAGCCCTTTGAGAAGCACGACCGCCCTTCTCCCCCTCAACCTCCTCAGACTTGCCTCGTACGGCCCCTCTGCCTCAAGTCCTGCTGCCTCTTGCACCCCTGTACACACAGGAACGCACGCGCATGACGCAGGCGCAGATCCTTGTTGTTGGTTTCGCAGATTATCCGCTCAAGGCCGGCCAGGAGGGCTGCTCGCTTGAAGACCAAGGGTCGGTTTCAAGGCCCAGAAAAGAGACCCGCCGCTCACTGCTCAGCGCTTCTAGCCTGGAAGAGCTGCCCTACCCTTTGTCATCCTATTGCCTCCAACTAATCCGTTTGGCAGACTCATCGGAACGCCGGAATCAATCATCCAATCGCAAACTCGCGGGCTCAAAGTCAGTGGGAGATCACGTTTCGGCAGTGCTCCGACCTGCTCGAATGCCTGCAACCCACGTAAGAATCGAATCAACGCTGCAGGAAGACCAAGTTCGACAGCCCTCTCTTTCGAACACGAGTGCAGATCCAGAATCGTCTATCGAAAGCGCTGCTCGCAGCTTTGTCGCCCTTCGACCAACTGCATATAGCCAGCCAGCTCAGACTCTGCGACCTGAGTCCTTCATCACCGCTCGTGTGCAGCAACAGCCACCTCTAAGCGAGGCTGGCTCTAGCATTGCATCATGCAAAGGACGAAGAGCTCGCACGGGAGAGGCCGGGGTCAGGTCTTCCTCAAGGCTGCAAGAGACGTCTGTCACCTTTTCACGCTCTGCAACAAGCTTGGAGGAAGCGTGGCTCGCACTCTCCAGTCTGCTTGTTGTGCGGTCGGCAGATCTGCGTCTTAATAGGAAGCGGCTCCAGGAGTCTCTGCTCCCCTCCAATACAAATACAGATCACGGTCACCCGTCCGATTCGCTTCTCAACCGTCTTTCGAACGATCTCTGTCGTCCAACTCGCGGTCGACGATACAGCGTCGTCTTGGCCCTTCTCAGCCGCCGTCTACATCGACAGCTTCTTCACTTTGCTCACTTTGCTCACGTCTGCACTCCATTCTCCAGCTGGTCTACACGTGCCTTCTCTATCCAGTCTTGGACACGCCAACTCCGAGGCATGTCAGTGCCGTTAGTGCAAACTGACATTGGCAACTTACTTCTGATGCCGCGTCACACTCGAGCACCTAGTCCGGAATACACCAACAATGAGGTCTTTCAGCAGGCCATCAAGGGCATGGCTCGTGACGCAAGCCCTTCCATGCGACCGGAGCACGAGTTCATCGACCCAAAGGTCGCTCTAGCTGATCCGTTCACTCTCAACGGTGTCACTAGCTCTCAAACTAGCTGGTACACAGGCAATCAGCCTCTCGGAGATCAGCACATCGGATGTTCCTCCGGCTCTCTGCCCGTCGTCGGCTCATCCCAGCAGGACCCGTCCTCGTGTGATGAAGATGCAGATGGAGAGGTGGATGACTCTTATCAATCTCAGCACTCTTTCTGGGCACCGGCTCTTGGCGATACGAGTGTCAGCACGATCGACTCTCTGGATCTCGACGACAGTCCGATTCCTTTGCTGGGCAGGGACGGAAAGTGGCAGGGCAGGGCTCCGTCCACGAACGTGATCTTTTATGATTCCCGGGGTCACGAGCTTCCCCGCGGTGACACTCGCACGGCTCATCCGATTGACCACGTCGCAGAGCCAGCTGGGTCGCTCGTGACGTACGCTGCCCCCTATCGAGGCACCCGCCACCGACGTGCGGCTTCTACGGCGAGCAGCACTGCTGGACCTAGCTCTCGATCTGCGAAAAAGAAGCAAAAGTCTCGAGTCGACGACGAGCCGTACGGACCTGTCACTCCAGTCAAGCCAAAGAAGAAGCCAAAGCGGAAGCCAGCGAAAAAGCGCAAGCAGCCTGAATCGAGCAAAAAAGCGACACCGAGCAAGGCGTTCAGCTCGGACGATCGCCGACGGGACGCTCATCTCAGCAGCGAGCTTGGCAGCTTGCCTTCCTCGAAATTGCTCTCCTCGCCTGCCTCGTCTACGGGCAGGTACAGGCTGAGGAACAAGGCCAACGTACCCGTGCTAAGCCTCGCAGCGCTAATGTCACCATCTAAAGGTTCTCCCTCCTACGACGATGTGGTCTACCCCTCTCGACACGCACCCGTCGACAATGAGAGTCAGGACCTGGTCGAGCCGGCTGGGGCCGAGACACGCCTACTGTCACCGGCGCACGAGACCTCAGCTCAGATCAAGCCAGACGACGATCTAAGTCAAGACCCTCAAGACGAACGGATAGAGGCTGCAGAGGCCTACGTGGAAGATGTTCCACCCGAAGAGTATGACGAGGACCTCAAGCCCGAAGACGAATACCGGCCCGAAGACGAATACAAGCCTGAAGACGAGTACAAGCCCGAAGACGAGGAATGGACCTTCGAGGACGACATGCAGGACAATGTCAAGCGCGAAGAGTTTACCACCCAAGCAGCACTGCGAGACCGAGGAACGCGTCGGTTCCCGCCGAACTGGGAGATCCACCCAGACTTCCCATTGCTCTACCCTCGATACTCAGTTCCGTCTTCGGTCAGCCCCGAGGTGCTCGAGATGCTCACTCGAAATCTCAACTATGCCGAAGTGGACGACATCTTCCACGAGATCGTCGATCGAGCTCGGACGAGTCACGGCGCGTTCAACAAGCCTCGTTCCATCCTGGACCTCTACACGCCGCGCTTCGTCAAAGGCGTCAGCGCCCAGAAAGTCGGTATGTGTCCCGTCTGCTACGAGGATGGCCGCGTCAAATTCCTCAAGACCAAATTCTCCGCCTACAACTACCACCTTCAGAACTTCCACGGCATCTCGGCACTCACAGGTCTCCCCTTTACGCCACCCTCCAAGTTTCGGGTCAAGAAACGCAACGCAAAGCCGCGCGAAAGGAGCGAGATCATCCAAGGCCACTGCCACAGCTGCAAGAAGTACATAGATATGCAGGGCCCCAAAGAGACCGATGTCAAGGTTGCTGAGATTTACTGGTGGAAGCACGCACAGGCTTGTCATCGGAAGTCGAGCGTTCCGGACGGTGTGAGTGGGCTCTTTGTCGAGGATAAGTGGTACGAGCGGGTCAAGAGGGTGTTGGAGTTGGTTGGCGGGGTCGAGGGCGAGGTGAGGAAGCTGCTCGCTGGCAGCAAGTAGGATCGAGCGGTTGGAGAGGAAGAAGTCTGATCGTAGATGGGGTAGACAGGGTAGAAGTTTCGTCATTTCGTGTCTCGTGTTTCGTCGTCTCGCGTCGTTCATATCGCATCGCACTGCATTGCAAATAGAAATGTTCGCCACATCCGCTCACGCTGAACACATCCGAGTCTGAAATCGACGAAATGATGCATTGCAAGTCTGCCGCCCCTCACCTCGATCCCCTCATCCACGGCGCCCCCCTTACCGCCTCATACAACCCCTGCGACCCTAACCCCTGATACCTCCCCATCCACCCCTCCACCCTCCCCCTCATCGCCGCAAATCCGACCAACCCCACCACCGTCAGGATATACAACGTAATGATCCCCTGATCCTTAAAGCTATCCCTCTCGAAACACTTTGCCCAAACATCGCCCTCAAAGCCCGTCCCCACGTCGTGGTCCGTATGCTCCAGCTTCGCGCCCTTGCACACATCCAGCCCTTGGTCGAGGCAGAACTGACGCGTGCATGTCAGACACGGCTTGGATGGGTCCGCGGGCGAATAGAGGGGGACCAGGGTGGAGTTGGTCTGGAAGCACGTGCACTTGCAGAGATGGAGGTTGCGCGAGGATTGGGGTGCGAGGGAGGAGGCGGAGCGCGAGGTGAGGGGGTTGGGGTTGAGCGCGGTGAGCGCGACGGTGGGGGAGATGAAGGTTAGGATGAAGGTGAGGAGGGTCAGGACAGTGAGAGTGGTGCTACCGAGGAGAGAGGTGCGGCGGGAACGCGAGCGCGAGCGAGAGCGGGAAGCACGGCTGGATGCAGAGGGAGTCGAGACGATGGTCAGGGACTCCTCGTCGTCGTCCACAGGTCGTGTGGCGGCGGATCGCTGGTGGGCGATCATCTCGGCAAACGCTGAAGTAAGCTCGTTGCGCATCTCGCCCTCGCCAGTCGATCCGGTTGCTGTATCGCGTGACGAGGGTGCCGCCGCCGACGTGGATCCGCGCTGCGCACGGAGGCTGGAGAGCTCGTCGAAGAGACCATCGATCAGAGACTGTCTTTGCGTCTCGCCTGCGGCTTCTCTCGGCAACGTGGGCTCGGGTCCTGCTGAGATGCTGCTTTCGGATGCTGCCGGGGCAGGCACATGTGCATCAGTCGGCTGATCGGCAAAAGTGAACCTAGGATGAGGAGTCGTGTTGCTGGTGGAAGCTTGGTTATGGGCTTGTGTCACCTGTGCGGACAAGGCCGCGATCGAGCCGGCAAGCGTGTCTACGAGATCTCGAATCTGCGGCTGAAGTGACTGGAAGACGGGCTCCATGATGTTGTTGACCAGCGCGCCTATCGGGTCGTTAGACCTCTGCTGCCCTGGTAGAGACGATGCAGTCGAACGTGTTGGATCGTGTGGTGCTCGTGTGGGCAGCTGCTCGGCCGGATCCGTGTCTTCTTCTTGTTTGCTTGTTGCAGCTGACTCCTCCGCTGCGCTTGATGGCGTCTGACCTTCCGCATTGTCCATGACGACATCAATGTATATGGGCTTGACAGTGAAGTCGGCGGTTGATGGCTTGTCTGTTCTTCCGCCATAGATCGAATAGTTCTGTGGCTGGAAGAAGTAGGCCTTGGCCCAGCTGTGCCAGTCAGCCATGTCCTCGATCAGCACACGCTCGCCGTCCAGGTCGATCAAGACAGCACGAATTGCGTCTGCTTCGATGTTCCATCTCGCAGCAATCTGCTTCTTGTAGCATGTGCGATCGGAGAAGCCACCGTTCATGCTGGCAGTCATGGTGATGCATTTGACCGGCTCGGTCTGTTTGCCGTCGCGGATGAAGGTGCTTTCGGGTCGAGCGGATGATGGCAGTCGGACAAATGCGGGAAAGCTGACCACTTCCCCTCGCACAGTAGCGTACAGCGGCTGCTGCGATTGCGACATGGTGACAGCACGGCTGAGCTTGTCGGTATAAAGAGGTCGGTGGTGGTAGTAGAGGCGGCGAACAAGTGTTGGTTTGCAAAGTGTCAATCTGACCCTGCAGCTTCCCGCGCCTGTGCCAAAAAATTAAGGCTTAGTCGAAAGCAGGCTACTCTAACAGCCGGCTTTCTGGGAAAAAGAGGCGGGCTGGCCTGTGCGAGACGCTCTGATAGCGGATGCACGCGTCTAATTTGGGCTCAGAAGCGCTCAGAACAGCACAGCACAGCACAGCACAGAGTGGGGCTCGAGGTCGGAATGCCGGAGGAGAACATCTTTGCCTGAAAGCAACACAACCCAGCCTGCAGCTTCGTTGACGCAGACGAGAGCTTCCAACTGAGCCAAAAGCCTTGTTTCTTACTCACCACCACCCCTCATCAATCTCCATCCGTAGTCAACACATTCAAGATGGATTCGTGGAAGAAATTCACCAACAGCGTCACACCTCAGCTGCAGAGCTTCACCAACAATGTCGGTCCGCAGTTTCAGAACATCGGCAAGACGTTTGGCAACCTCAACCAGCAGGCTCGCGAGCGATTTGGCGCCGTCGACCAGGAGGACATCACCGAGCTGCCCCAGGAGTACAAGGATCTCGAACGCCGTGTGGATGCGCTCAAGAATGCGCACACTGGGCTCATGAAGGTCGCCAAGGTCTACGAGACTGAGAGCTACGACTATCCTGTAAGTGTCGAAAGCAGAGAGCATCGTAGACGAACTTTAACTGACTCCCCTCCATCTCACCGCTCACACGATGCAGACGCAGCTGCAGGAAAGCATCACGCAGCTCTCGGCGTCCGTGGGCCACAGTGTCACTTCGTGGGCCGCCTCTGCGACGCGCGGCACCAATCTGCCCAAGGTCTCGCCCACCGCTCGACCCGAGAAAGTCAACAAGACGCTCCACCACGCGCTCTCCCGCGCCGCCGCCAGCGGTGCGCTTCAACTTGGTGCCGACCCATCCAAACTCTCCGGCCTGCCGACGCTCGACACCGCCACGGCCCCCGGTAGCGAGGCACCCGTCAAGGACGACTCGAAGCTTGGCGAGGCGCTCCAGAAGTTCGCCATCGCCGAAGACCGACTCGGCAACGCGCGTCTGACGCAGGACGACCAGATCACCCAAGGCTTCAACGTGCCGTTCAACTCGTTTGGCGCCCAGATCCAGCTCGCCATGAAGGCCCGTCAGAGCGTCACCGACGCTCGTCTGCATCTGGACAGCTGGAAGCAGTCGCTCAAGAGCGCAGAGAACTCGGGCGCTGCAGCGAAGCTCGATCAGTACCGAAACGAGGTCGAGCAGGCAGAAGACAAGCTGGTTGCGGCTACGGAGGAGGCGATCAGCCTGATGAAGCAGGTCCTGGAGAACCCGGAGCCGATCAAGAGCCTGAGCGCATTTGTCAAGGCGTAAGTTTGAAGCAACCCCAACCCGCGATCCGCACCGGAGAGCATAGAATACTGACGACCTTTCACTTTTGACCCCAACAGTCAGGCCGAATACCACGCTGCCGCCGCCGAGCTGCTCTCGGGCATCCAACAGGAGCTCGCGCAGCTCGCCACTTCGGTCGAGAGCGACTATCGTCTCTCGCGTGGTTAAGCGGACTCAGTCTCACTCGGCCATCTTTCCCACACAGTTGTACATAAACCGCTCGAGAAAAGCTCTTTTCTATTCTTTTCAAGCGGGGATCTCCAATCTAGCCTCGCGCCACGCCTCCTCGACGACGCCTCTCAGTCTGCGGAACGCCTCGTCGATCTGGTCTAGCGGCACCTGGGAGAAGCTGGTCCTGACATAGGCGCTTGTCTTCTTGCCCTCGCCCTTGGAAGGGGGCGGTTTGAACGCGACACCGGGCAAAGCGAGGACGCCGGCTGCCTTGGCTTTGTCGCTGATGAGGGTGAACGAGTCGCCCGCCTCGCTCTCGGGTGTGGGAGGCAAATGCAGACGGATCCAGAGGAACATGCCTGCTGTTGGGCGGACCCAGGTGGCGATGCTTGGTAAGGATTGGAGATGCGTTCGTGCGGAGGATTCGAATTGCTCCAGCCGATCCTGTTGTCGTATATGAGGGTGAGAGTGTCAGAATCACTACAAGCGGCAGATTGAAAAGTAGAGGGTGATGCTTACCTGGTAGAATCGAGCCACGCCATCTGCATGCGTTAGGAATCCGTCTACGCCCCACTTCTCGACCAACGCCAGTGCGATTGCCTGCGACGTTCCGCTCGTCTGAAGGTTTCTCGAGCTTGTATCGAGATCGATCGCGTCCAACACGGCCTTTGGCCCGGTCACCCAGCCCAATCGCAATCCGGCACTTAGGATCTTGCTGAAGCTGTCGAAGCGCACCACCCGCCCCGCCGTCGAGGGGTACTCGGTCTCCAGATGAAAGTAGCTCTTTCCCCTCTCACGGGTGACAGCGTCCGCATCAGACGTAAGCCCGTCAAAGCTGAGAAAGTAGTACGGATCGTCCTCGAGCAACAGCATGTTGTGTCGTCTCACCAGTGCTAGGACCTCCCTCTTGCGGGTCGTCGATGCGCTAGTACCGGACGGGTTGGCGCCCGTTGGGGTGGTATAGAGGAACTTTGGGAATCGCGCATCCTTCGTCTCCTCTCGGGTCGTCCAATTGTCGAGGATCTGCGCGAGCGCGGTGGGATCCACCCCTTCGCTATCGGTGGCCACCTCAAACAGGCGTGCGTTGTGCGCGACGAGGCTCGGTAGGATCCCGCTATACGCGGGGGATTCGAGCAGAACAGAGTCACCGGCGTCGAGCAGCGCCTCGAACGTTTTGGTGAGTAGATCCTGAGAGCCGTTTCCGACCGAACAGCGCCAGCTGTCCTCCTTGGATCGGGAGTGAATTCGAGATTGAAACGCCTCCAGCCAAGAGACGAGCCGAGGCAATCCGCTGGTAGGGCTGTACTGCAGCGCCAGATCCAGATCCGCCCCTTCAACGGTGACGCTTTCCGGCGAAGCAGATGCGTGGGCGGGCTTCAGCTCGAGTGTCAGGCGCTGAAACGGAAAGGTCGAGGCATTGGGCTTGCCAGATAGCAGCGAGACCATGCCCGGGATGAGCTCGGCCGGGAACAGCGAGCGGATGGCCGACGGCATACGGTTGCGCGCCGTATGCGAGAGCAGCGCGGTGTAGTCCGGCGTCGACATTGCTATGACACGGGGGAAGGGGACGATGATGGACGGAGAGGGATGTAGAGATGGGGAGGAAGGGGCTTAAGAATGGTTGAGTGTGGGGTCGTCAAATTAGGAGCGCTGCCCGCATTGACCATGAAGAATTGCCGGGCTAGATACCGACCTCGCAAAGGCACTTTTCTCGAGGATCGCCCCCTTTCCCTGCCGAACGTCGATGTCGTTAGCTGAAGCCCGTCTCCGCCAGGTCAAGATTGCGCAATTGGAGTGTAGGCCTCGGAGTCGGAAGGAGCAGGTCAAACGAGGCGTGGGTAGCCAGAGAGCGAGAGGATAGGCTTTTTGAGATCTCGGCGAAATGCCGAAATCGCGTTTCACCACCATCGAAGGCGGTTCTCGACATGGCAACCCCTATACTCTGCTTGTCCCGTGATCTTGCACACAGTCTCACAGACTCAAGAGACGTCTTTGAAACTATCAATTGCAGCTGCACCCTCTACAACTCCCATCGCCCGAACATGCGATCGAACAGACTCATGATCGTCCACTTGCGATTCTCGGCTTCGGGGAACACCACCGAGCGGTCCGAGTAAAACACCTCGTCGTCCACTTCGTCACCCTTGCGTGGCAGACAGTGCATGAACTTCCAGTCGGGCTTTGCACCTCCCTTCTTTGCCATGGCCTCGGTGACCTGGAAACCGCGGAAATCGCGCAGACGCTGGTCCTTCTGCGCCTCGTCGCCCATGCTGATCCACGTATCCGTCACAATGATGTCGGCGTCCTTGACGGCTTCTGCCGGGTCGTTGGACCAGGTGACCTGGCCGAGAGCGACGGGCGAAGAGCCCGACTTGGACAGTGCCGAGAGACCGTCCTGCATGGTGCCCCAGACAAGCTCGTCGCGGGCATACGCGGGGCCTGCCGGCGTAGCGACCGACAAGTGAATTCCCAATCGCGGATAGGCCACAAGCATGTCGTTGAGAATGTTATTGCTGTCTCCGACCCAGGCGACCTTCAACCCCGCCAACGAGCCCAGATCCGTCGGACTGCTCTTCGGCGCATAGATCTCGAGCATCGTCTGCAGATCCGCCAGAATCTGCGTCGGGTGGTATCGCGCAGACAGCGCATTGATCACCGGCACGGTAGAGTGTTTCGAAAGCAGCTCCACCTCGTCGTGCCCACCCACGCGGGCCATGATGCCGTCCACCATCGAGCTGACCACCTTTGCGGTGTCGTACAGACTCTCGTTCACCCCCAGCTGGATGTCGGAGGGCGCGAGGAACAGGCCGGTACCGCCGAGAGAGGCGACCGACGTCTCGGACGCGACACGCGTGCGCGTGGAGCGCTTGGAGAACATGATGGCGATGGACTTGTTCTTGAGGCTTTGCGGGATGGGCGATTCGCCCGCGGAGAGCTGCTTGCGCGACGACTCGGGGTGTGCGAGAGATACAGCCCGGAAGGCGGACTTAAATTCGATGGCCGATTGAAGCACGGAGCCGATCTGCGCGGGGGAGAGGTCGGCGAGGGTGAGCAGGTGCGGTGGTGTGCGGGTCGCCGAAGAGGTCGATGCAAAGCGACGCAGCGCCGGCTCTGCGGTGCGCAGCAGGGATGTCGCTGCGTGTCGTCCAGTCATTGCGAGCAAGGTCCTTCTTAGTCGAGAGGAAGATTGAGTATGATGGAGCACGGAAGGAAGTTGGTAAGCAGAGGAGGAGGAAGTTCAATTGAAGATGGCCCCGCCGCCCTCTCGAATTTTCCTTCCGAGTCACAGCAGAGATAAAGCTTTGCGCTCTAATTTCCAGCTCCCACCCAGTCGCAAAGATTCTCGAGCCTTGATCTTCGGACCAGTCACCTCACGTCCCATCGGCATTCTCCCACCCGCTCCTTCCCGCTCACAGCCTCAGAGGAAGACAGTCTCGGACCACTTTCGGAACCAGACACAAACAGTTTGGAAGAGTGAGGAGTGTCATTGGGACAAACAAAATTCTCGTATCTGTACATGCAAGGCAGTGAAGCCTGGTCAACCTGAAAAAAGGGACGGTAATGATGGGCGCAATGTCCATCATCTCTACCTGGCGAGAGCCAAGGCGAGGATGGGCGCGGGACCGGGAGCGTATGCAATATTAACGGTGAGTGTAATGAAAAAGACTGCAGATGCGAGAGGGCGGCAAAAGTGACTGTGGACCAAGGATGATGACGACTAAGGTGGAGAGTCGAAGGGGTAAAAGATCGAATGGGTGAATCTTTGCGCCGAAGGAAGCCGGTCCGACCGAGGTCGAACTAATTATTATAAACACAGTGGGGATGGTTGGGAGGGGGTATCAATACAGATCAACGCGAGGACAACAACGCGCAAAACAGCAGCTGGAGCGCACCGCACCGGCTAGCTGATGGTATAAAGGCATCTACAAGCCGGTAGTCGATGGCGTCGAGGCCTGCTGCTGCTGCTGTGCTGCCGCCGCTTGCAGCGCCTGCGTCAGGCCGGATGGTGGCGTCGAGATGGTAGGTGTCTGTCGTTCGATCTCCTCCTTGCGTGCGGCAGCTGCGGCCGAAGCTGCAGCGGCGGCGGCAGCGGTAGCAGCGGCGCTCTTAGCTGCCTGCGCCTGGATCTGCTCCTGCGCCAGCTGCGCAGCCTGAGCGGCGGCAGCGATCTCTTCCTGACTGAGCGTGCTGGTGCTGACCGGCGCACGACCGGTGGCGTCGACCTTGGCGCTAGCACCACCGCCAGACTGGAGAAGCTGCAACCCCAAAAGACCGTGTGATCCAGAGTGAAGGTAGTGGTAACGCAGACCGTTGAGGTTCTTGTAACGCTTACCGCAAGCGCCGACCTGGCAGATGTATAGACGGTCACCCAGGGGGATGGGCGCCTGCGTGGCGGGGCTGGCCGGATCGGGCGACGAGTTGGCGCTGGCTGTTGGCGACGAAGGAGAACCCAGCGTCGGGGTGGTGACACCGTCCTCCACCTTGAGACCATCGGCCGACTCGGGCTGTGGCGACGAGGCGGTCGAGTTGGTCGAGATGTGAATGGTGGGTGGCTGAGCAGCCGCCTGGGCAGTGATGGGGAGGTTGTTCTGGTTGCAGTGACCGTGAAGGCGGTGGTACTTGAGACCATTCATCTGCTTGTATGCCTTGTCGCAGCCCGGTGCAGGGCACTTGTAGGGCTTGTCGACGTTGGCGGCGCCGGCTCGCAGGGCGTTCTCGAGGGCGATGGTGGAAGCAGTGGTGACTGCGCTGGTCTTCTCACGCTTAGCGGGGGGCTGCGACGAGGACGAAGCGGTGCCCGAGGCGGGGAAGAAGAGGTTGGGTGGCGCGCAGGAGGGAAGATGGTGGTCGTCGGTGTTGCTCGAGCGGATGGAAAGCGCGGAGAAGGCGGCAGGGTTGAGGCCGTTGGTGAAGTAGCCATCGTTCTCGGCGTCGAGCGAGGGAGTGCCGGGGATGGAGCCACCTGGTGTCGAGAAGGGCGAGTTGGGGGCATAGATGTTGGGAGTGCCAGGTGCCCTGCGGCCAACACCGCCGTCGATGAGAGCTCGCCTCAACGAGTTGTGGATGGCGCCATTGGGGTTTGCCGACGACGAGCTCGAGTACTGACCGAAGGAGCGCTTCTTGCCCTTGGAGAGCGATGGTGAGCGCATGATGGCGGTGTCGAAGGCGGAGGCCTTGTCCACATCGTCGAGACCGGTCGGGGTAGTAACGTCCAAGGCCGAGGTGCTGGCGCCAGGAGTGGTCGCGGCGGTGACAGCGGCGGCGGCCGAGGCAGTGGAGCCGGCGTTGGAGGTGCGCGGGCTGGAAGGTTGTGATGTGGAAGCGTTGGATGAACCCGAGGACTCGACTTCATCGTCGGCAATCATGGCGGGCATCTCGTCATCCTCGAAACGAACGTGGCACTCTTCGTAGTGTTGGAGCAGGTCATGGAGATCGTCAAGCTTTTGGCCACAGCATGTGAAGTTGCGGCAGAAGGTGGACTCGAGGCGGACTGAGGAGGGAGCGACGGTGGCGTCGGACTCGGTGGAAGTGCCAAACCTTGAGATGGAATAGTCCATGATTCTGCAAGGGAAGGAGAGTGATGCATGAACAAGGACGAGGCGGTGATGGTCAGAAAAGGGTGTTGATGACGACGAGCTGCTGTCGAAGACAAGCGTGATACTTACTCTGAGACATCCTTGCCAAAGGAGACGGCCATGGGCTCCTTGTAGCTGGCGCTGCCAACGAAGCTAGACGAGGCTCGTGGTGTGAGGCCTCCGGGGCGTTGAAAGCTGAAGGCGTCGAGGCGGCTTGGAGCCTGTGCAATGGGGATGGGTGCTTGCATCATGGGCAAAGTCGACGCAAGGGAGGAAGGTCGGGTGACGACGATGATGTTGGGTACGCAGATCGTCGACGCTGCCGAGATGGTGTGATGCGTCGAGAGCGAGCGGGCTGAAGCTGAGTCGGGTGATAGGTGGTGGCGATCCGAGTGGTTTTGCGGAGGTGATGTACGCGAGTGAGATGCAGAAGGTGCTTCTGCGATGTGATTGTAGAGGGCGACAGGTAGGAGATAGGTGAGGAGGGATGTGTGCCGACAATGATGTTGGCTGAGTGCGGTGGTAATATGGGATGACGGGGAGGGGTATGTGGTGTCCCTATACGGGAGCTTTTGTGGGTCTCTTTGTGGCTTGGTTGAGGGTAGACTGATGCGAAGCCGTGGAGGAGTCGTGGCAATGCTGCGCTGTGTGAGACAGATGCAGGTCGAGGTGCCTTTTGGGTTGTGCAGAGAGCGTATGTGCGTCTTGCAGGTTGAAGAAGTGAGGATGCGATGCGATAGGTCGAGATGAGGACGATGAACAGGAATGGAAGCTTGGGTGGGATGAGCAAGGAAGGGGTCAGGACTGTGTGTGTGTGTGGGATGAGGCCTCTCGCTGCGCTGCGCTGTGCTGCCACAATGCTCTCGAGAAGAATTGGATGCGAAGCGAGACGAGGCGGACCGGCGCAGGTTCACTTTGTCGACCGAAGTTGTGTGTCTTGGAATTGCGCAGCAGCAGCAGCAAGCAGCGCAGCGCTGACGCTGGTTTGAGTTCTGGGTGAGAAAGGGGATTTGCGAAAGAGCCACGGCGAAAGGCGAAAGGCGGACGAAGGCGAGGCGAATGGACAACTGCGCGCGAGTCTGCGCCGAAAGAGAGTGAGTGACAGAGTGACAGCACCACTTTCTTCTGAAAGGGAACGGGAGAACAGCGGTGGGGCCTGCGCAGGTGAGAATGAAATCTCGCGCCAAAATGAGGCACTGGAACAGAGGCTGAAATTCTAGGTTGAGGCGGCATGCAAATGCGCCGGCCAGGATGCTCGCAGGCGGGAGAGGTGCGCAATGCAGCCCTGGGTGTCTGTTTTTCGAGAGAGCGAGATTCAAGGCGGCTGAAAGCAGCACGGAGACGGGCCGCCATCGACCGAGAGGCGAAAGAGCCAGAAGCGGAGTTGAGTGACGCGCGAGCAACAGTGTCACACGCCAAAACTTTGCATCCAGGTAAATTTTTCGCAGATTTGGAAGAAATCAGAACCGACCCATCCCACCCACCTCGCCAAAATCACAAGAATCAAGAAAAAGTTTAGGCGTAACTGCAGAGGAATTTGGCTCGCAGAAAGTTCGGGCGAGCTAGTGTGCATGCGTGCGGGTGGTGGGTTCACATTAGACTCACACACCCATCCGCACACACACACGCAGCGGCTGCCAGAGAAAGGGGAGAAAGCAAGTCAATCTCGGCAAGACTGGCACCCTCAATTTAGCGGCAGACCAACGAGCGAGCAGTCATTTGACAGCGGTCTAGGATCTCATTGTTCGCTTTACCCATCCTCGCTCGCTGACAATGTGTCAACAGTGGGAGCGGCTCGCCATCTGTTCATGCCATGTAGCACGGTCTGCTGACATGTCCTCAGAAGGCCTTGTCGCCGGGTGAGCGCGCCTTGGTTCAATAGCGCGAGCCCCCTCTGTCGCCTGAGCGTGTCATCATCGGTTGCATACCCACGATTGATGCAGATCCTGAGCGCCACCAACGCATTTGTGCCTACCCGAACCTGCCTCGGGAAAGCAAATCCAGGTGCACTCACTCATCTCAATAGATGGCAAAGCGACAATGAGATGGATCAAGGTCATCTTTTTGAGATGAAGTCTCCATTCAACCCCGACCCTCTCGATCCGCTTTGGTACAATGAGGGAGGGTATAATCGAGGAAGACGGGGCAGTCAGCCACATTGTGGCAGCATGAGCACGGCCGCAGCCAACCAGAGTCTAGGTGATGGTGGTGGCGACGGGCAGTCTAGCCATTTCGAGCGCCATCTCTTGACAGTTGTGTCACCGGGGCAATTCGAGGCGGGAGAGCAGTTTCGGGAAATTGAGGCCCGACGGTCAGCCTGCTCAGGCTCATGCTTGCGGTGAATGGACGCAGACGCAGCCAAGCGAGTTGTGTCACACTGCTGTTGCGCCTCTCGCCAAGGCAAGCGTGGCAAGCAAGGGTCCAACTCAACGGATCAAGCTCGGTTTGTCACCGTCTCGCCTCAAATTTCTGCCAAAACACAAACAATAAAAAATGATCAGCCGGAACTCCTTTCGGCTCAACTCTCTTTCACTGCAATCACACCGAGAGCTTGGATGTAACGTTTTAGCGCCATCATCTCTAGACTCGTCTCGGTAGAACTTGTCGCTTTTCCGGGGTGTACGAATTCAAAGGGCGGTTCGATGCCATTCCCACCAGATGCGAGGAATGCCATGAATTAGTGGCGACCGGATTGGTTCGCAGGGATCAGAGCCAAGAAGGTCTTATGCCGGGAGAAACGAGGCTGGGCGGCATGGATGCCAACTGCAGCGGCATTTGAGCCGACAAGACAATCAACGCCTCTTTCGGCACGAGCGAGATTTCACTCGAAGCCAAGCTTGGCAAGCATCGCTCCTCACTCAGCGAGGGCCTCTCTGTCGGTACAGCCGCACTCGACTCCAGGCAAAGCTTTCAAGCTCAGGGTCTAGGATGCAAGGCCCATTCAAGCTTGGCCCATTCGCTCTTTGCGCTATAGTCACACTTGGTCACGAGTCTCGTCCAAGCATCCAATCGACTGAGCCAGGACAAAAGACGGAGAGAGATCTTCGCAATCAAAGCTGCTTTGATCAACAGCCCGCCCTCGTCCCTCTGCCTTTTGCGAGGATCTCTTTCATCTTGTTGGCCATCCACAACGATCAATCATCGGAGCCCCGCAGGATCACAGTGCACTTCCGTCTCTTACCGCGGCACATTGGCACATTGTTCCACGTCCGCATCATGTCCATCCTTGCGGCGAGATAACTCTGCGATGCCGTTAAACAAAGACCACCACAGAGGCACTCATTCCCTCGACCCTCTCCTTCCTCCTCTGGTGCCTGGATTTCGTAGCGCAATTCGCACTCCGCTGGCCAAAATTCAGGTGCGCTCTTCGGCGAATTTCGTCTTGGGTTGATACGTACCGCTCCAACGACACTGATCAGGACCATCTGCAAATCAGGCGAGCAAGAACAATAGAGAGTCAACCCATTCCGCTTTTGATGCGATCCTCGACTGCAGCCCATTGTTCCGCCTTTGACCCGACATTTCAAATGGTGTCCATCCTCGATTCGCGTACGACAAAAGTGCGATGATGGTTCTTCTGTGCACAAACGTGTTTCGGTTGCCCGGACAGTGGATGGACACAGCTCGAGTTGTATCCGCTCCCGCGTGTCTACCCAGTTTGGAGCACGAGGCCTTACTTGGCAGATGATGGTCACGAGTCAACCCGCTCCATTCCAATTGTCTCTTGCGCCCGTTGCCCACACAATGATCGCCGATTTTCTCGCACACAATGTTCCACCATCACGTTCGCATCCCGTGTCTTGTCGTCGTCGTCGTCGTCGTCGTCGTCTACTACAATGAGCTAGTCGTCAGATGGGTTCATGCTATCTAGAATACCGCCCTAACCAGCATTCAGCGGTTCAAGCGAGCCCGCTCAAATATCGCCAAGGTCGAAATCAATAGACCCGGATGCGCATGGTCTAGTATCGAAGCGAGGCAGCGGGGTATGCTCGGTCCATCATCGAGCAATGACACACTGCGATCCATTTCGTGACGTCGCCAACGTGCCTTTTTCCCGCGTCGTCCTTATCAAGACTCGGGACAAGTCGCCTGTGGAAAGGCTCGCTCGCGGTCGGTCAACCGTCTTCGCTTGCACCATCGCGGCATTTGGCTCGGGTTCGTTGCTTTAAGAAGAGCTCCGGTAGGATCACTACCCCACAGACACGGCAAGTGCAGCGCATCAACAACTTGATCGCTCGGATGATGTGACATGATACTGCGCCACTGTTTACACATCGCATTTCCGGTAGAAAGAACAAAGGGAGACCGCATGCTTTTGCTGCGCATGAAATCCCTTGTCGCGCGCTAGCCGCCTCGCTGCCATTGTGATGACTGACCTCGGATGCCGTCGTTCGAAAGTCACACTGTACCCTGGGCGAGCACCAACGGAGATTGATGGTTGGGTCGCGGTCGGGTCAGGTCGTCTGTTGTTCGGCTGGCCTGATGCGTATCATGGCGGGGGCCGCTCTCACAGCTTCTAGTCGACGACGGCTCTCTCCGTTCACCAGCCCAAAAAGGGAAAGCGTGACAGCAGCCTGGAGCCGAGGCCAGGTTGATGCAGAAACCTCGCTTGGCTCAACCACCGCCTTCAGTGGGTCTTACAATCCGTGGCGGCCTTCTTTCGGTCGCCATGCGCGCACCGGCTCCGCCGTCTAGGAGATGTCAACGAGTCAACACCTCTCGAATCGGTGATTACAACGCAGATCAAGATGCTGTCAGATCGTGCTCGAGGTCGCCAACTTCGACAGCTCCAAAGGCCCCTGTCTGGAGGCAATCGGCCCAAAGCTCAGGCCATCTGGGCCAATTACCTTGCAACCCAGACGCAGGCCGCACGTACGTTCTCTGCAACGGCGTTGTTCTCACAGGCGGTGCACAATCCCTGCATCCGTCAGCTGCAAGGGTCTACTCTAATGCCAAATCAAGGCTAGCTTAATGTCCACATGCGACTCTATGCGATGGCATGTTTCCCATGAAAGGATCGCCGGCGCGTTGTGTACCGAGAGGACGAGCGGCGTTTGGGTGGGGCAACCCTTGCCGAGCTCTGCGTTGTCCCGTCCCAGTGGATGCGAGCATGCTCTTCGGGGGCCAAAGAGGGTTGACCGATCGGTTTTGGCTCGTCATGCATCTTCGCGGCAGCTAAATAGAGCATGCAGGGTTTCAGTATTTCGGCAACAGCTTCCCGGCCTGCAAAGCAGCCAGCTTCGGCCAACGCTTAGCTCCGACGCCAAAGCTGAAAAAGGCCAAGCACCAACGCCAAGTCCGCGTGCGCCACCTTTGGGAAGCGTGGCGGTGATCCCCAAGCCAGCAGGCCGAACGCTAGCATGGAGGACACGTCTCTCGGCGGTGTCGGCCAATCAGTTTCGCCCAAGTCTGCTGCTGCACGACAACCTTCGAGCGACTCTAAACTGCACGGCATGCTCTAGCCTGCTCTTCGCCTGCATATACAAAACTGGGTGCGAACGGTGTCACCTCCTCCGAAGCACCTCGACAAGCCGGCCGTGAACAATGAACTATGCGTCAACAAATATGTGAGGCGGTCGACGTCGGCACGAACCGGCCCACATGCAGTCCTCTTTTGGTCATCAGGTGGCAACAGCTCGAGCGTCTGTACGAGGGCTGAGAAACACTTTGCCGAAAGACCAGGATCTTTTCATGCGGTCCTCCTCGCGTGACCTTCGAAGCGGTCGGCCCTGATCAAGCGGCGACGTGGCCCCCGAGCATTCGGTCTAGCCCTTTACCAGCTCACTCGGGCCGGTCATCCTCCCTCTCGAGAAGCCCGGTGGAGCGGAGTGGCGATCGGTTGGAACCCATCCTCCTTTGCAGACCGCCTCATTGGTCGATGGATGCTCAGCCGCCGGGGGTTGCAACCTCAAGATTCGACTGACCACTTTGGTGCCTGATTTGAAACTGCGACTACAGTGTTCAGGGTCTTCCGGACGCTGGTTGGAGGCTTAAATTGTCCTTTGGCCCGTCTGTCGGGTGCACAGCCGCAGCTGCCTCTCAGAAGCCGGCCGCGGCACGCTGTTGAGAATATTCAAATGATGTTACGGTCTCGACTTTGGACGAACACTGACAATCAACAAGCAGCATTGCAGATGTGCACTCGAGCCGGTATGATAGCCGAACGAGCCCAGACGTTTGTCTGACCAGTCTCGACGACGCCCTCAGACAGAATCGATGTGACTACTTGATGCCGCAACTCTGGGCCGTTCTTGGCTTCGTTTTGGCGTTCCAAATCGTCCAGCGTCTTGGCAGCGTCACTCATATAATGGTTCGTCCGTCATTCGTCGAAAAGTCAGTCGGCGGCGAGATCACCGAGTTACCAAACATGACGACCGAAGCCCGTCCGGGTCGAACCTTGGCTGACCAGCTTGTAATCGTCTCATTGGCCCTCCTGCAAGGCCAAACAAGGGGATCGACGCTCGCAAGCCAAACCCGGTTTCGAGGCCGGCCAATCAAATTCGCTCCCTTCTCAAGGCCAAAAATGTCTCGGAAAGTTTGTGTCCGTCCCACGCGACCAACGGCGATTTCTAGCCGAGCTCTGAACGACATCACTCGACAGCGCGTGCTGATTGGAGCTGACGCCCTCGTCATGCGAACAAGGGTCTTGGGGTGACGGTGTCGCACGGCCCTGGGTGAACGGATGGAGCTCGCACGGCCCTCGTTCGCCCGCTCAGCCGTTACGGGCCGGTCTAAGCCTTCCGTCTTGCTTCGAGCTTGGATGGTTCAAGCAAGGCACGTTTGGCGAACAATGAATGGATGGCAACTCTATTCAGCATGTCACAATGGACCGTGACGAGTTTGTTCCTTGCAGCATAGCTTCCAGGCGGTGCAGTTTCAACAATGGTCGATCGCAGCTCTATCCTGCACAATGCGAGGTTGTTGTGCTTTGTGACGGCACAGGTTCGGTGCAGCGAGCCATGTCAACAATGCCACCTTGGAACACGATCCAGCACGTCCATAGACAACATTACTTGGTGCTTGCTGAGCATGACGTGTGCAACCGTGTACCCAGACTGAGGTGACGAACCGCGGTAGTCCTTTGATCGCCAAGCGAACACCGAGGTCTCATCTACCTATACCCACATGGCGCGCACTCGCTGACGCATCCAGCCCATTTTGTGACATGATGCAAACAATACGCTGGTTCATGCCAACGGCCCACCACCTCGTTTCCTGTTCGTCATCGTACGCTGTCTGCAAACCTTAAGCCCCAACTCGGCTACGACGATTGACGTCGAGGGACGCCGGTCAACTTCTTGGTCGGGCGGGGTAGCGTGTCTCGCGGGGCCGACTTTCACCGTCGCACCGACTTGGATCGCCGTGAACGAGGAAAAGCTAGACGAGAGGTGCACAACGAATCGTCGGCTGTCTGAGCTCGCTCGCTCGAAGGGTATTCCTGGACCCCCATGTGACTTGTGATGACACTATGCACTGGCCACGACAATCTATGGCATTGGCAACGAGCACAGTTACCTCGGGCATGACCCTGTCCGACAGCCGACCGTCAGGCAGAGCCACGCTGCTGCTAGGCTGCCGAACCAGCTCATCTGAGAAAGCCATACCGACCGCTCTGCCAGCGACCACAGCCACAGCGACCTTGTATACTTATTTATATACGCAGCCAGCAAGTCTGCTGACATGAATCAGGCATCCGAATTAGTTTAGTGGCTATGACGGCGCCTTGTCAGTGTTCTCCGCGCAGAAAAACGGCGCAGACCCGGGTTCAATTCCCGGATTCGGAGATCTTAAGCTCTTCTTTTTTTTGGCCCTCTTTTTGTGTGCCGTTTTGTTTTTCGGCACGAACATGCCGGTTTACAGGCGCTTATCGCGGCAATTCTGACGTTGCAAGCATGCTTGGCAACTTCGTTGTTCTTGCAATGGTCTGAAAGTGCACAGGTTGTCTTGGCCTTTTCGACAGCTTAACCTTCCACCTCATCCCATCACGTCTGCTAGCCCAAGATCACGAGCCAAAGCCGAAAGCTTGAGCCAAACCAACTGCAGAGTCGAATCTCGAGGCTACAGTTTAGAACCAAAGCTAGAGTCATGGCGTCGTCAAGCTTTGTGGTGCGGTCCGTATCGCCGTCGGAAGCGCGAACGATGGCGCGCATGCAGCACGACGCATTCAACGATCCGACCAATTCCACCCACGACGAAGTGTCCACCTTGCTCTCTGCCGAAGTGGACCCGGAGACGGGGCGGATGCCAACACGAGATGAGATGGAGGACAAGATGACGGCCTCGCATGCGGCGTTGTTTGACAAGGAAGGGTATTGCATTGTTGGAGCGTACAGCGAAGCGGGGGTTATGGCGGGATTCGCCATCTGGCGCGCCATTTCGCCGATCACACCGCCCGAGTCGGTGGAGACGAACAAGACCGAGAAGGAGCAGCCGAGTCTGTTCAATCGCTTCTTCGCCCAGATGAACCGGACGAGGGATGCAACCATGGAAGGGAAAAGGTACTGGTTTCTGAAGCTGCTCATAATCGACCCAAGCTTTCAGCGAAAGGGGCTAGGCAGTAAGCTGGTCAACTGGGGCACGAGCAGGGCGGATGAGGAAGGTGTGTGCGCCTGGCTGGAGAGCAGCCCTATGGGCAAAGGTGCTTACCTCAAAGCTGGGTTCCGCGTACTTGGTATGGACAGGGTCGACGAGCCAAAGGCGCAGAAAGGGTATGTAGAGTGGCCATACATGATCCATGAGCCGAAAGGGAAGGAAGCGTAGCGACGAGGATTCTCATGCGAATAGACGGTCCGTGGTCTGAGTATCTCAGAGCGTGTGCTGCGTCGACGTGGGAAGAGCAAGAGTGCAACTTAGCAAGCAGAATAAGTCCATGGCGCAAGTACAAGCCTTGCAGACGAATATGATTTCCGTGTCTGCAAACAAAACGTCCGTCGTCACGCATTCTACGCAACCTCTTCTGTGCTCTCTCCACTCTTCCCTGCCGTGTCACCTTCTGTCGCTGGCGCCGATGGTGGCTCGACCTTGTCTGTCACCTCGAACTTCTCCTCGTCGTCAGCGGGGACAAGCGAGGAATCCGAGTCCGTATCGCTACCGCCTGTATCGCCTGCGTCCAGCGCGCCAGATCTTGAGTCCGACGAAACGCTGCTCGTGCCCGAGCCTTCCGAGGCTGCTGCAGCGGGTGCCTCTGAAGTTTTTACCGCATCGTTCTCCTCCGTCGCCGTGAGTATTGTTGAGCTCGTCTCGACTGGGGGATCCGACGCCTCCTTCACCACCGCCTTCCCCTCGGCCTCGCCCACCTTCGACCCCACCACCGGCACAGGCGACTCGGTCATCTCCCCCCTCCCCCTCTCCCCCATCACCCCTGCCCCTCCAAACCTTCCCCTCGAACTCTCCTTAGCATCGCTCCACTCCATCTCGTCGCTCGTATCCTCCCCTAGCGGATGATGACCCTCGTCCCACCCATCGATGTCATTCTCGTTGATCCGAATACAATACGGTTCGTCCTCCAACTCCTTTCGGTGCTCCCTCAACCACTGGTCATCGAACAGCTGTCTCGGTAGCAACTTGCCATATAGCTTGATGGGGATCGGCAGATCTACCGGATCATCGCGTCTCCAGCGGGCCATCTGCTTGCTCTTGCTCACAATGTCTGCCTTGTGATACGCACGAGTCAGATGCTTGTTCCTCCACCTGGGCGTCACGGCTTCCCAACCTTTGGCGATGCGCAGCTTGCGCAGCCGTTGACGCTTCCACTCGCTCTTGGTGAGGCCGTGCAGATCTTCGTCGCTGGCCGCGTCGTCCGAGTAGGCCCCTGGGACCAGGAGCTGCTTGGGTATCGCATGGCGCAAGCGGCCCGCACCGATCTCGCGATTGCGGCATTTCGTCTTGGCCCGCTCGACGCCACGATACTTTTCGTGCTTCTCCTTGTCCTCCTTCTCAGCCTGTAGGCCCGTTCGGAGCGACATACGGAACCCGGATCGCGCAGAATCCATCAGGTCCTTCGCTACGTCTTCCAGGTGATCCCGATCGATGGTGCCGGGTACAATGGCATAGGCTTCCGGCTTCGCCTCGACCTTCTTGGACCCCTCGGTGACAATGGCATCGATGAGCGACTGGTTGGTGCGGTAGAAATCCCGACTGGTGAAGTCGACGTGGAAGATGTGTGTTGTGATCGGCGGTTGTGCTACTGCTCCTGGTGGTAGGGAGGCGAGGATCTGCTTCTCTTCGTCCGTCAGGTGCGGGTTCGGCACCCACTCGGCGACTTTGTAGGTGCTGCGCAGCTTGCGGAACTCATCCGTTCCCAGCCAGCGATACAGATGCTCTCTGAGGTCGCGCAAGAGCTTGCGATTTCGATAGCGCTTGTCTCCTTCCTGTCGCAGACCCACACCGAGGGTGGGGATACGCTTCGACGTATCCGCGCTAGATAGCTTGGAGCTGGAGGCGATGTTTCTGTGACCCTGCCTGGAGTCGGAATCTTTAAGCGGGACCGTGGATACTCGACCGGGACGCGACGACGATGGTTCAGCGTCGTGGGACAGGGCCTTGAAAGGGCCGGCCTCAGCACTGACGTGGGACGACGAACCGATGGTCTTCGAGCGGCCCTGCTTGCGCTTCTTGCGCGCGGGCTCGGAAAAGTGATCGCTGTGATCCGCCTCGGGACTGTCGTCTCGTGCGTCCGGAGAAGCGCGAGTGTGGCCTGCAGGTTGGCTCGATCGTTCCTTCTTGCTGTTACTCTCCACTGGAGCATCGAGCATCTGCTGTGCCACGGAGCCAAGACCCAATGCATCGAGCATGGTCGGCGTGATGCCCAGCGACGTCAGAGCGGCAAGGGCGGCAGCATTGGTAAGCGGAGCGCCGTTGACAGGCAGCGACGAGGAATTGTTGTTGCTCCCTCGGCCGCCATCCATGCCAGACATGCCTGCACGAGCTTGATGCTGCTGATGAGGAGAACCTTGGCTCAAAAGCGCTTCGAGGCCCTGCATAGAGGTAGGCAGCGGCCCGCTCGTATTGCCATTGGCGAGGGACTGGAACAGGGACAGCGCACCTGCGCGGCTGGTCTGGTCTGTCGTTTGCGACAGGTATTGTGCGAGCAAGGCAGGCAAGGCACCCGCGCCCTGCTGGTTGTTGCCTCGCGCTCCGATATCACCAGAGAAGCCGCCGTTGAAGGCGCCAGGTGCACCACCAGGATCGTTCGTGTTGCGCGCGCCGTTCAAGTTGAACATGCCGTTCGGATTGAGTGACTGCTGGAAGCCAAGACCGAGGTCGAAGGGCAACCCTGCCGTATTCGACTGCTGTTGTTGCGGTGGCATGCCAGGGCCGGGCAGTCCGAATCCGCTTAGAGCTCCGAAAGGATCATTCCCTGGCGGTAGACTCTGACCTGGCAGCGCCCCACCGAACAGTCCCGCCATGTTGTTGTAAGCAGGCGAGGTAGACAGAGCGCGAAGCTTGGAGACTCCTTGGTCCAGTTCCGAAGCTAACGCTTTCGAGGAGCGCTCGAGCATGGACAAGACATTGCGAATGTCACCTCTGTCCGCCGGAGTTGCCTGTTTGGCGTTGTGCAAAGATTGCGAGAAGCTCGATATCGAAGACTGTGCATTGGAGAGAATCGATGCATGCTCTTGTAAGAGCGAGGGCTGAGGGCTACCCCCACTACCGAGTAGTTGTGCGAGACTTTGCGGTTGCTGGAGCTGTGTGTTAAGATGGGCGTTGCCTGGTTGTGGGCGAGACGAGGGTCCCGCTGGATTCTGCTGACCAGGTTGGCTCAGGTGCTGCTGCGAAGACTGGCGCTGCTGTTGCGGGCGTTGTCGCGACTGCTGTTGGCGCGACGACGGACCCTCGGGCAGCTGTGTAGGTTGGGATTGTGGAGCATGAATCTGCTGGCCGAGTAGACTTTGAAGACCAGGCTGAAGCTGTGCGTGCAGATGCGGTGGTATAGAAGGAGGGGCACCTGGCTGAGATGAAGCAAGCTGACCGAAGAGCTGTTGCATCTGCTGCTGTTGGTGCGGCTGCAGCAGCTCTGGCGGGAGCAGATTGAGCGCAGATGTGAGGTCCGTTGGCATTGAAGAATGTGGCAAGCCAGTCGTAAACAGTCCCCCTTGATGCGCGCTAGAATCGTGACTCCCGGATGGCTGGCCCAAGTTCATTGGGATGTGCTGCGTCGATTGCTGCATCTTGGGCAGAATGGATGGCAGCAACACGCGTATCGTGCTGCTGCTTTACGAGGTCTAGCTGAGAGATGCAGGAATTGCTCGAGCTGCTTTGATCGGTATGAGGGTCCAGCGTTCGCCGGTGCAGAGGTGGCTTTCTGGTAAGCTGTGTGATAGCTGATAAGAAGTGTTGGTAGTCGTTGCTGGTTCGGGTTGCAGGAGTTGCTTGGACTGCCTGCGAGCGTCGCAACTCGCGCTTCAGCACGGTGGCTAGCTGGTTGGACTACACCACGCGGCCTCGACGACTAGAGCAGCATGAGATGGAGCAGAGGAAAGGAGCAGGTAGCGTCAACGGTCAATTCTCTCTTAGGGTTTCGCGTTTTTCCGTTGCAGGACGGGCAAAAGGCGCTGCTCAAGTCCGCCAATTCGGATTGCGGAGTGAGATACTGTAGTCGAGCTCGAGATTTTAGCCGCGGCTGGCCTGGCACGGGTTGGCTGTGCCTCAAGACCAGGACCCTCGAATACACCAGCTCGTGGTCAGTGGCCCCCAAGGGATCATCATCCTCGTGCTCAATGGTACACGTCGATCAAACCTTGACGAGAGCGGGCTATCGGATGGCTGCGAGACTCATAGGCAGCACGACACCGTCCGAAGTCAATCTGCGATTTAAGGCTTGAGCAAATGTGATGCTTGCAGGCTCGATTTGTGTGCTATTGTTGTATATGCGATGCTGTTCCTGAGTCGAGAAGGTATGGTCATTCTGTCTGGCAAGAATGCAGTCAGAGCAAAGATTACGAAAGGAGCTCCCAGGAACCTTCACTGATCCCTTCCACCCTCTGTCGAAAGTCCCACAGTCGATCCTTGAGTTTGGCCCACATGGCCTGATTGCCACGTGTGATTGTGAGTCGAAAGTTGGCGCCCAAATCAGCTTGACGCTGGGCATCTCTGGCCATCTCCAAGCTTGCTTCGAGTCTTTGATCAGGCACGTCTCGTGTTGATTCCGCGGGACAGACGCCAACCCCGTTCGACTTCCGGCCAGGGCCTTCAAGGCATCTGCGAATGAGCATCTGCTCGATGTTGGGCACAGCTGCGAGAGGCTTGCCCTGTAAATCATCCACAATGACTCTGCGCAGCGCCTCGTCTTGCAGTATGCTAGCCAGCGCATCGCAAAGATTGAGAGTAGTCAGGAATGCGCTTCTCGTCGCCGGGTCGTATGAGTACGAAGCTGAATGCTGGTAGCCGACATTGCCATTCTCTCCGTGAGCTCCCGCTTCTCGTTGCCGTTTGGACGGAGGAAAGGGCGGCGTCATCATGCACAGCGATGCAAACGTTGTCGAGATTCGGAGCCGACGTATGGGCGAGTCGCGCAAGCTCGCGAGCAGGCGCAAGATCTTTGGCGTATGTCCAGGTGTCGAGATATGAACATCGAGCTCCTGTACGCGATGCCAGATGAGCATTCGAGGAAACACCTTGAGATCCTCATGCTCGAGCAGAGGCAAGCTCATCATGATGCTGAGATGAGTGGGTTGACAGCCCTGCTGGCGTCTTGTGATGCGTCTCGTCGGCGTCAAATGCGCCTTGTGCCGGATGGTGACGGCACGAGTGCCTTGCAGTCGAATCTCTGCTTTGAGCCATCCTGGCATGTCGTCGAGCTCCTCTTTGCTGAAGAGGTCGTCTGCGTGGGCAGCTTCGGGCGGAGCCGGGTGAGCTGCGTCGTTTGCATCATCGATCGTCTCGTCTCCGGCGTCGACGTCTGCGTCGCCCATCTCTCCCCACATCTGGACAGGTTGAGATGTGCCGAAGCGGTATCCTTCCCTGACTTGACCAGGATCTCGCAGAAGTGCCATGGACTCTGCGCGCCAGAGGGACAGATGCGTCAGTGTCGGTCCACAGTAGTGGAGCAGTCGAAGTAGCTCGTGGTCCCATCCTGCTGAGAACGACGTCAGAGCTGAAACGTCGTCGAGGGAAGAGAAGAGCGCCTGGGTGTAGCCGGCAAACTGAGATGCTGGCTGGGCTTTGACCGACCGCGAGTACCACTTGCGGAACTCGCGTACGTGTCGAGGCAGGATGATGACCGAATACAGCGCCTCGAACGCCCAATGGCGCATCAATCGGCTGACACCGCTGATGCGAATCAGCGTCCTGTGTGCGATAGGATCGCCAATCACGACGCCTTGCTGGAGGTGGCGCACCACACGCTCCAGCACCTCTGGCGGTAAAGAAGGTTGAGGTAGCAGGCTCGAGTAGTCGGCATCGGTCTTGCCAAGCTGCGCTAGGATCGTACCGGCAGGTGTGTGCAGGCTGAGACAGGAGATCTGCTCCTGAAGGGTCGTGTGGCTTCCGTTGTCACCCCCACCCAGCCCAGCTGCGTTGTCGCCATTCATGTCTGTCGATGACATGGTTGCGATCCTGAGCCCACGACGTGTCTGCTTGCAGCACGCTCCTGAGTTCAGGACCTGGTCGGTCTTCACGTCATGGCAACGAGTACCTCATCGAGTCCTGGGAGAGCTGCTCGACGGGTGTTTGCGCGAGGGTGATGGCAGGACGGTAAACTCAGGTGAGCTGGTTGTGTCCTTCTCCATGAAGTTTTTTGGCATTAAACCTCCACAACAGGCTGAAGGCTTGCAGATCACGTCGCCGGATCTCACGAAAATTCGCCGAGCGTCACGCAGCACGTTCAACTCGTTTGAGAAAGCTTCCTAGCAGCTCTTGACTCGCACAGCATCTCAAGCAAATGGACAGACACGCGATCGCACAGCGACATTTGGTCATGTCAAGGAGCATGCTGTCATTTTGGGGGTGGAGGGAAGTGAGAGTAGATCGTATATGAGGCGATGAGAGCGTGACGACGAAGCACGCTTGACGTGGAAGGAAACTACGCTCGCCGATCGCAGCGTGCGCGATGTGTGTGTGTCCGTGGTGTACGGTATGAAATACAAGATGCGAGATGAGGAGGGAGAGGGGAAACGCTTAGACGACGGTACCGGCGTTGGAGGCAATTCGTGGCCAGATATCGGCGCACTCCTTGGCAACGGGACCAGTGATGGCGGAGCCCTTCATCTCACCCTTGGGGTTGACAATGACACCGGCGTTGTCCTCGAAGTAGAGGAAGACACCGTCACGACGCCTCCAGGGCTTGCGCTGGCGGACGACGACAGCGGGCATGACTGTGTGGGACGAAGAAAAAGGGACGAGGAGTGTCAGTCGACATGTTCGTACACGGAGGCGGATGAGAGATTGTCGCGGCTCTCGCATCGTCATCGTCGCCATCTTCGCATTTGCCTTCGAATGGCTTGCGGAACAGGGTCCAGTCACCGCCAAATGCGGACTCCTGATTCAGGCTGAACCGTCCGTGTCGTCCGAGCCTGTATCTTGTAATCCACAGCTGACCAAAAACCCATTCTCCATCTGCAGCTGAACGGCGATGTCCACTCGCTGTGTCTTCTCCTAGATCATGCCTTGTGTCCCTTATTCTCCCTGTGCTTTCCCGATCTGAGACCCTTCTTGGTCTCCAATGATAATCTGGGCTGATCGTGCTCCAAGTCTCTGCCTTGCGAACCTTCCCTGCTGTAACTCCATGCGTTGCTGCTGACAATGACGACGATACCCAGATGCTACTCTCTCCTTTTGTGTGGTCGAGATTGAAAACTTACCCTTCTTTCGGAGCTCGGGCTTGCCCTTCTTGACGGAAGCGACAACCATGTCACCGGCGGCGGCGGCGGGGAGACGGTTAAGACGAGCACCAATGCCGTGGACGGCGATGACGAACAGGTTCTTGGCACCCGAGTTGTCGGCGCAGTTCATCACGGCACCGACTGGCAAAGCCAGGGTCATTCGGAACTTGGTACCAACAGCGGCCTTGGACATCTTGAATCACTGTGAGTGGTGAGGTGGGAGGTAGCAGCAAGGTCGAGAGATGTTTAGCGAGGCTGTGCGATTGTGCAAGAGGTGCGAATATGGCAGGGTGCAGCTGAGGATCCGAACAGTGTTGCGATGTCGGAATGTCGGAAGGAGAGGATGATGGATGCCAGTTGATGTTGAGAGTGTCGTAAGGGGCAAAAGCGGCGGTGAAGATGATGTCTTTGTGCGGCTCGACTTGGGCCGTCGAATCGACTTTCTTCCTCTGGAAATGAAACTTTGCTGAAAGTCGAGGTGTGCGATCAAACGCACGACTTCCTATTGTTGGTAACTGCGGATGCCTTTGACGAAAGTAGAGAAGCTGGGCGAAGCCATGTATGGTGATGCGTTCTTCTGAACTGGATGTCGAATGCTAATGCGTGCTGTCTCCGGTTGCTAGTAGACTGAGATGCTGATGCAGATGGTGCTCGATGCTGGCTGTTGCGTCCTGTCTCAATGTCGCAATAGATCCGAATCCTGCAGCGTTGCCCTGCCGTATGTGTCGGTATGACTTACCTTGATGGGGTTGGTGGGTGGTGATGGTGAGGAACAGCTGTGACCGAAATCTCGAATTGCTAGCACCCGTCGAGGGCGGCCAAACTAGCTGCTCTGCGCTGAGCCTCGAAGAACGACAGACTTGCGAAACCTGACTCCCTGACGCGAATCTTGGTGAGGGTCTGCCTCAGATTCAGACAGTACGCACTTTCAACTCGCTGCCACCAGCACCACTGCAGTTGCCCGCAGCAGGAGGGTCTGCGTAGCGGGAGCGTCGACCTCGAGGCTAGCGCACAACTTTGCCCAAATTGATGGCGAGACTTCGGCCGAACTTTGCCAGAGCAATCACGTGTCAACTTTCGCAGAAAATCACGTATACATCAAGTGTCGGTCAAACATTAGTCAAGAATATCATTCACGCAATTATCTGAGATGCAGCCGGTGTAACATTCTCGCGTTTCATGGAGCTCAGGGTCGCGACGTCTCACTCATGGCGGCGAGGTGAAGTGGAGCACACTGCTCTGGTGCGTCCCAGCTACGATCTGCAAGCTGTCCTGCGCTTTCAACCCCGCGCGGTGCACCTCTCTGGTCCCTGCATGACAGCTGCTGCAGCGCGATCTTGAACATGTCAATCGTTATCGTGTCCAGCACCTCCAACACCGTCCCTCCCTGCCTCTATCGACAGACAGCCCACACGGCATCACCAAACCAGCGCAGCAACGATGCTCGACAGACTGCCCCTCGAACTCCAAGCGTACATCCTCGTCTTCCTCCCCGCTCAATCCCTCGTTCGAACGCTAACCCTCACGAACCACCACTTTCACGACCTGGTGGAAGCGCACATCCAACGCTACTGTCTACGCTACCTCGGTCTTGGCTGTCACTCTGCCGATCCGGACTCTGCAGCTGTACTGGAATTTGAGGCGCAGCGACCGATCGATACGGTGACCGCAAAGCACGTGTTGCACTTTTCGCACTTTGCAGCGGTCCACCCATCTTCTTACAATGCAAACCTGCCGCCGTTGTCGAGCGCGGCGGTGTTCAGTTTTGCCACGGGATCGAGCAGTCGAGTTGCGGTCAACTCGGAGCGATTGAGGGGGAGGGGGAGGAGCGAAGTCTCGGTGGGGGTGGAGACGGAAGGGAGGCTAGGGGTGACGCCGTTTCAGCCGTATCTGCCGGGGGTGCACGAGGACGATCGGGCGAGAGCGGCGAACCAGATGATCGTGTCGAGCTCGTTGGATCTGGACGAGCGGGTGTCGAGGACATCATCGGCGGCGCAAAGTCGATCGAGCAGCACAGCGAGCACTTCGAGAGCAAGAGCAATTGCACAGGAGATCGCGCAAGCACCCTTCCCCTTTTTGCGACAGAGCATCGAGGCTGCCAATCGACACGCGATGCATCGTCCCTCGAGCAGCACCGCTGGATCCACGCCGAGCGCAACGCAGGGGCTGAATGAGCCACTGGACGCATACGACTGGGCTGGACCTCCTGGCACCCGAGCCACCTCTACCGGGCTCTCCTCACGCAAGGCGCAGCGCGATAAACCCGCATGCTACGCCTTCCAGCTCGACCCACTCGACTCGTTCGAATCGCTCATTCTCACCCTCACTGCGCGTCGCTCGGTGCCAGACGCGGCCGCGGCGATTCACGCGATTCTCCGTGGCGAGCCATCGTCCTCGCATCGCCTTCGGTACTCCAAAACCCTAGCGGAAGGTCTCGATCGGGTCTTCCGGGACTGGTTCCGACCCTCCCCCTCCCCCTCCCTCCCGGCCGAACGCACGCTCGAATTCGATACGACCTCGTGTACACTCGCGATCCAACCCCACGCCTCGCCCCTCGCAGCCAGCGCCCACCCTGCGCACTCCTCCTCCTCGCACGATTACTTGTCCAGACCACCGCTCAGCACGCAATATGCCAATCTAGCAAGCAACGAGCGCGTCGAGCTGACATTTCACTGCGAGACGGTGCGCATCAATGCCGCCCGTCTGCTCGCTACCCTGGAGCGGCTCGAACACGATGTGCTGGCCAACCAGGCGAGGAGCAGGTTGGCACTCAAGGGTTTGCCTCGGATCGTCGCGGGGAGTGGCGCGCGCGTACCCTCGACCGCGTGGACGGCAAATGCCAGTACAGGGTACTTTATGATCTCCCCCCTGCCCACCGCTGTTCAGGAGGGCTGACGCTCTCAACCAGCATCAATCGCATGGGGTCCTAATTCAAAGCTCGACATTGAATGCTGTGTATTGCGATGTGTGTCACTTGGCCTCTACTGTCCACCCTCGACCTCGATCTTGGCCAAACTGGCCGTGAGCTCCTCCATCTCCTTTTTCAGCGCCAAATAGCTCGCCAGCTGCGCCTCGACCTGCTTCTCCAACCCCGCCCGATCCTCGGCCTCGCTCGCCGTCTTGACTCCCTCCTTCAACTGCTTGAGCGTCTCCGCCTCGTTCGCCACCTTGGCTTCCAACTCGATCAGCTCCGGCGTCTTGTTCTTCACCTGCGGCTTGGCGGCTTCCGCCTGCTTCTTGGCCGCTTTCGCCGCCTTCATCGCCTGCTTCTTGCTCAACTGCGGTTTTTCCTCCTCCTTCTTTTCGCCCGATCCGCCGAACTGGACGCGCCATACGTCCTCCTGTTTCGGGTCGATCTGCTTGAACAGGTGTGCGGCCTTGCCGATCTTATGTCCGGGAAGCAGGTCGATGTAGAACTTGGCATCGTCCGGGATGGCGCGCGGGGGCGCATCGAGCTGCTTGAGAATCGCATCCGACGTCTCGGGCATGAACGGGTGGATCAGCGCCGACAGCAACCAGATCAGGTTGAGCGCGACAATCATCACCTCGTCGCAACGCGCGCGGGACTCGGTGAACAGCGTGTTGTCAAAGTGCGATTCCACCAGGAAGACGTTTCCGCGTGCAGAGAGGGCCATCATGTACTGGAGACCCGATCGGATCTTGACGGCTTCCATGGACGAGATGTACTGCGCGAGGATGACATTGACATCCCGGGCGAAGCGCGAGATGACGCTCGACGACGCATCGTCCGCCCCGTCGGCGGCTGCCGTCACCGCGCCCTCCTTGTACGATCGCAGTTCCGAGTCCGCGGGGATGGCGGGGATGACGTAGTCGTACTTCTTCATGAAAGTCAGTACACGGTTGCAGAAGTTGCCGAGATTGGCCAGCAGCTCCGAGTTGTTGCGAGCGATAAAGTCACGCCACGCGAACTGGCTGTCTGCGGTCTCGGGTCGGTTGGCCAGCAAGTAGTATCGCCACACTGAAGCCGAGAGACCCAGGTCGCGGGCCTTGTCACCGAACACACCGATGTTTCTCGACTTGGAGAACTTGCCGCCCTCGTACTGCAGGTACTCGGTGGTGTTGATGTGATGCAGCAGCGTGTACGGATCCTTGCTGCCGATCAAGCAAGATGGGAAGATGACCGTGTGGAATCGAACATTGTCCTTGCCCATGAATTGATAGAGCTTGACGTTGTCCGGGTTCTTCCACCATTTCTCCCAATCGTCCGTGTAGTTGGCCGTGATGCTGGGGTACCCAATGGGAGCATCGAACCAGACGTAGAGCACCTTGTCTTCCATGCCCTTGATGGGCACGGGCACACCCCACTTGAGGTCGCGCGTCAGACTGAAGGGCTTGAGACCCTCCTTGAACCAGCTGTCGGTGATGAGCTTGCCGTTGGAGCTCCAGCCTCCCTTCTGCGCTGCTTCCCTAGCCCACTTTTCGGTCAATGGCTGAAGTTGGTCGATTCGGATGAACATGTGCGAAGAGTCTCGCTGGACGGGAGGTGACGAGCAGAGCTTGCATCGGGGCTTGACGAGCTCGACGGCATCGTAGAGCTGACCGCACTTGTCGCACTGGTCTCCCCGTGCATCGTCGTAGCCGCAGCGTGGGCACTCTCCTTCCACATAACGGTCTGCCAGGAAGCGAACGCATTTCTCGCAGAACAGCTGTGTCATGACGCGCTCCTCGAGGTAGCCGTTCTCGTGCAGCTTGAGGAAGATGTCCTGTGCGATCTCGGTCTGCTTGGGTGTGGTGGTGCGGCCAAAGTGGTCGAAGCCGATCTGGAACCATTCGTAGACCTGAGCGTGCAGCGCGTGGTACTTGTCACAGAGCTGCTGCGGTGTCACTCCATCCTCCAGCGCCTTGGTCTCGGTGGCCGTACCATACTCGTCGGTGCCGCAGATGTAGAGAGTGTTGCGATTCCTTGATCTAGAGTAGCGGGCGTAGACGTCGGCGCTCAATGTGGAGCCAATGATGTTGCCGAGATGAGGCACGTTGTTGACGTAGGGAAGGGCTGATGTGACGAGGACGTTGGGTTCGCCATCTTTTGGCAAGATCTTTTCGTTCTTACGAGCGGTCTCTGTGGTGACCTTCATGAGGACCGAGGCCGCGTCGTTGTGAGCCCGTGTCTGGGACACGGGCAATGCTACTGGGAAGGGGGAAGCCATGATGTCGTGTGCGGGTTGGCTCCGAGAGTCGAGGGCGGAAGCAGATACTGTCGGTATATAGCTCTATCCAGATGTAGCTCGAGCCTCGTGTCGAGGTTGCACGTATCGATGCTGATATGGATGTGTTGGTCGAGGATGAAGATGAGTGTGGCTCAGTCTTGAGCTCGCCAAAATTAAGGCTTTTTGACGAAAGCTTCCAAAAAGCAGAGCGCAGGCAAAATAATGGCGCAGCAAAGGCGGCAGCTGACTCGATGTCGGATCTGGCCCATGCTGAGCCCTTTGTCAAGCATCAACCCATCACAGAATCTCATCAGACACCTTCGAGGCGGGCCAGAACATGCGCTTCTCAAGGAGTCTAGTCGTCGCAACGTACTCTGTAGGAGTGGTCTGTCATTGAATGTGGACAGCGATCATCCTATGCTGTCAAGTCGAATATGCTAATGGTGAATGGTGGAGGAACAGATCTGAAGATGCGGATCCTCGGGCTTGAGACCTTTTGAGTGTCCATACATTGGTTGCAAACAGCGGTCGGCGAGCTCGTGGAACGACCATGTTGCGGCCGAAAGTTGGTTCGCCGTGTGCGAGTAGCAAATGGCAGCGTGAAGCTGTTGGATGGTGTGTTGCTGAGTCTAGCCTATCATGGCATCTTGTTGGCCTGGTCTGCTTTGCCTTCCGCTGCAGACGCATCTGCTGCCCCTGCTTCGGCCTCCTTGCCTGCATTGAGAAGTCCCCATTCTGCCTCGATCCTTTCGCGAGCTCGTACCACCTTGCTCTGAATATAGAACGAGCCGGCTCCGCCACCCGTCTGGCCCTTTGGTGCTGGCGGCGCGTTGGTCGCGAAGAGGTGGTCGTAGTTCTTGACCATGGCCTCTCGGACCTGGTCGAGTATTGACTTGCCCTCGCCTTCTGTTGCTGCCGCTGCTGGTGCTGATTTCGAGAGGCCTGCCGCCGAGACATCTTGTTTGAGGTTAAGGATGAGCTTAGCCTCATCGAGCGTCATGCGGTGCGTTCTTGTCAGCTGATCCGAGGGTGATGCTGCCGAGCCGGATCCTACACCTGCGGCGCCTGCTGCTGAGGCCTCGACTCGACCGGCACGAGCATTCCTTCCTGCTTGTCGACCGGCTTCTAGGAATGCCTTGCCGACGATCTGTGTTCCGACGAAGAGGATCTGTGCCAGGGCTTTGGGGAGAGACTGTAGCGATTGAGAAGGTTCGAAGAGCGGATGCGACGTCAGATCGTCCGAGCAGCACAGCTTCTTGGTGTAAAGAAGGTTCTACATACCATCTTGAGCTAGATTGGGAGCCGCGTGTGAGAAGGAGAAGTCTTGATTGGGGGTCGACAGCTGCCGAAGTGGAGGTCGGAAGACGTTGCTGAAGTGCGGACGACGAAGCGGCGACACTAACGAGGGCGGACGAAGATGATTGGTAAAGCGTCGATGAAAGCAGTCAGAGTGTTGATGCGAAGATGAGTAGGAGTCGATGGTGTCGAGGAAGAGCGATGATGCTGATCAAGGGATGGTGGCAGCGTGATGGTCAAAGGGTCTCAACGCTGTCTCGTTCAAATTTAGGTCGCTTATAGAATTTCTCGGAAGCTCAAAAAAAAGCTCCACCCGACATCCAATCTCCTTCTCGATACTCGAGGCTCACGCATGTGTTCCTCTGACAAGGCTCTGATAAGGCTTCGCCTTCAGCGAATGCTCTACGTTGGAGAGGGGGAGGGACATTCTCAGCTCACGCGACAGTCGACAGTAGAGTGAATGCAGAAATGCAATGATGTGTGTGATGCTAAAGTACAAAAGGAAACCCAGAGTCAGAGATGCGATCATGCCTTGGTTGCCGAGGGAAGCTGTGTGAGTCCAATCTCGACAATGGCAGGGAGCTTGTCTGCGATGGCCTTGGTCCCCGCTGGGAAAGGCAGCTTGTCAACACCGGGAGCCAGGTAGATCGAGTCGGCCTCCTTGCCGGACAGCGCCTCACCGGTCGGCAATCGACCTCTCCTGTACATCTTCTGCCCCTTCCAGCTTGGGCGGCGAGCATCTTGCAGGGTTACATTGCCGCCTTTTGGCCCTGGCACGTTACCCTTGACGTAGACAAGGTCGTTCTCTGCGTCGACTCGGACAACGAGCAGATTGTGGATGGTACCGTGCTTGTTACCACCCATTCGGCCTGCCATCTTTGTACCGGGCCAGACACGACCGGGGTCCTGGTTGGCACCGGTGGAGCCGTGACTACGATGCGAGATGGAGACACCGTGCGATGCTCGCAGACCGTGGAAGCCGTGACGCTTCATGACACCCTGGAAACCGTGTCCTCGTGTGATGGCACGGACGTCGATCGATTGACCGGGAACAAAGTGGACTGCGGACAGCTTTGTGCCGAGTGGGACGAGAGCGTCAGATGTGACGGGGAACTCGCGAATGATTTTCTTGCCCTTTACGATGTTGGCCTTCTTGAGGTGACCCTGAATCTGCTTGGTGACCAGGTTCTTGTCCCAGGTGTTGACTGCGGCGACCTGGAGGGCTTTGTAGGAGGACTCGGTAGCATCAGCGTTGAAGCCGATGTGAGCCGAGACTTGATTCGAGTGGACCTGCAAGACAGTGGCAGGTATCCTCTCACCATTGGGAAGGAAGAAGGAAGTCATGCCGCGCTTGACAGCGATGAGGCCGACACGCTGCGAGGTAGGCTTCCACGATGACTGATCCTGCACAGTCTCTGCCTCCTTGATCTGTACTGCAGCAGGCTCGACAGGAGCCGCTTGTGAGATACGAGCTGATGTATGCAGAAGAGATCGAGAGCTCGATGGGTGCGAGCTGGGAAGGGGAGCGAGTTGAAGGTTGGCAGTTGCAGCGGTGGGAGCGACTCTTGGAGATTGCAAGGTCAAGCCGGCCAGTCGTCGTTGCAGCAGACGGCTGGCAGCTTTTGAAGTTGAGAGGCTAGCCCGCATATCTACGATGAGCACCGCTATGCGGTGGTGTATGCCGAGTTGGATGGTACAGGTAGCTAGGATAGAGTATGCGATGAGGCAAAGCTCAACTCTGTCTGGCCAACAGCAGCCGAGCTTTTCTTCGCAAGCTTCTGATGCTCAGGCTCCAAAATGACATGAGCCTTAGTCATTCCATTGTAATTTGCAAAAATCTGTGCATGGTCTGACGATCTCACAACCTGGTGATTTTAGCCGGATGCCTGCCAACGTCCTGCGCTGCAGCTGCAGTCACCTTTCTCGAGGATCGTGCTGGTCGAATCTGCGCTCACTGCAACGCTTCCTCCAGTGACGCTTGTATCCTCGCACTCGACCTAGGCTTGCTAGTTTGAGCCCTATGAAGCGTGACTGAATAGAGGATGCATCTCGTGACCTTGCAGATTGGATGACGCCGAGCACCGGTGAGCACCCTGATGACCCTGGCTTGTTACACTTGCGGAGATGGGCGACTGAGACATGAGGCGAGGCTGAGGGGGGAAAGAGAAAGCTCTATTGAGAGGGGCAACACGGGGAGGGTCCTGACCAAGCTGGCTGACTGACTGTGACGCGAATGACGACACACGCACGTTGACAGCCAGAAAAGGGCCGCCGAAGTGTCTGATTTTCCCCCCAACCCAACAAAGCGGTGTTATTGTTCTGCCGGTGAGCCTCACCTCGTTGTACAGTATGCCCTTGGCGGAACTCATCGCACACCGACACAAAATCAGCTCAGACTGTCAGCGTCATGCTGCTGCATTATGCTGATGCTTGCTCCTGAAAGAATGCGTCGATGTAGCGACGATTGACGACCTTGAAGCGAGGCTGCACTGGCACCCCACGTTTTCAAAGAGGGGGGCAGCGGTGAATTTCAGACGGCATAAACGTGGAAGCGACGCGCGACTGTCGATCTCTCTTGTTTCTCCGACAAGGAGCGACCCATTCACCGTCGGCTCCTTGTCAGGGGTGCAGTTTGGTGCCAACAACAGCCCCTTCTCCTGAGAGCCATCTCTGGTCGTCTGATGAGCCATCTTGGACACTTGCAGAGGGACTCCTATCTCTGCTCACCCTGGCTTGTGATGCTTGTGCGAGGGGAAAGGGGCGAGTTTCACGGTCAAATGAGCATGTACCACTGCAACAGAGCTCTAAAATGAAAATCACTCACTCAGCCCTCACAGCCGAGCCTCGAAAACAAACTCAAACACGCCGCTCAGCACCCGCACTCCGCTCGCTGCTCCACTTTGAGACGTGGACAGGCTGCTCCTCCTTGAATCGACGTTTCCTCAGCGCCTTCATCCTCACTCACTACCTGTCACTATCAACAAACGCAGTCAAGTTCTCCTACATCGTCCGCGACTCACGATAGGAGCATCAGCAAGACGCCCGGCACATTCCGCACCGCATTCCCTTCAAGTCGCAGACGCTCACTCTCGTTTCACTCGAATGTTCTAGCGGGCTCATAGCGCATAGCAACCTCGGCAGCCTCAGTTCGAAACGCTTTTATAAGGGGACTCGTGCGGACCGCGCCACAATGCTGCATCCGAATGGCACCGTCATGGACGCTACCATGCGATCCTTGTTGCGAGAGCGTCTTCAGACTTCCATTGACGGCGTCGCCCGCGGTGCCGAATGCTCTCGCAGCGTCGCTAGCCCCAACTCGCTCCTACGCTCAAGAGCTGGTGTCTTCGCTCTGATCTGCTGGCTGGCAGCTTACTCGTGCTCCTCGCCTGCGCCTGCCAAGCGGCCTACAAGCACAAGACTTCGTTCATCCTCACCGGTCCGGCCAAATGCCTCTGAGCGCATTCTCGCCACTGCCATCGCTCCCGCCGCATCAACCACTCGCGGTCTCACAAATGTGCCTCGCAGAGCAGCAGTGCTTCGAAGCGTGCACACCTCGGCTCGTCCAAGAACAAGTCACAATTTGCCCATCGCCGCGCTCTCGCAGACCGCAACCTCAAACTTGGCCACCAAAGAGCCCCTCTCCGCAGCAGGACGAGCTGGCCTTAGCTCCCTCACACATCCCTCACCACGGCCCGACTCATGGCTCGACCGAGTAGCCAACTCTCTCGCCTCCCTACTCAGAGCCTCGGAGCATCACGCCGAACACAACACCTCGCGCTCCGATGCACCACCTCGCTCCCGACAACGCAGTCGTGGAATCGGCAAGATCCACAACGTGATGCAAGACCCCTCCGTCTACGATCCCATCGTATTGCCACGGCACCCCATCGTCCTCTGCCACGGCCTCTACGGCTTCGATGTCCGCGGTCCATTCCTAGGCCTCGAGATCCACTACTGGGCTCAGACCCTCGACATCCTGCGCAAAAAGATGGGCGTAGACGTGCTCGTCCACGGCGTCCCACCCACGGGTTCCATCAAAGAGCGCGCCGAGTCGCTCCATCAGTTCCTCACCAGCGAAGAAGCCGGCGTGCGGGGCAAGAAGCTCAACTTTGTCGCGCACAGCATGGGCGGTCTGGACGTGCGACACCTTCTCAGCCACATCCAACCCAAGCCGGAAGACTACGTTCCCGTCAGCCTCACCACCATCAGCACACCTCACCGCGGCAGCCCCTTCATGGATTGGTGCAACGCCAACATCGGCATTGGCAACGACTACATCGAGCAGGCCATTCAAGAAGCGCGCAAGGAACGCGCCCACCTCGCCGATCGTGAACCACCGAACCCTTCGCGCACTCCCAAAGTGCCCTATTCGCTCAAGTCCCCCCTCTTCACGCGCCCCAAGCCGCTCTCCGGCTCGAGCGCGGCCAAACGCACTGGCGGCAAAGCGGAAGAATCGTCCACCGACAAACTCTTCAACGCCGCCTCCGATGTCGTCTCCTCGCTCACCTCTCACACCTCCTCCACCTCCACCTCGGACGCCGCCGCCAGTGACGCCGCAGACAAAGTGAAAGCCGCCGTCAAAGCCACCTCCAACCCCTCCCTCCCTTTTGGCCTTTCATCCTTCCTCGGATCGCTCACCACGCTCACCGGCTCGTTCAGCTCGTACATGCTCTCGCTGCTCGACACGCCCGCCTACGCGATGCTCTCCACGCGCTACATGAACGAGGTGTTCAACCCTTCCACGCCCAATGTCCGTGGGGTCAAGTACTACAGCGTTGCATCGCGCACGCCGAGCCTTGCGATCTGGCATCCGTTGTGGTTGCCCAAGTTGATCTTGGATGCGGCGGCGGAGAGTCGCACGGTGGGGGGTGAGATCGATGGCAGTGCCGACGCGCTCGGTGGGGCTGATCAGGGCAATGATGGGTTGGTGAGTGTCGAGAGTGCGAAATGGGGCGAGTTCTTGGGGGTGATGGAGGGATGTGATCATTGGGACATGCGAGGTGGGGGGGCTCCGAGGTGGAGGCAGAACATCAACCCTTCCACGGGGAGGCCGTATCCGACCAAGGCGGTTCCCAACGAGGCGACGGGCAAAGATGCCGGGTCGAATTGGATGGACATCAACCGGCTGCTCTTTTCCAAGTCCCAGACGGATTCACAGCCAACCGGCGCATTCCGGTCGTTTCAGCAGCTGGCCGAGTCGGAGGGGTGGAACGGCGTGTCGCTCCGCGATGAGGAGAGTGCGGACGACTTCGACCTCCGCCCCGCCGATGAGGGGGACGAGGACAATGGTGCAATATCCTCCTTCCACCCGCAGCACCAGGACGATACGCTGGTGCACGAAATCGCCAGTTGGATCTCGGACCGTCTTCCCTTGGGCAATGCCGAACGCCGCGCCATGGCCGAGAAGCGCGACAAGCTCATCGAGGCGACGGGTCTGACGCTGTACAGCCCCTCCAAGACAGATGTCACTCCTGACAAGGGAGGTGAATCGACGGGCAAGACCAATGGGCTCACCGAATTTGCTGGTTCGAACAACTCTTCGTTCACGACACAGCACGCGGCGCCCTTCTCAACCACCCAAGCCGCCCCAGCCACCGCATCTCTGGCCAAAGCAGGCATCGAGGAGATGAACGACGATAAACGCACGACCAAGAGCAACAAGGAGTTTACCGAGCTCGAGAGGTTCTGGATCGCCCTCTGTCGACATTTGCACAACGAGGGGCTGTAGCTTTGCTCTTTATACCAAATACGTGCTGTCGTTTTACAAGCACAGATCAATCCCGAGTGGTCGCGAGGGATGTGTGTGAGACGGTTTCACGGGTACTGTGGGCGAACTCGAGACCTGCGCTCAAAGCGGGTGCTGCTGACTCTTTGTTGGCTTGCTGACGCTTTGAGAAGCGTCAAGGGTCGGATTCTCCAACAGCTCCCGAGGCTGGGGGATGAGCGACCTACAGCTGATCACGACCTGCCACGCGAGCCGAGCACAGCAAGACACCTGCGAGGAAGCTAACTGACCACCTATCCTCCGTCGCTCTCCAGCGACAACCTGACCGATGGCAACCAGCCTCGAGAGATTCGCTCACAAGCCAACTCCGTCGTGAATGCTGACTTGCCTTGCCCTCGTGCTCGTCCTCGGAAATCCACTTCGGCTGCTGCTGCGGATGAACCGACTCCGAGGCCGATTTTGTCCGTCTCATCACTGGCTGATCCTTCATCATCCGTTCAGACATCACACTCACGGACATCGATTGAGTCGGAAAGGGAAGAAAGTTACGAACTAACTACATACGAAGTGGACAACCTAGACCGTACCCAGCTTTACGTGTTGAGACCGAGGACCAGGAAAGAGCCTCTAGACAAATGGCGCTTTCCTCCGGTGACCTCGGTCAAAAATGGGGCAAAGCTGAGTCCGATCGAAACCGTATCATCTGACGACGAATCACAGAAGCGAAACGGCCGCACTTAGAGGAGGAGGGTGGTCTCGGCGACAATACCAGTGACCAGGTAAGGGTCGCAGTTGGAAGCGGGACGTCGGTCCTCGAGGTAGCCGTAGCCTTGCGCTGCGACGTGACGGGGGATACGGATCGAAGCACCACGGTTGGCAACACCCGACGAGAAGTCGCCAATGTGACCGGTCTCGTGCTTACCGGTGAGGCGCTTGTCGTTGTCGGTACCGTAGACGGCAATGTGCTCGTGGTGGCGCTTGGCGAGCTTCTCGATGGCAGCCTCGATGGCCTTCATGCCGCCCTCCTTGCGCATCGACTCGGTCGAGTAGTTGGTGTGGCAGCCAGCTCCGTTCCAGTCACCGGGCACAGCCTTGGGGTGGAACGAGACCTTGACACCCCACTCCTCGGCCACTCGGATGAGGAGGTAACGGGCGAGGGTGAGGTGGTCACCCATCTCGATACCCAGGCAGGGGCCGACCTGGAACTCCCACTGCGAGGGCATGACCTCGGCGTTGATGCCCGAGATGTTGACACCCGAGTAGAGGCAGGCACGGTAGTGGGCCTCGACCAGGTCACGGGCAAAGACACGACCGGCACCGGCACCGCAGTAGTAGGGGCCCTGGGGACCGGGGAAACCTCCCTTGGGCCAGCCGTACGGGCGGTCGTCCATGTCAAAGAGCGAGTACTCCTGCTCGAGACCGAACCAGGGCTTCTCGGCGGCGACCTGGGTCATGATCTTGTTGCACTGGTATCGGTAGTTGGACTTGTTGGGGGTGCCATCGTTGTTGAAGCACTCGGCGAGCACAATGACGTTGTCACCACGACGGAAAGGGTCGGGGTAGTAGGCGACGGGGCGGAGGTAGACATCCGAGTTGCCGCCGGGGGCCTGGTTGGTGGAGGAACCATCGAAGTTCCACTCCTTGAGGTCCTTGAGCGAGGTGACGGGGCCATCGAGAGTGGTGGTCTTGCCACGGATCTCTCCATCGCCGTCGAGCCAGATGTACTCGGCCTGGACCTTGCCGCGCTGGTCCAGCTCGAAGTAAGGGTTGACGAGACCTGTTTTGCGGGAAGAAGGCGAGCAAAACGGAAGCAAACATGAATGATTTGTGGTCAGAAAAAGCTCTACTATGGCAAATAGAAGCAAGTCGAGGCTGTCGACGGCAGGACAGTATGTCGACACGGCTGCTCGAGCGTCTCCGCTGACCTGCTGCCGTCTTGCAAGGGGACATCGCAGCAAGCTGGAGTAGCTCGCCTCCCGCCGAGCTGCTCGTCATCGTTCAGGAGAGCGAAATCCTTTTCGACGATGACAAGCGACGTAGGCCCAAAGCAGTGTAGGCAAGAGCGGTCTATGCTTCAGAGAGCTCCCGGCCATCGCGACGGAGAGCCGCCGGCAGATGCTAAGCAGCTGCAAGCTGGTCATCGTCGTTCATGACCTCCAGCTGGCCTAATTGCAACGAGCGTCGACAAGGGTGTACAGCGTACTTACCTGGGTTCTTAGTGAAGGGAATAGCCATTTTGAATGATGTAAGACAGAAGTCTACTGGGATGTGGTGATCGGAAGGAAAGGGAAGGGTGATGGTAACAGAAGGAGAAGATAGTGCGATGAGGGGCCGGGGGGAGAAGTTAGACCAGGGCGAGCGGGTTGAGCGATGATTGTCGGCTTGACTGATAACGCACGTCCTCTCTTGGCCAGACAGAGAGAGTTGACGCTGACTGCCGCCCTGGCAGCAGCCGAGGGAGCGAGCGAGAAATTGATTGGCCGGACCGTTGAAGCGGTGAGCGGGCGGGCCATCGGTGTGCAATTTGGCGGCTTTCACTCACAACTCTGTCAACGAACTGCGTCAGGTTTGTCAATTCGTCCCACGATTGAAATTGGTTGGCATCTTGGCCGTCAACCCTGAGCATCATCGTCGTTAAGCAGCTTTAAATTCGCCCAACCCTTGACCTCTTCAAAGGCAATCACGGCTTCTCACGGCGAGATTTCCCTCGTTGTCTTGCGTCGGATTTGAGTTCGCTCGCTCGCTCGTGTGACTGTGGGGGGGCCGATTCGGAACCCTTGCTCTTGGGCTTGCCCCTGGCCAGCACCCTTGTTTAGTGCTCTCTCATCTCGTTCTAGATTGCTTAGCCCGACGCCCATGTCACCTCTGGCTGGTTGAATGGGTGTGTGGGCGTAGTGCGTTCCCAAGGGCGGGGAAGCTCGTTCGGTTGTGGGTCGGCCTGTCAGTTTCTCAGGTCCACCCGCTAAAGGCCGTATGGTAGCAACTATGACGCAGCAAGAGAGCGATGCCCCTCGCAAATCACAGGCAACCCAAGCAATACCAACCGCAAGGCCAAGATCGAGCCTCGTGACATCGGGATATTATGAGCCAGGAGCTTGAGAAAGGGTAGACTCGATCGAGGACAATGCGGACGACCTTCGAGAGCTTGTCTTGTGGGCCCGTCTTGAAAAGGGTCAAGCGGGTCCTGGCAGACAGGGTTCTCAAGCTCGTTGCGGTTGACAGCGTGGGGATAGTACAGCCGCACGAATCACATCGCAGCTATTGTACTGCCGTCCATTTCCGCAGAGAGTGTGACAGTTTCACAGCTTGGTTTCGAGAGGCTTGAGAAGAAGTGATCTCGTCGGTAACCTTCTGCGCCGAGAGCACCGTTTCAAGCCTCAATTTGGTTGCGAATTCGCCTCTTGCGCTTCTTGCAGCTTTCACTCTGCATTCAGGTTCACCGGTTGGGTCGGACTGCGAGACCGAAGTGAGCCACCTTGCTATGAGCCCAGCAACCTGCATCAAGTCCTTCTCAAAGACCCTTTCTGTAGTCTGTACTCGAACATTGCTCCATCTTTTACGCCTGTCTATCTAGCTCAAATCAGCCTATCGTTCCCCACTTGACAACAGCGCAAACTGCTATCAACGCCCTATCTGTTCGAAATGAAAAGCGACGTCGACTGTGCAAGGAAGGAAGATCTGCCGTGCGTCTTTCGCATGAGGAGCGGTGAAAAGCGCGCCAGCTGATTGGTCGGTCGGCTGCATCTTATCAATTTGCAGCACCGCACGCAGCAGATTGCCTGCCTTCCCTTCATTTCGTCTCGAGTCACCTTCAGAGGATTGCTTAGACTGACGCAATCCGCCAAAGGTTCCGTCGTTTTGCGAGGGACCGGTTTCAAGAAGAACAGCAAGAAGCGTGGACGAGCGAGGAGGGAGTGATTAGATCTCTCGGTCGAGTTTCCTATCCGTTCCGAACCCCCCTACTCGTCGATCTCACAACGCACGGAAATCACTTTTTAGTCGTGTCACCTTGACTCGGCTCTGACATCCCGAAAAATATCCCTCCGATCTGGTACGGCCGGCAGCCAAAACGTGCAGCGTCGTCGGAACCGGTCGGTTTCGCGGATTTTCGCAGGCGAGCACCAACATCATGTCAACCCTGACCAACGATCTTCTCATCGTCTCCTTCTCCACACTCTCGTCACCTAGCGAACGAATCATACTTCAAGATGCGTCCGACTCCCATTTCGTACCGCGCCAAGCCGTCGTTCCAGCCGCACGTTGGCCGATTGTAAGTATTGCACGCGAGGCGCAAGAGGGTTGCCAGCGGGCTATTCAAGGTTGCAAGGAGCTGTTTCTGGCAGGAAGCATTGTGCGATGGAAAGTAATTGGCAGCAACGGACCGTGCCGAGGGAACAACGGAGGACTGCGATGGACAAAGCTGCTCGCCGCGACTATTGCGGTCCATGGTCAGACTATTGCCGGAGGGGGCAGCGTTCGCGATGTGGTCTGCAATCGCCTTCCGAAGTGGTCCTCGTCGCAACCCAGCCAGATTCAACACCTCTTGCACCACCGCCCACGCTTCACCGGCACATCGACTGACCCTCTGCCTATTCTGCCCTCGTCCAACCCGAACAGCACGCCAACCGCAGCCTTCAAGTGGGCACCGACGCTCGCCATGTGGGGCGGTGCCGGTGCGGGCGCTGTGATGCTCTTCATGTCGTCCGTCCCCATCTTTAAGAAGGACGTTCTCATCAAGCTCCCTGTCGTAAGTTCTCCCACTCGACCCACCTTGGTTCTCATTCTCGTGCTGACTGATTGATGGTTTTCTTGGTGGTGATAGATCGCGGGCTACTTCGAGGACAAGACGCACCCTGCGGACAACGCTTTCTGATCCCCTTACTCATCACACGTTTCGGAGGCAATCACATACGCAAGTTTCATCGCAGTCTGACATCGGACACATGTGACACGAGGCATCGGCAAACGCTTTCGGCTGAGCACAGGTTGGGGCTGCACAAGGTGATTACAGAGATAATGATGGGAGGTAACAGTTGATTGTGTCCGGGCTGTCTACATCCAGGAAAACTCGGGAACGTCCAAAAAGCTCTGCAACCAGGTCCAGTCGACTGGCGTGCTAGTTCCCGTCCCAGCAGTCGGAGTGACCGTTCCAGGCATGGCCAGTCCGAACCCATCGAATCCGCCCTGTTGCTGTGGTTGATACAGCGGGAATCTCTGCGCTTGGTGTGGGGACGCAGCACCTCCGCCGGCGGTGGTGGGGGCGAAGTGGCCAAACATGCCCGTGCTGAAGCTTCCCGGTGAGAAGGGCGCGCCCGATGCCCCCGACGGTGGGGTGGTGCCAGGTTGAGGAAAGTACGGCCCATAATAGCCTGCGAGACGAGCGGGCGAGTTTGTGTCCGTCTGCTGTTCTGCGTCTGTGCTGTTCGAAGGTTGCTCCGCGTGCAGATTGAGCAGGGTTTCCGCAGCGGAAGTGTCCATGGTTGACGTAGCATGATGCCGGTTTGGTGTCCCTTTGAGCGCATGTGGACCAGCAGAGCTCGCCCGCCCGACCACATCGGCGACCTTTGCAAGGCTCCTTGGGCGCTCCGTCTCCTCCTCGCCCACCGCGCTCCTCGACCGCTTCGTCCCCGCACCCACCCTCTCACTATCCCCCTCAATGACGTTCAACAGCGAATCAAAGTACCCCGCGCACAGCTCCACGTGGTCGTCCGCCCTCACCCGGGCCGCTCTAAACGACTCCCTCGTATCGCGCATGAGCTCGAGACACTTGCGCTCGTACTCTTTTCGCCGTCGAATCCGGGTCTTGACCTTGGCGTACTCGTAGCTGAGTCGTTCGGATGCTGCTGCGCTGGACGCGAAATTGGGCGGGACCGAGGGGAGGGGGAGGGAGATGAGGTAGGTTGCAAGCAAAGCAGCGTGCGGGGCGAGGACCATGATCATGTCCTGCGCGTGGCGGAGGATCGATGGCGGCAGCTGTGTCGTATGGACGAGAAGGTTGAGAGCCGAGTCGAGACACGTGTAGTAGATCTGTTCGGCGCGGTCGTCCATTGCGGATAGCGCGGAGGGCGAGAAGGCGGAGGAAGACCCGACGTTGGACGACTTGCTAGAGGTGGTTGGTTTGGCCTTATTGATATCGCGTAGCGAAGCACGGAAGGCGATACTCGAGATCTGCATCACCAGACTGCTGCGCATCACACTCAGCAGGTGCATGCGTGCGTCGAGAGGCAGATGACCGGCAAAGTCGCCCCTGGACCGATCGGAAAGATGGTCATGTGGCGCATCGCCGTTCTTCTCTCTGTCGATGCCATCCTCCTCCGTCGGCTCGACCTCGCGTCTGAACCTCTGATCAATCTTCCTAGCCTGCAGCTCCCACCTACTCGTCCAGCCCTCCAGCTCATCCATGAAGCTCTGGAGCAGCAAAAAGCACTCGCTGCCGCCGTACAGTGTATCTTTCTCCTGCGCCTGCGCACGCTCCATGATCGACTTGTACTTGGTCTGCAGCAGCACAGAGTCAATATCGGCACACAGCAGGACGTCATCTTCCGTCGCCAAACCGTCGTCCGCCCATGCGAGCAGGTTGCGCAGCAGACTTGGTCCGCGGTCGAAGTTAGGACGTGGAGCAAAGTGGAGCAGCTGCGTATGCTCTTGAATGAAGTGGAAGAGGAACTGACGCTGTTGGTTGCGACGCAGTCTCTGTTGGTGGAGGCTTGCGTCATCGACAGCTCTTGCGTTAGTCTTGGCTCTTGCATTGGAGCCTGATTGAGAAGACGGCAGCAGCGAGAGGAGTTCCGTCGGAATGTCGCTCATGATCTTGGCCGCATAGCTGCAGTAGAGAATGGTGAAGTGATCGTCTGCCTCCTTCCACACGGACGACAGATACATGGCCACGCCAGTCTCCATCCGTCGGTCGCCCATCGCAAAGGCCGTGATCGCGAGGCTGCGCACATGGCTGCCTAGTTGAGCAGAAATCAACGTTGTGATTCGATCATCATCCGGACGTGGCCTCGCGAACGACGGACCGGCAATTGACAGTGTGTCACTGTGTGTCTCGTCCGCAGCGAGCTCGATGTATCTCGAGCCAAGATACAGGATGGTCGAGTAGAGGAAAGACGATGAAGCGCGTACCGCATCGTGCGACACAAAGTACGGATCGAAATTCATCCCCCACGGATTGAGATGTTCGAAGTAGTAGGCATACAGACGATGTGCAGCTGCCATCGAGAGGATGCCGACATCGACCGGGTCCTTCGGTCCAAAGAGGTTGAGAGTCTCGGGCAGCCTCGGGTAGCGCGCGGTGACCGCGGATGCTGTCTCTTCTGCGGCTGTCGATGCACCTGCTCGCTTATCAACAGGACGCAGGAGATTGCGGAAAGTCGATGCGAAATGCTGCGACGGTGCCGATGTCTTTGTACCTGCTTGGCCTGAGCCGTCTGCGGCTTCCATAGAGTCATGCAGGGACTGCCCTCCAGCTGTGCTCTTGGTGCCGTCTGTCACTCCTGCTGCGCCGTTTCTGACTTCAGCGGCGAGCTTGCTGCCAGGCTTTGATGTGGAAGCTTGTAGGTTGTCGTGGGCCACCTCACCCTTGCTGACGAATGTATACGTTGATCCACGCTGCGGGATCTTTTGAGCCAGCATTTCCCAGATCCTACGTCTCGCGCTGGTGTCGAGCTCGTGCAGGCCATGCGTATTCTTTGGCAGTCTGGCTTTGCTGTTGGCACGACTTCCGCCCGATCTGCTCGCAATAGCGTCTCTACCTCTCCTCAGGGGTGAGTCGGTACCTGCCGACGCAGCGGGAGGAGCGTTGTCCCATCTGCTTGTGTCGCCGTCCGTATCGTCTGCGGCGTGGAAGTCATCCTCGTTGACCGCGGCAGAGTCGGACTTGAAGGTGGCGTCCTCGTTGACCGAGTCGCTGTCGTGCTCCGAACCCATGTCGTCGTCCGAAGCTCCAAGTCTCGACGACCCGACGCCCGCATCCGGATCATCTGCGTCAATGGAAGCAAGCTTCGACACGGGCTTGCGCCCTCTGTGGTGTCTTACGAATCTGCACTCGAAAGAGAACTTGGCGCATCGGTCGCAGATAAACTTGCTGCCAGTGACGTGGCATTTGGTCTTGGCGAGGCGACATTCGAGGCAGGCTCGACTGCTCCGTCGTTTTTCGGCTTTGTCGTTGCTCATGTTGGTCTTGCGTCGTAGCGGCGAAGATGCGGAGGGCGTCGTTGTGGAGGCGCTGGCGGATCGATTGGGTTTGCTCGGTCTCGACGGTGAAGCATCGGCGCCGATCGAGCCATGTCGAGCCGCGCCTGGAGACTGTGATCCGTTCTGGTCGTACAGCGATGTGCGGAAGTCTCTTGGCTGGGTGGATAGCGCAGCGCTGCTTCTTGGAGAGGATGCGGACGTGGAGGTGGCAGCGCTCGAGGATGCAAGTCCGCGTCTCGATGGAGACGAGTCAGTCGTAGTGAAAGGTGGAGCACCGGTATTCATGCTGAGCAGCCGACTGTGACTTATCTCGCAGGCGTGATCCGAAGGCCGTTGTGGAGACCCGAGAGCGAAACGATTACCTGCAGGATGGCTTGATGGTGCGTGACGGTAACAAGACCGGAAGTGATGGAGCAGAATCTTCTCAGACCCTTCTTTTCGATGCTGCTCAGCCAAATTTTTAGGTCGCGGTCGACGTCGCTCCCGAGCTGTTACCCGGCTAGTAAAGAAAGGATGTTAGACTTCGCAGCTCCATAGTCATCGGCGTGACGATGTTGACGGTTGCTGAGTATCCTCGTAGCCAGCTCACAAGCTGCAGATGAGGTCACGAGCACCCGCGGTGAGATAGACATGGGTAAGAAGCTGCATTACTACTGGAACTGGAACGTGTGACAAGTTATGACAAAGAGGCAAAGCGTACGTGGTATCGATACAGAACAGACTACAGACGACTGGAGCCATCGTTGGCGCAACAAGCGCAGTTCTGCGGGTGAGCAGCGGTCATGCCACCCGAAGCATTCTTGCTCGGAGCCGACAGGGCGATGCCGTGCCTTGGCTGAGGCACCGATGTGCTAGTCGACTTCTTCGAGCAGCAGCCTCCCGCTTGTCCAGCTGCCTGAACACTCGAAGCCGGAGCGGCAGGATTTGACTGGACCTCGAGTTGCGGCTTGCCGGCGTTGCTGCCGAACGCGCTCCTCGAGAACGGGTCGTTGAGCGCAGGCAGATCCTGAGCCGGGTTGAAGTCGAAAAAGTTGCTCGGCTTGAGCCAGACGTTGAGGTGCTCGACGGGCATCACTGGGAACTGCTCGGCGTGCGGGATGTGGGTGATACCGTAGATGGCGTGCACCGTAATCTCCTCGTCGTCAACCTTGTTCTTCTCGGCCGCCCAGTGACCCAGCGAGTCAGGGGCAGTGCCGCGCTGCTGGGGCACGTACTTGCCCGCAGGCCACATCTGTTCCTCGTTGAACTTGGTTACCCACAACGCGTGCTTGGTGAACTCGGCACGCTTGGCCACCATCGAGTCGGCCTGCAAGGCAAGCGGCTCCCAGTCGCGCGTGTGGATCTTGTAGCCGACGGGAAGGCCGGCGGCGTAGTGCTGCTTGTTGGTGTTGTAGATCGCCCAGGTGCGGTGGCGAGACCAGTCCCAGTCGTAACCACCAGAGACGTTGATCGGTGTCTTGACAGTGACAAAGCCGTTGCCGAGGTAGTTGCGATCCGAGCCTGTCGGTGCCGACGTGGGCTCGCAGTCGGTCTGGATGACGGTGTTCTCGCAACCGTCGACCATGGGATCGATCTTGAGCGCAAACAAGTGCTGGTGGTAGTGCGCGTTGACCTGAGGGGCCACCTCGACACCGTAGGGATTTGGCTCGTCACGGTCCTTGATGTACAAGTTAAGAATGCCGGACAGCTTGGTCTCGAGCTGGATGCTACCGTCCGTGTGGAACATGTAGGCAAAGATGTACTCGTAGTTGGCAATGGTGCAGATCATCTGGACCACCAGCTTCCTACCACGCGCTGAACGAACCTTTCCGCCCGGTCGGTAGTCGGTGTGCTTCCAAGCGATTCCTGCGTCCTCTTCGTGGATGCAGATGGCGTTCTCGACGACGGTGGGGCTACCGTCGAGTCCGACATAGTGACCATCGAGGTAGTGGATGGTGCCGAGGCAATCACATCCGAGCTTGAGACTGTTGGCGAGCGTGCCCATACCGTATTCTCCAACGTCAAAGGCAAACTTGCGTGGGTGAGGGTGCTCGGTAGACGCGTAGGGCACCACCATCTCAGCCACCGACATGCGGTAGACGATGGGGCGAACATTGCCCTTGTCGTTGTAGCTGATCGTGGACATGACAAGGCCATCTCGTGGGTGGAAGCCGATGTGCATCTTCCACTTTTGCCACTCGAGCACGTTGCCGTCGAGAGTGAAGCTGACACCTTCAGGCTGGACTACGTGGAGAGGCTTGAGGTCGGTTCGGAGAGCGGGCATCTTGGGGTCGAGAGCCATGAGCTCCGGGAGGTAGTCAAACGATTCCATGGGAGGAGGAATGCGCTTTCGGCCAGAGTATGCGAGCGCCTCATCCTTGTCCATGGTGACGGGCCCAGGCTTGGAAGTGCCTTGAGGGGTTGACAGCTTGCCGGTCATGGGGTCTCGGTGACCAGGGAAGTCAATGGCGATGACCTTGCCAGCATTCGAGTCGATGACCGGGTAGAAGTCCATGGGGTGAGCGTAGAGGTTCTCGTGCTCGCTCTTGCGGGCGTACATGAGGCACTGCTGGACACGGAGCTTCTTGTCAAATCGGTCATCGTAGCCGATAGACCAGCCGTCGGCCCACATCTGGTGGGGCTCGATGCCGACCTCCTTGGCGATGGCACAGATTTGAGGATCAGCACGGAGGATGTTCTCGGCCTCGTTGATCTCCTCCGGGGTCAGAATGGGCTGCAGACCGACCTCGAGCTTCTTGACGCTTTCGACGCGGCCAAGCGCCTCGGCGGTGGAGGGAGCGTACTTGCCATCGCGGCCAGGGAGGGGCAAATCGTTGGCGAGGCTGACGTTGACCTCGTAGGTGTCGCCGTTGATGGCGTCGATGAGCTGCACCTCTGCTCGGCGGTTGAGCAGTTGGAGAGCCTTGCGGTCATCGAGCTGGCAGTCACGAGGAAGAGGGAGTCCGAGCGCGTAGAGAACGGCGGCCTTGACGGGAGGGATGAGGAGAGAGCTGCAGAATTTGACGGCCTTGACCGAGGTGCGAGCGGCAAAGTGGCTGCGCACGACGAGGGAGACGGCGGCAATCTCTGCAGCAGTGAGAGCATCGAGAGGGTGGTGGTCGAGCTGCAGTCCGTGAGAGGTGCGGCCCGAGGGGTTGAAGGAATGCGACTGAGTGGAAGACATCATAGCAGATTTGAAGGCGATGTTACTGTCATACGGAGTATTGTGGTAGGGTGCGGGATAACTGCTAGCGGAGAGGTAAGGGGACCAGCGCTAGTGTTGGGGGCTTGTGAGGTGTTTTGCGCTATGAGAGCTTGACACGTGCTTGTGAGTTGCGAGACGGAGATGTTCTTGGTTCAGGGATAAGAAGAAGGAGGTTGCAAGAAGAGGGTTGAGGGTGATGTTGAGGGATTATATGGAGCCGATAGCAGCTCGAGGCCCACACAATCTCTCTCCTGATCACACGAAGTCGAGGCGAGACAGAGCACAGCGTCCTAAAGCCTCCAACTCTCGCGGCTGCGGCTAGCTTGCGGGAGCAAATTTGGCCCGTGGCAGTCAACGGAGGCTCGATCGAGGGTCAGCAGGGCAGGTTGCGGTGGGCAAGCATAGAGAGCTAGACGAGTGAGACCAGAGGTCGGGAACGTGATGCAGCAGGCAGGCTCGGTGGATAAGCCGGGGCAGCGATAAGAGCTTAACGAGGTAGCTCTGTTGGCCGGTAGAATGTGGGACGGGCTTGGCTTTGCTTTCAGTTTGTGATTGGGTCATGCTCGAGAGTCCAGTCTACAGTATCACAGATCGGCTGACTCTGCGTTCATTGTGCTGCGTGCGGCTTTGTTGCGAGACGCTGGATCAGTGTGGGAGGGAATCGGCTGTCGAGTTCGCACGCGCGGGCGTATCCGAGAGACAAAGTCTGGTCATTGGCCGAAAGAACTCATTTGGTCAGAGGAGCAAAGCACTCGGACACTCAGGAGGCTCCACAGAACGGGACATGTGGGGACATCGAGCGAAATTGACGCCTCACTTGGCACCCTTCTTGTGAGAGGGATGAGGCACTTGAGCTGTTTCTGTACACCCCCGCCCGCGATAAGGCTCGAGTCGCTCCCGGAAAGGCGGGAAAGGAGCGCAAATCAAAGGGTCTGCTCGTTAAGACCAGGTGCTTAACGAGGTCAGCTGTCAACCCAACCGGGCTCGAGGCTCTTGAGCAGTGTCCCCTTGGCAAGAGATAAGCCGCTCATGGTCCCAAGTTGCCGAGCTTTTTCTATCGGAAATTCAACTGCGGGGACCGCAACAGAGTGAGAGAATGCAACATGCACGCAGAGTCGACTTCGTCTGTGGGCTTGAGTCACATTGCTCCATTGCAGGTGGGTCGACGATCGAAGCGAAGCGGATCGCGATTCGAGCGTGACGCTAATGAAGCGCCTCTGCTGGCAGCGCATCGGTCTTTTCCGGACCCTTGAGGAGGACAGATGGTCGTGTCAAGAACCTCAAGCTCATCCTTCATCGAAGCCATCGCGAGCTTTGGTCCCATCAACACCTCCGGAGCTTCTACAAAAGGACCCCACTCTCCAGAGCAGCCTATCTGAGAGCTCCGCTTCAGTCTCAACACAACAGCTCGCAAAATGAACACGTCCCACACAAACGCCACTCAGTCCGCTCCATCGGTGACCATCTCCACGCCTACGGGGAACAAGTGGCAGGTCCCCTCGGGCATCTTCATCAACAACGCCTTCCATGCCTCTGCCACCGGCAAGACGTTCGACTCGATCAACCCGGCCACTGGCGAAAAGCTATGCACTCTGGCCCTCGGCGGGTCGGCTGATGTCGAGTCGGCAGTCAGCGCAGCTCGCGCCGCCTACAACACGGTCTGGGGCAAGCGCTCGACTCCAACACAACGATCGCGCCTCCTCCTCGCCTTCGCCGATCTGATCGACAAGCATCTAGACGAGCTGGCCGAGCTCGAGAGCATGGACAACGGCAAGCCCGTGTGGATGGCGAGCAGCTTCGACGTGCCCGATTCGGCCGGTTGTCTGCGCTATTACGGTGGTCTCGCCGACAAGATCGAGGGCAAGACGATCGAGCAGACCGAGGGAGAGAAGATCGCCTATACACGCATTGAGCCGCTGGGCATCTGCGGTCAGATTATCCCGTGGAACTACCCGATTCAGATGGCTGCGTGGAAGCTGGGGCCTGCGTTGGCGGCGGGCAACTGCGTCATCTTGAAGCCAGCAGAGCAGACGCCGCTGACAGCGCTCAAGCTCGCTCAGCTTTCGGTCGAAGCAGGCTTCCCTCCTGGTGTCATCTCTGTTGTCAACGGATACGGCGCTGAGGTGGGAGAGGCCATCTCGAGGCATATGGACATTCAAAAGGTCGCCTTCACCGGGTCCACTCTCACAGGCAAGCGTATTATGAAGGCGGCGGCCGAGAGCAACATGAAGAAGGTCACCCTCGAGCTGGGCGGCAAGTCGCCCGTGGTGGTGTTCGAGAGTGCCGATATCGAGCAGGCCGTTCGCTGGGTCTGCCTCGGGATCCTCTTCAACCAGGGCCAAGACTGCACCGCTGGATCTCGCCTCTTTGTGCAGGACAAGATCTACGACGAGTTCATGCAGCAGCTCGTCGCGGCGTTCAAGGCACACAAGGTGGGTGATCCATTCCACGAGCTCACCTTCCAAGGCCCGCAGGTGAGCCAGCAACAGCGTGACAAGATTCTCGACATGATCGAGTCGGGCAAGCGTCAAGGCGCCAAGGTTGAGGTTGGCGGTCAGGCATGGAAGAGTCCCGACGCTAAATTCAGCAAAGGCTTCTTCGTCGAGCCAACCATCTTTTCTGGCTGCCGCAAGGGCATGAGGATCGTCGACGAGGAGATCTTCGGCCCCGTGCTGGCAGTGGCGAAATTCAGCACAGAGGAGGAGGCGATCAGGTTGGCCAACGAGACCGAGTACGGTCTGGGCGCCGGCGTCTTTTCAGAGAACGCGAGCCAGATCCAGCGAATGGTGTCGGCCATCGACGCGGGCACTGTATGGGTCAACAATTATGTGGCGCTCAGCAACTCGGTGCCCTTCGGCGGAATGAAGGCGAGTGGGTTCGGACGCGAGCTGGGTGTCGATGCCATCAAGGCGTATTGCGATGTCAAGGCGATTCACTGGAACTATGGCGAGAAGCTTGACTGGCCGCTGCCAAAGCTTTGATCGCAGCGCTCATTGTAACACAGAGTGTTTCGTCCCACCATCGTCTCGCGATCTCATTACGCATTTTGATCGTTGACTGTGTTCGTGGAGCGACCAGTTTCATTTGCGGGTTGTGGTTGGTCGGCTGACTGCATAGAGTCTGTGTGGCAAAGCGATCCCCGCCGCAACGTCCGAAATGAAGCTGTCAAACAGAGCTAGCATTGATGCTCTCGATCGAGCAGCATGATGTCCTCTTGAACCGGTCTCTACCGACCACCTGGTCACACGATGTCGGTCAGACGTCGAACATCGTTACTCTTGACGATGCTGGCTTAGGGAAGGTCAATGCCGTGGCTAGAGCGCTTAGCGCGGCAAGACTAAATTCAGACCAAGCTCGATTTTTGCTCTGCTCCTTCTGCCAAGCCCGGCCTTGAATTCTGAGTTGGACCGCGTGGTAAAGCCTGGCCTGGCCTGCCTCCGAACCTCGTTAAGCACTGCTGAGTTTGTACGAGAGCCGAGGCTGCTGGCACAGAGGCTAAAAGCGCTCGAGCTTCCCTAGCACTGAGCCACGCGAGGTCAGTTCAATTGATCTTTGCCTGCCGCCCACCGGAAGATCCTTCGTCGACCAGCTTGAGCTTGAGCTCCGCAACGAGACCGCGATGAAATCAGCAGCACGATTCAGATGCACGATTACCGGATTTGTGCTGAGCAAGGTCTTCGCGGTGTTGCTGCTCGCACGCGAGTCATTAACGCCTCGTTCGACGATGAACCAATCACGGCCAGAGCCTTATCTTTTCTGCCATTGTGCCGCGGGTGAATTTTACTCGCTTTACCCCGCACTGCAGCTCGCCTCGAATTCCAATTCCTGGGTGGGAAGGGGGCGGTATCAGACAGGTTCAAGTGAACGCAAGAGGGGCTGGTGCTGATAAGAACCCCCCACGCCCTCCTCACCTGCCTATCACAAAGCTCGCTCCTTGACGAGTCGCCTAGGACCCACCTGACCTTGCCTCGATCGCATTGTCGTTGCCGAATGAGAGATAGATAGCCACCTTGCAGTGGTTGTTCGGCAACATTGAGTCCGCTTGTGTGTTATCGGCATCGCAAAGCAACTCCGATGCGAAACATATGTGCAGCCACCCCATGTGCCGCCGTTTGATGCTCTGTTGCTCACTTATCGCTGTGTGCCTGAACACCGTCCTTCGATGTGATAGGGCCGTCCTGGTCCCCGAGTGACGGCCGTCACTTGACCCTCCTCGTTAAGCGCCCTCCTTATCCAGCACATGGCTGCTTGCACCTGCCGTCCGCCACAATCGTGAACACGAGGGGCGCAACCGGCTCTAGCCCTTCTTGCATCCTTGACTCTGTACCTTATCGCACCTTCCGTCTCCTCGTCAAGACCCCTCCCTCCTGCAACACTATCTCACCATCACGGACCCTACACATCACGCTCATCGACTCTTATAACAACGATACCACGAGGACTCCATTTCCCTGTCAGGACATCGATTCGCTGAACCGAAACTCTCGTACAAGGCTGCATCCGCTATACCCTTTTCAACTCAATCACGGTCTCCCTCCTCGACAACCCTGGACATCGCCTCCAGTGCCAATCATCCTCCTACCTTTCTCTCTCTGCGCAACCGACCGTAGTGAATGACCGTTGCACCGCAAACCTCGACGTTTGCCCTCTGCTTCTTTGAAGAACACCCATCCCTCCGGTGTCTGCCCTTCAAAGGATCCTAGATCCACCTCCCACCCTTCAAACCTCTTTTCAACTTCCACCCTTCGACCTGACTTGATATGGCCGACCACAACGGCTCGTCCTACTCGACGGACGTTAAGGCGTTGGGCTCAGACATCCATGTTGCGCCTCTCGCCTCCTCCTCCGCCCCTGGTCGGGGGCAGGGGAAGATCCATCTCTCCAAAGACTTTATCGAGCAAGCCGACGCCGAGCTGCTCGCGACGATGGGGTACAAGCAGGAGTTCAAGCGTGAGTTCTCCTCCATCGAAGTCTTCGGTATTGCCTTTTCCATCATGGGTGTTGCGCCCTCGATCGCGTCGACGCTGCTCTACTCGTTGCCCTCCGGAGGACCGGTGAGCATGGTGTGGGGCTGGTTGGTGGGGACGTTCTTCATCGCGCTCACAGGTCTGGCGTTGGGCGATCTGGCCAGTTCGATGCCGACATCCGGTGGATTGTACTACTGGACCTACGCGCTGTCGAGTAAGAAGTATCGCAAGTTCCTCTGTTGGACCGTGGGTTACGCCAACACCCTTTCCACCACCTCAGCGGTAGCTTCCATTGACTGGTCCGTGGCGATCATGATTTTGGCCGCTGTGTCCGTCGGTACGGACGGGCGCTACGTCCCCACCGACGCCCACACATACGGGGTCTACCTCGCCGTGTTGCTGATGCATGCGATTCTCACGTCCATCGGCACCCGCGCCCTCGCCCGCTTCCAGACCGTAGCCACCGTCCTCTGTGCCGGTCTGGCTGTCGCCATCTGCGTCGTCCTTGGGACAACCACCCCTTCGGAGTATCGCAACCCCGCATCCTACGCGTTCGGCGGATGGTACAACGAGACCGGCTGGTCGAGCGTCGGCGCCTTCATGTTGGCATTCATGACCCCTGCTTGGACCATCGCGAGCTACGACTCATGCGTGCACATCTCCGAGGAAGCCTCCAACGCTGCCCGTGCCGTACCCATGGGCATCTTCTTCTCGATTGTCTCGTCCGGGATTCTCGGGTTCGGAATTATGGTGGCGCTCACATTTAATATGGGAATGGACCTCGAGCCGATCATCAATTCCGACTATGGTCAACCGATGGCGACCATCATCCTCAACGCTGTTGGCAAGACGGGCTTCATGCCCATCTGGGTCTTCATGATAATCGTAAATTTCATGATGGGGGCATCCATGAACCTGGCAAGCTCGAGACAGATCTTTGCGTTCAGCCGTGATGGAGCCCTTCCCTTCTCCGGCTGGGTTTACCGGATCAACAGTTACACCCTCACCCCTGTCAACAGTGCGTGGTGGTCTGCGGCCGTCTCGGCCATCCTGTGCCTGCTCGGCCTGGTCAACGCCGTTGCCGTGGGTGCTGTGTTCTCCCTCAGCGTGATCGGCGCTTCCATCGCGTACACGATCCCCATCGTCGCTCGACTCCTGGCGCCTCATCGTTTCATCCCTGGCGTGTGGTATCTCGGCGACTTTTGGTCGAAGCTCGTCGGCTGGGTCGCCGCAGCCTGGCTCGTTTTTATCAGCATCATCGTCTGCCTCCCCTCCTACATCCCTGTCACCGGCGCAGCAGACATGAACTACGCCTGCGTCGTCACCGCTGCCACCTTTGTCTTCAGCGGCGCGTGGTACTACTGCCCCAAGTACGGAGGTAGACACTGGTTCGAGGGTCCAAAGAGCAACTTGGAGGTCGGCGACGTGGTGGCGGTCGAGACGGCGAGAGACCTGCAGGACGAGGAGGATGCGAAGAAGGCTAGGAGCCAACAGGAGGAGTTGAGACAGACCGTCGAGGTGGACGATTTCAAGGAGTAGACGGTTTTTCACACTGGAATGGATGTATAGCTCACCGTTCATTGCTTTGGTCGCTGGATGTGTTTGAGCCAAGCCGTGAGTGCTGTGCAAGACGACTGCGTGTGCGCGCGAGTGCGTGAGTGTGTGTGTGTGTGTGCAGTAAGAGTGAAGCATGCTAATGCGCGAGAGGTCACGTACAACATTCGGACGACGTGGACAAAGAGCCGACTCTGTCACAATGTGAACGGCATTGTGCACTCGACTCGATCGCATGACGTCCAAAGCGCGTATGAGTGAAAGACTACGTCTGCTTGCCATGGATGACGCCCCCCGCACGCCAAACAAATGGCCTCAGCCGACTCGCCAGCTTCCGATCCTCCACGTACAGCCCGCGCTCGAACGCCAACATGATATCCGCGTGGGCTAGCAAATCAAAGCACTCGTCCGTGTTGAGATGCTCCTCCACCGCCTCACCTTTGAGCCGTTGCACGTCTGCAGCGGAGGCGGCTTCGAGCACGGGATCAGGCCGTATACCTGTTGCTGAGACGGGTGGCGCTGCTTTCGGTGGTGTCGGTTTGGCGCTGCCGCTGGCGGTGGGGGAGGAGAGACCGGAAAGGGGACCGAAGAGCGAGTCCCAGCCCGACATGGATTTGCCGAATGCCGGTTTGCCGGAAGGGCGTTTGACGGTGCTGGTGGTGGAAGTGGGCTTGCCGGCGCCAGTCGGGGTGGATGCACCGCCAGCGGGAGCGCCAGGTTTGAGCGCGCCGCCCGGACGGAACGCGGAAGCCTGGGGATTGAGCTTGGTCGGCGCTGCAGATGGTGCTTTTTTGTCCAGCGCAGCGTCGATCGAGGCTCTCATACGTGCTTCCGATGACATGGCCTTGTTTGCCCCAGCAGTCGATGCTGTTGCTGCGGATGCGGAAGTAGCTGCTTTCTTCCCACCTGGTCCTGCAGTCGACTTCGCAGACGGACCCGCGCGAGGAGCAGCCTTCTTCCCGCTATCGGACTTCCTCTTCTTCCCCGCTGCCGGCCCAACGTCCTCCTCAAACTCGTCATCAGTCCCAGTGGCAGCAGCGTTAGGCAAATCGTCGTCCTCGTCACTCGCAGCATCCACCATCGCCTCGTCCTCGTCACTGCTGTAGTCGACCGTCCTCCTCGCGCCCTTACCGCTCCTCGCCTTTCTCTTTCCGCCATCGTCCGGCTTCGAATCCTCGAGCTTGGCCCGTTTCCTCTGTGGAACCTTGACCGGTTCCTCCTCTTCTTCGTCGTCTGCGATCGTCGCCCGCGCTTTGTTCCTCGTCTGCCTGTCGCGCTTGCCATACTTCTTGTCCACGGGACCCTGTTCGGGCACGAAGTCATCCCCGGACTGGGCCGCCTCCTCGTCGTCCGATTCATCGCCGAGCTCGCGCAGGTCAGCAACACTTCTCTTCTTGCCATTCGCTTTGAGCGTCACTTTTTTGCCCGAGGAAGCCGGGGTTGATGTGGCGCTCTCCTCGTGCGGCGTCGCGTCCCGGCTCTTGGGCTTGGTCAGCTTGACCTTCAGCGACTTGGACTGCGCACTGGCGGTCGGCGCATCTGCGGAAGGGGAGCGCGATTGTGGTTTGCCCCGCGTCGAGGCTCGGCGTGCCAACGCCGGAGCGACACCGGCTGACGCTTCCGCTGAAGGAGAGCGCGAGAGTTGCTTGCCCCGCACCGACGCCCGGCGTGATGAAGGCGGCGTGTCGGTCGGTGCGGCAGCTTTGCCTTTGGAGCCACCCGCCTTGCTCGCTTTCCTCGCGGGCAACTCCTTTGCCGGCGTCGTCTCGGCACTGGCTGGTCCAGAGGCGCGCCGTGTCGAGCGCCGCGTGCTGGTGGACGGCGGTGGTGAGGCATCCTTTGGCGGTGCTGGTGAGGCGTCGTTCGCCGGTGCTGGTGAAGAAGGGCCGGGCGAGGCTGCGCGTGGGGTTGCGGCTGCACCGGGCGTTGGAGGAGCCGAAACGTCCGATAGGTCTGATTCGCCGTCGAAGGCGTCCATCTTGGGCTAAAGCAAGCTTTACCGGAGAGCGCTTGGTGGCAGTGCGATGAAGGTCACGAGTCGTGATCGCGCCGATTGGCAAAGCTGGAGGAGGTGTCAGATGCGATGGGCGTGGTGAGAAGACAGCTCGCAATTCCAGGGTCTCGGAAGTCACCGCGCGCTGTTCGAAGCGCGAGCAGCTTCTGCATGTGGAGTTAGGCGCCAAAAATTCGCGGCAGCAGGTGGCATCATGTTCAGCGAGCCCAACACAGGCACACAATCAGCTTGCTTCTCACGCTATACAGGATGGCTCACCATTCCATTCCGAGAACAGATACAACTACAAAGATCTCTAGGCGGTCTCCGCCTCCGCCTGCGTCTCTCCACGGATGCTCTTCAGCTGACTCCCGAACGTCACCAGGATATTCTTCAACAGCTCATACATCCCGTGCGCGCCCTCCCGGTCCAGCCAGTCGAGCATGTACGCCCTAAAGTCCGTATGCGTCCATCCTGCCGGAATCCCGTTTTTCTTAGCAGCCTTGAGCGTTTTGACCGTGACAGGACCCCTGATGCCACCGTCGTGCTCGGCCGACTCAGCGTCTCTCTGCGAGCAGTAAACATTCGCAAAGCGCTCGCTGATGTGGCTCATCGCCCGCGAAAAGGGCGTATTCGCCAGGGTGGCCAATTTGAGATTGAGATCGTCCCCACGTTGCGTGAGATCGGCGAGGACCGCCTCGTCGATTCCTGCAGGCAGGCCACCGACGACGTCGGTGCCCGTAACCAGCTTGCCCAGCCACACAAGGTTTGCGACCAGTGTAACGTTGCTATTCAGCGTGGCTAGGTTTTCTTCCTCAAAGAAGGTCGAACGGAGATCGTATACCTTGCTCTCGAGCCCGCCGTCGATGGTGGGCGCGGGATGCGTGCCCGCATTGTGGTCCTCGAAGGCGGAGCGCAGGTCTTGCACCAGCCCGCAGAGACGCGAGACGGGGACCAGGGTCGTAGCGTGCAGCGTGAAGGCGAAGAGCGGCAGCGCCGGGATGGTCGCACTAGCCCGCATGCCGGCGAGCGGACCGGAGAGCATCTCGTAGACCGAGAGCACCGCGTGCTCGATCAGCACGTGGCGTGGGTACAGCCCAATCAGCGAGGTTGCAAGTGCGTCGGTGCGTGCAGAGACGCTCGAGATAAGCTCTGTGTAGTCGATCGCCGCGTCGAGGTTGGCGATTCCCCATCGATACGAATGGCGTGCGTCGAGCGTCTTGCCGATGTTAGACCAGTCGCGCGAACCCCAGTTGTCGAGCATGCCCGAAAGAGCCAACAGCACAGCCGCAGAGGTGTCCAGCGAAACCTTGCTTGACGTAGCCAACACCTCCAGAGGTGCTAGGAATCGCTCTTCGAAGGATGCCAGATCCGAAGGCGTGACGAGAGGCACGAACGGAAGCACTTCGCGGGCGAGCTGATCCCATCGTTCCGACCAGACATTCTTTGCGTCTACCGCCGGATCATGTGCTTGCGTGCTGTCGGCCTCAGCCACCTGCGCGATCGCCAGGAGCACTGTCGAGGTCAAGTCCTCCAGTCTGACTGGCATCTGCTCAGCCAGCTCAAACACGTATCTCGTCCGGCGCAGCAGCGCTGCCAGTCGCTTGAACTCCGCTTCAGTCGCCGGCAGCTTGAGCTGTTGACGCTGCGTTGATCGAGTCTGCACGCCGAGCTCGTCGCTCAGCACGCTCTCGAGCCAGTCCGACAAGCGTGCCCAGCAAAGGTCCTGTTCAGCCTGCCTATTCCTCCTGCCCGCCGGAATCGTCTGGCTGAGCGAGTCCTCGTTGGTGATGGTCGCACCAGCCAGCACGGCTACACGCATGAGTCGCGAGCCGAAGCCGCTCCCAAGCATCGCAGCCGCCTGCGAAGGCAGAACCAGCCGGTCCAAGCTATGCGCGAGATGACGCAACGATGAGAGCTCGGTGATGAGGGAAGGGTGCGTTCCGAAGGCTTTCTGTGCCGAGTTGAGCGGTTGGATGGTGACCAAGTTCGGAATGGGGATCGATGTGGGAGCGGCGGAAGTGATGGCTGCTTCGTCGCCGTCAGCTCCGTCTCGGACTGCTTTGGAAGACAGACGTTGCTTCTTTGCTGCTCTGCCGCCTGCTTCAGCGTCGGTCTCGGCCTCGTCGTCGGATTCGACTGTTTCTCCGTCACGGCGGCGTGCGCAGCGTGCGTGCGCAAGAAGCACAGAGGCAATCCAGTCGGAGTCGGGATACTTGAGACCCGCTGCTGAGCCCCCGGCGATCGCAGAGCTGCCTGCACCGCCGCCTCCCAGCAGCTCCGGGAAGAGCAGGTCAGGGTAGAAGTTGGCATAGGTCGACAGCACAGCCGAAATTCCAGCTTCAGGTGCCGAGTTGGTCCGCATCGCCATGAGCTTGGTGATCCTGTAGTGTCGCACGTGCCTTCGCTTTGTGAGGCGGCAAAGCAGGTAGCAGAGGTGAGGGCGCAGGGATTGATAGTCGAGAAAGTGGAACAGAGTCGAGTAGCACTTTTCGAGTGTCGTCTTGGCAGAGGTGGTGAGGTACGATGTTGGCAGGCTTCCAGCGAGTCCCGTGTACTGAGCCGCATGCCTTTGCAGACGTTCCTGCTCTCGTTGATCCCGCTGCCTTTCTTGACGTGGCGGCCTCCCTCTTCCGCTGCTCTCGGCTTCGGTGTAAAAGTTTGATGCGACCGATAGCGGCACTGAAGGCGACTCGAGAAGGACAGAGAGCAGCTTGATGGCTGCCACCTGGACTTTGCTGTCCACTTTGAGTCTCTCTGGTCCAAGACTGGGCCCTGCTGTGTTGCGGTCGTCCTCCCGCAGGCCTGCCACTTTGACCGTGTCTGTGCCTGGAGATGGACCTAGAGACGCGATAATGTCGAGGACGGCTTGTCTGCCGACCTTTGCGCGTGGTTTCGGGATCACTGATCGTAGGATGCCCAGAGACACGGATGTCTTGGGCGCCTTCTGTCTGGCAGATCTGCTCGTGCCGGTAGCTGACAGAGGCTGGAGTCGTCCAAGCAGGGCGAGTCGAACAAGCTGCTCGCACTGTTTCGAGGAGAAGCCGAAGGAGCGAGCATGCTTCTGTACATTCTGCAGAGCGGATGCGGTGTTGCTGTTGGCATCTGATCCTGATGCTGGTGCGGAAAGCGCTGTTGACAGTTCCTGGATGAGGCGGTCCGCTGCAGCGGCCGAACTAGCTGTGGACGTCACGAGTGCCGGCATAGTCGCTTCTCAGGCAAAAAGCTATCTTTCAGGGGCAATGGAGGCTGACGCTGCTTCGATGGTCGCCTCGAGACGTGTCGGTCCTGTCGATGCGGTCGAAGCTGGCGGTCCCGCGCGACAGTCACGTGAATATGAAACCTGCGAGGATGCAACGTGATAGAGACCTTGACGCGGCGGATCGATGTCGAATGGTCGTCACTTCAATGCAGCTTTTTTCCGCTCCTCGCCATATCGAAATCGAGTCGAAGTGGTGGGTATGGCTGACGATGTAGGCAGATGATGAAGGAGAGCGGAAAGAAGTTGTCAAAAGCAACACTCCACACCCTGTGTTTGTTGCTGCGCGCGACGTGACCATATGGACGCGGTCACATTTTTTGGCACCCGTCTCAAGTTCAGTCTAACAAATTTGCAAATTGCGAACGGCCAAGTAGGAGCGTTTTGTTGTACCTCATCTGCAGCTTGCTTTGCACGCTTCTTCTCGTCCAGTCTCTAGAACGCAGCTGCAGACATCACACAGAGTGGCTTTCACGCCATTCGAAGATGCAAGAAAGGCTGTCATGTCATGACCGGAGCACGTAGTTGGAGGACGGCAAGAATTGGTATTTGCGTATGGGATCCAGCTGTGGACGGCCAGATGGGACGTGAAGTTGTGGGCGTTATGAATTGTTAGGATCGGAGGTCGGAAGCAATACGGAAGGAATGCAAGACTGGACCGTCGAATGGAAGAGGAGATGACTGTAACGCAGAAGCAGATGGGTCGCTGATACCGTTGATCTGACATTTGGCCGTGCACTAGGCCGCTACCAATTCGTGCGAACAGAAAACGGCGTGGCTAATGCTTCGTGCCATCAGAGACGTCGGTCGACAGCTCATCTGCGTGCGAAAGAGCTGATCCGGCGGGAGAGCCGCTTAGTGAGTCTCGGCGGGGGCGGCAGGGGTGCTCGCATTGGCCTGGTGGACGCCCTTCTGGGTCTGGAGGAAGACGGGGCGGATGACCTTGCTGTACACCATCTTGGCACCCTGGGTCTGGGGGAGCATGAGCCACACAATGGCGAGGGTCTTGATGGTGTAGTACCAGGGGACGTAGTAGAGGACGATGCTGGAGAAGGTCTCGAGGAAGGTGAACATGCCGAAAACGACCCAGTAGGTGAGCCACTGGATGTCGTCCTGGGGCTGAGGGCTCTCGAGCGCCTTGAGCGAGAAGTAGGCGGGGATGAAGAAGCCGATGAGGTTGGTCAAGAAGCCGGCGGCAATGTTGAAGAAGACGAAGAGGGTGAAGATACCGAAACCACCGAGGGCAGCGTACGCCTTGGGGATGGGGACGGTCTGCTCGAACTTCTTAAGGGCGGGGTACCTGGAGAGCTGCGGATTGGACGAGACAAAGGGAAGAACGCAAGATCGGAAGTCAGTTTCTGTGCAACAAGCGAAACCCGAACAAGCTAGCGGTCATGCCTGCAGCGCAAGATACGTACCTCCTTGTCGATCTGTTGTAGACGATAGCCGTTGCAAGGGAGAGGCGGGATTTGTGCGACGTTCGAAGAGCAATTCGAAATAGCAGCGGTGAGATCACATCAGATCCAGGATGGCGGAGATGAGCCGCGAGAATCGAGGTAGGATGAGGCGACGATCAAGGGGATGGCAAGCCCGATCAGGTGTTGGTGATCGAATGTAAAACAGGAAATGAGAATGATTCGTCAGTCAACTTGGTCGATCTTTCCGTATCGGCAGCGTCGCATAAGGTGGAACTAGAGCAACCTCAGCAGAAGCTGGGCTCTCTCCGCACTTGTTCGACGTGTACAACGCTGTCAAGATGATGTGCTTTGCTATCAAATACGAACCTGAGCGACAAAGTATTCCGCCTTCTGCTGGAGCTGCTGAACCTGAGCGGCCATTTTGGATGATTGACTGGGGTGGATTTGACGGGGTAGGTTTGATGTGTCTTTGAGAGGATGTGACGCGACTACTGATGTCGAAGAGTAGAGAGATGATGGTTGCGGAGAAAAGAGTGCGGAGGAAAGGTGCGGCTAGCGAGCGTTGTGAGATGTCTACGCTTCGCTCCAGAGTTGAGCCGGCAGTCGAGCAGCACGGGCGAAGAAAGTGACTGATTCCAATCGGAAGTGACTGGCTGTGTGTGTGACGCACTGACACGGCTCAAGTTGGTCTCAGCGCTGAGCAGTGTGTGTCTCTTTGGAAGAGAGCAGAAGCCACGGCACTTGGCCTGTCAGATGGGATTTCAGAATTTCCCAAACTGAGCAGCTGTGTGATGCCATTTTGCTGATACGCACAATCCACCTCTTTTTCTGGTCCCTTTCTTCGTGCAACTCTAGCTCTCACGGTGGGCTGTACGCACGTACAAGTGCCTTGAGACAGCTGCGATCTACCATCGATGCAGTCGCTTCGATCGGTTGATATGATGGCTCAAAGCTAAGCTCAGTGATCGTCAGCAAAGGCTCCGATTTGAGTCAGTAAGCAGAATGATGCAGCGTCGACGCAACAGCCAGCCACTCACGACACACCTTCTTAGCCTTTCAACGCCCATTTTCTACGCAGGCGAGTCGAGCGTATCAAGGATGGTTATATTCCAGGCTTGAATTCGGGAGCAGCTAAATTGTAATCGATGAGCCCATCTAAATACAAATCCGCGCATGCATGGCCACTGCCACACGACGTTGGTTCTTCTCAGCTTGGAAGCGCAGACGGGGCAAGTCACTTTGACCTCGACAAACTTCCACGCGTCCGAGGCAGCCTCGTCCGTGGATCAACTCACACGGCATGGCATCGATTCGATCTCGTCGCTGTCCATCGCCTTGACACTGCAGCCTTCAGAAACGCATGTATACCGATTGATAGACGTCCCAGAGCAGAGATTGAGTGACACTACTTGAGACCCATTTCCTTCATTCGATCCCTCTGTAGCCTCCCAGGATGATCTTTGTCCCCTTCGGGCACCATGATGTCGCTCCAGACCTCTCTCAGCTGCAGCAGATCCGTAATCGTAGCATCGCCAATCTTGCTTGTGCCATCGTCTCCGTTGGCCATCCAGGCCTTCGCAGACGACGTCTCTGATGTCTCTGGCCCGTACTCAGAGCCGACAAAGTGGATGCGGTAGATGAGGCCATCTGCGCAGCCGACGACGACGCTCTCGTGGTCCAGCTCCATGGCCATCGGATTGCGTGCCGGCGTGGCCAGATCCTCGGACTGCGCCGCCCACGCTCCACGAATCGGAACGGTGTGGTTCGTCTCGATATCCGCCGAGTCCGCCGTTGAGGTCGACGACTCTTGAGCCCCAGAAGCAGCCTCAAGATCGTTGGCGCTCGAGGTGGCTGCGGCGAGCTGGGTGGAGGTCTTGCCATGATCCAGAGGCAGACTGCTGGCGTAGAGCTGGCGTTCAGCTCCAGCACGACTGCTGAATCGTGTCGATGCAGCAATGCGTCTCTTGGTCGGATCGACGCAGCCCACAGCGACATCGGGCGTTTCCAGGATCGACACCACCTTGGGAGCGGTGGACAGGTCCGGAGCGATGCGTGTAGCATTAGAGGGCGCGGCACCATCTGGGTCAGCTTTGGCGTTCATATGTGGTGTAGACACATCTGCTGCTGCGTCGTCAGCTTTGGTGGCAGGCGTGGATGGGAAGGAGATTGAGGCGGCCGAGGTAGACGTGCTGATCCTTCTTGGAGGCCTGGGAGGTGGCGTACCTGACGCTCGTCCAGCCGCCTCGCCCTCAGCGACGGCGAGCGGCCAAGGCGCGGGACCACCAATCCGGTTCGTCGAGTTGCGTGGACCGGGCCGAGAAGGCGTGGACAGGGTCGAGATCGAGGGAGACTCAAAGCCACCCATGGACGCCCGACCCGCGCGTGCAGGAGTTGTGTTGGTGCGACGTGGCGATCTCGTCTGCCCGAGACCGCTGGTCGAAGAGCTGATGCTCGTGTTCGAGTCGCGCCGAGACCTCACGGGCGTGCCGATGGACGGCGAGGCAGCCCTGGTGCTTGCATTGCTCATCGTCGAGTCTCGACGGTTGCGGAGCGGGCTGAGCGCCGAACTTGCCATGCCACCAACGTTGCTGAGACGGGACGAGGCACTTCGACGAAGACCTTCGGCGGTCAGAGGAGTCTGAGAATCCTGAGCAGGGACTACGTGCTCCTGCCACTCGAGATGCACCACCACGCTCTTGGAAGCGACCGTCATTGTGTTGCCGTGTGCCGCGAACCATTCGAGCATGAAAGATCCACTCGAGAGGTCTCCCAGCCGTGCAGCCAGTCCGAGCTCAGGACCGCCTAGCTTGGTCAGCTGGAATTGGCCGATCATCTCTCTGCGTGGGATGCTGAAGCATCGGATCATGCCGTCGACCGTGACCGCGACCAGCTTGTCCTTATCGACCAGCGAGACGCCCAGCGACACGTTGCTCTGCTGGCCGAATCGTACCACTTTGACACCCGTTCTCCAGTCCCAGACCACGATGGCTTTGTCCTGACCGACACTGACCAAGTAGCGCTCGTTGATGGCCACGTTGCGAATACCGCGATTGTGACCGGAGAGCGTCTGGATGAGTTCCCAGCTCTTCATGTCCCAGACCAACACGCGGCCGGTGTCGTATAAGCCAGCGCACAAGACGCCTTCGTCCAGCAGAAAGTCGAGGCAGGCAATGGCTTTGGCGCGCAACACCTTTCGACAGATACCCGTAGAGATGTCCCATATTCGGATGGTCTCGTCGTAGCTTCCTGATACGAGTGTCTTGCGCTCCTTGAGCTTCATTGCTGTGACAAAGCCAGAATGCCCCTCGAGTCTCTGGATGTTCTGCGCTAGGCCTTTCGCCCAGTTGCGCTCGCGGAAGAAGAGGCCTTTGACAAGCGGCTCCCATCCTTCTGGATCAGTCGGAGCGACGAGCTTGACTGGATCCGCCTCGGTCAGCGCGATCGCATGCGATCTCCACAGCTCTGGTGTAGCGGCGAGCGTGTGCCACTTTTTGGAGACGTGGCGGCAGCGGAGCAGGTCCTGAATGGGTAGCTTCTCAAAGATCTTGAGCGCGACCTGGTCTGGCAAGCCGCTGACGACATCGCGAGTCAGGCGCAGCTGCTTTTCCAGCGTCTTGGACATGGTGGCGATGTCGCCTGGAAGGCATGCGTCCAATATGATACCGAGCAGCTGGATTCGTAGATGGGCCGGCAGCTTCTGAAACTCGTGGCGGATTGCTTCCTCATCAAAGCTGCTCTTCGCCCCTGCCTTGGGCTGCAAGGCTGTAGCGTCGAAGGAAACGGCTGCTTTGCGGTCGTTCTCGCCGGCTGCAGAGGGTGATGGGATAGGGTCGTCCTCTTCTCGGAAGTAGATGCAGGAATGCCAGCCAAGCTCCTTTGCGGCTACGACGTTGAGTGAGCTGTCGTCAACAAAGTAGTGGCGTGTGTCGGGCTCGGCGCCGACGACCAGAAGCGCCGCACGGTAGTAGTCGAGCTCTGGCTTGCAAGCAAAGTCGGGCACCGCGTAGTCACAGTAGACGATGCCTTCTACCTGGTCTTCGAGGTCGAGTAGCCGCAGCACCCTGTTGGCATGATGTTTGTATGCATTTGTGAGGGCGAACACGCGCACGCGAGTACGGTCGATATCGGTGAGAAGACGTTTGATCTGATGGTCTGGTTGCAGGATGTCGTCGAGTGGCAGGCTAGCATCGCATTTGCGGTCGTAGTCGAGAGGGTCGATCTGATGGTGTTTGACAAGGCCGCGGATGGCGAGGCCATAGGTCTTGTAGTAGGTGGTGTGGAGAGTCTTGGCATCTTCTTGACTGAGGCCCATACCGTGAAAGTAGGCTCGAATGCGATCTGCCATGAGCTCAGCGATCTTGGTGCTCCGCTTGTAGAGTGTATTGTCGATGTCGAGCCAGACGATGGCCTCGTTGGTGCGAAGAGAAGGGTCTGGTAGGCCTGGGATAGTACGTGGTTCAAAGCCAATTCGACTAGTGAGAGCAGTCAAGTCATCGGTGCTGGTGCTTTCGTCTTGGTGCGGTTGTGATGGTTCTGCATGGGTGGCGATTGGTTTGTGCGCTGGACTACTGATGCTGCCAGAGGCCGCGGCATCGTTGCCGTTGATGGTCTTGCTCGCCGACTTGCCATTGGGCGTATTGGGATGCAAGGACTGCGCTCGCTGCGTTGTAGATGAGGTCTGCTTGCGGACTGCTGCTTTTCGCGAGGGTGATCCAGACGCCAGAGCATCCTCGGAAGCCTGCTTTCGAGCTGGCGAATCGGCCGGTCGTGACGTTGTTCGCCTCCGTACAGGCGCTGTGCTGGATGCCGATGAGGGACCAGCCTCGCCTGCTGTAGTCCCGGCAATCATGCTGAACTCCTCTTGTGCTCGTCAGATGGTAGGACCGACGGAAGAGATAGTCAAGAAGGAGCCGGAGCTGGACCCTGAAGACGAGTGACAGGAAGAAGAGCAAGGATGGGCGTGCGTGTGGCAGCGTGGGCGCTGTGTGCTTCGTGCGCCATCTTCGGTGAATAATCGGCGATTCAGCTGTTTTGACAGCTGCGCCTCCACACTCAGATATCAAGCACGGCATGCTGCTCGCTCCTTGCGTATTTGCGCTTGCCTTCTCGATTAATGATTCATGTCATGGTGAGGAGAAGAGTAAGGCTGTAAACCTCCTCCTCAACCACCACATCAATTCGGCACCAACCCAACAGTTTTTGGTTCATCGAGCAAGATTCATCATGGCGTCCGCACCTCTCTCCATCTTCGTCATCGGAGGCCACGGCAAAGTGGCGCTTCACTTCACGCGCATCGCCGCTTCTCGAGGTCACAAGGTGTTCAGCATGATCCGTCAGCCAGAGCATGCTTCCGATCTCCCCACTGGAAGCTCTGCCGACACGGTGCAGCCAGTCGTGGCCTCGCTCGAGCAGTCCTCGGTTTCCGACATTGCCTCGCTCTTCACCAAGTACTCACCTAACGTCGTCCTCTTCGCTGCAGGCGCAGGCGGCAAAGGTGGTCCGGAGCGCACCAAGGCGGTGGACGAGCAAGGCGCGATCAAGGTATTTGACGCCCTCGAGCAGAGCGGCATTGCCAAGTCGACTGACTTCCGTCGCTTCCTCCTCGTCTCGGCCATCGACGTGCGCGACAAGACCAAGCCCCCGCCCGCTTGGTACCAGCAGCCGGATCTGGAACGCAGCGAGAAGACACGCAAAGCCATCGGCGCTTATATGGATGCAAAGTACGCTGCCGACAAGAACCTTTCCGAAAGGTCGTCCTTCCCGTGGTTCGTGCTTCGTCCAGGTGGACTTCTCGACGAGCCTGGCACAGGCAAGGTGGCTCTCGGCGTCCACCAGAGCCTGGTCCACTCGATCCCGCGAGAGGATGTCGCTGCGACGCTGGTCGAAATCGCTCAGCTTCCCAAAGGTCAGGGCGATGGTCTCATGCTCGACTTGCTTGCCGGAGACAACGACATCCCCACTTCCGTCAAGGAAGCAATTGAGCGAGGTCGCACTGATTTCGAAGGATGAGCTCAAACACCGTAGCAATTCGACTTGATCTGCACTTCTAGCCGCACAGATCAGTACAGAGTGAATACAGAGTGAAGACGACCTCGACTGTCTAGCTGAGCGGTGGGTCGATGCTGATGAACTATTTTAGGTTGCTCCCAAATGGTCGCCGGGGCGGAGACGAAGTGGGTGATTCCGTCAGGGGTCGAGCACGGATCGACGGACGGGACCGAGCTCATTTCGGCTCCTATCGAACGACCCAGCACAAAGTTCCGAACGACATGCAAAGCGGTCATGCAGCCACTTCCTGCCCTTATCCTTCTGCTCACATCCCACTCGTCTCGAATGGTTCTGTCGACGCAAGCATGCTCTGGCCTTTACACCTCCAACTTGTTACAATCTTATCGTTGTCTGCCCGAGCAGTCTTCGCCTGGAGTTCAGCCCGCGATGCGGTCCATCCTGTCTCGCTGAGCAGTCAATGTCAAGCACCCAAACAGCACGGGGAGAACCCGCTGTCCGGCTGTCCAGTCAACACGACCTTTGTCAGTCGAACGCATCCCTCCGCTTCGCATCGGACGATCAGTGCTGCTTTGAACGCTCTGTGAGTATTCTCCACGCGTAGCGACGCCGCATCTACCCACGCTGACCCCCTTTGCGTCTTCTCTAGACCTGACGATGGGAGCACGCACACGGTCCTCATCGATGCGGGATGGTACCACGAGAAGGTGCTCGTCCATCGGTCCAGTCCAACCATTCTTGCAGGCGTGACCTCCTCGCCGTCCCATGCATCCTCGAACAGGGTCTTCGTCTGGCAGTCTTCTTACGTCAATCAGTCCGATCCGCGCTCTACGCTGCGCAACTGTGACGCGGTGACTCTCGGCGTTGGCACAGGTGCTCCTCATCCGATTTCCAACTTCAAAGCGTACAATATCGACTTTGTCCAGCGTCAATATCAGCGTGGTCAACTCATAACCACCTATCAGCTGGGACCCGCCGCAGCGCTGTGCGTCGAAAAAGCCAACGCATCCTTCTACAGCTGTTCCTTCTCGAGCTATCAGGACACGCTCTACGTGGGCCCCGCCTCTCAGGCCTTCTTCTTCAAGAGCACGGTTAAGGGTATGACGGACCAGCTGTATGGCATGGGCAAGGCGTGGTTCGAACGCACCCTCCTGCTCTCTCGTGCCTGCGGTGGCGGCATCACCGCTTGGAGGGGCGATCCCAACGACGCAAAGGTGGGCGTGTACATCCTCAACTCGCACATCGCCAGAGCAGACGATGCGATTCCACTCAAGAAGATGCACGGCAAATGCTACCTAGGACGACCATGGAATGCAAAAGCCCACGCAGTGTATCTGAATACCAGCATGGACGGGATTGTCGCGAAAAAGGGGTTCAGAGTCTGGGGAAGGGAGGAGAGCAATTTTGACCCGCGAACGACGAGGTTTGACGAGTACGGTTCGACGGGTGCCGCTGGAGACGTGACGGGGAGGAACATGACTTTGGATCGGATTCTGACCAGGGAGCAGGCTAGCAGGATCACGATCGCGAGCGTGTTTGGTGATACTTCGTGGATCGACTGGAAGCGGGTTTGGGAACGATGATACATGTCCATTCGCACAAGCTTCGACCTCACACTTCACACTCGTACTCCACAGAACCTTGTCTATATTGCTTACAAGGTGATGCCATTGCAAATGCTTATCAGCTCAGATATCCAACCGCCATGTGCGCACGCTATCGTCTTTTCCCAAGCACCTTGATCGCACTAGCCTTGATGACATTACCGGCCTTCTCCATCTCCTTCTTGGTAAAAGCCGTACTCACCGCCAGCCTAATGTTCGGCCTGGACTCGGGGCCCACCTCTAACGCCTTAGCGTTGATGCTGGGCAACCTCTTCATCCTGGTGATAAAGATCCCGTGCTCCAACGCGTCATCCACGATAGCCTGAAGGAGGCGCATCTGTTCGTCCACCGACAAGTCGTGATCCGAGGGACCGGCGGCGGCGATGCGCTTCTCGTCGTTGCTGTTGGAGAGCGTGAGGCTGACGTCGCCGACAGCGAGGCTGTTCTTGCCCTTGTCGAACTTGTCGGCGGGCGTATCGGGGTGACGGTCTGTTTTGCTTCGGACCTGGATGTGCACCAGCGGACTGCGTGGGTCGGACGAGATGCGCAACGATTCGACGTGATCGAGAATGGAGCGGAGGGACTTGACGTTGTCTTGGAGCGTGGTCAGGATGGAAGGTTGAGAAACCATGTACGAGATAGCCGTACTGGCGGCGACGGCGAGCAGAGCGGGCAACGCGGCGGAGAAGACGAAGGAGGTGCCGTTAATGCGCTGGTGGAAGACGACCTCGTCGGATCCGGCGCAGAAACCTCCTGCTGCACCGAGCGTGTTGGCCATCGATCCGACAAGAATCTCGACCTCGGAGGCAGGGATGTTGTAGAGCTCGGTGAGACCACGACCAGTAGCACCGACGGTTCCGAAGCTGACACTTTCATCGAGGATGAGTCGGAATTTGTATCTTTTCTTGAGTTCCTGGATCTTTGGCAGATCCGCCAGGGCGCCGTCCGCTTCAAAAACACCTTCGGTGACGATGAAACGACGCGTGAGAGGACCACGTCGGCGTTTCGTATCCCGCTTGACCTGCTCCAGGACGGCCTCGAGCGAGTTCATGTCGTTGTGGTCGTACCAGTAGACGGTCGAGCGTGAAATTTGGATGCCCTTCTGAATGGCATAGTTGACGCCGCGGTCAGCGACAATGATATCACCACGTTTCGAAAAGGCAGGGATGACGGACGAAACGGTGCTGAAACCTTGACTGTAGATGATGCAGTTCTGGGTGCCGAGGAAGCGCGCAATGTCGGATTCGAGCTGCATATGCACATCGATGGTACCATAGAAGCCGGGAGGGGAGCAACTTCCGACACCATAGTTTCTCAGGGTCTCGATGGCCTTCTCCTTGACAGCTTCGTGGCCGGCGAGATTGGTGAAGTTGTAGCTGGCGAGGTTCATGACCTGCGTGGGCTTGCCGGCATTGTGAGAGGCGAGGCTGATCTTGGGCCGACTGCTGGCACCTCCGACGATGGTGGGAATGGATGCGAGCTCTCGCGACTCGGCGGGTGTGAGGGGAGCGCAGAGGGGTTCAGGCTTGAACTCGCCGACGAGGTCATCGATCTCCCTGCCGGAGAGGTTGACAAAGTTCTTGCCGCTGGCACCACCGCGTGTCCTGCTCTGCAAGACTGTTCTCAATGCGAAGAGAACGAGGAAGAGTTCGAGCAGGGATCGAATGGGGTCGTTCTGGTAGCTGCTGGCGACGTATCGCGCGATGATGGCGCTACCTGGGATCTTTCTAAAGTTGTCTTGAGCCAGTACGACGGCGGCTTGGAAGTATTCTGTCAAGGCCGAGGCAGCTGCGGAAGCATGCTCGTTGGGTATCGCTTCAGCGGCCATCTTTGTTGAAGCCGGCACCGATGCTGTGATGATCGGAAGTGCAGGGATGAGTCGCTAAGTAGAGTGTGTTGGAGAAAGAGAAACTCGAAGGTCGAAAGGAACAAAGTGTGAGTTCGGTCGGCTCTCGGCTAGCACAAAAGTTGGGTTCGACAAGCGTGAGCGTGAGCCTTACTCGCTGTGACGCACCTCGAGGATCCTTTCGTGGTTGTGTTGGTTTGGCTCGGCAACGCGCATCGCTCGGTCTTACGGTTTGCTGCTGACGCCTGCTGTCAGCCTAAGTCCATCCGGGGCGATGGATTTTGTATGTCCAAGACAAGTTCAATCTGACATGGATCAAAATTCGCTCCATGGCGAATGCGGATGACCTCGATTCATTCGGCCGGTGATCGAGGTTGAGAGAAGCGAGAGGACGATATTCTCTCTTTCGCCCGACTCATCCCTTCTCCATCTTCTCCACTCAATACCAGCTCGCTGCTGCACCCTGCACCAAGTCATTCCTTCCGGCTTCAACAATTGACCTCTTCCCCCGCATCCTCGGTGCTGCTCTGCCGTGCGCAGATCCCTTCATTCCTTCGTACATACATTCCTTCCATCCATCCATTCGTGGTCGAGGACCCCCGCGCAGAGCCCCGTAGCGACTGGCCCGCCATCCATCCAGCTGCCCGTGACACCGTTGAAGCTTCCCTCTACTGCTTCAAGGACAAACTACACATCCACTATCGCTGTCTGTCGCCAACTGCAGTTCCAACCGTCTCTCGCGCAGATCTCTCCTTTGTTCGCCGGGCACGTTTGCCGCCAAAGCCTCATCCATCCAATCGACGGGACACACAGTCAGCCATGTCGGACCACCAAAACCCGGATCAGCCCCTTCAGGAGCTGGCAACCGCCGCTCAGCTCGACGAAGAGCTTGAACAGCAGCAGCAAAAGGAGCTCGAGCAGCGTCAGCAGCTACTTCAACAGCAGCAACAAGCCGAACTCGAAGCTCGTCGCCAAGCCGAAGCACTCGTACAAGACACATCCAACCACGCCTCTTCCTCGGCTGCACCCCAGTCTGCTCAGTCAATAAACCTGCCCGTCTCGGGCGCCACATCCGAGCAGCTCGCAGCCAGCTCTCTCGGCGACGTTGATGCAGTGATTGCCGCCGCCGTCAACGCTTCCAAGCAGCATGCCGAGCAGGAGCGACTTCAGGAAGAGCAGCAGCAGCGCGCCGCGCAAGCTGGCAGTGCCATGGACCTTGACCCTGCCGTTCAGCCACAGTCCGACATCGATCCTTCCGCTGCAGTGGCCGGCGTCCCCAGGGCTTCCGGTCAAAACGCCGACGACTCCATGCAGCACGGCGAAGACCCGGATGCTTCCATGATGACCGACGGTGGATCGCCCATCAAGCACGATGGCGACGCTTCCGTCAACCTCACCGGCACACCCAAACCCAAGAAGGAACGCGCCAAACCCAAACCTCGCTCCAAGTCGGCTACCAAGATCACGCGTTTCCGAAAGATCACGAGCTGTCTCCAGTGCCGAGAGAAGAAGCAAAAGTGCGACCGCGTCAAGCCCATCTGCGGCAACTGTCGCGAGAACCCCACCGACGACCCCTGCCACTATGTCGACGACCGCAAGCGTCCTGGATCGGACGATGAGGACCACGCAGGCGACGCGTCGATAAGTTCGCCTGCTGCGCGCAAGCGAAAGGAACCCGAGGACGCCTTCTTGAGCACCGGCAACAGCCGTGTCTTTAAACGCGCCGACTTCCCGCGTGTCGACGACCGCCGTCAGGCGCTTATGCTGCAAACACGCCGTGAGACCGTCGACAAGCTCGAAGAGGTGGGCAAGGATCGTTCGCGCGATTTCAACACTCGCGTCAATGCTGCCCGCGCCGCTGCCATCGCCGATGTGCTCTTCGAAAGCGCCATCACTCTGCCTACAGCAGACGAGATTTCGGCTCTGCTCTATACCTACAAGACCCAAGTCGAGCCTTTTGTCAATGTCGTGGTCATCGATATCAACATCGCGCGCATTCAGAGCTTCCTTCGATGGTGGCACTCCAAGCCCACCACCATGCCCGCCGACCCTCCACTCGTCCCGCTGCTGCTCGTCATCCTTGCTCTCACCCTCCAAGTCAAGAGAAACTCGCCCGAGTTCGAAGGACACAACCTCACCAATTTTGCTCCTATCCCCGGCATCGAGTGCTCCGATGAACGCAAGTTGCTCAGCGTCGCCGGCCACTGCATCGATGCGCTTCAGATCGCCTGCCCCTCGGCCTGGTCGAGCGCCTTCCAGGCTCCCATCGATTTGACCAAGGCATCCCTGCTGCGCGGCATCTGGCATCTCAACGAGCTCAACCTTCAATTCGCAGGCACATGCTTCGCGCTCACAACGCGCCTCGCTCATGCCGCCGGGCTGCACCGCGACCCAGAGCATTGGTCTGGCATGCGCATCGAGGAGGCGCAGGCTCGTAGGAACTTGTGGTGGAACATTGTCTTCTTCGAGGTGGCGCACGCACATCGCATCGGTCAACCGCCCTGCCTCACCCACGAGGGCTTCGATACCCAATACCCCGACGACTACAATGCTCTGTATGCGATGTACGAACGCGCTGGCCTCGCTGACCCTGACCCGAGCCGCATCATTCTACCGCCCGGCGCTACTGCCTTGGTGCCCCGCACACCAAGCCAGACCAACTTCGAGTACCACTGGGCGCGGTTCCGCATCTACCATATCTTCCTTCGTCAGAGCCAGCAGCTCTTCCGCTTTGGCATCTCTTCGCCGCCCGACCCGAACCTCAACGACGAATACGCCAAGTGGCGCGAGAACCTACCTGAGAAGCTCAAGCTGCACTTCGAACGACGCTTCAAGGGATCGGTTCGTCCCAGTGCCGAGCTTCTGGCACAGGTCGCATCCCAGTCCTTCTCGAACCGTGTCTACGACCCCAAAATCACCGAGGAATTGCAAGACTACCAGCAGGGTTACAGCCTCGAGTTTATGTACCACCAATGCATGATCACTCTGCACAGACCCTACATTGACGAGCAGGGAGCATGGAAGCCGCCCGAGTCGGTGCAAAAGTCGCTCGAGGTGTGTCTGCAGTCGGCCGAGGCGCTCATCAATACGGTCGAGGATGTGCTGGCTGTCATGCCCGCCAACAGCATGTACAACCAGTGCGCCTACTTTGCCTTCAACGCCGGCCTCATCCTGGCCATCCACTGCAAGCTGGACCCGAATTCGCAAGTGCATCGCCCTCACATCCAGAAAGCGCTCGATCTGCTCGACACGCTCTCGAGCATGGCAAGGCTCAACAATGTTGCAGAACAGGCCGGTCGCTACAGCTCGACGCTCAAGCAGATGCTCAGCGGAATCGGCGGAGACCTCGCTGCGCTGGCAACCTCCAAGTCGACCTCTGCAAGTACGAGTGCTGCCGAGCGCCAGAACGGTGACAGCAATGGCGATGTCGCTGGTGTTGGCGAAGCGACCGACTCGCGTGGAGACGCCATCCTGGCAGCATTGGATCCTTCGCTTGGCGGAGACGCGGCCAGGGATGGAGGTGATTCCAGTTCGCGCATCGATGTCGACGGCGGGCCGGATCGCATCCCTGCCTTCCTGCTTCCCTTCGTAGGCCTGCCGACGGACCCGAACAACCTCGGTCCCCAAGCCGGCAACTCCTTCTGGAATGAGTCCTTGCTAGACCGTCCGCTGGTCGGCGTTCCCGTTGCCTACCCTGTCGGCTTTGGTCAGGGTGTACTTTCGAATGCGGAGCAGCAGAACGGGAGTGCATGGCCACAGCAGGCTGGCGAAGGTGACCTCGCCAACACTGACGCTGGTACGGCAGGCGGCGACCTGCAAGCTCAAAGTCACGAGGGCGGGCTGGCACCCGACACGGCAGCTGGTGAGGGTGCGGCAGACGACGCTTCCGCCGATGCGTACAACCTGTACGAGCTGCTGGGAGGGCGCGAACTGCAGCCTGGCTTGCCGGATCGACCCATGTCGTTCTCTCAGCACTACAACCACCAGAACCCCGCACGAGGCGACCAAGCTCCCTCTGCCTCCTATCGCACCTACGTGCAGAACTCGCTGGCTCGCACGTATGATCAGCAGCAGCAAGCCAAGGGCGATGGCGAGGCGGGCGACAAGACTGGAGGTGAGAATGGGCTCAGCGCCGACCAGCTGCCCAGCGAGAGCGCGCTCAACGCGGTGGCTGCTGCAGCGGCGGCGGCGGCGGAAGCGGAAGGACTGGACCCGAATGCGCAGGGAAACAATCTGGCGGCGGAATGGTATGCCTGGGAAAACGTTTCTCAGATGCTCAACAACCGGCAGTGAGGGTCACTCGATGCTCTCGCTCGTTTTCCACACTCGTTGAAGTCACCGATCTGTATCACTATGTCTTTTCACTCGTTATGACTGTATCAGCAGGACGTATTGCATCTTTGGAACGAATCAAGACATCCTTCTTAGTCGTGAGTCGAGCTGGACATCAAGCTTTGACAAGGCGCCCAACAGCATGGGGTACTAGATCGGCAGAGGTCTCGTGAACAGGTCTTTGCAGATCGACCTCCTTCCATCCACCCAGGCCCTTCAGCCATTCGCCACTATCCCTGTTGAGCTGGCACCCGCCGAAGTTGAAGCTCCACACGGGTGTCCATAGGGTCTGAATGATCCTTGCTAGCGTATGTTTGCTGCCGACGTGTTCGAAGAGGATGATCTGGCCGCCCTTCTTCAAGAGACCCTGCAAGAACTCCAAATGGCTCTTTGGGTCGGGAATCGAGCAGAGGACCTGGAAGAGGACGATGGTGTCGAGGCTTTCTGGTTCGATGCCGGCTTGGAGGAGGGCGGGGCGGCTGGTCTTGTCCAGACCCACCGGCACAACCGTGCTCTTCTTAGCCAGACCCACTCGCTCGAGCTTGGAGACCAATTGCGCGCGCAACGGTGCATACGGCTCCATACAGAACAACCTTTCGATTTTGCTGGCGTCATAGTGACCCACACTATCGCCGGCTCCAGCACCCACCTCGAGCACCCGTCCATAGGCAGATCGGAGCAAAGGCCGCTTCATGTTGACATACATCTCGTCGGACGTACGCAGCACCACGGGAAAGCCGTGCGAGAAGATGAGCGACTTCCAGTGAAAAGGATTGATGAGGTTGATCGGCGATGGATGACGAAGTTGTTCGAAGAGCGCACCAGGGAAGCCGGAGATGTAGAGCTTGATCGTGATGAGGATAGGGAGGATGTTGGCAAAGAGGAATTCCAAGAGCGTCGCCGGCCGCGCCGGTTTGGCGTGCAACTCGCCAGGATACGCTTTCACCATTGTTGCTGTACGATCAAAGAGAGGACGCGGTCGAGGATGGTCTATATATATATGAATCGAGGGGATTGTGGAAGGATCAGGGATGGAGGAGATGCGGTCTGGACCGTGCCAAGCCACCTTTAATCTGGTGGGCACTGTTCGCGCTCCGAAACCCTGCATCTTTGGACAGCTTCTCACGCCCAAAAAAAAATAGAGCGTTGGACCGTGTTTACGCCTCGCTGCAGCCTCGTTCCTGGCCATGTTGGTTTCACTTTGTCTTGCCCCTGTGATAGCGACCCGAGCCATGTTACTCACCAGCTCGCGATCAGCCCTCATGATGCGATCGGAGGCTAAGCTGTACGAGGCGGCACACGACACTTGGAAGCACGTGGGGCTCCATGGTCCGCCTGCTCGAGCAGCACTTTAACAATGGTCAACTTTTTCTCAAATAAAGGTCACTGCTCAGCGCGGTATTCCATTCGAAGGTGTCGTTCGTCATTTCATTGAAAAGGCTGCCAAAAAATTGCTCGAAAAGGAGGCACAAAAACGGCAGCTGGATCGGAGTCGAATCGGGAGGCCACACGTGACTCGTCTAGACTGGACAGCATGTTCACTGCGCTGAGCTGCCACAGAAATTTTTGGTCGGTGTAGCGAGTCAGAGCAAGAAGAAAGTTGCTGAGAGACTGCGTGCACACTCCTCCTCGCACCTTATATCGACTGAGCAAGTCACTACCCGAGTCACTTCACAGCCTTCTGACTCGAACGTCGTCGACCAAAGCACCGCACGGCCCTATTCATACAAAAGCGAGCGCTGCATCTTGCATGGCGTCGTCCCAACGTCTGCTCACCTCTTTCGTTTCGATCCATCGCCAGGTAGCGTTACGATCCGCAACTAGAAGCAGCATACATCGCCCGAGTCCGACTTCGATCCATCGCACTTTCATCAAGTCCTCGTCTCATCATCGGCTCACTTATCCCAACTCTCGCAACATGTCGTCCACAGCACCATCATCCGCCGCCCCCGAGCAGCAGCAGCAGCCGTCCAGCTCGGCACAGAACGATGCCCCAGCCGCCGACGCCCCCCTCGGCCCCGACGGGCAGCCCATGACAAAAAGCGCCCTCAAAAAGCAACAGAAACTCGCTGAAAAGCAGGCCAAGCAGGCCGCCAAGGATGCGCTCAAGAGCGAAAAGCCCGCCCAGAACCCTGCTGGCTCCGGTGCGGCAAAGAAGGAGAAGCCCAAAAAGGAGGTCAAGGAGGAGCCCGAATGGGTCAACAACACCGTCGATGGCGAGAAGAAGGACCTCTCCGCACCCATGGAGAATGGCTACAATCCGCTCCACGTCGAACAGAGCTGGTACCAGTGGTGGGAAAAGTGCGGCCACTTCAAGCCGGACGAGCCCTCCGAGTCAGATCCGTACGACCCCGAAAAGACCTTCGTCGTTCCTGCACCTCCTCCCAACGTCACTGGATCACTCCACATTGGTCACGCCCTCACCATCTCGATTCAGGATACCTTGATCCGATGGTACCGCATGAACGGTTACCGCACCCTCTTCAACCCAGGCTACGACCACGCCGGTATCGCCACCCAGAGCGTCGTCGAGAAGCGTCTCGCCAAGCTCGAAGGCAAGACGCGCTATGACTATGGTCGCGAGAAGTTCCTCGAAAAGGTCTTCGAGTGGAAGGACGACTACCAATCGCGCATCTCGAATCAGATGCGCCGTCTCGGTGCCTCGTACGACTTTTCCAGAGAGGCTTTCACCATGGACGCTCCCCGTTCCAAGGCCGTCACAGAAGCTTTCTGCAAGCTGCACGAGGACGGCATCATCTACCGCGCAAACCGTCTCGTCAATTGGTGCTGCAAGCTCCACACCACCCTCTCCAACCTCGAGGTCGACCAGAAGCAGCTCAACGGCCGCACGCTCATGAACGTCCCCGGCTACCCTGCCAACGAGCGCATCGAGTTTGGTGTCATTGTCAGCTTCTCGTACCAGATCGAGGGCAGTGACGAGAAGATTGTCGTCGCCACCACGCGTCCCGAGACCATGCTCGGTGATACCGCCGTTGCCGTCCACCCCGACGATGCTCGATACAAGCACCTGCACGGCAAGAACGTCGTCCACCCCTTCGTCGCCGGTCGCAAGATCCCCATCATCGCCGACGCCATCATTGTCGACATGGAGTTCGGCACCGGTGCCGTCAAGATCACCCCCGCCCACGACCCTAACGATTACGAAGTCGGCAAACGTCACGACCTCGAATTCGTCAACATCCTCAACGACGACGGTACGCTCAACGACAACTGCGGCGAGTTCGCCGGTATGAAGCGCTTCTCTGCTCGTCGCGCCGTCATCGACAAGCTCAAGGAGATCGACAGCTACGTCGAGACCAAGGACAACCCCATGACCGTGCCCATTTGCTCCCGATCCGGCGACGTGATTGAACCCATCATGAAGCCGCAGTGGTGGGTCAACTGCCAGCCGCTCGCCGCCAAGGTCATTGAACGTGTCCGAGCGGGCGAGATGACCATCACTCCCAGCGTCTCTGAAAAAGAGTTCTTCAGGTGGATGGAGAACATCCAGGACTGGTGCATTTCGCGCCAGCTATGGTGGGGTCACCGTTGCCCCGTCTACTTTGTCAACATTGAGGGCGAGGCGAACGACCGCAGCGACGACAAGTTCTGGGTCGTCGGCCGCTCCCTCGAGCAGGCTCAGGAGCGCGCGCAGAAGCTGGCAAACGGGAAGAGCTTCACGCTCGAGCAGGACGAAGACGTGCTCGACACGTGGTTCTCTTCAGGCCTGTGGCCATTCTCCATCATGGGCTGGCCCGAAAAGACCGACGACATGAAGCACTTCTACCCGTCGTCGCTGCTCGAGACCGGCTGGGACATTCTGTTCTTCTGGGTGGCTCGCATGTGCATGCTGGGTGTCTACCTCACCGACACCTTGCCGTTCAAGGAGGTCTTCTGCCACGCGATGGTGCGCGATGCGCACGGACGCAAGATGTCCAAGTCGCTCGGCAACGTCATTGACCCCTTGGACGTCATCGAGGGTATCAATCTCGAGGGGTTGCACACGAAGCTCAAGGAGGGCAACCTGGACGACAAGGAGATTGCCAAAGCCGCCCAGGGTCAAAAGAAAGATTTCCCCAAGGGCATTCCTCAATGCGGAACCGATGCGCTGCGTTTCGCTCTGTGCGCCTACACCTCGGCCGGACGCGATATCAACCTCGACATCCTTCGCGTCGAAGGCTATCGCAAGTTCTGCAACAAGCTGTGGAACGCGACCAAGTTTGCGCTGCTCAAGCTCGAGCCCATCTCGTCGTTCCAGCCTGCCTCCTCGGACGAGCCCTCCGGCGCCGAGTCGCTGGTGGAAAAATGGATCCTGCACAAGCTCAACCTTGCCGCCAAGACCGTTAACGACAACCTCCGCGAACGCAACTTCATGGCGGCCACCTCGGCGGTGTACAACTTCTGGCTGTACGAGCTGTGCGATGTGTACATCGAGGCGATCAAGCCGATCACGGATGCGGATGCTGCGGACGCCAAGGCGAGGGCGAGTGCTCAGCAGACGCTGTACACGTGTTTGGACGGGGGGTTGAAGTTGTTGCATCCGTTCATGCCTTTTGTTACGGAGGAGCTGTGGCAGCGTCTGCCTCGGAGGGCTGGGGAGAAGGCGGAGAGCATTGCGCTGTCGCGCTACCCGGTGTTCATGGCGTCTCGCGAGGACGCAGTGGCGGAGGCGGCGTTCGAAGAGGTCTTTGCGGCAGTTCGTGCGGTCCGAGGCATGTGCACGGACTACAACCTGTTGAAAAACGTCCAGGTATACCTCGAGACCTCTTCCGCCGACTTCAACACCACCCTCACCGCCTCGTCCGCCGTCGCATCCACCCTCATCAAAGGCTGCACCGACCTCACCGTCGTCTCCCGCGCGGAAGACGTACCCAAAGGCTGTGCTGTTTCGTCAATCAGCCCGCGCCTCAACGCCCATCTGTTGATCCGAGGCCACGTGGATATCGACCAAGAACTCGCCAAGCTCGACAAGAAGCTCCAACTCAACGCCGTCGGACTCGACAAGGTCAAGGCGCCCATGAACAAGCCCCAGGAATGGGAACGCATGCCCCAGGAGGTGCGGGACGCCACCGAGGAGAAGGTCAAGGGACTCATGAGCGAGAGAGAGGCTATGCAGAGCGCAAAGAGGCAGTTTGAGAGCATTAGGGATGACTAGAGATTGAATACAAGTTGAATCGATCTGACGAGATGGGATGGCGTGCGCTCAAATGTGAATGGCCTGACGAATGAGTCTGCGTGCGCCGAGAGATGAGGTGTCTGATGTGCGCGTGCTGACCTTGCAACTTGCACGGCTCACGATGCTTTAGCTGCACCCCGCGCTTTCTTTCACTGCATGACATTCTCTCAACGGCGTCTCTCACAATTCTCTTGTTCGTCCAACCCGGAGTTGATCGGATGTTGCATGGTAGCATTGCATTTAGCCTAGAGAATTTTGGGTGTGTGTGTGTGTGCGTACGGCGAAGGAGATCTATCGGTTAGACAACCGTGCCGGGGGGAGAATGCTGACTCGCACCATCTACAGGTGTGAGCGTGTGTGTGAACAGTATACAAGGTGGAAAACGGGACGGGGATGGGCGAGCGATTTACTTGCCGCCCTTAGCCCTGAGACGACGGACGTAGAACTCGAGCTCCTTGCCCTCGAGGATGTAGCCGTCGGCGCGGCCGGACTGGCCGGGGCGGGAAGCGATGGCGGCGTACAGCCTACCAGCGCCGAACTGCTGCTCGACGAGGCTGTCGAGCTTGCCCTCCTTGCGACGGGTGTCGAGCTTGCGCGTCACATTGTTGCTCAGCTTGGCCTCATCCACGTTGGCCTCGGCGGCACCCTGACCAGCGGCACGGCGCTTAGTCGTCACGGGCTGACCATAGTGCTTCTCGTACGCCTGACGGAAAGGGGTCGCGTCCACCTGAACAATGCAACCCTTGACAAGAGTGTTCGTGCGCACCAACTCGTTGTTCGAAGCGTTGTACACAACGCCGAGAACACGCGTCTTGGCAGTGATGTGCTCCGAGCCCCAGGCAAAGTTGCCCGACTCGAGTCGAAGAGCACGGTGCTTCAGGTTACCACCACGAACACGAACGGTGTGGATACGCTTAGCTCCGATACGGGTGTTGGCGGCCTGACGACCGAGCTCGAAGGCGCGCTTCTTGCGGTAGTAGGCGCGGCGAGCACCGGTGGCCGATCGCTTGTGGCGCGAGTCACGAGTGATACCCATGTTGTCTGAGAGGTTGGGCAAGTGATGGAATGGAGGTCAGTAGTCTGTTGCGATTGTCGACGAAGACGGCTGCAAGCAAGACGAACGCAAAGAGACAGGACGGAGTGGATGACGAGAGACGATCAAGAGATGCCGAGACAAGGCGGATACGAAGGCGAGGAACGTTGAAACGTGCGTTGTTGGCGGAAGCGGGTGGACAAGAATGATGCGTTTGATCGTGGATCTCGGCTGTCATGTCGGACGACAGCGGTGGAAGCGACGAATGATGATGACCGGGATCTGCGGGTTTGTCGCGGTCACAACGAGAAGCCTTAGTCGGATGGCTCTGTGCTTGCCGTGAATTCTGCCTCGAACTCTGGTGAGAGCGAGCATCTCCTGCCACGATGTATGTCTTCCACTGCTACGATCCCATACAACGACCTTCGCCTTCGCTGTACAAGATGACAGCCTCGCGTGGCCAGAGCGAGGAGATCCGCCGGGCCTTTCGGCGTGTCCCATCCTTCCAACATGAACACAAGTGCACATGCTTGCGATGTCCGCACAACCAAGACCTGGTCCAGTCGTGCCCTACAAGATATGTTCGCGGTATAAGAGGTGTCCAGTTGGTGTCCTGTTGCCTCCTCCGCCTTCTACCTGTGAGATGCTAGGGTGCGAAGCGTTCCATCACTGATTTATGCCGCCAGGAGGTCGGTGAAACTTGCAATGCTGAAAAATGAAACCACAGTGATGTCTGCCATTGTCGGGATGTGTGCTGGGAGTCATGCTGCTGCTGATGCTGAGAAGATTGGCGGTTGCTGTCTCCGCTGTGGCTTTGTTGGTACTGATGTAGTCCTGATCCATTCTATATTCGTGTCGTCCTGATCGTCTCTGCCATCATGTCCGTATATCGTCTGTGTCGTCGTCGATGCTGCCATGCGTGCGATGTGTCGAAGCTTACCTTGATTATGTGTCTTGAGGGGATGAGAAGTGACCTAGGAGAAGGGAAGCAGAAAGTGATGATCTCGACGAACTCAAACTCGACAAGCTGCGAAGCGCGGCGGACGGTCTGGAGAGTGAGCAGCAGGCAGGCGCAGCAGCTTCTTGTTCTCACCTACAAGCCTTCCTGGCAGGCCTATCACGGCTGGCAACGGTCTTGACTGCCCTGCTGCCTCTAGAATCCGAATTGCCTGTCGCTGCTCACCTGAAGCTTTGATTTCAGGAAAGTTGAATTTCGCCGAATTGACGCTGGGCATTGCACGTGATGCTAAGCCCTGAGCTCGGCCGAGGCTGCGTTGACTGAAAAGAAAGAATTGATCGCTCTAACAAAAAAATCAATTGTTTTTGCGTTGTTAGGTCGACGGCTGGCACTCGACGCCTACGGAACCTACCCCTGTAGTTTTGCCTCTGCAGGTTCATCTGGTCGCACAGCTGGGCTCTTCTGTGCCATGGCCCCTTCGCGATGTGTACCGAGGCCTGAGCGCTATCACATGTCTGCCCTTACCCGATGCGCGGAAGGCGGCGCCGAGCCGGTCCCTTCTTTGCCAAGCGCCCCTGCCACAGGGTCGTCGTTCCGCAGACTAAAGACGTCAGCAACCTCGTAGTTGAGTTGGGGTTCAGCAGACCAGCCGGGATAGGAGACGTCGCGCAGCCGCTGTGCAGCGAGTCCCGTCCATGCTGACCAGGGCGCTGAATGGACGAATGCAAAGAGATCGATCGGAGGGACCCCTTCGGAATTGTTGCTGAAAGCGAAGCCCGCTTGGCTCAGACCCACCAATCATGCAAAGACTCAACGCAAGCGGTCCGACTGTCGATGGCAACCTGCACCGGCTGCAGATGAACCGAAGACGAAGCTTGGATGATGTGAACGGATTGATCTACGTGGGCAACTCTTCGATCCCGTAGGCCCCAAGAAAGTCGCGACTGCGCGTGGCTGTCAAGTGGACCCTGAAGACCTGTCAAGATTGAAACATCAACGACGTGTCGCTCGCCTAGCCCAAGCTGCTCGTGGCGTGTTGGACTGTCACTTTGTCGTTTGCAAGACTGTGCTTCAAGACGGGGTGTAAGCGCGATGATGCAACCTAGCTTCGCTCATCGGATCGGAGACAAGCATATCCACAATGGCGACGCCGACGGTCGAGCTGGGCGCTAATAGGGGCCGCTGCGCTGCGTAAAGAGGAGGGACCGTTGAGTGTCGAATGGCTGAGCCACGCGTCAAAGCGGACAATGAGCGATAAAATCGGTCCGACGCGTTGAGGCAGCCTGGCCATTGTGCAGCTCAGTCTGTTCTCGGCGCAACAGCCGTACGGCCGCCGCTTCGGCTGACCGCTAACTTAACTGCAAAGCAACTATGAAACCGTCACATCTTCCCGAGACTACACAGATGGCGTTTCTATTCCCCACCAACAAGAGCGTGTTGCACGGCTTTGCTTGGCAACCACCCATCTGCTTTGCTGTCGTCCTTCTTTCTCGCCTTCCCTCCATCTACCCGGCTGACTGGCGTCTCTCTGCCCACTTCGCCTTCGCGATCTCGCCTCGATTCTCAACGGCGTCTCAAGCAAGGTTGGCAGTTCGACCTCGCAACCCACTTCACTTGGCTGCAGCTCATCGATCGCAAATCAATAGAGTCCTTCATCAACCATCCAGTCCACCGGCCTACTCGAATTCTAGCAAGAGTCCGATCTCCATCTACTTGTTCCTTGCTTCCCGGCTGAGATCTGCTGGTCAATCTCGCCGGCTTTTCGCCTCCAAGCATATCTTCATCCGGCGTTCCGGACGACGGGCGTACGGGTCTCATAGCGCATACGATGCATCCTCATCCCATCAACCCGGTCATCGTTGATACTTCCATCGACAAGACCCAGCTCAACGCTTCCCTCGCCTCCACCCTAGATCCCAACATGATCAAGTACGCCTCACCGCTGCATCCTCGTGGTCTCACCGAGGTGCAGCACCGCCTGCTCTACGAGTCAGACACCGAGTCGTCCTACGACTTTCCTTTCAGCACGAGTTCCAGCACTGGCTCCACCTCGGCTTATAGCGACCTCGGCTCCCAGTCCTCTTCCAGGTCGCGCACTTCCAGTCAGGGTCTCGCACGCCGCGCTCACGGTTCTTCTGCTTCTTCCTCTCGCTCCGAGTCCATCTCCTCGGTGCTGTCCAGCTCCGCCGCCATCCAGAGAGTCCTCATGGGCACGCCGTCGACCGCAACCGTGCACGTGCCATCCTCACGCCAGTCAGTCCGAGCCATCGCCCGCGCCTTTGAACAGGCAGGCAAGACGAGCACCACGCTGCCTTCTCGCAAGATGAGCGCCCAGCTTGAGCGCGTCATTGAAACCAGCGCTACCATCAACTTGATGTCTGATACCACATCTTCAGACGTCTCTCATCACACTGCCTTCCGACGTCGCCCTCTTCACCCATCGCAAGCCTCGAACCTGGCCGCCGGTCGCTCCGCCGAGGCAAACGGTACCATGCCCTCACGGCTCACCATTGCCAAGAGTGCCGCCCAAGGTCCCCTCTCTGCTCCAGCCACCACCACAGCGCGCACATCGCGATCCAACGCTTACCGATGTGATACCAGCGAAGCTGTCCACTCAGCATCTGCATTCAAATTCCCGCCTCGCGTTGCACACGTCGAATCCCAACAGCGCGTACGCAGCTCGCCTAGCCTCGAGACTTTCGACGACGACGACGAGCCCGCGTTCGAGATCATCCCTTCTCCCTCTCGCAAGCGCAGTCAACCCATCCTGCCACCCTTCGTCGCATCACCCACCATCGAGTTCCCCCCTTCGCCGCCTGCCACCTTGACCCAGATCACGAGCAGCATCGATTCGGACCTCGTCCCCTCCTCGCTCTCGGCAGGATCGCTCGACTCGATGCATTCCAATTACTCTTACGGTTCGGTGCGCAGCCATCCCTTTGCGCTGCAGCTTTCGAGCGGAGATGAGCGCTATCCGCGTGCCAGCTCGGCTGCGTCGATGCAGGGCGTTCATGAGCTAGACCGCTTCCGAGGCCCGTCTATTGACAGGGCGGCAGATAACCCATCGGCGTCATCACTAGCTGGCAATGAGGGTCTATGCAGGCGATGCGCAGCGCCCACAAGCCTAAATATGGGAGGTGGGACTTCATTGCATGCGTCCACGGCAACGCTGCAGCCAGCGTCGCTGTCGACCTCGCGACCATCATCGTCGGCTTCGTCATCCACGACCACCGTTGTACCGTCTGGAAAGGTCGCATCGCAGCCCGGATCGACTCAGGTCACCGACAAGATTGCGTTCCCACTGCCACCTTCCGCAGCGCGAACGAACGAAATGCTCACCCTCCCACACCGACTACCCTACAGAACCAGCAAAGCCGGACGCCCGTCCTCTCCCCCTCTCACCACCGCTGCCAAACCCACGACACTCGACGAGCTGCGTCGCGAAGCGCATTCCCTGCTCGCCTCGATCTCTGCGCTCTCCGCCGAGCTAGACGCATCCATTCCGCCAACACATCGCTTGCCGGGCAGCACGCATCGCGCCGCTTCTCCCCCCACCACACCAACAACCAACACCAAGCGCCAGGGCAAACCACCCTTCGTCGCCGTCGACGAGAGCTTCGCCGACGTCTGGCGATGCATGGACGAATGGTATTGGTCCAGCTTCGAAATCGCCCCTCCCTCCACGGGGTGAGGTAGCCCCAGCGCTCCCTTATCCCCCCCTTCATCCTTCCACCTCCGCCTGCTCTCACGGTCATCCATCGCAACACACCGCACTCATTCATTCAACAACACTCGCTCGTTCATCACCACACACGTTCACCACCACATTCGTTCATCACCACATTCGTTCATCACCACACACATTCATACACACGCTCTCCGTGCCGCAACTGTATTTCTTAGCATAGCATACCCCTCGCATTGATATCCCACGTCATTCATCATCACATGCACTGACGAAAAGAGGTGTGAAAGAGCAGCAAGCGAGCAGGTTAGATTCGATATGAGCGGGCAACATCGGCCGCATGCAGGATGAAGGGACCGATACGCTAGTGAGACTAAAATATACATGACAGAAACGCGATACCAGATCGAGAGAACTTAAGCGACGAGGGAGGCCATGAGACCGGGCCAGTCCATGGACGCGGCGGTGTCGGCCTTGGGGAGGAAGGCGCCGTCCACGACCATGTTCTCCTCGTCCAGGCCGATACTGAGGTGGAGCGGCTCCTCGATCTCAATGTCCAGATCGACGAGGTCGAACGGCGAAGAGCCGGCGCTCGCGTCGATCTCAGAAGATACGTCGGAAGCCGAGACACTCGACACCGAAAGATCCGCGACGTCGTCACCATTCGAGTAGATGTCCTGGAGCATCGCGTCCGTGGCCAGCTCCCACATGTTCCTGTCGGTGGGCAGGAGCGGGGAGTTGAGGAGCTGGAATCGCGCCTGCGTGTTCTCGTCCTGGCTGTCAGCGTGGGACAGGCTGATGGTGTTGAAGATGTTCGCGGACTCGTTGATGTTCTTGCTGCTGTCGCTGCTACTCTTTGCCTCACACGAGCCCGCCGAGGCGGCGCTCAGGCTTGCGAGGTCACTTGCAGAGGCGCCTGCGGATCGCCAGGTGCCGCTTGCTGCTTCTGCATTGACCTGGCCCACAGGTACAGGTTGAGACGGGGCGGCAGGCGTCGAGGCACCTTGATCTTGAGCCGCAGTCGTCGCGTCACCATCATGGGCGAACTTGGCGTCGTCGAGGTGGAGGAAGTTGGAGAGGAGAGCCTCAGCTTCACGGGCAGTACCGGCTGCTTTCGCTTCGACGGGATGCTGAGACAGAGTGATGTGGGAGCTGGCCGCGGTCGACGACGGCTGCTCTGGTGCGGGAACGTGGATCTGACTGGCAAGGGGGTATCCTTGCTTGACGATGCTGCTGCCGTTGACATCGACATGGCTTCCGACCTTTCCAGAGGCAGAGACTTGGGGGGTAGCGAGACCGTCGAACTGAGTGAAGACATCCGCTGCTGGGACTGCCCGAGCTCGGCATCTCGGCAAAGAGATGGTGCATCAGAGCAGGTCGCCTCCGCTGCAGGGAGGCGAACGTCTTCATTCGAGGTTTGCTGGCCCAAAGTGCCAAAGGAAAGGGAAGAGGAAGCGGTCGATGCCGGCGCTGCGATCGTCGAGGGAAAGGAGACCTCCTTGCTAGCCGAACCGTTGTTCTGCAGAAGAGCAGTCGCGAAATCCGCGGACAGCCCCGCATCAAGCTGCGGAGCAATCGAAGAAGAGGAAGAAGCGGCGAAAGCCGGGGAAGAGGAGATGGGGATGGAGGAGGAGGAGGATGACGACGAAGCAAGAAGAGGAACAAGAGAAGGAGCGACAGTGCGGAGAATGGTCTCGAGAGTATGGACGCGAATCTGAGAGTCACGGAGCTTGGTGTCGAGAGCCTGGCGGAGAAGCTGCTCCTGCTCGCGCTGTTGGCGGAGCAAGGTGTTCTCGGCCTTAAGAGCGTTCAGGGAGCCCTCGAGTTGGTCGACGTAGGCCTTCTTGCGTTCTCGCGAGTACTGAGCCGAGAGACGATTGCGAGCTTGACGGGCCTCGAGGCGAGCCTTTCGCTCCTCGTCGCTCGCTTTTCTGCGACCGCCGGTGTTGGTGGGCTTGGATGGCGAAGCGGAACGGGACGAGTCTTGGAGTTCCTCGTCGTCGCTCTGATCCGAGCCGTCGTCCTCTCGAGCGTCGGTGACCTTTCGCTTCTTGCTGCTCGAGGTCGAGCCAGCGAGAGTGGCTTCCGGAAATTCCTTTTTGACTGGAGTCTCTGGAAGACGGGACGAGGACGGAACAGCGATCGAAGGTGATGTGGTGGTCGTAGTGGCCATGATGGGCAGAGTGGTGTTGTGGGTGATGACGACCAAGACCTAACGAGTTATAGACGGGAGACAGTGAGAGACAGAAGCAGTGATGATCTCCAGCACTCAGTTAAGAGGAGGAGAGGCGATGATGAGCTGGCAATAGGGATGCGTGGCGCGAAGTAGGGCTGATGCTGCGTGGAGAAAGTGAGGTGGACTCAGTGCGTTGAAGCAAAGAGAGGGGGGGAGAGCAGGAAGAGACAAGAATGTATACGTGGAAGGTTGTTGAGAGTAGGGAAGTCGGACGAGGCGGAAGGTTGCTTGAAAGAGGAGGATGAGAGGGGAAGGACGATTGGATGATGTGGTGTGAGGGAAGGGTGCAGGGCTGAGTGCGGGGCGTGCTTTGAATCCCGCTCCTGTCGACGTGGCACTCACGCAGCTCCTTCAAGGCTGTGCTGTGCTCTAGTGCCTGCTGCGCAGTTTCCATGGATCGACGTGGAAGGCAAGGGTCCAACCTTATTTTGTGTCGGACGAGAAATTTTATTAGGCAAATCGCCGATTCGCCGGCCGTCATCTCCTGATCCAAAATTACGCGCGCATCTGCAGGATGATGCGTGTCCGCTTGCAGGAGGCGTGAGCGCGTCAGCGACCATCCCGGAAGACCCTTGCCGGTTGAGACCCTGCTCCTGCTCCAAGTCATCTTTGCTCCTGACTCTCCTCGAACAGCATGTTAAGGCTCAAGTCACCATCTCCTCGCTTCATCATCACTTGGCAAGAAGCTATCGACCGTATGCAAGCAGCGTAACCTCACCTCTCGGTACCAACGCACATGCGCAAGACGCACGAGCAGCAGAGCTTTCCGCGATGATCAAGGCACACAGGCCTGCGGTCCGACCCAGGCTTCACAGCGGTCCCGGCAATGCCATGTTCGACGACGTGCACGAGCTCTTCAACGACGACGATGCGGCGCAGTTAGATCAGCTGCCGCCTCCATTTGCGGCAGCTGGGACGGCAGCCATTGCTACGGCTGCGGTGACATTAGCCATGGCCAACACAAATGCGTCCAACACCGCACCTTCCGAGCACAACGTTCCCGCTTACCAGCCGCCTCTGCGTCAAAGGATCTCTGGCTTTCACAGTAGACATACAGAGCTTACAGCGAAACTCCAAGCGCTGGGCGACATCCCTGCGATGCTCGAAACCAATCAGCACGACATCTTCTCCGTCACCGGCAAGGTCAAGACTCAAGAGGCGCGCCTCAAAACGTTGCAGGCCGTCTCACAAGAGACGAGGGATACTCATGCCAAGATGAGCAGCTCTTTTGCCAAGCGTATGATGAACAAGAGAGGCAACCGATCTCGCCTCCTCTTCCAAGCTGGGACGGACGCCGAGAAAGCAGCCCAGCAGCAAGCGGATCACGAGGCTGAGCTCGAACGCAATCGGTCGATACTGGCATTAAAGGAACAGCGCAAGTCTCAGCTGCAGCGAGACCTGGTCGAATACTCGGCAGTGTCCAACGAGCTGGACAAGATCGACCATGCACTCTTTGACGGCTCCACCCCTGAATTCGTGCAGGACGATCTGGCAGAGTGGGAGGTCAAAGTGTGGACGCAGGTGCAAGTCTTCATGGCCGCCGAGACACTTCGAGAGAAGCGGGCTCGGCAGATGCTCAAGGATGCGTCACCCATCTTGGTCTCCATCATCAAGGACATCCAGACCGCTCTTCAGTTCTGCATCGACAGCGGCGTAGCGAGGAATCAGAAGTACACCAAGAATCTCATCTCCAACACCACAGCCAAGTCTACCGTCAGCGGTACCCAGCCGTTGGTGCTCAAGGCCAAGACAAGCTCAGGCAAGTTCTTCACCACCATTGCCAAAGCACGAGGCAGCCAGCTGCTGGTTGAGCGCCCACCCGAGTTCCGACTCATCGAGCTCTACCTCATGCCGGGCAGCAAGAATCCGAAAGCAGTCGATGAACGTGGACTTCACAAGTCGCTCGAGACCTCGTATGCGCAGGCCAAGGCGCTGGATGCTTACCTCAAGCGCGAGATTGCAGCCAGTCTGGAGCGTCAACGCAAGTTGGCCGTCGAAACAGCCAAGCTGCAGGAAACCGTCAAGGATGCGAGACGCCATCTTCGCGAAATCCGTCGAAGTATCATGGTCGCCGTCGTGCAAGAGGATGGAAGCCAATACATACGCAAAGAGGCGCCGACGTCGACTGCAGATCATGACAGCTCGCCCTCCGGCGCAGCACAGCGCGACTATGCACTGCCCTTGCAAGACGCCGCCAACCCAATGATCTCCACGCACTTTCAAGAGAACCTGCGAAAGGAATCTCACGCCCGTCTTCGTCAGCTCGTAGCTTTGCCAGAACCCGAGTCGGACGACGACAATCTATACCCGGTCATTGCTTGACCACGGACTACTTCTCTTGCTCCCAGGATCCTAGGAAAGCCCGATCGCTCGTCCTTCGCTCGTTGCTCTATCACCGATCGCCACTGTACTACTACGCTCCTCACTGCATAGCCGCATCATTCGCAACACTCGTTCGATCCACATGGAGTCTCTTGAAGCCCGACCGAGGCTTTTGCTCGAAAGTGTGGGAACCGATGCATCATCAGGCGTGTGTTTGCTGCTGTCGATTCTGACTGTGTCCTTCAACGCGGGGCTCCGCATTGTCCACTCGTCCATCCCCGGACTTGGAGCACCTGATCAGCAGCTGGACGTGCGGGGTAAAGCTGCGGCTTGAGCTTGACATGATGCACGGTCAGCGACTTCTTTGCATGTGCATATAGATCCGCTTCTGGCCGGTATCAAAGTCGAGGCTCTCATGCCGACTCGTCCGTGGTACCTCATCCGTGGGTGCTTACGGGCTAATGCTTCCGAGACCCCGCCAAGGCCTCTGCGATGCTGAGACTCGATGATGGTGTTCAGGCGGGGCAGGCATCACAGGCTGTCTCTGATGGTCAGCCGCGATGCTGATGAGCGATCGTAGGGAATGGAGCCCCACACCAATGCGCAGGAACGAGCAAGATCTCAGGACGAGGGGCGATTGTGGGGTAAGCCGAGTCCAGGAACGCTTCGTAACAAACCTGGATGCAGAAGGTCAAGACCGCCGCTGGACTCCGAACGGATTGTTTCCGCGAGGATGCGGATCTTGCCGCGACGGCATTCGACGGGCTCGGACGAGAGGCTTTGCGGTAATTGACTTCGCAGATCGTTGCGAAGACTTGGAATCCCGTCGGGGCGTCTTGGACAGGCCAGAGGTGGAGAGGCTGGACAGGATCGTGTGATTGGATCATTTGGGTCGTCCAGCTTGGTCCCATTCAGGCGCAGTCAAGCTACATCCAATCATCAGTCGTAAAGCTACGGGGAGGGAGCTTCGCCGACATTGCGACGAGGAAGGCGGAGCAGGCGAGGAGAGGATCTCGCCATGACCAAGGCTGGTATGAGGATCAGCAGCGGATAATCGCAACGTGGCAGCAATCAACGACGATGGATATCACGGAAAGACCTTCTGTAAGCAGCGTTTGTTGAGGTTGCCAAGGACTCGTCTGCAGAGCTGCACTTCATCTCTGTGCAACACGAGCAGTCATTGTGGTCAAAGAGAGGCTCGCCATTGCAGATTCGCGAAGGAGGAGGGCAGAAGAGCAGCCACGGCCAACCGTTTGCTCCATCGTGAGAAAATGCCAAGAAGTCCGGTTCAAGCGACGCCGACTTGAAAAGATCCAAAAACGTGGCAGGGCACTTTTCGACAGCTTTTCCGCTTTGATGCGCTTCAGACACTGCTCAAATGCCGTGGTCTAGAAATGGTCTGTAGTGGGTCTCGACCCTGAACGAGGGCGACTGTGGTACAAGGCCCTCTCGCCTCTCTCTCCTTTCCCCGCTTTCCAACTTCTCGTTCCCTTTCCCCACACACCCAACCCTGCCTCGCGGACTCCCGCGTCGACAAACACGTATCCCTCGCAGTGATTGGTCGAGGCGAGCCAACACGCATCGCCGCCGTGTCGAGCACATCCGAGTGTGTACATTCACCAGCATGCTGAGCTGGTCCCGTCGCGCTGTCCTGTGTCACAGGGAGCATCACAAAGTAGTATCGAAGACGATCACACATATCGGCACCGTGGTGGACAGCGAGCGCGATTTGGACCTCACCCCGATGGCGAAACATTCAAACTTGAGAGCCCGTCGATGATCCGCCTTGAACGGATGTCTCCGTGCCGTGTTCACAACAAGGTTCACTGAGCAGGTAATGCCGACTCCATCCGCTCTGCCCCTCCCCCATCCTGCCTCTTGGTCATGGTGCTGGCAGGCATCTCGCGACTGTCACGGTGAGACATATCTGAACCCTCTGAGTCGACGTGCACCATTCGCCCTGCATCCCTCTGCATGCATGAACGCGACCTTTGCAGTAATGAGCGCCTCACAACGGTCAACCTTGGCGTTCCTTTTCATTCCCCCTCGCTGATGCTTGTCTGCCTCCTATAGTCTTGCCTATTGTCCTACTTCTGTCACCGGCAAAAGCGTCCATTTGTGGGCATGTCATCGATACATTGCCGGTGACTGTATTCATCCGGTTTGTGCGTACCCACGCACTCGCCAAGCAGATAATTGCGAGATGGTTCACGATCGAGAAGGCGGACACTGCGCCCTCGACCCCTGACCAACATTTGCTCAGCACACCCGATCGAGTCCTTCAAAGTTGACAAGCTCGAACAATGGGTCTAGATCCAAATTTTCCGATGGAACAAGGCGGAGCGTTGACCACGGCGAATCGTTTTGTTTCCCCTTCATGTCCGTCGGGGCGCCAGAGCAGTGAGGCGGACAGAGAGACGAGGATTTTCGCCCAGTCGAGCGGCGGTTGGGGCGGGAAGCAACTGGTGACAATGGGCGGAACAACGGTCCTCGACGGGGCTGAGTGTGAATTATGAGTGTCGAACTTTCCAACTCCTCGCCCTCCTTGTTCATCGCCATCTACTAGCGCAGACGCTTCGAGTCGTACCAGCTTGTCTTTGTCAGTCACTTCCACGTCGCCCGTTTCACCTGAGCAAACTTTTGCGGGGAAGCTGAAGGTCTCCGAGTCTCTGATCCGACCCTACATCGACAAGGGCTCGCTGCCAAGCGATGCTGCTGCATGGAAGTCGCAGCCAAGCGCATGTGCCAAGTTGCTTGCCGCGAATGGCTGCATCGGAAAAGAGTTGAAGCGACCTTCTTGGCTTTGATCAGCGCTCAGGGACATTCAGAGAGGGCGGCTGCTCGACGTTGATGGGATCAGAAACGACTGATTTTGTCGCCTTTGGCCATGTGCTTTCGAGCCAGTTGCGACGAGGAAGCGGATCAACGACCGCCAAATAGATCCGTTTGTTCGCTACCAGTCCAATGGCGATGGGTCCTTAACCCCGCATTGGTGTATGCAACCACAGAATTGTAGCCCAGCTTGCGCTGCTACCGAGTCGTCTCTCTGATGATAAGAGCATCAGGGCAGTAGGCAGCGACCCAATTTCCGTCGGTCAACTGCTGCATCCCCACAGCTGTTCTGGCGACCTCGTTCGAATTCAATCTAGCCGAGGGCATCAGGGCTGTGTGTCGCACGCTTCGCTTGTCGATGCCAAGCAATTGACCTCGCATACGAATCATGCACCGCTGCCACCTCGTCCACTCTGACGAACCCGCGCACCCTTCTCAGTCCTCAAGGCCACTCCTGAATTGCTACAGTATGCGACATCCATCTTGCCTCGTGGCGCAACCATGTAAACCTTCACCGGCGAGTGAATCAGTCTGGAGCGTTCCTGGATCGCCGTCGCTTCCCCTCACCCGCCTCTATCCACCCCAAACAGATTACAGGCTTTGGTCAGTCCACTTGCGCCTTGAGTCGATCCGTCTCAGCGAACAACTCTCCTAGTGTGCCTCGGAAGGAAACTTTTCCTTGCGGTCAAACGCCGATCTGTCCGCTTCGGGTTTTAGTCTCTCGCGACGCCTGGGTTCCAGATTCGCAAAGTTCCAGTGCTTCTCTGTAGGCTGGATCTTCCTCGTCCCGCGACGTGTTCGCCGTTTGTCGAACTCAGCGCTCGTTGATGGCCCTCCGCCTCGATACTCGAGACTAAGCTTGTGCACCATCCAAGATAGCCTGCTTCTCATTGGTCGACCCCGGACCCACCAAACCCATGGCTGTCTCATGTGCTCCTACAGCGTTTCCCGAGTCTCTCTCGTAACCCGCGTGCTTTCTCGCGCTCATGCACGCTGCACAGTGTTCATAGTGTTCCCATCGATAGGCTCCCCTTTGCGGTCTTGAACCGCTGCTGAGGCACTTGAGCACTAGCTGCACCCCGGACTCGTGTCATGTCCCTGCTTTTGCTCCCCCGCATGAGCCGTTCCTGCCTCGCCTCTCGCGCAGAGGTACTGCCACTGCAACCCCAACAAGGCCCAACGTGGTACCCCCGCATCAACCATAGCACGTATCAATCCCCCCACATCTGCTTTGGCAAGTATAAAGACCCACCTGCAATCCTCCCTCCTTTCCATCTTCTTCCCCTCGTCTTCCACCAGCGTCCCCTGTCCTCCCCTACCTCGACGCCTTCCCCTGCACTCCCCATCACCACCGTGGGTCAAGCTTCTTTGCGCAGTCTCCTTATCGCCGGCTAGATTTCTCCCCCTCCTCTCCCTCGCAAGTAGTTCGCAATCATGTCGTACCGTCGCGACACCCCCGACTCCGCCTCGCTCAACGAGAAGAAGGATGACTCCCGCCTTGAGGATGGTGTCTCCATGGCACCCGTCCTCACCGCCGGCACCACCAACGCCGATGCCATCGCCACCACCGTCGAGGACCCCAAGATGACTGCTCGCATCATCCGCAAGCTCGACTGGCACGTGCTTCCCATCTGCTCCGTCCTCTACCTCTTCTCCTTCCTCGACCGAACTGCCATCGGTAACGCTCGTATCCTCGGAATGGAGACGCAGCTCAAGCTCACCAGCGAGGAGTACGCCGCCGCTCTCTCGGTCTTCTTCGGTCTCTACTGTCTTTTGGAGGTCCCCTCGAACCTCATCTTGAAGAAGATGGGTGCCAAGAAGTGGATCCCCATCATCGTTATCGCCTGGGGTCTTGTCATGCTGCTCACCGGTTTCTCTAAGAACTTCGAGGCTCTCCTTGCCTGGCGTATCCTCCTCGGCGCCGCCGAGGCTGGTCTCTTCCCAGGCATCACGTACTACCTCACCGTCCTCTACCCCCGTCGCTCCATCCAGCTCCGTGTCGGTCTCTTCTTCTCCGCTGCCACCATCGCCGGTGCCTTCGGTGGTCTGCTCGCTTTCGGTCTTGCCAAGGCCAAGGCTGGCGAGTACCAGGGCTGGTCGTTCATCTTCTTCGTTGAGGGTGCTCTTACCATCGTCGTCGGTATCATTGCCTACTTCCTGCTCTTCGACGGTCTCGAGAAGGCTCCCTTCCTCACTGAGGAGGAGAAGGTCTACATGAGCGACCGTGTCCAGTTCGACGGCAACGACATCCCCATGAACGACGAGTTCGCCTGGAAGTTCGTCTGGGCCGGTCTCAAGGACTGGAAGACTCTCTTCACCCTCATCTGCTACGTCACCACCATCACTCCCCTCTACTCGACTGCTCTTACCCTCCCCACCATCCTCAAGACCTCGCTCAAGTACGACGCTGTCAACGCCAACCTGTTCACCGTCCCCGTGTACACTGTTGCTGCCATCACCGTGGTTATCTTTGCCTACTTCGCCGACCGCACTGGTATCCGATTCCCCTTCATCTGCCTGGGTACCCTCATCTCGGGTATCGGCTGGGGTCTCTCGCTTGCCTACGGTCGCACCAACCCTCGCGTTGCCTACGGTGCTCAGTTCATCTCTGCTGCTGGTTCGTACGCCGCCTTCCCTGGTGTCGTGGCTTCGCTCACGCAGACCATTGGTGGTAAGACCAAGCGCTCGGTGTGCATTGCCATCATTGTCGGCTTTGGTGGTCTCGCCGGTACCATCTCGAGCAACATCTTCCCCAAGAAGCAGGCTCCTTACTTCCACCGCGCCCACTACATCAACATTGCCATGAACGCCGTCGCCTTCCTCTCGGCGCTGTCGTTCGCCGGCCTGCTCCGCCTCGCCAACGCCCGCAAGCAGGCCAAGATCGACTCCGGTGAGGCCGCCCGCCTCACCAAGGAGCAGATCGCCGACATGGGCGACGAGTCCCCCTACTTCAAGTACCGCTACTAAGCGGTCTCGTCTATACCTCTGGAATCCGCACTTGTTTTTCGTCAGTTTTGTCATCGGTTCTCTCCTGTCATGTACGAATAGATCGTCCTTCGCATCGAAGGTCAGGGTTATATAAATGGTCACATTAGATTATCCACCATACCATCGTTTCTGTTTGTGCGTTCGCTGTGAGTTCCGAAGACCTTATTCATTGGAGCGAAAGGATCTTGCCTCATCAAGCGCGACTATCGTCCCTTGCTGACACTTTGATGATGGCAGCTCGCATACGTCACTTCCTCACAGCCTTGCACGCCAGCGTGCCTTGCAAAAGGTGCACCAAGGTGACGACGGCGTACTCTGGGAAGCTCGACTCTTGCATGATCGACCGGGCTCCTAGGTCAGCGCAACGGGGACGTCGAGTCTGCTACACGCTCAAGCTCCTCCTCCTTCCACCATCAACCCGCTTCTGACGCCTCACGTTCCATCTTCGACGTTCGGCCGTCCTAATTTTGTGCAAGGCTATCGCTGCCGCTACACACGGACGACGATCCGTAGCCACCCAAGCATTGACACAGTAGCTCGACATTGCTCAATTCATTGTGGCATGATACGAAATGAGCCTCGCAGTTCAAGTTTGACAGCTGCGAAAATTGTCGGGATTCGGCGGCAGCGTGGGCTCGGATCGCGTGGAGCTGTGGAAGTGCCAAAATGAGCGCGGACCAACATCATCCTTTACTTCAACTACCTCGACACTGAGCAAACCACCAAGCTCACACTCTTTTCAGTCGCTCTCTAGAACGCATCTCACAAGCAGCGTACGAGTTTCGCCGCCCCAAGCTGCCCAACTTTGCCTCTACAGGAACCATGCCGTAGACATCAAACAAACGAGCATCCAATCACTATCTTGCTGCCTCGTGTCAAGGCGAAGGCAAACGCAGCATTCGCCATGCAGCAAGGCTCAGGCTCAGGCTTTGGATCGAGTAATGGCTCGGGATTTGGATCAGGCTCTGGATTCGGCTCATCAGGAGCGGCGGGCTCATCCGGCTTCAGCGCCTTCGGCCGACCACAGCAAACTCCATCGGCGTCGACAAGCAGCAGTGCCCCTCCCAACACTTTCTTTCGGCCGCCAGCCAACAGCGCATCATCTTCGGCCTTTGGATTCAACAATAGCCAGCAGCAGGCCCCACAACAAAGCCAGCCGTCCAGCTCGGGTGCGAGTACTCCGCGACCGTTCGGTGCAGGCCCACGGCCTCCATTTCAGCAGTCCAGCTTTGGTGCGCCTCGCCCTTTCAGCGGCGGGCAGCAGCCTCGACCCCAGCATACAGGCTTCAACTCGCCTCGTCCGTTCTCGAGCGATCAACCGGTACAATCACAAGCGCAACAACAGACATCGTTCGGAAGCAGACCAAGGCCCTTCACCTCGCGCTCCAATGGCCCAGGCATGTCACAAGAGGGCCGACCTCCAAGCTCAAATTCATTTCGTGGTGGGAGAGGTGGCGGCACGATTCGTCCCATCAAGCCATTTGCTTCGCATATGACTCACAATCAGCAGACGACCTCCATACCTGGTAGCGAGGCTGGCATGGAGGCCGGTCCGAGCAATCAGCATGCTCCTCGACCAAGACCGAGACCTTTCGCCAACAAGTCGACGACGTTCAACACACAGCCACAACAATCCACGCCAAGCTCGACTTTTGGCAATGAGACGAGCGCTCAAAGCTCAGGCTCGACATCAGCGTTCGGGGCGTCTGCAAACAGCGACAGCGCCGCTGCTCGATCTTCGTTCAACCAATCGACCTCATCTCTCTCCTCGACACAAACACCCAGCAACTTTGGAGCAAATTCGTCGGCATTTGGGGCTGGTGCGGGCGCGAGCAATGCTGCTCCAGCGACGTCAGCATTCGGAGGTGCTTCGACGCAGAATACAGCTCCTACTTTCGGCTCGATGTCGCAATCTTCAGCGTTTGGCAGCTCGACGAACACTACTGCTTCTGGCTCTGCTTTTGGATCGGGTCTACCCAATCCGGCCTTTGGTGGCTCTACATTCTCAGCACCTGCACAAGCTAGCGCTGCTCCCAGCGCGCCCTCCGTCCCGTCATCCCAGCCTGCCACGAATACACCTGCGGCTCCATCCGCTGCACCGACCAGCTCCTTCTCCAACTTTCTCCGCAAAGATCGCAACGGCACGTCGACACCAGATCCTGGCGCAGGAATGTTCAACGACAACAAGGCAGAAGACGAGGACGCGTTGCGCAAGAAGCGCTTCGAAGATGCTCCTAAGGTCGGCAACCGCTTTCTCCAGATGAAAGGCGGCAGAGAAGCGCTCCGAAACGCCTACATCAAATCCGGCATCCTTCCGGATCCCGACAAGCCCACAGACCTCGCTTTGGCGGTGAAGCTCGTCGGAACATGTGAGGACATGTGTCCCGAGTTCGAACGCGAGGAACGCGAGTTCCAAAAGGAGCTCGATCCGCTCGAACTGTACCCAGGCACGGACCGGGTCGACCCTCGCATCGCTGTCAAGATCTATCGACGTCCGGCGGCAGGTCGAGAATTGCCATTGCCAGAAGACGTCCGACCCCCTCCGGTTCTCAAGCGCACGCTGGACTATCTCTTCCACGATCTCTTGCCCGCTGACCCCAACGACCCGAGATTCACGCAAGTGCAAGGCTTTCTTTGGAACCGCACACGAGCAGTGCGTCAAGACTTTATCGTTCAGAGTGAAGGCGGCCCAATAGCGATCGAATGCCACGAACGTATCGCACGGTATCACATACTCTGCCTCCACTGGAGAGGTGGACCTGGTGCGGAAGGCTGGAGTGAGCAGCAAGAGCTCGAGCAGCTGCGCAAGACGATGCGCAGTCTCATCGAATTCTATGATGACCATCGGCGCAAGCTCTCTTCCAGCGTCGCTGGCAAGGGTACTCAACAAGCTTCTCCGAACGAAGCTGAGTTCCGCGCCTACAACCTTCTGCTTCACTTGCGCGACCCCGAGACGCTGCGCGAGGCCGAAATTCTTCCCGGCAACATCTTCCGCTCGCCTCTCGTGCAAACCGCAATCAATCTGCGCCAGCTGGCGCAACGTTCCAACAACCTCGAAAAGCGCGGACAGCCGCGAAACACCGAGGCGACGCTCAACTTCTTCTCCAAGTTCTTCGCCGAACTGCGCAAGCCGAGCGCCAACTACCTCATGGCCTGTCTTGCCGAGAACTCGTTCAGCTCGGTGCGCATCGGTGCGCTCAAAGCCATGTCCAAGGCGTACATGGCGCAGCATCGAGCTATGCCGATCGAGAGCATCCAGCACGTGCTCAAAATGGATTCGGCGGAACAGGTCATCGCTATGGCAACGCACCTGGGCTTGGAGCTCGAGTTCGAAGCGGATGAACCGGTGGGCGTCAAGATCCACCGCAGCGCGGTTCTCAACGAGGACAAGCCGCTGGTGACGCCTTTCAGCACCAGCCTTGTTGAGGCCAAACGTGGGTCTTTCTCTAGCGCCGACGTGGTTGATGGTCGGGCGTCAGGCGCTAGCGCGATGCTGCCCTCTACACAAGTGGGTCAAGGCACGGCGACAAGGCCAAGAATGACACCGTCTTTCGCAGCTCAGACGAGCGCAATGCCTTCCTTCGGAGTCAAGGCACAGCAGCAGCCTGCGACAGCATTCGGAGGAGCGAACACGGCTACCTTCGGACATCAGCAAAAGCAGCCAGGCATGAGCAAGTCTCTTGCTTTCGATTCCACGTCGTCATCGAAGATGTCAGCTGCTGCAACATCATTCACGCCGGCTGCTTCCGGCGAATCGACTTCTGCCAAGCCGGGCGCCGCTTCTGCTTCAAGTCCATTCGGAGGCTTCACCGGCTTCGGCAAGAAGGATGACGAAGAGGTCAAAGCGAGTCAACCCAGCTCCGGTACCTTTGCAAACAATGCGACGCAGCTTAAGCAAGAACAGGCTTCAATACCTTCCTTCTTCGGTAACAAAGCAGCACCAAGCGCTGCATCCTCGTACACGCAGGCCAAACCAGCTCCGTCGCTGTCGAGCTTCTCATTCGGTCCACCCGCAAAGGCACCAGAGGCGGCTCTAGAAAATTCTGCGAAGACGAAGCAGGCGGCGGCACCTTCATACTCTTTCGGTGCTCCGACGAAACCGGCCTCTGGAGCAGCAACACCCTCGATGCCATCATTCTTCGGCTCTTCGCCGTCGGAAAAACCTGCCGAGAACGCAGTCAAGCTCACGGAGACCAAGCAAGACCATCTCGCGGCAACCGGTCAGAAACCAAAAGAGACCGCAGCAGCGCAGGTAGCGGCAGCAGCCAAAGTTCAGGCCGAGAAGGCAGCTCAAGCGAAGCTGAAGGAAGCAGCGCGCACCCACGCCGTCGATCGAGCGTACGCACAGCTTTTAGCCGACTTTGCCCGGTCGGTCTCAAGGGAGACCGCAACACGCGTGGCGCACGAAGAGGACGTTCGCCGCCGCGCTGCGTCGCGAGAACAGCTGCTGTCTGGCATCACCGACAAGCTTTGGCAGCGTTTGGCAGGAGAATGTGCAGTGGAAGCGGCGGAGCAGACGAGTCAGGTGGCAGCGGCACATGTGTTCAGGGAGAGAAGCTGTGCGATGCGAGCTTGGTCGCGGTGGATGGAGATGCTGGAGGAACGTAGGGATCGTGCTCACCAGCAGAGGCGATTGGAAGACATCAGGATGCAGATCCGAGACAAGAAGATTCTGGAAGAAACGAGCCCCATTCGACGAGTCTTTTCCATCCGTCAAGCTCTGCTAACGGGCGAGCGGCCAAGTGACTCAGCGTTATCGCCAAGGACGAAGCGCAAGCACGAGGATCTCTCTTCCGCGACGGCTGACCGACTCCACAACGACGAGGATCTGACCGAGAAGTGGACAACGGTACGACGTCAACGCAACCAGCTTTGGGCGGAAGGTTCGCTGCTCGAACGGCTGGCCGATCACGTCGAGGAGCTGCTTTTGCACTTCCGACCGGCCGAATTGGATCGTCTGGTGGTGCTGTACTCTGGAGCTCCTGGTCAGCACGTCGCTTCGAGCTGGCTGCGGGTCAAGTTTGGCTTCTCGCCGACTTCGCCATCTAGCAGCCCGAACAGCGAAGACGGCCGAGACGTGTTAGAGATCGATCTCGCAGATGGATCGCAGCTCGAGCTGGTCGACGTGACTCCGGCGTCGGACGGCAGTGAGGCCGCGCTCGATGCGATCTTGCCGGACGTAGACGGGCACAGACAGTCAGGGCTGGTGATCTTCGAAACGAGTCCTGCGGCTGCTCGGTCCGGCACGGTGGTCGAACGACAGAAGGCGCTCGCTCAGGATCGCCAGCGGCTCGAAGAAATTGCCGGCTGCGACCTCGTGAAGAGCAGTCAGCTCGCCTGTCGCCTGCTCGTCGTCAGCTGGGGAAGTGCGGAGTCCGACACCAATTGCTCAGCCGCATCGACGGCGTACGGGGACGATGATGTGGAAATGGCCGACGTCGACTCAGTACCGGCCCGGGTCACAACGCAACGTCCAGCAAGCTCGCTTGCCCTCCTCGGGCTTGATCCAGCTAAAGTCATTCGTAGTCAAACAGGCTCTGCCAATGCCGTGTCTGCAGCTCCCAGCAAGCCCTCTCCCGCGCTATCGAACGCATTCGAGCACATCGGCATACTCACACTCGACGACGCCTCCGTCTCCATCGAAATCGCGCTCACCAGCCTCCTTCCGCAGGTCATGCCGGACCTGACCCCCAACCCATCCCTCTACACCATCACCCGCCGCCAAGCGAGCCTGGAAGACGTTGCGCTCGACCTCTATGACCAGTGGGCGCGAACTTCGGCGCTGCTCTTCGACCTCACCTCCACCCTCGTCCCCGCTGGACCAGATGCAAAGGTGGAAGAAATGGCGTGTAAGGCGCTGCGCATCCTGACCGCGCTGGCGAACCACATCCTGCGCACGGTGGTGAGCCTCTCAGACACGCTGTTGGAGGACGACGAGGTTAGGACCATCATGCTTCCCCTGCCTAGCGGTGAAGGGCTGGTGCAGATGGCGCTGAGTCAACTGGACCAGCTCGAGGAGGAGGAGAGGATGCACCTTCGTTCAAGCCTGCTCTCCTCCTTTTCGCGGGAAGCGGGGCAGCAGAGTCTTGACGCGGTGCTCCGACAACATGCGGATCGGTTGTTCAGGCACTCGTTGCAGAAACTCAACGGCGTATGGATCAGAACGAAGGAGGGATCGGAAGCAGAGTGGAGACAGGCAGCGGAGAGGCTGGCGACTTTGTGTGGCGCAGCGGTGGAGGAGGTTGCGGCGGAAACGAGAGGCATTGCGGCAGAAGGGAGGAGGCGAGGGGAGCAGCAGGTGCCCAGCCCCATCTCGCCCAGTAAGCGGCTGCGTGTGGGATCAGAGGCAAGCACGCCGGTCAAGCAGGAAGAGGCCACGAGGGAAGGAGGAAAAGTGAACCAGCTTCGCGAGCTCATTGCTCGAACAAGGCAATTCCTCGACACGCCCGCTTCCTCACCACACATTTGATTCACGCATCTTTGACACAATACAATGCATTCCATCATACAGCTTTCCAACGAGTACAAAACGACTCCTTCCTATACCCCCATCCTCGGCCGCTTACCAATGGTACGCCCACCCACCCCTCCCCCGCTTCGCATCACGCTCGATATCCCAGTCCGTGCGAATGCCCGCGCTCGCAAAAGGTACCTTCTTCACCTGCTCCTTGGCAGCGCCCACCCGTTCGTCCACCTTGTACTTTTCCTTGAGCTGGTCGGCCTTGCCCTTTGCACCGACGCGGGTGTAGATCCAGTTGATGAAGCGACGACTTGCCCATCGGGGGAGGATCTTGTCGACGATGGCGGCGACGGGGAACAAACCATACAGAATGGTTGTCAGCGCGAGGGAGACGGAGCGCAGGGCGAGTTCGGGGACAATCACTGGCACAGGGAGTAGTGCCGCTCCACGAGGCGAAGCCGAGGTGAGGCTGAACGAGAAGAGACGGAAGGTGGGGCTTCCGATAGCCAAGGGTGTGCGCGAGACGGGCGAGGGGAAGGTGATCCAGAATCGGAAGTAGCCATCACCCGTTTCCACGGGAATACGACACTTGTACGTGCCGAGCACGCGTGTGGCTTGGGTGTCGGTGTCGACCGTGTCGATGGTCGACGACTGGGCTCGGATTTGCTTGTCGATTTTCTCCTTACGTTTGAGCGCGATGTGTCGTGTCTCCTGCGGCGCCTCCTGGCTGGGCTTCGTGAGTGATTGCATCTCGTACTCCTCACCATCGCGGGAAGAGTAGCGACGGGACTGCGGCTTCTCACCATAATCCTCGTCCTCCTGCTGCTTAGCGCTCAGCCCCTGCGCTTCCGCCTGCGTGTCCTTCCACCCAACTTGGCCGGCGGGAGTCACATCCCATCCCTTCTTACCGCCACCACCCAGGTAGCCAGCCGCATTCCATCCCACAACTCCGGCAATCCACCCCTTCTGCACCAGCTGCACATTCGTCCCCTTGACAACAGACTGAATGTCCCGCGACGAGAGGCCTTCGAGTTGCTTCCGTGCCTCGGCAGAGTATGCCTGGGCATAGATCGAAAAGGTCACATAGGACTCGGGACCGCGGTAGAGAAGCACTCGGGGGTTGTGGAGCGTGATCGAGTAGGCGATGTTGTTCTGCCAGATTGTGGTGGTGGAGGGGGAGAAGACGGAGAAGACGGAGCGGAAGAACATCTTGACGTAAGAGACCGGGTCGACCATGATGGGCCACAATCACGGGTGGGATTGAGCGATGGGTTATGGTGAGGAAGGAAGAAGCGAGAGCGAGGGTTGAGCGACGGATGAAGATGAAAGCGCTGATGCGGAGTGCTGAGTGTGCTAATTTTAGGTGAGCGCATCCTGCATCGACTGTGCAGCAACGTGCGGAGCGGAGTGTGGAGGAGAACCGCGAGATCGGGGTTGGAGCAAATCGCGATTGGCAAGGGTTCGGCCATCTCCGCATCATCGGATCTTCGGGAAGCAAGGTCCGTATCAGCGCAGCGCTCAGGTCGCCCTCAATCAATCTTCTTCCCCGGACTCTTTGCTCGCATCATCCACCCCGCATCTACGACTCTAGAGGATATCATTCTTTCGACCATCACCATCTGCCGACGGACAAGCCTCAACAAGAAACACCCTCCATAGTTCGGCCAAAGATGAAGGACGTGCTCAGCAACGCCAACTTTCCCGTAAGCTTCTTATCCTTAAACCCTACCCTGTCTCGTCCGTGCTGACCATCGTCGCTGTCTGCTCTTCCTCCAACAGCAAGACGCCCAGGGGCGCACCTACCATGTCGCAACATGTGCCGGTCAAGTAGCCAACCGAATCATCACGGTCGGCGATCAAGTGCGCGCGCACCGCATCGCCAAATCCTTCGATGGTGGTGCACCGCTATTCACCTTCAACTCGCAGCGCAACTTCCTCACGCTCACAGGCACCTTCCACGGCGTCCCCATCTCCATTGTCGCGATCGGCATGGGCTTCTCGGTGGTCGACTTTTTCGTCCGCGAGTGCCGCGCCGTGGTGGAGGGCGAGATGATCATTGTCCGTCTCGGCTCGTGCGGGTCGATGCAGCCCGAGTATGGCATCGGAACGGTGGTGGTGCCGAAAGCGAGCTTCGGGATCATGAGGAACTATGACTACTTTCATCATGATACGAGCGCGGATGAGCGCAGAGCGGGGGCGTTGGAGCCGTACATCATCACCAAGCCTTTGGACGCGGACGCCGAGGTGCACGATGCCTTGCTGGCCGCGCTCGAGGCCGACAAGCCCGCAGTGAAAGCCAATCTGTTCGAAGGTGGAGAAGCCAAGGCCGTGGGTAATACGGTCAATGCCAGCGCAGACAGCTTCTATGGCAGCCAGGGTAGAATTGATCCGGCTTTCGTCGATGCCAATGCCAACTTGATCGACGTGATCCGCGAAAGGAGGCCCGGTGTCGCGACGTTGGAGATGGAAACCTTCGTGCTCAACCACCTCGCTGCCGCAGCGAACGACGCGATCGAGCTGGCCGAGAAGAACGGACAGACGCCCGTGCACAAGGGTAAGATCCGAACAGGCGCCATTCAGATGATGTGAGTTCACTACCTTTTTTCCGTGCTGGGGAAAGAAAAAGTACTGACAAAGATTTATGTTTCGTTCGGCGCAGCTTCGCAAACCGCAATACGTCGGCGTTCATCTCTCCGGAGGAGTGCGAGACGCTCGAACACTGGGCCGGCAAGTCGGTCCTCGATGCTCTGGCCAGCATTGAGATCCCCAAAGAGGTAAGTAGCACAGGAGTAGAGAGGTCGCGCAAGATGACAGGCATGCTGACTGCTCCCACTCTTTCATTTGCTCGCCATTCGTAGAGACTGCACCCGCACGGCGTGTGGGACACCGCTGCATCTTCATAGACGGCTTTTGTCGACTCTGGCTTCTTATCGCAGAAATTCACCATTTGAGCAATGCATGCACAGGATGAGAATGTGACATGAGATGTGGTGTTGATTGATGCACGACATGAACGCTCGAAAGCGGTGGGAATAGAACTACATGGTTGAGAGGAGAGGCGAACAGTGAACGAATCAGGTCTGCATGTTGAGAAGCATGCCCTGGCCGCGTGGGAGGTAAGTGACGTTCTTGGCGCTGCTCAATGTCGATGCGATATCCTTGGACGCCTCGATCCTTCGGATGGTCAACAGACCGTCGCCTGCCTTCTCCAGTGCCCTTGAAATGGTTTGCGCCGCCTCGGCTTCTCCCTCTGCCCTGATAACACTCGCCTGTCGCTCCTGCTCGGCCTTTTCGACGATGAATTTGGCGCGCTCTGCGTCCTGCTGTGCGATCTGCTTTTGCTCGACCGCCTTTGTAAAGTCCTGTCCGAACGTCATGTGCGTGATCGAGACGTCTTCTAGGACGATGTTGAACTCCTTGGCTCGCTTGAGCAGATCCTCGCGAATGCGAGCCGAGACGACCTCTCGCTGTGTGATGAGCTCGGCAGCGTCAAACTGCGCCACAGTGGCCTTGAGCACTTCGTTTCCGATGGACGGAAGCACTCGCTCGTCATAGTCGATGCCGAGCGACTGGTAGATCTTGGGGAGGTGCTGGATGTCGGGTCGGCTGAGCACACGGAGCGTCAACGAGACCATCTGCAGATCCTTGGAGCCCGTGGTGGTGGAGATGTTGCGTGGCTTGATGCGGACGTCGTAGAGGATGGCCTTTTGGAGCCAAGGGACGAGAACGTGGGTGCCCTCGCCGGTAGCAATGTCCTTAACACCCTGGAAACGGTCGAACATGACGGCGCGGTATCCACCTGGAACGTCGTAGAGCGATGCCTGGAGTGCCATGACGCCGAGCCCCAGAGGGACGGCGAAGCGGGCCATCAAAGTCGACATGCTGGGCAAGATGAAGAGGATGAGGAGTCGAGGACACGGGGTGAGGGCTAGCGAGGTAGGAAGAAGGGATTAGCTTGCGACAGACGAGGATCAAAGGGGCCCAATTTCGACCCTTCTTGGCTTGTGCTGAGCTTTGGTCGCGCAACGTAAGCCTGCCAGCCGGCTCTGGCTCGAGCTGTACCGGACGAGAATTGCAACACGCTGGCCCACAAAAAAAGTTGAGAAATGAGAAGAAAGGCTCGATTTGGCCTCCACACCTCCTCCTCGTGAACCCTGAATTATCCAACCGAGAGAGAGCCTTTCACTTCACCCACGACCTCTTCTGCACATCATCTGGAAGCTCCATCGAGCGAGCGAGGCAAGCATGTCGATACGAGTCAGCTCCAGCGCTATATGGCGGTCCACAGCGCGACCCTGCGTCGAGGCAAATCGATTCCGCTCGTCGGCGGAGGCTCTCCAAACCAGTTCGCGGTTCGCTTCCACATCAAGGGTGACGCTGGGCATCAGTAAGAGTCCGCCTCGGTCAAATGCACCGTTGTCCGAAAGAAAGGCAGGCAGGCTGAGACGCAAAGAAGGCTCTCCCACATCGCCCCCCGCGCCAAAGCCGAGGAAGCTGCAACCCCCGCTTCCAGGGAGAGGCGTGAGCAACGCCTTCATCGACGAAGCAAGGCGCGACATGCAACTCAGAAAGATGCCATACGACGAGGCGGATCTCCAATGGCTCAGAGAGGCGCGGCATAGTCTGTACACGCTCAACGTGAAGGAGAAGGAGCAATCCAAACAGCTGAGGGACTTGACCAACGAGCTCAATGAGCACTATCAGTCGACTTCCAGAAAGGGAAAGGACAAGAGCACCAGTGCGAGCGACGATCTCGGAACCGACATTTCCGCTACTACTTCGATCAAAGAGGAGCCGAGCAGCAACGAAGGCAACGAAGGCAAGCAAAAGTACATCGCAGAAGTGAAGAAACGTGCCAGGAAGGTCAAAGAGGAGCTCGAGGCAACACGCAAGCAGCAAGACGAGCTTCGTTCACGAAGCGCGGAAGTGCGCCTGTCCTGGCCCAACCAGTGCCACCCGGATGTCCCGCTCGGCCCCGAGCAGAATGCGGTGTTGGTCTCTGTTCAAGACTCCCTCAATATCCTCCCCAAGGAATTTGACCTGGTGAAGGAGCCGTGGAACAAGTCAGTGATGCAAGCCAAAGACTTCCCCGACGGACCCGAGGCAGATCCGAAACGCGAACATCTTTCACTAGCGGCCACCGCCAGCGGAGCAGAGGTGGATACGGTCTCAGGATTGTTGACCACCGGAAGCTCGTGGCCGTATCTGCTGGGAAGCATCAGCTTGCTCGAGCATGCCTTGTCGCAATACGCCATGTCGATCGTGGTTCGCAAAGGATTCTTGGCCGTTTCACCGCCCGATGTCGTTCGAGCTGATCTCGCGGATCGATGTGGATTCCGCCCGAGGGACGAGAAGGCCAAGCAAACCTACTTTCTCGAGCCGACCAAAAGCAACAGCTCGGATGACTCGGCAGATCTCTGCCTGGCCGCCACAGCCGAGATCCCGCTCGCCGGTTTGCTCGCAGGTCGTCAACTCGACGCTTCCAACAAGGGGGGCAAGCCATCCTCTCCGGCCAGTGGTGCATCCTCCTTGATCCAAACGTCAGAGCTACCCATCAAGCTTGCAGCGCTTGGGCATGCCTTCCGTGCCGAAGCCGGCGCACGTGGAGCAGACACGCGTGGACTTTACCGTGTGCATCAGTTCAGCAAAATCGAGATGTTTGTCGCCACAGAAGGCGACCTGCAAGCGAGTGATGCCATGCTCGAAGAGCTACGCACCATCCAGGAGGAGGTGATCGGTGGGCTCGGTCTGCCGTACCGTGTGCTGGACATGCCCACAGAAGAGCTCGGAGCGAGTGCATATCGCAAGTACGACATCGAGGTGTGGATGCCGGGACGAGGATCGTGGGGTGAGGTCTCTTCAGCTTCGAACTGCACGACCTATCAAGCGCGAAGGCTGCGCATCCAAATCAGGAATGCAGGAACAAACGCGAACGATGTGAACGATCCGGAACATCCTACCGTGCATACGCTCAATGCCACGGCAGCCGCGATCCCGCGTCTCATCGTGGCTATCCTCGAGAACCACGGCGTGGAGAATGGCAAACTGGTGCTGCCTGATACGCTCAAGCCCTTCTGGCTGGCGGGCGACAAAGATCCCAACGTCACGTGGCTGTATACGGGAAAAGCTAGCGCTGGCTCGCAGTCGAGCCTGAAGCGGGCGATGACGCGCATTCGCTCGATCGCAAAGAGGAACGGCACGGATGCGCCGACCATGATGGCCTCTTTCCTGGTCTTGCACGAGCTCACTGCCATCATCCCGTTGGCGATCCTCTTCTACGTATTTGGCGCGCTCGGCGTTGGGACAGCCGTCTTGCAGTGGCTTCTCGGCGACGCGGACGCCGCAGCTTCGCAGAGCGAGGCCGACTCGCAACCGCTGCTGTCTCGCTTTCGGGCTTGGGCACGTCTGAAGGAGCAGCGCTTCGAGCGGTACTGTCGAAAGAAGGGCTACCTCGGCTTCGAAAAGCAGGACATCGAGTCGATCAATGCAGCCAATGACCTCGGCGACTCGAGACGCTTTGCAGGCTCGTTTGCCAACATGGTCGCGGCCTATATTCTGGTCAAGGCGCTGCTTCCAATCCGCATCGGTGCTTCGGTGGCGCTAGCGGGACCGTTCTCGCGTACCGTTCTCGAGCCTCTCAAGAGGCTGTTGCTCCGTCGCTCACCTGCGAAGACTTGCGTCTCCCCGTCGTGAGGCCGCAAACCTCTCTATATATCCCGGAAGGAAGCAGGAAAGCACACACTATCGGACTACGCCCATTTTCTGTGATTGTCACCACATAGAATGTAACAATATCACAAAAATCACGTGCAGACGCGTGTTTGCTCGCATCGATTCCGCTCCTGGCTAAGCCTTGACTTGTGTCTGAACGTGCTCAGCCTCGACCTTGATCACCATCAAGTATCTGAAGGCTTGGTCACAAAGCTGATCAGCGGATGCATTCTGGACTGTCTGTGACTGCAAAACCTGAGAGGGATGAATATCTCGAGATGGGACAGAGTTCAAGGTACAGTAGGCGGAACTCAGAGGAAGGAGACAGACAGTCCAGAAGTCGCCGAGCTCTGTCAACCAGCTCTAAGTATGAAGCGTGTGACTGCTTTGAGCGTTCAGAGGACAACTCAGCCATTGAATTGAGCTTGGTGGACGCGGCCTGGGGAAGTGTTGCTCTGCCTTGAATAGCTTGGAACAAGGCGCGTCGCTGTGTTGATCTCTGCTCAGTCTGCAGGCTGCTCTCTTTACGACGCGGGACTCGAATCTAAAAAGTGTTGCTCTCTCGTTCCGCAAGGGAAGAAGCGCGCGTCCACTCAAAGCAAACCCATCCGCAGTCACAAATTTACAGTCCAACCTCGTCTTCTATCTTTCCTTGCCCTCATCACCTCCAACATCCCTCGTCCTGACCCTCAGACAGTCTCCGCGCACCACCAGCAGACTGTTCTCTAGCGGTGGATCTGCTCCACCATTCCTCCAAACACTTGGCTGCCTGGTGCCGCCTCGCTCCTTCGACTCGGTTCATCCTCTTCTCGAAGCCTTGCCTCCGCATCCAACCTTGTTCCACGACCACGTCTACCACAGTCTCGTCTTCGATCGCCTTTCACGTTCCCATTCTCCCACACAACTGCTTCAACACCTACCTCCTTCACCGCTCTCAGGGCATCAACGCCCCGAAACTTCACCACCACCACAGCCAAGATGTCCGAGTCAGACTACATGTCAGATACTTCCGACTTTGCCATCCCGGCGAAGAAGGCCGCTGCTCCCAAGACGAAAGCGCCTCCTAAACCCAAGGCTGCTGCCGGTGCGAAGGCAGGCGCCTCCAAGGCTAGTGGCGCTGCTGCCAAGCCAAAGAAACAGCCCTTGGCTAAACGCAACAGTAATGGCGCCGACAGCGACCCAGATGTCAGCATGATTGACAGCGAGGCTGATGTCTCGTTCCAGCCTGTTGCACCTTCCAAGTCGGCCAACGGCAAGAGCGCTTCCGAGACATACCAAAAGCTCTCGCAGCTCGAACATATTCTCAAGCGTCCTGATACTTACATCGGCAGTGTCGAGAAGCACACAGAGAAGCTCTGGGTCTTTGACAAGACCAAGAAGCAGATGGCCTACCGCGAGACGACTTACGTTCCCGGCTTCTACAAGATCTTTGACGAAATCCTTGTCAATGCTGCTGACAACAAGGCGCGCGATCCCGGCATGACCCACCTCAAGGTCGACATCAACCGCGAGGACAACTCCATCATGGTCTGGAACAACGGTCACGGTATCCCTGTCGAGATGCACGACAAGGAGAAGGTCTACATCCCCGAGCTCATCTTTGGTCATCTCCTCACCTCGTCCAACTACGACGACAACGAGGCCAAGGTCACCGGTGGTAGGAACGGTTACGGTGCCAAGCTCGCCAACATCTACTCCACCGAGTTCACCGTCGAGACCGCCGATGCCAAGAACCAGGCCAAGTACAAGCAGACCTTCACCAAGAACATGCACGACAAGGGCAAGCCCAAGATCACCAAGCACAGCAAGGCCGATGAGTACACCTCGATCACCTTCAAGCCCGACCTCGCCCTGTTTGGCATGGAGTCCATCGACGACCACATGGAGGCCCTCATGCTCAAGCGTGTCTACGACATGGCAGGTACCGTCAAGGGCATCAAGGTCACCCTCAACGGCGAGCTGCTCAAGATCAAGAACTTCAAGCAGTACGTCGAGATGTACGTCACTGCCATCAACGAGCTGGGTGGCAAGGCCGACAATGGCGAGGAAGGTGGTGCTGGTGGTGACGTGCCCGCCGGCGCCGCTCCCAAGCCGGCCATCATCTACGAGTCGGTCGTCGACAAAGGACGCACCTGGGAAGTAGCCTTCGCCGTCTCGGATGGTGAGTTCCGTCAAGTCTCGTTCGTCAATAATATCGCTACTATCAAGGGTGGTAAGCACGTCGACCACGTGGCTGACCAGGTCATCACGCGCCTCATCGACCACGTCAAGAAGGACAAGAAGACAGGAAAGGTCATGCCCAATCAGGTCCGACAGCAGCTCTGGGTCTTTGTCAACTGTCAGATTGTCAACCCCACCTTCGACGGTCAGACCAAGGAGACCCTCACGCTCAAGCAGAGCGCGTTTGGCAGCAAATGGACCCTGACCGACGAGTTCGCCAAGAAGGTCATCAAGTCCGGTGTCGTCGACAACATCGTCAGCTTTGCGCGCTTCAAGCAGGACCAGGCGCTCAAGAAGACCGACGGCCACAAGCGTACCCGCATCACCAACATCCCCAAACTCGAGGACGCCAACAACGCCGGTGGAAGGAAAGCGCGAGACTGCACCCTCATCCTCACTGAAGGTGACTCCGCCAAATCGTTGGCTGTCGCCGGTATCGTCGAGGTCGGAAGGGACAACTACGGCGTTTTCCCGCTTCGTGGTAAGCTCTTGAACGTCCGTGAAGCCTCGCACGACCAGATCATGAAAAATGCCGAGATCAAGGCCATCAAGGAGATCCTGGGTCTGCAGCACGGCAAGCAGTACCTCGACGTCAACAGTCTTCGATACGGCAGCATCATGATCATGACCGATCAGGATCACGATGGTTCGCACATCAAAGGTCTCATCATCAACTTCCTCGATCACTTTTACCCGTCGCTGCTCAAGATCCCCGGCTTCCTTGTCGAATTCGTCACTCCAATCGTCAGGTGCAAAAAGGGCAACCAGGACCTGTCCTTCTTCACGATTCCGGAATACGAGCAATGGAGGGAGTCTCACAACGGTGGTAAGGGCTGGCACGTCAAGTACTACAAGGGTCTCGGTACTTCGGATAGCAAGGATGCCAAGAAGTATTTCCGAGACCTCCCCAAGCACAGGCTGCCCTTCGACGTCACCAAGGACGGCGATCGCGAGCTCATCGACCTCGCTTTCAACAAGAAGAAGGCCGATGATCGTAAAGAGTGGCTCCGACAGTTCCGACCTGGCACCTACCTGGACCACAACGCTCACCTCATTCCGTACGCCGACTTTGTCAACAAGGAGCTCATCCTCTTCTCCATGGCGGACAACATGCGTTCCATTCCTTCAGTCGTCGACGGTCTCAAGCCTGGTCAGCGCAAGGTCATGTACATTATGCTCAACAGGAAGACCCAGGGTGAGTTGAAGGTTCAGACCCTCGTGGGCACGGTCTTGGGTCAGGCAGCTTATCATCACGGTGATGCTGCGCTGACCATGACCATCGTTGGTCTCGCGCAGAACTTTGTGGGTAGCAACAACGTCAACATGCTCGAGCCCAGGGGTCAATTCGGTACTCGTCTCCTCGGCGGTAAGGACGCCGCTTCCGGACGATACATCTTCACCGCTTTGCCCAAGATCTCACGGGCTCTGTTCCCTCAGTCGGATGACGCTCTGCTCGATTACCTGGAGGATGATGGAACCAAGGTCGAGCCTCACTGGTATATCCCTGTGGCCCCCCAGGTCCTCATGAACGGTGCTGACGGTATCGGTACCGGATGGTCGACTTCGGTGCCCACCTACAACCCACACGAGATTGTTGCCAATTTGCGACGACGCATGGCCGGCGAAGACGTTATTCCTCTGAAGCCATGGTTCCGTGGCTTCACCGGTACCGTCGAGGAGTTCGCTCCTGGTCGTTTCAAGGTGAGCGGTCGTGTCAACCAGATTGACGAGAAGACCTGGGAGATCACCGAGCTGCCCATCCGAACCTGGACTTCGAATTACAAAGAGTCGCTCGAAGAGCGCGTCCTGTCGTCGGAGAAGCAGCCTGCAACCATCAAGGACTACAAGGAGTATCACACCGAGTCGACCGTCAACTTTATCGTCGAGCTGACCACCAAAGGTCAGGCTGAGATCGCCGAAAAGGGGCCGGATGCTTTCTTCAAGCTCTCGTGCCAGATCTCCACCACCAACATGGTGCTGTTCGACCAGGATGGCAAGATCAAGAAATACTCTTCGCCCGAGGAGATCTTGGAGGAGTTCTACCTCCTTCGTCTCTCGTACTACCAGAAGAGGAAGGAACACCTGGTGGATCAGCTCAAGCTCATGTACGACAAGCTGTCCAACCAGGCTCGCTTCGTGCAGATGATCATCACTCGTCAGCTCGTCGTGTCCAACCGCAAACGCGCCGACATTGTCAAAGACCTGCGCGAGAAGGACTTCCGACCCTTCCCCAAGCAGGGCAAGGCGGCGATCGCTGCCAACCCCGAGGACGATGAGCCGGTGGATGAGGAAGATATCTCAGCCGACTCGGACTTCGACTACCTGCTCAACATGGCCATCTACAACCTGACCAAGGAGAAGGTCGAGAAGCTTCTGAAGGAGCGCGACGGCAAGGAGGAAGAGCTCAAGATCCTCATCGGCCGCTCGCCCCAGAACCTGTGGGACGAGGACCTGGGCAAGTTCATTGAGCTTTGGGAAGAGATGCTCGAAGAAGATGAACGCCGCCTTAAGGATGTCGTCACCAAGGTCAAGAAAGGCAAGCAGACGAAGAAGGCTTCGGCCAAGACTGGTGCTGCAGCCCGCCGCGTTCTCAAGAAGGCGATCAACTCGGACGGCGAAGAGGAAGATGACGGCATGGACGACATCGACGGCGATGACTCTGAGGACGACTTCAAGCCGTCCGCCGCTGCGGGTAAGAAGAAGGCAGCCGCTCCTGCTCGTGTCAGCCCAGCCAAGAAGCGTGCCGCCGCTGACGCCTTGGATGACGACGACATGAAGCTGCTGCTTGGCACCACCTCCAACGGCGCCGCCGCCAAGAAGCCGCGTGCAAACGCATCTGTCTCGAGGTCGGCCACTGCTTCGCGAGCAACCACTCCTCAGGTCGTCGAGCTGGACGATGGCGACGACTCGAAGCTCGCTCCGCTGTTCCGAGCCGCTGGCACAAGCAGCAAACCCGCTGCTGCCACGAAGAAGGCCGCCGCTCCCAAGAAAGCGGCCGCGAGCAAGCCGGTGGAAGCCCCCAAGTCTTTCAACTTGTCTGACTCGGAGGACGACACCATCGCAGCTCCCAAGGCCAAAAAGGCTGCCGCCGCCAAGCCTGCTGCTGGCAAGAAGACAGCCACCGGTCTGGGACGCAAGAAGGCCGCCGCACCGGCCTCGGACACCGAAGACTCGTTCATGATCGACAGCCCCGCTTCGGCTGCTCCTGCTCGCGCCTCGGGTCGCTCGGCACGAGGCGCTTCGGGCAAGATGAGCTACAAGATCGATGATTCGGAGGACGAGGACTTCTAATTGCTGCTCCGTCGTCGTCTTACTCAAGCGTCCCGTTTTATGTATTTGTGTTGTTCGTGGCTATGGTAATCGTTTCCTGTTTTAGACTTGGGAAGTGCCGTGTGTCTGTGTTGAGCGGGTGGATCGGCTGTCATCTGTCTCGTGTCAGGCCCTGGCGGTCACCACAACCATGCACGAGGTCATTTGGCCGCCTTGCATCTACGCTGGATATCTTCCCTTGTCTCTCGTCCGTCCCTTACAGGAAGTGTGTGTCTGCATGCGAAGGAAGTCCTCTCGTCATACTCGATGCATGCAGTCGGCGACACACGCTGGGCTTTGTGTGCAAAATGGGGATCGTCATTCGCGCTCTCCTACACGCTTCCACTGCCGGCGCTATCGCGCAGCGCAGCCTCCTGAGCCCTCGCCAAGCCTCTGGCGCTGCTCCGATTGTTGCCGCTCTCCTGTTCGGCGCTCAACACCGCCTCGGCATACATCATTTTGTACCTCACCAGCTCCTCTGCCATCTCCTCTTTGGCGATCTTGGCCATGACGACGTCCTTGACCATCTCGACGTGTTCGGCGTTGACGCTGTTGAGTTGGTCCTCGAGGGCTTTGACGCGGGCGGCGAGGTTGCGGTTGACCAAACGCAATGCTTCCGTTTCCCTCCGATGCGCGTTGGCCGCCCGAACTTGGGTATCGAACTCGCTTGCGTAGGTGTCGAGTTGAAACGGCGTGATGGAGATGTTGAATGCGTCGCGAACAAAGGCGTTTGTGTGATAGACCGAGCTGATGGTCGACGACGCTCCCACCGGTCCACTCGCAACCACATTCTCGGCAGAGGGAGAAGAACGACGATAACACTCGAACAACTCCATCTTGAGAAACGTCACCACCCGATCAAACGGCATCTCCAACAACACCTCCTCGTTCCGTTTCATCAACGCCACCGCAAACCGAAACAACGCCTCCACCCCCTCGGCGAACACCGAATCCAAAATCCGATAGACGAAATCCAGAGGGAAGCGGTACGAGAAGAGCGTCATAAACCACTGACTCGCATACATGCTGCTTTTGACGCCCTGTCGCACCAAATGCCTATGCAGCAACGGTAAGAAGTCCTCGAGCAACCGATCGAATTGGAACAGCCGCAATTGCAACGCTGGCATGTTCGGCGTGAAATGCCCCCGAAGATCGTAGCTCTTCATCAACCTGACAAAGGTGGAAAACGCCTCTTCGTCCGGCATATTCAACAACAGTGGTCCAACAACAAACTGCATCCCCTGACAATACCCCACCTCGGGATCATAGAGACTATACGCCTTGATGACATTGTACAGGTTTTCCTGTCCGACACCCTTTCCGTCTTGAAAATAGTCCTGTTCGGGAAAGGTGCGGTTGAGATCGCGACGAATGGCCTTCTCGTGCGGCGAGGACTGTTTGAGGTAGTAGGCGTAGATGATTTCCATCTCTTCGTTTTTGCTGCTGCTCATGAGCTGCCACATCATCCCCCTTAGGGCGGGGGGGATGCCAGCTTGAATGGCGCGACTGAGCTGACGAGGCGAGGTGCGAGCGACGGATTGGTAGTTGGACATGACATCGCCCCAGAATTCCCAGTCGATCTGGTCTTCCGCCGTATCCGACGCGGGAGGGCCCGTGTAGGCGGTATCCGTCGACGTCGGCTCCACTTCGTCCCTTGCAGCGACCACAGAGGTGGGTTGGGGAGGATCGACTTGTTCTGTGTGGGACAACCGCTGTCCATCGCGAAGCTTGTCGAAATGCTCCTTGAGCTTGATCGCACCATCCAAGCTGGCGCGCATCTGCTTGGGATCGCCACTGAGTCGCTTGTGCTGCGTCTCGAGACGTGCGAGGAGGAAGTCGTAGTTGCCGGCACCATTGCGGACGGGTTCCGAGTCGACGGAGCGGTTGGTGGTGGTGGTGATGGTGTCTCGCCGCGAGTCGCGGCGGTTGGAGGAGGTCCAGCCGGCTCCGTCCCCGCCAACGGCAGGAGAGGCGCCGCCCAGACTGACGTTGGAGAAGTGCGTCGAGCTCACGCCTGGTGTGTCCGGAGCGTGGGCTGCGACAGGCTTGGAGGTGTCGGTCTGCGAGTAGCGCACGGGCTGCGATGCGGATTCATCGGTGGAGGCAAAGGGGTTCGAGATGGTTTCGTCCGGCTCGAGGAGGGAGGTTGCACCGACGGAAGGTGGGACCTTCTCGACATGGTCTGGCAGCGTCAACTTGGCTTTCTCTTCATCCAAGATGAGCGAGTCGGATGCTGATTGACTGTCGCGGATCTCGGCTGAGCTGAGAGGGACATCGTTGCTGAAGGAGTTGTCGTTCGAGGATGTAGCATTCAGGGTGGCAACGGAAGAGCTGGCTGGGATGCCATCGTCGGCGTTCTCTTTCAGTGCCGACGTCGGGTCAGACAGCCCGGGGAAGCCATCCTCGGTGGGTTTGGGTGTGAGCACTTGGGCCTCTCGTGTATCGGCAGCTAACGAGGGACGTCTCGCCGCTGGGTCGTCTGCTGTGGTCTCGATTGATGGGTCCTTTGCTGCAGCGTCACTCGTCTTTGCGTCGTCCTGCTTGTCCAGAGTCGCGTCGTCTGTAGGGTCTGCACTCGAGGACGGCGTGATGCCATCAGCGGGCGATCCATCGGCAGCGTCCTCGAAGTCGTCGTTGTCGGTGTGTGTGCTCGACTCGTATCCGTCGTGCGGCGCATCGAGGTGGGTCGCAGAGAGCTCGTCGGCGAGCGAAGCCTGCGTTGCTGAAGCTGCCTTGTCTGACTTCTTGTCGCCCTTGGAGTTGCGGTTGGCGAGCGCCGACGGCGGTGCCTTTCTCGCGCGCTTGGGCGGCATCCTGGGATGCGATCTGCCTCGTGGGATGGAAGAAACGCTGTTGCCGCTCTCTATGCAGTCTGACCTGCTCGCGCTGGGGTACTCTTGTCGGATAGGCGGTCGTTGAAGTCAAGAAGGTAGCAGCGCGTAGATACGGTTCGAGGAGCTCTGCAAAAGCCAGCGTGCACACGACTGAGCTGAGCAGAAGTGACGTGTGTGATGATAGTGAAGATGGGCGTCGCAGCAATGTGCTGGATAGTGAGAGGATGCAAAGTGCCAAAGGAGGTTGACACGCGACTATTTGAAGGATGGTCGAAGCGGCGGCATCTGCAGGAGAAGAAGCAGCCGTACCACGCCGCCATGCTGTCTTGGGCCCTTCTGCATCGGCACAGGCCAACCACGCGCTTGAAAGCCACCTTGAAAAAGGCTAAATAATTTGGCGGCGGAGCGCGAAGAAGAGTCTTGACAAGACCCTGAAAACTGTCAATTGAGTGCCGGGCGATCTTCTTTGCACTCATCCTCCAGGGATGTGCGGCATTGGCGTCTTGATCACGCCTGCCTCGACGCAGCAAGATGGTCACACGGTATCAGAGGATGGCATCAAGCGCTTGCGGGAAGCCTGGCCGTCCGTGCTTGAGAACATCAGCAATCGAGGCCCAGATTCGCTAGAGACGATCCAACACGACTTTCAAGTCACCACCGACGACATCGCCTCGCCATGGAACCTCTCACTGACAGCGAGCGTGCTCTGTCTGCGCGGCGAAGGTATCACTACGCAGCCGCTGGTCAGCGAGGACGACCGGCTCGTGCTAGCATGGAACGGTCAGATCTTCCATTGGGACGACCAAGTCACACGCTCCGATCAAGCGACCTCCTCCAAAGTGCGGCTCGACTCTGGACACAACGACGCCGTCATCCTGCTCGATAGGATTCAGCACCTGCTCGGTCAGCCAGATCAAGATGATGGCAAGACGACTTGCGAGCTGGCCCTTAACCTGACCCTGTCCGAGGTGGAAGGCCCCTACGCATTCGTCCTGCTCGACCGCACCGAATCCAAGCTCTACTATGGTCGCGACCCATTGGGCAGACGATCGCTTCTTCTGCATCGCTCCTCTACCGAGTCCGCCATCGCCATTGTCTCTGTCGCCAGTGAAGCTCTTGCATGCCTCGACCATGGATTGACCACCCTAACAGAAATTGACTGCTCCTCGCTATGGACTCTCGACCTGCGCACCCATCCCATCGTCCCTGCACCGCTCCCACGCCTCCCATCGCGCTTCACCTCCCCGCTCCTACTCCGTGAACTCCGCCCCTCTCCATCCACAACCGATCCCCCCGATCCACTCGCCACCTCACGGATCCGGGCGGACTTCCTCGCCGTCCTCTCCGACAGCGTCCGACGCCGCGTCACGCAGATCACCACCTCTCAACCGGCCAATTCGGCGCACGTGGCCATCCTCTTCTCCGGCGGACTCGACTGTACTACCCTTGCGCTCCTCGCCGATCGACATGTGCCGCGTGAGCAGCCGATCGATCTGCTCAATGTGGCGTTTGAGAATGTGCGTGCGATCGCGGCGGCTCGGGCTGACCGCGAGAGGCGTCGGTTGGTCGCGGGTAAGGCTGGAAGGAAGGCGAAGGGCAAGCACAAAAACGACGTCGTCGAGATGGACACAGAAGCAATGGGCGAGGAAGAGGAGAAGGTGGTGGACATCTATGCGGTACCTGATCGAGTGACGGGGTTGGCTTCGTACGAAGAGCTTCGTGCACTCGCCCCAAAGAGGCGGTGGAACTTTGTCTCGATCAACATCCCATACATCACCTACACAGCGCACCGATATACCGTAGCAGCGCTGATGTCACCCACCTCCTCAGTCATGGACCTCTCCATCGGTGCCGCGCTGTACTTCGCCTCTCGCGCATTTGGCCATCTGTGCTCTTCCACACCGTACACTTCGCCTGCCAAAGTGCTGATCTCCGGTTTGGGAGCGGACGAAGTGCTCGGCGGCTACTCGCGCCATCGAGCTGCGGCCAACCAGTCGCTTCAATCGTTGGTGGACGAGCTGCAGATGGACCTGGATCGACTACCCACCCGCAACCTGGGTCGGGATGATCGGGTGCTGTCCGACGCCGGAAAGGAAGCTCGCTACCCGTTTCTGGACCGGACCGTGCTCGAGTTTCTCACAAACATACCCGTCCATCAGAAGGTCGATCTCGATAGAATCGGAACAGACGGTGCCGGGGGCGATAAGAGGTTGTTGAGAGACGTGGCAAAGGCGTTAGGTCTGGAGGGCGCGAGCGAGCTCAAAAAGCGCGCCATGCAGTTCGGCACCCGCGCCGCCAAGATCGATGTCGAAAGCCGTCATGTCAAAGGTCATCACAAGATCACATAGATATGGAATCCAAAAGAATGAAATGTCCTACGAATTGCAAGAGAGACGAATGGTGGCTAGTGCGAGTAGTTGCCGAGGGGCGGGTAACCCATAGCGCTCTTGGCCGGGGTGGGAGCCAACCTGTTTGGGCTACTACCTCTCCAATCGTTGCCACTGACGCTGAGGGTTCCGTCGCCCTCGCTGCTGCCCGTACCCGCAAAGAGCGGATCTTTAACCTCCCACACAGCCTGCTTGGAGCCGACACTAAACTCGAGGTCCTCCTTGGTAATGCTGTCCCAGTACTTGTACACCATCATCACGGCGAGGAGCATGCAGAGGGAGCCGAAGAAGGTGCCGTCGATGTAGTGCTTGACTGCGCGGCAGACCTCCTGGCCGAAGCCGTACATGAGGATCAACCCAGCGGCGAAGAAGAAAAGGCCGAAAGTGATGTCACCCAACGGCCAACGGTCGTCGAGCGTGCGCAGAACGAGGAGGACCTGGGAGACGACGTAGATGATGACGCAAGCGAGGGGGAAGATGAGTTCGACGATCCACAGGCCGGTCTGTTTGGTCGGCGACATGCCTGCGAAGCCCTTGAACGTGGCGATGGACACAAAGAGGCCGACGGCGAAGAGGACGACGGAAGAAAGACGCAGGAACCAGAGCGACTTGGGCGTTCCATCCTCGGCAAACTGGAATCCCACAAACCCGTTGATCAACAGACACCAAAAGATCGCCGTCTTCAATCCCACATATACCGCCGTGAGATACGTATACGCCGCCGAGTACGTCGGAACGATCGCCGAGTCGAGGAAAATAACCAGCACCTCCGAAAGCGCATAGAGGTAGAAGAAGAGCACGATCTCCTTGCGCCCGACCGCCGTGTACTTAGAGCGAATGTGGTAGACCATGATGGCGGTCATGACGAGCGCGGCGATGTGGATGAAGCAGGTGGCGGGCTGAAAGATGATCGTCTTGTTGATCTCGACGTTGCGAGAGTAGCAGACGGGTTCGAGCCCCAGGCCGGAACTGCCCAGGAGCGGACAGACGACCATGGCGATCTCATCGCAGATGAATGAGTACGAGCCGAACGCGAAGCCTGGCATTTTGAAGATTGGTAAGCAAGCCAGTGGTCACTGATGTAAGGCGAAAAGTCGATGGGTGCCTAGGATGATGACGAACGTGTTGATGCTTTGGAATGCCTCGTCGCGACTGTTGTGAAAAGAGTGTGGAGTGGCTAAGCCGAGTCGCGGTCACGATCGTGTCGCCAAGAGAGTGAGTGATCGTAGCGAGTCTGCGCGGCGTGAGCGTGTGTCGATTTGATGTGCAGAGAGATGCTGGTGAAGGACGAAGCAGCGATGAGGGATGAAGAGAGGGAAGAAGCATGCAGACACACCAAGTCGCGATCGATGAGAGATGTTTCTCAAAATTCACCGTTGAGCAAAGCAACAAGCCAACAGGCGCAGGCAGTGCTTCGCTTCGCCGAGGCCGTGTTAGCGAGTCTGCCTGGCTCACTCGCTCACTCACTCACGCTTGGCTGGCTGGGACAAACACGCGCTGCAGTCGCTGATTTTCTTGCTGCAGCTCTGCCTGCAGGGGATTTTCGAATTGCTAGTTCGCGATCTTGACCCTTTTGTAATTGCTACAACACTTGAATTCCAGCTCGCAAAAGGGGTTCGATTTCTAGCCAAAATAAAAAATAAAATAAAAAAACGACGTCGCGAAGAGGGTCTTTGCTGGCCCAGGAGTCCTTCCCCTGTTCTCCCGACAAAGCCTCATCAGGAGCTTCTGTCTCAGTCGCACAATGCGAAGGCTTCGTCGTCATGCTTCCTTTGACTGATGATGGCTGGCGACTACAGATACGGTACAAATGACACAGATGTGCAGACCTGTACATGCCCTTACAGCGCCCAGATCTTGACCACGCTGTCCTTGCCACCCGAGACAGCGTATCGGTCCATGTAACGCAGCCTCTCCACCGGCGAAGTGTGTCCGTTGAGCGTCAACGATCCATGCTGCAGCGTGGTGCGGTTAAAGATCTTGACTTCGTTCTCGCCCGTTGCTGCGAGGATCTTGCGCGAATCGAATTGCAATGCCGTGACGGGGTGATCGTACCGGATGGTGTCCGAGATGCTGCCCATGCGCAGGTCCCAGATGCGGATCGACTTGTCCAAGCTGCCCGAGATGATGTGGTGCTCGTCGAACTGCAGGCACGTCACGGGGGCTGTGTGGCCCAGCAAAGTGCGGTGCGCTTGACCCGTTCGCATGTCCCACATGCGCACACCGCCGTCGCCGGATCCGCTCGCCAGCGCGTAGCCCCAGAACTGCACACCGCCTACAAAGTCCTGGTACATCTCCCAGCTGCCGTCGGCGTACGGTGGCGTCGGATAGGCGAAGGCGCCCGCGAGGCTGTCCAACACCGAGAATGAGTCGCGCGAGCTCAAACCGGGCCTGTTCGAGCCCAGGATGGACGAGGAGGATGCTTTGCGCGAGGGCGAGTCAGGGAAGCCAAACTCGGACTGCGATAGTGCTTGGGAAGAAGTCGGGTTGGAGATGGCCCACAGGATGTCCATCGTCAGCACGCACTGGCCCGTGTTGAGATCCCATTGGCGCAATGTCTTGTCGGAAGCACCAGTCACGAGGCAGTTGTCGTCAAAGTACAATGCGGTGACTGACTTGCTGTGCCCCTCCAAGCTCTTGACGCATGGGTCGAATTCGTCCCGCACATCCTCGTCGTCCTCTTCTGCGAACGTCGTGTCGCCATTGCGGATCTTGATACTGCTTGTGCTCTCGTCTCCGGCGAGTTGAGGACTGCGATTCAAGTCGGGCGACCTCCTCCTCGCTGGAAGCTCTCCGGAAGCCGTCATGGTGAGTCTCGCTTCGAAGTTCTGCACTTTGGTCAGGTCCCAGATGCGGACGGAATGGTCCGAGCCACCGGTGATGCACACCTCGTCTTCCACCTGCAGACATTTGACGGTCCCCGAGTGACCGCGCAACCTGCCGACCTCGTCTCCCGAGGCTAGATCCCACACGCGCACGGTCTCGTCCAGCGACGCTGAGACCAGCGTTCCGTAAGGCTCGGTGAAATCGAGCGAGGTGATGGGTGCCGAGTGATCTGCAAGCGTCATGAAGGCGACGCCAGATGGCAGCTCGTCGTGTTCTGAGGGCATGAAGAGCGGTCCCTTTCGACGACGGCTGCTACCCTGACTGGTCGTAGCTCCGGTAGCAGCCGCATTGGCAGCCGCTGCAGGACCACCGGGCATTGCACGCAGATGCTTCTGGACGGCCAGTAACTCTCCCACACCCTCGTGCTCATCGTTGAGCTCCAATTCCTCTTCGCGAAGACCGAGCAGCTTCTTGTTGAGACCCGCCTTGATCTTCTCCAGCACCTTGATCTTGGCATCTACAGCAGACAGCTCCGAGTCGATGAGCGAGCGTCTGACACCGACGTCGTCCTGTTCGCGTTCAATCTCTCGCAGCTGCCTCTCGAGCTCCTCCAGTTCAATGACCGAGGCGCGTGTCCCATCCTTGCCTCTGGAGAGTATGCGACTGGCCTGATTCCGGCGTGCGTGACGCTGCTCGCGTGCTTGAAATGCCGAAACTGGCTCGGTGTCGACGCCCTCGACCATCAGACCTCGCGCCTTGTCGCCCATCGCTTTGAGTCCCAGCTTGGTGGGGCCTTCCGGTCCATCCTCGAATCCACTGGCAATGGCTCGTACTCGCCTGCGCCGTTGACGTCCCTCGGTCGAGCTAGGTATTGTTGCTTGAAATCCTCGAAGAAGAGAGACCGATGGTTCCGACTTGTGCTTGGCGGCTTCGATGGCAGCTCTGGAGCCCGACTGTGCATCGCCGTTGGCGTTGAGATCGAGATCCTGCGCTGCTGTGGCGAGAATGCGGTCGCTTTCTTCCAAGACGAAGAGCTCATGAGAAGTGATGCCGTTCATGGGCCCACGACCGATCCCAGATTGAATCAAAGACCCGCCAATGCGGACCAGCGATCGAGCAGGGCTGCTGATGGAAAAGCCCGGAGTCAACAGCAGGCGGGCTCGCCGTTGACCGTCAGGTGTGAGCCCGAGTGCGGTGTTGGAATTGGACACGGCTGCCATCATGCGAGTGGTCATAAGCTGTGGCGCAACGTCTGAAAGCAGACGACCTGCCTCGTTCTGGCCATGGACGCCATTGGAGCCCAGATAGGGAGAGCCAGGTGTAAAGGGCTGCAAGTAGGCTTTTGTGGAGCTGATGGCTCCTGTGAGCGTGTCGCGGATCGAGGCGGATGTTGGAAGGCTGGAGCCAAAGTCGGCGTTGCGCCAGTCGGCGCCAAGCAGAGGGCTTTGGCTCATGCTGAGCCTGGATGGTCAAGTGCGGGACACCTGTTCGCTCTCGTCTTCAACGTCCTTCGAAGTTTCGGACCGGTGGGTCAGGATCGCCGGGAATCGCACTGGTGATCTCTTGAAGATCGGGCGCACAAGATCGTAGTCGCAGGGCGATGTGTTTCAGCGTTCGATGAAGATGCTGCGTATGGTTGACGTTGCGTCGGTGATGCGTCGTAGCCGAAATGCGATGATGAAATGGAGCCTTGCGCTCCGTGCGCAGCAAGAAAGCGTATCAAAGGAAAGAAGCGACGTCGGTTTGGAAAGCTTATGTGCTCGGCCATGAAATGAAGTGAAGTGAGATCGGTCGATCCTTTGTTGGTTTGGTCCGCCGCGCAAAGGCAGGAAGGGGAAGAGGTGGATGAGAGCTGCGAAGGAAGGCAACCTCGAGGTGTCGGCCCCTTGACAGGATTGGGCTCCGCTCTTTTTCTCGCGGCCGGAAAAAGAGGAGACCGGGAATAGAAGCAATTGGGCCTCGCCTCGCTCAGCCTCGTGCACGCGCTCAGTCATATTCGGCCTCTTTATCGCACTCGATTTCTTCTCGCACAGACTGATTGCGAGGTAGACTAGTCGGGCTGCCTCAGAAAGCTCATTCAACGAGCTAGCAAATGACTCTGCAGCTCCGGCTCTCATTGCGATGCAAAGCGCTGCGCCGACGCTCTGCTTCATGAGCCTGCAGGGTCGGTCTCGGTCGCACAAAGGAACAACAAGACAACCTTGATTAAGCTCTAGACTCTCTCGACCTTCGATAGCGCCAACCTCTGAAAGCCTTTCCTCTCGAATCACTTTCTTCCCTTTCTTCTTGAACGCACAGGCTGCGCCAACAGCCAAAGTGTCTCCATGCTCTCTGCTCTCTCGAGCGCCGATCATCGTCGAAGAAAGGAGGAGCGAGGAGCTTGTTTGCTGCTCAGCAAATCTTATGTCGCCCCTTTCATGCAGTGAGAACCTTTCGCACGGTTGACGCGTGAATTGTGCGACACGCTGCCGCTCTTTCTGAAAATATGGCGTTGCGAAAGGCGCTTTTCGCGTAAATGGACGGGCCACAAGGCGAGGGTGAGCGAGAGAGCTCCAAGACCCTGGCGAGAGAACAAGAAAGAGTCTTGTCAAGGCGCAGAGAGTACGAGCAAGGGCACGAGAGGAGCGCTGAGAAGATTCCACGAGCCAGGGTCACTCGGTTAGGAGAGCCAGTGGGTCAGCCAGGGTTCAGTGCGAGCCTTTCTTCTCGCTCTCTTGCTCTTGACCCATACCGCTCTTGCTCGCCTTGCACTCCTCTCTCTGCCATTCAACCTGTCTATCAAGCGCAGCATAGCATCACCTTCTTGCTGCTCCATCGCTCACGTCCGTCTCCGCACCAACTAGGCAGCCTGAACAGCACTGCCCGGAGCGATCGAGATCCAGCAAACGGACTCGTGCTGATAATCTACCGATAGCATCCGTCAGCCAGTATCACACCGCCAAACTCTCACTATGCCCCTCACAAGAGCCATCTCAGCCCGTCTACGTACAGGTCCGCAGCGACAGCCCGCGCCAGCACCCCTCGACGCCGAGAACGAGGATATCGTCATGATCAAGGCACGCGCCAAGACGACCTCTGCTTCTGTGCTGGGAGCCACCCGCGCTCTCGTCGCTGGTGCCCTTTCGCAGCTAAACGTGCAGAGCTTGTCCTCGAACAAGGCTTCCTCGTCTTGCTCGACCGGCTCAGCGCCCCCAACCACTTCGTCATCATCCAGACCGCGATACGTGCGAGCTGGCAGCAGCCGCTTCTCCTCTCGATCCTCCACTGGCTCCCGGCGCTCTGTCTTGGGCAGCTCCGAATTTGGCGACTCTTCGGACGACGAGAACGGCAGTCAAGGCCACTCGCGCAGGCTAGGAGGATGCTCCTACTTGTCCTCCGCTGCTCATCGACCCGACGACTGCAACAAGGAGAACGTGGCCCCCTTCCGCTGCGCTTCTCAAGACGTGCTCGAGACCGAAGCTCGAAATGCGCAGGAGGAAGATGCCGTTCGCCGCATCACCAGCCAGTCCCGTCAAGGCAGTCTCGTAGAGCGACAGAGCTTCTCAGGACCCTCTGCTTCCTTGCGTCGCCTCAGTCGAAGCTCCACCACCTCCGACCTTTCCACCACTTCAGGTAAGTTTCTCATCCGTGATGTTTCTTGCTCCGCTTCGATTTGGGTCCATGCTCTGCTGTGACGTTCTGCTACTATGTCAGTGCATGCTTGACCAGGACCTGAGGAGCATCTGAGGGTCCCGCGGGCTGCTGTCTCGCCTGGTCAAGCTGGCTCGAGCTGGTGGCAGCTTGACTGCTGCCTGCAGGCCTAGAAACTGCTCGAGCTGCAGCCTGGATTTCAGAAGGAAAACTCCACTCTCTCCCACACAGTCACAATTTCCTCTGTCTCGGCTGCAGCGTCACTGTTGGAAAAAGTGGCACACAGCCAGGCCCACGACGCGCCAATTTACGCGTTGAACGCTGCAGTCCGCGTTGATGACTGCCCAACTGCCCAGATCCAAATTTCAGGGCAGCAGAACGGCACATGCAGGACAGGTTTCAGAACTGCGAAGAATCGAACAAAAGGGACTGACCATCATCCTCCTCATCATTCCTCTCATCACACTCTCATATCATCGTCTTCTCTTCTCGATCGACTTTGCACTTGCTCCATCTCTCGTTCTCGCTCGTTTCCTTCGCTCATCGCATTCGTTGCCCGCGCACTCTTTCTCGCATACCCTGCATTCCTTCCTCGCCGTATTCTGCCATCGCATTTCACCGACAACCTCTGCTCCTTGATACCCCTTCCTACCACCGCTCCACGACTATTGCCCACCATGTCAGCTCTCAACATGCCAAGAACACCCTCAAGACGACACGCTCGATCCTCGTCCAGCATTCACCACCCCGTCGAGGCCACACCCACACGCCGACCCTCGACCCTCTCAGCTTCAGGCAGGAAACGATCTCGCAACGATGTCGACCTCGACCACGACGCTCTCCCAGCCAGCCCCCTCTCGCGCCTGCGAATCGAGACGCCAAGCATTAGATCCACACTCGACACGCCCAGCTCATCTCGCCTTATCCCGGACGAGGACTCCAGCTCCTACTTCCCCCTTTCCTCGCAAGACTCGACGCAGAGCTCTTTGTTCGACACACGCAGCGTCTCTGAGGGTTCTTCTGCGGCGACCTCCTCGTGCTCCTCCGATCGCGACGTCTCGCCGCCCATCGTCGCTCTTCTCGAGTCGGGCAAGGAGAAGTACTCTTCCGTCTACGCACACGCGCGTGCCTTGCTCCGATACGCAGCGGGCGTCGATCCAGCCGAGACCGAGGCGGGGCTCACCATCCCCTCCTCCGCAGGTGGGCATCACGTCAAGGTCGTCGGACGCGAATCCGAGCGTGTCGCCATCCAGCTGTTCCTCCACTCGACCTTCTCTCTCGACCCCTCTGCCCCTGCCCAAGCGCGCACCCTCAACGTCGAGCTGGACGGCGACTCGGACGCCTCCTGTCTCTACGTCTGTGGTCTTCCCGGTACCGGGAAAACCGCACTCGTTCGCTCGGTCCTCAACAGTCTCCCTCCCACCTCTTCACCTCGCGTCGCATTCGTCAATTGCATGACCCTTTCCCATCCACGTCACATCTTCTCCTCCATCCTCACCGCTCTAGGCTCCAACGTCGCCGAAAATCAGTCCGACGCCTTCGCCGAATCCGCCCTCTCCAACCTCATCCACAGTGGGCAGCAACGCATCCTCATCGTGCTCGATGAGATGGACCATCTGCTGCAATCCCGTGCGCACCAGAACATTCTGTACAAGATCTTCTCGTGGACTGCCGGAGCAGGCAAGTGCGGGCTGGTGGGGATTGCCAATTCGCTCGATCTGACGGAACGTTTTGTGCCACTCCTCGCTAGCAAAGGGGCGAGTCCGGCGCTGTTGCACTTCCGACCGTTCGAGGCAGGGGAGATCGTCAGTGTCATCCGCGACAGGTTGTCGGGTCTGCAGTCGAGATACGATGATGCTCCGCAAGAGGAGGTAGTGGAAGATTTGCCGCTGTTTACGCCGACGGCGGTGGAATTGTTGGCCAAGAAGATTGCGGGGGCGACGGGCGACTTGCGCAAAGCGCTGGATGCGGCGCGCTTGGCGGTGGAGCTGGTGGAGGGCGAACAGCGCAAAAAGGCCCTTTCGGAGGCGGAGCGAGTTAAGGTCTCTTCTCCCACCGAAGGCGTCGAACAGGAGGTGGCAAGTCGCGCGAATCTGCTGCGTCACCTCACACCGTCGAGCGCACCCAAAGTGACGCCAACGCAGATACTCAAGGTGCTTACGTCGGTGTTGGGCTCGCCGAACCTGTCCAAGGTGCGCTCGTTGGGGGTGCATCCGAAACTCGTGCTGCTGGCGATCCTCATTGCGCAGGCACGTGCCGCGGAGGGACTGTCCGTGCTCGGATCCACTTCCACTTCCACCACCACCTCTGGTGGAACACGCATCGCGGATGTCGAGTCGACCTACCATGCGCTCTTGCGTCAAGAACAGGGGCTTTTCTCCCCCCTCGAGGGGTCGGAGTTGCTAGGCGTGTTCGACATGCTCGAAGTCAACAGCGTGGTGCGCATCACTTCCGAGATCGACTCGCACACGTCCTCATCCTCTGCAGGCGGGGTGGTGAGTAGCAGTGTGAGTCCCAGTGGCAAGCGGGCGGCGAAGAAGCAGCTGCTGGCGAGCAGTCGTTTGGTCTACCTCGCCATGAGCGCGGACGATGTTCAGCGCGGGATTTGCACCAGTGGGCCCGCGACGGGTGGTGCGGCGAGCGGGGGCAATGTCGCTGTGGCAGAAACCATCGCCAGGGTCTACGCTAGGGAGAAGGACCGCGCCGTGAAGGCCAAGGTCTACCACAGCATCGCCCAGGAGAACGCCAGGATTAGACAGGACGAGCTCGGCGGTGGACGCATGGGCGTCCCCGTCGGTGAATTCTAGACTACCAGCATCACAGTAAAAGCATCCCAAAAGCATCACACCCGTCGTTCAATCGCATTCGTTCATCTTCATCTCCCCTTGCCTATGTGTCCGTGTCTGTATTGATGGTCGGAAAAGCTGGACATTGCATTGCGATCATCTCTAAGCCCTCTGCCTCTGTCTAGCACCGATAGTCTTGAGATTAGCATACACTTTGCCGGGGGGGCTTCCCCTGATCAACGCCACCACGGCATCCCTAGCGATCTTGATATTACCAAAGTTGCCCAGGATATGAATCTTCGTGTCGGCCACGACCAATCTCGTCCTACTCGCATTTTCAATTGCGAACCTTGTCCTTCCGTCCTTACCCGCAATGCGTCCGATGGCTCTGGACAAGTTGTCCCCCTGCAACGTCTTGACGTCCTTGATCTCGAACGTGTCGATGAACAGGTCATCCATGCGCAACAGTGCGATTGCGTCGTCAGCGTCGAATCCGAGCGCGAAGGCTTTGACGAAATCGGCGCCCTTCTGGAGCATCCCCTGCTCCTGGGTATAACGGGAGGATTTGAGTTCGACGCACTTCTTGGCGACATTCATTCGAACTTGAAGCGAAGCCATTTCGACCAGAGGGGTGTAGATCTTGTGCCACTCGTTTTTGAGCGGGGTGAGACGGTGGGGTGGGATGGGGATCTTTCGCAATTGACCCTTGGCGACCGCGGTGAGGGACGAGGCGGCTGATGCTGAGATCGGCGCGAAGGAAGGCTTCGAACCCGACGCCTCGGCGGGAGTGGCAGCAGAGGCGGAGGGAGCAGCAGGAGAGGACGTGCCAATCATCAGATCGTCGTCATCCTCCATGGGGGCGGTGGCAAAGGTCGAATCGGCAATATCGACGTCTTCGTCATCCGATCCTTCTTGGCCAAACGGCTTGCTGTGCTTCAGCACCACGTCGCCATCGTCCTCCACAGCGGAAGCCTTCTTGGGCGTACCGACCGCAGATGACTTGGACGAAGGCTTCTTCATCTTGCTCGCGCTGCTAGAGGACGAGGCGGCTGCGGCCTGCTTGCTGGATGAACTTGCGACCATGGTAAAAGCGTGTGTGTAAGATTCAATCGTTGATCGAGTTCAAAGTTTCCGTAATAGATGGTAGAACGCTATGCTCGAGAGTGGAAGATGTCCGTCGCGGCGTGTGAGCAATGTACCGAGTGGGAGTGGAAGAGCGGCTTTCGATATCAGTGGCGGTGATGGAGGTGATAAGTGGATGATGGAGAAGAAGCGTGCTGCCGGCCAAACTCAAATTTGGGCAAGAAGCCATGTCAAAAAGAAAAATTCGCCCTGCATCATCCCAAGCCGAGACCAAAATTTTGCAGGCAGCAGAGCACTCTCTCGACGCGGCTCAAACTTGCTCATCCCTGGTGCGTTTTCGGCGTTTGTTAGGCCGGTAAAACAAGTTTGTTGTCAGCCGCTGAATCCGCTCTCAAGCTCCTCTCACGGACGGTCGACAAGATGTGTGAGGAAGGCAATATGGATTGCGGATGGCCAGTCGCAACATGACCGCAGTCCGTCGCTGCTTTCAGACTTGCTCATGCTGGCTAAAGCACAAGCGGTGCAAGATTGAGCCGCAAGAGACAATTGCACGTAGCAACGGACAACGAAGCCGACCGAATGAGACTATAATACAACGCATCACGAGCAAGAGCGGGAAGAGAAGTCAGTTAAGCCTTCCCTTCGAGCTTCTAGAATGACGCATGGGGTGTGTAGACAGCTGAATTGCCTACTGACCGTCCGCTGAGCGTGCGACGAACGAGTCATCGGCACGCGGGACAAGATCTTTTGGGGTGGTGGATAGGTGAAGGTGATGATGGAAAGGGTCGCCTCGAACAGAGAGCGGATGGCCTTCAGATTGGCGGAAGACGTTTGGAAACCAAGGTGGGTATCGAGCAGAAACGCTTAGGCCTCGGTCTTGGGGGCCTCGGCCTCAGTCTCGGGCTCGTTCTGCTGGTACTCCTTGAGAACCTCGAGGGCCTCGTTAACCTTGGCGTCCAGAGCCTCGCTCTCCTCAAGGAGGTGGAGGAGCTCCGTGACGGGCAGCTCGAGGATCATACCGGTGAGCTTACCGGCGAGCTCGGGCTGGCTGGCGGCGACCTTGGGGTAGATGGCCTCACCGAGCATCTGCTTCTGCTCATCGGGGCCGGCCTTGGCAAGGGCGGCAGCGGTCAGGGTACCGGGCTGACCAGCGTCAGGACGGCCGGCGGGACGAGCGGCAGGGCCACGGGGCATGGGCTGACCGGGAACGGGCTGGCCAGCAGGGCGAGGAGCACCGTTGACGCCGGTGGGAGGGCGAGCACCAGCGGGAGGGACAGGGCCGCCGGCAGCGTTGGGGGCACCGCGAGGGGGGCGGGCAGGGCGGTAGCCCTGGGGCATCATGCCAGCGGGGAACTGGCCAGGCTGACCGTAAGGGGCCATGGGCATGCCCTGGGGCATCATGCCAGCAGGAGCGTAGCGGGGGCGGGGCATCATACCGCCGGGCTGGCCAGGGAAGGCACCAGGCTGGGGGTAGTACATGCCGGGGCCGGGGTAGCCCATGCCCTGAGCGGCGGCTTGCTGCTGGAGACGCAGCTGGTTGCGCTGCATGATCTGAGCCTCGAGCTGCTGGCGACGGTCGTCCTTGCGCTGGGCGAGAGCGACGTAGAGGGGTCGGTTGTCGAGCATCTTGCCGTTCATCTCCGAGACAGCCTTGTTGGCCTCCTCAGGGGCATTGTAGCAGACGAAACCGAAGCCACGCGAGACACCCGAGGTAGCGCGCATGATCTTGCACGAGGTGATGGTGCCGAAGGGGGCGAACTCCTCACGCAGACGCTCGTCGTCGTACGACTCGGGGATGTTCTTGAGGTAGAGGTTGACGCCCTGGAACTTGGCGAGCTTCTCGTTCTTGGCTGCCTCGTACGAGCGGCGGAGCTCCTCCTCACGCTCGCTCTTCTTCTGAGCACGAGCGACGAAGAGCTTCTGGCCCTTGAACTCAAAGTCGTGAAGCTCGTCGACGGCCTTCTGGGCCTCGTTGTGGTCCTCGAAGTTGACGAAACCGAAGCCCTTGGACTTGCCGTCCTCGTCGCGCTGGAGAACGCACGAGGTGATCTTGCCGTACTTGGTGAAGAGCTTCTCGAACTCGTCGTCGGTGACCTCGGGGTCGACGTTCTTGGCGTAGATGTTGGTGAAGTTGGCACGCGACTCCTCGATCTTGGCTTGACGCTCCTTGCGGGGAATGTGATGGCCGACATAGACCTTCTTGTCGTTCAAGAGCATTCCGTTGACGTGCTTGATGGCGGCATCAGCAGCCTCGGCGGTCTCGTAGTGAACGAAACCGTAACCGAGCGAGCCAGTCTCGTTGGTGGCAACCTTGCACGAGAGGATGTTGCCAAAGGCCGCAAAGGTGTCGTGAAGGGCCTTGTTGTCGATGGCGGCGTCGAGGTTCTTGATGAAGATGTTGCCCTGACCGGTGCGTCGGAGGGCGGGGTCACGCTGCGACCACATGATACGGCAGGGGCGGTTGCGGATGAGCGAGTAGTTGAGCTGCTCCATGGCGCGCTCACCGTCAGCAGCGTTGAGAAAGTTGACGTAGGCGTAGCCGAGCGAGCGACGGGTGACGGCGTCACGGCAGACACGGATGCTGGCGACGGGGCCGATCATGCTGAAGATCTCGAAGAGCATGGCCTCGGTGACCGAGGGGTCGAGCTCACCCACGTAGAGCGAGATGTTGTTGGCAGCATCGGCGTTGTTGCGCTGCTCGTTGTTGCCGGCAGCCTGCTGCTCGGCGGCGGGAGCGGCGTTGGAGGCAGGGACGGCCTCGGCGGGGGCGGTAGCGGGAGACTCGGTGGACGACATCGTTGCGAGGAAGGGGGGGAGTTGATGAGATTTCCTTAAAGAGAATAAGAAAGAAAGAGAGGAGGAAGAAGAAAAGGAAAGAAAGGGCACTAAGAGACTCTTTCTGTATGTGGAGAAAGGAACAAGGGAAGGATAGGATAGATGTCAGCGAGGATGTCTTTGAATGGTGTCAACGAGCTGATCGAAAGAGTGTTGCGGGACAGGGAAAAGGATCGTGTAGGCAACGAGCTGCGCGTCTCCCAGTAGAGCAAACGTTCGTTGCGCACCAGCGTGAAGCATCGTATGGAGCTGAACAGCTCATCGATGTCGTCGCCGCGGTTGCTACGGTCACTGCACTGTATTCTTTTGGCGGTCATGCTCGAGCTTCGCGATCACGGCAGCGCGTCTTCTCGTCCGATCCTCTTCCACAGTTCCGCAACTTGCTCCTCGACCTGGACGGCATGCTTACCTTTGAGATGTATGGGGTTTTTTGGTTTTCTTTGGGCTTTGTACGAGGAGCAACAACTAGCAAAGAGTCGATAGCAACCTCGGGCTTTTTTCGAGATGGTGTTTTTGGGTTTTAAGAGAAGTTTTTTGGAGGTAGGAAGGGAAGGATGGCGAGCACGAGTGGATCATATGCCACCAAGCAGCAGCAGCCCACGCAGCACTGCACACTCAGTCACGCTCCAGAGAACTTTTTTTTCACTTCGTGAGGAGCGAGGTCGACCCTTTGCACTTTTTTCTGCAATCGCGACGCTCAAAGGGCCAAACAGCAAGAAGAAAGCGCAGCAAAACTTTCTCGAGCAATTTTTGTCGCCTGTAAGATTGCAAGCTAGCCACGCGAAGCAAACCGAGACGTCTAACTTGTATTCACAGGCTGGCACTCTTTGAATTCATGGGTCTCCTCTTGTCTAATCATCGACACATTGGTTTATATTCAAGCAGTCGATACGAGCCTTGCCTCGACGTTGTGTCCCACTGTCGCTGCTCGTCTTGACAGGCAGCAACAGGCCCTCTTATGTCATGTGTCGGCAGGTGTCACAGCTCGGAACGTGCGAGACAGTGGGGTGATGGCTGACGGAAAAGTGGTGGGGCTTGGCATTGTTGATAGAAGCAGGAACTAGTACAGGTATAGAGCGGGCGAGAATAGGGCGACCGACAGAAGGGAAATGCAGTGTGTTGCGAGTCCTGTGGGAGTCAGACGAAGCCAAGACGGCATCCTTAGAGGTGAAGAATGGTTAAGATTGGCAAGCTGTGAAAGACGAGCTCCCCGACAGACCAGCACATGCCGCTGCTACGGCATCTGGCTCCCTTGGCCATCACAATGGAGAGTCGATCTGCTGGTGCGTCCTTCGGCGACTTGCGATCCTGTCGGCCGGCCTCACTGCTTGATGAGACATTGCGCCGAAAGAAAAGAACCCGCCGAGTGCTGAATTGCCTTAGGCAGACTGCACGACACCCACCTCGGCCGCACGGAGCAGACGGTCCTTGATCCTGTAGCCGACCTTGCTGCAATCAAGAACGCTGCCGGGCTCCTTGCCAGGAACGGGGGCCTGGTACAATGCCTCGTGCTCCTTGGGGTCGAACTTCTCGCCAGTGGGGTCAAACTGGACGATGCCGTGTGTTCGGAGCATGTCGAGCAATGACTTGGAGGTGAGGTCGACACCCGAGTACAAGTCGGCGAGCACACGGCGGGGATCCTTGGAGTCGAGGTCCTTAGGCGCGTTGCGCATCTCCTCGGGCACCGACTTGAGCGCCAGACCGAGAATGTCGATCGAGCTGGTGAGGTCCTTGGCGAGCTTGGTGATGGCCACGTCACCCGCTAGCAGCTTCTCGTCCTTGGATCGTCGCTGCAGATTCTGATAGTCAGCCTTGCCGTACAGGATGGCTTCTTGCAGCTCCTTGATCTTGGCATCCTTCTCCTTGATCTGCGATTGCAATGCATCGTTGCCGTTGCCAGCACCCGCATCCTTGTCGGTGGCGCCCATGGCCTCGCCGGAAGCCTTGGTCTCCTCTTCCTTCTTCTTTTCGGCAGAGTTGAATGCGGTGCGTGCTGTCGAGAAGGGCATGGCTCGCGATGCGGGTGCGACGGCGTAAGCGCGAGGTGCGACCGAGGCGAGGCCCTGCTTGGAGGAGCCGGCGACAGCAGATCTTGAGACGGATCGCAGGGCGAAGCCGAGCTGACGAGACATGGAGCTCGACATTGTGTTGTGGTATGCGGGTGAAAGTAAGGTGGGCGGAGGTCAGGTGAGGAGAGGGTGATGACTTGGTTGACTTAAAGACGAGGACGGAGGCTGCTAGGCACCGGCTATTTGGCATGAGCCATCATCGGACGAGTCGACCTTTCTTCTCGTTCTCGCTCTCGTTCTTCCAAATTTCGGCTGAGCTTAGAGCGAATGCCGTCAGACGCTGAGCGAATGGCACGGAACACTGCGGGACGCCTTCGCCACACTGAGGCTGTCGGCCTTTCTTCTTTAGCATTGATAGCAATTTGTTAGACCTTGGTCCTGACTCGCGAAAAAAAAAGAACGCGCAACGCAATCCTGAGATTGCGCTTGACTCAGGCTCGTGACTGTGCTCGCCGCAAAAGGGCGGCTGAGCCTACCCGTTCTGGCTGAGCAAGCCGACCCTTTTTTATCAAGCATGTTGGACCCTGAGAGCATGCAGATGCGCAGCGCGCCTATCTCTCTCTCTCTTGCACTCCGACACTGCTCAACTGCCTGCTCCACACCGCAGAGGTGTGATTCACACTTCAGCCAGCCAGCGCGATTGTGATAGTGTGACTGAGGCCGCTCAAGGTGACTATCACTCCCACCATCGCACCATCCACAACCATCATTGGAGGCTTCGGTGAGCCTCGCGTTCCTATCATTCGCTCATCAAGCATTCCTGACGCGCGCTCCTCCGCCGACGACATCGGTCCTTGGCGGACACGTTGGCTCTCTTCGCTCCACCTCTCGACTCTTTTCACCATACAAAGGACCCTAATCTCGTCCGCGGCCTTAGCAGACCAGCGTTTCAGCCACCCTCTTCATACGACATCCATCTCCGCCGCATCGCCGCATCTCACCATCTGGCTGCTCAACAACTCGGACCAATTCGGCAAGCGTGTAGCGGCCCAGCACTCAGAGTGCGGATCGACGCTGATCGGTGACACAACCCAGCTTGAGGGTCAAACGCAGCCATGACGTCCCTTTCTCAGTATGCGTCCCGCTTTCTCTCCTCAGGGCTTGCTACTCCAACACGGCCTGGTACGGGCGCTGATCAAGACGTCGACGACCCGGGCGATCCGCTCTTCTATAGTCACGCCTCCATCTCTGGCGCCCCTTTCTCGCACCCCGCGAGTCGTCACCATCCTTATGGCCCAGAATACAGCCTATCCAGCTCCGATGGGCTTCCCACTCCTCCAACGAATTGCAGAGCCGGCACTCAGAGTGGCATCCTACACAGTCTCAGAGGCGCCAGTCGGTTCGGTCCCTCTTCCTTCATCGCATCGGGCCGGGGCAGACCGACAGGCGGCGCTGCGTACTCTGTCCATGACTCTATGATTCGCGAGATCGACGACGAGGACGATGTCGATCTCTGGCAAGATGACCGACATGTGCCACGCTCGGCTGCTCTTCCCGCCGAAAATGTTGCAGATAGTCTAGGCGGGTCCGCACATGCCTCAGCCTCGACGCAGCAAAGAACAGCCCACCTCCTAAATGCATCCGCCCCATCTGCCGCAATCGCTGGTCAGTCGTCATTCAGAGTACCAGTCACGTCGCGTAGAGCTCCGGCAAACGACACGCAAGATCCTTTCCTCGCCGAGGGAGACTTCGACGATGGCGCGAGCCACCACAGCCTTGCCAGCACCAAGGACCATCGCACATCGGATGAACATTCCGTCCAGCTCGAACGACCTGCTGAGAGCTCGCGTTCGCAGACAGTAGCACATCATCAGCGTCGTGAGGCTGCCAAGACAAGAGGATGGCTCGCGCATGGGTCCGTCCTCGACACTGCCACAAACTCGACACGCACTCCAACGCGCAGAGAGCCTCGCTACGATCCATCTTCGTCGAGCATCTATTCTCACTCAGGACGCAGGACAGACGCGAGCCAGCTGGGGGACTCTTCCATCTATGCTCAGCCCAACAGGACCAACAAGGCGCGCAGCAAGGTCAGTCGCCCACATCAAAGTCGCGGCGAAGGTCTCTTCAGCATCTACGATGAAAGGGAAGAGGAAGACGACGAGGACCGCTCCGACATGTCACGGTCCAGATCCGGGTCCGTCTCAGCTTCCTCAGTCACAGAATCAGAATATGACACGGAGGGAGAGAGTCGTCGTGCGCAGCCAAGTCGCCGCATGTCGCGCAACCGGGCTCGCCAGATGACCTCGACCCTGCGCGAGCCTCTGCTGCCCTCGGGTTCTGGCAACGCACGTCCGTTGAAGATAGCCATCAGGCACAACTCGGACGAGACCGAGGAGGAGGGCGACTCCGATCTCGACGGGCATCAACGGTCACGTCGTAGCGGCGGCAAACCCGGTGCTCGCAAGCGCGAAGAGGACATCATTGACGAGATCCATCTGTACCCTGCTCCACCCGCACGAGCGGGCTGGGGTCCTTGGGCGAATCGTCTCGCATTCGGCAAGTACCGAGACAAGACCGCCATTGCCAGCTTCGCTGCCGCTGTCTGCGCCACTGTCCTCATTGGCGCTTACCTCAGCTGGGGAGCTCGAACCCCTGCCCAGCCCAAGACTCCAAAGACGCGACCATCTTCGTACTACACCATCACCCGCTCTCTGCCCATCTTGATCTTGCTTACCCTGCTGTCGTTCGGCGCGGGGGTCGGCAACTTGCTATTGCTCCGCAACCTCAATCGCTTCGGCGGCGCCAAAGTGCTGCGGACCGGCTTGATGGGCGTGCCCATTGTGCTGGGCCTAGGATGGGCTTGGGCATTTGCTGGAAGCTTCATCTACGACGACGAGGCCTGGTCTGGCGGCGGTTGGAGCACAACTGGACTGCGCGTCATCTCCATCGTCCCACTGGCGCTTGCCGTCATCTTTGCTCGCATGGTGTGGCAGCGTCGCAAGGCACTCTCCCGGTCGATCGCCGTACTGGAGCTCTCTTGCAACGTGGTCCTCCAGCATCCCGCCCTGCTCGTGTTGGCGCTGGCCTCTCTGGGTGCGTTCGCGCTCATCACCGTGCCGTTCCTCTTCCTCTTCACCAGGCTATTCCTCGTCGGCCATTTTGGTCGACAGGTCGGAGACACGATGGAGTGGGAGACCGACACCAAGGCAGCTTGGCTCGCCTGGGCTACGCTGTGTGCCTGGCTGTGGACCTGGGCCGTCTTGCGAGGTGTGCAGCGCGTTACGGTGGCAGGCGTGGTCAGCCATTGGTACTTTCATCGCATCGGTGACGAGGCTATCGATACCGACGCTCAAGCCGGCGCAGGATCTTCAGCTAGAGTGCCATCTGGCACAAGCGCTGGCGGCGCTGGACGTCCTCGTTCCCTCGACAAGCGACGCGCAGATGAAAGCCAGGCGAACAACATCCTCTTCGACGGTGACTCGATCTATGATGAACAGCCTGGCGCTCCAGGCTCGTATCCGCAGCAGAGCTCGAACAGTTCAGCACGTCGACACGCAGCACCAGATCCGACAGAAGTGGTTCGAGTCTCTTTTGCCAGAGCAACTGGACCTGCGCTGGGCACGATCTGTATGTCGGCATTGATCCTGTCTATTGTCAAGACACTGACGGTAGTGGCAGAGACAGCGCGTCGCATCTCGGACGCTGCTACCCAGCGTAGGGTACCAAAGTTCCTACAGCCTCTGACCCACGTCGTCGTGCTGCTTGCCGGTCTAGGTGCGGTCCTGCAGGGCTACAGTAACCTGGCTCTCGTCTACGTCGGGGTCACAGGCGATGGCTTCTGGACTGCAGCCAAGAAGAGTGCGCAGCTGGTCAGCAGAAGAGGAGTGCAAGGCGTGATGGAAGGTCTGGTCGTCAATTTGGTGCTGGACTTGACCGCCATCGCGCTGTCCTTCCTCGCCGGCCTCGTAGGCTTCCTGTTCTCAGCACATCAGCTGCATGTGCCTGCAGATGCTCCGCTGGTGGGTCTGCTGTGCGCCCTGCTCCCATACTGGACCTTGCGGCTGTGTGCCGACGTGCTGAGCAACGCCTCGGACACTCTCTACCTCTGCTATGCGATTGATCATGCTTCCAACGACGAGCACTGCCCCAAAGCCGCGGAGGCTTTCACGGCCAAGTCGACGGCCGTCTCGGATTCCATCCTTCCCTTTTGATCACCGATAGGCATTCAATGAGCTCGGGACCGCTCTTCACATCGCATCCTTCACCTCTCTGTTCATGTACGATACCTTCATGATTGAATGAAAGGCTGGAAGCTGTCAATTAAGTGCGTGACATCAGTGAAAAGCTCTTGTCAGTGAGGATACTTGAGCAATAGCTGCGGTTAAGCTCTTGACCTCTTACTGCCCCTGCCACCTGCCACCGCCGCCGACTTCCTTGCAGCCGTCCTTGGATGGTCGTCATCGACCTCCATTGCGTTGGCCACCCCCTTCCCCTTTCTCTGCTGCTGCTGTTGTTGCTGCGCTTCCAACTGCTGCTGTGCCTCGACCAGATTCTGGAGTAGGGCTTGGTGGTGCTGTTGACGTTGCTGCTCTCCAGCTGCCGAACTGGAGCGCGTCGCCTCCATCTGCTGCTGTAGGCTTTCGAGCACGGACACGGTAGTTGACTGCCAGGCTTGAAGTGAGGAGAAGATCGAGTCGAGCTGGGAGGTGCCTGTGCTTGACGCTAGGGAGGGCAATGCGATGAGCGCGGGTTGAGAGAGCAACGATGGATGAGGCACGTCGCGACCTTGAACGTAATGCACTTCGAATCTGGCTTGCAGCTCGTTCAGCTTCCCCGAGATCAGACCGGCGTAGATGGACTCGATGATGAGATCTTCCAGCTCCCTCTTGTTGCTTGGTGGGATGCCGAGTGCTTCGTGAAGTGTCGTGTATGCCAGAGCCTTGTTCTGACGTGCTAGCGATAGAAGTGTGAGCTGACGCAGCTTGTACACTTGGTCTCTGGACAGATCTGTGACAGCTCCAGATTGCGCCAGCTGGACATAGTCGCTGTAGACGCCGTATGCGAACAGACACAGGAGCTGATATGCGATGTGAAGCTGTGAAGACGAGTCTGCGCCGCTTGAGGTGGCCAGCTCAGCCACGCCTGGTACGTCGAAGAGCTCGCCAAAGAAGAACACGCCGGGTGCGGAGATGGCTTGATGGATGAGATTGGCGGCCGCTGCGCCGCGCGGCTTGGTAGATGCAGCTACGAGCAGCAGCGGCTCGAGGCGAGTTGTAGAGGATGAGGGCCCCGCGGTCGGCGCGAGGGAGGACGTTGAAGCGACTGCGGCCATACTTATCGTCTGCTTGAATGGACGAACGAGAGCTCGATGAGATCGTCACACGGCGAGCTTGAAGAGTGGGTGGGTTGGAGGTGGGAAGGTCAAGTGGAGTATGGAAGGCTCAGTCGGCGCATGGTCCGCGCGGGTGCTCTCAAATTTTGGGATGTTAGAGCGCCACTCAAAGGCTGAGTCGAGCTGCACTTTACTCGACGCGTCCATCGCGACAGCTGCTGCGCCGCCACTCTCAGCTCGAGAACAACACTCCAAATTTTGCCAGTCGTCAAGGACAGCGCAAACGGATGACTGCTTGCCCATCATACTCCACCTTGTCTCGGCCATCCTCTCCACTCTCCTCTCCCGAACACACAAAAGCTTCCGCCTATCAGTCCGCACTCGCCCCCTTAGGAAGGAGCGGCAGCAGCCATCGCCCCCATTGCTGCAGCGTAGACATGCCGATTCCCACCTCCTCAACAGGGCAGTCGTATCCGCCCGTGTTGGACTACCGCATCGTCCAGCTCATCGGCGGAGGCGGCTTCAGCAAAGTCTTTCGCGCTGTGAATCCATCATCCAAGTCGAATGCCGTGGCTGCCATCAAGGTCATATCGTACGCACCAAACCGTTCCAACAAGTATCCCATCGACCGTCGGGCGCTGCAGAAGGAAGTCCAGGTGCACTCCATCCTCAAACACCCAAACGTCCTCGAATTTCTGGGCGCTGTCGAGCGTGGTGTCGACAAGAATGGAAATGCCGGAAAGGAGAAGGGCATTTTGATGGGAGAAGCTATCGCCACCACACAGGAATCCATCAAGGCTCGCGACAAGGAGCGGCAAAAGATGCTCAGCACTCCTTCGCATGACGACAACTACGTACCTGGCCTCTACATGGTGCTTGAACTCGGAGCTGGCGGCGATCTCTTCGACAAGATTGCGCCAGACTATGGTGTCGAGGAGGACTTGGCGCATTTCTACTTTCAGCAGCTGCTCGCGGGGTTGGAGTACATTCACTCTCAGGGTGTCACACATCGCGATATCAAGCCAGAGAACATGCTGCTCGATGCGGAAGGCAACCTCAAAATCGCCGACTTTGGCCTCTGCTCGGTGTACAAGTACAAGGGCAAGGAGCGAGAGCTGACCGGCGCTTGTGGGTCTTTGCCGTACATTGCACCGGAGATGAACGGCAGACCTTACCGCGGCGAGCCTGTTGATGTTTGGAGCTCAGGCGTGGTGCTCTTCGCCTTGCTCGTCGGAAGCACTCCTTGGGACGAACCTACTTCAAGATCACCCGAGTACAACGCATATCGCACCGGCGAGCTCTTTGCCTACGACCCGTGGACCACGATTCCAAGCGATGCGCTATCGTTGCTCAAGAAGATGATGCACCCGAACCCAGAGAAGCGCATCACATTCGAAGGGATTCGACGCCATCGCTGGTTCAAGCGGGCCAACGAGCTCATGACACAGAAGGGCAAGTGCAACGATCCCGTCAACCTGGCCGAAAAGCTGCTGCAGGGTCTCGCCGTCTCGGGCGACATCAACTTGGAAGTCAACAGTGCTGCAGCAGCAGCGCGTCGCCTCGATCTTCACACAGATGGTCAGCGAGCGCAGGTGCCCGAAAACGTATCCCTCACGCAACCTGAGGCGATCCAGAACAGCTCGTTCGGCTTAGCAGCGGGAAGATCGGTGGCGCGCGGATGGCAGCAGGAGGCAGGGCCTGTCGGTGGTCTGGCTCTTCCATCATCGACAGCAATGCCTGCCATTGCAGCCAGCAGCGACGACATGTCACGCCGCCTGGCCATGAGCCAGCACATTTCGACCCGTCGACTCGAGTACTCGAGCTCGGGCAGCGGCCTGGGCTCCGAGATGGCCATGCCTGGCGCCTCGCAATTCACACAGGCCCTCAATCACTTTACGCAGTTCGAAGCGCTCACCCACATGGCTGGCGCTGGGAGCTCGCACTTGCGCTTCTCGCCGCATCTCACACGATTCTTTTCCTCAGCGACAGCAGTCACCATGCTAAGCCTGATCACGAACATCCTCGACAGTCTTGCGATTCCGAACGGCACCGAAGCCATCGGTGACCAGGAAGAGCTTGAGGAGGCGTACAATTTCATGGTCGACGGGGAGCCCGAGAATGACGATGCTTCTCGCACTGCGGGCAAGAAGCTGGTGATCGGCAACAGAGGCGCTCGTGTGCGTCTGACTACGATGGACAAGCGCAAGTGCCCACTGCGAGGAGGCATCCGCATTGAGAACCTGATCGCGCCAGACGCAACGTCAGATTCAGCATCGGCTGCTTCGATGCCAGACGATTCCGCCAAGTGCCTGGTGGTGATGCAGAAGAGCAAAGGTGACCCGCTCGAATGGCGAAGGCTCTTCCGAGAGATTTGTCGCCGATCAGAGATCCGAGCTACCATCATCTCGACCTGATCGCATCGCTTTCAATGCCCGCTGCGTGTCTTGTTGCATCGCTGCTTGTCGCTTCGTCCGCATAGCGCCCTGTCCATCCTTGGATTGCCCCCATCTGTACATCAAGTTCAATGTACTCTAGCCTCTCTGTTCTCTCTCGCCTTTCGTACCGCGCAATTGCAATGCATCGATTCGTCCACTCTACATTGAGACCTCAGCGGCCTGCGTTGCCAGCCGCATTCAGCATCAAATGAGAGACGACTTCGATGGAGGGGGCGCTGACGGGCAGTGGGCAGCCGAAAAGTATCGCAGCCGATCTTGTCTCTGTCTGAGAGCTTGCTTTGTGTGTGCACGAGCCCTGGGACGGCTCGTCAGCAGCACAGCACAGCACAGCACAGCGAAAAGGCAGCAAAATGGGACATTTTTGAAATCGCCCGCCCAGACATGCTCACAGCGGCGCAGTGCACGAGCTCCTGGCCGAAATTACTCCACAACGTCACGGATCACGCCCCTGGCCCAGGCAGGCAGCACAAACAGGCACAGACACACACACGTTTTTGAGCCTGAGACGATCGCGATTCCGCTCAACCATAAGCCCGTCCACCATCGTCACTTCTGGTCACCATCCGCAGCACTCGAGGCGACACGATCAGCGATCATTCTCGGCACTCGACGACCAAACATAGACGCTAACACCGCTCGACACCACCTCGGTCAACATGGGTGAAGAAGAGGTCGGAGGTGCCGTCCCCAAGGAGCAGCGACAGGGCTGGGGACAGTTCCTCAAGTCGATCGCCAGCTTCTCCGGTGATCTGTCTTCGCTGACAGCGCCCTCATTCATCCTCTCTCCAGTATCTCTGGTCGAGTTCCCAGCCTACTGGGGTGAGCACCCCGACGAGTTCGCAAAGATCTCCACGGGCAAGGACGAGGTGGAGCGCATGAACCTCGTCCTCAAGTGGTTCATCAGCACGCTCAAGGGCCAATTCACCGCCCGTAACATTTCGTCCGGCTCCGAGAAGAAGCCGCTCAACCCCATCCTTGGCGAGATCTTCCTTGGCAAGTGGCCGGACCAGAACGGTCGGGGCGAGACCGTCCTTACTGCCGAGCAGGTCTCGCACCACCCTCCCATCACCGCCTACCACATCGAGAATAAGAAGGCTGGCGTCACGCTCGAGGGTCACAATGCGCAGAAGACCTCCTTCTCCGGACGCACCATCCAGGTTAAGCAGGTTGGTCACGCCATCCTTCGCATCAAGCTCCCTAGCAGCGACAAGGAGGAGCTCTACCTCATCACGCTTCCCAACCTGCTCATCGAGGGTCTCTGGTACGGCTCACCGTACGTAGAGCTCACTAGCAGCTCGTACATCCAGTCCACCACCGGACTGCTCACCACACTCAACTATGCCGGCAAGGGCTACTTCTCGGGCAAAGCACACTCGTTCAAGGCGACCATCGGCGCCGGCGGCAACACGCTCTACTCGATCGAAGGCGAGTGGGCCGGTGTGAGCAAGTACAAAGGCAAGTCCATCTCCGGTGGCAGCAACGACGTCTTCTGGGACGCATCGACCGAGCGAGAAGAGGTCTCCGTGGAGGACGTCGAGAAGCAGGGTGACATGGAGAGCCGCAAGGTGTGGAAGACGGTGGCCAACGGTATTCGCACCGGCGACTTTGACACCGCATCCAAGGACAAGGCTAGGATCGAGAATGCGCAGAGGCAGAAGCGCAAGGACGAGGCAGCGGCAAACACCCCACACCAGCTCGAGCACTTTGTCCACATCGAGAACGACCAGGAGTACTCGCAGCTGGCGTCCATGTTCAAGGGTCAGCCGGCGACCGAGGATGGCTACCGCAAGAAGCCTCGCGTGCACTAGGCGGCCGACGAGCGGCTCGATGAGGGTGCTTGCAGAGCTTGTCCTGAGCTCGACGTAAGTGGCTCGTTGTAATCTGGGTATTTGCCGCACAGAGATCCATGGACAGACCTGCCTTTTTCGGTCCAGACAGTAAATATAGCAGCAATTGAGAACATGTGACAGTGTGCAAGCGAGCCTGTGCGTTCCACCTGGTCACGGCGGCCAAGCAGCGTCGGCGTCGGTCAACTAGTGCAGAGCGATTGGTGGCCATATGGGCGTCAAGAGGTCTGAGTGGTGGTGAGAGCGGCTATTTCCTCCACCTTCGGTGCGTGGCTCAGCCGCGGAATTTCGATTGAGGGAAAAGTGTTGTTCTTGAGGTGCATCTTCCTTGCCTTCTGATCACCACAACGACGACAACAACGAGCGCTACGAATAACAACCTCACGATGAAACGCTGATCCTCGCAAAGCCTCGTTGAACCCTCTCATCTGCACGAAGGCGCCTGCATCTCCTCGCCTTGCCCGCCAGCCGCAGATCACCATGAGCGTCCTTCTCGAAACGTCTCTGGGCGACATTGTGATCGACCTTCACACGGACCTTGCGCCGCGCTCTTGCACCAACTTCCTCAAGCTATGCTCGAAGCATTTCTACAAGCTCAACGCGTTCTTCCGAGTCGAGAAGGACTTTCTGGCGCAAACGGGTGATCCTTCCAACACAGGCAAAGGCGGAGCAAGCATCTGGTCGCAGCTGCCATCCAACTCACAGGACCGGTCGACGAACACATACTTTCATCCAGAGACGATAGGCGATCAGTTGCAACATACCAAGAAGGGCACAGTGTCGTTTGCGTGCTTCCGCAAGCAGGTAAAGCGCTCGGATGCGGATGGAGAGGATGAGACGGCAGAACTAGTTGCAGGATCACAATTCTTCATCACGCTCAAGGACGAGATTGACTACCTCGATGGCAAGCACGCGCCGTTCGGCATCGTTGTAGAAGGCCAAGAGCCAGGTGGAACACTGGACAAGATCAACGAGGCGTTCACTGACGACCAAAAGCGACCGCTCAAGGACATCCGCATCCGCCATGTCGTGGTGCTCGAAGACCCCTTCAGGGACCCGGATGCCTTTGTCCCACCCTCACGCTCCCCCTCGCCAACCCCGTCACAGATCCGCGCGCTCCGGCTGGCCGACGACGAAGACCTCATCGATGACCGTGACGACACCACCAAGGAAGAATCTCGCCGCAACGCCGACACCAACGCAGCCGCGCTAACACTCGAAATGGTCGGCGATCTGCCCTTCGCCGAAATCCGTCCACCCGAAAACATCCTCTTCGTGTGCAAGCTCAACCCGGTCACCCGCAGCGACGACTTGGAACTCATCTTTTCGCGCTTCGGCAAGATCCTCTCGTGCGAAGTGATCAAGGACAAGAAGACGGGCGATTCGCTGCAGTATGCGTTTATCGAGTTTGATCAGAAGGACGATGCCGAGCGGGCGTATTTCAAGATGCAGAACGTGCTGGTGGACGATCGACGGATTTGGGTGGATTTCTCGCAGAGCGTGAGTCGACTGCATGGGGATTGGGTGAAGAAGAGGAATGGCGGGAGGGACGCGCCGAAGGGTCATTATGGATGGGGCGGGGAGAGGTCGAATGGTGCGGGCGGTACAGGGAGCGTGGATTCGTATCGACCAAGGGAGGATACGTATCGGAATGGAGGGAGTAGCAGTCGCGACAGAGATCGCAGGGACAATGGCAATACCTCACGGCACGGTGATAGTCGAAGGGGAGACCGTCACACTGACGAACGTGATGGAAGGCATCGCGGCTCAGAAGACGATCACAGAGAAAGGGCGCACAAGAGGTCGCGGCGAGAGGACGACGACAGACCCAGACACGCTCCCTCACGGTCGGATGGTCATCGCAGCAGCCATGCGGATCGACATTCGGATGGTTACGATCGTGCTCAAGGGGAGGAGCGCGAACAGCGTCGCGAATCGGACAGACCGGCAAGTGATTCGAGAAGTCACAATGACGGACGCTCGCAAAGGAGACGCCACGAAGAGGACAGACGGCATCGAGAGTCATCTTCTCGCCGGCACGAGTCAGGTCGCGCCGACAAAGATCCTCGCGACCGCGATAATCGGAAGGAGCGCGACCGGGATCGCTACCATCACAGGAACGGAGAGAGACAAAGGGACGACGATCACCGACGGCACCGTGATGATTCTCGTCGTTGAGGTATGCGCTCCCTCCTGTAATGCATCTGCCAGATCGCTTCGTCGCATCATACAAGGCCGTAGCATCGCTGCGGATTCTCGTGCCTCCTATCAACGTGCGTGTGCTTGCGATCCATATCGCAGGTCGGTCCTGCAGGGATGCGTGCTGGCTCGTAGCAACATGCCATTGTCGGAGAGTTTCTTCCCGTCTGAGACCCTTTGATGCCTCGCGTCGGGCTTCAGGGACGGGACTGTGCAGAGCCAAAGGCACAATTTAAGAATGTCAGGCTCACAAGCCTCGGCAAATTATCAAAAGTCACACACAAGTGTTGGACTTCCTGACGCTCTCTAGCCATCGTCGCGACCACCTTATCCTACGTCTCTCTTTCTCTCTTCTAATCTCCGCAGCGCTCCTTCACATCGAAGAAGGAGTGTGGCAGGCAATGCGATCACAATGAACGCCTCGCCCCATTCCAAACCGAGCGCTTTGGCGCCTCCACCATCACCGGGTGCAGGCGGCCCTGGCCCATCGCGTCGCAACAGTACCTACACAGCCAATGCCGGTGCAGAGGACGACGAGGCGCTCGACGAGATCCGCAGATACGAGTCCTTCTCCACCGTCGATTGGGTCGTCGACAACACGCGCGAGCGCAACAGGATAGCCCGCGAACGACAAGCTGCATCCGCCCACTTCGTCTTGTCTTCTTCCAGCAACGCGCATCTCGCCAATGGATCGACACACGCAAACTCGGACGCTGCTTGGGGTCGCTCCGGTTTCGGCAGGGGTGGAGTGCCGCCTCGTTGGTGGCCCAAAGGCCCGTGGGGGAGAAGAGCCTGGCTCGTATGGGGCATCCTCAAGACCGCTCTCTCGGCATTCGCGGATAGCGGTCTGATCGTGCTCGTCGGCATCCTCATCGGCATCAACATGGGCGTCATCAGCTTGGCGACCGAATGGGCATCGGATCTCAAGCAGGGCTACTGCAGCTCTGGTTGGTGGCTGAACCAGAAGTTCTGCTGCTGGGAGATGATGGACCAAGCAGGTCCTGGCGGTGCTCCTCTGCCAGCTGCAGCAAAGGCGTTGGCAACGGCGACTGTGACCGTGACTGCTTCGTTGAGTGGTCCCACCCCAACCGACGCTGCAGAAGCTGCAGCGAGTGTCACTGCCGCCGTAAGGAGGGCCGTCTTCGATTCACACTCGTACGGGGCGGTTGCGGACACGGCCTACAACCTCTCAATACGCGCCATCCCAGATCATACTCTGTGGGCACGGTCCGCTCACGAAGTCCTTCACGACGGCTTCGGGACTGGCTTGCGGCTACTAGCTCGGGCTGAGGGCGCTGCTGACGGTGCAGCGGACCTCAGCGAAACATGTACAGACTGGGTGCCATGGTCGAAATGGGCAGTGCCAGCCTACATCATCTACATCCTCTTTGCCGGCATCCTCTCGTTCCTCTGCGCACATCTCGTCAAGGCGTTCGCACCCTACGCAGCAGGCAGTGGTATCTCAGAGATCAAGTGCATTCTCGCTGGCTTCGTCATCAACGGCTATCTCGGCTTTTGGACGCTAGCGATCAAGAGTCTCACGCTGCCATTAGCGATCGCATCTGGCCTCAGCGTCGGGAAGGAAGGTCCTGCGGTCCACGTGGCGTGCTGCATCGGCAATGTGGTAGCAAGCTTCTTCCGCTCGTTCAACCGCAGTCAGGCCAAGATGCGCGAACTGCTCACGGCCTCTTCGGCGGCAGGCGTCGCCGTCGCCTTCGGCTCTCCCATCGGTGGAGTGCTCTTCTCGCTCGAAGAGATGGCGTACAACTTTCCCGCTTCCACCATGTGGCGCTCCTTCCTCTGTGCGCTGGCAGCCACCGTGACGCTCTCGTTCATGAACCCCTTTCGCACGGGCAAGCTCGTTCTGTTCCAGGTCTCATACGATCGAGACTGGCACTACTTTGAGATCATCTTTTACATTCTCATCGGCATCTTTGGCGGTCTGTACGGCGCTTTTGTCATCAAGTACAATCTGCAGGTGCAGTCGTTCCGACGTAGCTACCTGGCCAAGCACGGCGTCAGCGAAGCGGTGGTGCTTGCGGTGCTGACGGCGGTGATTGGGTATACGAACAAGTTTCTGCGCATCGACATGACGGAATCGCTCGAGATTCTCTTCAGAGAATGCGAGGGCGGGGGCGATTACGACAACCTGTGCAAGACGTGGGCGCAATGGCGCATGGTCAACTCGCTTCTGCTCGCTACGGTGCTCCGAACGGCCCTCGTCATCGTCTCCTACGGCTGCAAGGTTCCTGCGGGCATCTTTGTCCCCTCGATGGCCATCGGTGCCACCTTTGGCCGTATGTTCGGCATCCTCGTCAAGGCGCTGCACAACGCCTATCCGCACTGGTCGCTCTTCTCAGCCTGCCAGCCGGACGTGCCCTGCATCACCCCGGGCACGTACGCCTTCCTCGGCGCCGCAGCCGCCCTCGCCGGCGTCACCCGCATCACCGTCTCCGTCGTCGTCATCATGTTCGAACTCACCGGCGCACTCACCTACATCTTGCCCACCATGATCGTCGTCGGCATCACCAAGGGCATCGCCGACTGGTTTTCGCGCGGAGGCATTGCCGAGCAGATGATCAAGTTCTCCGGCTATCCATTCCTCGATAAGGACGACCACAACTTTGGGGTGCCCGTGGCGGATGTGATGCATGCGAATCCGACGGTGCTGTATGCAGACGGGATGAAGCTCGGCGAGCTGGAGGCGAGGATGAGCGAGGGCTCGTATAAGGGATTCCCGGTGGTGCAGGGGAAGGAGGATGCGATGCTGCTCGGGTACGTCGGGAAGGTGGAGTTGCGGTATGCGATTGGCAAGGCGAGGCGGGCGCGTGCGCTGGGTGCGGATACGACGTGCGTGTTCAGTGTCGGGCCGAACGCCACTCAAGGGCCCGGCAGTGTGGGCGGAAGAGGTGCGCCGCAGCAGGACCTTCTCAACGTGTCATCGATCCCTACGACCGCAGCTGCAGACCGTGCCGTACGGGAAGACATGCTCAATCGCTTTAGCAGCGCCACCACTCTTGGCGTCAGCAGCACAACCACCTCCGGCGGCGCGGGCGCCCGACGCTCCTCCCTCCGTCGACACGAAGCCGAATCCCTCATGACCACTCTCGACGACGACGCGAGCGACGCAGAGGACGACCCGGACGCCGACCCGATCCTCGGCCCCGCCGGTGGCGGCATCGACGGAGAAGGCGAATCCGACCTCCTCGAGCTCGCGGGCTGGATCGACCCCACCCCACTCCTCGTTCAACCAGGCATGGCGCTCGAGACCGTCATGGACATGTTCAAGAACCTCGGACCGCGCGTCATCCTCGTGGTCGAATACGGCAAGCTGTCGGGGTTGGTGACGGTGAAAGATGTGTTGAAGCGGATCGCGCTGGAGGAGAGGTCGGAGGCTGTTGCGCGATCGGCTGCTGCTGGATTGCCGAGTGGAGCAACCAGCGAGCCGAGTGCGAGTGGCGAACTGGAGCTGCTGTTGAAGGAGGCGTACGAGTGGGTGGCGGATCGATGGGCGACCGTGGCGCCTCATGTGGAACGACTAGGGGATAGGTTCGGGCGACGACAGAGGGCGAGCGGACAACAGCAAGCGGGAGAGGGGAGGTACGGTAGAGTGAGACAGGATGCGGGAGAGATGTACGACGAGTCGGGACCCGCACTGAGTCCGACGGATGATCTGCCGTTGCGCGCGTCGCTGAGCCGCAACGGCTCGCAGCAGAGACTCAAGAAGACGGGGCGCGAACAGGAGCAGTTTGTGCTCGGGGAGGAGGACGAGTGAATGCAGACGCTTTTGCCACGAAATGTCAGCTCCGTCGGGAAGCTCTCCTGGTCCTGTGTGATGTTCGAGCAGTCGCTTGGCACGGAGCGCCGCTTTGTGGGGGATGATGTGAATTGCAGTGGTATGATGGCGCCTTCAACGCAACTTCTTATCCTCGAAGAACCCTCTAAGATGCCTGAGCTGCCACACGCACGCTCCCAACAGCGTAACCAGCTGCAGCGTACTCCACCACATGGCTCTGCTGTTCGTCAATTCGGACAGATCTCTGAACTGGGCCTCGCGTTCCCTCTGGTACTGCTGTTCCTTCCTGATATCCCTCAGCTTTGCGTTGAGATCCCGCACCCTCTGGGCTAGATCGTTCACGTGGCTCTTATCCTTGTGGGTGTTATCCGGCTTCGCGTCGCCGATCACGATATCCAGATGCATCCTCACCTGGACCGCTGTCCTACCGTCGAACTTAGCCGCCATACAGATCCGATGATCGCCCGCTTCATGGGATGTAAACGCAAACTTCCCCTCGGGTGGCCCACGGGAGGACGTTACGATGTGATTGTCCTTGACTTCGCGGACCGAGATGTGGATGCCCATGTCGTCTTTGACGACGTAGCGTTGGAGTGTTGTGTCCCACTCTTCCGTCATGTAGTGGCCGACCACGACCGTGTCGTTCGGCAGCTCCTCGAGGAAGCATTTGGGCGTATCCGGTTCGAGGTAGAAGTAGAGCGCGCTGGTCGAGCGCGCGACCAGCAGGGCGAGGAGCGCCAGCAGCAACGGTGACCTGCCGAACATGACTGGACTAGACGGGCAGGCTGTCGTGTGCGGGAACCTCGTGTGCGGGAGCGTGTGGAGTGATGAGGTGTCGCGCGACCTGCGGGCGATTGGGGATGTCTGGGAGACCGACGCTTTCGCTTTCGTCGCCTGGTTTGCTGTGCGCGACTAGTACTCCCCGCTGTTGCGCCAAGGTGTTCTCGAAAGGGCTGATATCGTGGGTGATGAGGACGATGAAAGTGGTGCTACGTGGAGCCGAACCGTGCCTGCACCGCGAGTCTGGAAGAAGAACACCGCTTCGAAAAGGGCTTGCAGCTGAGACATGCTGGCGCGTCACGTGCGAGTGGCATTTCCTTTTTCTCATTCTTACTTGGTCTTAACACCTGATGGCTTAAAAATCGCTGTGCACCGCTGGATGTCGTCCGAGCGTCCTGAACTGGGCCATAGACTCCTAGATGCACGCGCAGCTGCTGCTGTGGTCTCAAGAGGGGCCTTCGTCCAGAAATACGTGATCCGTCGTGCCTCTTGGATTAGTGAGAGTAGGTGAAAGACATCACAGTTCGGCAAGTCCACCTGCAAAGTCTCTGGCAAAATAGAGGTCTCGAAAAGGAGGCCATCTGAACGAGATCGGGCGCGATCAATCCAAGATAAGCCCTGCCGGATGTTAGACCTTCGAGCATAAAGTCTTCTCTGGAGGTGACATCATCGCTGGGGCTCCGTGTGCGCTCCCAGCGGAGGCACGACTGCCGAGGCGAACTCGACCTCGATGCGCGCGTTGCACACGCTGCCTTTGATACGCACTCGAGCCGAGCTACCGCGCGCCTCAGGAAACCCGACCCGGTCGTGTGAGCCTTCGTCAGCGCACCGCCCTACCGCATGGTCAGCTCCGTCCAATGCATGCAGTGCACCATCATGGACCACATTGTGCGGCGTCTGTCGGTATGCAAGCCACGTTTGGCCCTTGCAGCGTTCTCACCACGCCATCGTTCGGTGAAGAAGAGGCTGATCTTTGACAGAAGAATCAGGGGCCCGTCCAAGAGTCTTGGCCACCGAACAAGTTCGATTTGCGACACCGCCTCGTTGACAAGGAAGGGCTTTATCGATGGTGCCAAGTCTCCGGTGTCGTGCCGGCAGAAATTTGATTTGTGAAAATAGAGCGGTCTGACATACGACTTTACGATTCTTAGCGCCGATGGACGAGCCTGCATCGAATGGGCGCATCACTAGACGGACGATGACACGGTCGACTCCAACCGAAATGAGGCGAGGCTAAGTCACAGGCTGATTTGAGCTTCAGCCGTCGTCGGTGGCTCGGTGCCGGTGCCCCGTCGTGGTGCTAAAAGAGCGGGACGCATGAGACAGGCTAGCCTAGTCCGGCGAATGACTGTTCCAGCAGAAGGGACCCGCCGGCAGAGCCGTTCTTCGTCAAGAAGCTCAGCAGCCATCCTTTCTGACCTACTGTAGCGGCAGCGGAAACGATCCGAGACGTCAAGCGAGGCTCGTCAGTGTGATCGATACGAGGAAGTGCGGGGACGAGGCGGGTTGGCGAGGTTCGCCGGTCAGACACAGCGTGTTCCCCCACCTGACCGTCCTCAAGACAGGATCCTCGACAGCTCCGTCTTCGTCACAACCCCGCGTGCTCGAAGGCGTGACTGTCAGCCTCGAGAAGGAGGCTTGCCCAGCACCTTTTCCCACGATAGAACGAGCATGAACAAGGAACAGAGAGAACAATGAAAACACAATATCGGAGCCCGCGCCGCCCGCCAGACGGTTCCGGCGGCATCTCCAATTGCGAGCAAAAAACAAACATCGCATCGCGACCCATCCGACGAAAAGTAACATGCCGGCGAATCTTGTTCTAGCCAGTTCCCACGCTCGTAGACATTGGATCGGCAAAACCGAAAACGATGCTAGTCGCAGATCCCGAAAGGAAAGTGGAAGAGAGAAGTGCCGGAACTGCAGGGCGAGTCCCGTGTTAGAGCAGAAATCGCTGCGGTAAGGCCGGATCCAACTCCGCTCACCAGGTAGGCGTGCCGACAGGATCTGAACAAGATTTGGGATCAGGGCAAGAGGGGGAGGCGTGACGTCGCGCTGCCAGCTGAGTTTGAAAGGCGTGCCGATCTATGGAAAGCACGATGTCGCATGTGGGCAGAGGAGGGACAGCGGGAAATTTTGCGCCGTGTCGCGATTTGAATTTCCACCCAATCTGCCACCTTTCTTTGGAGAAAAGTTCTGTGCTAAAAGCGACGATCAGCCACGTTCGCTTCGAGGCTAGTTGGCCAGCTCTCATCATACTGTGGACCGTGTTTTGGTCGTAGAAGGGAAGTCTGAGAAGTGGAGCTACTAGTACCATGTAGTCCACAATGCGGTCACGAGTTGGGGAAGACAGCGATTGCGATCGAAAGAAAAGGCTGGTTGCGGGGAAGAGGGAGAGAGAGATCGACAAGCCCTTAGCGAAAAGACACCAAGCCCACACGAGCACGTCAAAAGGGTCTCGAGAGCCAAGCGGAGCCCCTGACCTATTTTCGTTCCCTGTCGCCTGAAAGGCAGCTGATCTAGCCTTCGTTCCCCAGCAGAGTCACTGCAGCTCAGATCGCGAACACCTCAATGCAGAAGGTAGTTGGGCACCCGAGTTTGCTTGTGCGGAGGCCTCGATGGCCATTGTGCAAGATGCTAGAGTGCCATGTGTGCCGCAGAACAAGACGTAATCATCGCGCACTGAAACAGCGAATCAAACAATCTAGAAACACGCCAAGCCACGTCCCCAGCCTCTTTCACGCTGTTGAGCCGATCCTTAATGACGCCAAGCTATGACAAGACGGAGCGGCGGGACCGAAGAGTGTGAGCCCTGATCCACATAGACCGTCCTTGCTGCTCATGGTCATGATGATGGTGATAGCAAGTGGCTTTTCGGAGGGCACAGCCTTGCGATCCACGCGCGGCGCATCTCTTCCGATAGGCGAGTGGAAAAGTTGACGCGGTTGTCTTGCGATGCAAACCACGCTGCTCGCTCACTTTTATTTAAATATTTTTAAAACTAAAAATGAGATCGCCTCCCAGGCTGCCCGTCCCTCGTTTGACACAGCAAGGGTCGATTTGGATGATTTTGTCGATCTTCGCTCTCCATCTCTTGCAGCTCGGCTTGCAGTTCCAGGGTCAATTTGTTCCTATCGTTCTTTCTGCTAAACTATTTATTTTTTTGCGACGATCAAAACATCGCTGATTCCGACCAGACTGGTGCTAGCGTTCAGCTGTCAAAGACATCGGCGACGGTTCCGATTATGTTACTCGAGGCAACAGGCGAGGGCGAAACGGAGGCAGTGTCGTCGGAAGAGAGCAACTTCGATACTCAAGCGAGCTGCTCAAAGCACAGGAAATTTTACTCTCGTTTCATTCGGGGTTTTTTGTTTCGTGGGCTTGCATTCGACTGCAGCAAGCCCCTCTGGTGCTCTGGTCGAGAAAGCCGCATCGAAACTGCGCAACCGACTCGTGAGTCAACCTGGCAATCTCGTCATGACGGCCCGCCCGCCCGACCTTGCCTTGCTCGTGTCTCTCAACCCAAGACGGTGGACTGCTTTGCTTGCTGCTTGCCCATTGCTGTGTTGTCGATTCGGGTTCGAAACCTAAATGGATGGATAGCCCTGGCTCGATGGATTGTAGCGCGCAAGGAAAAAGTCACCGTACCTCCTCCTCATGCGTCTATTGTTCTCACACCGTCGGCTCGAGCCGCCTCTCTTCTTGAATCGTCACGCTGCAGACCCACTTGACTCGTAGGCTTTGCGCTTCCCTTCCCTCTTGCGTTGTTTCCTCCTTGCTTGACAACGCTTTCATCACACTTTTCTCACGCTCCCTCCTCGGCCCTGCCCCCCCTTGCGCGTCCAGATCGCCGCCCACTTTGACGTTTTTGCTGCGGACCGTCTTCATCTTGCGTCCTTGCTTCCATACCCATCACCCTCACTCTCTCTTTCGACTTCAGTTCCGTTCGTTCCTTCAAGAAGCTCTACCACATCCTTCGGCGACTTCGATTCGATCTTGCATTCCACCACAACCTTCCTTCTTGGAGCGGCTCACCCTTAAACCTTCTCGACGAGCTTAGAATCGCCCAAGTCCCAGCCATAGACGGTTTATAGCTGAGCATCGCTTCTTAGCTACCTTGCGTTGCAACCATCCCAGCAACCGAACCATTCACCACGATCATAGACGGTCATTGGCTACAATCGCTTGCTCCATCCTGCCCGCAAGCATCGCCTGATTCGCTTTGTATAGCTGCATCTCGGTCACCGCATACACGGCTCCCCATCCCGCATCGCAGAGTGTCCTAAGGTCCCGCACCACCAAGTCGGCGACATTCGCTGCGAAGATCTAGGTTCATCGTTAGTAACCTTCCTGCCAGCTTCAGCTTTGCCGCCGTTGCAGAAAACGTCGATCTCCGTTCTTGGCTCCCCACCAAATCCAGCAGCATCTTGTTTCTTGGCCTTGCAGTCGAGGCTTTCTCATTGTCCACTCCCGCCACTCGCCCAATCTCGCTCAGTCTTGGCCAGCACACCCGTCTCGAACCTCGGTGCATCTGAAACAAGGTTCAAGGACACTTCGACCGGTCGTTTCCGCGCTGCGCAGAGTGACTTCATTTCGGCGTCCACGCACGGCACTCCGATCTAGACTTTCGCCCACCTTGCCGCACCGCTTTCAGGCCAGGTCAGCATTGTGCGCCCTCTCCACCTTCGCACAGCCGGTTCATCTGTAAGCCTCCAACGAGGACATCTCACTAAGACAACAGTTCAAGACCCCACCACCACCACCTCCACCACCACCACCATCAGAGGGTACATGCTCGCCGATCTATAGACAGCTTGTCTCCCGGTCTCACTCGACGGACGAATCTTCGGACTCGCTCCAATAAAGGTCAACTCGTTTCTGCCACTCACTTGGTCGCGAGATCCTTCCAATGTCTTCGTCAAGACGCAGCATCGTGATGACATCGTCACAAACTGCCCGCGCGGGCTTCTCGATACTGGTCTTTGCCTTGTGTGCCTCGGCACTTCCTGTGCGAGATGGCCCGTCCGTATTTGCACCAGACGCAGCAGGCTCATTGCAAAAGCGCGCCATCATGAAAAGCGACAACTACGTCCCGCTCGGCAACACCACAGTACCGCTCACACCGCTCCTGCTCATCTTTGCAGGCTTGGGCGCGGCTGCTGTCGGACTCGTTATCGCGCTGCTGCGCATCTTTGTTCCCTCGTGCATGTCGAGATCGTCCCGCATCGTGCTCGAAGAGCGCGAACGAGCGCGGCAAGATCTGCGAGTGCGAGGCGCCATCAGCCCACGGGGCAGTCCTGGCGGAAGCCCCTCACCAGGATCCAGTTCGCCGACCCTCGCACATTCAAAACGCTTCCCACCCAACAAACCTCTTCGTCCCGTCGGACGCAACTCGCGCGGCAGCTCGACCCTCGGTGGCTCGACGCCTGGCGAATCCTCCACCTCGTCGCTCGCCAGCAAGCGACCGCAACACGGTTACCGCGGCACATCGTTCTCGCTCACCGAAGCGCAAAAGTACACCGCCAAGTCGTATCGCTCGAGCGCCAGTGGGCTGCGATCGCCGTTGCTTCGCTCGAATGACTCGAGCAGCGGGTCTTCGACTCTGCACGGCAACGGTGCGCGCGATTCGGCCATGTCGGAGCGGGCAAAGACGCCGCTTTTCAGCAACAACGAGCCGCCGCTGCTGCGCAATGCGCCCGTCCATCGGCTGAGTTTCGGACCTAGGCCGCTCTCGCGCACCAGCTCGACGGGTAAAGGTGCCGATCTGCAGCGGACTCGCAGTGGTCGACAAGCTCCCGAAATTGCGCTGCACCCTTCCGCAGTCGACCCGGCCTATCCGCAGCACAAGTGGGGGCGTCAGGAATCGAGCAGTCGCCATCCGCTGCAGTCGGCCGCGACCCGTCGCGATTCGACGCTGTCGGGCTACGAGGTGAGCAGCAGCAGCGCAGAGCACAGTTATCTCGAGAGCAACGCCACGAGTCGCATCGGCTCGTTCAGTATGCCTGGCAACCCGCTGCAGCCGTTGAGCGCGGCGGGTCTGGGTGGTGGGCAGCCGTGGGCCAGCCCGCGGACGGGCTCGAGCGAGTTCGTCCCCGATACAGCCAGATTGGGCGTTGCAGCACCGAGCAGGAACTCGTCGGCTAGCGGGCTGTTGGACTCGGATGGCAGCGATCATGGCGCGGCGCCTGTGCTCGTGCCTAGTCGCGCAACGTCCAAGCTCAGCTTCAGGGGCGGAGAGGCGTTCTAGACGCAACACACGGACATTCTATCTTGGCGCAAAAGACGTGCTAGGCGTCTCGCACTGTCGCTCGCATTCACGTGTATCAGTATCTTCCTCGCAATCACTTCACTGGTCGTTACTGCACAGACCTTCGTTCGCATTCGGGTGAAAGGGTATCGTTCCATTGAGAGAGTGGCATGTCACGAGGAACCGGCGCTGTTCGCTGATCCCGCCTTATGTTGCTCCGCGAGCTCGCGAATCTGATCCGTGATCTCCTGAAAGATGGGGAAGGTCAAACTGTCCTTGTACCTCTGAATGGTTGTTCTCGACAACACGGTCCCTGCTGGGGTATCATCCTTCTCCCCCGCCGTCAGCTCGCCATTCTCGGTCAGAGGCTTGTGTATCGCGCCATCCTCGAGACTTGTCTCGCCGAGCTGGCTGACGATCTGTTGTGCATCCTCCTTTGCATCGTCCAACACACGCACCAGGCCAGGATCGATGGGTATCCTACCCAAGAAGTGCAAACCTTCGCGTTTGGCGAGCGCTTCGCCGCCACCTTTGCCCCAGACGTTGGTACAGTCCTTGCAATGCGGGCAGATGTAGCCGGACATGTTCTCCACCAGCCCTAGCAGAGGTAGGCTTGTTTTCCTGCAAAAGTCGAGACTCCTCAGGTTGTCCGCGAGGGAGACGGCTTGAGGGGTGGTGACCATCACGGCTGCGGGGTTGAACGTTCGGAGATACTCGAGGATGCTAATGTGCTCGTCGCTGGTCCCTGGTGGCGTGTCGATGATCAAGTAGTCGAGTTGACCCCATCGGACGTCGCCAAGGAACTGCTTGATCATGGCATTCTTCTTGGGCCCCCTCCAGACGACACTATCGTTGCGAGAGCGGAGCAGGAAGCCGACCGACATGACCGCGAGGGATTGCGTGGTGTCGGTGTACACGGGCACCCAGCCGTCCGTGCTTTGTTTCACCGTAGCGCCGTCCAACCCGAGCATGCGGGGGATCGACGGTCCGGTAAGGTCGATATCCAGGATCCCCACGCGGATCGGACGCCCGGAAGAGTGCGTGGACGAGGAAAGTGAGAGCGCCAGCTGTGCAGATACGGAAGACTTGCCCACCCCGCCCTTGCCAGAGAGGACCAAGATGATGTTCGAGACCGAGGAGAGGCGACGCACGATCTTGGGGTCCGCACCGAGGTGCGACGCCGACGGAGAGACGGTAGAGGGGCCGGCTGCACTCATCGTATCGCTCTGACCTCTTCAGACGTCCAGGTGTGACTGTATGAGGACGTGTAGCGTTGGGGATGTTCAGATGATGTGGTCGTGTGAGAAGATCGTGGCTGAGTTCCTTGTCGTCGGTTACTCAGAAGGTGTCCCGATTTCGGTTATCTGATTTCTTCTCGCTGTGCAGATCGGGCAAGCTTAAACTCCGGTGCCCTCCGTACCACCCTCCTCAGCCCGGCCTTACTCGCACAAACCTTCCGAGCTTCTTGCACATCATCGTCATGGTCATGTTGGGAAAGAGAGACCCGCCAATTCGAAACCGTCGCTTCTCAAACCATGACATCGTCTCCAAGCGTTCTCGTACGTGATGGCGTTGACTCTTGCAGGCCATAGGAAATGACTCGTGCGTTGTGAAGCGAAAATTAAGACTCGTGGTCGTGCATCATGACGCAAATGCGTGCTCTGCCGTGTTTTCCAGGCAATCCAGCAATCCGGAGACGCTCTTCTGTACGAGCCTACGGTGCTCGTAAGGCAGCCGTTTGAACGTGGGTGATCCCGCGGCAGAACGGGTAGAATTCTCCGATTGTTTGCTGACGTCCAATAGCCGGTAATGAAAGCTTCATGCGTTGCCGTGCAGCGGAGCGACGAATGATGATCTTCCGCGGCTAAGAATGGACGTTTGATCGCTTAGCGGTGGTAAGACGGTGTAGCGAAGCAATCTCTGCAGTGCACGCTAGAGCTCGGTTTCGCTGAGCCTCCTTAGATGGGTCTGTCTGAGCTGTGCTCGAAGGGATATATACCCCCGTCCTTCCTGCTCCTTGGTCCATCCACTCACAAGAACCATCGTCACCTCGCTCGACAGCAGCCACTCTCCCCTACGCTCAGCTCCGACCAACACCCCACGCACACTCAAGCACACCTTGCACGCGAACCACAATGCTTTGGCCGCGAGACGACGCCTCGGTCCGCCGCGCCTTCGAGCAGGACATTGAAAACCTCCATCTGCTCTACGATTACGATGCCGAGAATCCCGAAACGGGCGCCCCCGAGAAGTGGCGCTACGAGATGTGGTTTCGCTCTGACAACCGCATCGTATACGCCATCCACGGCGGCCCCATGGCGGGGCGCTTGAACTACCAGACGGCAGACTACCAGTGCATCCGCCCTGGCGAGCTCTGGCAGTGCAACTGGCTCGAGGAGACTGGCACCACCTGCTCCCTCGTCTACGATATCCGAGAGCAGAAGATTAGCACGATGTTGAACTTCAGCAAGGGTCATTGGGAGGAAGCCGAAAAGGCACACGGCGACAAGCGCAACCCAGAAGACTTCCAGCGTTGGAGAGACCTCGCCAAGATCGGCATCCAGACCGATAGGCATATTCTCAACGACCAGGCCAACATCTTGGAGACGTTCAGGGGCGCTGGTGATCTGCAGGACATCGATCTCAACGCTCCAACGCTTTGAGTAGGAGGAGAGGATGTATGTTAGCCTATTGAGGAAGGAATTGTATACCATTGCTTTGCTTGTCAGGTTCTATGTGTGTGTGGCTGCATGACGAATTGCCCGACATTCGACCACCTCTTTCGTCCAGCTCAGAACAGCCAGACTCTCGCTCTCACACACTTGCCAACCGAAGAAGGAGTACGACGATGTGATTTTCGAACATGATGCGAAGTGTAACGAGTGTTTCTACGCCGAGAACGGCGCCAGCCTAGCAGACGGCTTCTCGCTCTGGGTACGCAGATCGTACTCTCCGTGCTGCGTGATGTACCTCACCCACGGCAGAGCCTGATAACCCGACTTCTCGACAATCTTCAGGTACCTCACCTGGATCCCCGACACGGTAAAGTAAGGAATCTCGAACTTGATGCTGATGGGAGCGCGTCGGTCGACCACCTCCTCGCTCTTGACGCTGGGCAAACCGAAGTGGGCGCGCATCAAAAACTCCTTTCCGCCGCCGAGCTGTTTGATCTTCCAGACCATGGCGGACTTTTCGGGCGCGTACACTACCGAGCCGGTGGCGGCACGGAACTTGGGCGTGTCGGCGTCGTCCGGGACGGGGATGTGGATTTCGACGTTGTTGGCGGTGGATCTGCGTTTGAACTGCGCCTTGACCTTGACCATGAACTCTATCCTGCTGCCCTCGTGGCGCTCGACGATGGCTTCGGCCCAGATGAGCGGCTTGACCTGCGTGCTGAGGCGGTAGCTCATCAGCTCGAACTCGCCGTCCGGAGGGATGAAGCTGATGGTTCGATCGTTCTCGAACCGAGACAGCCGCACGCATTGGTGGAACTTGACATCCTCCATCTCGATCGCTTTGCCCCTCGCCGCCCGTCCCGTCGACTCGAACATCACCTTGTCGTTCAACCCCAACCGCAATTCCGGCATGCCCGAAAGGTAACACTTCATCTTGACCGCGCCCAGGATCTCGCTTCGCACCACATTGCCATTCGCGCTCACCAGCAGGTTGACGCTCTCCACCACATCCAGAAACACCTCGTTCTTGCGGTATCGAATCCCCTCGCTTCGCCACGATACGGCATTGGTCACAGCCATCGGCGGTCGAACCTGAACCTCCAGCTTGTGCGACTCTTGGGTGATGTACTCCTGCAGAATCTTGCTCTCCGTCGTCTGCGGATACCCGAAATCCATCATCTCATCCAAGAGCTCGTAGATGATGACAAAGTTGTCGCGGATCGACTCCTCCTCGAGCTCCTTGAAGTACTCTTCCAGCACCGAAGCGAGTTTGTGGAGGAAGATGAGCACTTCGGCTGCGTTCGAGTTGCGCCGCGACAGGGCGAGGAGGTAGAGGTTGTTGTGCCGGATGAACATGTAGTTGACGCCTTCGGAGGAGAAGCATGGACTGACGGACGAGCCACCAGCTTCCTCTTCGAGGTCAAGCAGGAGGGGCAGGAACTTTTCGACTGCAGTGGCAGAGATGTCATCGCGGTAGCTGCGCTGGATCAGCGGCTTGCCCTTGAGATCGACGATAGCGATGAGCGAGGTCATGGCGGCGGAGGGCGGAAGAGCTCTGCTCGCCTATCGATCCTTGTGACGGTAGGTGTGGTGCCGAGTGAGAGCCCGCTGAAAGGAGATCTGGGCGCGCCGAGTCTTGACGATCAGAATGACCTTACGCTTGAGTGGTTGACTGAAAGAATTGTGAGCGACGGCGGAGAAAGATGCTGGAGGTGAGATCAGAATTGGACGATGGTCTGTGTTGGACTTTTGGTCGCGGGTCTTCTTGTGCGGGCTCGGCCAGCAAGCTGCAAGCGCGGGTCGTGCGTGTTCGCAATCTCACAGTCTCAATACGTTGATTGGGGTACATATTTGGTCTATGCTTCTGCCCTGACATCTGCGGCCATAGAACCTTGAAAGCACCGCATCCCGTCCGATCTGCGAAGTTAAGCAAGGTATCGCCTAGTCAGTACTGCGGTGGGGGACCACGCGGGAATCCTAGGTGCTGCAGTTCTTTTTGTTCTTTTTGGGAACGATTTTCCGCTGGTTGTTAGAGCAGCTGTCGAGCCTCCACTCCTTTGTCGCTTACGATGACCATCAGCGGTGTCATCGATGTAGAGACCACCGCAGGTCTCTTTGATTCAGCCTCCTCATCGCTATTGTTAGCAGGGCAAAGCACCAAGCTATCCGAGCCGAAGAGAGGCGTGGCTACTATCATGGTCGAAGCAGGCCGCACCTGTGCCTGCACTCCACGCTCGTTGCTGGTGCCTGCCGGCGGAGTGACCACGCTCGATCCCAGTCAGCGAGTGAGCGCAAAAGATCTCGATGCAAGGGACCGAGAATGGAGACGGCAGAGTCAGCAGGCACAACATGCTGGCGGCTCAAGACTCGAGTCGAAAGACACCTCCAGCGAGGTCACTCTTCGTGACGACGCTGCTTCCACGCAGACTGAAGCAAAGGTCAGGAAGAGCTTGATCACGAGAGTCTTTGGTGGCAAGGACGACAAGTCGGACAGCACGAAAAGATGACAAATGGCTCTTCGTAATCCGAGATGGCCACTGGCGATCCATCATGGTGGCATAGAACAATCAGGGACCACCTGGACATGCTCTCTCGAAGGCGGGGGAGCTCACAAGCCGACGTGCTCATGGGAGGAGACACTCGGCCCTCGACAAGCTTGGCCACGATCCAACCCATGCAGGGTCCTTGATGAGCACGCCAAAGGCTGCGTCCACGAACCTTCCGAGACTCGACAAGCCCGATGAACTTCCGTATCGGATTGCATCGTCCGATACACGAGCAGCACAAAGCATGGCCGGCGGTCTCATTCTATCGGCTTCTGGATTTGGTCACGATCCATCTGCCGGACATCCTCGTGTCAATCCAGATCTCCAAATGGAAAGAAGTGCGTCTGGATGCCAAGATGGAGGGGAGGGATGCTGGCAGGAGAAATCACGTCCTCGAGGGAAGCCGGATCAGCCAGCCGGAATGGCACGGAATATTTTTTCCCAGCGCTCCCTGACGCGAAATCAATTCGCCCTCGCACGCCGTTTTTGACCCTGGTCCCACCGCAACTGGTCATCCGCGATCCAAATGTCATCGAGCATTCCGAGTCACCGTCATGGGTGTGACGATGATCAACTCTGGCTTGAAGCAGGCTGGAACGTAGAAGCTGGCACGGAGCAGGTGCCATAGGACTGGACGGAAGGATAGAGAGCGATGCTGTAGCAGACGAGAGAACGTCTTGTTTGCTCGAGCGGACTTCCTCCCGCATTGTCGATTGGAAGCAGGGCCGCCTGCCAAGCGCACGCCTTTTTCGAGTGGTCTCTCTGGTGGGACGCGAGCGATGCCGTCAACCTGGGTGGTGGACCCTTTGGACGTTGCCGAGGTGGAGATACACGCCTCGCCGACGAGCCCACAAACCGCGCCAGAGCTCCCTCTTCGTCGACTTCTTACTTCTGCTGAGGAGGTTCTATCGCATCATATGCCTCATCAGTACAAAGTTGAACAGCTCAGCTCTCGATCTATGATCTCAAATCACCGTATCATGAGTGGCGATCAGGGAGAAAAGGAGGTCCAAAGCGATAAAGGACAATCTCAAAAGGTTGCTCAGCGCGATTTTGACAAGCTGCACGTATCTGCGCATAAATCGGCATCCAGAATCTGGCGGAGCGCGACCCCCTTTCGTGCTCTTGCGAAGCCATGCTGTGTGCAAGCGGCAGGAGAGTATCTCAAAGGCTCTTTAATCTGCAGCCCGCCTGGGCAGATAAACGCAGGCCGACAGACCGGCTGGTACTGTACGATGAAGTATGCAGACTATGCGTGGCAAGCATGGGCGAAGGTGCAGGTCAATCAAAGGCTTGCAGTGAGGCATTCGAGGACAAGAGGGAAAGGTAAGCTTGTCGGCGAGCTACAGGAACGACCAGCCAACACGGCCAAGGAAGGTGCAGATCCAGAAAGAGGATGACGAGCTTGAGCAGGGCAAAGCGATGGTGGGACCAAAAACCACGAGCGGCCAGCCTCTGATCTCGGCGGGACGGTGTTCTATGCACGAGCAGGTCCGACTCTCGACTCACTCGAGCCCCAAATGAAGCAATGCGAATGAGAGCAGCTGAGCTTCAGCAGCAGTCACACCCTCAGCTTTCTTGTTGGAGCTCGAAAGAACATGTAAGGAGGCTCTAGGTGGCTCTTTGGCAATACGAAGCGGGATGATGAGAACGCTGGCATGGTGGGATGTAGCATGCACGGTGGACATCTCTACATTCATGATGACACGCAGATGCTCAGGCTCGAGAGAGAGGCAGAACACTGACTGGCAATGCACGAATGTAGGAACAAGCTCATGAGGGGTAGCATGTTCATCACGGTCATAGCTGTTGCTGGCGCTCACGGCGACGCGTCACCTGAAGCCTCGAGGAGCAGTCACAGACAGACAGGAACAACACGTCACGAAAGATGAGCAAGAGCGTTAAGAGAGTTTCCACGATGCGAGCATGTCTCAAGCGATCAGGAAACGAATGACCACGTCAGCAGAAAGCAGTCAAAGGCATACAGTCGTAAGGCG